AGTCCTTACTAAAGTTCTTAATATAACTAGCATTATACTTAGTAGTAAGGGGTTTACGTAATAATACCTTAAGCTCCTTAGCCTTAATACGCTTAAGGCGCTTATATAAACTAAGCTCCTTTCTAATATCCTTAATATAGCGCCTACTAATACATTTAAAGCTATTAATAGTAAGTATAGCTACTATATCTTTATTAGTCTTATAATCGTAAAAGAATAACTCTATAACGCGAGCCTTAAGTAGTTTAACCTCTAGATTATAAGATATACCCTAGGCCTAAAGTTATTACTAGAGAGTACTCTATTTAATAACTACCTCTTACTCTTCTAGAAGGCTAAGAACCTCTATATATATACTATTAGCGTCTTTAATCTAGTTAGTAATAAGTGTCTTCTATAGCTTAAGGTTAATTTATAGTAATATAATAAGAAGGAAGGCTTTAAATAATAGCGAGGGCTTTAAATAATAGTAAGGGTAATAAGAAGGAAGGGAATAAGAGTAAAGAGTATAAGGCGATAGTAATAGTAATAGTAAGGTGCTAAAGACGATTTTCTAAATTCCCTAATGTAAAAATGGTTAGAAGATAATTTTAGAGATTTTTTTATAGAGAATTACTAATTTGTATGGCGAATTACACTGCGAATTAAAAGAGCGCAGCAAACTATAGCTTGTTGATGTTTTGATCTAAGGGTTAAGAAGCTAAGTGCCAAGGCACTGAATATCCGCGTACCTTTGGCGGGCGGTCCCCTGCCAAACCGTCCAACCGACAACTCTCGCCGGACTTCCTTCCTTGCAATCACCTCTGGAAGCAGACACACTTGACACTGTATAACAATCATACAAATCGACAAATGTACTTTTCAACATTCCCGCAAGCTATGCAAAACTAAAAACAAGAAAAGAAAGAGCTCTATGCTCGGGGTATCCTCAGTGCGTGACAACGTAGCTTCTCAGACTTCACAAAAACATCTCCACTACATGTCGCTTTCTATTGCGACTGGAGGTACTGTGCCAACTGCATCACCTTTTGGCGCGTCTCGTCACTAAGCTGCTCCTCAGGAGGGCTCAGCACCTTCTGCAGGACTGGCAAGATGGATCCGGTAAGACCCTGGATGACAGTGTTCTGCTGCTGGTAGAGCGAAACGATCATCTCGAAGACGGCCTCGTTCTCCTCGTAATCCTCTCTGAGAGGGAGAAGCTGGATCAGAACGGGGAGGACGTCACCAAGAGGAACGTGGTTAGGATGTCTCTTGATCATGCGGGCGACACAGCCAGCAGAGTTGTCGAGGAGACGAGCCTCCTGCTGTTGGTGCAACAGAGGCTCGAGCTTGCCGAGGATAGTGTTGTACTGGCCAGTGATCTGGTTCTCGTCGGTGCTCTTCTCGCAGAGAAGACCGGTACCGTAGGCTGCGTTACTACGAACCTCCGGATCCTCGTCTCCAAGGCGCTTGAGCAGCATCTTCATAAGGCTACCGGTGTAAGGAGTGACGGAAGCACCCATGTTACCAATGGCCTCAGCGACAGTGCCGACAGCTGCGCTGCGCTCATATTTCTCCTGTCCGCTAACGTACTTGATGACAGGCTTCTCGAAGATTTGCCAGAGCTCGCCGAACGACTCGCCAAGGGCAGCGGCAAGGCAGGTGATAACCTCCATGGCGGTCTCGATGACCAGCCAGTCGTACTCGGATGACTCCATCTCAGCATCGAACTCATCCTCGCCGTCGAGGTCTTGTTGGCACATGTGCTTCTTTTGCAAGATGGAGAGGACCATCTCGACGATTTGCTGAACTGGGGGAGCGGCGTTCTCGCCAATGCTGGCGGTAAGGATGGCAGGTCCGCAAAGCTTGAGGGTAGCGGCGAGGTTACGGTGAATGTCGGTAACGGTACCACTGTTGAAATCATGTCAGCCATTGTTTCCAAGACTCGGCAAGAGAGTAAGTTTTCAGAGGAGGTGATCAATAGATCGGGTCAGGAACAGAATCGCGTTCGCATCAAGTGCACATTTGTGCATCAAAGTGAGCTGGGTGTAACGAAGAGTAGTCATCATGGAAAGAAAGGGTGCGGAGAAAGAAAGATGGTTAGATACGTACCGGTCAACTTCGTCCTGCCAGAGAGCAAGAGTGGCGGTCATGATCAGACTGCCGAGCTTCATCAGATCCTCGGTAGCCTGGACCTTCAGAGGAAGGCCAGATTGCCACTTGGCCATGCCGTTGTCCTCAGCCATGGCCCAGAGAGCGGCGTAACCTCTCCAGAGAGTACCAATGGCAGATCTGCGAACACCCTCGAAAGTGTGGTCAACAAGGGCGAGGACAGCCTCAACGCACTGCTGGAAGTAGGGCAGGAAGTGGCCACGAGTGTGGGTGAGAACATCACCGATAACCTCAACAGCGATCTCCTTCTCCATAGCGACAGCAGTAACAGCACCGAGATCATCCCAGTCATCCTCGTCCTCATCATCGATATCGATGGTAGTGTCATCATCGGCGCCAGCATCGATGTCGGCAACCTTGACCTTCTTTCCGGCAATGGTGATTTCCTGACCAAGAAGCTCTCTGGCCTCCTCGCCAAGGGTAACACCGTCCTCGCTCTCATCTTGCTGAAGGCACTCAATCAAACCCTTGACAACACCAGCAAGGTAAGGGGCGAACTTGTCGTCGTAAACCTTGGACATGGTGCTCCAGAGGATGTAGCTGGTCTCACGAAGTCTGGGGTGGTCGAGGTGGAGAGCCTCCTCAGAAGCCTGCATCAGGGCGGTAACGTAAGGCTGGAAGGCATCGGCGCCAACAGCAGAAGCGATCTTGCCGAGTGAATCGCAGACAACTCCACGGAGCTCGAGCTCGTCCTCGGAATCCTTGAGGGAAACGAATTGACCAAGAGTCTGCATGGTGCCCTCGAAGTAGGGCATGAAGTTCTCCTCACTAGCAGAAGCGATAGAACCAGCGGCACCGATGGCCGAGATCTGAACCTTAACGTCAGGGTGCTGGAAAAGGGCACCGAGTCTAGGAATCAGCTCGCCAACATACTTGGAAGCGTCCTCCTTGTCGAGTCCCTCGATCATCGAGTCAATAGCCATACAGCTCTGCTTGATGATAGCCAGGTTCTCGTCGCCAGCGGGGCCGTTCAGCTGCTGCATGGCGAGATCAAAGTTCTTGACGAGAGCAGGAATCAGACGGGCGTGCTCCTTACCCATCTCCTCAGCGAGGTCGTCGGCAAGTCTAGCAACACCGTTCAAAGCAGCCGAGCGGACGCGAACCTCAGGGTCCTCGAGCAAGTGGAGAACCATGGGGAGAATCTCGGCAAGCTGAGTGCTAATAAAGTCAGGAGCACCCTCAACGCACATACCCAGAGCGAGGATACCAGCGCGACGGTAGTCGGGGTTGGAGTTCTGAACAAAGGGACCGATGGCGCGGAGGAGAGGGACAGCGACCTGGCTGGGAGGGAGGTTCTCGGAAAGAATGTCGAGCAGACCAAGAGCAGAGCGGGCAGGGGTAATGTCCTCGTCCTCAGCGGAAAGTTCACCAAGCTCGGTGACGATCTGGAGGGAAGTGGTGGTGAGCTGCTCGCCAATGCGCAGACCCTGGACCTTGAGCTTGCGGTATCTGACAGCCTGCATGAGGAAAGAAAGAGCCTGGGAACGCGAGTCATCGTCGATGTTGGTGTTGGCCGAGAGTTGCATCATGAACTGCATGAGATCACCAAAGTGGGCGTTCAAGAAAGCAGACTCGTAGCTGAGGAGCTTGTTGAAGACCTCGAAGGCCTGCATAGCGCGGTCTTCCTCACCGTCGTCGACAGCCTGCTGCAGAACGCGGACCATGTGGGGGATGGTGTTTTGGAAAGCCTTGAGCGACTGGGGGTCCTCTTCGGTGTCGAGAACCATGCAGATCTCAGAAAGAGCAAGCATTGTGTTGATTCTGACCTCGGCGTTCTCGGGGTCCTGGATGGTCTGTGTGAAGAGCTGGAGCATAGCGCCCATGTTCTCTTGGAACATGTCGGGCATGGTCTCGAGCAGTGTGTAGATGATGTAGACACCAACCTCACGGTGGCTGGCAGTCTGGCTAGTCGAGGCCTTCTGCAAGAAGTCGGGGAGGTCGGACCATTGGCCATCGGCGAGGTCAATCTGAGCGATCGAGGCAATGACACGGGCCTTGGAGTGACGAGCGAGTGACTGATCCTCGTTGAGAGTGGATTGCAGAAGCTGCTCGCGGATCTGAGGCTTCTGGTCGTTGGGGAGGTCAAGCCAGTGCTTCTTGACAAGCTTGCGAGACTCTATGGCAGCAAGTTGACGAAGGTTGGGGCTCTGGTGCGAAACCAAGATGTGGAGCAAGGCTGTGAGCGAGGCAGGGTTGCTGTAGTATGTCTTGTTCAAGGTAGCAGTTGCGGCCTTGACACGCTCGGTGTCGGCTGTTGTAATCAGTCAGCCTCGAAATAAAGTCGTCTGCTGAAGAAGTGATAGACTTACGCTGCATCAGACTCTCAAGGAGTCCGACGAATTGCTGCTCATCCATATTGAGGTTGTTTGGGGTATCAAAAGAAAAGAAAAAAGCAAAAACACAACAAAGGCAGAGAGATACGCCTTTGGGAGAGGATGTCAAGAGGAAAAGCGATGCATTCAAAGTTGCTTGTCGAGATGTATTTTTTTGCCAGGAGGCGGTCCAAGCGTCTCCTCAGTCGAGGGTCCAAAGCTCCGACCTCCGATTTATCAATCAACAACCACCTTGCTATTTCATGCTCCTACCACCCACCCCAAGTACCAAAAGATGTGATGTCTACTGAGAAGCGATCTATCAGCTCTCTTTGGCCAAACTTTTGTTTCTGAATAGAACCGTGCATTTTTACACCGTGTATCTACTCTCTGCTATGGTTCACGAGGGGGTCTGGAAAACGACAAACTTCTCAATAACTTCATACATTGCATTGCTATTGATACGTTCAAGCGACAGTTCATTATGTGTTCGTCATCAAGTTCACAGCATCGTATCCCTCGAGAGTCCAGCTCTACTTAGGGCAAATCATCCAGCTTCTCTGCCTCCGCCTTGATTTCTGCGCTGAATTGGATACCAGCATCATCGTTGTAGCCAACAGACTGGTTCATGGACTCAAGTCTGCCAGTTGTGTCAAGAATCAACTGTTGGGCCAGCATTGATCTCATCATAATGTCCATCCAAGCTTCGCCGGTAGGGTTTCTTGGGTTGACAGTTGCTACAAGCATTTGGAAGGAACGTGTGACAAAGTCCCACCTGTCTCTGTCAGCACGACCAACTAATTACAGACAAGCCATCTCTTACATGAAATACACCTTGTTCTTACTGTTTGCAGGTGTAGAGAAGGTCTGCTCTCGGTTTGGATCCATGGCAGAATCATTGATCAACATCCTCATGAGGTTCTGGTGGGTGAAGAACAGGTGCTTGTACTTGGAGTCGGCATCCTCAGGACACTGTCTCTCGAGGAAGAACTCGGTAAAGGCACCACGCTTTGTGGTCTCGGGATTTGGAGAGACGTAAACTGGTTGGCCGGCTGGTGGCATCTTTGCTGTATATCAATGTTCTTGATGAAGATTGACTCGTATGAACGTTGGAGGCGCGATTCAGAAGCTCTAAAAGTGTTTCATCCAAGGCACCACCCACTTCCGGACGCGCCTGAATCGCGTCTCGGCGTGACATCATGGCTTCCCGCTCCACGATCGGATGTGTCTCCACGTTTTCCAAGTTCTCGACTGGCTTGATCTGCGAGGACGTTCAACGAATATTATTGTTCCTGTTGATCTCCTTGCTTTGTGACACAGCAATCGATTTGGAATCATGTGTCCACTATTACAGTGAACAGGTCGACTACTAGCAGACTGAACGCTGAAAGCGCAGATGTCTGAGTTTGACAAACTGACGAGAGACATGACCAGCTAAGGTTCCTCGGCAACTCAAGGGAGCCTTCGAGAATATGGAAACTTTCGTGCATGACTTCACCGATCAAAACGTTTGCACGCAAGAAGGCAGGTATGTAGGAAGCTTGTATTAACCTACTTGGTTTAAGACTTTCCTGTGGCCCCAATTGTCTGAATCGCAACTTGACTTCTTCCAACTTTGCCTTGTGCACTTCTTCCACACATACCACAAAGTCATTATGGGCTTCCGTTCGCTCCTGAAGAGAGCATTGACCGAAAATGATAACGACAAGTTCTACAAAGTCGAGATTGGCCAGGTCTTCTTAGATCGATACAGAGTTGAAACACATCTGGGTGCTGGCAGATACGCTTCTGTTTGGTTGGTGATAGACAACACGTCAGTCCTCCCTCTGGTTTCAATTTCGTATACTAATGACCCGCAGANNAACGGCGAACATGCTGCTCTCAAAATCTTGAACAGCGACTTCTATAATGGCCACCATCAGATATTTGAGCTAGAGGTCATGCAGAAAGTGACCGCTTGCTCCAATCATTCATCGCATCCCGGTCGAAACCATGTAACTTACCTGAAGAACCACTTCGAAGTTCAGGGACCCACAGGCAAACACGTTTGTATGGTAATGCCTCTACTAGGCGATAGCATCGCAGAAAAAGCCACTACCGGACATGTCATGCGTATACCCCCACCAACCGTCAGAAATATTGCAAAGCAAATGCTTGAAGCATTTGACTTCCTACACAGCGAGTGTGGCGTTATTCACACCGACCTCCAACCTTCCAACATCCTTAAGGACGACCAAGGCCAGTCGCCACAAGAAATCGATGATCTCGTGCGCACACACTCTTCAGGTCCGGGTTTCAATGATCCGAATATGCAGTTCCGCCTCAATGACTTGGGTATCGCTTGTTTCGTGGACCAACATCTCACCGACGATATCCAATCTGAGTATCTGCGCGCGCCAGAGATCACACTGGAAGCACCCTGGGATCCCAGTGTCGATATTTTCAGTCTCGGCTGTCTGCTTTTCCAGTTCCTTACAGGAGAGTTGCCATTTGTAGGACGACCCGGTCCAGGTGTGACCGCAGAACAAGATCGTATAGCTCTTCTGGTCTCTACTTTCGGACCTATTCCAGACGTTGTCTTGGACAATGCTGCACGAGGAAAAGAATACGAGCAGCAATGTATCCACGGCCATGGATTCCCTGTTTCTTTGGAGACCTTGGTAGGACAGAGCTTCGCTGGTGATGCTCAGAGTATGATGCCTATAAATGAGTTGGACCTGTTCTGCGATTTCTTGAGGAAGATGATGGCTTCAGACCCAAGAGAGAGGCAAAGAGCAGGTGAATTGAGTAAACACCCATGGCTATCTTACAGTCCTGAGTGAGCTCAATCGATAATACTAATGTCCTATCTCATTCCATTCCGCACACGTCTTGAAACTTTGATATTCTCGCGACTATTGAATCCATGGTTGATGTTAATACAACGATTAACATTTCCCTGAAGCAAGCTGCACAGTTTCCTGTCTTGGTGGACTGACTGTCATGGACTGACGGTTTCAAAATCATCTAGCCTTTTCTGTTTTGCCCGGGTGAGTCGATGGACCGGTCGGCTTGCACATTACAAGTGGTATGGCTCTCCAAGATTTCGATCGAGTAGCGTGCATGAAGCTGAAAAGATACACGATACCAAATATAGTTGGTGCTGCTCAGATCGCGGTCGCTCAATTAGTGAAGCCGGGTATGAGAAACTTACAGTAGTAACGTTCTTGTCTTCCCTATCACAAGGTGTGTATGGCTAACGGAAGTGCCTCACGATATACTACATCTGAAGACGACGAGCTGCGACTGATGGGAATTAGCGGCTTGTCCATTGCCCGTGTTTCGATGTTGTGTTCGCCTTTGCATGATAGACCAATAGCAAAAAAAAAAAAAGAGACATCGCAAGGGCCACGATCGATAATTTCTTCCACGCTGCGTCAACTCAATACTAGCATATAGGACAGCCGAGTCTTTGGGAACACGATCTGTGCAAGTACGGTTATGGACGTGGTTGCCGTATTCTAGAGTCCGTATCTACAGTGCTAGATGTAAGAAGTTTTGATCTTTGTCTGAGCACAGGTCGTTTGCAATGGTTACATCTCACGATGTCCGCTTTGTCTTGCATGAGATGGTCTGTGACGAAGTTGGTGTAGGTTAAAGACTTATTGGTATGGTTTATATATGTTCAGTTACCTTTACGCATCCTGACTCTTTGATGCTATGTGAAAGTCAAAAGACAAACTTCTTCACTAATAATAAGATATGACATTAGTATTGGATGGCAATTCATATAGACAGACAAAGCCATGCAGGAGTGCTTGTCATCGTATCCCTGCGGCTCCTATCAGATCGCGAACTACACGTTGCATTGATGCAATACTCCTAATCTTTGCAAATACCTAGCTAGAAACAAAGCTACTTTCATCACGGTCACTTACGCCATTGCCGTACTTGATTGCCTTTACATGTCGTGCTGGAAACAGCAGAGCGTTACAGCATGCCACTCTCTGTTAAACGCACTCTTCAATGTGTGCTTATACGTTGCATTGACGCAATACCATTGATTCTTGCAAGTGCTCGTCTGGGAACCTCAGCTCATCTTTCACGGTCATGGACGACGTTGCCGTACTCGGTTGCGTGTACATGTAGTGCTAGAAGCAAACTGTCAGGGAGCGCAACTCTGTTTCTTTTGTATGCACTCTTCAATGTGCGCCTTGGCTTTATGTCTGAGCATGGCGCGTTTGCAGTGGTTGCAACGAACAATGATGGTGTTGTGAGCAGGGATTCGGAATATATACTCAAACAAGTGACTAGGTACATCCAGAAGCGGCCACTGTCACTCGAGCTTCATTGTCCTGTTTACCAGCAAGAAAATCATATGATGGGACTGTGGGTATGAGCGCAAGTATGATATTTTTCTTCCTTTGCAGTGAGATTTTCTCTCGAATAGCAATCTTGACATTTTAGCAAATGAGCACCAAATCCGAGCCGACCATCCGAGCAACAATTACAGAAAAGCAACAAGATCTTCAAACAAATAGAGCAAAACATGAAAGCTCAACTCAGACGCAGGGTCAGGTCACAATACTAGCGACATGCTCGATATCATCATTAGTGGCCTGCCAGATGCTCATCAACTCGTAGACCCATTTACTTCCATGTCTCTTCATCTTGCCCAGACATCTGCATAGTCTTCCGTCGTGGTCCTTACCGTCGAGGAAGACTCTGGCTTCGTCATCAAACAGCGGCACGCCTTTCTAAGACGCAAATGTGGCATTGATGAAAGGTGGGTTGTCATGGGTGAGATCAGCCAGCACGAAATGCTGTATGTTGTCTTCGCGGTAAGAAGACATGACACGGCAATAAAACTCAAGAAGGATATCTTGGTTGTCGCGAGCGGCTTGGCAACCTACATTGAAAGCTTCTCCGAGACAGAACAGTGTACGGAGACAAATCGAGGAGGTCAGACCTGCGATCGGGGAATTCGACTTCAAGGCTGAAGGAAAGGTACCACGGATAATTCGCTTAGGAGTCTGGATAGCGGAAGTGCCAGATGAAGACGACCCTGGGCGAAGACAGGGGTCGGTTGGTGTTGAGGCTAGAGTCAAAGTCGACGCGGTGCTAGAGAAGTTGACGCCTTCTGTTTCGCGGAGGAAGGTTTCGAAATCTGCTGTGTCACAGAAGAGGTCGTCGTCTGTTGAAGATGACAGGACGGAACGGGAGATGGCATTTGAAAAGCCATGTGGGCGTGATGCAACATCTGCGGTTGAAGAAGACACTGCGGCCGTACCAATTACTGAGTGTTTTGGAGTGCTTGGGAGCGATATGTTGTCCCACTCCAGATCGACATCTGCAAGCTCCTCGAGCCATGCACTATGGAACCAAAACAGAAATGTCAGCCATGAGAGGCTTCAGTAACCGACACCGACATACCTCTGTGTAGCTGAAGCCTCCGTGACACCGGCCATTTGCAGATCTCGGACAAAAACGTGGGAAACGGCATTGCAGCCTGGTTTTGTTTCACGCAGTCATGTGCGGAGAAGTGCTGCGGCTTGCAGAGATGTCAAGGCTTTGGCAATCGAGTTCATGCAGTTGCTGGATCTGTGGCATCAAGCATGAGCAGTCAACGTTCATGCAGAATGGTAGTCAATTCTGTATCGACGCAGTGATGTTGGTCCAGAGAAGCTTGACTGATCAGGCTTCCGGTCTGCGAAATACAAAGTGACCTCTGTATCTTGGATCGAGAACGGGCACACCAATATTAATAGCAGGAGCTGGATGTTGTACGAGGTGAAGTCCAACAAGCTGCAGAGAAGGACCCGGATTTAACCTCCGCAATCGGGCTGCAGGCAGCGGGCCGAAAAGAAGCATGGGCGGGCACAAAGTGGGGCATCCTTGGAGATGACGGCTGTGCTCACCGACAACGTCCCCAATCACGAGCTGGCCAACAACAAAACGTCTTTATCTTTCTGGAACTTCTTGTGTGAGAGCTCGTGCTGACACTTGTCGACTGTCGTCTTCAGACCGAAACTCTTGTGCAATCGACAGAATCGTGCCTGCCTCGCGTAAGCGCAATCTTCGGTGAACGGGAAGAAAGAAGGAAGGTCAAGGGACTGTTCCTGCTTATCGGCTCCTCAGTCTGCGGTTCTGCGTCCAGCTAATCCCAGTCGAAAACGCACGGCGAAACGCCATCTGACAACACGGCTGATCTCGCAGACCTCGTGGTTATCTTTCTGTTGTGTGAGGGACATCTCGAGTCTTCTGTTGCTTTTGGTAAGTCGCTCTTCCGACATGGGTTTGAAGGCTGCGCCATTGGATCATCTTTGCGCCGCAAGGTTGATTCCATGGTTCTTTGCAAGCCTCAAGCCATCATATCGCTCTTGCATGTGATACAATTGTTGGCAAAGGCTGATGTTCTCTCCTTTGCTTTGACAGTCAGGCACAATATCACCTTAGGGTTTGACGGCTCAAAGCGATCTACGATCACGGGTCCCCCATTCTCCTTCGCACATCCAATTCTTACCACAGCACACGGACTTTACGTGACGCAATCTTTTGTTGGTGTAGCTGCACCTCTGTCAGTTCCTGTGTCACTACCTCTACCGGTGCATACATCGGTGAATCACCACCATGTTGGGAAGCTCATCGGTATGTTACACTTTGACCCTACCTTCTCTATTTACGCCATGTCTTTCCCCAGCGTGTTCACTGTTCTTTCCAATCCCCTCTTTCCACCACAAGAAACCACATCACACCTACCATGGAGTTCTTTACTTGGTGCATGGCCTACCCTTGTCCATATGGCCCCTGCACTCCTGCCGAGGTGGATGAGTGGAAGAGAGAATGTGAAGCCATACACGAGAAGCGTCGACAAAGGAAAGAGTTGAAAAGAGCAGCCAAGTGCAGAGCTCTTGGACCTCCCACTCGTCCACCTCCAAAATATTCCACCCTCCCATGTCGTCTTTCTGGTTACTCGTTGTCTTGTCCCATCTGCCGCTTGCGTGATCTGAAGTCAATACTAAGACAATGGGTCATTCAACAGAGAAAGCCATACTCGGCTGTGTCCGTACAGATTGATCGCATGACCAGCGAGCAATTCGAGGAAGACGACCTCAGTGGAATCATTGATCTGGTTGAGGTCATTCGCATCCAATCATCTGGACCCACCGAAGCTGCCAGAGCTATTCGTAAGAAGCTGTGAGTTCACTGAATCCGACTCAAGGTGGTCGTACACTCAGTGGACTGGTTGGCTGACTCGAAGTNNAGCAAGTATGGTAATGCTCATCGCCAAATCAGAGCTCTGACCATTCTGGACGGTCTGATTCAAAATGCTGGAAACCGCTTCCAGAAGACTTTTGCTGATGAGCCTTTGCTGGAGCGCCTCCGACTGATGGTCAGAGACGACATGGTCGATGTCGACGTACGCAACAAGTGTAACGTGCTCTATCGTCAATGGGCTATAGCCTACAAAGACACCCCTGGCCTCCACAACATCGCAGCACTCTACAAGCAACTGCCTCAGAAGCCTCGCCCTCGTCATAGTCAAGCGCAGTCCAAGGTCCTTCGCGAGACAGAAGCCGATGCTCATGAGGACCCTTCACCAACTCCTCCGCCTGCTCCTGCTCCTGCTGGTGGACACTCTCGTGGCCACTCACGATCGAGCTCCGCTGTCAATGCTTCAGCCTCGACCTCTCGCCCCGTCTCGCTCACTCCAACACCTCACTACTCTATTCGCGACGCCGTCAAAGCATCTACGAGAAAGAAGGACAAGAATGCCACCACCACGAAATTCGTTTTCGAAAAGGAAAAGCCGCAAATGATTCAAAATATAGCTCAAGCATCAATCGCCTCAACCAATCTACTCAACGCCCTCCAACTCATCAACCGCGAAAACGAGCGCGTCTCCGAGAACCCCGAGGTCATGAACCGTTTCGAGACATGCAAGTTGCTGAGAAGAAACATCTTGAGATACATCCAATTGGTTGAAAGTGACGAGTGGATCGGAAGTTTGCTATCGGCAAACGACGAATTGGTGAAAGCACTCACCAGCTACGAGATCATGGACAGATCACTCGATGATGACAGCGATAGTGACGCTTGGGAACACATGCCTGAACATGGATCACACACCACCAGTGCCGAATCGCAGCTCGCTGGGCTGAAGATTGATGGAGAGGGAGCAGCACCACCTAAGCCCCCTCGACCTACCAACCTCGCTATGCCCGCTAAACCTGACTTCGGTAAGGCGAGAGCAGAGGAAAGCGATGAGAGCGAAAACGAGTACGNNAGGGAAGACGACGAGGACAACCCATTCGGAGACTCCAACGCGGTTAAGACCCCTCATGCGGAAAGACCAGGAATGACCTGGAAGAACGTCTAGGAGAACGTCTTAAAGAAAGCCCAGAAGAACGTCTCGAGGTATTGGGAGGAGCAGCGTCTGACTGCTCGATGGCCACGAAACTGCTGAGTCGTAGGTAGGGCACTCTCGTCAATGCCGCTCTGCATCTCTGATGTTGTTATTGCTTTTCCGTACCTAGCATGCTTCTCATTCTTGTCATTGTCGATATACCTTTGTAAGCAGACGCGCTACTAGTTGAAATCTCGCATACTTCATGTGCCAATCGGTAACTTTCTGTGAGACGTGATTGAATTCTAAGATGCGGTTGCTAGCAATCCAAGCCAACTCCTCAGAGACCTAGACCCCTTGGAAACAGCACATTGAGAAGAGCACACTCGAGGAGAAGCAAATAGATCATCCTCCCTATGTCAAAAGTATGTAAGATACACGCTATAAAAATGCATAATACTATTATAGAACGGGATAGTGTCCACTAAGAAGCAATCTCTTAGCGGCTCTCTTTGGCCAATCTTCGTTTCCGAATAGAACTGTGCATTTCTATAGCGTGTGATTTACTCACCGCTATAATCGGAGTACATCTTTAGCACACAGTGAGAATGTAGAATGAATTCTTTGAATAGGACGTAGGTAGAAACGAAAGAGAGAAAAACACCATGCTTCAAAAAGTCCCACAGCACCAAAACTCCAAACCCCAAATTATCACCATAAAAAAACAAAGGCAAGCAAGCAAAAGCCATCTGCTCATTGGGCCTCCATCACCTCAAATAGTACGTCCCAATCCAACTATCCCTCCTTCCAAACCACCTCCTCCAAGGCTTTGTGACTCTTCTCCTCCAAACAGCCCTAATCCTCTTCCTCACACCCTTCATTTTTTCCTCCTGCTCCACCCTCCATTGAAACCCTTTCTTGACACAACCACGTTTGCCGTGCGCGTGGAAATGGGAGATTTTTGTTTTTTGGTGGAGGGGTGGTGGGCAGCGCTTGCAGGGTAAGGTTTCTACATGACCGTGCAGGGGATGATGCAGCAGGAGCAGTCGTCGCCGCACCAGCAGGGCAGCTTCACGCTGGGGGTGATGCGTTTTGCGGCTGCTGAAGAAGTGGATGTTGCGCTTGAGGTGGATGAGGGTGTTGAGAGGGCTGTTGTTGTGGAGTTTGTGGTGAGCACTTGTTGAGGCATGGTGCAGTCGAGATCGCTGGTTTTGGTTGTGAGGTAGGTTTATGCTGTGGCTGTAGAGGTGTTAGTGTCTCTATTCGTGTTTCTGAGGTACATGAGGTGTGACTATTACCTTTATCGTATGTACAGGTCTTGCTGGGCAGTCGCTTTTGAGCAGGCGTAAGTCGTAGGTTGGCGGTATCAAAGAAATAAACGCTTGAGCGAAAACGCGGAGGGCCTTGATCTATGTATACAACAACCAGGGTTTAGGCCTCGGCGCAACGCGTTGTACGTCACTATCCCGCGCTAAAAACCAAGCCTCCACATGTGCTAAAGACAGTCACAATATAGCTGCCAAGATGCACAGTCTTGAACTCGAATATACCTCTGGCCACTGAGATAACCTTGATCAAGATCTCTCTGTGGACACGCCTCTACTTCTTTACACAACTGTGCCTTTTACAGTCTGCGTTTCGCTATCTTAGTACACTGAGAGTAAGCATGGAGAAATCGTGGCGTCGGGCTTATGGCGCAGGGTGTGGCTGAGCGAATAAGGGCATGGTATGCATATGTAGAAGGCACGATGAAACATCACTATGGTGGCTACTTCTTAGGTAGATAGCAAGCAGGATCAGAAGGCACTCCAAAGCCACTTAAACACGCTACCATCTCAATGGCAGTGATGCTGTTAGGAAGAAAGCAATGTTGCTTGGGCCACCCTGGCCTCGAATAGATCTAGTCAACACAGTCAAAAGAAGACAGCACACTTGCTTGCGATATGTTGGACTGGCCTCCATCAGTATATGACAAGATATATGTCTATTTCGACTGCGACTTGATCATGTTGCTGCTTTCCTGCGCTAGAATTGCAAGAAAAGCTTCCGCACGAACACAAAATCGTTGTTATGCCATGATACCACCATGCGAACTGTCTCGTGCTGACAGGAATCGAAGACAACAGAGACTATATCACACGCAGGATTCAAGCATGTAGAAGGAAATGTATTCATGATAGTACATTGAAGAAAAAACGCCGCTATGCCATGTCACATCTCATCATCTAATCCTAGCCTCAGTACTCGTCTGAGTAGTATTCCTCATCGGGCATCATAGCACGGTAACGTCTGCTAGCAAGGTCCTGCTCAAGACCACCATCTGCGTCGGGGTCTGCGTAGCCNTGTAGAAAAAGATTAGTCATTGTTAAAGGAACGATGTTCAGTCTAGGAAACTCACCGACTCCGCCGAAGAAGCTCAAAGCGACGGGCAAGAAGACCAATGCGTGCAGAGCAGCCCAGATGACAAGTGCCAGCCAGACTCTAAAGTAGTAGATCTCAAAGATCTTGCTGCGAGTGAAGGCAAGCACAAAGACACCAAGAAGCTTGGTGACTGTGATGCCCGAGAAGACCGAGGCGCCAACATTGACAAGGGCAGCCCAAGCGCGAGCATCCTTACCACGGAAGCTGTGGCAGCGCTCGAGGAGGGATGGTGAGGGCACTGAGAATGCACGGGCAATGTGAGCGCAGAACTCGACCGAGATACCAACACAAATGATGAGATTGACCAGGGACACAGCATTGAGTGAGACTCCAGCCAGAGACATGGTGCCGATGATATCCACAACAGTCATACCAACAGTCATAGTCACCACAAGGCCGGTGGCCAGAGACCCGAGAAGAACGCTACTCAACACGAGGATGAAGCCCAAAGCACCTCCAATGAGACCTCCGGAGAGGCGTACAATCGAGACGTATTGATCGAAGAAGATGTAGAACTTGCTGTAAGGGAAGACCTCTACACCCGTGCGGGTAGTGATATCGTTCGCAATGCGACGAGCGGACTTGTAAGCTGCGATGAAGTCGCTCTGACTATGCATAGGTGTATGCGATGTACGGAAGTGCGAAGCTGGGATGTTCAGACTGCTGTTATCGACGACAAGAGCGTTGCCGTATGCTGCTTTGCCAGCCAATGGACACTCGCTGGTTGTAGGCGACTGGAGCCAACGCTCGAGATATGAGACAAACTCCTGACCTTCGGGCATACCGTGAAGGGTGACGTTCCATGGAGGATTGCGGTTCTCGAAGCAAGTATGAGATCCGTCGACACAGCATTCCTCGAGCGAAGGATTGAGCCAGAACAGGAAGTCGTCAATCCAGCTGGCAGTCGAGTCGGCGATGTAGCTAATCTCTGGACGCTTGCGCTCTTGCTCAAGAATGTTTGCGAGAGAGAAATCCTGACAAGTGGAAAAGCGGCCACAGATTTGCTGCTGATGTTGACGAGCAGTTGCATTAAGGTCTTTGGTAACAAAGTAGACTGGTGGTCCAGCCTCGAAGTAGTCGTAGAGATCATCGAAGTACTTAATAAGGTAAGAGTCGGAGGGAATTGCAATGCGCTGGTCAAGTCCAAGCTCGACATTAGGCAGAAGAGCAAGACCGATGGTAAAGAAACCGAGGAAGATAGTGATGATGGCAGTCTTGGTCTTCTTGCCGAGTAAAGCAGGAGCGTACGTCTTGCGTATAAAGCGTTGAAGCGAACCTTCCTCCTCAATACCTGCCAAGCCAGGCATGCCAGCGATCGCCATAGAATTGGAGTCAGCACCCTTCACCTTGACGAAAGGGAAGCAGTCTGCACGACCAGCCTCAACACGCTTCTGATTGAGTGCAAGAATCGAGATGAACATGGTGACCTGCAAGATAGCGTTGATGAAAACTGCTCCAGCTGCGTAAGCGGCAAAGTTACGGACGGCGGGCATACCGACTGCAGCGCCAAGAGCAAATGCAACAGTTTCGGTAGTCGCAGACAGAAGAATACTTGGACCCATACGGCCAAGGGCCTTTGCAATCCTCTCACTAACTGGCTCATCGGCATGACTGATGTTGACACGCTCAAACTCGTGAACAATGAGGAAGATGTTGTCAACACCGACCGCAAGCACCAGAAATGGGATGACCTCGGCAATGATCAAAGTCGCCTTGATACCAGCGGCAGCGAAAAGGCCGACTGATGCCGAGACAGACATAAGAACGATGAGGATACCCACAACACCAAGCATGAACTTCGACTGAACAAGAGCATTTGCAGGGTTGTTCAGCACATCTCTGACAGTCAGAGTAGTGGCACCGAGAGCAATGGATGCGTACAAGAACATGATCAGATAACTGACAGCAACAATCTTGGCATCGGTGTTGGTCGATTTGTTGAGCTCCTCCTCAAGACTGATCTCGGTGTTGAAAGACAGACGAAGGCCGTGCTCCGAGGCTTCTTCCTGGACAGTGAGCAAGAGTCCCTTGAGGCTCTGCTCCCAATCCATGGCTCTCTCAAGCTCGAAAGTGCCCTCGGCATGGTTGCTAACGGCCCACGTGACAACGATGGCAGTAGAATTGATGACACTGCCGTTGTAGCCACCGAAGAGGTAGCGGGGGTTGAGTGGCTGTTGAAAGTCAGGCAGACAGTTAACAGGGGTGTCAGCGCAAGCCTCGAGATCCTCAGCCCATAAATCAGGCTCGACGGCATCAAAGTCACCACCGAAGTAGCCAGTCAAAGACTGGACGACGCAAGCATCACCAGTGGGTTTGTAACAGACATCGTCGAGAGTGTAGCCACCGTCGATAGACTTCATTCTGCGAATACGGTTTTCAACGTCGAACCACCAACTAAGTGTGTCGTAGGACAGAACAGGACCAGGGCCAGTAGACAGAGTGTCGTTGACCAGGAAGGCTTGTTCAGCTCTGAAGAAAGGACCAAACGACTTGTCGAAGAAGGCTTTCTCCTTTGCAGCTTCAGAGTCAGGAGAAACCCATAGCTTGACGGGGTCAGTCTCGACAGTAAAGCGCATCCAGCCCAGACTCAGCAACGCAACGAGGATGACCGAGGAGCTGATAGTGATAGCAGGGAATGTGGCAGCGGTTCTACCGAGACGTGAGAATATCCTGTCACAAACCGTGTTTAGAGGGTAACTTCTGGTAGGCTTTTCAAGAAGGCCAGCCTGGTGTACAATGTCGCCTTCGTCTTCGTCGTCACTAGGAGAAGCGTCCTGGAGAAGTCTCAGACGCTCATTACGACTCTTGGTGTGCTTAGCGTAAGCAACATGACCGGAGACAGCCAGGATCAGCAGGAACAAGAAGACAGAGTAGACAATAATGACAGCGAAGGACAGGCAAGGCAACACGCCGACCTTGCACTCGTGGGCTTCCTTGACTGAAGGCAGTTCTGGACAAGAAGCAGCGCAGTCAACGCAAGCGCACTTGTATCTCTCGTCAGTGCTGTTGCAGGGATGTGCTTTGTCGGATCCTGGTTTCATGCCAGGGAAATCTGCTTCGCTGGGAATAGGGAAGTTGATCTGGAAAGGACTGCCGAAAGGCTTCTTGTCACCCAGGAACTTGAGGAACTGGGTGTAGTTCTTCGCGCCACCACCGATCAGATCCATGGCCTTTCCTCCAGTGGCGCCAAATTTGACATCCTTGCAGCTGTTGAAGAAAGCACTGCCATAGTCCTCAGAGATAAGTTGGTCAAGTTCGGTGACCAGCAGTTTGTCGCCCTTGGGAGCAGTGTTGGTAACGTTGACAAAGAGAGACTGGTCGGGTGAGCATGTGAATGTGCAGAAGAGGTTGAAGAAGTTGTCCTTGCAAGCAGGGCATGCGCCTATGATGGATTCGGCACGCTTCAGGTTGGAGCTGAGAGCGCCTAGCTGCTCATCTGTGCAACACACAGGGCCTTCAGCCCACTTGTCTCCACAGATAGACATAAGCGTCTTGCGTGTGTCGGCAGTGGGCTCCTCAGCCAAGCCGTTGTCAGGACATGGCAGGTCCGAGCCAAAGAAGCCTTGCTTGCCACAATGACCACGGATGGCGCATCGTCCGGCTTCATGCTTGTGAGTGAAGCCATCTGATGCGGTTGTCTCAACTCCAAAGGCTGTTTGCTGTGTTTCGGCTGAGGCCGAGGCAGATAGCAGGCTCAGACCCGCCACTGAGAGCCATGGCCGCATGAATCTCATTTTCCAAGCTCTTTTGATCAACAGAGTCGTGCTAAGTCGTGTTAGATGTAGGGAAGAGGTTGTGAAAATGTCGTGTGTCGAGCTCGCGCACAATCAGGTACCGAGGTGGCTAGGACGTGCAATCGTAACAAGAGTCTTCAACCGCGATGCGACGATCGAAGGGTATGGCAATATAACACGCTCAAGGTCGGCTGGTCGAATCAGCACGAGAATGAACAATCACTTCAACGTGATGTTTGTCGAAACAGAGCCGATCAAGGTGGTGCCTTGGTCCAGTACTCTACAATCGAACGACGCGAGTGGCCGCCTCCGCATTTGCTTCCCGCGTCTGATGACGATGCCAAGCTCAGCCACACTGCCACCAGCCTCATACCGATTCTGCATCGACTATCAACTTTCACCCCCTGAAGCATCGACTATCAACTTTCACCCCCTGAAGCAGGTACTGTAACAGCTCTGGATGGTAGTATTACATGTTCTTCCGTCTGTATAACGTCTCATGTAGCTAGCAGAGTTTCTAGCCTCTCTCGTTCCAATATCGCCCTCATGCTTTTCCTCCGTGTTCATTCGTCAAGTAATCGAGCCTCATTCTTCTTCCTCTATGCACCTCTTCATCGCGGCGCGGCCTCTGGTCCTGAATGCGCTTCCTTGAGTAGCATCCAACTGTGAGAAGCCGCCATGTTGCACCGCACATACTTCATGTCGTCGTTGTCCTCAATCATGCCTGAGACTCGCCGCCACCAGGAGCTGCACCCGAAGAAGGTCCACGGCCGGCACCACCTCTACCACCACGGCCGCCGCGCTCCATACCACCACGACCACGTCCTCCACGGCCGCCACGTCCACTGCGAGCGCCTTCGCTGTCGGATTGCCCACTACGGTATCCGCTCTGCTGGCCTGATGCTGTGCGTGAGCTGCCCCAAGTACCGGCCTGGAATCCACCACGGGCTGGGCGTTGCTTGAACTCGCTGATTCTCAGTGTCGAGTACTTGCTGTCCGATGCAGGACTACGCTTCAGGACTTCTTGCATCTCTTCGTGTGAGTTGAAGTGTGCGATCCAGAAGCCCTTGCTAGTCCTCTCGAGCTTGGTAACCTTCTTTTGATCCTCCTCACTGAAGATCTGGCGCACTTCGGCCTCGTCATCGGTACCATTGATGGGAGGAATGAAGATGGACTGACTCTTAGGAGGTTCCTGAGGCTTGGGGGTATCAGCGGCGGGAGTAGCAGCAGCCTTCTCTTCGGTCTTTGCAGGTGCAGGTGTGCCATTGGTAGGGGCAGCAGGCTGAGGGCTTGCTGCGGGCTTGGTAGGCGCAGGAGAAGGCACCTGTTGAGGGGTAGCAACTGGGGGTCTAGCGGTTTGGTGAGGTCCAGCGGCACGCGAAGGTGCGTTTGCGGGAGCAGGAGCAGATGCCGAAGCAGCGGGAGGTCCGGAAGGTGTAGGCACATTGCTGGGTGTAGGTGCTGATGCGGCGGCTGGTGTTGCGGGTTGTTGGGATTGAGTTGCCTGAGCGGGTTGTGTAGGACGTTGAGTGGGCTTGCCGGCACGGTGTGAGAAGTTGAAACCCTGAGCCTTCATCTCGGTACCAATTCTGCCCTGGTCAATATCGAGCAACAGCCAACCGAAGGCGGCGTCGGCCAGGTTGAAGTTCCACATGTTCTTGAAGGCGCTCTCATCAACGACACCACCCTGAGGACCGGTGTAACCGCCACCGAAGGGGTTGCCACCGTTTGCGACAGAGGGCATCTTCGAAACCAAGTCAAGAGCGTTGTTAAGAAGGCGCTGCTGCGACTCGTTCTCGGAAACGGCAGGCTCGACCTCGCTCTTGACAGTCTCCCAGACATCGTTGAAGGAGGCCTTGGAAGCGGCCAATTTGCCGCGGTAGTGGTCCAAAGTAGGGTTGACGCTGAACTCGTTGTAGGAGCTGCCGTAGCGGAAGTGCAAGCCAGCCGAAATGGAGAAGTCGGCTTTGAGGGCCACAGCCAGCTGATTCAGCAGACCTTCACGAGCAGGCGATGCATGAGTGACAAAGACACGGGTTTCGGTAGGATCGTAGACACGGTTGGCTGTGTCGATGAGCTCTCCGACCTGAAGGAGAGTGGTCCACATCGTTCCTTGTCCTCCAGCAATAGTAGTGCGACCTTCGCCGTTGTCGAACAGCTTGTGCATGACAACAGCACCTCCGAGACCCAAAAGGCGCAACTTGACGCCGCCAATGTCGAGCAGGCGGGCATGCGACTCATCGATTACAAACAAGTTGTTGATCTTGTATTCTCCTGAGCGCAGCTTCTCCAGAACCGAAACGTCTTCACATGCGCCCCATACTGTGTAGACGGGCTTCTCAAGTGTGTAGGTGCCGTTCAGGAATTGCGGGAGTTCTGACAGAGGGAGGTTCTCGCGCTGGAAGCGCTCCTTGATTGACGATTGGGCCGGGGCACGGGCGATGTCATTCTTGACAGCATCGTTCAGAAGAGGAGAGTATTGCGCAACGTGCTTGAGGGTCNNCTGGCTGGTATTAGTCGATGTGTGACGGTGATTAAGCAAGACGGCTCACTTTTCAGCAATGCGGTCGAGCGAAGTGTTGTCGTAGAAGCCGAAGTCACCGGTGTGGATGATGTAGTCAGCTCTTGCGTTGCGTGCGAGTTCGTTCAGGGATCGAAGATTGCCTGCGACATCACATCAATGTCGTTTCCTCCTTCCAGGTCACGCTGTATGCTCACCTCGCACATCGGCAATACAAAGAACTCTGGCACCACCAGCCTGCACCACGCGACCTTGGTTAGGGAGAAGTGGCGTCGCTCCGGGAACAGGGCCAGATGCTTGAGCGGGAGTGCCGTTGGGGATGTAGGCCTGGCTGTATGAGCGCGGTTGAGTAGGTGGTTGCTAGACAAGCATCAGCATGGATGAAGCAGCAAACATATTAAGCGCAAGATGCGGACTCACAGCCATGAGGGATGTTTCGGGGGCGTGGTGTGATGCGCTTGGTGAGGGGTATCAAATTAAAGAAACAGAGTGCAAAGCAGAATTAAGACAACGAGCACACAGGTGCAGAGTCAAGTGAACAAGCAGAAAGAAGGCGGAAAGGGTAATGTGAAGGAGAAGTGAGCTTCCACGTCGTTTACTCCTGCCACCACAGCTGCCAAAGCCCGTCTGTCTGCGTCTGCGAGGCGCTCAGAGCACGGTCCCCCGAATCGAATGCCAAGGCCGAGTCAGCACATCTTCTTGTCCCTCGTCCAATTTCCTCACATGTCATCAAGAGACTTGTTACGATGCAAGAGACGATGATAAATAATGCTGCAATTGGTCAAGTTCTCATACATATGTTTGTTATGTCAATTTGCCAATCTCAGTTGTCAAGCAACAAAGTCATCACTGCCTTCCTGTGTCCAAGCTTCAAACCAAGCGGCCCAGCCTCCTCTGCCATCGGCTTCTTGTTTTCCTTTCAAATGCTCCTCAATACTCCATGGCGTCCTCGAAGAGCTGTCTCAGCTGTGCTCTCTCCTCGTCCACATTCTGCATATCCAAGCTTGGTGCCAACATGAGTACTCTTGCTTGTGGCATGGTTCCCTCGACCAACTGGTCCACGTCGCTGTTTCCAAAGCCTAGATCCTTCAATCCTCTAGGCTGGTCACCCAGATCTACCAAGAATTTGGCCAGTGCTTCACTCAGAACCTCTCCAGCACTTTCCTTCTTGACCTGACTAATGTCCACGCCGAAGCACTCGGCTGCCGCAAGATGTCTTTCTGGATTGCTTGCTCCGGTGAATTTGAAGACAGCAGGTGCGGTGACCGCGACACTGACACCGTGAGGAATAATTGGATGGTCTACTTTGTAGCCATTGTGCTTGTAGCCTGGATTTTGACCACTGACAGGGTAACTCATGCCGTGGCACAGATGAACACCTGCATTACCGAAACCAACACCTGCCAGGGTTGCTGCCAACAGCATCTTGCTCTGTGCTTCGTGGTCATCCGGATCCTTGACTGCTCTGGGCAAGTACTTGACTGTATCCCTCAAAGCTTGCAGACTGAAGATGTCTGAGATTGGGTTGGCACCCTGATATGCTGGTCGTTCGATCGGGTTGCGAGGTCTTGGTACGCGTTCGTGGTAAGGAATGGCCGTCCATGATTCCAGAGAGTGACAAAGAACATCGAGGCCACTTGATGCGTGCACAGCAGAAGGCATGGTACGGGTGTTAAGAGGGTCACATATGCCCAGCGTTGGCTTAAGGTTACGATGTGCGATACCCGTCTTTGCCTTCTTTGACACCAGATCGAAAATGGCCGTGCCCGTTGTCTCGGAGCCAGTTCCTGCTGTAGTGGGTACTGCGACAAGCGGCTTCAGCTTGCCCTGAATAGGCAGTCCTTTTCCAAGAGGGGCGTTAACGAAATCCAGGAAGTCGGCCTCAGGGAAGCTTGTATAAAGATTCATGAGCTTGGCCGTGTCGATGACTGAACCACCTCCGACAGCAAGGAACGCGTCCGGAGCGTGAGGTTTGGCGAACGCAATTGCTTCTTTGATNTCTGAACGAAGTAAGCATTAGAGTCTTTGATTATGAGCCTCATGCGACAAGACTTACGAGTGATCCTTGGGTTCGACTCGACAATTGCTGTAGATCTCGTACTTGATTCCTTCTCTATCAAGGCCTTCCTGTACTTGTTTCATGGCAGTCAAGTGCAAGACAGTGCTATCGGTCACGATCATGACCTTNTTGGCACCCATGTTCTTGAAGTCCATGCCAACCTCCTTGGTACAGCCGGGTCCAAATCGAATGCTCGATGCTGCCATCTCAAAAGCATATTCCTTCTGTTGCGAGTAGTCGACAGGTGTCGCGAGTGCTCGTCGTCCTTGGGTAATGCTCAGAGGATTGTGGTGGTGTCCGGGGTTGCTGTGGCATGGACATCCTGGACCGTGTGTGCCTACTGCACGCAAGAGGTTGAGTGCTCTTGCTGCTCGGGTTGGTGCTATGCGAATGGCTGCCATTGTTACAGATATGGATCAAGAGAGAAGATGCAGAAGGAAGAATCAAGGGCTCTCAAGGTATGTTTTGACATGCATCATCATCGGGGGGCCAGCGGATATTGCGGGGAGCTGCTTGCTGTCTCATTGCGGGGTTCGATCAGATGCGGTATACCGATGAGCCGGTTTGCCATTTTTGGCCACATCACTGACGGTTTCGCAGGGTCAGGGTGGACATTGGTAACCAGAGGTGTAGTCATGTATTAGAGTAGTCGCATTATCGTGTGCAGCTCTTCCATCGTTATCACAGTTCTTCATTTGAGCAATCGCTTGAAGCATACTCGAGTACAAGCCGAGGCTCAATCGACCCCACAATGCGGCCTTCTCACCCCCGAGACATTTCTCGAGACCGAAATGCGATGTCGGCGAGATATGGCTGTTTACGCGTTCCTCTGAACCGACAACAGGAGGACAGGTCAACAGTCTAATTCATGCTTCATATCATCGTCTGCAGAAATGCAGGGGCTAGGTCGATTCCTGACATAGATTAAATAATGTTACACAGGTCTTGGCGACTGTGCCACTACAAGAATCTTCAGGGCGCCAGCTTCCACCTTTGACACCCTGAGAGCGAGTCAACATGTTCAGGTTCCGTCGTGTTGGCCCTGTATTTGTATCAATATGCTCGTCTTCAAAGCTAGTGGAACCTCGAGCATGCGTCCGGATGCCTAGTCCTCGTCTTCTATCACGTCGTTTCTCAAATACCCTACGATACACTCAAACAAGCGACTGGGACAGCGTCCGATTCGACACTGTAAAACGACGTCGTACACCTGGAGCTCCACTACTGAGCGCTGAAGAGAAGGCCAATGTTGTTGCCTGTAGGCAAGCAATCGAGGAGGGCGAATCCCCAGAGACGCTCTTTCGATCCAAGCTGGACGCTGGAACTCTCTCGAGGCCAGTAGCTTCTATATGCCTAGTGGAAGCCAACCACAGGAATCAGGTCGCAGCAAAGCTCGGGCAGGCTGCGTTGACATGGCTTTGGGATCAACGAGATGACCTCATATACCCGGACGATAACGACCTCGTATTTGCAATGACCGATTTGCTAGTGCGTGAGGGCAACGAAGAAGAAGTTTGGGATTGGATTAGATGCAGGTCACATCGATCAAAAGATCTACCCTTCTATGTGCGCCACGAATGGCGAGCTACAGCCTTGAAGGGTCTGGTAATGTCCAAAACGAAGCTGTCCACGAACGGATCCCTTGATGAAGCGATTGAGGCGTTCCTCCGATCAGGAAGCATGTCTGTACCCGATGGAGGTTCAGAATCATGGCTGAAAACGCATTTATCGTGGTTCATCCCGCTTCAAGCACACGAGAGAAGCCCATCAATCAATGGAGGCAGGCGTTGGACACACAGCTGGCCCAATACCAACATGCGATTGTATCACAGAGTTGTCGTAACACTTATTAGCATGCACTCGACTTCTCGATTGGATCTCGCGAAGTTTGCTATGTATCATATTCGTGTACCCGATCCTGAGCCTATCATGAACGAGTTCCAAGATGCCCTGGAGAATCCGAACCATGCGCTGCACACCCTGAGATTGAGTACTACGATGCACTCAATGCGACTGACTGCTGAACATGCTTCTGATGAACTGAGGCGATTTGGAAGATACAACGATGCAGCTCTGCTCGATGCTGCGCGAGAGAAAATCCTCCCTTCAACTGGAGCGTATGGAGATCGTGCAGACAGAGAAAGCATCTTCGCACAAGGCAAACCTGCGAAAAAGTCACCGTTTCCAAAGTTCAAATGAATGTGCCAAAACACTCCGTCTGGTTCTGGGTGCTCATCCCCAACGTCTAGATGATCTTTACTCTGCTGTGGCATACACACTTCAAGTACCGACTTTCTACACTCGTCGCGCTCGTTATCGTGCAGACTCTCCAGCAAAGAATGCAGTGTTTTGGGTACGCATCAAGAGCCACGGTATATACGCCCGCGACCAAATACATGTTGCACAAGGGAATGAAAGATATCGAGATCGATCTTGAGTTTACTTGGTCGTCACAGAACGAATATACGGCAATGTATTATCCTAAGTCTATTGCACACAGACAGCAGGACAAGGAACGCAGTTTATGCAGTCGATAAAACAATGGACCTCCGAGTCCTGCAGCATACTGCCTCTCTAGCATCTGTCCACGATTTGCAATTCAGAACCGAACTTTCTTCAAAGGGTCTACAACCACCTCGATGAAAGAGCGCTGAAGTACTGCAGCCACATAGGGATTCGACTCATCGACATCACTACCCAAGCCAAAAGCCGTTAGCCCTTCTACGCAAGCTCTAGTAGCCTTGACATATGCAGGACCCATGTTCAGCTCTACTTGCTTGAGAATGCTCTCACAGTCTAAAATACGAGCTCGAGTATCTTGCCGTTCCTCTCCTAATGCAAAGTCTCGACCAGAGTGTAACGGCTGTAGAATCTGATCGATGGGCTTCCAATGAGCAATCTCGATCAAAATGATGCCGAGGCTATAGATATCGTAGGATTTACGATACCCTTTCTTTCTGCCTGAGTCGAGATATCCTGGATGACAGTACAGGAACCATTTGCTGTCGAGCGGAGGTCCGGTAGATGTGAAAGAGTTATCGGGTGGCCTGGAGAACCCAATGCCTGACACGAGTAGTCTCCCCAGATCCTCGCGAGCGGATGCGTTGCTAACGAATAGAATGCCTGCACTTCGTAAACCTTTGTGGAGCCAATTTACGGCATGTAAGTATAGTAAGCTGTCGGCAATCTGTCGAGCAAGTACGAATCTGCTTTCATCACCACCGTCATGGTTGTTGAACATGGATAGGAATGACCGTGACTAGATTGACAGAGATTCCAAGACAACCCTGAATCGGGGTTCAGAAGCTCTGAGTGCTTGGGTGCTGTTCAAGTCAGCATCACTGCTGTAGTTAGGGAAAGCGGGCGACAATCGCATAGAACTTTTGCCAACGCGTGCATAGACTCGAACCGAACCATGACAGCACTTCTGTCACTTTCATACATGTTGGCAACAGCCATCGACAATTGGCCAATTCTTTCCTTGAGTGTGACAAGATTACCCTTGAACCTGTCAATGTGCTGCATCGAATCAACAACGGTCTCCTGGTGCATTGGCTAGATAATGTGTGACATGGGTGAGCAAAAGCAAGAGTACAAGCCTTTCAGATAAGCCTTCCCCACCTTCCTCTTCGTGAGAACTAGGGGCGGACCTGTCGGAGAACAACTCGAGGTTGGAGTAGATGGAGTAGAGTCTAGAGATAAGCAATGGGCCTATCGCTCGACTTCGGTTCGCGGCACTGGTTTGTATGCAAGTGTTGACGGAGATGTCACGTCTGCGTCCATATGCAATTACTGCAAAAGTTAAGTATCCTCACCTTTCCTTGTGTATTGCACCTTCCTTTCGTAAATCGCAGCAATGGTCATGAATTTCTCGGCAGGGGCCATTCTTCCCTCGAAGAATACAATTCGANAAAGATTCACAACTCTCGAAGCCTGGGCTCTACCGAAACAAGAATCGACAATCGCACCCGAACATGTCTGGACAAACAAGGACATGGACCCTGTGCCCATCTCGGACCAGACTTGGGGTATGTGGACCTGGGTAGCATAGTAAGTCTACTTACCATGTCCAGCAGGTGCAATTGCTGATGCTGGATAAAGCTGGGCTACCGATGTCATCAACTTGGGTACTTGGGAGACAGCCAGTTCAATCATACAAGTCGGTCTGACCTGGCGTGATGCTATCCCAATCATGGCTGTCGGTACCCTCAGTGTTGCTATACCAGTTGTCCTGAATGGAGCTATGGGTGCTCATCTTCATGTTCCATTTAGTGTCATCGTTCGTTCCAGCTTCGGTTACTACTTCGCGTACTTTTGCATCGCGTCACGATGTATCTTGGCCATGTTTTGGCTTGGTATACAGAGTGCAAATGGTGCTCTCGCTATGCAGATCATGATTATGGCGATCTGGCCGTCATTCGCCTCTTACGACTGGAATGGGCGGAACAACACAGTAGGCTAAATGCTCTGTCTGTGACTCCCCGACGTACTCCTCGCTGACTTTTGAATAGNNCTTCCTGAAAGTGGTGGCATCAGTACAGCCGGCATGATAGCCTACTTCGTCTTCTGGATCATTCAGCTTCCCTTGCTCTTAATCCCTCCTACCCAGCTCCGCTACCTGTTCGTCGTCAAAATGATCGCAGCTCCTGTGACAGCCATTGCGACTCTGGGTTACATGGTACACAAAGCCGGTGGCAGCGGCGCCATCTTCTCACAACCAGGAACAGTGACAGGAGAAGCTAGGGCCTACCTCTGGCTAAGCTGCATGTCCTCTGTGACAGGAGTATGGGCAACCCTCGCCGTAAATGTAGCCGACTTCTCACGCTACGCCAAAGCACGTCCAGATGGAAATCCAAACCATGCACAATACATCCAACTACCTGCTTTACCTATCATATTCACTCTATGCGGTGTTCTTGGTGTCATCACAACCTCAGCATCTAAAGTAGTCTACGGCGAATTCTACTGGAACCCTCTGAATATTGTGGAACAATGGCTCAAGAACGGACATCCTGGAAGAGCGGCTGCATTCTTTGCTGCACTGAGTTGGTTTATTGCTCAAGTGGGAACGAATATCACTGGCAACTCCATCTCTGCGGCTAATGATTTGTGTGTCATTGCACCCAAGTACATCAATATCAGACGCGGGTGTGTCATTGCTGCTGTTGTGTCTTGTTGGGTGATGGTGCCGTGGAAGATCTTGTCAAACGCGCAGACTTTTCTCAGCTTCATGTCTGGGTACTCGGTCTTTCTTGCTCCTATGGCTGGTAAGTGGCTGCGTCTCGACAAAGAGTGTTGAAGAACATATATTGACATCTTTCTTCAGNGCATCATAGCAGCCGACTACTGGCTAATCAAGCGCCGTCATATCGACGTGCCAGCTCTTTACGATCCACACGGACGATACAGATACATCTACGGCGTAAACTGGCAAGGCCTGGTCGCATTCCTCATCGCCGTATGCCCAAACCTCCCAGGTCTTGCAAACTCGATCAACGGCATTGCCATATCTGCAGGAGCCAAACATTTGTACTCTTTCGATTGGCTGTATGGCTTTGTATCAAGTATTTTTGTCTACACAGTGCTGAGTAAGTTGTTCCCATCGAAGGAGTCACTGATACCGAGGTCAATCTACTCTTTGGAAGTTCTGGAGGGTAAGGAGACAAGTTCGGACAGGGATGTCGAAGCTGAGAGTAGAGGGGTGTACGAGATGAAAGGTAGCAATGTTAATGCTGCAGATCTCGGCAAGGTTTTGTAATGTTAGACCAAGTATACGCCATACAGATAGAGCTTTACGGGAACATGAATATGATTCAACGCGGGTGGACCACACGGTTCCCTTCGAAGCTTGAGGATCATACTCAACTTGTCAAACCACAATCAATGATAACGTTTTGTCCTGTCATGCTTCTCGACAAAGCTAGTACTCGCACTTGATCTGCGACGTCCNNTGAAATGAAAGTAAGCAATGGGCCTTTCATCTCCGCCAACAATAGACTTACATCGACCTCTGGTAACCTCTTCAACTTGGTATTGTTCTTGTGTGCCTCCCTCTTCTGCTCGGAAAACTTCATCCCCCACTCCGTCAACATCAACCCAGGACTAACAGAATTGAATCTGATCTTCGGAGCACAGATATTCGCCAAACACTTTGACAAGTGTATACTCGCGGCCTTGGTAACAGCATACGGCAACGAACTGCCCGAAGGCTTGACACCAGCAATACTCGACGTCGTAATAAAAGCACCTTCAGTCTTCTCTAGGTGTTCGCGAGTCGCATACGCCAACCACATGTGTGCTTTGACGTTGTAGAGAAAACATTTATCCCAATCGTCGTCGAAATGCTGTTCGTCAAAGTTCATAAAGTTTGTTAGGCGTGTGTAGCCAGCGTTGGAGACTACCACGTCTAGGCGACCCATTGTGGTGATTGTTTCTTGGACGAGGGAGGTGATGGCGTCGCGGCTGCCGATGTCTGCTTTTATGGCGTGGAAACGGGGAGATTCTTGGGAAGAGACGGTGCTGGGGATGTTTTTGAGTTCTTTGAGGACATCTTCGGCGCGAGAGCTGTTGTTTGCATAGTTGATCACCNNTATGAAGAGATCAGGGATGAACAACTGGCTATGACTCCTGGCATGACATACGACTCTGAAGTCTGGTGCTAGGACACGAGCAATGGCAGCACCCAAGCCTGCTGTACCAGCGGTAATCAGAGCAACTTTCTGTGCAGCCATTGAGAGATTGGAAGCGGATTCTCAGCAAAGTTGACGTGGATTGGAGAATCAAGATGTCAAAGCAAACCTCGACGAAGGGAAGAGAGATAGGCCTAGAGTATACTTGGCCGAGGACTCTATTAAGAACTGCCGCGGGGTAGCTACTTCTGTTTACCATCTCCACAGTCCCACATTCACGGTACGCGGAAGGAATTCCGCTCATATTCCTTTCCGCCTTCATGTTACAAGATAGGCTTTTGGGCGCATCTCTACCGCACATTGACTGAGGCTCGCAGGATGAGGGTCTGAATACTCCTATGATCCCTCTTGCAAAGTCTCTTGGTGAGAGAAAAGTGGTTGTTGTTGTTGCTGTACAAGAAGAAAGATCTCTAGACCAGCCTCGAGCCGGAAAGCTCAAGCCGAGATCGGGGAAGCACATGACGTAAACGTGGTCGAAGTTTTGAGATATCGAACTCGAGCTGGTGGCGCCTCCAGTATAATCAACTCATAAAACATATACACAATGGCTTCATTCTTCAGATCAGCACCCAGAGCTCTGTCTCGTGCATCAGCATGCCAGCCACTGGCCGCTCGTGCCAGAGCTGCTCCTTTCATGTACCGTGGTCTTGCCACAACTCAGGAGCAGCCTCGCATTCGTCTTGGTTCTGTTGCCCCTGACTTCCNNAGCGCAAAGACGACTGATGTATGTTTGTCTGCTGTCTATGGCCCAGCAAGATGCTGACGAATTCAGGGCGACATCAAGTCCTTCCACGAGTGGATCGGCGATAGCTGGGCGATCCTTTTCTCCCATCCCGCCGACTACACACCCGTATGCACCACTGAGCTTGGTGCTTTCGCTAAGCTGAAGAACGAGTTCGATGCTCGTGGCGTCAAGATGATTGGACTGGTACACAATTGAAGCGCTCAGGATGCACAGTGCAGAGCTGACAGGGTGTTATAGAGCGCCAACGACCTCGGATCGCATGAGGGTTGGATCAAGGACATCAACGAGATTGCAAACACCAACCTTCAGTTCCCCATCATTGCCGACCACGATCGCAAAGTCGCCTTCTTGTACGACATGATCAATCAGGAGGATCTGGACGACGCAGCCAAGAAGAGCATTGCCTTCACGATCCGTTCCGTCTTTGTCATCGACCCTCAGAAGAAGGTCCGTCTGACAATGATGTACCCTGCCAGCACTGGCAGAAACAGCGCCGAGGTGCTCAGAGTCATCGACTCGCTCCAGACAGCCGATAAGAAGGGCATTGCTACTCCGATCAACTGGCAGGTGGGCGAAGATGTCATCGTACCTCCTTCAGTTTCGACCGAGGACGCAAAGAAGAAGTTCAACAATGTCCGCGAACTCAAGCCTTACCTTCGCTATGCTGAGATCAAGTAAATGGTTGGGTGGTTGAAATAGACAAAACCAAGATAGACGTAATGAACCAAAATTAGAAGTCTAAACGTCTTTGACATGTGTCCAGTCATGGTTCACGGCTCGCTTCCAGAAGACGGTCAGCAGCATGCGATCAACGGCTCGCAGCATCAAGATCCGTTGCTGCGTGTAAGGAAGGACGGGAGCTGTCTGATGCTCCATCTCGGCGTCCATTCGGCCGGCATTTCGTGATCAGCCTCGGCTCCCCAGATTTGTTGTCGGTCCCCTCGGGAAAGCTTGAGAAATGTTGCATCACATGTAAAGAAGAGGCCCAGCATCATCGGCGCAATCATCTGGCTAACAGGCTTTCTTCTTTCTTGCGTGGCCTTTTTCCCTCCTTGTTCCTTCTCATATCGAGAATCAAACTTGCTCAGACCCAGTCCTATCCCCAGCTGTCACCCCCGCAGCCTCTCCGCATCCGTTCACGCATCATACCATGTCGAAATCAAGTGTGCCCAGCGTCAAAGACCTGCCGTCGGCGGAAGAGCTGAAGCAGGATGCTGTTGTCGCAACGAAACAGACCTTTGCCAGCTTGCGGTCGCTAGTGTCAGGAGGTGCTGGTGGTGTATGCGCTGTCGTTGTTGGACACCCCTTCGATCTGGTCAAGGTGCGCTTGCAGACTGCTCAAGCTGGCGTCTACAGCGGTGCAATGGACGTCGTGAGGAAGACAATTGCGAAGGAGGGTCTCGTCAGGGTATGCTTTCTGTTTCGGTGTCACAATTGCACCGATCACTCACAATGCTCTAGGNGTCTGTACGCCGGTGTTTCGGCACCTTTGGTTGGAGTAACGCCAATGTGTAAGTCTAGCTATCCGATACTGCAAGATGCAATCACTGACTTCATCTCGCAGTTGNCCGTCAGCTTCTGGGTATGATTGAACCGTCTACAATAGCAGGCCTCACAGTGACTGACGCTAGACAGGNGCTACGATTTGGGCAAGAAACTCGTCAGGTCGTTCAGCACAGTACACAACGATCAATTCTCGGTCGGTCAAGTATGCGCTGCTGGCGCCTTCTCTGCCGCCCCCACTACCCTCGTTGCCGCTCNNCCCTTCGAACGTGTCAAGGTCTTGCTGCAGATCCAGGGTCAGAAGACATTGGCTCCCGGCGAGAAGCCCAAATACGCAGGAGGTGTCGATGTCGTGCGTCAACTCTATAAGGAGGGCGGTATCAGATCTGTCTTCAGAGGCAGCGCCATGACTCTCGCTAGAGATGCTCCTGGCTCAGCAGCATACTTTGCAGCCTACGAAACCGTCAAGCGCAAGCTCACACCCAAGAACGCAGACGGCACACCCGGCGAGCTCAGTCTACTTGCCGTCATGGCAGCTGGTGGTGCTGCTGGTATTGCCATGTGGATTCCCGTCTTCCCCGTCGACACCGTCAAGAGTCGCTTGCAGTCGGCAGAGGGCAACCCCACCATCGGAGGCACAATCAAGGAGCTATACAGAAGAGGAGGTTACAAGGCATTCTTCCCTGGTATTGGTCCCGCAATGGCTCGTGCTGTCCCCGCCAACGCTGCCACTTTCCTCGGAGTCGAGTTGGCCCAAAAGGCCATGTCCAAGATGTTTGACTAGAACGTATAGATCTCTCAACAAGTTCAAAATTCCTTTCCATTGACAAATATTGTCTCCTCTTCTCACCATAATCGGTACCCCATGATCATGGTTGATCTCTGAAACAGAATTTCGAGTCAGGAGCACACGGCTGGGTTGGCTTGGCGTCCGATTTCCTGGAGCGGTCCGCCTTGAACCCTTGACGATCTCTGGTGATTGCATACGACTCAACCAACACCAAAGGATTGGCTCTAGTCCCACTGCTGGCCTTGGGGATCCCACAAGTTTCACCTCTTCATATACTCGCGATATTGAGACAGACGGTGTGAGGCCTGATAGATTGGGAATGTGAAGGAAAGTATCCACAGTTTCGCGAAATTCGAACCATTAAAGTCAAGTCTCTTTTCCTCCAACTTTTTTTTGCTGTGTTTTGCATTCGTGTTTGCTTTCATATCCACATTTTCTGTTCCAACCATGTCTACAGAGACCGTTGTGCTTACGGGAGCTACTGGCTTCTGTGGTTTTGCTATCCTTCAAGAGGCTCTTCAATACGACTATAGCATCCGCATTGTGGTGCGCAGCGCCGCCAAAGCCGACATCCTCCGCAACAACCCCTGCTTCAAGTCTCTAACCAGAGGACCTCCACGATGCAGCTTTTACATCGTTCCCGACCTCAGTGTTGAGGGAGCTCTAGACGAAGCAACAGCAGGAGCAGATTACATGATCCATTCCGCCTCTCCTCTGCCCTTCACAAACCTCTCCCTCAGCCCCGAAGAACAGTACAAACAAATGGTCGAGCCCGCAATCAACAACACCATTGCCGCATTACAGTCAGCGNAAAAGTCAAACTCTGTGAAGAGAGTGGTGATTACTTCTTCCTGCGCCATTTTCATAACTCCAGAGCTTTTGGTGGGGCCTGTGGAACAGCCCGTGGTTGTTACCGAAGAGACTGTGAATGCGGAAATCGCGCCTCCGTATGCGAATGTGTTGATCTCGTATTTGGCGTCAAAGACCTCCTCATTCCTCAAGTCGAAGCAGTGGATGGCAGACCACAAGCCAAACTTTGATATCGTCAATGTGTGTCCTACATACGTGCAAGGACGCAACGAACTGGCCACTTTACCTGCAGACCTGATGAGCACCTCCAACGTCCTCTTTCTGAGAATGGCATTGGGACTAGCACCCAAAGACTCTCCTGCTGAACTTGCTTCGGTGTGTCATATCGAAGACGTGGCTACCATCCACATTGCCGCTCTCAACAAAGACAGAATCCCTGCTGGAGAATACATGTTTGGGCAGGAAGCACAGTGGAACGATGTCAACAAGATCACCAAGGAGTTGTTCCCTGAGCAGGTTGCTCAAGGCTTGTTGCCCTGCACTTCAGACATTCCCACCAAGAAAGTGATTTGCAGCAAGGAGAAGACGGAAAAGACTTTTGGTATTGAGCTCAAGCCTGTGGAAGATATGGTTGAGGACTTGATGGAGCAATACCTCGAGCTCTGTGGTCAGAAGAAGCAAGAAGATGATGACGATTGAACTGCCGTTACCACGCTAGCTTTTACAATCTCCCCATGTGCTAAAGATGGTCACAAATTCGCCATTGATCCCTTCTCCATTCCGAGTATTGGCTAGTTATAGGCTGTTTAAATGCATAGTTGCAACCCGAATATGCGACTAGCCACTGAGATAGCCTCAAATTCAATAGGGTTTTCTCTCTCTACAAAATACATTATTTCCTAAAAATATTGTGCATCTCTCTGTAGCTACACTGCGACTGTCTTTAGCACATGGGGAGGAAGGCACCAAGATCAAAATAAGCCGCACTCAGAAACTCGAGCAGTACTTCAACTACGCACAGCAACCAGCACACGATTGTGTTCTTTGTGCAATCTTGATAGACAACCACTTCTGGCTATGCTCTTTCGGAATCGTCGGTGGGATCTTGCTGCTCTCAGCGCTCATTGCGATATGGTTCCGGTTCCGCCACAATACACAAAAGGACGATGGTTCTGTCAGGGCTACACCGAGAATAGAGGCACAGGAGCCAGTACCCTGGATTTTCTTTGCTTGGACCCGAATTTCACAGAGTGTGCAATTAATAGTTTTGTCGAGATGGGAGAAGAGAGAGTGACCCTGAATTGATGGATACCCCGCCATGGTCACGTCACAGATGTCATGCTTACAAACACCCGAGTGACCTGAATCTTTCAATGCGAATAAACCTACAAACAACCCTATTTTTCTTTCCATGTCCCAGCTTTTCACCAGAAGAACGCTAATATCGCTTTCTCAAACCCTCAGTTCCAATCACCTTCGAGCAATCGCCAGAATGAGTTCCTCTTCCTCAGACGCTTCGGCCCACTTTCCCNCACCTGCACTGCGCAGCACCTTGAACGAAGTGACTTCGCTCCTACACTCTCGCAATCAAACCATCGCCATTGCCGAAACTGCAGCTGGAGGCCTACTTTCCTCATCTATCATATCCACCCCAGGTGCCTCCAAGATCTACAAGGGCGGTTTGACACTCTACACCCTGCCATCGCGAATTGCCTACGCAGGTTGGAGCGACGAAAACATCAAGGGCTACAAAGGACCTACCCCTGAGATTGTTGCTGGACTGGCGAAACATGTGCGAGGGGAACTCAAGGCAGATTATGTGATTGCCGAGTCGGGGACTGCGGGGCCTACTGGCGGTGACACGAAAAACAGGACGCCTGGGTATGTTGCGCTTGCTGTGGATTGTGAANAGGGCACATTTACTAGAGAGGTGGAGACTGGATTGGGAGGTGATAGAGTTGCGAATATGGTGCAGTTCGCAGAGGAAGGGTTGAAGTTGGTCAAGGATGTCATTAATGGAGATGCGAAGCTCTAGGTTAGGGGTGGGGTATACGTCAAGTCAGGGAGGGGGTACCCATTGGGTCAGGGGCAGGGTATCCATCGAGTCAGGGGCCCTCTCTCCTCTCACAGCTCAACCAACAGAACCATCATTCTTTTGTGCATTTCGGCGGACCCAGAACCATATCGCGATGAGCGCTGAGATCAAGAGAACACCACCGAAGATTCCAAAAACAATACCATAAACCTTGCCCACATCGCCGTCTGACTCCCCGTAGCTGCCAGCATTGGAATTGATGTCTGCCGAAGACTGGTTGCCAAACCCGGTATAAGTTGGAGGAGCACGGGATCTCCATTCCTTCATGAAGGCTTGTATGTTGACGTATGGACCAAGCATCAAACCGACTGTGTGCTAATCGGGCCAGGAGAGTGCTTGGGCGGCGCCGAAGGCCTTGCCAGGTTTGATAACAGAGTATGGCCAGTTAGGGTCGATATCGTCACGGCGAAAGTTGTGGTTCGATGAGGATTGAACTGGACTGCCAGTCACAATCTGCAGGATAGCGCCGAGAGAGACGATCAAGTAGAGTGACAGAAACATGTCTAGCTTTAGATCGTAATCAAGGAAAGGTAGATGGAAGCAATGTGAACGTTCGATGGATTGATGACTGATGCTGTAGAGATATGGTTGATGATGAAGGCGGAGTGGTTGTGTTGTCGATAAAGTTGAGGTTTGTGGTCGTATCGAACAAGGGCAAGAGCAACCTGACCTGCCGACCGAGAGCCACATCAAGTTTCGAAGCGCCCACACTCGAGCAATGCTGCTTGTTGTACTCTCAATCTGGAAAATAATATCGCGTAGCGTTGTAATCTTGTTTGCTACAGGTAGATATGATACTCTTCGAAGACGGATGGTCTCTTAACCAATACACACCTTGTGTTTAGCCCGTAGACTCGTAATGGACTCGTAGTGTTACTACGCGAGTCCGCTGCGCGACGAAATATAGACTTGTATAGCAGTACTGCAAGACCACGACGAGTCAAGATATAGACTTGTATAGTAATACCACGAGTCTACTGCGAGGTAAAGTACAAGTCTACAAATATCGATCGACTACAAAAGCTGAAAACAATCAAAACTGACCACATTAACGACTTGTATATAAGTGCCATAGAGCAAGGTGGACATACGTTCATATATACTAACTAGGCGCATATCTCATGCGGTAGGACAGTTTAAGACCTGCGGGTCGGTGTTCGAATCTTTGTTGTGACCTTTATAAAGTAGAGTGACAGAAACATGTTGAGCTCTGTATCGAATCGATGAAGATAGGAAACAATAATATCGATGGTGGAATTAATGATATCGATGGATTGATAGAGTGGTTGTTGTGTTGTCAACAAAGTTGGGGTTTGGGGTCGTATCGAACAAAAGCAAGAGTGACCTCTTGGGCTGCCAAGCAACGGGCAAGAGGCCGGCAGCTCCTTCCCAAGATGGTATAAGCTTGGCCGAGACATGCTTGATCGGCGTGGCATCCTTCGTCCTTCCCACGCGCAACATGCAGATCTGTCAAGCTCGATTGGCTCCTCCGTCGTGCCTATCTAACGGCGTGGTAGCATAAGGTAACTCCAAGGGGTTATGATAATCCGCTCTGCTCGCCGGTATCTATGTACTTTATCAGTGGAACCTTATCCGATTCCTCATACATAAGTATCGCCATGTAACCGCCTCTTCGAGGCTCTTCCTATCTCTATTCATTGTTCTTGTGTCGCCTATCTCTCTTTCAACATGTCTGATACTGAGAAGTCAGCAATTCCCTTCGATGCCGAGAAAGAACTTCCTGGGCCTCTCGCAGATGCTATTCGTAATGGAAGTGTGGACAAAACTATTCTACAACATGCTGGAGACGCAGATGAGGCCTTGAAGGCTTTCATGTCACATCCGGGAGAGGTCATTGAATTGGATGAAGCCACCAACAAGCGCCTGTTACGGAAGATTGACTGGAACCTGATGCCAGTACGCATGCCTATCCTGGAAACGAGAAAAGCACGTACTAATCTCACGCTACCCTGCAGGNTCATGTGCATTGTCTACGGGCTGAACTATCTGGACAAAACGACACTATCCTACGCTTCGGTTATGGGATTGAAGAAAGACACGGATCTACATGGACTTGACTACCAATGGCTGAGTTCGATGTAAGAGATGAGCCACACTGTCTTCACCCAGCTCGGAACTGACATATGTCAGGNNTTTTACTTTGGATATATCGCCTGGGAGTACCCGACAAACAGATTATTGCAACGACTACCACTGGGGAAATACTCGGCTTGCAACATCATTCTCTGGGGCATGACTTTGTGTACATTTGCTGCCGTCAAGAACTTTTCAGGCGGAGTCGCTGTCCGTTTCATGCTTGGAGGTATGTGGCGGGTGTGTTGGAACGACCACTGAACCCGAAGCTGATTATTTCCAGTTACTGAAGCTGCTGTAACACCTGGATTTGCACTGCTAACATCTCAGGTATGTCTAGATGTCATTGCGCTCGCCATAATCAAGATACTGACTATGACTTAGTGGTACACCAAGAAAGAGCAAGGTTCTCGCACGAGTATCTGGTTCTCCTTCAACGGATTCGCACAAATCTTCGGTGGTCTAGTAGCTTATGGTATCGCANAAGGAACACGTCTTCACGGCTCTAGCATCGAGCCCTGGAAAATCATCTTTNTGGTTACTGGATGCTTGACCGTCTGCGTCGGCTTCATCTTCCTTTGGGTCATACCTGACAGTCAACTCAACGCACGTTTCCTCAGCAAGGAAGATCGAGTCCTGGCTATCGAGCGTGTCAGATGCAATCAGCAAGGTATCGGCAACAAGCATTTCAAAATGTACCAGCTCAAAGAGGCACTACTGGATCCCCTGACTTGGGCATTCTTCTTCTACGCTCTAGTTGCTGATATTCCCAACGGTATGCAACATAGTCTCCACATACAGCATACATGATCGCTAATTGGCAAAATTANNGGCGGCATTTCAAACTTTNTCTCACAACTCATCACATCCTTCGGCTATTCCGCAGAAGAATCCCTCCTGTATGGAACCNCCGGTGGCGCCGTCGAAGTAATTGCCCTTCTGGTTTGCGGCTACCTCGGCGACAAATTCGGCAACCGTCTCTTGATCTCCACTTCCGGCCTCTGGATTTCTACTTTGGGGATGCTGTTGATCGTCTGTTTGCCTCTACACAACAATATTGGCCGTCTGTTTGGATATTACCTCACCCAAGCCTCGCCAACACCTTTTGTTGCCCTGCTCAGTCTCATCTCCACCAATGTCGCCGGATGGACANAANAGACTACCGTGGCTGCTTTATACCTGATCGGGTACTGCGCAGGCAACATCATCGGCCCTCAAACCTTCCGTCCTAAAGATGCGCCCAGATATGTTCCTGCAGAGATTGTGATTGTAAGCCCTCCTTCTGACCTTCCTCATCCACAAACCACATTCACTAACTCTCGATCTGATAGANTTGTTTGCTGGATCCTGTGTATTGCAGATATCGTCTTCATCTACTGGTACTGCAGACGCCAAAACACCAAGAGAGCAGCCATCCGCGCTTCTTCCTCCTACGTCAAACTAGAAAACCAAGAATGGCTGGACCTCACAGATCGCGAGAACCCCGAGTTTGTGTATACTTTGTAAGGGCTTTTGGATACAGAGATAGAATGTTCTTTTGGTCGTTTTGAGATCATCATGATAATGAGATATGGTTTATATTGAACAAGCTTTGAGAAAGCTGGGTACGCGTCAGTCTTTGGTTACATATGTTAGACGTGGATGGAAATATGTGACAGTTGCATCATCTTCGCTTCTGGATCTTCAAAACAGAAATTGAATGAGCAGAAAAACATATTAGCACGTACCCAAGACAAATCTCATCACAATAATCTCTTGGAAAGACACAAACCAAGATCAGCAAGAATCAGCAAGAGGCACTCAAGAAGCTCACATAAAAACTTTTCCATTGATAGAACAATTTTATCACAGAAGTCTCGAGTAGCAAAGATGAAAAAGGCATTTGGGTATAAAAGGTGAAAAAGAAACGCAAGTATTCGCTACAGAAGAAGAAGAGCTCATTAAAAGGGATAGCATCAAGTCTGCAAGAAGTATCCAGAGCGAAAAGAAGAGTGGAGAATGAAAAAGGGCAGAAAAAGGCAAGTCATCAGTGTCACTCTTGATGAGTAAACACCTCAGCCGGTAGAAAGAAAATTAGAAAGGGCAAGTCATCAGCAGCACCCTCGAAGAAAGCAACCACCGAAGTCAAGAAAAGAGGAAAGAAAAATGAAAAAATGTATGCAAAGAGATAAGGAAATGACGATGCGTCAGTTCATGAATGATCGTATCATGATGTGTAAAGTTGTCGACCTTGTTCAAGGGAGCTTATCGCTCGAGCGAGGACGGAAGATGATCTCTTCTTCGTCGCTGCTGTCGTCGTCCTCATCACCTTTCAAGGCGATGAGCTTGTCAAAGGTAACGCCGTCCAGGCTAACGCTGTCAGTATCGTCCGAATGCTTTTCCTATTCAGCAGTGGTGCGACTGCGTTCATCCTCTTCGAGAACGTCCGAAAGACGAGTAGGGTGATGGTGTCTGCTCTGCAAGGCTTCCCAGTCACTGCCATAGCCTGCACCCTCGTAGTCAGCAGGCTCGGCGTCACGGTAGCCGGCAGATTCGACATCGTCGGCAGTGGATGTGGCGAAAGATGCCATAGCCTCAGCGCTGCTAGTGGGAGCACGAGGGATTTGAGAAGGAGGCATGCCCACACCATAGCGAGTGGCAAGCTCACGCTCCCGGGCGACGTCAGCAGCGGTGTCGTATTCTTCGGAAGAAACGATGCTGGTGGTTTGACCGGCGCCACGGTTAGGGTTGCGGTAAACTACAGGGCGGCCCTGAGCGTCACGGCGGACAGCGCCGTTCTCGTCAATTTCATACTCGGTGCCCTCGGTGGTGTCAGACTCGTACGAAGGACGCGAGCCCAGATCGTGGGTGCCTTGGACAGCCNNCTCAGCAACAGGGGTCTTGGAACGTGCAGCACCACTTCCAGGCGAAGAGTGGAGGTACACCTTACCAGGAGGCTGTTGGTAGAAGAGTTCCGGTTGGTCACTAAGGGTACCTGCGGTGGCGGCCTGGCTAGGCTGGATGACAGGGCGGGTGGTAGTGACGTTAGGGGAAAGAGGCGAGATTTCTTGAGGAGACATGTCACGGCGCTGTTGGTGAGGCGAGATGGCAGTACGGGCAGTGGAAGTTGAAGCAGGAGTGCTGCCGGAAGGGTAAGGCTGACGCGCGTCGGACTCGAGCTGCTGCATATCAGGCTCGTGGTGGAGTTGCTGACCAGCCATGGCAGATTCAGTGAATGGATCAGTGTTGGTAGGCGAAGGCTCATCCTGATACTGAACATCCGGGACGATAGGCTGGTACTGCTGTTGAACGTGGTGTGTCTGTTGGGGCTGTTGCGATCTTGTCTGGTGGTACTGAGGGCTTTGGCCAGTATTAGGACGACGCTCAGTGTCCTGAGCGCTGGCAGCGTGCATAGGAACGACTTGAATACCTCCAATGTTGGTGGGGACGCCATGACGAAGGTTGGTCATCATCTCCGAGTTTTTGGCTTCCATGTCACCAAGACCCTCCCAAGCACGTCTAGCTTCGGCTTTGGCGATGAGCAATTCTCTGCGGTCCTCACTCGCGCGATTCTTCTCGAAGAGAACCTCTTTGTGCATCTTCTCGATGGTACGTTCTGCTTGCTCTTTGAGCTCGCGTTCAGCATTGACTTGACCCACCAAATCAGCACGGAGTTCCTGCCATCTCTCCTGCTCAGCCCTCATCTCGAAGAACCATCTCTTAAATTTACGCTCAGAGCTGGCACGAAGGCGTTGCAGTTCAACCAATCCATGAAANAGGTTCGCACCAGCAGCTGAGAGATCTTGAATTTGGCGTTGCATAGAGGCAGCAGACGGAATGGTATGGCGGGTTTCCTCGAAGTTGCCTTCGATCTTACGAAGCCAATACGATGTGAGTCCTTCCCAATGCGATGACAAATTCTCCCATCTCTCGAATGCATGTGGGAATGTTGAGTGGGTGCCTGGCTGAGGTACGTCTTCTGAACCAAAGTCTTGGGACTGAGTGGTCTGGGGAGGGTCAGGAGCCGAAGACACACGTGGTTGCGAGGTGGTTTGAGTCCGTCTGTGGCCAGGAACAGACTGAGCCTTGGAACCTTGCTGTGCTGATTGCGATTGGGATCGTTGCCTGGTAGGAACTTCACCTCGAGCATCTTCTGACATGCGCGCCGATGATGGCGTGGGGTCGGGTCCGGCCATGGATTCCATGGCAGCAGCGGCAGCTCTTCTGCGCTCAGGGTCTGACGATCTCTGCTCGCCTTCTCTCTGACGAGTAGCTTCTGCGTGTCTTCTAGCCTCTCTAGCAAGACGATCTGCCATTATGTTGCGGGGCGTGCGTATCGAGGGTGTGGACCGGGCACCACCCTGGGTGTTGTCGCCCATAAGATCTGACATCTGTTCCTGCTCTTCTTCCAGGACAGGTGTGAAGGGGTACGGTGTTCGAATGGCTTCTTCGACTGCGTAGAGAATCGCAAAGTGTTGACGACGAGAGATGCGAAGGGCTGGATGGGGTTCGAGGTCTTGAAGATCTGTCGAGGTCGAATGTTGTTGCGCGCTTCGTGGTTCGTAAGGGTTTGCGTTCGCGCTTCTGAATGAAGGAGAACTGCGCCTGTTCGCACGGGATTGATAGTCGTTTGGATCGTTTGCTCGTGGTTCTCGGCGTGGCCTTGGCCCAGTACGATCCGAGGATGTTGACGTCCGGGACGACGAAGCACTGAAGCTGCTCTGGTCTTGTGCTTGTCGCTGCTGTCTTTGCGACAATACCAATGGGTCGTGAGAGTCGTGAGGATCGTCAAAAGAACTGCGCCGTTGATGCGACAGTTTGAAGGCTGGTAGTGGATCCAGAGCCGCTACTTTGACCGTTGCCGCTCAATTCCTTTGGCTGAAGCCTAAACTTCTTGTTTCGCAAGCCACCGGCTTGTACAAGTACTGGTACGGATGCTGTATTGACGTTAGACTGCCTCTATTGCGATACTTTGTATGTATGACGACTTGGTGCAAAGACATGAAAGAAGGTTTGGGCAGGAAAAAGCGGGCCAGCAATTGCAGAACATAGGAACTGGCCGGGAACATGACTTGTGGCCCCGGACAGCGCTTTGTCAAACAGGGATAATAATTATTACTCGAGAGGCTGGGTATGAGCAGCAGACTTGGTAAATCCAAGTGGCAGGAAACATGCATGGCTGGGAAGCAGAGCACGGTCATAGCCGCAGAAGAGACAAACGCACCTTGAAGCCTTGATATATTTAGAAGGTGTCGAGCTTATGCCGGTAGTTCCTGCTGTCAGTCACACAGTCCAATTGTTATTGCGACGAACGAGGCCAGCTGATCTGCTGTTGTCCGATGTCGATTGAAGCCCAAGAAGGTGCGACCTGGAAGCGTTTCAGAAGCGGATTCGAAGACCGGCTTTGAGAAAAGCGATGATGCTGAGGCTGGAACAGATCTGAATCGGAACAAGAAAACCTGACTCATCAAACCCCGGCTCATGGTCCTTTAACTATTCACAGATTCCAACGACCAGATCTCAGAAGGATATGTGGACTTGTGGCACCTCAGCAGGCGTGTAGCACTGTGGATGGCCGAGACTGGGAGCACAGTGTGGAGCTTGTTCAATTCGCTCAACAAGTGCGAGGGCTCATGAGTCTGCGTCGACACATGTATCGATATACCCGGACCCTATCGATTGGTAAAGACAAGTTGATAGAGGATCTGCTTTGGGCTTCAAGATGGAGCAAGAACCTGGTCGTTGCCAGCGCATCTCGCTATGCTTCTTCGGCTTGGCCCGTGGCCAGGCAAGTTTCGACATTCGCCAGGGCTCGCCCAAGCTTGCTTCCGGCATGACCGGGATGGCGACTTGGGCGACATGGTTTGAAGAAATGACCTGCAAACAATCAGGACTGATGCTGTTCTCAAAGAGAAACAAGCTAAAGTGTGGGAGGAGAGAGAAATGTTCTGCTCCAACGGACGCCAACATGAGCAGCTCCGATTCTGGTTTCACTTGCTGGCCAATCGTCAGAGTATGGCAAGTATAACCGAAAGTTCTCGCTCGCCAAAGCTTGCCTGGAAACACAGGTCCTGTTCTTTTATCATCCTCACATTTATGAACAACAGCATGGCCCACCTCCATACAAGTCTTGGGTGTGGCCTGAGAGAACTCCCTTCTCTGAAGTCTGGGTAACATATCATGTTTAGGGAAAGGATCGCTTCGAGACCTATACCACTATTGAGATTTGGATACTGTGTATTAAGGCCATCAGCAGGTAAAGGGATGTCCCACAGCACCCGAAGCATAGGCTTCGATCAATGATTTGATGATCGCATAAAGTCCTCCAACACAAATAAACCCTCCGAATACCAGAGTACTGAAGCAGAGCAAGAACATCGGCCACTGCTTTCTTACAGACCTCCAGCCATCACCAAGATGATGCGTATCGTGCCACCAGAATGCTCCGGCAAGTCCGTAAGTATACCACGAGGCGAAAGCAGATGCGACTATACCACCCAGATATGAGAAAAACNNTGTTGTTTCCGTCAGCATGATGTGGCAGAACGAAGAAAGATACCATACCGGGACGCCAGTTGCCAATACGAAACCACAAGCATTCGCAATTGCAAGCAGCAATATCCAGACACTCCATCCTAGCATCGTATTCTCCGTCAAATGCCTGCTTCCTCGAAACATCCTCACAAACACAATCTTAGCAGCAAAGTGGTTGTACAAAGCTCCTGCAACCAATATATTGGGCAAGAACAATCCCCAGGCCGCTTTCGCCCAAACCTCTGACAGACTAAGAAATGAAGGGCTTTGTACCGTGGAGCCAAGGTATACGTACGATACAACGGCGAAGATAACATACCATGTCGTGCTGAAGATTTGAAGTGCCCAGGCTGCTTTTTTGGAGTCGCTTGGAACTTTCATCTCAGATATGATGGTAAAGAATAGGAAATGTCCGGCATATGCGAGAACTAAAGTCAGTGGTCAGCAGTTGCCTTTTCCCCTTTCTGTCTAGGACATTTTACCTGGATTGGTGATAGCTAAAAATGCTGTGTAGAATGAGTTCGGAGCTGTAGCAACCACCACACGGTTAGGTGTCGGTTCCACACCACTACCTATCATAGCCACCAACGTTGCAACCAATACTGAGATGCAGGCAGCCACAGAGAAGCCCTGCAAACCAGCTCCAAAAGTCCTCGGCACAGAAACAAGAAAGGTGATGCAAGTCCAGATACCCAGATAAGACATGGCACACATACCCCCTTGACTCAAAGTCTGCAAAGCCAGCTGCCCAAGCAAACACATACTACCCACCCCNGTAATCGCAAAGAGAATCGTCCCTGCACTCAAGACCTCCCTTCCCACCTTCCCCAACCCAAAAGGCGAAAACAAGATAAACCCAGCATCACCCATGTTATGAATCTCTGGATGATTGAGTTTAAAGTCAATCAGCAGAAACGACGTAAACAAAGCCCAGATACCGCAGAAAATGATGATTATAGTGCCGGGAACAAGACCAACGACGGCGATTGCTTGGGGTAGCGTTAAAGTGCCTCCAGTAACGATTTCGGTGATCATGATTACGGCGGCTGCTGGCCAGGACAGTGTTCGATATTGGATTGCATGGTTCTTGTCGTCGGTAAAGACTTCTCGGTCGTCATAGCTGTCGGTGGCAGTGAGGTCTGCAGCCATCTCTGGTGTTTTGGAAGTAGCCATTGTCATGATCACAGCAAAGTTGGATGATATTTGCAGACAAAAAGGAAACAAGAAACATTCGTATCAGCTTTGAAAACTTGAAAGGAAAGACTGAAGATAAGTAGTTTCAGGAACGGTGCTGCGGGGATGGAAGTGATTGGATCATACTAGGCAGGACAAATCGAAATGCCTGATAACACACTGCAGGCATCGAGGTGCAGGACAAGACTTGGCGTGGCAGATCTCGGTATACAGCTCGCTTGAAGCTGTCGCTGACTGCATAAGGCTTGCATTGGGGCATGCCAGCCGTTCGTGCTGGATTAGCGTTCTTATCGCACTTCGTTTCAACTGCGAGGTTTCATGCAGGCTCTAGGTGTGGTTAGGCTAAAAGATATCTTAGACCATGTCTGAACATTGCATACACTAGATCCGTATTCAAGCTACGAAAGCTCTGGAGTGTTTGTTAAGAATGGACCATACAAACAGTCTGTCAGATCAACAAATTGGTTGATTGAAGTTCCTATGACATCTAACGTGAGGGACAGAGGATAACTGTATTGTTCGACGCCATATGGAATGAGAATTCCATGCGCAGTATAGACATGATATCGTAACATGAATAACATGGTGGATATCGCCAGACGTCGAGCTGCAAGCTGCGGAAGATGCGATGACATGCCAGCTCACATAAACCTCAGAAAGACCCTTACACGTGTAGGTCAAAAAAAGGAGGTCTTGTTTGCAGCTCCACAGAGGGGGAGACATTGTAGGAGCATGTTGCTCCATAGGGCAAGTCAGAACTGGCGTCCCAGGGGCATAGGGAATTTGTGTATGTGGCATGATCATGACTTGGACGCATCTTCTGAAGCCTCCTGGTTGGCTTGCTTGAGAGCATCCAGGCGCTGCTTGTTCCTCTTNTGCAATATCCTCAAGGTGTTCTTCTTCTCAATTTCGGCCATTTTGTCCCAGTTGGTGATTCTAGAGATGGTGCCGTCCTTGTTGACAACCATAGGGCCAAGGTGATCAAGAGCTACGCCTTCGCCAGATCCGACATCCAGTTGGATACCGCCAGCAGGTGGCTCGGGCAAGCCCAAAGGTGTGTCTCTCTTGTCCTGTTGCTCGTTCGATTGGGCGTTGGGGTCTGCCATGTTGTCGTTCGAGGTGGTAGATGTGTATGGCTGCGAGGAGGAAAGTTTGAAGGCAGATCGGTTCAATTCAGCTAGGCTGGTCAGTCGGGCGCGTGGGAAGTATCTGAAGAGCTGCATCGCAACAAAGATGACAGCGAAGCAGGGCAACACCCACGTTAAGAACGTGCGACGGTTCATTGATGTACCGTTCATGACATGCTGACTTTATGGAATTAAATCGAAGCTCGTGCCAAGAATACCATCACTCTCGGCTGAAGCTGCCATGCCCCAGCTGAAGCTTCCATGAGCACTTATCGACATCAGTCCTTCTCCTTTTTTTTCTACTCCTATTGTCTTTTCACTCTTCGATATCAACATCGCTAGATATCTATCTCTATTGCACGCGGTCGTGAAGAAATCGAAGAGTCCAGCAGCAGTATACTGATCCATCATGTCCTTCTTCTCAAGGTTCAGCACGCCTGTGTTCAAGAACACCGGATCGACCGCTCGCGATCATCTGGCCTCGGAGAGAACCTATCTAGCATGGATGCGTACCGGCCTTGGTTTCCTGGCTCTTGGGATTGGTGTGGAAAGATTCAACCAACTCGACCTGGCCGAGATCCTACCAACCAAGTCCAAAGAACGTTTCCACGATGATAAGACTCACAACGACAAGTCAGACGCCCTCGTGGGTGCTCTACTCGGTAGTGGAGCTGGAAGCATTGCATACGGAACTACTAGATACTTTTCGAACATGCGATTGTTGGAACAGGGGCTGTTCAAACCTGCTTTCCATGGGGCTGCATTTTTGGCCGTAGGTGTTGCTGGAATTGCTGGTGCGGTTTATTGGTCCACGGTCAGAGAGAGGATGGCCAACACTCGTTCTAGCCGTGCTTGAATGTCTGAGTTGGATGGGTGTGAGTGAATCCAAGACATTGGGTTCGTGTTGCCTCCTCTTTGAGAGCGTGCTTAGAAACACGACATCAGTTCGTGGCCGCGCAGTTTTTCTTTCCTCTCTTTCCATAAGCAATACCTTCTGCAGCAAGTCTTTCTCTGCGTTTCGTGGCCATGGAGCCATATTCGCCACGACCCGACATGTTCGAACACCCTGAAGTCGTCATGGCAATACCCAGCACACCCNCCAACTTCTCAAAAGATCGCAAGCGCCGTCCAAGCACTGGTTTCAGAAGAAAGCGCCGCTCTAGACATCTGAAAGACGTCGTGTTTTGGGAACTTACGGACCGTGTCCACTACCCTCGTTCCCCTGGTACCGGTCACACAATCATCGAGCCAGTGCCTTTCCCTTACGTGCCCCCGACCAAACAACCAGGCAATGAAGACGATCAGACTGGAGCCATGAATCTGGACGGCACACACGACCCTGAGGACTCTTCAGACGAAGACAACGACGAAGATGCCAGAGAACGCCGCAATCAAAACGGCTATCCCGTCACCTCGTCACCAACCTTTAAANAGAATGCCCGCACCTTCGAAGATCAAGCAAATGATACAGAACTTGCCCATCACCTCGATGCCCTCGATCTCGACGCCGACACACGCGAGCCATATCATCTGAGCGCCAAACACCTCGACAGAAAAGAGAGAATCAGGAATTCCAGAACGGTCCGCGGCTTCAAGTTTCCTCAGCCTCGTTATGACCGCATACAGAAGGGCAAGGATCTGAACATGTATCAACTATCGAAGTGGGTTGGTCAGAATGCAGAGAGGAAGAAAGTGGCTACCAAGCTCTTGCACGACAGATGTGAAGAAAGGACTGAAGGACTACATGACCCATTCGCAAGCTCCTAAAAGGTCACAACGAGGTTACGCGACTCTCAAGCCAAGATCAGTCTGCCTTTCCCTAATTTGACGTGTATGCCAAAAGCGTGAAAAGGCCACTTGCTTCCAGGGCCCCAAGTGTTGGATTTCCTTTTTGAGCACGACAACCATTTCAAAGAGGTCTGGTCCTTCCTCGTTGCTTCATTGGAGGTCGAAAAGTCGAGTCCAGGTTCATCATGTTCGCTTCATCTTTGCGAACCAAGACTCGGATCGGAGAAGCTACGACTGGGCACAGATGCTCGTCGCTTCAATCGCTTTCCTGACCTCTACGCCCTCTTTTTCTTTTGCCCACAAACGCTTTTCTTTGGAGTTGTGGCTCTACGACACGTACTGCTCTTGATGACTCGTTTACCCGAGAGTTGCGACGGCCTCGACATGGACTTTGGAGGCCAGGCTACAAAGAAGTTGCACAAACTGGAGTTTGCATGAGACCAAGAAGACGAAAGGAGGGGACGTGTTTACAATGGAAATGCTCTCGACAAACAGAGGTTAGATGCTGTAATAGCGAATATTAGAAACGAACTACTTCCTTCTCGAGCTCCCTGCTAGACACACCTTGACTCGTAATCCTTATCTTGCATCTTAGAACATAGGTGGGAAGCCGCGGTCGCACAACCCAAAGTTGAGATATATCGTTCTTTCATTCAATCGTCGTCAAGATCTAGCTCATCTAACAGGTCTCTGTACTCATCTAATAACCCATGATTTTGATCCCAAGCCCACCCAGGGTATGTTCTTTCCAAGAAAATTATGGAACAGTGAAACAATGTAATACGTAAAAAAAGAATGCAAACAAAAAAAAATCGAAAATGCGAAAAGGGCTTTGCTAACCCATCCAAGCCCAGAATTTCTGCCAAGCACCCACAGGCTCGGCCTCTTCAAAGTGCATCTCTTCGATTTCTTTACGTCCGGTATCCAGATCTGCTTCCACTGGCTTGACGAATGGTTGACGGTACACGAGCTTGTGGCCAGCATACAGCACCGCGAACAAGATCAACGAAACGTAAGCAACGAAGAAATCAGAAGTGTTCCAAGGCATAAAGGCAGTGAATCCCTGAGTCAGGATGATGAGGATGTTGAANAAGACGCCGTACCAACTGAAGAAGGGCTGCCACATTGCTTTGTAGGGGAGGGTGTCGCGGGAGACGCCGCGAGCGGCGAGGGCGCGCATGAATGCCAGGTGCGAGATGTTGATGCAGGTCCAGGTGATGAAGCCGGCGACACCGGTGATGTTGACCAGCCAGTTGAACACTTGGCCGCCAGAGTTGGACTCGTTCATGAAGCCGAGGAGACCAAAGGCGGCAGTGAAGGCAACGGCGTAGTAGGGGACGCCACGGGCAGTGGTGCGGCCCAGCCACTTTGGTGCTTGGCCCTGCTCGGACAAACCGACAAGGATACGAGAACCAGAGTAAACGTTTGAGTTTGCGGCGCTGAGGACGACACAGAGGAGGACTGCGTTGATGAGGCCGGGAAGCACCTTGACACCAGCAAGGTTTGCGGCAATGACGAAGGGAGAAGACGATGCGTCAGTGTGGTCGGAGACGAGGCTCTCGTTGTCGTAAGGAACGAGAAGGCCAATGAAGAAGATGGTCAGGACGAAGAAGAAGACAATGCGGTAGAAAGTCTTCTTGATGGCGGCAGGGACAGTCTTGCGAGGGTTGCTAGTCTCACCAGCGGCGATACCGACAAGCTCAGTTCCTTGGTAGGAGAAACCGGCCTGAATCAGAACAGCCCAGAAACCGACAAACTTGGCGACGGCGTCGTTGTCCTTGACAATGTAAGCAGCGAAAGCTCCAGGGTTCTTCCACGTGTCGAAACCCAAATATCCGTGTTGTCCAGCTCCTGCATCAATGCAAATGGCAAAAATCATGAATCCAATGACCGTCAGGACCTTGATTGAAGCAAAGTAGAACTCGATTTCGCCGTAAAAGGACACGGGAAGGAAGTTGACAAGAGTAATGACGGCCCAGAATACACCGATGAAAATACCAATGTTAAGATCTGCGTTCCAGTACTGGATGATCAGACCGCTGGCAGTCAATTCCAGAGCGTATGTGATGGCCCATGAGAACCAGTAGATCCAACCCATGGCGAATCCGAGACTGGGGTCGACGAATCGGGATGCGTATGCTGTGAAGGCGCCAGAGACGGGCAGGAAGGTGGCCATCTCACCCAGAGCGACCATGACACTGTACACGAGTGTACCGACAAAGGCGTATGCGATCAATGCGCCGGCAGGTCCAGCATTTGCGAGTGCGCCTCCAGAACCGATGAAAAGACCTGTACCGATTGTTCCACCTNNACGAGGCGTCATTTGTCAGAAAACGTTGTGTGGCAGCGCAAGAGAATGGCGCATACCGATGGCAATCATCTGCAGATGACGCGACTGCAGTCTACGCTTGAGCTGGACAGTAGTTCCAGGAACTGGCGAACCCTCGACATCATCGTGGTTAATTGAGCTAGGACTCGACGAGTAGACACCGTCTTGCACAGGCTTGGAGCCAATGCTAGCCTCCTTCTTCTCCGAAGAGAACATGACGGCAATATGTGAAAGGAGAGTGGTTCAAATAATGGTATAGGCAGTGGCGCACGTGTCCAACAACCTAATCGAACCCTGTGAAGCAACAGGCGGGGTATGAAATGGTAAAAGGTCTGAGGTAGAGAATGTCGGATTTGAGCTGCCCTGGGTTGGATATATGTACGTAAGAAAGTGGTCACGGTCGTCGGTCGTTGACGCGCTAGAGCAAAAATTTGGTTATGAAAACGAAAAAAATGGTCGGTTCCGAATGGTCGCGCCCTGTATGGGTCCCAGCTCGCTGTCACCAGTAAACCGTCTTGTCCGAGCCCCATACCAAATCGTATTGGCCCAGGAAGTGACGTTTCTGTGCTCGGCGATTGACATTTCTCGGTGCGTATCCATACTCAAGATGGTCAGCATCTCTTCACAACTGAGCTGGTGATTCTTGCTGCTTCGTGACCCTCGATGGACGTCAAAGCAAGCTGCAAGGGCTTCAAGCCTCTGCCGAAACAAGGTTCCCTACGGGCGGACGCTGCCGACAGCCATCCTGCATTTCTCGTCCCAACCCTTCTTTTGTCGCCACATGCGTAGGGCGTAGCAAGCCTGGACTGGATCATCCTTCACATTTTCTGCTTCCTGCGAGAGATAACTGAGCAAAACAAATCCCGTCGTAAATCTTCGGTGTCATTTTGATCCTTCGAAGGAGTTTGAACGTCGGCAACTCCTACCCTTCTCGAATGTTTTCTTCCACAATGAGAAACCCGCTCAGGCGCGATGTAATAATGACTCGTTATGCTGCTGCATGATCCCCAGATCTTCTGCATCAATTGCAACATTCATGCAGCAAGAACGAGACCCTCCGGCTGTCGAGTCATCATTCAAGGTTCTACGCGAACGAGAGAGTCATCTGATGTCAGCCCGAGCTTGCACATCACTCCCAAAACCCGCACAATTGGCAATTGAATTGTCAAACGACTTTCCATCGTTATCAGTGACATCCTCTGCACCACAAATAACACTTGCTATGCTTCGCTTCGAGAGGGAAATAAAAGCTATACGATGAGTTATTTCCCTCTTTTCAAGGTTGTTGGTTCCTCGTTGCGGAACGCCTTCCGTCTAGCGTTCGATGCAGCTAAACTCACCGGAAAATTTCGAACACGAAGGAGCAAGTGGGCACGCGACACTATTGTTCCTTCCACCAAAGCCAGATCAAGTTGATCCTGGCGCTTCAGGCTGTCTCTTCTGGTTGTACTGCGATGTGGTCCGATTGAAGCGTGGAATTTCAGTTCTTTCACACCATGTGGTGGTATCGCCATCGATCTATGTTTGCGCGATGCATGGATCCAATTATTGCACCACAGGATAACAGTCACCGAACCTACTACAGGTAAGCACTGGTTCGGTCCACCACTTCTTGAAGGCCAAGCTTGCACGTCGTGAAGTTGCATAACCGCAGAACGCTTCTGCAGTTCTGATGTAGTGTTGCTGTCAGTGGCACTTACTCCGAACGACAAGACTCTTGAGGAAACGATGTGTCGATCTTGAGTTACACCCCTTGCTGTGTCACGGACGGCAAGTAATCGACAAAGCATTCACGATGCCAATTCACGAGTGAGAAACCTCTCAAGCCCGAGAACCCAGGAAGAGCTTGGAAAGTGTTTCGCGCAAACTTGAGATGACCTTGAGGTCTATAGTATATGCCCTGTTTCGACAAGACCGACTACTGTTTGGCTTTGACTTGAATTGCAATTGTCCATCCATTTTTGTAATCATCGTAATCTCAGAAGTCTCCTGGCTACGAGAAAAGTATATACACAAAAATCTTGCTCAATTGACGAACAGACTTCAAAGCTTCTCTGCAAACAACATTGCTCACACCAGCACATAGAGAGCATTTTAAAAGCACCTCGAGGCTACAAAATAACACAGCATACCTTCCCTTCAGCTACTGTTCTTCACTCCCTCGCACGACCATCATTCAAACCCATCCAAAATGTACATGAATCAAAACAAATTCATCGACGTTCCCAACCTCCGCATCCCAGCCTCCCAAAAAATAGCAGCAAGACTCTCTGCCCAAACCCCAAACAACAACAACAAAAAGTCCAAAGTCGAACACCGAAGCAAATACACCAGCATCGCTAATTCTGCAATAAAGACCAGTGACGAGGACGCTCCAGAAGTCGCTTCGGCATCTAATGCCCGGTGCACGCCTTTGAAACCTAGTGGTGCGGTGGTTACGGGTTGTGTGTATGTGTCTTGTGCACTGTTGTTTGCACTGTGCATACTTGCGGGGTTTCAAGCGTACTTTNTGTCGAAAGTGGCGGGGATTGATGGGGATGTTCTGAGAATTACCAAGACGGAGACATCGACCGTGACGAGGACGGAGTGGATGGCTTCAAAGACAGAGACGACTACGAAGGTTGTTTCTGTGATTGCGTCGGCGACTGGAAGTGGTGCAGCCGCAGAGACGAGTGTTACACTTCAACCTGGTCAAACATCGAGTGTGATCGAAATACAGGAAAGAGGTGGAAAGAGTGGTGTGAAGACGGCTGCATTCACAGCTTGAGTTTCATCGAATCTGGACAATCTCATAAGAAACCCCCTGTTCAATATCAAGAAAACAACACTTCTTCTTTTGCCTCGTGATTCTAGATTCCGAAAGTCGCAAACGTATGTCAAGCTAGATATAGCCACTTGCTCCTTCTAAAGATGAACATCCGAAGGCACCGTGTTCGGGACCTGCAAGAATGTCTCTCGACTCTGGTGACTCGTTTGGCCAACCGACTCCACATCACTCCCAGAAACACCCCATTCATGGTCTACATCTGCAACCAGAAGCCTCCGCATCTCCCGTAGCTCAATGTCTCCATCGTCTTGCTGTTCATCACAAGGAGTCCAATCCACAGCATTGCTGGGTTCAGAAGGGCGGAGATCTGTATTTTGCTCTTCCAGCGAATGTCGTGTGATGATGGTTATCGTTTGGCAACAAAGCTCTTCCAGAGTTCGCTGGTAATGTGGTGGGTGGTGAAAGCGATAAATTGATGTTGATGTGTTAGTTACAGATGTCAACTGATCAGCCTTGCTAGGTACTACTCGAGAAATTAGTGCGATGCTTCGCTCCTTCCCAGCATTCGGGGCTGTTGAAATGCCTGCTCAGCCATGCATCTGCGTCGATACACAAGTACTGCAGCAATCCCGAGTGCACAGAGACAGCAATCTGGAAGGCACTCAATGCCCATCGGACAAAAGAAACTCGGTATCAAGATCTCTCGTATAGATACAGTACTCTTACGCCGGTCCTCTACTTTCCTGGAGATCGATATCGTGCTCTTCACTTGCACCTCCTCTGCCCTCATAAAGAAGCCCTCGTTCTTCACCTTCATCGCCTTCCCTGAGCACACCAGCACCGATACCTCTGACCCTCATATGTGCGTCCTCATCCTCTCTGGCACCAGCAACTCTCCCTCCACTCTCGTCTCCTCCATTCACAACAAACCAGACGTCCTTTTTGGTAAGCAAACCCTTCAGCACACCTCTATCGCAGAACCCTAGGTAGCGCAGACCCAAGCGTTGGAAGTAGTTGACACACAACTCCAGTCCAATTGCAGAGTTGAGAGTGATGGGAGTTTGATCCATCCAAGGGCGCAGATCGAGTATATGTTCGATATCGGCAAGGGGTTGGTGAGAGAAGAAACATTGAGTATGTGGTGGCAAGTTTCTAGCTTTGACTGCAGAAGACAATGCAAAGGACAACTCTGTCCTTGAGATATAACCAAGTAAGATCGCGTCGTGAGAATTCGATATCACTGGGAAGCCCCTGTAGGAGTGTTCTCGGAGTAGATTGCCTAGAGTTTCGATGGTGCTGCCTTCAGCGGTAATGGTGACAAGGTCTTCCAATCTCGTCATGATTTGCGAGACTGGTATGTCGGGGATTGGTCTATCGTCGCGGTTGTCGAGGAAGGGGTATTCATTGAATGCGATCCAGGCTTCGTAGATACCTCGTTTGCCCAGTGCGTCGCCGACCCATTTCGCGATCATCACCGCGATCATGATAGGGAGGACATAGGTAAGAGCACCCGTCAGTTCGAACATGATGACCACAATAGAGACAGTCATTCTGGTTGCACCCGCTAGAGCAGAAGCTGCGCCGACGATAGCATAAGTTCCTGGAGTGATGCACGGAACGTCGGGCTCGCAAGAAGCAAAAACGATCCACTTAGGATGTTCGCGTTGCCAGACCTCGACGATGAGACCAATGACGCGTCCATAAAGAGCACCAATGGTCATGGATGGCAGTAGGATACCTGCAGGGATTTGAAGACCAAAAGTCAATGATGTGAAGAAGAAGCCAATTACGGCGGAGATGAGCAACAGGAAGATGACACCGGTGTTAGCAATTCCGCTCTTGCACAGACCAAGAGGATCAGACTGAATATCCTTGCATTCTGCAAANAGATAGTAGACCAGCTCAGAAGCTTGAGCGCGCAGGAAGGTCACAGGGAAGGCGATGACAGAAGTGGCGATGGTGATAACGCAGACCTCTAGTAAAGGTCGACCCTTGAGCGGGTAGCGGGGTGAGTCGCGAAGTGCTGCTAGACGCATGTTGAGCTTGATTAGCAATCCACCATAAAGACCGCCGAGAAGACCAATTATGGCGTAAGCGACCATCTCGAAGCCATGCCAGCCAGTATGGTAGGTCACAGAGTAGGGCACAGTCTTGCCTGTACGAAAAGGATCGACAGCCTTGAGGGTGAAGGCGGCAATCATGGCGCAGACGAACGACTGCCACATGGTCTTGTCGGGAAAGTAGTAAGAAAGAGACTCGAGACTGAATAGCACGCCACCAACAGGTGCACCGAAAGCGACTGAGATTCCAGAGGCAGACGCAGCAGACAAAACCTCTCTTTTACGAGCTNNATGACATGTTAGTAAACTGTGTGGGCATATAACCATAATTGACTTACCCTCATTGCCGTTGATGCTTTCAAAAGGCTTCATGAACAGGTTGGCGCAACAGCAAGCGACATGGACCAGGGGGCCTTCCTTGCCAAGCCATAAACCAGAAGCTACCGCAAGACACTAAGAGATGTCAGCAGAGTAGGATGAAGGCGGATTTAGCAAACTTACCAGGCCGACAGACTTGGTCACCAAGGTCCAGATGCCCATGAAGCGACGGATCACGAAGCCTCCGAGGACAGTCTTGATCTCGGGTATACCACTTTGCTTGGCATATGTTGAGAATCTGGTCACAAGATATGTAGCGGTGGACGCAAACAAGACCNNTGAAGGTATTGTTAGGTTCTAACCTCTCTTTGATCAAATGACGGCACATACCGAATAAGCAAGGTACAAGACAAAGTTGATGATCCAGCTACCAGCACTGGAAGAGACACCCATTCCTTGACTCCACAACTGCCAGTCTGGACATGTCTCGTAGTCTTTCTGGCCCCAGCAACAAAAGCCTTTATTGAGATAGAACTTTCCTCCATCTTTGACATTACTGCAATAACCAGCCTTGAGGTCGCCTAACCAGCCACTCGTAATGTCGATAGCAGCAGCGATGGTACCGACAGCAATTCCAGTAGCGACCAAGATGATCCATGTCTGACTGCTATCGGCTAGTAGCTGGAAGTTTCCTAGCAACCCGACAGCATTGGATCGCAATACTCTCAGGCGCTGTCTTTCTTTTGCATACTCGAAAATCCAGTCAATGGCAGTCAAGTTGTCGTAGCCAACGCGACGGCCTGGACCCCCAACGTACCAGTCGAGTGCTGAGGGATCCTTTGCATCTTGTGCGACGGCGGGAGTGTTGAGGTAAGAGAGAATGTTGGCAGTGGTGGGCTGGACGGGCGAACGTGAGCTCACACGGCGTTGTTGTAGATTGGAAGCATCATGGTCATATGCAGGCGATGGACTCCGACTGGTCGACAATGGTGAAGGTAGATAGGCAGCAGACGAGGTTCGAAAGTTGGACTTGGACGACGTGTGGGCATTCACGTCACCATCAGGGTCGTCGTTGAGTGGAGACTCGAGGTATGGCGATTCGTAGGGATTGCGACTGGACTCGGCCTCGACAGCATGATTGCTGTGAGAATTGGAAGAGGATGCTGACATGAGGCATGCGATGCAGCCTGCTACCTGATCAAGCTGTCATGTTGATGTTCGACAACGGTTGTCGCATTGCTTGCCATGCTTCCTTCTCCCTGCCGCTTGCGCCCCGCTGTTTCAAAGCCATCCATGAACATTTGTATCGAGCTTAGCCAATACTTCATTCTTCATGCACAATCGTTTACTGCCAAGCCGAGTACTAGAGTGTATCTCATCTGTCTCTATGCTCTATAGTCTCATGCTATTCGAAGATCTATGCAGGAAGTGTTTGTTTATAGTTAAAATATTGATGCTTGTGGCATTGAACTGGGTAGAAGTTTTGGAGATTGTCCGCTGTGAACTCTTTTTCCGCATTATGCTCACCACACTCCAAGTCTCGAGCCTGATACTAAGCTGCTGGGATGATCTGATGCATATTCTTACATTCATCAGCTTATACTTCCAATAAAAGTCTCATAGAAGCGTGCTTTAACATATGTGAGCCAGATTTCGATGGTTAATGTGGTGACCCTGGTCAAAGACAAGTTTGACGAATCGAAATGTCTTTGCGATACAACCATATTTCCGAGTCCTCGCAGCTTGTCAAGTCGAAACATGAACCAAGCTTGTTTGACAGTGCGTATAGATTGAGAAAGTCTTGAATGTGGTAGAAGTTTTTGTACACCATAAGTTTGCCCCAATATAAGTACATAAACGCCGTCACATGTATGCCATGTTCGTCTGAGTGAGAAAGGAAAGGAAGAATGGGAGAGTCTACTCCATGACAACAACAGCACCGAGGGCCTTGAGTGTCTCGACAATCTTCTCACCCTCCTCCTTGGGAACACCCTCCTTCATGAGCTTGGGTGCGCTCTCAACGAACTTCTTGCTGTCAACCAGGGAAAGACCCAACAGACTCTTGATCTCCTTGATGACCTTAGGCTTGGCTCCAGCGTCGAATGACTGGAGCTTGAGGTTGAAGAGAGACTTTTCTTGTGCGGCGGGTGCGGCCTCCTCCTCTTCAGCAGCAGCAGGGGCAGCGGCGGGGGCAGCAGCGGCAGCGAAACCACCAACAGGCAGGTCGGGAATGTTGAGGCGAGTCTGAGAGGATGCATTAGTATCTAGTCCGGCAAGCACATGGAGCGGCGCATTTTCTACTGACCTTGAGCGAAGAAACAAGGTCGGCAGTCTCGAGAAGGGTCAATTGACCGATCTGATCAACAATGGCAGCGATCTTGGGGTTGCTGGGAGCGGCAGCAGCGGCCTCGGTGGATTGCCATCTCCTTGAGAAGAGCTGCTTGGTCTGGGTGGATGAGACAGAGGCGCGGACGACGGGCGACTGGGCGGTGGCGCATCGCCTGAGGACACGTTGGCAGGAGAGCGACATGATGGCGGTATGTGGAGAGAGAAGGAGGTGGATCGACGAGCTCGAGGCGGAAGGTGCGACTGCGATATACAAGACTCGTGACTGCCTTTGATCTTGTGCTTCAAAGTGTTCCTTCCTCAGATTTCCCACAGCCGCGGCCCGTGCGCTCCATTTGCGGCGAAGGCAAGAACCTCCGAAGCTTTGGTTTCTTTGAACATTTCCCAATCAAGAACTTTTTTTCTTGACAATTTATTTTCTCGACAAGAGCTCTTCATTTCTTGTCGCCAGAATGGACGTGTCATGGGAAACTCATAATCTGGCCTCACGCATCTCACAATTACCGCCAGAGCTTGCTGGAGCGTTACAACAAGGCGACGGCGCACACTTTCTTGCTCAACTTAGCAGAGCTGCTCTCGACAGACGATACACGGATACCATTCTGATTCACGCCGAATCCTTGATCCCACACTGTTGCGCTGAATTCCACGCCTCTTCCGACTACGTCTCGGTCGTCGCCGCATACGCTCGCATCGTCTCCCTTGCTCCTCACATTTCCGAATACGCCGAACGCTACCTTAGTACGCATAATGTCGATAGCCTTTCCGACTCAAATCTTTTCACACCCGAATACTTCTTTGCCTTGATCCGCCTGTTGCGATTCGATCGCCAAACCTTTGCCAAGTTTGTGCCATTCTCACGGATACACCAATTGCTCGACCACAATGCTCGTGCACTACGTTATCTTGCCATTCGTGTACTATGTCTGTATTTGAGCGCTGCAGATGCTGCTCTACAAGACATGACCAACAAATACCTCGCAAACGATGCTGGGTCCCAGGAATTGGTTGCACCATTAGGATCATGGGAGGGCAAGGAGATTGACTACCGCCTTCTCACCTTGTGGGAGGAACGTCGGCTTAAGAACTTAGAGAAAGAGAGGGAAGCTCTACAACAGGAACGTGCTAGTTACATGGACGCTGGAAATGCTCCTAGACAGCCCGTTGTTTTGCCAGCCGAACTCTTCCATTATTCGACAGCATGCATCTCGGGTGTCTTGCTACCTCGTGGTGCTGCTCCTACAGACTCGTCAACAAACTCGATAGTCGATACCCCAACCACGGCCGCGAATCTGCGTGAGCTAGCCGCCTCACTGAAGGCTCCTAACCCAGTACTTTTGACAGGTCTTGCTGGTTCTGGAAAGACACTTCTTGTGCGTCATGCTGCACGCCAGCTCAACAAACTCAAGTCGATGGTAACACTGCATTTGAACGAGCAGAGTGATGCCAAACTGCTCATTGGAATGTACACGACCGGCAAGAATCCTGGATCGTTCGTTTGGCAGGCTGGTGTTCTGACAACTGCTGTACTGGAGGGTCGCTGGGTGTTCATCGAGGATTTGGACCGCGCGCCGAACGATATCATCAGCACTTTGTTGCCCCTGATTGAGAGAAACGAACTTGTGATCCCCAGCAGAGGCCAAACAATACACGCCGCTAGAGGTTTCCGCATCATCGCTACCATGCGTACGTCTCTATCGAACAGTGGGCACGAGACTAAGCCAGCCTATAATCTGCTGGGTGCTCGCCACTGGAAGTTGGTGCACGTCAACATGCTACCATCGGATGAGTTGGNNAAGCAAGTAGTGGTTGGCCTCTTCCCTACACTCCACGAGTTTTCCTCACAGTTTGTCACGGTTTTCCAGAATCTGCAGTTGCTCAAGCAACAGGCACACCTCGCAAGTCGCAGCAGGACTGGTCTGATGCGTGAGGTCAATCCCAGGGATCTGCTCAAATGGTGTGCTAGAGTGGCGCTTATGCTTGGAGACAGGCCTAACATGACTGCCGGTGAGCTTGATCAAATCTTCTTAGATGCGGTTGATTGTTTTGCCGGTGCGTTGCCTGAAGGTGCGGCTTATACGGCTCTTACTTCTTGCATTGCTGAGAATCTGCAAATCGATCCCCAACGCTGTCAGCATCTGCTTGGCGAGAGAACCATCATCCACAAGGAAGAACCCTCACGAGTCACGATTGGTCGTTCAGTCTTTCCTCGTCAACAGCGGAAAGGACTCGCTGGTCCCACCGGCAAGCGCGCCTTCTCAACCAATGCACACACTCTCCGTCTACTTGACCGTGTTGCTGTAGCTGTTTCTCAGAAAGAGCCTCTGCTCTTGGTTGGAGAGACGGGTACTGGTAAAACCACCAGTGTGCAACACCTTGCAGACCAGCTTGGCAAGAAGCTGGTTCCTTTTAACTTATCTCAGCAGAGTGAAAGTGGCGATCTTCTTGGTGGCTTCAAGCCTGTCAATGCTCGCTCCATCATCGTACCCTTGAAAGAGGAGTTCGATGATTTGTTCTCTGCCAGTTTCTCGTACAAGCGAAATGCTCAGTTCATTGACATGCTTAACAAGTGCATGGGTAAGCAGCAGTGGGTTCGTGTGTGCAAACTATGGAACACAGCTCTTGGTATGGTAGAACAGCAGAGAGTTGCCGCTCTGCAAGCTAGTAACAGATCACCTTCTAGAAACGCTGAAAACCCGGCCAAGAAGCGCAAGGTCGAGCCAGTCATGAGCACTGTGCTGAGTGAAAGATGGGACAAGTTCGCTTTGGAAGTCAAGAGCCTGGAGAATCGTCTCGCTGCTGGTCAGGAGTCATTCGCCTTTGCCTTTGTTGAAGGAAACATCGTTAAAGCCGTCAGAAATGGCGACTGGGTTCTTCTTGACGAAATCAACCTTGCTTCACCAGACACCTTGGAAGCACTGGCTGACCTATTTGATGTCAGCTCACCCTCTCTTATGCTAAGTGAAGCTGGTAGCGTTGAGGTCATCAAAGCCCATCCTCAACTCCGTGTCTTTGCCGCAATGAATCCCGCGACCGATGTGGGCAAGAAAGATTTGCCTCTTGGTATTCGTTCAAGATTCACTGAGCTTTACGTGGAGAGTCCGGACCGCGATTACCAAAGTTTGCGCAACATTGTTCAAGCTTATCTTGGCCAGGAAGCAATCTTGGACAAATCTATTGCCTCAGATGTGGCTAAGCTGCACCAAGCGACGCAAAATCTGAACGAAGAGAACTTGCTCGTTGATGGCGCTGGACAGAAGCCGCATTTCAGTTTGAGAACACTGACACGTGCTTTGATCTATGCAAAGGATGTTTCGCCGCTATGTTCAATTCGCAGGGCAGTTGCAGAGGGTATCCAGATGAGTTTCTTGACCTTGCTCGATAAAGAGTCTGAAGCCCGTCTGTTGCCCCTTATCCACCAGCATATGTTCGGTAAACTTGCCAATGCTGCAGCCGAGCTCAAGAAGCCCTTCCGCCAACCTCAAGATGGACACACCTATGTCAAGGATGGAGCTTACTGGCTCAGACAAGGCAACTTCACCGTGCAAGACCAGCCACACTACATTATCACACCTTTCATCCGCCGCAACCTCGACAACCTTATCCGTGCTTCCTTCACTCGCCGCTTCCCCGTCTTGATTCAAGGTCCCACCTCGGCCGGAAAGACCAGTATGATCGAGTATTTGGCTAACAAGTCTGGAAACAAGTTCGTCAGAATCAACAACCATGAGCACACTGACTTGCAAGAGTATCTTGGTACATACGTTTCTGGCTCCGATGGTCGTCTGCAATTCCAGGAGGGTGTCTTGGTAAAGGCTCTGAGAGAAGGTCACTGGATCGTGCTTGATGAGCTGAATTTGGCACCTACTGATGTCTTGGAGGCACTGAACAGACTGCTTGATGATAACAGAGAATTGCTCATTCCCGAGACTCAGGAGACTGTGCGTCCCCATGAGAATTTCATGCTTTTCGCCACGCAGAACCCTGCGGGATTGTACGGTGGTCGCAAAGTCCTCTCTCGTGCTTTCCGAAACCGTTTCCTCGAACTGCACTTCGATGATATCCCGGTCGAGGAGTTGCATACCATTCTCCAGCGTCGTACACAGATCCCCGATACATGGTGTAAGCGTATCGTTAGTGTCTACAGAGAGCTTTCGGTTTTGCGCCAGGAGAATCGTTTGTTCGAGCAGAAGTCTTTCGCAACTCTTCGTGATCTCTTCCGTTGGGCACTGAGAAAAGCAGACACCATCGAAGAACTCGCTGTGAATGGATTTTTACTTCTGGCTGAAAGAGTTCGTAAGCCTGAGGAGCGTGATGCCGTAAAGAAGGTCATCGAAAAAGTCCTTGGTCAGAAGGGTCCCAAGGTATCGATTGACACCAGTGCTCTTTACGGTGTCCAGTCTCCGCTGCTGCAGTCGTACCTTACCCAGGCTGGCTCCAAGGGTGTCGTCTGGACAAACGCCATGCGCAGACTTTATGTTTTGGTTGCAACCGCTCTCCAGAATGACGAGCCAGTCTTATTGGTTGGTGAGACAGGTTGTGGTAAAACAACTGTTGTCCAAATGCTCGCCGATGCGATCCAAAAGGAATTGCACATCGTCAACGCACATCAGAACACAGAAACTGGTGATCTGATCGGTGCTCAGCGACCTCTGAGAAACAGAGCGGCGATCGAGCAACAGATCCGCGAGATGCTTGTGTCGCTCCCTCATGCAGAGATACAGGCAGCTGTACCTACGTCTAGCCTTGACGATCTGCTCGTCATCTATGACCAGGTTAAGGCCAATGTTGACATGAGCGATCCTTACACAGCCCAGATTTACCAAGCCATCGATCAAAACCGTCCCCGACTGAAGGCACTATTCGAGTGGGTCGACGGGTCTCTGGTACATGCAATGAAGACAGGACAATACTTCTTGCTTGATGAAATCTCGCTCGCAGACGATTCGGTACTCGAGCGCCTGAACAGCGTGCTTGAACCGTCCAGGGAGATGCTTCTTGCAGAGAAGGGATCGCTTGACTCGTTCGTCAAAGCAAAACCTGGGTTCCAGTTCTTCGCTACTATGAATCCTGGTGGTGACTATGGCAAGAGAGAATTGTCACCAGCTCTGCGCAATCGTTTCACTGAAATCTGGGTACCTGCTCTATCCGACATCGAGGACGTTCTGCAGATTATCCGTTCCAAGCTCAAGGACCACGCAGCACCTCATGCAAATGTGCTTGTCGAATTCGCCCAATGGTTCAACCAGCGATACAACACTTCTGCTGCATCGTCAATATCCATTCGTGACACACTTGCTTGGGTGGAGTTCGTGAATCGACAGCCTCACCGCGATCCTGTCTTCTCCATCATTCACGGTGCTGCTATGGTCTACATCGACACTCTCGGCGCCAATCCTGCAGCACTTCTTGCGATCAACCCAGGCACTGTCAACTATGAAAGATCCCAATGTCTTGATGAGCTGAGCAAGCTCATCAAAGCTGATGCACATGCAGTGTACAATTCGCCAATTCACGTCGAGGTCACAGACGAGGCCTTGGAGCTTGGAGCTTTCTCCATCCCGGTCATCACCAAGGGGAATGAGCCAGGCTTTACCTTCCTGGCACCAACAACCAGATCGAACGCCATGCGTGTCATTCGCGCCCTACAGCTTACCAAGCCTGTTCTCCTTGAAGGTAACCCTGGTGTTGGAAAGACCACTCTGGTCACTGCCTTGGCACAAGCGATTGGCATGCCTTTGACGCGTATCAACTTGTCAGAGCAGACCGACCTGATGGATCTCTTCGGGTCAGATGTTCCTGTCGAAGGAGCCGAAGCTGGTACATTCGCTTGGCGTGATGCACCATTCCTGCGAGCCATGAAGAATGGCGAGTGGGTGTTGCTTGATGAGATGAACCTTGCCTCTCAGTCAGTACTTGAAGGTCTGAATGCCTGTCTTGATCACAGAGGTGAAGTTTACATTTCTGAGCTGGATCAAACCTTCCGTCGTCATCCAGACTTCAGACTGTTCGCCGCCCAGAACCCCCATCACCAAGGTGGCGGTCGCAAAGGCCTGCCAGCCTCGTTTGTCAATCGATTCACTGTCGTGTACGCGGACGTTTTCAGTCCTAAGGATCTTGTTCTTATCTGTCAGAAGTCATTCGCCAGCTACGATGCAGACAAGATCGCTCCGATTGTGTCCTTCATCGACCAGTTGGACATCGAGACTCAGCGCAGAAAGATTGGTTCCCTTGGTGGACCTTGGGAGTTCAACTTGCGTGACACGCTGCGTTGGCTGAACTTGATTACTGCCGATCATGGGTTGTTGAAGGGAGGTGAGGTAGACGACTTCTTCTCTACCATCATCTCACAGCGTTTCCGTACTCATATGGATAGAGCTTTGGTAATTCAACTCTTCCAGAGCATTCTGCCTGACGCTCCTATCACCCACAGCATGTTCCACAACATCGGACCGAAGCATTTCCAGGTTGGCTTGGGAATGCTCCCAAGAAACGCTCACCTAGCGAGAGTAGGTGCCGACCAGCAGTTCTTCGACTTTAAGCCCCACCTTCAAGTCTTGGAGTCTGTCATGGTCGCTGTGCAAAAAAGATGGCCTGTCCTGCTTGTTGGACCCTCTGGGTCAGGCAAGACTGCCATCCTGGAAAAGCTCGCAGCAGTCCTTGGCGTCGATATGGTTACCTTCTCTATGAACGCAGACGTTGACTCGATGGATTTGGTTGGTGGTTATGAGCAATCTGAACCCCAGCGCGCTATCCACAGTTTCCTAGAAAAGCTTCGCACTTTCGCTGCACTGCAGACTGTGCGTTGTTTGACCCTTGATGCCAATAGGTCTGCCCTCGAGGCATTGCATCGTCTTCGCCAGTTGGCATCTAAGGCTGACACCAGTCTCATCACCACTGGGCGTAACGAGGTAACCCTCGAGATTGCCCATCTGCTCCAGAACTTCATATCGGTAGCTCAGTCATCTGGACCTCTCTCCTCAAACACTTTTATGATTGACGTTCCCGAAGCTGAATCCCTGCTTGAGCAGGTCAACGTTCTGATCTCGAAGCCAACTGCCATCAGTCGAGCTCAGTTCGAGTGGATGGACGGTATGCTTGTTCAGGCACTGGAACGTGGTGAGTGGCTGGTGTTGGACAATGCCAACCTTTGCAGTCCTGCCGTCTTGGACAGGCTAAACTCTCTGCTTGAGCCTAATGGCACACTCATCATAAACGAGAACACCGATGCTTCCGGCCAAGCTCGCGTTATCGTGCCTCACCCCAATTTCAGGATCTTCTTCACCATGGATCCTAGGTATGGCGAGCTGTCCAGAGCATTGCGCAACAGAGCTGTTGAGCTTTTCCTTCTGTCGCCTGCTGCAAGCTCTGAACATTCATCAAGCTTGGAGTTTTCGTCGGAGTCCAGTCTCCACAGACTTCGCAACACAGAAGTCCTTGAAAACGTGGATCCTGAAAGTGCATTGACGCCTCATATCACACGAACTGTTATGGAAAGTCTGTCCTACCACGACACTGTCATACTCCCTCAGTTCATGGATGGCTTGGAAGCTGGGCTCTATCAAATCCCAAGCAATGTGCTTAACAGCAGCAGAAACGTCCAGTTCAGATACAAAACTCTGCACTCCTCTCGGGATGCCAACATGCCTGAGGTCGCAGAATCTGCTGTCCAGCCATTCCACCCCCTCAACAATGTCGCGCTTGCTCGTTGCAACTCTGCAGCGACAGGGTGGGCTGCTGCTCTTTACGAGCTGGAGTGGGACATCCGCTCTATGCAGATTGCACTTGAGGGCGTCGGAAACCGTGATGTGCCTAAGCGCGAGCAGACACGACTCCAGCGATCTGCTGTTGGCCAAGGACCTAAACAAAAGCACTTCACAAGCAATGTGTTTGCTCTTCTTGGTGGTGCTGTCGATGTATGGTCAAGGTTCCTTGATGTCGCTATCTCTGCAGAACAGCAAGGTCAGCTTGTTGAACAATATCCTGTGGACACATTCAAACCATGGAGAAGATATTGGTGGGAATTCTTCAACCTCGTAGACTCTGTCGATGTGGAAGAAGCAGTGTTCAAGGCATACATCGAGATTGGTATACGCTTGGAGCAAACTCATGGCATTGAGTTCGCCGCTCGCTTTGCTTCGGAGAGCACTCAAGCTGGCGAACGTTTCAGCTCTTACTTTGTCCTGCCTCTGGATCGAGCTTTCTCGCCAGACAACAAGGGCGCTTCGATGACTGCTCTGTGGACAGTCATGAGACCAAAGACTGCACGCACATTCCAGCAACTCCAAGACATTATCGGACTGGAAGCAATGGCAGACAGATTTGACATTTTTGCTAGAAGACTTGACGCCCCTCTTGATCAGCTCCTTCCGTTGCAGCAAGCATTTGGCAAGGCTTTGGCTGTTGTCTTGAATGGCTCTGACGAAGCACCTGCTCTCATCGCTAGTCTCAAGGAAGCCATGTCTGCATTCAGCACCGAAGAGACAGAGATTGCGCACGTATTGCCGCACTTCAAAGAACAGTTCGAAAGTATTGCTCAGACATTCGATCTTCTGTATGGCAAGGATATGTCTCAATACCCTCAGTCAGGTGTCTTTGGCGCGTTCGCCGGAAGAACGTTCACCGAACAGTTGCAAGCACAACTGCAGCGCGTCAACTTCCTCGCTTACAGACCTACAAAGTTCATCTCTGCTCAACAAGGCGAGATTTTCGAGCCGCTGGGCAAGCACGTGGGTTATTACAGTGATGGCCAAAAGCCGCTGGCTTTGGAGACGAACCTTCATCAACATGTCCTCACTGGCCTTGACCAGATTGATGAAGTGCCTCTCAGCAAACTAGACTTGCTCAGAACCGAGGCTCAGATTATGAGCCAGATCATCACTAGCAACACTCACGACCTGGAGTCCAACTACATCCACCTCTTGGACGGCCACCTTGCGGTCCTAACAGACATCCTTCTGCGCTCCTTGCGCGAGGTCTCTCGTGCAAAGGACATCAGACAAGCTGACTGGCAGCCCTGGATCGATTGGGCCTCCGAGTCTTTCCGCTCAGGCAAAGTTAGTGCTGCCCCTTCAATGGCGTCAGCACAGGATGCTGCTAGTATCTGCAAGCATTATCTTGATCCTCTGGTGGCTTACCTAGTTGATGCCTCTGCCGTATGTTCCACTGATCCAGCTGTCTCTGCTAGAGCTTGGTTAAGATTCGCCCTCGGATGCATGTCGTTGTACATCACGAGCAAGCCTTCAGATCCTGCGCTACGCCCTATGCTCGACAGACAGATCTTCCGCAAGACGTTTGCCGATCTGCAAACCAAGTTGGCAGCCTTGCAGAGATTCGCCGATACGACTGGACTCTACTCCTCACTCCGCACAGCCTTGGTCCAGCAGGACATTACTGATCTTGGCCAAGAGCCTAGTGTTCAGGACATCGCCAGACCGTCCGTATCGGAGATCACTAAATTGCAAGGTGAATTTAATGCTCTGCAAAGAGCACTGGCCCNNCCTCTCTACAATGCTTCCGAAGATATGCTCGTAGGCTTTGCANAAGATGCCGTGTTGCGTCAAAACGTGAGACAAGTCAAGGCTCGTCTCAGCGACGGTTATCGTGCCTACGCCGATATCACCGGGCCCGTCATGGGCTTCTTGCACTGTCTTGAAGTTGGTTTTGCCCTTGCAAACCTTGTGCCCGAGGACAATATGAAGATGGAGAACACGGTGGACATCAAGCACTTTTCACCCCTCACTGGTGCACTGCCCAACTACGTACAGAAGGCTACTGCTATCACTGCTGTCATGGAGACACCGCATCACAACAACGTCAAAATGCATGCCTTGTCTTCTTTCGCTACCATGAGCCGCATCATGCCAGAGACTCAGCTCTCCACCTGGGATGCTGTATTCGACATCTTCGACTCAATGTATCAACAGTGGCACATCGAGCTGCAGAACAACCAGCAGCAGAACGCCGCGGCCCACAGTCTTTACACTCACCGTGGGGATGAGGAAGCCGAAGAAGAGGCAGATCAAGCCGAATTAGCAGAGCTCTTCCCCGAGTATGATACCGAGGAAGGTGTCGAGACTCAGAACAAGTCAGCTGCACCCCAGAAGATGCAGGCTCTGGCTCCAGGTCTTGCCACTGTGCTCGCTGAAATCTACAAGAAGGGTGAAGCTAACGAGGATGATCTGCTTGCCTTGGTCAAGAAGTCAGCATCGCTGCTTGGCAAACAGTCTTACGAACAGACCATCGAGAGTGTCGACGGCTCAAGTGGTGTTCTTACTCCCTTGCTTGTGCTTATTCTGCAAGAAAAGACACAGATGTTGAATGGTTCTGGTTTCAAGAAGAATTTGTACAACATATACACCGAAGTCAACCTCGCTGAAGCCGATAAGCTCATTGCCCTGGTCAGAAAGATCCAAACTAGATTTAGAGAGATTCAGCAAGTGTGGCCTGAACACGCTACTCTCGGTGATGTCTTGCGAGTGTGTGACGAACTTCTTGAGTTTGCTCACACTGATCCCGTCGCAAAGATCATGACGAAGGTCGAGAAGCTACACTCTTACGTTCATGAATGGCAGCTCGTTGCCAGCAGAGAGTACAGTGCGGCTGCGCTATACGACAGCATCACAGGTCTTATCGTCAGCTGGAGACAACTAGAGCTGTCGACTTGGTCAAGACTGCTTGATATGGAAACTCTGAAGTGCAACGAAGACGCCAAGAGCTGGTTCTACATCGCTTACGAGAACATTGTCGTCGTGCCCTTGTCGATCGGTGAAACCGAGATTGAGATGAAGAACCATGTTACTGAGCTAATCAAAACATTGTATGGCTTCTTCACGTCTACTGGCCTTGGTCAATTTAGTGCTCGTCTGAAGATGTTGGGCAATTTCCGCGAGTACATCAAGACACGCGCAACAATCTTCCCTTCTTTCAGCATCGCACACACTGCTCTGGCTAACTTCATCTCCTACATGGCACGCTACGAGCCTCTGGTTCAGCAAGCTCTTGATACCGGTAGACAAAAGCTGGAGAAGGACATGAAGACCATCATTCAACTTGCCAGCTGGAAGGACACGAACATTGACGCTTTGAGACAGAGCGCTAAGGCCTCTCACCGCAAGCTTTTCAGAGTTGTCCGAAAGTTCAGAGTTCTCCTTGCACAACCCGCCCAAAGCATTGTCTCAGCCGGCTTGCCTGATATTGCCTTCTCGGAGACACCCACGGCTGCTGGTCTTCGTAAGACTGAAGTCCCTGTTGACCCCAAAGCATCGGCTGTGTGCACTGAGGTTGTGCCCAAGTGGAACGAACGACCTGCTCGTTTCAAGAATACTGCTACTACCTTGACAGTCATGCAGTCCAAGGGCGCTATCAAATCCGAGCACATTGACTGCGCTTCTGAGATCAACACCTGGCTCTCCGATACTGAGTCGATCGCCGTCCAGCTTCGCAAAGCCACGCCAGCTACTCTGACAGAGGAAAACACTGAGACCGTCAAGCATCTCAAGAATCGCAAGCGTAAACTCTTCGCCGATGTACTCAAGGAGCTCAGAAACATGGGCTTCAAGAGTAACATGACAGGTGATGTACTGGCTAGGCAAGACTCTTTACAAGCTGTGTTAGCTGCCATCCCTGTCATGGACAAGGATCTTGCGGAGAACTATCTGCATCGTTTGCTGTATCTCATGCCTCTAGTCAGAGAGGCTGCCAGAGAGCACTCAGACGACTTGACCGGTGCTGAGATTGCAAGATCTGTGGCACTTTGCGAGAGTATGCTGCAGGTGATCATTCAACAGAGGAACGTCCTCGGATCTGCTACCGAAGGTCAGAAGACTCTGCAAACTTTGCTCAACCAGGCTGAGAGTCTTTGGGGTAACGGCAAGCTTGAGACGAGTGGCAAGAAGAAGCAGAGCTACGATGTTGTCACTGCTATGGCCTGCTTGCCTGTAATGATCAAATCTGCTGCACGCATTGTTGCTTCTCAAGCTGAGCTTGGTAAGCTTGACTGCGGCAATGTTGTTAAGACATTAGGACAATGGGCTGCCAAGTTCGAGAATCTCAAGACGCAATGGCAGAGCCTTGCTGCACTGCCTGCTGGACTCACTAGTGACTATCACACCAAGGTTATCGAGGAGAGCAAGGTTGCTATGCAAGAGCTGCACACTGAGCTCACTGCCTGCATCGAACAGCACCCTTACCTTGGAGCGACTCTTCGACAGCTTCAGCTCTGGGCGACCGCCAATGACGGCGCCTCGAAGTCAAAGAAAATCTCGAGAAAGACTACTATCAAGATCGACGAGTTCGGAAATGCAGCTTGTGACTTCGTCGACTCTATTCTTGGTTCTGTCCAAGATCTTGAGAAGCCACTCAGTCAACTTCCTGTATCTGCGGAAGATCCTAACTGGCTTCTGCACGAGAGCCAGAACCTGTCTCTTGCTGTCAAGACTCTTCGCCTTCCTTACGTTACGGACCGCATGCAAGAGCTTATGATGCAGGTACCACAGCTGGATTCCAATCTCGACGTTGCTGCTGCCGTTGTTCACTCTTTCATTCCGTTCATCGCTCAGTACAACAATCTTGCGATATACCTCTCTTCACGCCTCGAAAATCTTCATGCAGCTCTCAGTCAAATGTCTTTCCGCCTTGCCAAGATCTTCGTCCAACTGTCCAAGGAGGGCTTCTGCACGCCTCCTGAAAAGTCGAATGATCAGAACAAGGGCGACGACAAACTCGAAGGCGGAACTGGTCTAGGCTCTGGAGAAGGCGCTGAAGATATCTCAAAGGACATCGAGGACGACGAGGACCTTGGTGAGCTTGCACAGGAAAAGGACGACCGTGACGACAAAGACGAGATCGAAGACGAGAAAGATGCCGTTGATATGGGCGATCAAGAGATGGAAGGTCAAATGGGCGATGCTGAAGAGAAGGATGACGAAGAAGGAAGTGACAAGGAAGATGAAGGTGAAGATGAGATGGAAGATGAAGTCGGCGATGTCGATGACCTTGGCCCTTCTACCGTTGATGAGAAGATGTGGGATGATGGTGGTAAAGACGAAGACAACAAGGATAAGGAGGGTGAAAACAATGCTGGCACCGAGGACCAGAATGAGATGACTGCCGCCGATGGAGAAGAGAAGGAAGAGAAGGAGAAGAAGGAGAACGACGATGATGCTGAGGAAGAGGAGGATGAAGGCGAGCAGCAAGGTGCTGATGAGACTGAGAATGGTCCTCCCGAAGAAACTGAAAAGACCGACCCTCACTTGCAGGAGCAGGACAACCTTGATCTTCCTGATGACATCGACATGGACGGCAAATCCGAAGATGGCGATGAGTCAGGCATGGAAGACATGGGTGACATTGATCCCATGGACGAAGACCTGCCTCAGCCCGAAGGCGAGCAAGAAGGCGAAGTCGAGGACCCAAGCAAGGAAGAAGACGTCTCGCCTGGAGACGAGATACCCGCTGATCTTGATGCTCAACAAGACGAAGCCGACGAGAACGCCGACGAGGATGGCCAAGACAAGACCAATGAAGCTGGCGAAGACGCTGAGAAGCCTGAAGAGGAAGAGGCAGCTGAAGAGGATCAAGACATGCTCCAAGACAACCGCAAGGATGACACCAATGCTGCTGATGAGATTGCACCCAGCGAAGCCCGAGGTGCTGGTCTCGACGATCAGCAACCTCAAGACGACAATAAGGACAATGACGCAGGTGCTGCTCAACGTGAANTCTGGCGAGCAAGGCGCCCAGCAGGAGCAACAACAGCAAGCAGGTGCCGAGGTGAACGCGGCGTTGCCGAGAACTCTGCCGCCGCCGCAAACGAGGAGAAGACAGAAGACAAGCAAGAATCTCTCCCGTACAAGAAGATCGGTGATGCACTCGAGAAGTGGTACAAACAGCAGAAGCAGATCCAAGATGCTCAAGCCGACAAGGAGGAGCGCAAAGAACAACCTCCTGCTGATGTCGATATGGACGATGCTGAGTTCGAGCATTTGCAGAACGAAGCCGAAGAGTCTGATGCTCAGGCTCTTGGTGCCGCCAATGAGGATCAAGCCAAGGCGATCGACGAAGAGGCTGGTGTCTCGACCAATGACAAGGAGCAGAGAGATGATTTCATGCCTGAAGATGAAGAAGAGGGTGAAGCTTATCGTCCTGACGAAGATGTCGAGATGGGTGACCGCGAGGAGGAAGACGATAAGCAAAACCCAGAAGGCGGCGCTGACAACATTCCTAACGCCTTTGTTGGTGAAGCTCAATCCCGCGAGGACGCTCTTGATCAGGAGGGCCTCGAAGCTCAAGAAGATAACGATGACTCAATCGAGGAAGTCGACCATCAACTCGAGTCTGCCCATATCTCCTCCATGGCTGATCTACCGACTTTGTCTCTTGACGACGCTAGGGCATTGTACAATACCCACGAGTCCTCAACTCGCAATCTCTCGCTACTTCTCGCTGAGCACCTTCGTCTCTTGCTCACACCAACGCACGCCACAAAGATGCGCGGTGACTACCGCACTGGTAAGCGTCTGAACATCAAGCGTATAATTCCCTACATCGCCTCCTCTTACCGCCGCGACAAGATCTGGATGCGTCGCTCTGTGCCATCGAAGCGCCAATACCAGATCATGCTCGCCATCGATGATTCGCAATCAATGTCCGAAGGCGGCGCCCAGACTCTCGCTTTCGACACCATGGCTCTGTTAGCTCGAGCCCTGTCCATCCTCGAAGCGGGAGAATTGTGTATTCTCGGATTCGGTGAGGACGTTAGCGTCAAACTACCTTTTGAGACTCCATTCACCTCTGAAGCTGGCGCCAACGTCATCAGATCCTTCAACTTTGAGCAGACTAGAACAAACGTCAAGACTTTGGTACAAAAGTCGCTGGATCTGTTCAGAGCTGCTAGAGTCAGGGCTCAAGGCGCAAGCTCAGAATTGTGGCAGTTGCAACTGATTGTTTCAGATGGTGTGTGTGAGGACCACTCGGGCATCCGCTCGCTCGTCAGACAAGCCCACGAGGAGCGTATCATGATGGTTTTCGTCATCGTCGNNACGCTACAGCCACTGCCCCCTCAGTCTCCGGAGCCCCCTCAGGAACAGCCACACCATCTGCCAACACCATCACCTCTGCACTTTCCAACAATGGCTCTGCCTCTGCAACCGGCACGTCCACCCCTGCCGCAGCTCCTGCAGCAAACAAGAAAAAGANATTCCTCAATCTTGGACTTGCAGACTGCAGAGTTTGTCAAAGACCCCGTGACTGGAGAAATGAGTGTCAGGACTGTCAAGTATCTTGATTCCTTCCCCTTTGGATATTACTTGGTGGTCAGAGATGTTAGAGAGTTGCCTGGTGTGCTTGCTGGAGCTTTAAGACAGTGGTTTGCCGAGGTTGTCGATACTCAAGGATAAGCAAAGGGAAAAGTGATTTTGGTAGAAGTTTTTTCTTTTTTTCTTTTTGGAATAGGTGTATAAAAATCAGCGTAATGGAGTGTTACTTTTTTTGTATTTTGGTTTCTAGTGGTGTTTTGTATAAGGATGAAGATGATTTATTTTACTTTTGAGCAATGTGTGTTTGTGCCCAATTTTCAGTATTGCGCTCTTTACACACTTGAAGAGACTCTTCACGCTGCCTGTGACATTTTTTTCGGTCATAATGCTGTGCACAGTCGCTGACTGCTTTGACTACTGTCATAAGTGTCTACTCGTATTGAATTGGGCACATGAGTCACTAATGATTGTTTTCTCTAAACCACTGGTGAAGCTATGTTTCCTAGCCTTGAAACTCTTACCTTCACCTTACACAGATTCTCGACTTTGATGGAATCAAAAAAAAAACAAGATGCAAAACATACAGCAGCAGGGATTCCCACGTGGTCACCCACCGTAGTACTAATCTGCCGTTCAACTGCTTATGTATGGCAGAGCGGACGGGATGCCCAGTTTTCAGCTGACTGTGGCCGTATGTACTTCAACCAAGTTTTCATTGTAATATAACAGCTTCCAAGAATCGACAACGAATCTACAGCCAACGTTGCATCCGCCTAACCCAATGTTCAAGCGACTTGACCTAGACCAACCAAGAAGTCAACTTCCGGGAACGCAGCACTGGGACCCTTCAGCAGCTCTGGCACCTTTGCAGCCCCATGGAACGCATACTGGAAAAACGCATTCGTGTATGCAGCAACAATAACAAGCACCCTTCTGCCATCCAAGCTCCCAAGTGCAGCGTCTATGCCAGGCAACCCAGAAAGACCAGCGAGATCTGCCAGCAGCGGCGCATCCGAAAACGTATTGTGTACAGAACCATTCAAGCTCAATTCCAGCTTGTTGGACTTGTCAGGCGAGGCCTGCAAGAAAGAATTCCAAGAGCTTATGGTGCCGGGAAGTGTTTGGTTGTCGTGTGCGAAGATTAGGAAAGGTTGGGTGATGCCGGTAGTAACTACCGAACCATACATCGTGCCGTCGAAATCAATGCCGGCTTTGAAGGATGAGTCTTGCAGTGCTGCTTGAGCTGCTGCGGCGCCGCCAAAGGAGTGGCCCCACACGGCGATGCGATTGGCATCTGGCTTGATAGGGGATGGCAGACCCGCTCCAGTGAGCAACTTGTTCTTGACCAAGATGATATCTTGGACTCGGTCGGGAAGTGCGGCATTGAGTTGGGCATCGGTGCCTATACCCGGTGCCAGTAGGTACGAGCCATCGGGGTACTCGATGATGTCGGCTTGCAAGGGCGTATCAATGGTGACAACAATATACCCCATAGCAGCAAACTGCTCGGCCAAAGCATTATAAAGTTGGCGCGAAGCACCCAGACCAGGAGAAAAGAGCGTGAGCGGCCATTTTCTGTGACCAAGTCTTTTATCGCCGCATGTCGAGTTACAGACTTGCAGTTGCAATTGTTCCAATGTAGCGTTAGGAATTGTCGCGCCTAGTAACTGGCTGTATACTGCCGCGTTGTAGTCTGCGGTAAGTTTGGGCATGTATGGAGTTAGGTAAGGCAGGCAGTCTGAGTGATACCCAGTCGGGAAGAACGAGGTGGTCATGATGCGTCGATGGGTGCCATTGATGAAGCGACTATCATCCACAAACTCGGTGATATGCGTGCCTACACTATAGGTGCCATTTGGACGTGGAACAATGAGCCCAGTTACGAGGGGCAGTGCCGCGAGAATGAAGTGCAGAAGCATTGCATAAACCAGATAAGATGTTGCCAATGAAGGTGGTCGAGAAACGTGCTTGAGGTGACTGTATTTAAGTAATATCCAACACGATGTTGTTCCTCTTCCAAAAAGACGCAGACTGCCGATTTACCGTGCTCGAAAATTCGAGCCAACCGGGAAGGGTGGAGTGATATATGCACATTGGTTGGTTAGCGTGTGGCTTGCAGCTGCTTACGTTGACCTCTGATCCTGAATCCTCAGGAACGTCAGCGTCCATTCACCATGGCTCGTGTCTCCGGTGAACTTCAGCAATAGTGCATCACGCCTTTTGCCCATCTACGACAGCTTCATCCTTTCCATGAAATAGAGTCGACAAGAAGATAGCAGCAAGGAACCCCCAAGTACTACCAAGGAAGTATCCGTACCACTCTCTAGGCTCACCCAGATACCATAGCGCTGCGGACGTAGCACAAGCAGCCCATATAGCTATTGCAAACGTCCTTTCCGCTGAGGCTCCGATATCGTTATAAAAGAAGCACATCGAAGTTCCCCAGGCCACAATTGCAGCAACCCAAAAGACAATCTTCAATGCTTCCTCTAGTCCTTGGTCTGAAGAAGGTTGGTTTGGCCATTTCATGTCTGCATGGATTCCAGTATCTGTTTCTTTGAGAACGCGATTCATCGTTGTTCGGAGGACCTCCATTTGACGGTCGATTACATCGAGGCGAGCGAGCATCGCCGCGTCCGCAGACGCAAGTGCTGATGAGTCGAAGGTCTGAAAGCAAAGAGTGATGAATGCCATGACGCCAAGACACGTAATAGCCTTGGTTGACAGTTGAGTTGCGAATGCCATGGTTTTTGCAATTTTGTGAATATCCTATACTGTCGAATGGCGAATTGTTCTAAAGATGGGAAAACAGATCTGCTGACGATGAAGAGTGGGGATATATCTTTGCATCTCTGATTACGTCGTAACCCTACGGGCGTATTGCTCTTCCTCAGAGGATGTGGTTGGCAGGTGTTGGAAGCAGATCTGCGTAGGATTTGGACGATGATCACGAGGTTGATGATCAGGCCTGATTAGGAAATGCTGTCAAGCTCCTAAACCCATCACCTCTGAAGCAACCGCAATAGGTGATGATTTCGTCCTTTCGCTAGTACACATTTCGTACGCGAACAGAATACTGTGAATTAGCATTTAGGTGGGAGATATACCAGATGAATTCTATACATTACTTGTATCCTTGATTTTAACCCAATTAACATTAATAACACCCAACATACAATCACCACCACTCAAACATTAGCATCATGCAAATCCTTCTTAAACCTCTCTACAGCCCTCTTCTTACTCTCCCCAAACTCCACATGCGGTTTCGGATACCCCAATTTCTCAAACTCTTCTTTGCTCAACCTGCCATACGGATCAAAAACATCCTTGCCCTTTAGGTTTTTCAACTCGGGCACCCATTTTCGGATATAGTCGCCGTGGGGGTCGCATTTTTCGGCTTGGCTGATGGGATTAAAAACTGTGTAGCTGGGTTCCCAGCCTTGTGTGTTGTTGGAAAGGTCCCAGTCGATTAGGTGGGTGGCGAAATATCTTTCTCCGCGGCGGTAGTCGATTAGGAGGTTGGCTGTGAGGTAGGATGCGGTGTTCATCCGAAGTCTGTTGTTCATGTAGCTCTCGGTGTTTAGTTGTCTCATGCCGGCATCTATCCAGGGGACGCCGGTATTGCCTTGACACCACTTTTCCCAGCCTTCTTCGTCGTCTTCCCAGTGTACATTGTCGAACTTCAGGTTCTGAGGAAGGTTCATGGCGTTATGAGGGATAGCAACAAGGACTTGACGGTAGAATTCTCTAAAGACGATTTCGCGGACCCAAGAGGCAATACCAGATTCGCCTTCATCAAAGTGTTTGTTGTTGTTGTGTTTCTTAGCAGTGGCAAGAGCTTCACGCACGCTGATCACACCAGCTGAGAAGTATGCCGATAAACGTGAAGAGGGATCTCTGGCTGGCTCGGAGCGGTGGCTGGCGTAGTCTGCAACCTTTTCGTTGAGGAAGTATTGGAGACGCTTGATGCCTGCTTCATGGCCTGCAGGCCAGAGTTCACGGATGCGTTTTCTTTCCTCGTCGCTGGTGAAATCTTTGTTATCTGGTAGAGAGGGCATCTTCGAATCAAANAGCTTCTTGAACTTATCGATGGCCGACTTGTCGTTTGCTTCAGGAGGCCCCACGAGATCGAGGTGCTCAGGGTTCTTCTTGGTCTCCGAAAGCCAGGCTTTGTGGTACGGCGTAAAGACCTTCATGGGTGTTCCACTGCCTGTCACGAGCAAACCCGGTTCAAGAACAGTCTGGTCATGCAANAGCTCGATCGAGACGTCCTTCTCTTCCTGGATATGATGCGCAACCTTGATATCCCGACGTATCTCATCCACTTCATACTCAAAATTTCCATAGACGTGAGAGATATCGTTGTCCTTGATAAACTCCATGACTTTGTCCGTCTTGTCTGCTCTGTCTTCAGCCGTCACAACAGCCATCGGGATGTTCTTCTCGCGCAACTGCTTCTGCAACAACGAAAGCGATTCCAGCAGAAAGTCGGATCGAGCAGGGCTGGTACCATGCCATTCCAGATCTTTGGGGCTGTACAAGTACATGGTGATCAGGGCTTCATCTCCCTCTTTCGCTTTTTGCGACGCAGCGTGGAGTGCGCGGTTATCGTCTGCTCTTACGTCCTTGGATCTGAACCAGTGCAACACATTGCGAACCGAGTGATCAGTTTTCTGCTCCGAGATGGCCTTCTCGAGTGATTCGAAGGGTGAATGCTCGTCAATTTGTTTCGCACGCTTTGGCGAGGGATGTTTCAGATCCTCGTTGTAGATTGCTGAATGGTCGCTCGGATGAGCGTCATGAGGGTGTGCGCGTTTCGACATGGTGCTAGAGAAGGGTCTCGTGAATTGGGTAATGGATAGTGGGTTGACTGAAAGGAAAGAAGGCCTTGCATCTTTCAAGCATAATGGGTACTGTGTTAAGTAAACACAACTGGCAGTGGCAGGGAAACGGTTCCTGAACAGAGTCTTCGACGTCATCTTCGATAAAAGATCGGATACCCAACTCGATTTTGTAGAATAGAGCACCGGTAGAGGCGCTGGCAGACTCAAAGCTAGAGGCTCAGAGTAAAGAGGAAGAAATCGTAGAACCTACCGTGATGTACGGTATAGCTTGATGGAGCTAAACAACGCTTTAGAATCTCTTACCCCTACACTCTTTACATGACTTCTCCGATCCATTATATCAACGTGTTTACCTCGTGCCAAAAGATCAAGATCTCANAAAGAGCGTGGCTGAAATATGAAAGACGTCATCGAGCGCGAGCGAAACCTTGTCCTGCCAAGAGAACCGTTTGAGTGGTTCCTGAAATAAACCCTTGATTCTCCTCCAATGCAACAAATCACCACATAGAGTGGTATAGGAGCGATAAGACTGTCCAAGACTGTCCAAGACTGTCCAATAACACAGATAGACGGGAATTTTTCACTTAGATACCATGCACCTCCTTACATAAAACAGGCAAGTACGTCCTAGAGAATATTTCTTTCATTACAGACCAGAGTCAGCCACACGAGAGAATTCTATCTCTTCGTGTGAATCAAAATGAGCCTGGCAGTGCTCTTCTATGGTAAGATTTTGTTCTTTTCCCCCTTTCCAACGCCGGATGAAGAACAATTTGGGTGGTTGGTTCTGCGAAAACATGTATCGCAAGAAAGCAAGGGGAGGCATACAAATACATGTTTGAAAAGAGAAAGAACAAACTAGCAGATGAGAAGGATTTGAAGAATTAGGTTTTGCACATGCAAGAAAGAAGAAGGAGAATTTTCGAAAGAATGAAGGTATAAAGAAGAGATTGAAGAGTTTGAAACAAGAACAATTTGAAAGAAAAGGTTAGAGGAACGAATATAGGTAAGTAAAGGATTAGCAGGCGAACTAGCCGCCATTAACAATCAAAAGGTGTAGAACTTCAATAGAAAGGTCTTTTCGTTCGTCTCAGAGGCCATTTTCCTGTCGTTCAAATGGCAGGCTCTTCCTCTTCCCAGCCAGGCAGACCACGTTCAGCAGAGATGGCCAAACCGTAAGGATTGTTGTTGCCAAATCCACCAATACCTGCACCAAGACCAGCAAAGGTCTGTTGATGAACGTGCTGGGGCTGAGGCTGCGAGAAGACGGGCAGACTGACAGTGCGGGAGTGCTGTCCTCTTGCGGCACTGTTCTGACTAGCGTGCATGCCGTTGCCGCCGCTGCCACCACCGAAGCCGTTCGAGAGACCGTTACTCAAGTTTACGGAATGTGTGGCGTGGTGACCGAAGTGCGAAGGTGCTTCGAGTGCGGTAGATCTCGTAGGCATGTTGGAGTCTCCGCTGTAGAAGGCTTGTTGGGTGGTCATCTGGGGTTGCTGCTGCTGTTGCTGTGATTGAGGTTGTGACAGACTCAACTGTGCGAACTGAGGGCTAATCTCGTTCGGCGAAGAAGAAGGCTGAGATTGGACTTGAGATGCAGCAGCAAGGTACATGGCCAGAGGGTTGTTGGCTCCGGCGTTGAGGATTGTCGATGCAGTGGGGCCCTGAAGGGGGTTGTAGTTGTTCGATGCGCCGGCGCTGGGAGAAATGGAGTTCTGGCCACGCATGCCACTCACAGGACTCGGCGATTGTGTGCCTTCCTGTTGAGATTGTCCCTGACCGTTTGCGACTACCTGGCGAGGAGGGTTTCCGCAACGATCCTTGCCAAAGTTGACCTTGAAACGCTTGTATTCGTCCTTGCTACGAACAGCCTCGATGGCCTTGATAGCATTGGCAATGTTTGTGAAGTTCACAAATGCACAGCTCTTCTCACGCAAAGTGTTGACCAGCTCGATCTCACCATATTCGGAGAAATCCTGGCGAAGACGCTCCTCGGTCCAAGTTTCGTCGAGGTTGCCAACGTAGACGTTACGGGATGCACCACCACTGACAGCAAGAGCAATGGCAGGAGGAAGAGCGCCAGAGTGCTTGCCCCAACCAATCTTCAGGCGTCTGTTGTGAATCATGAGCCCTTGAAGGTTGGAGAGAGCGAAGAATGAAGCAGCAGAAGTAGGATCGATGAAAGTGACGAAGCAAATGTGCTTGTCAGGAATGTAGCGAATATGGTGCAGAAGACCACCCCTGACGACATTGCAAATTTCCTCGATGGTCGTCTCAGGATGGATGTTGCCCAAGTAGACAGTGCGGTTGCCCAGGTTGTTGACACCACCAGCAGTAGTAGCGACGGCAGCTGCAGCAACAGATTGCTGAGCCAGAGCGTTCGAAATCAGATCACGATCGGCATTGTTGAGCACATGTGCATAGCCAGGGGCGATACCGAGGTACTGAGCAGCGTTCTGCTGCTGTGTCTTGGATACATAGGCGCAACGATCCTTGCCGTAGTAAACACGACGCGGAGGCTGCCACTTGGGTTCCTGAGGCAGCTGAGAAACGGCCTTGATGGCATTGCCAATGGACAGGAAGTGGACAAAGCCAATGGCCTTCTCTCTAACAATCTTGACAGTATCAATCGGACCGTACTTGGCCAGGTCCTCTCTGAGCTCATCCTCAGAAACTTCATCGGGCAGGTTACCAAGGTAGACGTTACGGGATGCGCCTGACTGCTGGACGGCAAGAGCGACCGAGGTAGGAACTGACGAGGGCTTGCCCCAGCCAATCTTGATATCCTGACCCTTGATGCACAGCTTNTTCAAGATGGCATCAGAGTGGAAGTGTGTGGCTGAGCTTCCGTCAAGGAAGGAGATGAAGGCACAGTTCTTGTCGGGAAGAAGACGAACCGACTCGATCTGCCCGCTACGAACATGGCTGAGAATTTCTTCGGCAGACGTGTCTGAGGGGATATTGCCCAGATAAACGGTTCTGCTAGAGCTCGACATCAGGCCAGGAGCAATGCCCAGGGGAGCAGTGGACAAGCCATTGAGCGACTGATTGTTCATAGGGTTGTAGCCAAGAGTGGGAGACTGAGGGCCCTGGTACATCTGGGCGTGCATCTGCGGAGGCGAGATCATGCCAGCGTACATGGGAGGAGACATGGCAGGGTTCTGCTGGTTCTGGAACTGGTTGTGCTGCTGCTGCTGTTGGCGCTGAGGCTGCTGAGGGAAGCTAGAGAAGCTCTGGAAGCCAGGAGAAGCAAAAGCCGAAGGCGACTGAGGCTGGAAGGGGCTGCCAATCAACAAGTTTGACGGAAGAAGAGGAGTGAAGTTCATGTCGAGAGCAGTACCGGGAGTCTGCTCGGCCTGGGAGGCCATGTTGGACATGCGGCCAGTATTAATGGAAGGGATGTTGGTTCGGTGGCGGTCCGAGTAGCTAGAAATAGAGGGTTGGTTGGTGGTGAAGGCGCTGTGCGAGAAGCCCAGGTTATCGCTGCTCATGCCCAGAGTCGAAAAGGACTGAGATGGGCGATGGAACTTGGGCTGGGCTGAGGGAGCTTCCGACACCTGCATTTCCTAGGTGGTCGGGGAGTGACTAGGACTAGGACTAGGGGGTGGAAAGTGCGTGGACGGGAACTCTCGAGTTCCTTCAGGGAGTTGTCGCTGACCGGACTGGACGTGCCAGGTGGATGGCGGGGCGGCGTAATTAAAAGGGTATATGTTCCAGGTTTATCCAATTCCAAAGCTCGTATATACAACTGGAGCGAATGCGTGTCCTCCTCCTCTTGTCGTGACGTTGAATTGTCCTTGTATCAGATTGAGGTTGGCTGGTCAGGACTCAAGCCACGAGCACGAGGACGAGGGGCCGGGGTAGGACTGAGTGATAAAGTAGGTCGGGCGGCGCAATTAAACGAGTCGTATCAACGAAGGGAAGCCGGCAAGCGAAGTTTAAGGCAAGAAAGAAGAAATGCGAAAGGATAAAGCGAGTGACAGGACGAGACTGACGGAGATCGAGCAGCGCGTGAAGAAGAACGAGAAGAGGGCAAGGAAGAGCGAGAGACGACGGCGTTGAGCCGATGCTGCCACAAGTCGGCATGCTTAGCTCAAAGGAAATTACATCCACACCACGGGCCTTCTCCTCAGCGCTTCCACCATCACCGAGTAGCTCCCCACTACTTTCCCCTTCTCGTCTCGCCCAGAGGCCCTCTCATGGCCAGTACACGCCTTCTGCAGAACCAGAGGACTGTGCAACACCGCACCAGCTCCTGTTCGACTATCAACGCCCTCTGTTGTGTAACCGTTGATACACAGAGCGAACGATCGTCAGGCACAGGAGACGTCCGTGCACCACTCTCTGAGACGGTCCCCATTTTTTAAGCGTCCGCACCTAACTCTGTTTTCTAGAAGGCCCAAACGCTGCTGTAAGCACATGTGCCGAACAAGAAAGGGGTCTCTATTTCTGCATTGCTATACACGATCCTGCATGAAGACGCTTCGCCTTCCACAGTCTATCTATCCATCTGTCTCGAATCTGTATCGCGTGTCTGCTCAATTGCCAATGCTTCCAAATACATTCTCACCCCCGTCGAAACACCAAATTGCTGTTAACCCACACGGCTTGATGCTAGTCAATTGAAATCTGCATCCTTTTGGGAAAAACTCATCACCACATTTTGCTGCTCTGATTTCGTATCTTAATATAACAATATGAAAATGCTTTTGCTAACCCACTTTTCTGTTTCACATGCCATTTTGGTCTCAATTTTTTCTTGCCGTCTAGATCTGGATTCGACATCGAAACTTGGGACTCGCTCGTCCTATCTCGAGACGTACATTCAAAGGCCTTCCAAGGGTCAAGAAGATGATTGGTATTCGGTTTATTCATTGGATCTACAGCACAAGAGCTGCTTCATCAAAAACTATCAACTTCATGTATGCTGCACTCAAGCAAGTCCTCTTGCCATGCTTTTCCCCGAGCAAATCCTTGCGCCGCTTTTCATGACCATCTCGCTATGCTCCTGAGGATAAAATACTTGTACATGCTCCATGCCAAAAACTCCAAAATAAGAATACGCCCTGAAGCAAACATGATTGACCGCCTACTTCCCGTATTTGGTTCCTTGTCTGGTAGTGGGCTTTCCCTTTGCAATGACTTTGGCAACTCCCTTGCCTTCTTTCTTGCCCTTCTTTTCTTTGGGCTTGGGCTGTTCGGAATGCAAATGTCCATTCTTGTCAATGGCTGTCAAGTTTCTCCATCTGAGACAACGTTGACTGGAGGCTTCAATATCGACGTAAGTCTTCTTCCTGGTCGACACACGCGTGACAGGTTCGTCATCTGCGTCCTCCTGGTTGATACTGTCCAGATGCGTCTTGAGAGTGCGCATCTGACCAGTGATGGGTTCTTGCCAGAGAGTCATCTCCTTGCGCAGGGCCTTCTCTCTGACACCACGATCATCGAACCAGTTCAGTAGCAAGGCAATAGTTTCGGGATCGTCGTAGTATCCCCACTCGTTGGCCGTTCGCAGACTCGTGGGGCCTTCTTCTTTAGCTTTGCGGTCAGGAACAGACAGTCCGTGATCTTGTATGTAGGTGCGCTGCAGATCTTCAGGCAAGTCGATAAAGCCCAAGCGCTCCATCTCATCAGGTCCTTGAACCCAGATACGCGCATTCGCATAACCATAACTACCGGTGCTGCCATCGGTAAGTCCAGTAACAGGCATACCATTGCGTTCGAACCAGTAGTAGCGATTCCAGTATCGATCTCTTCCAAGTACTTTGGTACGCTGACAGTTAGCCTCGCGAAGTTGTTCATCGCAAATTGCAATCTCCTTCTCGCGTTTCGAGATCTCAGTCTTCAGCTTGTCGATATCCTTCAACAATTTGGTGAACTCCTTGGACTGCTTGGGATTGGTCTTTGCCTTCTTCTCCTCGCGCTGCTTTTCGCGTCGAGCTGCATCTTCGTCGCGCTTGCGCTTTCGCTCATTGCCACGTCGTAGAGAACGTCCACCTTCTTCTTCAGCATCAGAGGTAGCCAGATCTACTGTGTCCACAGTCTCGTCAATATGGCTCATACTGATATCCATGGGATCAGGATGCTCCTCCTTGGGTGAATCAGGGAGATTATCCGGAAGCAAAATTTTCTTTTGAGTCTCGAGGTCACCCAACTTTGCAACGCTAGAAATTATCAGCTGATGGGCATTCATTGTGAGGGAAAAAACACACCTCTCTTTCTTTGCCTTTTGATGCTCAAGCTTTTCCTTGCGAATTTTGGTTTGTTCGTCGCTCATCTCTTCGAGATATCCTCTAACGGTTTTTGTGCTAACACAAAGTAGAGTGATGAGTTGCAATGCTGAAATGCGAAGGTTAATATCCAGGCGAATGTAATTGATTCGAACGCTCTCTGGGCTCGGGTCTTCGTCCAATGGCACAAGTTTGGACAACACCTTGTCGCATTCTGACTTTTGACGAGGGTTCAGCGACAATTGATGTAGCAAACCTGCCATGATTGTTTGCCAGCCTCCATTAGCAAAATCGCGAGCCTTAAGACGTTCAACCCAACCATAGCTTGCCAGTAGTTCGGGGGCACGATGCGGGCGGTGACGACCTTCGGCAGGAGTTCTGCTGGATCTTCCATTTGACTCTTCAACTGCAATGTTGCTGATGTTGCTCATGCGGCTTCTAGTTGCATGTGCAGGTGCATCCAAGATGGGGGTGGCTGGCTCGCTCTCGTCTACCTCTTCATCAGAAGACTCGTCCTCAATCATGTCTGGCAGAGTGACTTGAAGTGTGCCCTCCTCGTTAACAATGGTCTTGAGCACTGCGCAGTGTGCTTCTTCAAGCAGCTCGCATGTGACCTCGTCAGAGGTGAACTTGATTGCTTCCAGGAAATCGTCGAATGTGAAGGCATCCAGAATTAGTACCTCCGAGTGTACATTGAGGGTGTTCCAAATTTCCAGCAAAGGACCAACATACTCCATACGAATTTCACCTTCAACTGGACTCTGCGGTACAATGAATTTCAACTCAGGACGGACAAGATCGTTCTTCCTCGCAGGAACGTCCAAGTCTTCGATAGGGTATTTGATGGGCACAGGAGCAGGCTTCTGGGGCTCTGTCTTGACCGCAGCTGCTGAATAGCCAGGAAACTTGGAGCCGTTGAGTGGCGGAGTGGTGTATCCCTGTAGCGAGCCATCTTGCTCGAAGTCTCCGATGGTGAGGTTCTTTCCCTTGCGACCATTGACCTTGTTGAAGATCGAAGTGCCTTGTGGTTGACGGAGCATGCCAGGCTGAGGTGATGCTTGCATGCGTTGAGCGAGATGAGGAGGAATTTCCATGGGTAGCCTGTATTGTCTGGCAAGATGCTCCTTGACGAGCCACGGTGCGCCAGTGAACATGTCGCGCTGTATCGAGCTCTTCAAGAAGGATCTCAGGTTTTGCTTGGTAAACAGTTTGCGGTTTCTCTTGATGTGTTTGTCGTCCAGNAGGGCTTCTTCGCCACGTTCGTCATTGAGCTTGACAAAGTAGCGAGAGAAAGCAGCGCGTTGAATAGAGCCGTCAGGGTTGAGCAGTTGCGGGAACTTTGCCTTTTCGCGAATCACGCCTTCGAATTGGTCACCATTGTCGAGAGAAACGCTGACTTCCTCACCAGGGAAGAACTCGCTGCGAAATTCCNNTGCGCAAGTCAGCATTCAAGGTTTGCGGATTCGGTGAACAATACATACTTCAAAGACGAAAGACACCAACTCATCTATGCGGGAGATGTCTGAGAACTGGACCTTTCTCAAGATGGGGTCACGAAGAGCATCAGGAAAGATCTTATCAATGTCACTGGAGCTGTTGTTNCTGTGTTTGTGTGAGTGTCCAACGTCTTGTATATTGCTAGCAGGTCCGCATACCTCTGAATCGACAGCGGCGAAGAAGGTCAAGTTGGACTTGCCATTGACGGCATCTGTGAACTTTTTCNNTGAGGTGACTGTTAGGGTGTGATCCGTAAGACATTTTCGGGCTGAGGGTAGCGTACTCGGTTGTAGAACTCGAAGCTATAGTTGTGTTAGTTGGGAGCTAGAATGGAATCAAGATGTAGCATACCGAGACAGATACGATTCATAGTCTGTAAAGACTTCACCTGATTTGGGCATGACCCAGACNCTGTAGAATCTTAGGTTAGGAGGTAGCCATAGACAGACTGAGTAAGATGAGCGAACCTCAGTATTGTTGTCGATTTTGGCAGGTGCCGGAAGCATCGTCACCGGCTTCCGCTTATAGAGGACCTGCAATATGGTAAGTCTAGTCCAGCTTTCACATGTCATGGTTTGGGTATAGCTAACCATGTTGTTGTGGTTGGTATGATGCAGGCTTGGAAGCAAAGAAAGAAGGACGCGAAGAGCGAGCGAGTCGGGATGGGCGTAGACACAGTGGGGTGTCTGGATCTAGTGGTGACCTTGTCGCATGCGAAAGTGGAGCCAATGCCTTCCTCAATTAACGCGTGGTGTATGCTCGGGAGTCATAAGAGGGATGTCGGTGGACGATTGCGACCAAGGCGGTTGTCGGTGGACGAGGAAGATATTGCTGCGGCAGACGCGGGTACTACGCGCAATAAATTACGGACGAGGCTTCAGAAGTCGGAGAGGGTCTGCGGGGAGAGTGGCCGAGAGAGTGCTGAGGTATGTGTGCCGTTTGGAGACAACCAGGTGTCGTGGTCGGCGAGAAGGAAGGAGAAGGGAAGAGGGAGCAAAGCTTTGCAAGAGGAAGGACATGACCTGTGAAGAGCCGTCGTGGGGAAGGCATCACGTCCGGCCACCATGAGCTGCCCATTCTAGTATTGCTTTAGTCGCGTCCCAGCACAGGGCTGGTGGCTCGGGCCGCGACTTTCTCTTCGCAACGCCCAGCTCCATTTCCATGCTCCGTCACTTCCTCGTTCTTGTCCGATGACCCTGGGCATCGCCACTTTGACAACAACCAGCACATTTGGACTCGTTCTGGTCGCGTAAATCGTGCGAACACGACGGAAGTATTCATGAATGGTGTAGTTGTACGACTCAAGTTCCATCTGGCGATATCAAAATCATATTCAGACCATGTTACCATCCACGGGTTGTTCCTTTGAAAAGTGGATGCAGCCAACTGACTCCTCGATTCAAGGTCGGCCGCACCACTCGTGATCATCGTACAGATTGTTACCTCAAATAAGTTTCATCGTCTGAAAGATGAATCTATTTGGTCTCATACCAATTCGTATGCTACACACTGCTACAAAGCTATCGTAAAAGTCGCACCTTGACATTTACTGGTGCAACCCATGCTCATCACGTTAACCCTTCTGCAGAATTTAGAAGATGATCCAATGGGAGTTCTCGTCTCTTTATGTCTGGACTATCTATGAAGTAAAGTACACAATCAAAAANCTTATCCAACTTGACACTACTCCCATCGCACAGTATGAGCTAGTGAACATGAGCGGCAGGAACTCATACTTTGCGCCAAACACCAGCTGGTGAATTAGCGAGCAATATGCGATGAGTGGGATTGCCACAGCAATGTATACAAAGGAGAAGCGGTCGAGCAAGAACACTCTCGGCCTCGAAGANGCTACACTGACTGTCAGTATATCCACATTGTGGCGAGATTGCCTGGATGAGACTTACGCTGGTGCGAGCTGATCGAATGCCATCAACAAGGCTACCAACCAGAAGATGGTGTATATCGTCTTGATGGGGAACTCCTGAGCTGTGAACAAAAGCGGGAAGAGCGAAACATGACCAGAAACCGCAAGAGGTCTGAAAGCTCCGAGATGTCTACGATCCTTGAGTGCAATCAAACTGAAAGGGATGATCACCAGCAGAACTGCCTTCTCGTGGACATGCCAGCCGAACAAGAAGGATGCGTATCCGCATAGGGTCAGAGCCCCTACGAAAGTGTCCCAAGTTGGTCGGAAAAATAGCTTGACAAGTGCCGGNCTACACCAAGTTAGTCATATCATTTTTCCGTCCTATGCTTCTGCGTGACTTACTATTTGCGCTGCTAGAGTGAGAACGAAAGTCATTCTCGGAGAGATGTCGGGAAGCACAGCAAAGGATGTGTCTCCAACTAGTCCACGAGTAACACTGTTGATAGCTTCTCGGTTGACAGACAGGTTGAGGTATGGAGCCACNTATTCTTGTCAGATCCAGCTCATGTCTCGTGCAGGAGATAACTCACGGTATATCAATATTCTGTCGGCGAAAGAGTACAATGCCCACACGTTGGGAGCCCAGTATGCGTGGCATAGTCCCCGGGAGAAAGGAAATAGACGGCTCAAGAGTTGGTCCATCTGGTTCCAGTATACGAATGGTCCAAATGCAAGACCAAAGACAATCCCGATTCCCAATCCAAGCTTGACACATTTGGCGAAGCGGATTCTGAACCACGATCGAGGGTCAAGGCAATACACACGTAGCAAAAAGACAAAATATGCTGGTGCCAAGTAGAGGTAGATGTGCTTGAAACAAAGCAAGATTGCGAATGTAATGCCACTGGCCAGGAGTCCTGATTGTCTACGGGCCAATACGATGGAGAGGACGAGGATCCCGTACATGAAGCCATTGTACTGGAAGTGGATGTGGTCGATGATGAGCAGACCAGGAGATAGAAGAATAGAGAGCGCAGCAACGTGCGATGTCTTCTTAGCGGTGATTGGTGCACCGCGAACATATCTAAACTGTTTAGTGACCATCTTTTGACTCGTAAGCATTCGTACATACAGCTGAAGAGCATAGAGGAGAACCAATTCGGTCAGAATCACTGTAGCTCTCTGAAAGTAAACTGTTTGCCAACTCGAGTGTCCAAGGTTTTTGACTTGAAGCATATCGGCGTCAAAGACTCGAGCAGCTTGAGACATGCACCATTCGAATACTGCAAAGAAAGGGGGGNNATAGTCGAGTGTCCATTCTGATGTTTTCNNTATCAAACTTGTCAGCACTGATATCTTGGAAACCCCTTAACGATTGAGTACCTCATAGTACCAATCCTTGACTGGGAGAGAATTGGTTATAGCCAACCAATTGCGATGTACTTCGAAGTCGGTCGATTTGNNCTGCTTGCGGGTTAGGGGTTGATGGAACCGATCAAGCAGTTTTACCTACTATGCTGGCCACAACAGAATTTTGAAGGCCGTAGCGACTACTGCACATTGCGTGAGCGACGGGTATAGATCCGACATCTTTGCCTAATCTTTGTCTCCAATGAGTGAGTCCAGGTCGACCTTTGCTTGCACCATGAGGCTCTGTCAATTGGCCAGATCTCTATCACGCACGTGAAAGCGCCGACCGCCGATGAAACCCAAACGCGCGTAGAGCCGCCAGACGCGCAAGATGGCGCCAACGCGCTTGGCTCTGAACCAAAGCATAACCGCCGAGACTCGGCGAGGTTTTAAAGTGATGGGTGCCGTTTTCCGACTCCAATCCTCCTGGCGACCTATGGATACATACATAGATATGCGCAATGTGATGCGCTCTGCTCAGAGATGTTGCTCGCCTATACAGAGCATTTCATCACTCTCAACAGAGCACGTAGAATTACGCTGCCAAGATGCATCGGCGTTTCAGCTTTCAGGGAGGCAGTGACGAAAGTGCGAGTAAGTTGCAGACTTCAGAAACGTCCATTCTCTGCCTCTGTTTCCTCGACATATCCGACCACAGCCTCGTCCGAGCTGTCTTTCCTTGTGTACATTTCTGTATTGCTACTGTCAATTCTATCCTTACTCACTGTATACTTTCGTTGTTTGCTCTGCACATATATATATCCTTTTCGTTGACCACTCTGGTCACTATGATCTCCATCTCTCGCAGATGGATTCTTACCTGCATTTTGATCTGTATAACACTATCCCTCGTTTTGAATATTCTAGAGCATGATGATTGGACACCACCTCCGCCTCCTCCGCCAACAGAAGATTCTCCCTTGCCGCCAGACTTCAGCTGGAAAACTCTGCCTCGACAATGGCCATTGAACTCGTCGATGATTCCGTTACCGAACGGACCTCCAGCTCAGATTCCACCTATCCAATACAAGTTCGGCAAAGAAACACCAGTAGAAAGATTCAAGAGACAGAAGAGGCTGGCAGCTGTCAAGAACAGCTTCAAGCACTCCTGGAATGGATACAAGAAAAATGCTTGGCTGCAAGATGAGGTCAGGCCGCTGTCTGGAGGATACAAGAACGGATTTGGAGGTTGGGGAGCAACGCTGGTCGACTCCCTTGATACTCTCTGGATCATGGACATGAAGAAGGACTTCGCAACTGCCGTTGCGGCCTTGAAACATCTCGACTTTACCGTCTCGCCCTCGCCGACGATCAGTGTCTTCGAGACAACCATTCGCTACGTGGGCGGCCTCTTGAGTGCATACGACTTGAGCAACGAGAAATATCCGATCTTGTTGGAAAAGGCAATTGAGCTTGGTGATATGCTATATGCCTCATTTGATACTGCCAACAATATGCCTGTGGTTGGGTCCTGGAATTGGCTGAAGTGAGTCAAGCGCTTCCTATATGATCGTCGGTCATGGCTTACGTTTTATACAGNNGGCTGCAAAGGAGATCTGCAATCAGCGCCTTCTAATGCGCTTTCCGCCGATATAGGGTCACTCTCTCTTGAATTCACACGTCTAAGTCAGCTGAGCGGTGATCCGAAATACTACGACGCGATCCAGAGAATCATGAACGCTTTTGAAGAGTCGCAGAACACCACAAGGCTGCCAGGAATGTGGCCAGTATCCTTAAATGCTCGCAAGTTGGACTTCACCAATGATAGAGTGTTCACTCTAGGCGCTATGGCCGACTCGCTCTATGAGTATTTCCCTAAGGTTCGTTCTCTTTCCTTGCTATTTTCATCACACAGCCACTAACAAGCGCAGCAATATCTTCTACTCAACGGAAGAGACAAGCAAACCCAGAACATGTATCAAAGGAGTATGGCTGTGGCCAAGGAACATCTTNTTTACAGACCCCTCAATCCCGGTAACCAGGACCTCCTCATTTCCGGCTCCGTGAGACAACTCGGTGCAGGTTACGAGCGAAAGAATGAGGGACAGCACCTAACTTGCTTCGTCGGAGGTATGGTTGCATTGGGTGCCAAAATTTTCAACACACCAGAAGATATCCACACAGCACAGAAGTTGACAGATGGATGCGTGTGGGCGTATCAGCAAACACCGAGTGGAATGATGCCCGAGATATTTGAGGCTATTCCTTGCACCGACGATGCAGATTGCAAGTGGACAGAAGAGAGATGGTACAAAGGTCTTGTAATGGCTGTCCATCGAGTCATCGACACCAGCACCCGATCTCTCAAAGAACAAGCCCAGCAGATCATTGCGAGAGGAAGACTTCCGCTTGGATTCGCGAAGGTTGTCGACTCTCGCTACTACCTCCGCCCGGAGGCCATCGAATCTGTGTTCTACATGTATCGCATCACAGGTGACAAGGCGTGGCAAGACAAGGCATGGCAGATGTTCCAAGCCATTGATTCGCACGCAAAAACGGATATTGCGTATGCCGTCGTTCAAGATGTGCGAGACGAGCAGTCACAACTCACCGATACTATGGAAAGCTTCTGGACTGGTGAGACACTGAAGTATTTCTATCTCATCTTCAGCGATCCAGACCTTGTCAACCTAGACTCCTGGGTTTTGAACACCGAAGCTCATCCTCTGCGCAGGCCGCAGAATTGAGAAACACACACCTGACAGAAAATATTCATCCCGGACTCCGTAAACAAGGGCACCAATAGAAAAGTACCTCAGCTTTATACATTTCTCATTGGCAGCGCGGAAAACTTTTGGGTTTCTTGACTGACCAGTCAAACAGCTTTTAGCTACTTGACCAATCGGCACATGCATCTTCACGCCAAAGACCTGCTTCATCCCGAAAAGCACAAAGGCGTTGTCAGAATGTGATAAAATACAGGTAGCAAATCCTGCAGGGTCGATCCCGTAACGTGACAGGTCTCACCCAGACGCCTCTCATATCTGGACTTCCAACAAAGTACCCAGTAGTGTGGTTCGGTACGACGATTGCGGTCATGCCGAAGACGTGGCGGCGGGTACCGACCCTCAAAGTAAGGTTTGTGGTTCAAGATCAGTGTCGGACAAACAAAGTGCCTTTCTCCCTGGCAGATATTGACCTATAAATATGCATTGTTTGTGACAGGTAGGTACTCAAGGGTTACAAACGAGCATGTGTTTGTTGTTCGGAGCAAGACACATGGCCTTTAAGTGCGACCGACCATGTAAGTCGATGCTCTTCCAACTCATCGTCAGCAGAGCTGTTTCTGTTTCTTGCCTCCCTTCCTATATATCCTTGATATAGCTGCGTGGTAAGCGATTCGCCACACTCTCACGAGGCCAACATTTGCAAAAACTGCAGTCCTCAATATTGGCTGGCTATTGATTACAGGTACCAATCGGACAGGTCATGTCCAGGCTCCAGGTGTAACAAACGATGCTGCATNNATTGCTGGGTTCGAAGAAAGAAGCCATCACTCATCATGTATAAACCCTTCTTNNTCGTACATGGATATACAGCATACAGCAAAACACACCAACAAACACAAACACACTTTTTCAGATATACGAAACTTGTCCATATCTACGATCACGCCTGAAACCCACGAACACGGGATTTATCNNACGAGAAAACTGGCTATGTGTGAAAAAGGCATTCTCATCTGGACTTGCGGCTGCACTCACATCCAGGACCCGCGCCGCTGCCACAAAGCTCGCTTTTACAACAAACCCTGCGATGGCTATGCATTTGCCTGGGCATACCGCAGCCCCATCTCTNTGCACACATCGCTACGCTGTCCCTCGTGTATCCGCAACGACGAAGCCACAGCCCTCAAGAAAGCCAATGACGCCCTGCTTGCAAAGTCATCTGCATACCCGACTCTTGTTTCGGTAGCCAATGGCGATGACAGCCATAGAGCCAAAGCAGGAAGACCTATGTACTCGCGCATAGTGTCTGATACGCAAATGCTGCAAGTGCCGAAACAGTGGACCAGTGAGATGAATAGGTTGCCGGCGAATGCGAATGAGTACTCTGCTTGGTTGAGTGGGAGGTTTGATCCGCTGGTTAGATTGCCGGATACACATCTCCCTGCGGCATCTGGGGCTTCCAAGACTTCTCCTATGAAGGCTACAAGGATGGACACGGGAGCAAGAGATATGCCTGCCACAGCGCCAGGAATGCAACGATCGCGCTCGCATGCGCCACCCCAGTGTTGGCAAGGACCTGTGATGTTGGGCGAGGACGACTACCCTTATGTTGAGTTCAGGGGCGCTTTGTCCACGAGACCGGGAAAGAGTAGGAGACCTTCTTATACGGGCAAGGTGTTGGACAAGGGGTGGGCTCCTCCGAGTAGTGGGACGTTGCCGCCGCAGAGTGATGTGGATACTGCGCCGCCTTCTCAGGTGCCGTCGCCGCAGCTCAGGGTTTCTCCGCCGCGGTTGAGGGTTACGCATCCCGAATGAGCTTGATCGAGGGCCTGGTACGAGTAGACTGACAAGAGAGGACCATGACGTGTGTTTTTGATGATCGCAATGAGCAAAGGATACCCAGGACGTGCATTTTAGCAGCGTTTGTTTTTTCTGTTGTGTTGCGAGTGAACTGTTCTATACTCTAGCTAATTATCAATATATGTTATCTATTCTGTACGGTCGAGGACTCAGCAGTCTGCCATATCTATTTCTATTTCTTAGCGTCCTCAATGGCCCATTGCACGGCATCGTACACATCATCGACAATGACAGTGGGCTTGTGAGCGGGTTCGCCTCCAGCATATACACCGGTTCGGAGCAGGATAGACGACCACTTGCTACCAAAAGCACTCTTGTACGAGTTTCCACCAGCAATATCCGATTCTGTAGTCAAGTGTCAGCCGATGCTTAAGGCTGTAGAGAAACAGCTGACTTACCTGGGNTTATCACCGACCATGTAGACCTTGCGCAAAGGCTCTATTGACTCGCCAGTGTACAGGTCGTTTCTATGTGCTCTCAATCTCTTCTCGGCAAACTCGTATGTCTCGTGGTAAGGCTTGCCAATGACCTTCTTNTGCAGTTGCACGCCGGCGTTCTGGCCTCCTGTGATGGCTGCCCACACGCCTTCCAAGCCCTCTCTGAAGCCTCCCTGGCCCAATCGTGGTAGATGGTATTTCGCAGCCCACCACAGGTCAGGGTTGGAGAAGTAGAGTTTGGGCTGGTTGTCTTGTTGGTATCCATTGTTCGAAAGTGACTTGTCGCCATTCTTGCTCGATAGTGTGCCCATGATTCCCTCTCTTGACAATAGTAAATCTGTAATGATTGTTGTATCCAAGCCCCAATCGCGAGGATCGTTGTATACAAAGACAGCATCGATCTTCAGGGACTTGTCTGGGTTCTCGGCGTCAATGGGAGCAGGTAGTGGTTTGGCGAACTTTTGGTAGTACTCTGCGAAGATTTTTGTGAATGGCCAGATGTCGGGGTATGCGGTAACGATATCGCCAGGNGTGACGACGGCTTTGAAGCCGTATTTCTGGGCAACGAGCTGGCATTTGTCGTAGTCGCCTCCTACAACCAGCACTGTCTTGTCGTGGAGCTCCTTCATGTCGGCGAAAGGGGTGTGACTCTGCACGAACATGGACGTGTCTAGGTCGATATCAAGCTTTTGACGAAGCTCGTCCACTCGCTCCGACTCGTGCTTGCCGCCGCCATTGGTGAGGNNGAGGATAAAGGGGATGCGTTCGGTCTGTAGGAGCGACAGGGCTTTGTGAGCTCGAGGTAGAGGGTCTGACGAACGGAGGAGGACACCGTCAATANNCTGCATCACATGTCAGTATCAAGTCAAGAGGGAGGATGGATATGCGACATACTCAAATGCAAAAGCAAAGTCAGGGTGTTTCGCGCCTGGTCTGGTTGTGATCAGAGACCGCGACCATTGTGCTGCGCATGTCGGTCTGCACCAATTCGATAGCACCGAAGGCCTGGTCAGCCTTCTTAATGTCGCCGTTGCTGTCGTTGCCATGTTTGCTGTGTGTTGGAAGGTCAAAGAGTCATCTTGGGTTATTGACCGATATCTCCATGGATTCGCATACGTCACTGCTTTGGGCCTACTGAACTCTTTTGTGCAACGGCTATACCAATTGACTTGAACATCTTTAGCTAAACATGACACGGCATATACGGTCGTGTATGCTGAAGTACTATGCGAGGTGTAACTTGTCTACATTCATTTCTCTCCAACCGAAAGCATCACATGCAGGATGAGCCACCTGCCCATCGACGTCATGCCATGTAGCTCACCAACCACCCATGTCGATGCCGATAGATATATAAATTCATAGAAGACCGTATTTGCTCTCTTGCAAACCTCTCAATTCCATCGTAACTATCCTCACAAAGTGAGTTCCGGCAATGTGCCTCAAGATATCGTATTCTTACAACCTAGTAGCCTGATCATCACAATGCCCATCGGAGAAGACAAGAAATCTGGAGTTGCCGGAGGTGTGACTGCAGTCACTTCTACACTCGGCAACGGTGTCGGTGGTCTCTTAGGCACTGTGGGTGGAGTCACCGGAGCTGCTGCTCGAGGAAGTAAGTGTTCATCGAAACATGTTTTGTTTAAGTTTTCGCACTGATACTGTTTAACCAGTCGGCAACACTGTGACTGGTGTTACAGGAAATACCGGCAAACCGCTCGGTGACGCTTTGGCTTCTCTCGGAAATGGTGTTGAGGATGGAACAAACAATATTGCTCGTGGAGTTGAGGCCGCTGGTCAGGGCAAGAAGGCTTGGTAAATGGATGATGTGCTTGGTATAACGATTTATGACTTTTCGCTTCTCGAATCCTGTGGGCATATGTATCTTGACTTTTGGATATACCACACAATACCGTCACGACTACATCTTTTTTTGCTTAGGAAACTGCTTTCATTGTATCTTACCAGTGTGGTTCCAATTGAAATCATGGTGAGTGAGCGTCCATCATGCCGTAGAGTACGTAAAGACTGACCCAAGTAGGGTCTATGCGCAGACGACCTGCGGGTACAGAAAGGAGTAGCAGACTTGTTGCACTCATTGGCAGGCTTGATCAGATGTATCTCTATGTGTCTTCTTGCATACACAGCAAAGATGGTACTCACCGCGGTTGGCAAAGTTTTGACCTACGATCCCCTCGACAGTGCGTCACACAGAGACAGGAGCAACCGCGCGGCCTCCTCAGGTTCTCACGCGTATGGAACTACTGCGTTGTCCCAAGAGCCGGAGGAGGAGGAGAAGCAGCTTTGAGAATTGTGGATTACATATCAGTCAGCAGTTGAGATGATCGTCGGTCCAAGGAAGCGGAGACTAAATCCCATCCTGAGATGTCTTTGCGTGGCTGTTGCTCTCCGCCTCATCTACCTATCTAAATCTTCATCTCGTTTCATCGTAACAACAATGGTAAGTCGGTCGAGTCTAGCAATAGGATCAAACACTTACACACCTCTCAGGCACTCATAGATGATGCTCAGACCATAGCCGAGATGCCAAACCTGGTACATGCGGTAGCAACCTTAATCAAGTGCATCGCCTTCTACATCGCCATGTGCGGACTAAGGGTGCTTGTCGTTGATGTGCTCAAAGTGGACCTTGGACCTGCTGTTCAGTGCTTGTTTGAAAGCTCAAACACACACTTCAAGGCGTCGACGTTTCAGGCGCAAGGAGGAAATTGGCCGGGTGAAGACTTAGAACAGGAAAAACGAGGAGTCTAGGATGCAAGAATCGACGTTAGTTTGAGAGGGAGCGAACAACAATTTGAGTTTTGCGAGATTGTATGTGATGGGAAAAGCGCAGTTAGATAGTTGCATGCTGTGTCTGGATTTTGTAGAGGTTCGTGCCGAAATCGCTGTTGGTAGATAATGGGCGACGATGACATTGAGAAGAAGCAAAAGATAATCAAATGTTACTAGAAGACCGTAAGACTCCAGAGTTAGTCTATATCACCATAGATAGGGCCTGTTAAAGACATGTAGAGGTATCATCTGGCTCGCAGATTGTACTGACAGGGTGATAGCAGTAGCTTCGAAGCTGTTTTTAGATCGGCAGGATGTCGGCAAGGCTTCAAGGCAGCCCTTCCCCGAACGTGGAGGCGGAGACTCCCTTGACGACGTATCTTGGCGTAGTAGGTCATTGCTAGAGCGCGGACAGTCAAGCAGTCGATATATGACAGCGCCCGATGGTTTGAAAGAACCGAGGGGTTTCTGTGATTAGCAGTATGGCGCCAAATGGCACGGGTCGCAAGGGTGAGGGCTCATGCCGCACATAGCTCGATGCGCCCGACAGCTAACTCTCTCCCAAAGCGCCGGCCGCCGGCAAGCCCAAGTTCAACTTTGCGTCGCGCGCTCGCGTCGACGAGGCTCTAGGCTCCGATTCGAAAAGGCAGTCACTCAAGCTCAAAGATGATGTCGTCAAGAGGCTGCCCAAGGCGTCGAAACCGGGCAACTGGGACTCGGACATCGTTGGAGGTAAGTCATTGTCGAGAGCCATGCCCAGGAGTTGAAGTTGAAGCTGACGTTGCCTCGAATCAGGTATGGATAAAGACACGAGCGGAGTCGTCAATCGCGTGCCCATGGATGTCGCTAGGGCCTTCGTTACAGGTCATCCTATGCAGGACGAAGCGGACATAGTCAGGTGCAACCATTGCAAACGACCCGTGCTCAGACACAAAGCCAAGGCGCACATTGAAGAGTGCATTCAGAAGAAACAGGAAAAGCAGCGCAAGAAGAAAGAGGCCAAGGACGCACGCGACGCCGCCGCGCGTAGAGCTGAACGAGAGAACGCAGACAGTGAATCCGAAGAGGACGACATCACAATGGGTTCCAAGACGGCCGGCAAGAACGACGGCACCTCGGGCAAGAAGCGCAAGGCCGAGGACTCGACCGAAGGCGCAAAGAAGAAGAAAAAGAAGGACGAGCCAAAGGCCAAGGCCCCTCGACCAAAGGCTCCTGTCGACGTTGAAAAGCAGTGCGGTGTACCTCTCGCTAACGGCGCTCAATGTGCTCGCAGCTTGACGTGCAAGAGCCACAGTATGGGTGCAAAGCGCGCTGTGCCCGGCAGAAGCGCTCCTTACGACAAGCTGCTGGCTGAGTACCAGCGCAAGAACCAGGCAAAGCTACAGAGTACGTCTTGGTCCGTCACTTGTCACAACACGTTGCTAACTTTCACTCCAGAGCAAGCTCTCGAGGCCCAACAACCATTCCAAGACGACGAATTCGCACACGCCGGACCTATCGACTCAGATGAAGAGAAAGATCTTGTCCTTGCCGCCATCGCTCGTTCCCAGCCACGTCCTCTCTGGCAGTCACAGCCCATCCNNCCCCTCAAACGCAAATACCAATACGTACGCATCAAGGAAATGATGAGTAGTGCGCTAGGAGGAAAGGGGGCAGGTCTCTTCCGTACTGGCCCTCCACCTGAAGAAGACAACAACAACAATCTCATGAACGGCCTGGACGCCATGACTGCAACACCGGACAACAGCGACAGAAGAATGAGCGGCGTGCAAAGAACAATGACAGGAACACATTCCCGCAAGACGAGTGCTGTTTCCTAAGCAGTACAATGCATATGACTGGTTTCGGCGTTTTAAGGGGTTCTGGGGTCCAGGCGGTTGCTTGATGTTTACTACACATGATACCCATTTTCTTTTCCGACTGACGAGCGAAGGAAAGGGTTCGGTCCACCTTAGAACTGGACATGCTAAATGATCATTCTCAATTTTCTTTTGTGCATTCTTTCGCCATCCGTCCAGCAAGCTCTCTTTCTCAAGTCTCTCAAATGCTAGTATGCTGACATATCTTCTGTCATGGTCAAATGTTGGGCGAACGTGGTTATTGATTCTAAGCTTTGCGGCTCTTAACGGCGATGCTTGTTTTCAACCGTCATCAAAACATTGCGCTTCGGATCTGGTCAGAAGGACAATATCTATCCGACACTACCATCATCAGGATCTAAAGTCTTACAGGACCTTGGATCATTGGATTGCGAATGCATCTCTCTGTGCTGATGTATCAAGGCTCGCTTTCCTTGAAATGTACCTGCCGTGGTGTATCATTTCGGCATATAGCCCATCGGCAGTTATAACGTCTTTCTATCGATCACTTTTGCAAAACTCTAGATCATCATTCTCCAGGTTCTTGCGGAGAGAAGTAAAACAATCCTGTCTCGAACTCGATAGTAGGTACGCATTGGGATCAATGCCATCTGCCGCTGGCCTTTCCCATCAATTACTAGTATTCGGTACAGAGCTACACTCCTGCGTGGCTTGAGATTGCCTGTGTATATAAAGGGAGGTCTCTGCTCTCCTCTATCCACCCACCAGCCTCTTCATTCGTTCCATCTCTGAGATCCTACTCTTCACAATGAAGTCCGCTGCTCTAGCCACTTTCCCACTCTTTTCTCTTGCACTTGGTGCTGTCAACTGGAGTGCCTTTGAGTCATGTGTGACCGAGAGCGGCACTGCATCTGTTAAAACAGTGCCAACATCACTGTCCACTACGACTGTCCAGCAGCCCGATGTTCTCATCAAGCACACATTCCATCCTCAGCACNTTTTCACCCCCAAACCTTTCACGAAGACGTGGACTCACACCTTCCAAGAAACAAACACTGCTGTGTCTACCATCACCATTCAGCTGACACACACCGAGTTCGTTCCAACCTCGACTATCGTGAACACCTACACGCAAACCCAGGTCTCTAGCGTCTACACCACAGTACCCACTTCTGCTGGCTTCTTGCCTATCTCCAACACGACGAACTCGGCTTACCCCAATGGACAATCGCTCAGCAGTTCGTCGGCTGCCGCATCCAAGTCTAGTGCTATCTCTTCGAAGTCGAGCTCTGCACCTGCTGCTGCTTCCGGTACTGCTTCTGCCGGCTTTAACATGACTGCTTCGGCTTCCGGCTCTGGTGTCGGTGCCTCAGGTGATGGTTCTGCCGATTTGGAGGCAAGAAACCTCAAGAACCTCAAGCAGTTTGCCCATGCTGTTCACTGCTTGAAGAGTGTCCTTGTCCAGAAGACTGTTAGCACCACTATCACTGGAACTACACAGACTAGCACACTTGCTCAGGCTACGGTGACTGCCACTGTCAGCGCAACAGCCACCATTATGGTCCAGCCCAAGTTTGGTCGTGGAAAGACTGTTTACACCACCGCAATTACCACTGTGACCAAGGGCTACAACGCTTACTCGAGCAAGGTCGTGACTGCCGAGGTCACATCTACCATCACATCCTATGCAGCATGCCAAACCAACAACATCCTCAACTCCGTTGCTGCTGTCAACGGCAAGGCAAAGTTCAAGACCACTGTTGCAAGCTCTGCCCAGCAATGCTGCGAGCAATGCCAACAGACCAGTAACTGCGTTGGATCCGCCTTCCAAGCCCTGCTTCCTATTGGCGGTCGCTGCCTCATTTACTATGCAAACACTTGTCCTGCCCAGTCTGCAAACTCTCTGCAGTACACTCCTGCACCAATCAAGCAGTTCCCCGGAACCTATGCCCTGAGCAACGGTGCATGCGGCTACATGTTCTCAGCTGGTGGACAGCCATCAGGTCATGGTCATGGGTGGTAATTGGCCTTTTATAGATGAAGTCAATATAAGCTAGGATAGTTAATATCGAATAATCTTAATATGTTTTTTGCCCTGGATAAGGTAGACCGTCATCAATGTGCCGAAGTAGGGCTTTGTCGGGTTTAATTTGTGCTCTCCCATATTAACCAGCCGGCATGGATGGAGCCACCGCGTCGATCTGGTTCTCAATTTATCTGAGTTGGATCCGAACAGATCAATAATGTACAATGTTCTTTCACGTCTGCTGGAAAGATCACAAATTCACAGCTCTGCATGACCGTGGCCTTGAAGCAAATTCCTTCGGGACGCTTTCAAGCTCACGTTGGATTCGGTCCTACGTTGAGTTGAGTACCATCAAGTGTCGAAATATGAAATCTAGTCAACGGCCGTCGGCCACTGTTACCCAGGAGTTGTAGCGAGCCGGCGGCGTGCCCAGATTCGCAAGACGCGCAATGCGAAAGAATGCTTCAAAACCATACGCTGCTTCCAAAACCCCACGCAAACATTCACATTTGGACGTCGTCGTGGCCCGCGGAATACTCGTCCGAATCGTGAACAAAACAAGATCGAGAGAGCACAAGAGTCATGATGGCTGCAATAAAGTTGAACAAACTCTATCAAAACGAATCGCAAATTGCTGCTTATCGTTGCGGCTGAGTCGTGATCTCACGCCGGACGAGGACGGACGTGGGCAGGAAAGCTGTAGTATGTACGAGACTGAGACATGCCTTGCGAATTTGGTTTCGCGGCCGTCACAAGAGACGGGGTTGGTGTCCACTTTTCGCCTTTCCACAGCTCGAAAAGGTAATTTCAAATGATCGATTACCTGCTGGAGTATGATGGCGCGATGTTATGAACCTCTCTGGACTCTGTCGCTCTGCTGGACCTCGAGGCGAGTCGTGAGCGCCGTGTCAGTTGAAGATCTTCCGTCAACGGTCATTCGAGACGGTGACCTCCGCAAATCATGCTCAGGCGGCCAGATGCGGCTCCGTTTCGGTTGCTTCTTGCATCTTCTGCTTCATCAAGTGTCATCAACAAGTATCATCAAGACAAGGGCTTGTTCGCTACCGGATCACAGCGGTGACACTCTGTCTATTGACAAATTAGCTGCAGGTACATTCTGAGCTGCCATTTTGTTCTGGTCTAGCACAGACAGACAGGAAGACAGACAGACTTAAAATCAGGGTCTGACATACAAATGGTACTAGCCGCGTTCATCATTACCTACAAAAAATTCTTTCCAACCAGAAGAACACAGTTTCACCAAGAAGCAACTATAAGACTCTGATACTGCCAATGCTGTAAGTGGGTGCTTGTTTTAGTTATTGCTCCGAGAAAGACTGCGTCCAGCCATGCTCCACGACTGATCGAAGCCACAATCTCTGGAATCTCGTTACCGCTAGACCGTAATGCCTCCTCAACGCTACCACAGATGGTGCCCCACGATTCATAGTGCCCTGCCGCGAGTCATCTGAATACTGGAACAGCTTGCCGCCCGGAACCAAGCGTCTGTTAGAACACAGGAAACGGCGCCATTGGCCTACAGATGCCTGAGCATGAACCTTCCTTTCGCTTCTCGCCGTCGATCCATGGGTTAGTGCGCTCCACATAGGCACGTGGGGATATGGATGTTGATGTGTCTGTACATGCACTGGGTCTTGTCTCTTCTCTCTAGCTGATATAAGGGAAGAGTTCCCTGTTCACCACTGTCGAAGGTGTGTGTCAAAATGTACGACGGTGTGGGGCAACTGAGGTCGTTGATTCTGAAGTTGAATCATACGCAACAAGCGGCCTTGCTTGACCGTCTCTTCTCTTTGGCAAGAGATGATACAGCGGACATTGATCTGTCTCCTCCGGTGGTTAGGGTAGTATGGGTTCTGCTTGGGATATCGACAGTCGTGGTCACCACCCGACTCACAATCAAGTACCGGACGACTCGACGACTTTATCTCGACGATGGACTCATGGCTCTTGCCTTGGTGAGTAGAGCCATATGTGTTGATCCTGATTGATTGTAATAACCCAGCTCCCAGTTGCTTGCTTGGATTCATGCTATCTTCTTGCAAATTTCGTTCTGCAATGGTCTCGGTCGTCATGTCTTCTACCTCGAGGGTCACAACAGATATCTTGCTCTCAAATATGGATTCTTATCACTGGTCTGGAGTTACCTTTGTCCTATGTTTGGCCGTCTCAGCTTTTGTGTATTCCTTCTTTGCGTCGCAGAAACCGATCCTCGAACCAAGAAATGGCCCATCTGGACATTCATGATTCTACAAATTATCGTCAACGTTCTGGCATCCACGCTACTCCTGTCAACTTGCGGAATGCATCTTGAAAGCATATTTTCGCTCGATCTTGGCATCTACTTCACATACTGTCTGCCAGTAGAGGTTCAGACAAACTATGCCTATTTTGCTGGTGGTTAGTAGTACCGACAAGGAGTCGATCTTGATGTTAAATGCTAACACAGCAACANNGCCTTTAATACCTTGACCGATTTCTTTNTGACTGTTCAACCTGCTCTCTTGATTATGCATACCAAGTTGGCGACAAGTAACAAGATCGGCGTAGCTTCTTTGCTTTGTCTCAGTGTCATGTAAGATAACCATAGGACTTCTCACAGATCTTTGAACTGACAGCATCTGAACGCAGAGNCCATGATTGCAGCCATTGTACGAACAGTTGCCGCGCATAAACTTAACGATGTTGGCGATTATACCTNNGTAAGTTGCAAGAACAGTTTCCGTCGACCTATCCACCCGATCCTAACGAGTGCTCCAGATCAACTGACACCCTTCGTTACATGGGTCTCGGTCGAACTCAACGTCGTGCTCACCGTCACATCGCTACCCCTGTTACGACCCCTGGCCCAGGAGGCCCGCCAGAGAGCCAACAAACTCTTCTCTGTCACTCGAAAGGAAAAGGAGCCGTGGGATGACACAATCTCGCTGCGCAGCATACATACCTCAGGAGCAGATGAAGAAGAAGCCAAGACAGGAGCTGGCGTAGGAGTGGTTGCTCTGGGTTCGCCAGCAAGCGAAGGAGGCTTTGTGGCTCAACAGGACATGTCGAGTGTTGTTCGCACCGTCGAAGTGCAGATCAGCTACGAGGCGAACGAGACGCCAATGATACACGCTTGCTTGGTTGGACTGGTCCAAGGTCAAGCGATGGAACGTCTGGCTGGCCGATGATCTCATGAAATGGCTTTGGTATCTCATTTGTCTTTTATTCTCTAATGTATGTTGAACGACCCAAAATTTATGCCCATGCACAATTGGTCAAGAACATTGACTGTTCTCAACGACCGCTGCATGTTGCTGTTACTGTCGCGATTACAAGTCGACCGACGTGAGCAGACTCGTCAAAAGCTGCCTTTATTTCGTTATACACGTGAACAAGAACAGCCAAGATGGTCTTGGCCATGTCAGTTAAGCATACAGGGTCATGTGAGTTTCGTGATTGTGCAAGGTTCACGGCCGTTAGGTTGGTGGAGGGATTACAGGTGCAACTTCCAGCGAGACCAAGTGGCTTGACGTCTGCAGGAGCAAGCACGACAAAGTGGCTTGACAAGACGAAATGAGGCTTGCGTGGCAGACAGGAATGGAGCTAGCTAGAAACAATTGACGTCGATTATGCGCAAGCAGGGCAGAAAGAAAGGCACGGAAGGATGAGAAACCTGGAAAGCCAGTCCAGACTCTCGCGAGCGAAGCTTGCTCTGACGAAGCCCTGTCTATCTATTCCTGTATTTGAACCTTGATGTTGAGGTTTGCAGGTTCCATGTGGCTGTGTTTACGCATGTTATGATGACAAGTTGGCCATGGAAGATTATCACCGGAATAGAAACAAGGAAACGTCTTTGGAAGCGCGAAGAAGGAACAGATGATGAAAGTGCGTGGTGAGAATGGCTGGGTTGAACTTGCGGGGCAGCCTGTTGCTCCTTCCAGATGACGTGCCTTGGTGGGGTAATACATCATACTTGGTACTCTCGAACGACAGCTCTCCCACCATACGCAGTTAAATACCTCACTCAATTCCCTTCGACAGAAACTTTCTCATACCATACCATCTTCTCTCAACAACTCTCATCTCTGATACCCAATTCACTTTTCACCCTATACCCCTTCTCAACCTTTATCCACACATAAACACACAATCATGTCGAACGTTCCTGGTAAGTCGAGCTTGAGCTCCCAATTACTCTCCCTGAATTCAGATCGTTGCTAACACAACTCTAGCTCATCTCCCCGGTGACCTTGGAGAGCATGACCCTCGTCGTGAGGCTCACCCCGTTGGCAACGAGCCCGGATCCGGTGGCCATGAGGTCAAGCTCGGCTCCGCTGAGGCCAAGGGCATTGACAGCGATGCCACTGCCGCTGAGAACAGCAACAACAACAACCCCAGATCAGACAACACTGCTGAGCACGCCATGGAGGGTGGCAGCACCGAGACCATGGACCGTCACAAGCGTCAGCAGGCCTCCAGCATCCCTGGTGGCCGCACTGGCCAGGACGGTGTCGATGACCACCTCACCCGTGCCGGTCGTGAACAGGAGACCGACAGCCGCTCCAACTACGGCGATATCAACCGCACTCAGGGCTCAGGCTTGACCGGCTCAAACACCCACTCTCACCACCACCACGACCACCACCACGGCTCGACTGGCTCGGGTCTCACTGGCTCAGGTCTGACCGGCGGTTACTCACAGTCTGGCACTGAGCCCATCTCTGGCGTCAGAGGTGCCGGTGTTGGCGGTGCTCCTTACGATGCTGGCAACGTCCAGTCTACTGGCTTCAGCGGTTCCGACCCCCAGGAGCGCCATCAGCTCCACCACGGCACTGCCCACCACCCCCACGACTTCAGCCACAACCACAACACCCGCACTGGTGAGCTCCTCGACCCTGCCAGCGGTAGAGACACTGGCATTCCCGGCTACACTGGCGGTGCCTCTGGCTTGACCGGCTCATCTACCGCCGGCACTGGCTATGGTCAGACCGGCACTGGCCTTACCGGCTCATCGCACACTGGTTACGGCCAGACCGGCTCCACTGGCGAGCGCCTCAGAGAGGGTCTCCGCGAGGGTGAGCGTGGCCTCAGTGGCTCTCACACCGGCACCGGCCTTACCGGTTCGCACACTGGCACTGGCCTCACTGGCTCATCTACCACCGGTGCTGGCTACGGCGAGACCGGCTATGGTCAGACTGCCGGCACCAGCTTGACTGGCGGCACTGGCCTCGGCTCTCAGCCCTCAGGCTACGGCGGTCAGACCGGCTCCACTGGCGAGCGTCTCAGAGAGGACGTCCGTGAGGGCGAGCGTGGTCTCACCGGCACCTCGACTGGCCACCACGGCTCGACCGGCTCAGGCTTGACTGGCTCCACCACTGGTCAGCACGAGTCCACTGGCGAGCGCGTTAGAGATGATGTCCGCGAGGGCGAGCGCGCTACCGGTCACGACAGCACCGGCACAACTGGCGAGCACAAGAAGGCCTCCCTCTTGGACAAGCTCAACCCCATGAAGGATGCTGACGGTGACGGCAAGAAGGGCTTCATGAAATAAGCAACTCGCCATGATACCCCTCAACATCACGATTCAGTTACGAACGATTACTTTTAATGTAGTATAACGAACCTTTTCGAATGAACAATAATTCTTCAAAGATTACCTTTTCTCTCCGCTATCTTCTCTTGCGTGATGTCGTAATGTAGCACGAAATCCTTATATAAATCGCTGTCAGTTGTATCACGTCCCATGGTCACGATGATGTGTAGAAGTTTTGATCAATTCATGTTGACTTGGGATGTCGTTGGTCATTCGTTTGTTGAATCTGTTGGCCTTTGCTTGACGAGGCGTTGACTGCTCTTCTGACTTGGCACCACATCTTGGACCTTTCTGAAATTCTTACCGTCGCCAGCACAAGACTCGAGATGCCTAGCATCCAAGATAGCATCAATCAGATTAAAGAGCAGATACGCGACCATGACTATGCACGCCAATCACACGAGCAAACGCAGCGCGAGCACGAGCGCATTCTGGACGAATATGACCGTATGACGCGCCACCGTTCAACACGCATGCGCGAAGAGAGGGATAGCAACAGACACCATGGTAGCGAGAGACGCCGATCCAGGTCACCGCCATCTTTGCGCTTTCGATTCAAGGATGGCAAGAGTGGTGGTAGTGAAAAGCGCAAGAGCAAGCATTCATCATCACACAGACACAGACACAGGCACACTTCCAGACACTTCGACGAGCATGACGAAGCCAACGTTCAAGGTTATACCGCCCATCCCTTCTCGCGACCGCGCACTTCTGAGTACCTGGATCCGTCCATTTCAGCCTCGCCCCAACCTGAGCATAATGCTGCCCAGTCGGTAGACCCAGATCTTGCCTTTCGAGAATCGCTGTTTGATGCCATGGCAGATGACGAAGGTGCGGCATATTGGGAAGGTGTCTATGGAGAATCTATCCATTCATACCCCCGACCCTCTGTCAAAGACGACCAGGGACATCTCGAGCAAATGACCGACGACCAATACGTCAAATACGTCAAAGCCAAGATGTGGGAAAAGAAGAACCCCGAGCTGCTCAGAGAGCGTCAAGCGCGTGCTGAGCGTGAAGAGGAGGCTCAGAATACAAGGTCTAGANAAAGAAGACATGATAGCGATGACGAGGAATACGAAGAAGACTTTGAATGGGTGGGCAATGAGGAGAAGGGCTATGAGAAGAGATCTACACGCACACGTCGTCCGAAGCCAGACCCTCGAGATGTGCCACGCGACAAGAGCTTCATGTCCGATGTCGATGCTGCTCTTGCTCGAGGTGCCAAACGGAAAGAAGCCAAGAAATGGCAACAAGCCTGGCTATCTTACCAACAAAGATGGCAAGACCTCAAAGCCAACACTGCACAACTTCGAGGCGAAGAGCTTCTCAAAGCAATCCCTTGGCCTGTACAAAGCCTCGCCGCCAAAGATGTTGTCAAGCAGAATGTTGAAGATTTCTTCTCGAATGCTCCACTGGACTCTGAGGATGTTCGAGTCAAGACTCTCAAAGACGAGAGTGTCAATTGGCATCCTGACAGATTCCAACGTCGTTTTGGTGGAAGCAATGTCGATGAGGAAACGCTCAAACTTGCTACAAGTGTCTTCCAGACTATATACGAAACGTGGGAGCGTACTAGGCCAGCCAGATGATGAGTCTGGGCTCGAAGCAAGTGAGTAGCGTCCTAGAGACAAGAGAAGCACTAGCTGTATTCATGTGCCCATCTCCAATCGTCATACTTTATCGTCTGCATACAAGAAGAAACACTCGTTGCCAATTCATCCTGGTAAATACTGCAGTTGATGACATGAGCAGGTACAAGATTCATACGCTCTCGAACACGTGCTTTCGCATGCTTTTATCCGTCAACTGTATTTTGCATGCGATTTCAGCAAGCCAGGAAGTCATACCAGTCGTACCTTCCACAACGCATGGTATAACAATGCCACGTGCGGTGCCACGCGCACACAACCAATGCAGAACGTGAAGGCACGATGGAAACAGTGTCTGTATTTCCTCCCGTGTCCAAACACTCTTGCTCCTTGACCAAAACATCATCTTTCATCAAGACAATACCCGAACCGGACGATTTGCATCTTTAAAAGACCATTGCAATATCTCAATTCTTGTCCATTGATACAAAGATCTATACTTCCAAGTACAGAGGTGAATTTCAGCATCGATCACGTTTGCCCAAAAGACGACCCTTTTGCTAATTGCATACCTAGTCTTCTACATCTGTCATCCCAAGACAAAAAAAATCCAAACAAGGACGACAATTCCCATCATGTGCCGTGCGAGAGTCACTACCTACATGCTCTGTGGGTGCATCCACAAACACTGCGATCTCTGTACCAATGCTCTCAAGGCGAGCACCGCGGTTGAATGGGATTCTACACACTTCTGTCCTGACTGGGATAAGGCTTCGACTGAAGTCAAGGAGAGTGTTAACAAGCGTTGCACTTCTCATGCTAAGGAACACCTTGAGAGGGCCAAAAGCACTAAGAGATAAGCCCACTGGCATCTGCTGGAAGAGAGGAGCAAGAGGAAAGGCCAATGCGAAGATGAAGTTGGCAGACGGCTCTTGCAACAAAGGCCTTTGATGATTGCGATCGTGGATGAAAGGCAGCAATTGCATGTTTTTACAAACGGCTTGTCCTTCCACACTCTCTACAAGCTCTTTGAGGTATACACACGAAGTCAACGATCAGGCATTCCATTGCTGCTTCTCGAGACTTTCCTGTCTTACATTCATCATGTATACCCAGCATGTTTCAATCCCTCAATCATACCTCCACTCATCAACGCCCACCTCAAAACATTAAACCCTTGCACCTCACCACCAGCAGCAGCCCCAAACCCCCTAACAAACTCTTCCGCAACCTTGACACCTCCAAGTACAGTTTTTCCCTCGTTCGTCTTTTCCAAGAATCTCTCTATCCAGTCTTCTAGTTCTTTGTCTTCGCCACTGCCGATGATGTTCTTGTTGACAGAAGCCGAGAAGCCAATCAAGGCTTTCAACACACAAGCAGCTTGCACAGCAAACTTTCTGTACTGGAGTCCTTGCTGGCAAAAAGTGATGTTTTCGTGTCGAGGCAACACATCATCGTATTCGACAAAACACTCTACCCATTTGCGTAACTCGTGCAGGGAGAGAATGCCTTTATTGCAATGCTTGAATCTCAATTGTCGTATCAAGACTTGATTGTCTCGAAGCCATTGCAAAACCTTGACGAGACATTTTACTCCATCGTCTAGTGGAGACCGTAAATCGTAGATGAAGGTGCCGGTGCTGAAGTACAGAGGCAAGGTTTCGTTGCGGATGAGAGAGCAGGTATGGGAGATTGGTGCAGATTTCCAGGTGTTGTGTCCGCAGTATTGGGATAGTAGATGGGTGGTGTTCTGACAAGGAGAGTGGATATCAAAAACGTATTTGTAGATTTGGAGGCGCAGTTCTGCTGGGAGGGAGAGCAGAGGGCTTGGTGTGGAGGTAGAAGGTATAGAAGCCATTGGTTCTTTTTGTTGACTATACAACCACAAAAGTTCTAGATGAGCAGATGGATGGAAGGAGAACAAATTGATAAGGTAGATTGATCCAAGAGATTAGAACAAGTAGAAAACATGACAGAAGGAGTAGGTGGACCTTAAGGATGTTATCAGATCATCTCAAGATCTAAAGAAAATGGTCTGATCAATCTGATTAGATTTACCCGCTTTGTGCGATATCGGTGCGTTGGCGTGCGCGCCCTGCCACGACTCTTTCCTTGGGGTCTCTCGCGTTTTATACCCGAGTGGGGGGATGTGTTTGGTATCTATAGAGAGTGAGTAGCTTGGTGCTTACGAAACATTGTCGTCAAGGTGATCCCATAGGTGATCGTGGATGAAAGCCAGAAGTGAGATGCAAGCTTCAGCGAGTTGATCCCCACATGTTATGCAGTTGCATATAATATGCATAAGATTTGACGACTCCGATGTCGTTGTTTCGAGATTGGAGGATGTGTGATGGGGATCTTTCTGTAGACGCCTTTCCATATCTCGATTGATCTTGTGCTTTCTTTAGCTAGGCTACTTGAACGAGCTCTGGAACTGCAAAGCCTGCACACTTTGTCTTTTGAGAACAATCTCGCGTGTGTGATCTGCTGTCAATCCTCTCGAACGCTTGTCGATATCGAAAAACATAATTGCAAGCAAAACAAGGTATCTGATTCACCTAAAAACCTACTTTGCTTTGATATCTTTTTGCTTACTGGCTTCTGATTGGAATAGTTTCTTTTCACAATCGGGGGACCTTTTTCAGATCAGTGGCTCTAAACATCTCTAACGATAAGCATATTGAGAAATTCTGGTTGCGAGGAAATCAACCAAACGATGACTTGCACCTACCCCCTACCTCCAGACCTGCTGGAATCTCAAATATCAACCTTGGATCTTCTTCTCGCCATGTTCCCCGACTCCGAATCCACAATCTCTTCCTCAGATCTATCTCTCATCACCAAAATCAGAGACAACGGTGCTGAAAACATCACTTGCACACCTTCAGAGATCAATTTGGCGTTACACGTTTCCTTGGACGCTACTCATTCCATCCAAGTAAACGTCACAGCACCATTACGAACCACAGAGGAAGATTGCACAGAAACTCCAGAAATGGTGTTTTCATTGCGTCAACCGGTTTGGATGGATAAAGCAAATTTGGCATCTTTGGTTGCCAGGTTGCCAGAAGATATTTTCAGTGTTTTGGAGTATTTGAGGGATGGAGGTAGTTCTTTGGTTCCTGCTGCTGCTGCTGCTGCTGCAACAAATGCAGGGAAAGAAACGAAAACAGGGCCTTTGGTGCGTGTGTGGTTTTACTTCCCTTCTCTGAGCACGAGGGAAAAAAGACAGCATATGGTGGATTGGGCGCCTTCGTACTCGCTGACTGGCTTTGTGCTTGCTGGAAAGCCGGGGTTGTTGTGTTTGGAGGGCGAGGCGGTTGATGTTGATGCGTACATGAATGAGATCAAGACGGTTAGTTGGNGGGACATTCCCTCACATCAGAAAAAAGTGTCGGAGAGGTATAGAGAGACTGGTCCAGAGGTCACAAGAGCATTTGATGGTATGATAGAGATTACGGATCTAGTGGGTGAGAGGCATGGGGCTAGGCAGAATAGGGGTGATATGGCTGCTATAGAGGCTTGGTTGAAAGATAAAGGACTGGGAGATATGTTTGAGAGTGTGATATTGCAGAGTTGAAAAGATTTCAATAGTCAGGCCAATCGGGGTCCACCTCATTTCTCCATGCGCGGAAGCCGCCTTGAACGTCTTTTATGCTCTTCATGCTGCCTGGACTCATCGTTTCCAACATCTGCACGGCAAGCTGGGAGTCGTTGCCGAGTTTGCAGACTACTAGGACATCTCTCCCCTTGAGGTCTTCAAGGATTTGGGTGTCGTCGCGGAGTCGAGTCTGCAGTCCTTGGTATGGTAAGTTTATGCTGTTAGGTAGACTACACAGCTCAAATTGTGTTTGATCGCGAACGTCAAGGACGATCGGAGCTTCGTCATCATGTGGTGACGTAGATGCGAGAGTTGAAAGCAGATCACCAGCACTTATGCGTGACGAAGCTGGAAGTATGTCGACAGGATTGGTGACGCCGCAGAAGGCAACATAGTCCATGGATCCAGAAGTCAGACTTGATTTGGTGACGGTATGATTTGCCGAGCATGAAGCACAATCAACACGTCTTGAGCGTAATTTAACATTCCTGAATTGAGGTATGCTGTAGGCAGAGAAAAGAAGAAGGGATGGAGGTGCCGCCGCAGCATTGGGTGGTGAAGTGATCAGTTTGATAGTCTCCAAGGCTTGGAGAATACCCATGACGCCAACGACAGGACCCAGAATACCACCTTCACCACAGCTGACGACAGATTCAGCAGGTGGAGGGCGTGGGAAGACGCAACGATAGCAAGGACCACCGTCTGGTGCACCCGGAGCGCGCGGAGGGTTGTTCAAAACAGTCAACTGGCCTTCGGTGCGTAGAGCAGAGGCTGATACAAGAGGCTTTCCTGACAAGACGCAGGCATCCGAGATGAGGTAACGTGAGGTTGGGTGGTCTGTACAGTCAAGTACAAAGTCATAGTTGTCGAAGATATCCAGTGCAGTGGAGGGGGTGAGATGTGCCCTGTGTGGGATGTAGTTGACATTGGGATTCAGGGCGCGTAGATATTGAATTGCACTGTCAATCTTGAACATGTTGATGCGATCGGTGGAATGAGCGATTTGGCGATGGAGGTTTGACTCTTCTACAGTGTCGCCGTCTACTAGACCCAAAGTACCGACGCCTGCGCCAGCGAGGTATGCAGAAGCAGGACAGCCCAGACCTCCAGCGCCAACTATGAGTACTCGGGCAGCCTTCAGTCGCAGTTGTCCTTGCAAGCCGACCTGGGGCATGATGAGTTGACGTCCATAGCGTTTGAAGTCGGCATTGCTGAGGCCGAATCTCTGGTTGGGTTGTTGGTCCTGGTGGTGAAGGTGTTGGTTGTTGTTCAAAGCGCCCAGGATCTCTTGCTGCCAGTCTGTCTCGAGCTTGCCGGCATCTTGGGCGCGATGTTGGGCTTCCTCGGCATAAGCCAATTGTTCTCGGAGGTGAGATAGTTGTTCTTCGGTGGCCTGGATCTGTTGACGGAGTGCTGCGACTTGGGCATCGACAGCCGACGTGGAAAAGACGGTCGCCATTTCTGGTCTGCAAGCGTCGAGTGTCAAGTGTCAAGGGTCTGAAGGTCGAAACGTGCGAGCAGGCGGGGCACCACTTTGAGCGGCTCTTTCCGCGAACCAAGAAGAAGTTTTTCTTCTAATTATTCTACAAACAGCAATCATGTCGGAACAAGAAGGACCATCGCCAGAGGAGGCCGTACCACAACAAGAAGAGCAGTTGCAACAGGAATTGCCCGTCGACTGGCCCGAGAACATCGAGTACCTGCGCCGTCCCAAAATCTCTCCGGCCGTACCTGCCATTGCTCTCAAGATCCTCAACACTCCGACTGCTGCCACAGCAACCCTCACTCGCTTCTCTGCCGACGCCTTGTCCTTTCCTAACCCTGAAGTGCGCATCGTCCCTCTTAATGATCCCGACCATCCCGCCAATGGCCAATTCGGTCTCGCTGCTATGAAGCACTTCCATCCTGGCAACTTCATCCTACCATACATTGGTCGTCTGCACACCAACAAGCCCGAAGACACCGACCCCGATTCCGAGTACGACATATCCGTCGATCGAGACCTTGACCTCGCTCAAGATGCTGCAAAATCCGGCAACGAAGCTCGTTTCATCAACGACTACCGTGGCATAGCCGATGCTCCCAATGCTGAGTTTCGCGACATCTGGGTCCAGACTGCCGAACGAAAGTGGGAGCGCTGGATCGGTATCTTTACAGTTACCACGGGCAAGTCTGGCATGAGAAAAAATGGCATCAGACCAGGAGAGGAGATTCTTGTCAGTTACGGCAAAGGTTTCTGGAAAGACAAGAAGGATGGATGGGTTCCGCCGAAGAAGAAGTATCCTGAACGGGAGAACCATGGAAACATAAGAAGAGCCCGTGTCCGGAAGTGATATCTTCTGCTCAAAGCCTAAGCCAGACCAATCTGTGACAGCCCAAGGACACGCCGTTCCGCCTCGTACGCTTCTACGGGCATGACTATCACACCCGCAGTGCGCGTACACGGCATCCAACTCAACATGCTATACTATGCCCAAGCTGCTGGCGTCAATGACCACCTTCAGAGGCTCGCTTACAACCAGCGACTTGATCTTTTCTGACGTCACTGGTGAATGGCTTCTGTCTTCGCATTCGACCAAACGACCGACTTCTACAGTCGAAGCCCAAAAGAACATCACGCGCTCAAGAAAACATGGAGTTCGCATGTCCTTTCTCCAGGTACCGCATCTGCTGACCTGCATGTATGAATCCTGGATCGTCCACCGGGTAATTTTCCTTACGCGGCCCGGTGGATCCATCCATCGAAGCCCACATTTCAGGGATCAACAGGGTCGTAATGGATAAATTCAAAGAACCGTGATGGTCATCTTATGTCATGGATGACCTTTTATGATACGCAAAATAGGTCACTGATGGAGAATTCTTGGTCGATTCTTCCATCGTGTTTGTAGCCTTTATCCAGTCGCTGGGAGACATCAATAATTCATATTTTCTTGAGCCAAGAGCATCTCAAGTCGCGAAGGAATCAAATCTTGTTATGGGAAAGATACAAAGCTACACCAAGACACTGGCTTAACGCCTACGTGCGCAAACTGCTGTTCCTTCTTAACCAATTCTCCCTATATGCCAAAGTGACCAGTTCCCTGTTTATTTTTGACTGGCTGTGCATTTACTTATTCCTCAATGCTCAAAAGGCCAGTGCACCGCCATTACGTAGGTAGCCCGTTTCTTCCGCGCGCGGCTCTGCTTTTCGGTCAGCGAAAGGGCAAAAGTATATAGATCCACGGCCCCGGAACGCCATCGTCGGCAAGGGGACTCTATACGTATCTGCGCCTTCCTACTCTTGAATTACAATATACCTTGGTGACCCCTCTTCTTGGACCTCCTCTCGTTCCCTCAGCTGGAACAAGCTGTGAGCACAATCTGAACAAAAAGATTGAAACAAAATTGAGAGTGGAAAATGGCGAGTCCCTTTGCTTCAATCGCCAACCAGAGGGTCACATCTCAACGACCGCCGCGACAAACACCGGAACTGGATTTTGACAGGTGCGCCGCGTTGCACAACACAATAGCCATCTATGGCTGGCTACGCAGTGGCCGCAAGGTCGCCGACATGGATCGCAAAACCTGGTGGCAGAAGCGCGGCAACACGACCCTGGAGGTTTTGTTACGGCCGTCCTTGGTCAGATTCTTAAAGAAGATCTTTGACTTGCCTGGAGGTGATGGAAGCCATNTTTTCTATTACATCAGCAGAGTTGCCAAGCCGAGAGAAATGCTGTATCTTGGAGATTTGCTGGATGATAGTGAGAAGAAGATCAAGGGAGAGAAGCATCGATTTATCACTTTGTACATGACGAACAAGGAGTTGGTCAGTCAACGGAGTGGCATTGTGTAAGAGCATCTTGAATCTCGATGGAAAATCCGCGCTATTTCAGTTCTTCAGAAATTCCAAGCAGATGATTGTCGAACAAAACAGAGGAAGAACAGGGCTAATCACGCAATACAGANNTACGATCAAGAGACTGGCAAGGCAATCTTCATGCCTACATTTTTGCACATTTTCGACCTGTACGACCAGAAGTTGCCATGGCAAAGACTAGAATCAATTCTCAGCGCTTATATCGATATGATTGAAGCAGGAAAGGCTGTAGCCTTACACGAGTCCATTGGTCGCGAGCCACGTATAGGACCAGTGCAAGGCCCCGATGGTCAGACATCATGGCAGGAGATTGCACCCTCAGGACCAAAAGTAGACCCTTATACTGGAGCTCGGCGGTCACGCTACGACACCCACCCTTGGAGTCTGGTTTCCTACACTCAAGGCGACTTGGCTTCGTGCCTGAAACTCTGGGAGCAGCTCTTCACAGAAGTTGAAATCAGGAGTGGATTACGGGATGAAGAAGAAGACCCAAACACCACACCTTTGTGCAGTCGATCCGGCCTTTCCGCCGCAGGTGTGCCGAGAGGGTTTGCCTATGACCTACTATCCCACGCCCGGCAACCGCGGATCTGGTACGTAGCACCAGGAATCCGCCTACCTCAAGCCTCGGAATTCGTAAACCAGCCCTTCAAACACGTCGCTGCGAAATACCCAAAGGAAACCGAAGGCATCAAAATGCCGTTTTTATTTTTCCGCGCAGAGGGCACGGTAACCTCGAAACAAGCAAACTTCCGCTGGCCGTTCAGCACAGTGCAGGAAGTACCTTGCGGTCTATACCTTGACTCATACCCAAACAAGGAGAACCCTTTTGAGGATGCATGTCGCCTTGTGCTCCNNCCCTTCCCAGTAGGAGGAAACAAGAAAGCCAGAACCAGCGATGGCAGATTGATGCAGAAGAGTCATACAGAGGTTTATGCTCATGGTATCAATCCCTTTACTTTACGCCATGGTCCCAAGTTGACGGCCATTTTGGAGAACTGGTTGATGAATGTCAAGAGTGGACACTGGACTGTTGATGAACAGGGCGTCTCTGGTGGTGTGGAGGCTTGGAAGCAGGCAGATACGGAAGAGCATTGGGACAAGTATGTTTCGGCGCATTTAGCATTGTAGGATGGGAGCATAGTATGAGCATGTTTTTGAGCGTCAGTTGGTCTGGTTTTAAATGACAAAAATAGCGTTGTGACATGCTTGAAGCTTCCTAAAATCGCTCAGCTTGATGGCAGACACATGAGTTTTCGATCTTGTAGATAGCCCGTTGTGGTAAACAAAGCATGTGTTTGGATATGCCTTCTAGAAGAGCAGAAAACATCCACCTCCTTACCGCAGATGCCAAGACATGGCGCGAGACTGGAAGGGTTTGCGCAATTTGTAGTTTTGGCCTACCGTTCACAAACGTCACTGTTGCCCTCGGCTTGCATCTTGAATTTCCTATCCAGTTGCCTTCGCATTATATCAACTTGACATAGATATACCATCGAACATATTCTCTGGCGACAAAGAAGTTAGCAGTCAGCATGTCTTATCTGGATGCGGCTCAGTCAAATCAGGTCTCTCAGGCATATCGAACGCTTGGCCTGGTACCCATCAGTTCTCAATACCATTCGGGTGCAAGAACATTCGCAAAACATCGGCGCAAGATCGCCATACAAGATGAAAAACTTGCACTTGCCCGAGAAGAAGTTGTGCCAGATCCGCAATTGGACACAAAGCAGCCATTTCCATTCATGGATCTACCAGCAGAGATCAGAGTTCGAATCTATCAATACGCACTAGCACGGCCACGGAGACTGCATCTGGAAGTCATGCGAACACCGGCTCTGGCTTGTGTATGCAAGCAAATCAGACAAGAATGCCTTCCAACATTTTTGCGCGTAAACAGTTTTCAAGCTTCGTACACAAGAGGTCTGGACGGAACCTTTGGTCTGACTTTTGCGGACGAGACTTTGGCATGGTTTAAGACGCTGTCGTTTACAACAAGAATGATTCAAGACATTAGAGTCACGTTTCAAGGAGATCTTGGACAGACTGGTCATAGATCTATCGTCTTTCAGATTATCGCCACGGCTAAGGAGACTTGGGTCAATCATTTCGACCGCTGGTGTCCCTTTNGCATAGATGGTTTTCATGGCTCTTGTTACCATCTTCCACATCCGAATTACGATCATCCTTGCCTCAAGACCAATCCACTAAAACTCAAAGGCATGCATGATGAGTTTGTAGCTGCTGTAGAGCGTACCTACTTCAACTTTTCGGACAACTGGGGCAGAGGTGGCCTTTCCATCTCTGAAGTCATCGATCTGGCAAAAGCGGCGGACAAAATCAAACAGAATCCAGATGTGTTTATACCGTTCTGCTTTTCGATGCAGAAGCTGATCGAGCATACGGACAAGATTGAGAAGTGGGCGAGTGTGTATAGTGATTACTTGGCATCACAAAGAGCGCAGGAGATTTTGTTGGAAGCTGATGGACTTGCACAAGAGGATCCTGCTTTGCAGTGGACAGAAGATGGTTGAGTGACCTCATATTCGAATTGGAGGGATATGGATATTTACGACACAGAGAAAGACACCTGGGGCGTCCCATCCAACACGCTGGATGTGTTGCACTACTGGCCTTCTAGGGATCCCTTTGACATCTGTCAAGTACCCTCTTTCTCGATCCAGCGTTTGGACAATAGCCTCAAGCTCGGCTCTGGTTTTGTTGGCTCCACAAACCACCTCTTCCATACGATAGGTCTCGTGTATGTGTATCCATCCTCCCAGCTTCGGATCCAGGATTGCTGCTGCTGTGGCATGAAGATTGCGAGATGTGGGTAAAAGTCCACAATTCACATGTCTGACCGGAGGTAGAGAGTTTCTCAAGCAATCGATCCTGTCTGAGGCTTTATCGCCATCTTCGACGAATGCCATCACTCTGGTCTTTGAGGATACCTTGACGGTCCTGCTCCGAATCTGGTCGCGGTAGACCTGAACAGGCCATCTATTCTTGACCGCACCTCTCCTTAAGCCCTCTATACTCCAAGGATTCGAATCCCAGCAAAGGACTTTTTGCACGCCAGCTGCTGCGTAGCCGAATGCGACAGCACCAGATCCTGCAGACAGATCCACTGCGGTACATCCCTTACGTGTGCTTTGAGCATTCGCCGTTGTTTTCAGACTGGACATGTTCCAAAACCTGGCGCTGTTTGGGGTGTTTTTGTGGGGTGCGGCGGTATAGCGAGGAGCCCAGTATTGTGTCATGCCATTCTGTCTGGTGCTGATCCAAGCGGCATTGTCGAAGTCCTCTTGAGTCGGTTGGCTGCACACGACTGTAGAGTTTTGTTGTGCAGGAGAAATGTTATCCGAGCGTCGCGGAAGCTTGATATCGTCTTCGTCTGCAGATCCACCAGAGATGCCACTGTCATGTCTTTCGGGATTCGAAGGCGGGTATAAGGGTTGATAGGGATAGCTCAATCGCTGGTCACAGACGGCCAGGTAGATATTTTCGATTTCGTCATGCTCGAGGGTGCTCAGCAGGTCATTCCATGGTTCCATCTGGTGTTGGATAGCGCGATTGATGCCGCTGCGCTGCAGCAACAGAACACTGTAAAAGATTGAGAATTCGCAGACCAAAGTTTCGACATTGGTTGTGGGTAAAAAAAAAAGGGAAACGGAAAAGAGAGATCAAGTAGAGCAGCAAGAAGGATCTAAAGGAGTTTTGCCTCGCGTTTGGTAGCAACTGGTGACAATCACCAAACTGTTGCGATCCCAAGGCTTAAGGATTGGCGGTGCTCGAGATCGGGCATGGGTTGGAAACGTGAGTGTGGTGACGATGATCTTCACCCGAACCAATATATCTGCTGTTTTATTTGTGCGGTACCCTACCCTTTTCCTCAAGCCCGCCTAGGGACGCCTGGTGCACCGGTATCGTACCTCGTGGGTGTCTTCGTCATTCGCGTTCTTGCCCCGTCTGCTCGAGCACCTGTCCCGAAGATAGGGCACCCACGGCACCAACAACCCGCCTTGGTCGTTGTTTGCATCGGGTTTCTGCTACCTCATTCTTGGCGAGGGCATCCTTGGGTAACAGTCTTGCTGCTGCAAGAGCACCACCGATCTACGCGTCTTGTCTATCAAACTGGTTCCTTTCCTGTGATCACTCCTTTTATCAAACTCTGTTCTAAGGTTACGAGAGTTTCCACACACGTGGGATCGCAAGTGTCAAGAAAGGGCTGACAGAAGCTTCCAAACTGCCAAGGGGTCCAGTCGGATGTGTCTCCGGCAATTCGGAAGTTCGAGTTTGCCGAAAAGCAGAGAACAGCGACAACGATTACAACGATGATGATGTGATGCTTGCTGCCCAAAGCAAGCATATCGACTCTGCTTGGTTTGCATTCACTGCACTCATGATTCTATGTAAGGTTGTAGAAATGTATTCTCGGAGTTTGAACAATCGACGATAGAAACCTGGAATTCTAGTGACAACCGGGGTGCCTGAAAGAGATCCTCGAACTCAAAATTCAGTGACCATGACTCTTGCAGATTATCAATCGACACGTTGTGAGAGGCATGGTTCGGACAAAGGAGCAAATCCGGAGCTTTGATATAGAAAGATCAGAATGCGTTCCAAAAGCGACTCTATTAGCCGAAGAAGTAAACTTGATACTGTGGTGAGCTGACATGGAGGCTCAAAAATTGCCTTGCCTACTACCAAGAAGGTTCACTCCTTTTCCAACATAGAAGCAAAATCAAGACGCAGCGTGATTGTTACCAAAGTTTGGAGCCCTCGATGAACTCAGAAGGACTCGGTATAGCGAGCGATTATCATTATGAGCGCTTGATCTCCCACTTCTGGCCTTGGATGCTGACTTCTTCGCTGGCTTTCTCGTCGTAGTCGTACCAATCACCTTCTGTCAGGTCAATGGCGTCGAACTTTGTGTTTGATTCGATGCCGGTGGCTTTCCACTCTCCCNNTATACATTGCATTAGTACTTTTCGAGAAGCATGTAAGAATGATTGGTAGGTTGGACATACATCTGGCTTGAACTCAACGAATTCGAGACCTCTGCAGTCGAACTCGATAATCTTTTGGGCCTTGGGAGTGTCGCTGTGGGTGTAGGGTTTGGGAGCCTCCTTGATGGTTGCAGAGTGTTCTCTCTAATAAAGCAAAAGTCAATATATCAGATTGTTTCAAAACATGTCAAAGATTAGACAAACCTTGCAGTTTTTGCACTTCCAGACGAAGTTGGCCTCACCCCTGCTGCCAGATACTTCGTTTTGTTCNCTAGGTCGAAGATGTCGGTGAATGAAAATGTGAGGAAAGACAGAAGAAAGACCTACGAATCTGCTCACGCTGACCCAGTTGGGATGGACCTCACGACATGAAGTACATTGCACCTTGAATGTGTAGTAAAAGGGNCTGTCTTCGGTATCGATGGGAGCGAGATCGGTTACGCTGTTTTGGAATGTGTTGGCAAATCGAGCTCATGCTTTACACAACCATGACTATGAGACCTACCCGTTGAGCTCGGCGGTTAAAGTGAGTGCCAACATGATGTGTAGTGAATGTCGAAAGAGGAAATGGTGATTGTTCTGAAATGCTCACGACTGGCAAGCAAGCAAGAGAGTAGCGGAAGAGAGTGCCAAGGCCACGCGGGAAAGTCGACTCGCGGGCCCAAAAAATACCGGTAGTCAGTCACCAGAGACGGCACAGCCAGACGACAACAATCCTTCCCTTCACGCTACAAGGATCTGGTGGAGGGGGATCGCGATGCAGCAGCGATAATAATGCAAGCACTTTGGTCTCGGGTAGCGCAGACCGGACTCAGCTGCCATTGCCCGTCATGTGTTTCGGCCGGTGCCAGCGGAGTTGCTAGACGAACCACCAATGCTGCCGGCAGAAGACCAGTGAGATGGGCTCTTTCATCCACCTTCGTATACTCGGGCATCTTTGCCGCCGCCGCTACCACCGATGCTGGATTCAAGCAANAGAGACGGGAACAATGGGACCGTGCCATCGCAGACATTAAACAGGATCTAGACCAGCCCGCATTGGACAAAATCACTGTGACCCAGGAACTCGCTCAAGCCCAGAAAGAGAAGGAGAAACAAATTCAGATTGAGCAAGAGAAGGAGGAGGCTGTACCGTGGAAACTGCTCTCTGACGACCTGCGAGAAGCCGTTCTCGAGGATCAGCATCAAGAAGCACAGCTCGATGGCCCTGTATGGCCAGCAAACACGGGCGCTGAACTACATCGACCCTTTGTTGCTCCCAACTCCATCTATGCCAAACCCTTCCACCGTGAAAGGGCGCTCGCCACTCGCTGGACCCCAAAGAAGATACGCACGACCGAGTTGGCTGTCGACAAGCTCATTCTGCGCATGCTGTTACATCTGGACGACCTCGGTTTTCGCAAGGACATAGGCACTGTTGTACCTACATCATGCTCAGACTTCTTTGGCGCCTCGACTTCTCACCTTAAAGCTCTTCTGTTATACACAAACAATCAACATATGGATGCCACTACCTTTCCAGAAACCTTTGCACAGGCGAATGACTTCCCACGACAACATAAATACGGTGTCACTTATCGACAAGATGCTCTGGGCGAATTCCACCATACTGCGCAAAATTTGAACAGCGCATTGGGCCAGCTGTTTGAGAAGAGACGGTCGGGACAACTAGCCTATGAGGAACTTGTCGCAAAGATTGCCTACAACCTCTACATATCTTCAGCACCACCAGAACTGGACTGCTGGAACACCCTGCTTTGCGGCTTCATGGACTGTGGGGACATCTTCCTGGTAAATCCTACACTGAATGCAATCCGCAACGCAAACGTGCGCCATAACGAGGTCACCATCAGAGCTACCCTCAAGTACTACATGATGGTCGACTGCCGTGACAGATTTCTCACCTTTGTTGATAGGGTCCGCGGTTTGGGAAATGGTCTGATGCTCGCAAAGCCCACCATCACTATCAATGATTCAGGTCGTCCCCGTTTGATTCCGAAAGACAACGGCAAGATTGTCCAGAAGCCATATCACACTCCTGGAGTCTTTGAGACCATCGTGCAAGGTGTGTTGCATTTCGCTGGCTTCGACGTGGCCTTACGCATTTGCAAAGACATGGGTCGCGAAGGGTGGGGTCTCTCGATTCGTGGTTTGACCCCTTTACTCGACGATCGAGCGCGAAATGCAGATTACAAACTCGGATGCCAGATATGGGACCTGATCAAGATGATGCAGGCGGAGAGCAAAGCCAAGGGCAAACCGGAAAGACTTTTCGCCCGCACTTACTCGGCTATGATGCGTTTGTGCAGTGCTTGTAATGACATGGCTCGTTTCGACGAGGTATTGCGCGAAGCACGCACTGCCAAATACGAGCACAAAGACCTACTGAAGATGTTCAGGCAAGAGATGCTTGATGGATCATCTGCAGTGCGTCGGTTGACAGAGCCCAAGTCTGGCATACAACGTTATGTTCAGGAAGTCGCTCTGACAGACTTTGAGAACATCGAAGAGAAGGAACCTGAGAGATTCGATGAGGAGATTTCAATCATATCAGAGCAGGAGGCTCCGGTAGTCATGTCGTCAGCCAGTATTGACTCTAGCTCTGGTCTGGCTTTCCAGGACGACGATGATTGGCTGGACTCTGCAATGGAAGTCAGACAATGACAGACGAACATATGAGCTGTGTACATATATGTAAAGATCATTGCATTGGGTTGCGGCGTTACAGGAGATTGGGGGAAAGGACATCAAGCGATTGATGCATTGATTTCGGAGAGCCAGGCGTGTATGGCTATTGGGGATCATGTACAATACCATGGGAACACGATACAACTTGTAGATATGTATGTCATCAAATTACTGATTAAGTCTGCCTTTTGTAACAAAATGTCTAGGCAAGAGCAACGGCTGCCTTGTAGATCTGGTAGAAACAGAGAGCCAGACCTGCCGTCCAGGTCATTGAACGAGCATGACTGGCTTGTTCAGAGGTTGTGTTAATNCTGGCCATCATAGTCAATATCAGATGCTCAAGAGATGCACCGAACCGAAATCCACTTACGTAGAGAAGAGTATAAAGCACTCTGAGACCAAGGAACGTAGCCGAGAACTGAGCGTTACCAATGTCGGTTCTCGTGAGCTTTTCAGCAAAGACACCAGAAAGGGTGGCAGCGATGAACAGAGGCAAGGTCTCCATGCTGTTCTTGTGTGCAGCCTCGGCGCGTTCATAGAGGCCGAAGACGGCGGGAGGGAGGGTCTTCTTTACGTGTTGGATGTTACCCTCACCTCTGCCGTTTGCATTCGACCATTCAGTGTGCTTCTTGACAGTCGAGAGTGCATAGNNCTAGGTTGAATGCTTAGATGGTTCCGCATCGAATTGCTTACAAGCTACTTACGCGTGAGGAACGATGGCCAGAATGGTAAAGGCCGGGATGGCAAGAAGGGAGTAGTCAGGCATGTTGATGGTTGTTGAGACGGAATTGGATTTTGTGAAGAAGTACGAAGTAAGTTCTGCGAAGAGGAAAATCTGACTTCTTATTGCTATAAACAAGCTCGTGGGGTTCGGATCTCCTCTTCATAGAGATGGATGATGACGCCGATGCATGTATGAATACGAATACGGAGCCGAGTGTTATCTTATCGCAGCGTCTTGGCAGCATCAGAGCGGGGTGTGATTTTCTCCGTCCTTGTGGCGTCGCTGACTGAAGAGAAGTTCCTTCGAGAACATTTTTGGTAACAGGAATTAATTCCTCTTGTTTCCTACACTCGCCCTTGGCCTTTTGTCGCCTCACATCACTCTCTAGGCACTCGACCGAAGTGCTCGTTTGCGCCCCTTGTCAACCCGGCGGCGTACTTTTTCGACCTCAGTACAGTTTTTACCTTTATCAGCACATCATCATGTCCATGGATCTCGACTCGGTGTCGATGGCACCCGCTGCTCAGCGTGAGGTGACCAACGCTACGTGTGTTTGCCTCCTATCTTCCATATCAGTAGGTCATACTGACAAGGAACAGCNNATTCTCTGTTGCAACTGTGGTGCTCCCATCGACGGCACTGTCTCAGCTGGCGCTCTCTGTTACGACTGTATCAAGCTCACCATCGACGTATCGCAAGGCATTCAAAGAGAAGGAACACTCCACCAATGCAGAGATTGCGATCGTTGGTTGTCCCCGCCCAACCAGTGGGTTGTCGCCCAGCCCGAGTCGCGTGAACTTCTGGCCCTCTGTCTTCGCAAGCTCCGTGGTTTAAACAAAGTCCGCATCATCGACGCCTCCTTCATCTGGACTGAGCCTCACTCGCGCCGTATCAAGCTGAAGATCACCATCCAACAAGAAGCTTTCCAAGGCACCATCCTCCAGCAAACCTTTGAGGTCGAGTTTGTCCAGGCCAATCAACAGTGCCCCGACTGTCAAAAGAGTTTCACCCACAACACATGGCGCGCCGTCGTCCAGGTCCGCCAAAAGGTCACCCACAAGCGTACTTTCCTCTACCTCGAACAACTCATCCTCAAGCACGGTGCTCACCGCGACGCAATCAACATCAAGGAAATTCACGACGGTATCGATTTCTTCTTCTCTGCAAGAAACCATGCCGAGAAGTTTGTCGATTTCCTCGGCAGTGTCGTACCTATGAAGAGCAAGAAGTCGCAAGAGTTGATTTCGATGAACGTCCACACCTCTGAGAAGACCTACAAGTTCGCCTTCTCTTGTGAAATTGTGCCTATTTGCAAGGACGATCTGGTCGCACTCCCCATCAAGCTCGCTAAGCAGATCGGAAACATGTTCCCCCTGGCTCTCTGCTATCGTGTCGGTACTGCCGTCAACTTGCTCGACCCCAACACCCTCCAAACCGCCGAAGTCGCTACTCCTATCTACTGGCGCGCTCCTTTCACACCTATCGCAGATATTCCTCAGCTTGTCGAGTTCATTGTCATGGATATTGAAATCACTGGTCCCACAAAAGGTCGCTTCGTTCTCGCCGACTGCACGGTTGCTCGTGCCGCAGACCTTGGCGTGAACGACACAACATACTTCTGCCGTACCCACCTCGGTGCTCTCCTGAACCCTGGTGACAGCGTCATGGGTTACCTCCTTGCCGGAACACAGTTCAACAACAACGAATTTGAGGACATTGAGAACAGCAAGACATACAAGTCCGCAATTCCCGACGTAATCTTGGTCAAGAAGCACTACCCTCGTCGCAAGAAGGCTGCTGGTCAAAAGCGAAACTGGAAGCTCAAGCGTATGGCCAAGGAAGAGAGCGAGATGCTTCCCCGCAAGCAGGACCAGGAGCGCCTCGAGCGCGACTTTGAGCTCTTCCTGCGTGACGTTGAGGAAGATGAGGAGCTTCGTCAAACTATGCAAGTCTACAAGGCCCAACAGGAAGCCAACGCCAATGATATGGAGATGGAGACTGATGACGAGGATGATGAAGAAGGTCCTCAAATCCCTATGGAGCAACTGCTCGACGAGTTCGAGGAGATGAACATGCAAGACGCCGAGTAAGGTCTTGCATATCCTTGCTCGCGTGGTTTTGGCATGGTCGGCTCTTGGGCAGTTGACCATAAAAAAGGGTTATGGGATTTTTCGTCACGGCGTTCATAGCATGTAAGGCGTTCCATGTTCGTTATTCTTCTTATGATCTTATCTTTTGGACGTTTAGAGATATCCATCAATGTCAGTCGCAAGAAAGCGACATACTTTCACATCATGCGTGCCTTCCAGATTTATTCAACTTCGACGCGACTTTTGATTGCTGCCTGAGGCCTGCATTCGCACTTGCCTTGACTTCCACTTCACAACACGATCGTCACTCGTCAGATTTCCTCTGCCGCTTCTCATTCCACTTTCTTCACGCCCTCATCGCGTCTTCGACGAGGTATCAGGGAGACTCCCTACATCTTCTCTTCGTCTTCACTGCATTTCCCTTTCGGTCTGGGCTACATCGGCACCTCACTGCGTGCTTCGCGCACCTGTTCCTATTCCATTCTCTGCTCTTCGTTCAGCTCGCCTCTTGCATGCCTCTGCACAGCGGTTCCATTTGGTGTAGACCGAACGCCTTCTCAGCCATCCACGTCGATCTGTCGAAGCGTCCTCACTATCATTCGTTCGGCTGCGGACGATCTACGGGCCAGGGGACCTTCTCATAACCTCGATCGGAAGACCAAATCCTAACGAATCGATACCGTCTTACCTTTCTTTGAGCCAAGAGAGCCAACGAGCACATCTCCATTGTCAGCCTCCCTGTTTCAGAGCAGCAGCACACCATGCATCCACCCGAAGAACTCGACTCACCTTCCCTGGCTCTCGACATCGAAGTGCCACGCAGCCCTTCCCAGCCCGGCGATGGGACTCCTCTGTGGGACAACATGTCGTTGCCCAGCAGTCCCTCCCTCAGAGCTCGTGTTCCTGACTCCAATATGGACTTGAACCGCTTTGCCAAACGTGGGTTCTCTGAAGACCTTTCTCTGCCGCCTCGCCAGATTGAAAAGCCTTTTCGCTTTTTGGATTTGCCTGCTGAGATTCGGAACATGATCTACGAAGCCACCTTCAATCGAGTTCCTGCCTTGCCTTGTCATCGCTGGGACTGCTTTTGTTGCAGGGATGATGTATGCACCTGGGACCATGTATGTGAAATGTCCTATCAGGTGACGAGACGCCAATTCCAGCTTCCTCCAATTGCTTTTGTCAAGAAATGTATCCGAAGGGAAGTCATGTCTCTCTATTATGCGACGACGGACTTCTTTCTGCATTGGGATTCCTTGAGGGTGCGCTGTTACATTGGACAACATGCACTTGAGTGGGCCATCAAGCTTTTCACGAACGTCCTCAAATTTGCAGCAACCTACGAGCTCCAGATCAAAAGTTTTACTGTTCTTAGTCCTTGTCGCTGCCACATGCCCACGCAAAGCCTGGTGGAGATCCTCGCATGCGTACAATGTTTTGTACCACTCCGACAGGCCCTTGATCAGACTGGCAGAGTGCATCCAGCACTCCGTGAGTTCAAGTTCATGAATGAATCTTCGTTGGCTCGTCGCATCTTTGACCTTGCTGGTAATCTTGAATGGCAGATGCACCAGAGCACATACGTCCTGGCTGGAGAAGTCCGAAGGTTTCTGCGCAGCGATCCAGAAGGACTTACACTACTTCGCGGTATTCAAAGGAAGGAACGGGAAGAGATGCAGCTAGCGAAAATACGAAGAAAAGAGGCCACGAGAAGGCAAAATCAGGCCAAAGGACTTGAGAGATGGAATGGTGTTCTTCGCAGTCGTATGTCAAAAGACCAATGATGGGTTTCGGCCATATTGGGCTCGGACAAGGTGACATTGAACAAAGATGAGAGAGGAGGGATTTGTGAGAGCCAGACGCAGACCACAATGACGATCGCTTATGACAGTCGATCCTCAGCTTGACGACGCTGTTTCGAATGTTGCTTGCACAGCATGGAGAGTTTTGCATGATTATGATCTGATGGGTATTTTTGTTAGCTAGCATTTGCTTTTGACGGATGCTGGAACCCAGAATCTCTATATGTAGCTTATGGCGTCGACCAAATATGATAAGATGTATACTTTGCACTGTTCACTGCGTAGTACTTGACGATGACAAGGTTCTGCTTTCTTTGTACTGCAAAATCATGCTTCCTTCATCTTAAGCACTAGCCTCTCCTTCAGCTTGCCTAGCAGCGACACTTCCGCCCTTCCAGTGACTCTTCGGATCACTCCACAGTTTGCTGGCTTTACTCTCCTCACCAACAGGTCCCCAACCGCCACCACCTGGCGTATTGATGATAATTCTCTCGCCAGGCTGGAAGGCAGCAGTGTTCTTGCCTCCCAAGTTGATATACCTGACTTCCTGCTCCTCCTCCACTTTGCCTTCCNNCTCACCAGGAGCTTTAGCAACATTCCTCACCCAAAGATTTTTTCCACACTCCGCGTCTTGACCACCAGCAAGACCATAAGGATGGTAAACACGACGCTCACTAAGAATAGACACCTGCACAGGAATCCTAAACTCGATATCGCGAACAACGCCATCACCGCCCTGATGTTGACCTTTGCCTCCGGATCCAGCACGCAAACTAAACTCACGCAAGACAACCGGGTAGCGACGTTCAAACACCTCCGAGTCTGTAATGCGCGTGTTTGTCATGTGTGTGTGCACGCCATTGGTTCCATCCCATGTGGGTCCTGCGCCTGAGCCTCCCGCAATGGTTTCGTAGTAGCCAAAACCCTTGACGTGTTCCTTTCCATCTGCATTGCCTCCGAACCCAAAGGTGAGGTTGTTGCAATCGCCTTGGGAAGCAGCGCAGGCTTGGAAAGCCTTGAGAACGACATCGGTGACGCGTTGGGAGGTGAGTACGTTACCGCCCACCACGGCAGCAGTAGCCGAAGGCGACAAGAAGGACTTCTTTGGGATTTTGACGTGGATGGGGGTTAGACAGCCTTGGTTTAGGGGTATGTCTTCGCTGATGAGGCAGTGGAGGCAGTAGATTATTGCGCTGTAGGTTACTGCTTCGGGTGCGTTTGTGTTTCCGTATACCTGTTTCAGAAGAATGATGGTTTAGCAAAGATTTCGATAGTCGGGATAATAAGTAGTGTTTGTTACCTCTGGTCCTGTGCCTGTGAAATCGAACACGGCTTCTCCCTTNTCTGCGTCGATTTGCACGTTTAGCTTGATAGGGCTGCCGTCATCCATGTAGTCGACAGCTGACAAGTCTTGACCCTCAAACCGCTTGCTGACATCTTTGAGCAGCATGCGAACACTGTTTTCTGCGTTTTGCTGAATGCTTCTCATGTAGAATTGTACGACATTCTCGCTGTAATCGTCAATGAGAGTGTTGATCAAGTTGATACCCTTTTGGTTAGCGGCAACTTGAGCTTTCAAGTCAGAGATGTTGTCTGCAAGGCAACGAGTGCCACTGCAACCAGGATGTTGTGCTGGCTCGTCGAGCAAGAGTTCTGTGATGCGTTTCTCATTGAATCTGCCTTCCGAAACCAGCTTTTCTGTCTTGATCGATGCTCCTTCCTGGAAGAGCTCTCGAGAATGAGGAGGCATGGAGCCAGGAAGGATACCTCCGATATCCGCGTGATGGGCTCTGGACGCGACATAGAAGACGATCTTGTCGCCACTGAATGCTGGTGTGATGACTGTGATATCAGGCAAGTGAGTACCGCCATACATGGGATGGTTCGAGACCAAAACATCACCACGTTTGAGCTTGCCTTCCCAGATCTTGGCTTGCTTCTGGACGCAAGTACTCATGCTACCCAAGTGGACAGGCAGGTGCGGCGCGTTAGCAACAAGGCCGCCGCTTGAGTCAAAGAGAGCGCACGAATAGTCCAATCGCTCCTTGACGTTAGTGCTGACACTGGTCTTTTGCAACGCGCGACCCATTTGTTCTGCGATTGCCATAAATCGATGTGCAAAGATACTGAGCATAATCGGATCAACAGTCTCGGTGTCGAGCTTCTTCTCAGATCCGTCGCTCTCACCAATATTGATAACAACATGTGTGTCGATGACCAGAGCAGACGCGCCAGGCGTCACGACAATGGTTTGAGTACCATCAGCGATGATTGCAGGTCCCTGGATGCGGTCACCAAGAGCAAGGTCCTCAAGCTTGTAAATGGACGTCTCTTGTCGACCTCCCTCAAAGTACACCTGGGACTTGCCGTAGATCTTCTCGTCTTTACCAACATCCTTGGGCTTGACTTCTTGCAATTGCTGATCAACAGTCTTCTCCAGGCCTTCAAAAGTCTTGCCGATGCCACGAGCTCTGACATCATCAACGATGATATCTCTGTCGGGAAGAGTGAAACCAAACTCTTGTTCATGCTGCTCGACAAATGCTTTTCCGAAGGCCCAGTCGTCGCCGTCGAACTTCTTTTCAGCATCTTCTTTGCTCGGCTTGATGATCATCAAGGCTGACTCGGTTCCTCGATACCTCATGTTGAGATACTCCTCGAAGTGTACGTGATCTTCATCGAAGCCCTGATCTTTCAAAGTGGCTCTTGACTTCTTCTTGAGCTCCTCCATCTTGCTTTGGAAGTATTTGCGAACATCACCATCGTCAGACCACACCTTGGAATCGGGTTCTTGTCTTTCGTCAACGACATCAGCTAATGCCATGCCATACGCAGAAAGAACTGAAGAGTAGCGGTGGATAAGAATTTGACTGATTCCGAGAGCTTCAGCAATAGCAACTGCATGCTGACCACCAGCACCACCAAAAGTCGCAAGTCTATGCTTTGAGGTATCATGACCTCTTGCTTCGGTCAAGCTGCGAATAGGTCTTGTCATGGTCTCGTTGGCGATTTTGATGAAGCCGTAAGCGACTTCATCAGCAGACATGTTCTTGTCCTTGACTTCCTGGTTGATCTTCGTTGTGAGCTCTTCGAAAAGCTTCTCGCTGGCTTCAGGATCCAGACCTTCGTCTTCGTTCTTGCCAAAGATCTTGGGNAAGAAGTCAGGCAGAAGACGTCCGAGGAACAAGTTGGCATCGGTGATCGTGAGGGGTCCGTCTTTTCTGTAGCAGGCAGGTCCAGGGTGCGCGCTTGCCGACTCTGGTCCGACGACAAACAATCCGTTCTTGAAGAACAATCGTGAACCTCCTCCAGCAGCGACAGTGTTGATATCGAGCTGAGGCGATTGGATAGTAACACCAGCGGTCGTAGTCTCGAAGACATGTTCATATCTTCCTTCTCCGTATCTTGATACATCAGTGCTAGTTCCGCCCATGTCGAAGCCGATGACGGGTGTTTTTGTCTTGGGGTCGTATGAGGTCAAAGCATATCCGACCACACCTCCAGCGGGTCCACTCAAGATAGCGCGTAGACCTGAAAACGAGTCGACATCGACCAAACCTCCGTCTGACTGCATGAATTCGCATCGCGCTCCTCTTGCACCTTCCTCATTCTTGACGCTGGCAGTGCCTAGTCCACCTTCGAACCCTTTCTGGAAACCATCAATGTATTTGCGAATGGCAGGAGTAAGGTAGGCATCGGCGCAAGCTGAGGTCGCGCGAGGAACAAGCTTGATCATTGGCATAAGCTCGTGACTTAAACTGACGTGTTCAAAGCCAATCTCCTTTGCGATCTTGCCAACCAAGGCTTCATGCTTTGGGAATGTGTAGCCGTGCATGAGGCAGACTGCAATACTCCTGAGGCCAGAATCGTAGACTTCCTGCAACTGCTTGCGTATTTGATCATGGTCGGGTCTCTTGAGAATGCGAACGGCCTCGCCTGACAAGCCCTTCACAAGCTCGGCATTGTCGCCAGCCTCTTCAATAGCCTTAGCCTCTGTCTGATTCCTTGTAGGGTCCTCGGCGTAGTCTTCCAGTGTGACTCTTTCCTCAATCTCGACGACTCTTTTGTACAGAACTTCAGGCTTCTTGATGGCCAAATCGAAGATGTTGGGTCTGCTCTGGTTGCCAATCTCCAGACAATCCTTGAAGCCTTTTGTGACTACCATAGCGATATCTTCACCTTTTCTCTCTAGCAAAGCATTTGTTGCTACAGTTGTGCCCATTCTTATGCTCTCGATCTTGGTCGTGTCTAGCGGTTCGCCTCGAGGGATGTCTTTGCCAGTGAACTTGGAGAGGAGACGGCGGATACCTTCTAGTGGAGCGTCATCGTAATTTTGAGGATCTACGGAAAGGAGCTTGATAACGACGTCGTCTTTCATATCGCCAGTGCCAGGGTTGCCGACACAGTCTGTGAACNNTGTGGTATAGTAAGTTGGTTGATCTGGAGTAGATAACGACGAGCAACTCACAGTACCACCACGGTCAATGGCGATGCGGATGCCGCGCTCGCTTCTCTTTCTGAAGCCATAGTGGGCAGTTTGGATGACTATACACTCGGGTGTTTACTAGAGCCCGGTTCTGAATATGGCTTGGAGTACAAAGAGTGAAAGTGGGAGGATTGAAAGGTAGTAGATAGCCTACGATACAGCAAGACGAGAAAAGAGAAAAGGAGTGGGAGAGTATAAACAGAATGAATGCTTAGCAATTGAAGATAGGTGATCGGAGTGGACGAGCTATCGCTGGAGTCGCGCCCCACCGCATTGTGACGTGGGCCGAAGTTTGGTCCGTCATGGCGGGGGAACTGAGAGGTGTCTTTATTGAGAAACAGATACCATGCCATGCTGTATACAAGAGTGCAACTTATGGTGAGAGTAGTTAAGGGGATGTGCATACGGATTAAGTTGTCAAGAAATCTAGTAAAAGAGCAGGCGAAATGCTTGTCAAAAGACTTGTCTCCAGAGCTCCCGCACGGACACAAGGTAGACGGAGGGCGGAGGCTGGGACATGTGGGAGATGACGAGTAATAGCATGGAACTTACAACGTTTTGCAATTAATCTGTCGCAACATGTCGCTGTCGCTGATGCGCCCTTACTGAGCCTACTCTGTCACACGACCAGCTGTACGAGTGTGCAATGAACGACATATGCCCTTGTCCCATCGCTTCCGCCAACCCCCCTGTACTCGTACTCATAGACTCAATCCACCATGGAAGACCACTCGCCCGACCACGACCATGGCGACGACCACGCCTTCGACGAACAACCCAAACCACGCGAACTGCCTGCCGACCTGCCTCGCTCACTTGACGACCGGAAGACTTTCTCTGCTTACGGCAATGTCGAGACCGAGTACTATGATGCCTGGCAAGGTATCTACCCATCCGATCTGCTTGTACCACCACCCGAACCGCTGACCAACTTGCCCAACANNGGCCAGTCTCAGTTCCTTACCGCTCCCACCATTGCCCACTCGAACAGCTTCAACCTCTCCCTAAACGAACCCGACAACTTCGATCCCGAAGAACACGACTTGGCTGAACACGACAGCAGGCTGGCCCACATGTTGGCAACCCAGGTCCGGAGCAACGACGACGACAACGACATTGAAGATACAGAGGAAAACGTCGTCAACGACAAGAACCTATCCGATGCCGAANAGAGACAAATGCTCCAGGACTTTCTCTTCATGGCTGCCAGCAATGGTGACGTTGGTCGCATCAAGCGTCTGGTCAGAGGGAGTCCTGCCGTATACATCGATGCGAATGCCGTCGATTCTGAAGGTACTCCTCCCTTGGTCTACGCAAGTTGCTTCGGTCACAAAGATGTCGTCATGTCTCTACTCGATGCTGGCGCTGAGGTCGACAAGCAAGATAAAAACCAATGGAGCGCTCTCATGTGGGCCATGACCAACCGACACAAGGACATTGCAAAGATTCTGTTGGATCATGGTGCTTCTACCGAAATTCAGTCATCTACAGGAAGGACTGCCCTCGATTTTGTCGCCCCAAACAGCGACATGTCAGAGTATTTGAACGACAGTGGCTACACGATAGGAAATGCTGGTGTGACGGATGACTTCTACAATGCCGGTTTCTCTCAAGACCGCTTCGAGGAGGAAATGGCCGAGAATGAAATGAAGCGACGCATGATGATGGAAAGTGCCGCCAACCTAGAGGTTGATCTAGGAAACCTTGGCCTGGACGAGCAACCCGAGTCTGCAGACGAATTTGAGGACTCACAGGAATTTGTTTGGGACAGGTGTCTTAACGACCAGATGTTCGTCTTCCAGGAGAACGATTCGGATCGTATTCTCAACATTGTTGTTACCGAAATGACTCCTCAACGATCACCGTCTCAGAAGCCTATACCTGCCAATATCATCTTCCTCGGAGCGAGATATGCACACTATCATTCCAGCCAAGAATTACTAACTGAGTGGCTCAACGCAGCTCAAGACAAAATCTACGCGGTAGTAGAGAAGCATCAATGGGACATGACTATGCTTGCCTTCTGGATGTCCAACACAACCCTCTTGTTGTATTACCTAAAGAAGGATACTGGACTGTCCGAAGTCACTTCAACATTTCAAGCCAAGATGGCAGAGCTGATTCACGAAATCTACGTCCTCATCATCCGCGATGCCGAAAGACGAATGGACAAAGTCCTAGACGAGGCCATGCTAGATCACGAAACCATCCCAGGATTCGAAGACATTGCCTTCCAAAACGAGTGGAAATTCCTACGGTCAAAACCCAAAGTGAAAGCGCCTGAACCGCTGGAAAAACGCTTCCGTCCCCCTTCGCCGAAGCGTCGCGCTCAGGTGTCTCCGCGAAACATCACTTCTCTGCTTTCCTCCACGTTGTTTGTTCTCGATCTTTACGACGTTCATTCCGTCATCACCACCCAAATCATTTCGCAACTGCTTTATTGGCTCAGTGCCGAAATCTTCAACCGCATCATGTCCAACAAGCGCTACCTCGCCAGGACAAAAGCAATGCAGATCCGCATGAACATATCCCAACTGGAGGATTGGGCAAGAACCAACAACAGAGCTCCCGAGCACTTTGAAAACGGCTCTCTGAACGCCACCGGCGAAAACATTGTTGAAGCTGCGCGCAAGCACTTGGCTCCTGTAGTGCAGCTTTTGCAATGGCTACAGTGTTTTTCGTCATTGGGACAAGACGACGAAGCCCTGGATACAACATTGCAACAATTGCCTGCACTAACCACAAAACAGCTGCTCCATGCTGTAAAATACTACCGCGCAGAGGTCGGCGAGAAAACGCTTCCCAAAGCAGCTCTCAAACATGTGGAAGAAAGTAAACGCCACCTCGCCCACAAAGCTGCTGAAGAAACACCTTCTACATCCACCCCAAACCCTGTCCCTGCCTCTGCCTCAGCCACAGCCCCAGCTCTCCCATCCCAACCTCCCACTCTCAAAAAAGACGAAGACGACTCTCCCGAAGGAAATCTCGTAGACCCTGCTTTGCTGTTGCCTTTCCACCTTCCCACCTCTACAGATATGCTGGTGACCTACGGCGCAGGCTTTGGAGGCGTGAACCGCGAACGCGAACGCAGGTACACACCCACCGTGCCCCCTGACTTTNTCCAAAAACTGGATCCTTCTTCGGGTGCGAGTAAAAATTTGTACGAGGATGCAAAGTGGAGTGATGAGGATGTGGATTTGGGGAGTTAGATGATGAGAGAGTGAGAGAGAGGTATTTGCATAGCAAAATTCAAACGAAATCATATTATTGCCATTTCTAGCACCCTTTGAAGATTGCTCTGCTTCGAAAGTTGTCTTTTTTTCTGTGTTGGCACAATTATGGCATGTCGGTAGTTTAGACGGCCATCTACGTGAGATTTGGTATGAGACATAATGGTACAGACTCTAGCACACGAAAGAGGAAAGAAAGCATCATCTTCTGAAAGTATTGTTCTGAGAAGGATTTATCTAGTACTAATCATACACGAACGATAGAGCCACCAACACCTCGTCTGCAGGCTATCATGTCTCTGTGCAGTCCTTTTGCCAAGGTCCTGTCAGCCTTGACCAAATACTGAAGCCGCCTTCAGAAGACAGAATACGACAACCAGATCCCGCCAAAACCAAATATAGTGGTGTAATGGACTTGAGCTTGTGGGGTTATTATTGGCTTTTGTGTCCTCGCCTGAGACGTAGATTGCGTGCAGAGTAAGGACAGTCTGAGTCCCCATCGTTTTGTTCTTCTTTGGTGTCCTTGGGAGAGTCTTCATCGTAGTCATCGGTGAAGTCCTTCTCGAATTTTTGGAGAAAGTCTTCCCAAAATTCTTCAACGGAGTTCTCCTTGGATGCTTCAGAGCAAATTCTCTGGGACGCTTCGCAGTGACTTTCAGCTGACTTTTCTGTGTTATTGTCGAATCTCGCTCCCATTGGCGTAGCTTGCGGAAGCCAGCCTCCTGTGTAGGACCAGGGACGAGCAGTTCGTACAAGGTGGAAATGCTTAGAAGCTTCCTAGATTTCTTCAAATTTTCCCTCGGTTACACCCTCGAAATCATCCTAGGACTCTTCGGTTTCTTTTTCTTGCTCGGGTGCTTCTTTCATGGTCGTATCTTCTTCAGACTTCTCTGATCCTGCTGTCGTGTCGATAATCGGTTCCTTGTCGCCGGGCTCCTGAACTGGCTCTGATACCTCGGCCTCCCTCGACCTGGTGGGCTTGTGTGGCTTCTTCCGTAGTTGGTGCCCCGGGCTTCTCAGGCGATTCTTCTGTGAGTACTGCCATCGACGGCTCTTGCGTGGGTTCTTCCACAGCTGCTGCGTTTGGTGGTTCCTCTGCAACATCACCGATTTCTTTATCTTCAGTCTCCTCCATTGCTGGAACGGGAGCCTCCTCTGCTTGTTCCGTCATCGGTATAGGGGTTTCCTCTGCTGGTTCCGTAGCCGGTGCAGGATTGTCTTCTGCTTGTTCTGTGACAGGTGCAGGAGTCTCCTCTGTTTGATTCGTGGTTGTCGGGGCTGCTCTTCTGCCTGGGGTTCTGTTGGTGCGGGTGTTGCGATCTCAGGCTTGGCAAGGGGATCCTCTTCTTGAGGCTCATCTCCTTCGCTAAGTTCGCCGTCCTCGCGATCATCATCCTCATCACCTTCTTCGCCCTCCTCGCCATCTTCTTCATCTCCTTCGTCATTGGCATCGGGCTTCGGAGTGGAATCAATGTCCATTGCAGAGTCATCTGCATTCGCATTGAGAGTTGAGGGTGTAGCGACACTGGCTCCGCCTCCAGGAGTCGAGGTTGCTGCAGCATTGTGGCCGTCGTTTGGATTGAACATGACCTTCTTCTTGCCGCGACCAGGTCCACCCTTTCTGATTCTACGCGGAGGAATTGGTTTGCGTCTCATCGGTTGTTGCTGTTGTTGAAGTAGATCGGTCGCAACGATGACACCTTCAGCATTAGCGATGCCAACGCCTTCGATGACAGTGCCAGGAGCTGCCTGTACTGGCGCGGCATCAGCCATGACAGTATCCTCTGTGACTTCGCCTTCGACAGTTTGACCCTCAGGAACCAGAACTTCGTAGACTGTGGTGTTGCCATCTGCATCTGACTTCATAACCTTGGCTTTCCTTGTAGGTACTGACGAAGCCGCGGCATTGGCGGCTTGCAATGCTATTTGAGTGTGCAGACTAGGGAGACCCTTGCGGCGCTTAGCAAGGAACTCGCGCTCGGGCTTTTCGAGATGAGATGGCACTTGGCTCCACTTCTTCGACTGCCAACCAGTCTGAACAGTTTCGCCCTCTTCATCTTCTTCCTGCTTGTCGTCTTCAATGGGTTCCTGGGGTCGTTTTGCAAGTCTGGGCCTTCTTGCTTCACGCAGCAGTTGTTGTGTCCATGGAGCAAGTTGATTAGAATCGCGTGGCATGGGAAGTTCAGGCCATGCGTTGTCACCACCCTGAGTGACCTCTGTCGGTGGTGGGAGACCTACAATAGTCTCCGACTGGGACCATTGACGAACAGGTAGACCTTCAAAAACATCATGATCTGCTTGGGAGCGACCAGAACGGTTGCTGCGGCCTCCAGCGCGAAACTGTTGAGCCATCGATGTCAGTTGGTGTTGCTGAGATTTGTTCGGAGATTGAGAAAGCTATGGCTTGTTCTTCCAGATGGTGGATTGTATTGCTGGTGAGTTGAAATTTGTACGATGAAGGGGTAGAGATGGGTAGATGAGTAACAAAGTCGGTGTGTGTTTTTGGGATATGGATGCCTTGACTGATATTGACCAAGATGCATGCAGCTTCAAGAACCTCGTGATCGATGTTCTCAACGGATAGGTTGGGATTCATGTTCTTGTGAATGTGGTGCTCGGGAAAGACAATTGGGACAGCGGGAGATTGGGAAAGCATGTCGCGCGGGATTTTGGAAAGGTGTAGTGAGAGGGAAAGGTCAGACAGAGAAGCGCCGAACAGAATGGAATAAGGCGAAGAGTGGGACAGAAAGAGAAGGCACGTACAGGAGCCATGACTGTGTCTTTTTACACTTCCGGTCGGAGAGTTTCAGAGACAAGTCGCGAGTCTCAATCAACTTCGATACGTGTCTCCTGATAACAATTATGCTGCCTCCGGGTAACTGTCTTTTATTAACGCACTTTTGCGAGTGAACAACACCTGTTGCTTGGTTGGCGACAGCGCGTCTCCCCCTCACGGCCCGACGACGCGACTTGACGGACGTCTCGGGAGTCTCGGCGGCCGGCCACTCTTCGGCATACAGCTGATTGATTGGTCTAGGTCTTGAGCAGCAGCGATGAGTAACAGTCAGGTGTTGGTGCAAGAGCTATAAAGTGGTATGTTCTTGAAATGATAATATTGACTCGAGTGGTTGTTGTATGTTTACAGTTCAGCCCATGAGGGCGATTGGTATTTTGAAAAGCATATAAACCGTGACTCCACCTCCGTTACACCCAAAGAAGACAAGCTCAGTCCCAGCTAGCATTGATGTTAGCATGTGCCTCAGATGCTGATGGTGACAGCAAAAACTTACCCATGTTCGGTCTGTCTGACGATGTCGTTTCTGTTGCCAGTCTGCTTGCCGGTCTTGCCTCCCTCGACCACTAGCCTGTCTAGCTGGAAGAACTGGCTGACGACCGTTTGTCTNCTGCAGCCAGAGTCAGCAACTGCGCTTCCTCACGTATGGAATGCACACGAAAGGTCGTATATGCAGCCATGCAGTAGCCGTAGGTAGGATCCAAGACCACTCTCGACTTTGATCTTGCTCCCATCCGATACCACTACGCATGGTGTGCCTGCACAACTTCCCCATGGTCTCGTCTAAGAACTCACCTTCAACATCTGCAATTCTGTGTTTCCCCTCTCCAAAAGCTCTTGGATTTTACTCGAGTCGGACTCGGACATGTGCTGGCGGAAAGCATCCTTGGTGCGACGCACGGCGTACTCGCGGAAGTTGTATGCGGCAAACTGGTTTCCCTGGCGCAAGAGCTTGCGGTACTGTGTCGAGACACTATTAGCTTTGTGTACTCTCGGCGGCGAATTGTGGTGTCGCAAGATTGTTTTATCGCGCAAGACGGGTTCGGGATCGGTCTGGAGGGTGTAGCCGTACCAGGGAGCGGACTTTGATCTGTGACGAGCTCATGTTTGACGTGCGAATATGCAGAGGCGAGAGGTTCTTTGACGAATTGTATCTGTAAAGATCCGTCAGCATGAACTTTCTCTCCGGCTTCGTCGCATAGACCGAGTGGTAGATGCAAGGTGCAAGGAGAACAACACACCGGTGTTTCCAATCGTTCAACAAAGGTTTGGTCAGTCGTGAGTTGGTATTGTAATAGTATGTAGGTAGTTATCTTCAAGCAAATGTTGCCGTTATGTCATCCAAAAGCTGATGGACCGAGAGTCCGAATCTCCGTCCGACCCTCCACAGATGCTTGGCAAGGTCTGGATGAGGTCGCTAAACAACTGCTCGAGACAGAACAGATAGACGATGTTGAAGCATGAGAATTTTGTGTTACGAGCAGACGAATTCGTACGATTAAAAACATGTTAACCCTTTGCAAAACGAAGAATAGATACCCAATTGCATGTCCTGCATATTCCTTTGACGCCAGTCCAGGTATACCTTGTCCCAAATCCAACCATTCCCGTGCCACCATTAATCGTCCGCCTTGACTGCTCTCATGGTGCGAGCCATCTTGACCGCGTCTTTGGTCACTGGTCTGACCTTCATTGAGCCTTTGGGAATGCTCTTGTTGTCCATGCTGCGACGAGCCGACTTGGTCACTCGCGAGCCAGCGACCCCAGCATCAATCGCTCTCGGTGTCTCTCTGTCCTTCTTCTTGATGGATGAGAGTCTTCCAAGTTTNTGTACTTTCTTTTCTGGTGTCGCCTTTGGCTTGTGGCCAGTCATCCTGGTGGTCACCTTCTGAACGAAGCGCCTGGCTCCATTCTTGTCCTTGGTAACGGTGGTGGTCGTTGTCGTCTTCTTGACTTCGAGATCTGCAGGTAGGATACCCTGCTTCTGGAGGCGTGCGATTTCCTTGTCCTTGCGGGCTTCCTCGATTCTGGCCTTTTCCATGGTGTCATCGACGTAAACCCAGCCCTTGGACATCTGAGGAACTTTGCGCTTCTTGAAGAGGTCCTTGTCCACTTCGGCTGCAGGAGTGGCGCCAAANAATTCGCCCACCTTGCGCTTCATGCCAGCAGCCATTCCTTCCTTTTCCTTCTTTGTTACTGGCTTGTTGGCATCCTTCGGTCTTGGACCCAAGACGCCACGGCAGTTAGTAGCACCACAGCGGCACTCCTGAACGTTCTTAACAGAGTAAGGNACTGTGAATTCGCGTTAGTTCTTCTGCTTGATAAAGTGCCCTTTTTCTTTTTTTACTCACTCGAAGTTGTAGTCGTAAGTCAATTCCTCACCGGTCAGGATGCCACGATCACCCGCGAAAAGTGCCATACGTGGTTGACCACCGACAAAGCGTTTGAGCATTTTGCAGTTGGGTTCGCAAGAATGGTTGACGAAACGAGCAATGGAGCCCTTGGTAGCATCAAGAATCATACCTTGATCAAACTCCATCTGGTAGTAGTCNCTAAAAGAGTATTAGTGAATGATCAAAGCTTCTTCAATATCACAACTTACGGCTTTATCCTTGTAGTCTTCCCTGATTCTCCTGCCAGCCTCGTTGGGCGTGATGATTTCGCCAGTATACTCAGTGATGATCTCGTTTGGCTCGTATGATCTGCAAGCGCGCACACCGAAGCCTCGGTCCGGGGTCTTGATGACCTCAACTCCAGCATTGAAGAGGTAGTATGCAGACTTTTTGTCGGCCTTGTTGGCGCGCTCCATACGGACTCCGAGTCCTGCAAAGTCGCGGTTGGTGCATAGGTCTCCAAGACCACAGTTGTTCGAGTCGCATTCATAGTCCATGGCACGGTTGAGGCAGTGTTCACCGCACCCGGGCTCTGAAGAGCCAGGGACTGGCGGTGTGCAAATACAAAGAGATCTTTCGAAGTAAGGCTTCTTCCAATAGTGGATAGCATCGCCGACCAAACGGTTTTTGTGAACCTTGCCCCAATCCTTCGGCTTCTCCTCGCCACGTTGGTGATAAACAGGAGCAAAGACGTCGTAAGGGATGGTGAAAGGTCGTTCTCTCTCGAGATAGGAAAACATGGGCAAGGCGACAAGACTGTTGCGCTGTTGAGGCTGGGTAGCATCAGGGAGGAAGGAGGTTGATAGAGGTCGAGCTTTGCCGGTAGGCTTCCTCGAAGGCTTAGGGATAGATTGGTCATCGTAGCTTGTAAGGGTCTGACCAGCATATAGACCTTGGGTCTCATAGCGCTTTGTTGGCTTCTTGTTTTTGGCAGCGAAGACTTGTGGCATGGTAATGCTAAAGCTTGACGAAAGACGAGCAAGCTTGCTGGGCCTCTCGACACGCTCGGGTCGCTCCACAACACTATCATCTTGTTGTGTCTCCTCCTTTGTGTCCTTGGAACCCTCAATGGCTAGCAGCCGGCGGCTCTGTCTGCGGTCCGTCTTGTCCGTTTCACTTGCTTCTCGCTCACGCTTTCCGAGCACGCTCTTTACTCTACCGAGAGCACGGCCGGTCGTCTCGATCAGCATGTCCATAGAAGACCTGTGTCGGCGCTTCTTCCTGTCGGGCAGATCGGAAGCGTTGTCACCAGGCAGGTTGTCCATCTCCCAGTCCATGTTCAGAGCCTTGACGCCATCGTTCAACAATTGGCGGTTGGGCGTGCTAGATGAAGGTCCAGGAGCGTCTTCGACGAGTGTGTCTCCGGAAAAGCTGCGAGCAGCCTTCTCGTTGGCCATTTCACGGCCGGCGGAAGTACGGCGTACGCCAGACAGAACACCCAAGTTGTAGGAGGCAGGGCCAGACTTGCGGCGCGACGATCTACGCGTCAAGTCTGTTGAGTCTGTCGTATTCATCTCCTCCTTGTCGATTGTCGACCCGACGTGATCGGAGACACTGGTAGGGGGTGTAGACATGAGAGCGAGAGCAGCTGATGGGAGCGAGCCCTCACGCGCGCTACCACCAACTTCGATGTTTGATGCTGCTGAAGACGAGCTTGTCGAGCCCGATGACAGTCTCGGAACAGGCAAGCTCTTTCTCTGCTTCGCCATCGTGTTGGCGAGAGGTCTTGGTTCGAGATGCTAGTGGTTGAAATCAAGGTGGGGAGAGACGCGAGAAAGAGACGCGCCGACTAAAGAGCCGTTGCTATAATTGCTGAGTCTAGCCGACAAACACCTCTGACCTCTCGACGAAGACGAATATTTCTCTCACTGCTGTTTGATGGTGAGATCAAATGGGCATTGCTCACTTCGGCAGGCAGGGGTCTTCAGGGAGAGTGTTTCCGTTTGTTGTGGCACGCAGGAGCTGAGTGGAGGATATTAAAGTTCCCGCGCCTTAGTCGCGTCTTTTGTGCATTCCGCTCTCCTTAGCAACACCCGCTGCTGAGCAGGAACATATCCATGTACATCACTAGCTCCACTTACGGCTCGGTCAACAGTAATAGATATGTCTTGAAAAGGGTATTGATTCGCTGATAGGGGTATAGTGACAAGCTAGATATATATGTACAACCAAGAAGAGAAAGCAAATGGAATATAACCGGCATGGTGAACGTGAACAGTCGTACAACTGTTGCGACATTAGAAGAGAGCCTCGAGGAGAAGGCAAAGACATCGACAGGAGAGCATTCAGCCTCTAGGAGTGTTATTCATAGGAGTCAACGCTCGCTGTGCTTGGTATCCACCAGCATTGCTGCCAGCAGTCCCACTCTTGATCTCGCCCATTTCCATATCGCCCACCTTTTCTGATGGCTTGGCCATTCTAGACCTTCGCTCACCGAGGCGCTGATCGCCTTCCTCGTAACGGTGTCTAAAGCGCATATACGTTGGCGGACGGGGTCTTGTGAACACAGCAGACCAGTTTGCAATGATCGAGTGTTGACTGAATGGACGATGGCGATCTTTCTTCTGGAACTTGTGGCTGTTGAGATACTCTCTGGTTGTTTCGCCTCTACCCATGAGGAAGAGATGGTAACCCCAAAGACTCAAGGGATATGTGACAATTAGGAAAGAGTACACACACATGGCAGCTGGAACACGCCAGACGTTGAGAGCATGCCCAAAATCTGAGTGGTTTCGCTTCATCCACACGAGGATGTGGGTAAGACTGGCTCCAAGTAGAAATAGGCCGAGGACTGTTCCAGAGGCGACGAATGTCAAGAAGTAGCGGTAGTTGCGTCGCCCAACACAGTTGTTGAGCCAAACACAATGGTGGTCCTGGGTCTCGATACACGAGTCGCAGATGCGGCAATGGTGAGCACGTGGAGGTCGCCAGATGTTGCATGATTTGCAGAACTTGATGGGCACCTCCATGGCGGTAGTGCCATTCCCACCAGCATTTGGGCCAAAGGATCTAACAGTGACCCATTCAGTGGTGGATGGTCCAATAGCTAGCGGATCCTCGTCCGCTGGAGTGGGTGGCTGAGGATGGAGATTACGTGGGATGATNCTGTGACATTGAGTTAACAAAGATAAACAACTATGTAGCCAGAAGAGACTCACCCCTGGTTCGGAGAAGGATGCGTGGAGATAAGAGGATATACATATAAAGAAAACGTAGGCAAAGAGGATGGGTATCGCCGGAGAAACGTGGTGCCATAGCCATGGAGCACTGTCGTGAGTTAGTCAATGGGCTCAACTCAATACCGAGAATGAATCCTTACGAAAANNGCCAAAGAACAAAGCAGCAGGAATGATAGCAAGAAGAGCAGTAAAGACATTAAGCGGCCGCTGCCGAGAATTAATAAGTCTGCCGTGCAGAAAGAAGACAGCATTGCCGTTGAAATATTGGTAATTCCTTCCAGAGCTCGGCTTGTGACTCGAGCCTACAGGGGTGGCCGGGTGAGTCGCAGGTGAAGGTGGTACAGAAGGTAACTTCTCGTGGCCTTCTCTGTCGGTACTTCTACCATTAACCCTGCTCGATCGACTGTGACGGCTCCACGATGGCCGCAATGAGATTGGCGACTTCTGTGCTTGCAGCGAAGAGACGGATTTGGTGGTACCATCTATATCAAGTGTAGGCGGCTTTCGCAAAGGATGTTGACTCTCTTGACTTTTGGCGCTGCCGAACGGTTGCAAATCACGACTGAACTCATAGTTCGTGGTTCCGGTTCCTCGGGAAGTTGGCAAAGGGGGAGCATCAGGGTCAATTCGAGGCCTGTTGCTTTGCTCGAGGGTCACGATGGACGCATTGCTATTGCGAGAACGGTGAGTTTTGCGACCACTGTCGGTACTCGGTCTTGCTATCGGAAGTTGCGGGTTTTGCGGACTTGTGGGAGGTGGTGATTGCGGTTCGGTACGTCTTGGACTGGTTGGAAGGAATGCACTTGATATAAGATTTGGAACGTGGGTACGTCGAGAAGGATCGTTTTGGTAGCTGCCACTGCCACGACCACCCAGAGACGGTACGGGAGAGCCTACGCGAGCCTGGGGAGCGGCGGATCGTGTGCGAAAAGATGAGCTGGCTGTGTTGGAAGTAGGACGAGATGGTGGAAGGCCTGCTTCTCCCACAGGTCCGGTGGTGGTAAGGACAGTATGGGTGTGTTGGTGATAGCTGTCCGGACCTTCGTCGTTGGTAGGAAGTCCACTGTCGGCCATGGTCGTCAAGCGCCGGCGATGATCAATGCATGTCCCGTTGCTATGTTCCGCCTGTATTTGTTGTTGCCGGCGTCGATGGCACACGAGTCCTCCAGATGCACACCAAAACGACAAGTCCTGAACTGAAGAAGAACAGCGCAAAGACTTGATTGCTGTGTGCAGGAAGTCGTCAAGTTTGTGTAAACCACGATCAGCGCCGTTTCCAAATTGCGCTGGCCGAGAGTCAGGCCGTCCGTGCCACCTGAACTTTAACAACAGAGGTAATTTACCATTGTCATGCCTGGGACTCTAGACCATACAGTTTATGGATGTACTGCTGAGTCTTTGCCTGATCAAAAGCTGTGAATATCTGAGGTTACATCATGAGATAGTCAAGTTATGATTGGTATTGATTGGCATGGTTAGGATGCCGAGCGGAATGTTATGAGTTTATATAGATATTCTTGAATAGAACATGAGAAAATAGCAAATGTGATGCTGATGGCCAACAAATGCTCGAAACTCAGTGTTTGTGAGACAGAGAGTATCAGAAGTTCGGAAGAGTGCTACCCATAGTATATAAACAAATATAATCTAGGATATGGTGAGTTATTGCACCATTCATGTCGAAGTGCAATGTAAATAGTGCAACCCTGATCCGGCGAATGCGGTAACCGCACAGCAGCTCCAATCGGGGAAGGTTAGCCGGGCTTCAGCGCTTCCGCCCACACAGGAATATTCACGATTTCCTGCTTCTCTTTGAAGATCCAGTATCATCTCATATCACAGCAAAATGGCCACCAACTTCGACAACAACTCCTACGACCTCATCTGGGAGACCATCCGTATGTGCTCCCCCACTCGCTCCGAACATTGAAAGAGGTGGACGCTCTTTGGGCAAAGAAAATGGAGATTTCGACACTTGTTGAAAGATACGCTTCGGAGGGACGACAATTGAACATCTGAGGACCTGTAACTGACGCGCGCATTTTGTTTAAGGCNNCACAACAATGCCTTCCTTGTGAAGCGCAACCAGGCCGGTGGTGTTCAGTTCTCCAAGGACCCCCTTAACCTGACCAACCTTCACTCGCGCAAGGTAAAGAACCAATCCTTCAATTCCAATCTTGCGATCAATATGCTGATTGCGCAAAAAAACAGTNACTCTTCGCTCGCCAACCCCCAGGCCATTGGCATCAACGCCAAGGACAACAAGATCGAGGTCACCACCAAGCTCGGCAACAACTGGAACAAGCCCAGCAAGTCCTACCAGAAGGTCGCCTTCAAGGCCACCACCCCTTCGCGCAAGCTCATCAACAACGCCGTCTCCGGCTCCACCAAGAAGGGCTACCGCTCTGACTTGCACATGGAGGCCGTCCAGCGCGCTTCCGCCGTCAAGAAGTCCACCCGCCAGGTCAAGGCCACCGTTGCCCCTACCAAGCTCCGTGGCTCCAAGGCCCGCAAGGCTGCTGAGAAGCAGTAAGCGTCTCGCTCTCTCTTGACACTATAGAAAAGGAGGAGTTGGTTGCTGGCTGGTTATGCTGTTGCCGGAATGAAAAAAATGATTCAAAAGGCCATCTGCAAATTTCCCTCTTCTTACTGTGTGCTTGTGACATGTTCTGATGTCCTCCTGTTCATTGTTTGGTATTCTTTGCTGCAGATTCGTCGAAAAGATTTGATCCTGGCCAGGTCATCTCAGTTCTTGGTCTGAGATATGAAGTATTCTAACCAACAGACTCTATTCTACATATCGTACAGATGCTCAATCAACCACAGCATCATCTACAAAGCACCGCCAACCAGCGTCACAATCCACATGGCAATCCTCACATGCAACCCAACCCTGCGTTCCGTCTTCTCAAATGTCCCTTGATCAACCTTTGTAGCATACTCCTGCAACCACTCCTCTTCCTCCTTCAATCTCTTCATCAAACCCACATCCTTGGTGACGATCAACGCATTTGCCTCTAGATCCAAGCTGTAGCTACGCTTCGTGTAGTTGCTGCTGCCAATCAGACTGACACTTGGACCTGGTTCGTCCTTGAGAGTAACCCAAATACCCTTTGCATGATACGTCCAGCCACCTGGCGTATTCACAGTGCCTTTTCTCCATTCTTTGAGCGTGATCTGGTTTTGCAATCCGGCCTTTTGCACCGAAGAGAGGAAGCGGCGACCCAAGAGTGTATACGCGGCTGGCAGCATACCCGAAACGCCCGGAGAGCCGTAAAACCCGTTAGCCCATGGCGAGGCAGCGATGACATTTGCAGACGATGGATTAGATGCCAGCAGCAAGTCGCGCAGCCAGGGTGTCATGTTGAAGTAGCCAGCTGTAAANGTCCACTTGCTTCCTGCGAAAGCTGGAGTGGCCAGTCTCTCTAGGATCGTGGTGAGAGCTGGCAGTTCAGTCGACGTGTCGGGCTTGAGAAGAGGTGTCAACTGAAGCACAGGGTAGATTTGTGTATCAGTTGCTGGCGTCTGAGCAGAAGTGGAAGTGGCAGGTTTCAGCAGAGGAGCAAGCAGTTTGGTGGCTTGAGTAATGAACTCTTTGGGGCTTGCCAAAGGCTCTGGATGCGCATTTGTGGTTGGCCAGGTAAGATTGAATCCACCAGGGGCAGAAGCATTTGGTACTACACGGTAGCTAATGCTACACACTGTGTCATGCACCTTTGCAAAATAGTCGGTGATACGTTTGCAAGAGATCAGGTGGTAGCGATCCTGACGATTGGTAAAGTAATCGGATGAAAGGTTTGCACCTGACATAATGATTTCGTCGTCAATGCCGTAGAGTTTCATATGTTGCAACCCCCAGCCTTCGTTGATGCGCTTGGGTATCATGGATTTGCGCATGCCAGTCAGGTTTGGTGTGTGGTACATGCATACTTCAACACGATCTGGGCCGAACTCGTCGATGAGCGCTGCTAGCAAGGTGGCACATGATGCTTTGGGTGTTTCTCTGGTTCCTCGGAGAGAATCCGTCAANAAGGAAACTTTGAGCTTAGGGTTGCGTCTGAGAGATTCTTGGATAGTTTGTATCNNTGAGATGCTTGTCAGACTTGAAACAGAAATAACAAATGTCCGACATACCAGCTCATGTTCGGACTTGCCGATGTACAAAGTAGAGAGGTAGATTCTCCTTTCAGCGGTTCTGATTTTGGTCTGCTTCAGTCAGTCGGGGCTAACTCCCAGCCTCAGCACTTCAATAATCGAACGAGAACAACACATTGTGATTGCTACACAGATAACGAAATAACGCTTGAAAGTGGTAGAAAAAAAAGAAATTATGAAAGTAAGAAAAGTGGTTGTCAAACTTGCCTTCAAGGTCTCGTAAAAGTCGGAGGGAGACCTCAGAATCTCGATTTGGGATGAGGATATATCAAAGCGAGGGGACAACTTGTCTAGTTCGGTATTCAGACCTCCCAATGCAGCTCCAGGAGATGGTGTACTGGATGTAGGAGCGACGCTGGAGTTTGAGTAGCGTCTTCTCATGGGCATCTGGTGGGTGGATCTGATCGATCTCACTGCCCTACGGGCTGCTTGCCTCGGAACGCATCTTGCAAACATTTTCCTACTCGTAACCAGTAGGATAAAGTGGAAAACCAGGTAGTTGGATAGATAAATGTTTCGATTAACATATGATGCCAAGGCTGGCGATCAGGTCGAGAACAAACAAGTCAAACGGGCTGCTGACCATCGATTGCCGCATCCTCAATCGCGGTCAAGCGACGAGAGCAGTGAGGGCTATTATCCACACACCACACATCATGTCGACTATTATGAGAACGCTGCGCAACTTGCGCAAGATTGGCCTCAAGGCGAGTAACCATGGCCTTTGTCCCAGTTGCTTGCGCTGACTTTTGTCTCAGGAATATGGCCACCAGATGCAGGTACGTCCGCCGCTCCGGAATATACGAATGACCCTCTAAGAACGACAACTTACACGACTTTCCGTCGCTATAGTACATGGGTACGACTTGCAACAATCTCGATATCTTGCGACCACAGCTGAAGGAGTACAGNGTGACACCAAGGCTGGAACTCTCATCGGTCAAGACCGCTACGGCAACAAGTACTATGAGAACATGGAGGACCTGCNNCCTGTACGTCTACACGGGACCAGGATACTGGAAGAGCTTGCATCTGATATCGAGGTTGTAGTGAGAACAAGATGGTGCGACTACAAGGACCAGGAGTTCAACCCGTGCGTATATTCATGCCATCGTACTGCATGAAGCAGCAGGAGGACTGACTCAACATCAAACAGTGATCAGATCGAGCCCGGCTGGTACGAGATAATGCTAGAATGCTGCATGGGCATAACTCACGAAACAATAGGCNACGCCTGGATGTCATACATGGTCGACAAGGCACCGTCCCAAGACCCCCTTCTCCAGAGACAGGTTCGCCCATGGGAGCCTGCAGAGCACCGTCCCTGCCTGACCTGGAGCAGAAGTGCTTACAGACCCTTCAACACGTAAGTCATGAGGAAGTTGATACTACGAAGTGGATGGCTAATCCAAACTAGTGTCAAGAACAAGTACCAGCCATGGACCCCAGTTGCTGCTCCCAGAAACTAAGCGAATGCATGCGCGGCATTTTCTAGGGTTCAACAGCGGGGCGTGCGTGAAGGATTGCGGTCTGCGCCCTTCCGAGCATCAAAGCTGATAAGAGAGTGGCTGCTGTACTGCAGCAACGACCACTTCTGCAGGTGATATGACTGGACTTCTCACCCAGCGAACCAATTAAATTCTCTTTGTCAATATCAAATGGCGTATAGCGGTCTGTTAACAAATTTTGCCGTACCTTTTGATTTGTTTCTCGTCGAATTGTGGTTGAGCTATGCTCGTGTAGGACTCCGCAAGCTTTAGGTCCTGCCTGATTGGGAAGCCGGTGATAGGTCGTTGTAAGTGTATCGTATGTGGATGAGTCAGGAGGAGAAATTGTCCAGAGCAGTGATACGCGTTGCAGGTAGGCTGCAATGGAATGGTCAGATGGACGCGCGTAGATAGTTGTAATATGAGAATGGCCATCGCCCTCGAGTTGCGACCTCTTCCAAACCGTGTATTTCTTTCCCCAGGTGTTCCAGCAAAACGGGCCAATCGAGCGAGTCAAGAGGGTCAGGATTGGCGAGCTTAAGCCTTAAATTGGATCAAGCCCTGCCGAAGTGACGCAGATACGGTCAAGGCGAGCGCGATTGGCTTCTGGCTTCCTTCATCAACATTTTCCATCGCAGCGTCGCTGTTGCACAAGACATCGAAGTTCTGGTGGTTGTTGTCGTTGTCGTCTAGAAAGAGCCCGAGACTGCACGAGTAGAGCAGTTGGCCGTATCACCATCATTGCTCGAGAGAGCGGCGAAACATTCAGCAACATCCACGCTGCCACGTCCTGGCGCAACACCCGCCATGATGAATTGGGGGCAATGCAAGGGGCCTGTCTGGCGGAGCGATGATTTTACTGACTGCTTTCAGAACGAGTGAGTTCACTTCGCAGCCGCCGAGACACAGACATGTTTCGCCTCAGACACAGCTTAACTGACCATGTCCCAGCNNTACCTCATGGGAATCATCCCCCTTATCGCGAGCGCAATCTCCCTACTATATCTTACCTTTCAACTAATCCAAACCGCCCTCAACTCGAAATATTCCTATGCCTATAAGCTTGTTAATCCTAAACATCCCCATCCTTGGGACCTTCGCATTCCTGCAACTCAGAATGACCAAGACACCGACGATGATTCGGACGAGTTTGACAGAAACGAAGATCTTGCCATCCGTACCGTCCGTACTCGTAACACTGAGATGTCTGTGGTCGACAAACCACGAGGCCAGCTTGTCCTGCCTATCATTGAAGAGCTAGCTGTGTTGGCTGAGATTGGCATCCATGCTGCTGCATGCGCCACTGGCATCTGGGGCTGGAGCAGGACCACAATCATCTGCAGTACCGCTCTCTGGTCGTATGTTGCAGTCTTGACCACTCTGCGTCTTTACTTCTCCAGCACAAACAACTACTCGTTCAATAAGCTCTGGTACCACACCGGTTTCCTCTACGCAGCCCAATGGATCTGCGCTTTCCTCCTTNTCCGCTCAGCAATTATTCACCCAGTCTCTATGGGTGCTCAAGCGCTCACGAGCACTCATTTTGCGCTGACCACTCTGCTGACTCTGATCATGCTCACCTCACGTAAGGGCAACAAGCCTGTCGAGCTCGAGTACGAAGGCGACATTGAACCATCTCGCGAACCTCTTGCTAGTGTGCTTTCCCTCGCTACCTTTTCCTGGATCGATCCAATCGTCTGGAAGGGATACAAGAAATCTACTGAGCTGTCAGATGTGTGGAACCTCGATCCTAAGGATAAAGCTGAATCCGTTCTTTCCAACTACCGCCAGGTCAAGAAGACCTCGATTCTCGCATGGCACTTGTTGAAGTACTTCAAGCGTGGCTTGCTCATCCAAGCCGCATGGGCTGTCATTTCTGGAGTCAATCTCTTCGTTCCCACTCTTCTCCTCAAGGTCATCCTAGAATACGTTGAGAACCCAGCCGACACCCCCATCAACGCTGCATGGTTCTACGTGATCTTGCTGTTCGTCTCTGGTGTCGTGTCTGCCCTCTCAGGTGGTCAAGCTCTATGGATCGGTAGAAAGACCTGCATTCGTCTTCGTGCCATCATCATTGGTGAGATTTATGCTAAGACTCTGCGTCGTAAGGCAGCGGCAGCTGGCGACAAGGTTCTTGGTGAGCAAGAAAAGAAAGACAATGAGCCTCCTGCACCCAAAGGCTCTATGAAAGAAGCCTTCCTCAAGAAAGTCAAGTCGTTCTACAAGGGTAAGAAGACTGCAGAAGCTTCCAAGGATGTACCCAAGAAGGAAGAGAGCACCGAGCAGGTTACTTCTGGTACCATCATCAACTTGATGGCCGTCGATTCCTTCAAGGTTAGCGAAATCTGCGCCTATCTGCACTTCCTCTGGGCAGAGGCTCCTGTTCAGTTCATCCTTGCTATTTACCTTCTTTACAGTATCTTGGGATACAGTAGTATTGCTGGTATTTTCATGATGGCTCTCCTTCTGCCTGTCAACCTCTTCATCGCCAAGCAGTTCGCCAAAGCTCAAAAGAAGATTCTTGCGGCTACCGATGCCCGTATTCACACCACTAACGAAGTGCTCACCAACATTCGTATCATCAAGTACTTCGCTTGGGAGCAGCGTTTCCTCGGCCAGGTTGACGAGAAGAGAGCTGTCGAATTGAGGAATCTCCGTAACCGATACATCGTCTGGGCCGTCGCAGCTACCATCTGGGGAGGCGCTCCCGTGATCATCACTTTCCTGACTTTCCTTGTCTACACCATGGTCGAGAAGAAGGACCTTATTCCGTCCGTCGCTTTCACCGCACTCTCGCTCTTTAGTCTTTTGCGCATTCCCCTGGACCAGCTTGCCGACATGGTTGCTCACGTTCAAGAGTCCAAGGTGTCTGTTGACCGTATCGAAGAATATCTCAATGAACCCGAGACCGACAAGTACAAGCAGCTTCAGGACAAGGACTTTGATGAAGACGGAAATCATGTCATCGGATTTGAAAACGCAACCTTCAGCTGGGGCGGCGGCACTGAAGCCGATGACTTCAAGATGATTGACCTCAACATGCGCTTCCGAATTGGTGAACTGAATGTAATCGTTGGCCCTACTGGTAGTGGCAAGACATCTCTTCTTATGGCACTGCTCGGAGAAATGTCCCTACTTGATGGTCATGTATATCTTCCTGGTGGAAAGAGCAGAGAGGATCTCAAGGCTGATCCGGATACCGGACTGGTCGAGAGTGTCGCGTATTGTGCTCAGCAAGCCTGGCTTGTCAACGGAACCATCAAGGAGAACATCGTTNTTGCTAGCCCCTGGAACCCAAGACGCTACAAGGATGTCATCGTTGCATGCTCTCTCCAACGCGACCTTGAGATTCTCGATGGTGGTGACCAGACTCTCGTTGGCGAGAAGGGTGTCACTCTTTCTGGTGGACAGAAGCAGCGCATTTCTCTTGCTCGTGCACTTTACTGCAATGCCAAGCACGTTCTTTTGGATGACGTTCTGAGTGCAGTTGATGCTCATACCTCCAAATGGATCTTCGAGAAGGCTCTCATGGGCCCTCTCATGCTCAACAGAACATGTATCTTGGTCACTCACAGCACTACTCTTTGTCTTCCTCACGCTGCATTCGCCGCTGTACTAGACAACGGCAGAGTTAGTACTCAGGGCAGTGCCAGGGATGTCATCATGTCTGGCAAGCTTACCGAGGATCTTAGCAAGGTCTTGGAAGAGTCTGAAGGCGGTGCATCAACCATCCCATCCCGTGTACCTTCTGGCATCGGTGGCGACAAGGCCTTTGGAGAGAACGATCACGCCACTGAAGAGGCTACGAACGGCTCAGCCGACTACGAAGACAACACTCTCCACAAGGTTGTTACTAAGGATATCCCCGGCATGAACAAGGACGTTGATGTCACTCTGCCGACTGAAAGTAAAGCCACTGGAAGTGTCAGTCTCAAGGTCATCATCATGTACTTCTCTTACATGGGCACATGGTACTACTGGGGCGTGACCGCTCTGATGTTCGTCCTTCAGCAAGTCTCCCAGGTTTCGACCAACGTCTGGATTCGTCAATGGGCCAACGCATACGCCAACAACAGGGAAATGTCTGTTATGGGTGTTTACACTCAACCTCGCCAACTTACTCACGTTTTCAGCGGCATTGGCAGTGGATCATCCTGCATCAAGAGCGGATCTTGTCTATGGGGTCTGCCTTCCTCTACTTCCAACACCGACGACCAGTTCTCTATTCGTTCGGAAGGTTCCAACAGGGTTGATGTCTTGTACTACCTTGCTGTCTACGGTATTCTGGGCCTTATCTACATGCTGATCACCGTCTCTCGTGAAGGTGTCATCTTCTATGGATCCTTGGTCGCTTCTAAGAGAATCCACAGAAAGCTTATGGAGTCTGTCACGCACGCCAAGTTCCGCTTCTTCGACTCTACACCCCTCGGCCAAATCATGAACAGATTTTCCAAGGATGTTGAGGCCATCGATCAAGAGATTGCCCCCGTCGCAGTTGGCGTAGTCCACTGCATGGCATCGATCATCACTACTGTTATTCTTATCTCGGTCATCACACCTCGCTTCTTGATTGCTGGTGTTTTCATCAGCATTCTGTACTTCATGATCGGTGCTTTCTACATCAACTCATCTCGCGACCTCAAGCGTCTCGAATCTGTGCAGAGAAGTCCGCTGTACCAGCAATTTGGCGAGACTTTGTCTGGTATGACAACCATCAGAGCTTATGGTGACGAACGCCGCTTCATTCGCGAGAACATGCACAAGGTTAACACCCACTCGAGACCTTTCATCTACCTTTGGGGCGCTAACCGCTGGCTCGCATTCCGTGTCGATGTAACCGGTGCATTGGTCTCGTTCTTCACTGGTGCTTTCGTCATTCTCAGCGTTGGCAAGCTTGATGCTGGTGCTGCTGGTCTGGCCATGACCTACGCTGTTACCTTCACTGAGAACGTCTTGTGGTTCGTCAGACTTTACTCAATGAACGAGCAAAACATGAATGCTGTTGAACGTGTCAAGGAGTACTTCGAGGTTGAACAAGAAGCACCTTACCAAATTGAAGACAAGAAGCCCTTGCCTGACTGGCCTAGCCAGGGTGCCGTTGAGTTCAAAGATTACAGCACTAGGTACCGCAGCGACTTCGACATGGTTCTCAAAAATCTTACCTTTAAGATCTTACCAGGTGAGAAGGTTGGCGTTGTCGGCAGAACAGGTGCGGGTAAGAGTTCGTTGGCTCTTGCTCTTTTCAGAGCTCTCGAAGCCGAGACTGGAAGCATCATCATTGACGATGTTGATGTCAGCATGATTGGTCTTCAGGACCTGCGTGAGAACATTGTTATGGTTCCTCAAGACCCTACACTATTCTCCGGCACTATCAGAAGCAACCTCGATCCCTTCGGCCTGTTCACTGACGAGGAAATATTCACTGCCCTTCGACGAACACAACTTATTGGTGCTGCCTCAGCTGAGCCATCGCGTGCCCCTTCACCCACAAATGGCACAGATAGCGTTCGTCTCGAAGGTGCAGCCACTGATGCAGTCGCCGATCCCGCCACGCTGGAGAACAAGAACATCTTCACCAACCTCTACTCCCCAGTCGCAGAGTCCGGCAGCAATCTTTCTCAAGGCCAGCGTCAACTTCTGTGTCTGGCACGCGCTTTGCTCAAGGACCCTAAGGTTCTGCTCATGGACGAAGCGACCGCATCCATCGATTACGCTACCGATGCGAAGATCCAAGAAACCATTCGCGAGATCAAGAACACTACCATCACCATTGCTCATCGTCTGCAGACCATCATCGATTACGACAAGGTGTTGGTGCTCGACAAGGGTGAACTGATCGAGTTCGGCAATCCTTGGGATCTCATCAGAATGGAGAACGGTATCTTCAAGGGCATGTGTGATATGTCTGGCGACTTTGAGATTCTGATCAAGGAGGCCGAAAAGGCGCATAAGGCGCGCCAGTTGGTTGATGTCGATGCCTAAGTTGGCTGTCTCAACAGGAGTTTTTCTGGCGGTTTGTCTTTGTTGTTGTGTTACTGCACCTCATTTTTATTTTTCTAGCATCGCCTTGCTTTAGATCATTAGTCAACAGAAGAAGTCTCGGTGGAGATCATGTAAATAAATCATACATCTACAAGTGTTTAATATCATCGTATCGATCCCTGTTATTACGCCCTTTGGTTCTATCATATCATGGACGAAATCCTTTGTGAACAGAAACAATGTGCCTCAAGATCGGTCGGTTGATAGCATCAGAAAACAAGAAAGTCATTGAATAGATGACTAACCTGCTGCCTAATCGTCTGCATCGTGTTACTATCAGCACTGCCTCGAAGGCTTCGTTCGAAACTTCTCTTGGCGCTAGCTAAGGAATCTATCTCTTGTCTCCTATTTCCAACTCTATTTACCACTCGTCATCAAATGAGGCTTTGCTACTTCTTGATCCATACCAACTTGGTCTTTCAGTATCATGATTCAAATCGCATGCCCACTTCTACTTTGCGTTGTACTATATTTGGATGAAGGCTGATCACCAGCATGTTGTATAGACCGCTTGACCTATGACTGCGCCACTGCGACCAAGCCAGCGAAACACAGACTTGAACTTTTTACCATCAGTCAATGTATGTGTTTCTCATGCACAGACTTGTGTCCTTCTGCAAACATATCATGATAGCTCAACTCCCGCCGGCAGTGTCATGGCACGTGTGTCTGGAGCGCGTGCTATCAACCGTTACAGAAGCCGTTTACTGCCCCTATAGGGTATATTGAAAGCCTAAAGTCGATCTCGTTGCCAGTACTCCTCGAATAATGAGGCAGTGACAACGTAAATTTTTGGAATTGTAGTAGCTATATAGAAAGGTAGGTGTCGCTCCTTCCTCGTCTGTTTTTTCACGCACTTGCTTTCCTCTTCTACATTCTACCGCCTCTCTGCTACTTCCTATCTAAATCCTTTATTTGTCTTCCATAATACCACCCGACCTGTAAGCTCTCGAACACTTCCAAGATGGTCAACTTGGCTATGGCGGTCGCCGTACCTCTGTACATCTGGCCAACCATTAACGCCTGGCAACCCCTCTACAACGCCATCTCAGCAGCCCCAAACACCACCTTCAACATCATCATAAACCCCGACTCGGGGCCCTCGAACGGTGCCTCTCAGCCCGATATCATCTCAGCAGTAACCACGCTGCGCTCACATAGCAACGTCCAACTCTTCGGCTACGTACACATCGAATACGCCAAACGCTCAGCCGACAGCGTCCACAAAGACATCAAAACCTACTCCACCTGGAAGAAAACATCAAAATCCGATATCCATCTCGATGGCATTTTCGTCGACGAAGCACCCTGGGAAACCAAATATCTGCCCTATATGAAGGATATCCAAACCTACATCCACAATACCATGCCCAAATCCCACCAAAAAGTCTGGACGAACCCTGGCATCCCTATCGATGCAAAGTTCTACGATTACGCGGATTATGTCAATGCGTATGAGAATTCGTATGCGGATTGGAATGCTACTGGTCACAACAAGATTCCTGAGTGCTTGAGGCAGAAGAGCACGGTCATGATTCACGACTTTCCCAAGAATGCACCTGGAAAGTTGAATTCTGATACCAAGAATATTGTTGCGAATGGATATAATGCTACTTTCATCACGACTAGTAGTGGATACGAAGACTTTTCGGCTATTTGGTCGCAATATGTCAAGGATGTTGCGAAATTGACGACGACGACAAAGGTCAAGACTTTGCCGAATTGCAAAAAATAGTGGTTGTCGGTAGCTTTTAATGTATAATGCTTTTCATCGGAAAGAAAAAGTGCTTTGTTTATTGCTTTAACCTAATGCTCAAGAATTGATCGAGCCACAACCAAGCAGTTAAAGGACTGTAAGAGCGGCTCAAACATAGGAAAGCCGCGAGCGAAAAAGCTTGACCAGAAGACCAAACCAAACTGATAACCAACGTATCTCAATTTAGTCACCCCATATCAGACAACCACCCAAAGATAAAAGAAAGTCGCTTGCTTTGACGCGGACATCGAATCTTCGAAACATCATGAGTCGGGAACTTGCAGTGATGTCGCCGTCCAGGTACCCTGAATTAGATCTCGAGTTGCAAAGGTGACGTCGCTTCCGTTCTCCTGATAAAAGACACACAGACTGTCTCCTCCACTTGGATCTGGCAGAGTCGTGACGCTCATGTGAGTTCCGAGGATGCCGGGTTGATTCACTGGGAAGCTATTCTCGATGGTGGTGTTTTCAGATGCCCAACTTATGTTATAACCTGTAATCCAGCCGTCGTCTCCTTGAGCGTAGAAAGCGTTGGTGTAGCCTAAACTGGTAGAGGGAAAGACGTTGTTGATGGCTGCCGAGCTGTTTGTCCATTGATTGATTGGGTGATTGGCAGTCGACGAAGTGTTGGTATTGGTGTCTTTCCACCAAACTTCAGTTGTCATCTGCGAGTTCACCATCATGACATAAGTGCTCGTACCTGGACCCCAGGAGTAGCAACCTAAGCCTGCATGTCCATTTTTGTCTGGCCACTCTTGTTGGTGGGTCCAGGTGGTGTCGCCGTTACGCCATCCTAATTGCTGAAAGGTAGAGGCATCAGAAGCATACCACAGATGCATACCCACGTCCGTATCAGAGCCAGAGGTGCTGTTGGCAGTGGTGTTATCTTGATTTGGCAGGGGACTGTGTTTATAGTCGGCATCGCCGTAGTCGTTGCCGTACCAGCAAGCTTGCATGCCTACTTGATCGGCATCTAGAACCGTGTAGTTGCCTTTTGTCACAGGTCCTTCTATCCATATGTTGGTCGCGTTGCTATTGATTTTTTCTCTGAGTTGATTGTTGTTGTCGATATAGAAAAGGTGCCACTAGAGTGAGTCAGCGAGAGAAGATACTGTGACCAGCTTCAGACTTACAGTAGATACGCCATCTAAGCTATAAGCGACTGCACTCAAAGGCGTGCTGTTTCTGGCATCGGTCGCTACAACTTCGGATGCAGTTCCTCCAATCCAGCCATTACCAGTATCTACTTTTCTTTGCCACCTGATCGATCCGGTGTGATGCTGGAAATAAAGAACGAGATCGCCGTACTCTCCCGAGCCGAAAGACTGAGAAGCTAGTGCCAGACCGCTGCCATTGAACGCACCTTCCTTCGAGAAGTAGGCCGGATCGAGTGCACCACCGATGTAGTAATCAGAAGACTTGGCTGATCCTGGTGATGGCTTGTTGTCTTTGTGTTTCGTTCTGAGTCCCACGCCCAGTCCCACACCCAGGCCGACACCGAGCCCAATTGCTAGTGGGAGAGCAGTCAAAAGTAAAATCCAGAAAAGCCTACGCCTTAGGCCACAAACTCGTGCCGACTTCTTCTCAGGTGGTCCCGCTGAAGTAGGTATTGCCATCGGTGGCCCCGTCCCCATCACGACTTCCTTATCACCTTCGCCAGCCCAAACTGTCTCAAGACCTGGCGAGACACTAACTTCACCCATCGATTCGTATTTGCTGCCAAAGTTCATGTCGACGGGTTCCTGAGGCGAGACATTGTGTTCGGGTTCTGGCCATTGCTGGTATGAGGGCGGTTGATTTGATGATGTCGATGAAAGCGAGAAATGGTGGTATTCATCGTAAGGAGAAACTGCTTCTCTATACTCGGTCAGGACATGTGAGTTGTCAAAGCTAGCCAGACACACCTGAACCCAGATATCCTCGATTGGTTGGTCATTTTGGTGTACTACAGTCGAAGAAGTGTGTACGGACAAGTCACGGAAGAAAAGATGTAAGACAAGAGGGTGCTCGCTGGATTATCATCTAGTGGACCCATGATTAGCTGCATGAACAAAAGCAAATCGTGCTATGCAGGCCTTGCAGTAACACGGAGCTGACACATCCAGCTCGTGTGCTGTGAGCATGCTCGACGAGCAAGGCTGATGTACCATGTTCGTGAGAGTTCAACTCGCTTGATGAACATGCAGCTACGGCTGCATGCAGGGAGTTTGCTTCCCCGCTTGATGTATCGAAAGCAAAAACAGATCAGAAGAGCAATTCGTGAGCATGTAAATTCTTGAAGCTGAGCATTAGCACAGTGCCTCGAGTCTTCTTTACCTCGACAATAAAAATCTGGCCTCAAGACAAGCGGAGAGCCACGATGATAACCCAGATTGGAAAAAGGTGAGGTGCGGAGAGTCAAGTCCGGGGTCCTTTTACTCTGCAACGTTGGTTAGGTTTCTGCAAGGACCAGGATAGCTACCTTGCAATCTATTGGTCGGCACATTCTCGATGTATACATCGGTGCTTGTGATCCACAGTAAGCAGTGCATAAGACGAGCTGATTTTGACAATCTATCGTGCTGACCAGATGACAACCAGTAGCCGAATATGGATATGCGCGGGTTCTATGATGGTCTGGAAAAGCTTGTGTGTTGGCTCAGGACTGTAATGATCAGCCAGAATATGTTTATCTCGAGCCAACACGTAAGGCTCATGTTCTCACGAAATCTTGTCAATGACACAGGTACACCCAGGTAGGTACTTTGGTCTGAAAAGGTGGCTTCCTCCTCTCGAGGAAGCGACACCTGTCAAAGATAGCAACATGCAGTCGCCCGAACCGCGAGACTGTCGCCAGTCAGAACTTCTGAACTTCCTGATGAAGCGAACTCTGCAACTTAAAGTGTTGTCGATGTTTCCTGTTTGTTTCAGTCGTTCTCAACCCTGTCAACCTTCAAGCCCATCAAGCGGTCAACACAACCGCTCCGCTCAGCCCTATGAGAAGCCGCGGATGCCGGCGGTGGACCCCTTGTGCACGGGCTTCAACCAACGACCCGGAGATTGACATCGGAGATATGAAATGGGCTGATTTTTTGTTGATGTCGTATTCGATGTTACAAAATCCATGGATCAAGGGGGATTACTAGGACTCTGAACTCGTCTTCTCTCTCCGGACAATTCGAAAACCAGATATGGCAGCAAAAAGAACAGCGGCTCGAAGTCTGCGCAACGCAGCAGCCGCGCAAGCACCTTTNCCATCGTTGCGATCCTTATTGCCCTCTTTTCAGCCATTGTTTACTATATGGAACAAAATCTTCAAAGCTTCTATGTTTTCGACACACAGCAACTGCACGACCTTTCGAAGAGAGCAATCGCAAACCATGGAAACGACACTAAGGCTGTTGTTGCACAGATCGTTGGCGAGCTCAGCCAGGGTCCTGCTGCTGATTATGTCAACCTGAACGAGGAATGGGTCTTCAACAATGCTGGAGGCGCAATGGGTGCCATGTACATTATCCACGCCAGCATTACTGAGTATCTGATCATCTTTGGTAAGATCGTTTGCAGACATTGTTGTGGATACAATGGGAAACTAACAAACACACAGNGCACTGCCATTGGAACTGAAGGCCACTCTGGTCGCCACACTGCAGACGACTACTTCCACATTCTGAAGGGTACTCAGACTGCTTATTCACCTGCCGCTGGCCACTACGAGCCCGAAGTCTACCCTCAGGGCAGTGTACACCATCTGCGCCGTGGTGAGGTAAAGCAGTACAAGATGGACGATGCTTGCTTCGCTCTGGAGTATGCCCGTGGTTGGATTCCTCCTATGCTTGGTTTTGGTTTTGCCGATGGTCTTACCAGCACCCTTGACTTCCCCTNNACTCTATGGCACACAACCAGGATTACCGGCAGAGAGATGTTGTCAAACATGGCTAAGGGCAAGCTTTAGTGCAATTGTAATATAGAATTCTGGAATCAATTCTCTTGGACACTGCAGTATATTCGACCAGCTGTGGATGTGTGGTTCAACATGGACAATACAAACTTGACCTGCCCAATCGGATCTGGCTCTGTAACAGAATCGCAGGTACGACGTTGCAAAGATCTATGATGCCGCTCAAGTTTGGCATGAGTCATTGCATACGACTCTCGCACTCGTGTAACAGACATGGAAAACCCGTAGGGAAAAATCCATGTCAAGAGTCTGGCATCCGCGTACAGTTCTGAATTCTCCGCTACACCTCTCTTTTGATTTTTTTGATGACACGACCTCACGTCAGTCTGTGGCTTCTCCAGAGTTGAGCCGGAGTTTTGTCTTCTAAAGGAAGGAGCTTACACTTCTTCTTCTCTTGCTTTTCTTTCGGCCGCCTTGCTTTATCCTCTCTGAGCTTCGCTCTTTTCTCTTTACTTAACGACCCAGCTTTGTGGAGTCTTTTGATGGAGCCAAACCAGCGGTGACTGCCGCACTGGCTTGATTCTCCGATTCCGAGAGGTGGATGGTCATGAAACGCGTTCGATGATTTCTTCCACGTTATCGCATGGAGCGAAGTCCTCTACTTATCTGTTCTGGTCATCTAATCGCTGTTAACACAACTATAGGCACGACTTCTACGTACTCGGCGCTCAAGAGCAAAGTGTCTATTACCTAGCAGAGAAGTTGTTATCACCCTTATAGAGACTCACGGGTTGGTCATTTCGAGCCTCATGGTCACAAATAGCTAGGCACCTACGGGCATTCCTGTCTAGTGTTGATGCGCCAGCGCACCAGTAGGCATCCAACAATGCCGCCATTCAGCGCTTAGCAAGCCGCGGCTGAGCAAGTGCATATTCACTGGCCAATCAGAATAGCTCAGAAGCCGATGGTGTAACTGGTTTGTTTATTGATGGCATCGAAGCGTGTAGAGTTTGGTATCTGCTGCACCAACTCGTTCCTTTTGCCAGAATCATCTATCATCTATCAGAGATCGTAAACATCAACAATACTGGAAAAGTCAGTCGCGATGGATTCTGGTGAATTGGACACCGCACACCAGGATCAGCTGGTCTCATGGTGCACTCACTTTGACGAAAAGTATGGCTACCTCGGTGTTGAGAGATTGGCGTCTCGGTACCGTGATGGCCAGCATTGTCGATGCGTTTCCAAAGCCTGTGGGTCATTCAATCTCTGCATAAAGGTTGTTTTCGACGACGATACAGCCTGGGCCGTACGTTTTCCTTTACCCGGCCAAGTCATGCAACCGAAAGAGAAGCTCCGCCGAGAAGCCGCTGTTCTGAAATTCATAGAATACAACACGCGAATACCTATTCCAACGCTCGTCGCCTTTGGCTCTGCCACGGAGAACGAGGATCCTGAGGTTGGACCTTATATCATCACCACATGGGTAGAGGGTGTGTCACTCGAGAGTTTGCTGGAAGAGCTTCCGCGTCCGGGTTGGAGCCCCGTCCTACGAGACGACATCGATGATGAGATTTTCTGTAAGATATATAGCCAGATGGCGGATATCTTGCTGGAGCTGGCTTCAAAAGACTTCGAAAGAATAGGTTCTTTAACCATGTCTGAAGAGAACAACCAACCTTCTTGGTCCATTGTCACACGGCCTTTGACACAGAAGATGAACGACATAGAATCAAACGATTACGTTGTCGTCGACGGTAAGGCCTGATGTTGGAATTTGCCATGGATTGGGACTGATCGACACCAGNACCATACAAGTCTACCTTTCAACAACGTCACTGTATACATGGAGCATCTATTGCAACAGAGCACGTCACATCTATACGAGCAGAGAAATTCCGTTCTGGATGCAGAAGAAGCCCGGCGCGAATTCATCCTTCGTCGACGTATGCAAGCACTAATACCCTACTTCAAATCCAAACATGACTCTGGCCCTTTCAAGCTTTACTGCGATGATATTCACCCTCGAAATATACTGGTCGATAAGGACACATACCAGATAACTGCTGTCATTGACTGGGAGTGGACATATGCTGCTCCTTGAGACTTTTCATATACAGTTCCTTCTTGGCCAATCCTAGAGACCCCAGCAGTATGGTCAGAAACGAGCAAGAACAGATTCAAAAAGCAGATGACGCTATTCATGCAAGCTCTGGAAGATGCAGAAAAACAAAGAGAGCAGAACTGGCCGCTTGAACGGCAAAACAAAGGACGTATGTCAACTGCTATGCGCCAAAGTTTTGAAGATGGTACATTCTGGTTCGAACAAATACTGCGTTCCGTTCACACCTGTAGCGACGAATTCTATTGGCCACATCTAAAACCATCTCTAGAGGAGAGGAGGCTGCTCAATATTGGAGTTCCGGACGAAGAGGAGATTGAGCAATTCGTAGCTCGGAAGATGGAAGATCTGGAGGCATACAACAAAGAGCTGAAAGAGAAGAAGAACAACAATCAGCAGACTGGATCAGAAATGGAATCGAGGATCCAAGAAACCGATCATGTAAATGATGATACCGCTGTTGCAGAGCCCGAAGACATACAACACGAGGAAGCAGAAATACATCTAACAAGCCAGTCAAGAGACCAAGCATATACATCTACATTTGATCGTGCAGACAGTGAAGCTGCTTCCCAAGACCCGCCACGCACAAATGCAATTGCGGACACCCGGTGTATCGAGCAGGCAGGAACATCCGCAGACGACCATGTGGACGACATTGCTGCGGACTCTGCAGGATAGCAGCCTAGAATTGTTGGCGACACGATCGCGACGACAACTCAGGAGATGAAGAGACAAAGTATATGGCTGGAAACTCTTNTTTCTTCGTGCGTCTTCCACTGAAGTTGATGCCCGAAGTCTTGACAGCAATATCCCAGAAAGGTCGGATGTTCGCAGTTACGTGGGCTTGACGAAGATGCGACAACATGTTAGCCGGCTATGGAAAGAGCGAATGGTCAAACACATCCGGTCGGCTTCGCCATTGCCATTCTTGGAGATTCAGTCTCAACCAATTTGTCCGATCAAATGGAAACAAGGGGGTTGAACTGAAAATGGCTGTTTATAGGGGTACCATGTATCGCAGATCTATTTCAGTCACACATTCAAGTAGAACAAGATCTCGTATCACCGACCGCCTTTCCGACTATCCGGGTACCTTACACGTCTTACACTGCTATATCCGTCGACTGTTTCTATATTTGGCAGCGAAAGCTGTCACGTTATGTCATAAGAACAAGAGGCAGGAGTGGGTTCTGTTGGGAAAAGAGGAGGCTTTCTTGTACACGATCTTTGTCTATCTGATAAGGAAGGAACGAACGAACGAGCTTCGAGAATACCGAGAAATCATTACCGAGAATGCCCTTTTAAGAAATTGTTTCGCCGCCCGTTTGAGCACCACATATTCTATCGACCCTCGAGTACACCTTGGCTGCTGTTCAGTAAGTATAGTTGTGCTAACTGGTTTAGACACCAGAGTCGTCCTTCTTCCAGTAAGACTCTTCGGGGTAGAACTCGCGCCACTCTTTGCAGATATCGTTGAAGGAAGAGTCGATCTTGATTTGGTCAGGAGTCTCGAGGAACTGTGTAGCCAAACCGTCGGCTACGTGCCATGCGATGTGACAATGCATTATCCAAGCACCAGGATTGTTTGTCTCGAAAGCAAGAACCAGCCAGCCATTAGTTGGCAGCATTGCAGTATCACGACGAGGAGGGTTCTTGAAGTTCAGCTCGCTCGCTTGATCGTTGGTGTACACACTTTGTTCTTTGGCACCCAGTACGTAGAAGTCATGCCTATATTTGTGTTAGTAGCGATAAAATATTGGTGTAAAAGCTTAAACTAACCCATGCAAGTGTATAGGGTGAGGGATAGGTATGTTTGCCCCTGCAGGAGTCTTAATTTCCTGTAGTACCCAATATGTCCATGGCGTATCAGGCACGTTGATCAGATTCTCAGATGCTGGATAGCTTGTGTTTTGTTCCTGGACGTATTCAAGGATCGGCTTGTTCCAATCCACGTTGAGAGCAGTAGTATTGATAGCCCATCTGAAGATAGTCTTGTTGTCTGATGTGACACCAGCCTCCTGAGCTTGCACACTCAAGAACTCAGGGTTTGCTGTCAAGGCGTTGTCGGGCACGAAGCTGTCCCAGAAAGGCGTAAGCTTATCCGAGTTGTAGGACTCGTCTGTGCATCGATCTGCGTTGTCTCCAGTTGTGTCCCAGGCAGTACTGGTAGGGTTGGCAAAAGTTGCGTTGCTGTAGTGGATGATCGCTCTGATACCATGAGGATTGCCATTGTTGGTGCAACCCGGCGCAGAAGCGTCTGCTCGGAACCAGTAGTTGCCTCCTGTCTGGTTCGCTTCAATGATAACATCGAGTCTTTGACCGATGCCCACGAAAACACGTTCCGCTGGATAAGGCATGACGGGAACAAAATCGCTGGTGATGACTGTGAAAGGGTGATTATCGACCGAAACCATGAAAGCACTGTCCACAGATGTGTTGATGAGGCGTAGGCGATATCTCTTGCCAGATTTCACAGTAGCGTTGAAGTACTTGCCCTTGGTCCCGTCAGGGCCTNNCACATTCATACCGTTCACGAGACCAGTGTAAGCCTGTGGAGGTGCGATGCGTGCCAAGGGGTTGTTGAAGAAAGCAGTTTCATCATACCAGTCCGTCAGCGCGAAAGGACCGAGGTCTTCATCATAGTTGTCCGTAGCAGGACCGTCGATGACAATCGGACCAAGAACACCCACGCCATACTGAACNACCTGAAGTGTTGGTTAGCACTGATACAAGATTCATTCTAAGATGAACTTACTCCAATGGCTGTGATACCAACTAGTACCATACTGCGTGCAATGGAATCTATACGTGCGAGACTTTCCCGGAGCAATGGGGCATTCGGTTATCTGTTAATGACTCCATCAGCACCAGTTATCTGGTAGACTCGTCAGTGAACATACTCCTGGGACACCGTCTTGATCGCAGGTTTCATACTGCCTAATCCCGTGCCAGTGGATGCCTGGAGGCAAGTCAGTAAACATTCTTGGATACTCTGAGGCTGCCGTACCTGTCCCGTTGTCGGGTAGGTGGTTGTTGACTGTGATTTCTAGCCAGTCTCCCCAACTAGCTCTGATGACTGGCCCTGGATACTGATTGTTGATCAGCATAACCATGCGATCACCTGTGCCATCAGGATTGAGGGTTGTGTTTGCGATGTCCAATGTGTATGGAACTGTCTTTCCGGTATCAGGGAATTTTTGGTCAAAATCGGTCGCGATCGAGAACCCATTGCCCNNTGTGAAAATTAGCATGAGTTGATAGAGGAATTTCAGATCCCATACCCAGCATTGACGGCTGCCAGCAGTGTTGGTACATTCTGTATCAGCATTGTTGGGAGTCAAAGTGTTGGCAGAGCCAGCAGCAGAAGATGTTGAAGAGGCTTGACGTTTAACCACCGCTGAAGCAGCAGCGGAAGCGGCCAGAGAGGCGAGAAGGGGAAGAGTACGCAGGAAATGCATGCTTGCGAGGGTTTGAGCACGATTGAGGTACTGTAGTCATCTTGTTGTGGATAAGCAACTCTTATATACATATACTTGCCTGGTAAAGTATAGCCTGTTGCTTACAGGGCTGATACCAGGAATAGATCTCTGTATAATGAAGCACTGCCATCGTGTAGGCATTCGAAGCATTGCCCCGATCATGTGAGAGAAGGAATGGAAGTCCTAATCTCATTCTCGATCGGGTGAAAGGCAAAGCTGCAAGTCAGATCGTCTGCCTATTTTTCAATAGACTGTTGCGAAGTCAGCATCCGGTCTGCAGGCCAGCTTGACGACTCAACACGCAGGAACCCAGCAACAAGATAATGCTGGGCTTTGCTTTTCTGGTTCGGAGTTGTCAATAACAGAATAGGAGCACTGACAACGTGTCTGATTGGTGATAGGCATTTGTCGGATGACTATTGTGCCGTAAGAACTTTCTGAGGTGAGACAGGACTGTATTCTCCGACGCAAGGTACGTGGCCACGAGGCCCTTGTTTGCACAGCATGGTGAAATACTTCGCCTTCGGATATGACAAGGTCCTGGGTACAATAGACACGATGTTCTTTCTTGAGTCGAAGTCCAGATGCGACTCGTGGCAACTGTTGCAATTTGCTATGTAAGAGAACGCAGGAGCTGTAGCGTGACATTCAATCATATTCCTCAGCTTCGTATCTGCAAAGATACTAAACAATGACGAGAACAATCCTGCCAGTGGCTATAAACGTGATTCGATCTGTATCGCGGATTGAATTGACCATGGTGTCTGCTCGTGATCTGAGGCTCTCATGGACCTACAGGAGGTGTTGGAAAGTCGTACTGGATGCACGATATGGTCATCATGCTTCATCGCCAAGATCAGGCTGATGGGTTTCCAACGTGTACGGAGCCTTCGAAGAGCCCTTGCTCATTCGAGGGCATAATAGGAGAGTCGATTTTTCATCCTTCCAACCTGTCTAAGTATATCCTTGGGTACTTCGAAGGACTTCGAGAGATGCTCCAGATACACGTTTGAGAGAGGCCGTCGTCATCATGTGTATAAGAGGTGATAATACATATGCATTCTTTGCAGATAATTAATATCAACGACTTGACAGGTAGATCTGCTTTGCAGAATCGCTGGCTAACACTCTGCTGCTTTCACGAGAACATGCCGCAGCTTTGGTTCTGTCATGCGCCAGGTGCCGATTGCTTTCTGACGATATTGCAAGTAAGGTCCCGACGGCTTACCCACATGTCGCGATAGGCAAAAGATACATCGAGTATCAGAGCCTGAGAATTCATGGTACCCAACACTGCATGCCGTGATGGCTGATGACATCCCTGCTGCCTGGTATATCCAGTGGCAAGTACTCTTGGTATCTTGCTGACGTGAAGTTGTGAGTGGGAAGGAGGCCAGTCAGGAGTGCTGTTTCCCTCATTCCAAATTTGGCGTCCTTCCCCGAGCGACCGAAGGATCGACATCACTTCTGCCGGGTACCACACCGCCTTCTTCCGACATCTATCTTGCATCGCAGCACGCTCGTATAATCATTTTCTTGAAAATCCTTCTTGCATGCGTAAGGCTGCTACCCGGCACACGGTGTTGGGCTGGAAAGGCTCCGATCATACTCAGTACGTCCGCCGGCACCGTAACCCTCCTGTTCGGCGACTTGAGAATATCCGAGATTGGTCTCTGATGTCAGACAAGGTCTGCGGGACTACAGTCCATGCCACGAGAATCCTCTTGGGAGGCAGTGTAGGAATATGGATGGAGAGTGCCAAGAGCATGTGCTATTTTTTGCTGAGAAGGTAGGTCTGATGGGAGCAGATGGTCTCACTGCCAGCTCGACACCTCGCGGCCTCGAGTATAAAGTGGTCTCAGGTACAACTTGACTCTCTCTTCTGAGTATCCAACTCTTAACTTTCTTTTGATCAACATCCCCTGGACCATCGACGCCATGTGGACGTACATGATTGCCATCGGGCTCGCACTCCTGCAGGTTGCCGGTGCCTGTGAGTCTTATGGTATCGACTTCAAAGACAGAGGAGACTATTTCATCAACATCAAATCCAACGAATCTTTCACCGCCATATCAGAATTCTACAACTGTCAGGAGCCTGCTCGTGCCCTTTTGATCACTCCCAAGAATCAAACAATCTTCTGCTCGGACGTTGCAACTTCGCCTGATTACACTGATGAGACTACGACTTGCCCTATCTTGAAGAACCAGATGTACTCTGGTGACTGGACGCTCCTGCTTCTTGACAACAACGGCAATGCTAGCACTTTCAATGCCAAACGTCGCTTGCATCTCAGTGTTGGCGAGCAAGCGACTTCGATTATCATTCCTACCATAACTCTGAGCGTTACTCAAACTCCCACATCCACTGTGAATGCTACAATCACGGATTTGGAGTCTACAACAATTTTGCCTTCATCGGTTACCAGTCTTGCTAGCAATGCAGTAACGCAGACGGTATACTCCTATCCACCTCGCGAGACTATCACAAAATCGTCGACAGCAACGGTCACACGTACCAGCACAAGATTCACCTACACTATCAAGACATACACAGAGACCGAGATCTGCGCAGTTGTTTTCGCAGCCAAGGAGGCAGATCCTACAGCTGATGCTGGCCTCCTTGCCATTGCCCAGGCTGCCATTGCCTCAGCAAGCGCAACCCCAGCTCCCGCTCGTCGCGCCAGAATCAGACGCGATATCACTAAAGTTCTGCAAGTTGAGAGACGCAACATAGCCAATCTTGCCAAACGCACACCTGATAGCGCTGCCGTTCTTTCAACAGACACCAACACTGCCCATTGGGAATCCGTGACAACCAGCTTTACGGCTGTACCTGTCACCCACACAGCATACAGTAAGATCTCCCAGGTCTGATTCGATGCAGGCGTACAAAAACTGACTTTCCTCCAGCAACTGTGGAAAGCACGACAACAATCACACCAGCACCCATCACCATCGTCGCAACCGGCACCACAGTCACCAAGACCGCACCAACATATGTAAGGCACCAAAAACACATGATTCCGCAAACCCAGAAAACTGACATGATTCATAAAATCAGACTCGTACGATCACCAGACGAACAACCACAACCTCCAAGGTCACAAAGGTCGTCACTGCAACGTATGTACTCTCTTCTCATTGTTCCTTATCTGTTTTCTGATCCATTACGTTGCTAACATTTGCCTTGCAATAGTCTCAGCATCACCAGCTGGGTGCCTGGTTCAAACTGTTTCTAGATTTGGGGATGAACTGCAGTAAAGAAAACACTTTCGGTCTCGCCATAACGAAAGGTTTGAGCATTTGTGGCATATACGGGAATGGATCTCCTAGATATTATAGTCCCCTGGCTTTTCTCTTCTCATCATCTTTTTCTTTTGGTTTTCCTATATATCGACTCCGTTCTCTTAAACTGTCTTCTCCTACAGATCCTTCGATCAAGTAAGAACATAGACACACGCACAAATACACCAAGCAAGTTTGTTCAACAACACCATTTCAATTCCATTGTGCATTGTCTTTTGCTTCTTCAATGCAACGACAAATCTAAAAAGCAAAGAAAAGAAAAAATCCCCCCGTTCTTTAGACATTTGGTCTAATGCGCCATTTACGCCTTCCAGCTATGCATGAAAAATTCGTCATCAAGTAAAAACGCTCGCTCTTCATCCTCAATCCGCCCAAAGAGGTTCATGACAAGTTGATCGAGCCGAAATCGTTGGATCCGCCAGGGGTACCCCAGGGGTCATCGCCGGGTCCAGGACCATAGTTGCCGAAGCCGCCACGACCACCCATCATACCGACGTTGTTTCTGTCCGTCTTTGCCTTTTGGACGATCGAGTACTTGGAACCCATGTCTTTGGCTTGAGCTACTGTGCGGGTGAGAGAGGCGAGCAGGGATACCATGTGCATGTCTGACTGTTCCTGTGAGGAGGCTGTTGCGAGTGATGATTGTGGCATTCCCGGGACTGGGATGGTGGTGGAGGGTTGAGAGACGGGAGGAGCGAGTAATGGCAGGCGAGAGAGCATGGATGAGATTTCGCGGAGGAGTTGATGGTTGAGAGGAGGATCGCTGGTGGCGGCTGAGATGGAAGCATCGGTCAGATATGATTGTGGTAGTTCGGCTAGATAGGCCTTGATGAGGTTGATGCGCTGGTGCAGCATCTTGATGGCGTTGTACTTGGCAGTCAGGGATGAGATGACNTATAGGTTGTTAGCTTGTGCTTCTCACAGATAAGAGTGATGATGATTACCTTCTTCATCGGCGGGACTAAGCTGAAGATCATTGGTGGCAGCACTTCCGTCAGCACGAGACTTGCCCTTCGATGGAGGAGTAGCAGAGTTGTGAACAGTAGCAGAACCGCTTCCCTTTGCAACAAAGTCGACAGCGATCATCTCGGCTTCTCCAGTCTCGACCTCGAATGGTAGTTGACGGAAGCGCATCTGCAATTGACGACCCATGCCCCATCCATCGACCTGCAAACCCTTGTCTGCATTTTCACTGCCAGGCTCGTAGAAAGATTCGTAGATTGAGATGGGGAGTTTGCCGCCAGTCAAGGAGCCGTCAAGGATAGTCTGAGGGTGGAAGAGGAGGAGCATGAGCGAATCGTTGTATGAGTGTTGCAGTTGTTGAAGGATTGGCACATGGTCAGGGAGAGGGCCTGAGGGAGGAGCGAGGGTGAAGATGGCGACCAGATCAAGAGGAGGAGCTTTGTGGACGTCCTTGACTNNGGTTTATGGTTAGCTGGGATGGTGTAGTGTTTACGAAGGCATGCACGTACACTGCTCTAGACGCTCGGCGAACCACTCTTCGTCAACAAGAACTTTGTCTCCGTCTTCCTTGGTCTTGCATTGGAAGGCTTGCTCCATGGTGATTGTACGTCCATTTTGCTGACCGATGATTGCACCAACGATTGGGCCTTGTTGGCTGCGCATAGAGTGGCGCGTTATGTAGTCAGAGATGGTGAGCAGAACCAGTGGGTGCAGCTGGACTGAGAGGGACGAGTCCGAGGTACTGCTGGACAGCAGAGAGTTGCTTGCCGTCTCGACCATGATTGCGGCGAGTGTGTAAATACTAATTGAAGTAAGTGGATGGTAGAGTGGAGAGAGTTGGATGACATCGGTGTTTCTGTGAGCGAGCTGCCTTAGCTCCGTCTATCTCCGTGGCGGCCGCTCCTGCCTCAGTAGCACTTTCATCTTGAATGCTCACTGGGAAGCTTCGACATCTTCAACTACTCTTTCTGTTCGCACGCCACATTTCTTTCTCGCACACTTCAGACAACTGGACTGATTGTCTTCATCTCGTCTTCGCGACTTAACCCCCTCAACAACCGCTCACTTCTGGACCGCCATCATGTCGCGCCATCACCCGTACGTCCATCGTGGAATCTTCTGCTGAAGAGGTACAAACTGACTGTTCGTATACAGTGATTTGGTCATGTGTCGCAAGACCGCCGGCATCGCCATCGGCCGCCTTTGCGACAAATGCGACGGCAAGTGCCCCGTTTGCGACAGCTACGTCCGCCCTACAACTCTCGTCCGCATCTGCGACGAATGCTCTTTCGGAAACTACCAGAACAAATGCGTTGTCTGTGGTGGCGAGGTAAGATTATACCTCATCCTTGACTGTTCATTCCGTAGCCATATCGCTGACACTGTCTTTCAGGGAATCTCCGACGCCTTTTACTGCTTCGAATGCACACGTCTCGAAAAGGACAGAGATGGCTGCCCTAAGATTATAAACCTTGGTAGTTCCAGGACCGATCTGTTTTACCAGAAANAGAATTTCCGGAATCATTAGCACCAATGAGCACCATTCTGGAAGTATAGGATGGTCAACTACAATCTGGAGCATAACCAAGACGCTTTGCCTGAACTTGCTGGATGCTTGGCCAAACACTACAAAACAACGCCGACGGAAGCTCTTTACGATGTCGTTTTATTCAAGATCGTATATGCAATAACGCGACACATCGGGCGCGTAGACCAAGGACTGGGTCCTTCGGCCTGGATCGAACCATTTTCACACGAGACATGCCCAGAAAGGAACCACTTTATGCGGCTTCGATTCGCTCACGCTACATACTGGACAGATCAAATCTCTCATGAGCAGCAGCTCTCCGTACAGCCCAGCGCCCGGATCGATTCAGTCGAAGAGGAAGATAAGGTCATGGACAGTTTGCGAGCGCGGTAGAATAAAGGTAGATAGTCGAACAACGTCTTGTAACGACGAGTCGAGGCTTGTTTCATTCAGCTCTCATCCTTCCTATATCTGTAATCTATATCATGTTACCCTGGTATGAACAAGGCAACCGGAGCCGGTATGGCAACCATGAATCTGTACAATATCGTTGCATCAGATAGAGCCTTGTTGACAACCAACTGATGACTCCTTGGTGAGTTTGATATCTGTTTCCTGGCTGACGTGCCGGGAAGCATAGGCTGGCTGTTCGTTGAACTCGTAGCCTCACGCTTCGAGAGCGCAGGAGGCGGTGGCTAGGTGGCATAAGAGTAAGAATCGCTGCCTCAGCCAGGGATGTTGGCAAGCTCTCTCGAGTTTGCAGCATTCAGCTCGGCCATCAGACCACCCTTATCCCTCTTCTTCTCGTCCTGCTCCAACTTTAACTGAACGAATTGATGCAGGACCTTGACCTTNTCAAGCGCAACATTCGAGCAGTTGAGTGTAGTCAAAGGGTCCACAGGTACACCTCCATACTTTGCGATTTGGCAGACCTCGCCGTGGCGGTTCATACTGACAATCATCTCTCCATCGCGAACGCTTTCTTCTGCGAGATTGGCGTCTAGCAGGACAGTCTCGCCTCCATGGTAAAAGGAGAAAGAAACACAGAAGGGATGGTGTTGCATAGCAAGCTTGACGGGTTCGCGCTCGCGGATATCGAAGACTGTGACTTCTTCTCCATGCACCTCGACCTCGGGACGGCGGAAATGTTGCAGAGCGGCGACCAAGGCGATACAGCAGGCATCGATCAAGCCTCCATCGTGATCTAGAACGTGTATGTCTGCGCGAACGGCAAAGCACTTTGCGCCGGCGATGATGCAGAGGGATTCGGTATCCAAGGCTCCGGAGCGACGAATTGACTTTTCGAGCAGACGTGAGAGTACGACTTCGGCATCATTGGGGCGGCCGACTTCGAAGGCGGGAGAGGCCATGGGTGACAGCTCGGTTGAGATGGTGAAGACGCCGTCGAACTTGCGATCAGGGAAGGGTGTGGTTACTTCTGCAGAGACACGTACAACCACTCTNGTATACACATTAGCGACATTTCCTTTTCTATGTTGTCTTATCATGACACACCTCGTCTTGCCCAATCGAACATCAGCAACGCCATAGTCGTCGCCGAATTCAAGCTCTAGGTTTCTGTATTGGTCGAGTTGACGGCCGTCAAGACGAATGCTTTCAAGCAGGGCATCGCGAATGAATTGGCGCTCGTTGAGCGAGGGCTCGACCTCTCGCGGCATTGCAGTGTAGTTTCTTTGGCGAAGAAAGGGTATGACGTGAATTATTTTGTTCTCTTGAACATTTCCCCAATCCACTCTCCCGCCGCCTCGCCCGCAAGCTCCGACTCGGCTTCTGCCGCGCTACCCAAGGTCGACGATTCGTTCCATCACTTTGCGACCATCGCATCTTTTGTATCCACCTGCCATAACCTTTCTCGTCGCAACTACCAACACCTCACCATGACTACCGCCCATCGTCCCACCTTCGATCCCGCCCGCGGCAAAGACGCCCTTCGCGGTCCTGGATACCACCAACGCCTGCTGCCCGCCCACAAAACCCTCAAATTCCGACAAGCAACCCAAGGAACCACCGACGAGCACTCTGCCCGCGACCTCCGCGCCGAACTGCTACGCGCCGAACGCCGCCACTTTGCCAAAAAGGAAGGACGCGAATTATCTCCCGAGGAAGAAGAAGAGGAGGAAGCAGCAAAACCACAATTGGCACTGGAGCAAGGCAACAATCTTAAGCGTGATTTGGAGAATGGGGAAGAGGGAGGCCAAGACGAGGAAGACTATGAAACTAAGCGAAGGAGAGTGTTGGAAGAGACGCGTGATGTGGATGCCGATTCAGATGATGGGTCAGAAGAAGACTCTGACTCCTCGCACGACGAAGACGATGATGATGATGATGAAGCAGAGTTGATGCGCGAGTTGGCAAAGATCAAGGCCGAACGTGCAGAAGCTGCTGCAAGAGAAGCTGCAGAACAAGCCGCGAAAGAGGAAGAACAGCAGATGCGAGATATCGCTACTGGAAATCCGCTTCTTAACAAGGGTAAGGTGATCCCGTATGTCATGATGTTGTTCGACTAGGCTAACAGGTTAAAAGGAGCATACGACGTCAAGCGAAGATGGGACGACGATGTTGTCTTCAAAAACCAGGCCAGAGGAACAGAAGACAAGAAGGGCAAGGAGTTCGTCAACGACCTGCTGAGATCAGACTTCCACAGACGTTTCATGAGCAAATACGTCCGTTAGAAGAATCCAGTCTCTAACACTCACGCGAATGATTTTGAACTAAAGGATTCAAACATAAAAACATCATGATTGGTATTGGGTCATTACGCCATAAAGCTAACACTCTGGGTGCGCATCATACTGGCTGCAACCGAGCTGTTACTTCCTCAAAGCATGCGTTCGACACGGAACTCGACCTAGTAGTCGGAGCGGTCGTTGTAGGCACCAGCTGCCTCACGCTTGGCCTCACCCTTCTCGACCATCTTCTCGTTCTTCATCATACCACCGAGCTTGCTCATCAGTTTTCCAGCGGTCGAATCTGAAAGAGACACGTTAGCATACAAGTTGTCTCAGAAGATTTTCGAAGGATTCGTACCACCGTGCTTGCCAGAGCTCTCATCATTGGCGCCGTAATCCGAAGACTTGTTACCATATCCAGCACCACCAGTGGTACCGCTACCATACTCGTTGCTGCCCGAGTAGGCGCCAGTATCACTTGACGAGCCAAAACGAGTATCGCTAGAATCGCCAAACTCGTCACGACCAGAGCTGGACTTGTTGCCGTAACCTGCACCGCCAGTGGCTCCGGATCCGAAATCGGTGCTTCCTGAGTAGGCGCCGGTATCGTTGCCGGAGCCGAAGCGTGTGTTGCTCGAGTCGTCGAAAGCGTCGCGGTCAGAGGATGACTTGTTGCCGAAACCAGCGCCGCTGGTTGCGCCTGAGCCAAGGTTGTCGTCGAGTGACTATAACAGACGAGTTAGCTTCTGGTAGGTTCGGAATTGCAGTACATTTTGATATGATAAACAAAACAATCCATACTATCAACTTCTCCAACATGGTTGTCTTGATGTGTGTGTACTGTATGTGGAAGCAGAAATAGTAAATGGTAATAGAAGGAAAACAAAAGAAGCAGATCATGCAATATTATGTTTTGAGGATGAAGATGTGCAAAGATAAGGGCAAAGTTCAAAGGGTTCCTTCATGCAAGAACTTACAGGGTAGTTTCCACCAGTGGTGTGGTGTGTATCTCTCTCAATACCGTGAGAAGGCTTCTATCCTCCAATCAGCCTTATGTCGATCACATACCAAATCAGATAACAACTTACCAACTCATCCTCGCCAAAACTTCCACTGGCAGAAGTCTGATGATGGATGCCTCTTGAATCGCCAAGTCCGCTCGATCCAAAGTTATCATTTCCACTCGATCCGTAGCCAGTGTTGCCAGAGTTGTAGTTATCTCCAGATGACGAGAAGGTATCTCTGCCAGTGTTGGAGCCATAGGTATCGCGACCAGATGAAGAGTACTCATCTCTTCCAAGCCCAGCAGAGCCAGAGTTGCCGCTACGGTCGGCAATATCGTCGCTACCCAGAGCACCGCCGCGAACGGGGTTTGAAGAGTCGTTGAATTGGTCGCGGCCAAGTCCGCTGCCGGGGTTTGCTCCGCTGCTCAGGTTGTCGTTTCCATAACTCGAGTCCTGCTGTTGTTGATAAGCAGCGGTTCATCAACAACCACACCTTGGCAAGTGCAAGGTAGAACTTACGCCGTAGCCTCCTGAGCCAGTAGTTCTGTCATTGAAACCTCCTTGGCGACCCTAGTAAGATAAGCAGGTTAGATACATAGATGAAGAAGGAATGGTGATTTGCAAATGAAGAGAAGAGGGGTACTGATAGCACAGGATGATAGGTCCAGGGAAGAGCTCAAAAGGTAGCTAGGTCAAAGATAAGGAATATTGCAAAGGGAGGAACATACAGTACTGCTGTACTCATCATTGTTGCTGCTGTAATCGTTGTTGTAAGACATGATTGGACGAGCGTGTTCTCTGAAGCTGTTGATCAAATATCGATTAATCAAAACTAAAAGAAAGAACCCACAGCACAAGGGTAGCAACACTGTTTATATATCAGAAGAAACCAAGTTTGGAAAGAGCAACCCGTTCCTTAATCGCAACATAAGCAACTGCGTCATCTCTCCATAGAAAGCCCACACTTTTCCCACCCCCCTCTGTTGCAACAGTTGAACGCTCCAAAATCCTGCTCGCTCGCGGACCTGGACACGGCAACCGGCCTGCGTTTTTGGTGCAGGGCGATCGAAACGAGGTGCTGATCAGCAACAAACAGGGTCTTGCCAATCGAAAGCTCCCCCCACTTTCGTCACGTTTCATGTGCGAACCATTGGACCACAAGTTCTAGACCTTGCTTTCATGGTTGCACGCAGTAGCAAGGCTGTGCAGCCTGTGCTATCTAGGAAACCTGTTTGGTTGCTCGTCTACGGAGTGAGTTGATCTTTTCTGCTTGGAAATTGGGAAAATGCATCACAGAATCTTGCGCTCAGAACAAGCCACACATCCGTCACTCACGATTGGAAGCAAGGAAATACAGCTACGAATGCACTCGTGGCGTGCTCTGAGTGAGATTGTATTTACGTCTAGAGGAAATCTTGCTTCTCGGTAGGTCAACAAGGAAGCGCGAGACATCATCAGAGGCAACTACTTCTTCTACCAACCCGTCGTCACCGCAAGCAGGCACATCTTCGACAAGACAGTCATTCCCCAAACAGGCACCTCTTCGAGCAAGCCATCCCCGTCAAAAGCAAGGGCATCTTCGACAAGGGCGTCATCCTCGAAGGCGACCGCTTCTTCTACCAGACTGTAAAGGTGACAATTTTTTCGAGCAAGCCATCCTCGTCAAAAGCAAGCATATCTTCGGCAAGACCATCATCCTTAAAGGTGACAACTTCTTCTACTAACCTGTCATCCCCGAGGGCAACCACATCCTTAGCGAGACCATCATCCTCGAAGACCAACGCCTCTGCAGACAGACCCTCGTCCTCGAAAGCGAACAGCTTTGCATTCATGGAGTCAAAATGGCGGGAAGCTCTAGGCAGACCGAGACTCTAGGCAGGGCGTGAATTCAGAACTAGCCTAGCGAGAAACGAAACAGAGAGTCTCTCTTTCAACAATGACATTGTACAAGCGTTTCGGTCATAAAGGACCAAGCGACCCTTCTCCTAGCCATAAGGATCCGCGTAGTGGTTCTTCAGACATGACTCCTTCTGTACCCAAATCTACTTGGCACACCGTCTCGCAACCACAATTCGCAGGCCTCTTCATCTCGTTCACCTGCCCACGATATGCCGCAAGCTCCTTCCTTGCATCAATCGCGTCCTCGTGATGCCTCGCATGTCTCCTCGTCTACCTCTAGATCATCCATTCACAGTCCATCACAAGATCATTCCCTACCAGAACAAACAGACCAGCTTCGCAACTTCACCGTCAATCCCAGTCCAGTCACTGCTACAATCGCTCACTCTGGTTCTCTTTCTGAAACTGATGCCTTCATATCAGACCTCTCCTTCCATGGCGACGACCACACGGCCAAGCATGCCGCATCCCGCTCAAGCCGCTCCGCTGCCTCTGTGAGTGGAACAGCTGGCGACAGTCACTGTGACGACACAGCCGAAGCCCAAGAGACCTATGAGGAAGATCTGCTCAACCGAAGCCCTACCTCGACGCTTGGAGGAGCAAGCTCAGTCTCGTCCACGCACGAACGGCCCTTGAGCAAACACCTCAGAAAAACCAGGTTTGGACAGCTCGACTACACAGACGCTCTTCAACTCTCGGAGTCCGACCACTTGTAGCCAAGTGCTACTAACACTAGGTGTGTATCTTGCCACCCCTGTACAGTTGAAATAGCTAATTGACACGACATAGGCCTTCTCAGCCATCCACGTCTTGACACTGCACTTGAGAGACTGGCGTCAGCTCCTCAGGACAAGAGAAATCGATTCCCGTTTACAGTCCTCGTTGCTGGTCGTCTGCGATCAATTTACAGCATTCTCCTTGAGGAGCGTCTGGGACGAAAGGCTTCTCAGTTCACAGCCGACAACGACCACGGCGCCCGTTTCTAATGTCCGGTTCCTGCATGCTCGAAGAAGTTCAACGCCAACGCTACCCTTGCTCACCTTTGGGAACACTATGCCGACCACGAGCATGCGTTTTATAAAGAAGACCATGTCCGCTACGAGATGGGATGTGAGAAGGGCTTTGCCGACATTCTTGCAAGACTCTGCCACTATTTTGAGTTCGAGTGTGGCGTGAAGGTTCAGAGACCTTCAGCAATGTTCCAAGCCATGCTGCGGATGGTCTCCAGCCGATGGTGACCACAAGCGCAACCCCGTTGACACCAGAGTCCACTCGCACTGGCGCAACTATCATGCAGAGGCCGCCTCCCTTGATCCAAACATTATCGCCAAGGATGATGTGTGTCAGCTCGGGTTCCCTGACTATTACTCAATGCTCTTGCATCAACTTAATGGCGATGCTAATGGGACCATTCACACGTAAAGAGGAGGTATCTCCCATGATACTGTTATCGCTAACCTCGATGTTAGCAAGATTGTCGACACCGAGCCTTTAATCAAAAAAAAATAAAAAAATATTCCTATGATCCTATTAGGTGTACAATAAGAGATGGTAAACTGTTTTCCTTGGCAATCCAATCCCCTCACAGTGCGACAGCCGCTTTCGCCATAGACTACGGGTCTGCATACGAGTCCATCATCCAAATCTCGAGCTGAGCCTAGTGTGTTCATCAGCGATGTCACGCACGTCAATCTCTCCTTCCTTGCCTCGCTATCGCCATTCAGTCATCAGCCAGCCATCCTGCCCACCAGCCCTGATACAAGATCTCACAATATGCCTAGCTTCTTTGGGCACATAGGGCTTCGAGATGGAAATGGTAGCAGACCATTTGCAGGCAAATGGCAGTACAGTCGTAAGCAAAGAGACATACTATCGACACATACGCCATCCTGCTCAATTTAACGCTGAAGTCAGGGCACAAATTCTGTGTGCTCTTCTCAACAACAAGGATCCCGTTCTCGTCTCATTCGGACGCAATGCATTTACCTCAAACTGGAAAAGATTCAGCCATATATGCGAACACATCACAGAAGTACTATGGCGAGATTGGCTTTGTGGCTGCTCTACCCTTCGTTTCTAATGAGCCAGAAGAAAGGCAAGTATGTCTTGAGATTTATAGAAGATTTGAAAATCATCTTGCGCTCAAAACAAGCCAAACATTCGAAAGCAAAAATATACAGCTACAAATGCACTCATGGCGTGCTCTGGGTGAGATTGCATTTACGTCTAGAGAAAACCTGGCTTCTCGGTAGGTCAACAGATCAAGGCAGTCCTTGATTACTTCAACTCCTTGTCGTACAATGGTTAAGGGACATAACTCGTCACAAGACAAACATTCTTCAGTCATTACTAGCATCACCACCGTCTCCACCGGCAGGCCAGGGTTGCATCTTCAGATCTCGCGATCCACTGGGAGTCGATGGCGAGGACTGTGTCTCCTGTGGTAACGATGCTGAAGACCCCTCAAGATCTTCCTCTCCTTCACTCTCTGGTTCCTCATCTACGAACGATCCATCTCCACGTAGAGACGAGTTTGAAGGTGATACGAGAATACCATCTTCGCCATCCGTGCCGTGACTGGTCTCCAAAGTCGGGGTTGGTGGTTGGAATCTCAGATCCGGATTTTCATGCTGAGAATGTTCCTCTATAGATGCTTCGGACACGTTTCCATTACCTCTAGAGATAGGTCTTTGGGATGCTGGGGAGTGGAAACTGCTTCGCCAGAACCCTCTTCTACGTCTGATGTCTCCGTTGGTAAACGGCGGAGAAGTCTGATCCGGTGATGGTGAGTTCAAGGGAGAATCGTAAGCGCCCCTTCCAAAGTGTGACTTGTTGATCATCTGCTGGACGATAGGCATGTCGAGGCTGGCACCACCCCCTGTGCGTACGAACAAGACAAGACCCAGACAAACCATCAATACAGTCATCTGAGCTATGGCCATCCGCTTCTGGAATAGAAGCTCATCAGCGACAATGCTCAAACGAACACTGACGGCGTGAATTTCTCTCTGGTATTGGTCACGATGGTTATCAAGCTCAATGACTGTGCTTTGCCACAACTGGTCGTACTGTTGTTTGAAGTCTTGAAGTTCGGCAAAAACAGTTGCGTTCAGATTCTCGAGGAACGCTTCGGTTTTCTTGATCTGCCGTTTTTCGACTTTGATAAATGCATCGCGCAGAATGCGGGACTGTTCCTCAATGTACTGTAGAGACAGTGTAGCGTTGCTTTCAAGCATCTGCAGACGTTTGTGTATGGACTTGAAGAAAGATTCCTGAGTAGTGGGATTCGAGTGAGCTGAAGACACAGTCGATGTACTCGGTTTCTGATGAGTGTCGGAAGCTACAGTTGACTGCTTGTTACTCGAGGTCGTACTCTTTGTACTGGCGCTGGATTCGGCAGAAGCATGTGTACTAGTGTTGACAGGGACAGATATACTGCTGGACTCCACGGATATAGACTGCGACGAAATATGGGTGGTGACCGCACTTGCACTAGGTGACTGTGGATGAGGTGTGACGACAGGCTCAGGAGATCCTGTTACCCTCATCGAGCCGTTGGTTGGGTTTGAAGCAACTCGAAGGGACTCAGACGTTATNGTTTCTGGCGCTCGACAATGTGTCAACATTCGCAGTGGTCTGCATTGTGTTGTTCATTTCTGTTGTCGTCATGTTGTGTGATAGCGTGATGTTNNAGCATTGCTTGGTGTGTTAACATGAGTACTGGTCGTTATGTGACTGCTATCTGTGATAGAAACCTGTACCACAGAATGCGTTGACGTGGATGCTGCTGAAGTATCTGCAGATTCCATACTTGAGCCAGAGGGGGTCAGAACAGTGGGAGCGTCGGTTGGAGTCTCAATGGGACGAGCAGACTCCACAGCGACAGACTTATCGGCCTCTTTTGAAGACTGGAGAGGTTCCTGNGGAGATTCCTGATATTCCTGAGCAGCAGATGGCAATGCATCAGGCATGACAGACTCTAGGTCGTCGCTTATTTCACCACGAGCCAGATCCTCCTGATGGCGGAACTCTTCCATCATTGTGGTACCATGTACCCTAAGCAGACTGACAGGACAATAATACTCACTGCCGTAATGAGTCAGAAATTCTATCCGAAGATATCTTGCCCAGATCAAGGGCTGTTCAACCAAGAACGCTTGGACTGAGCGGGAGTTCCTGGCCTCGAAAACACCGAGCTCTCTCCAGCGATCCGCTTTGACAGGGTATCGATCAGATACCGAGACTCTGAAATTGCGGAAAATGGAAGAGAAGAATTCATAATTCGCCAGGACGATAGTATCGATGAGGATGTCATTGCACAACTCGACAATGAGGAACTTGTTCGAGCTCGAGCAAATATTGAGCATGTAGCTATCCTTGTTCTCAATCAAAACAGCATGGGCGGATTTAGACTCGGGGTTGGATTTGAGCACAGTCGCAGCACAATCGAATGAAGCGTAGTTTGAACGTTCTTTACAGGTCTTGCCAGCATCTTTACTCCGAAGGGTGGGTTCGGAGGCCACAGCTGATTGAGCACTAGCAGTTGATGACGAAGGACTGTCTGGTCTTCCAAAGCCACCAAAGTCCAACTCGATTTCCGAATCCTCTCCAAGTATATCGAGGGCGTTGTCAATGGGGCGTGGATTACGAGGCTTGTCTTGTCCAGAATTGGACTTCTGGCCGACATGATCAGGCGACTGACCAACCTTGGCCAGGTTCTGTTTCTTCCATTCCTCAAATGATAGGAAGTTGGCATTGTCTAGCGGTGAATCCGTCTCAAATTCGGCTTCAGGTTGCGTCGCGGACGAGAGTTGGGTCTCTGATGATGTCGAAAGAGGCTCTTCCCGGATAACATTGCTTGACAGGGAGGTCGAATGCGCAATGGACTGGGTAGGGGTTATGGTAGGGGTAAGGCTGGTTGTCGAGTTCGAGGTCGGCGTGGAACGACTCAGACACTGCTGGGGCAACGAGTGGGTGATGTAGTTGACAGTGCCGGTACGGCATGTGGTCTGGCGCGAATCGATGTTGCGTGCATCTTGTGCTGAAGAAATGACGCTGTTGATGCTGCTGTTATTGCTGCTGACAGTGGGGCCAGATGTCTTGTTGCTGTTGGTTTCAGACTGCGCCGAAGCGACAAGACACAGGTAGCAGAAAAGAAACAGCAGCGCCGCCAGTGCTCTGCCGTTTCTGAATGCTCGCTGCATTACTTAGGCGCATCCTCCTGCAAGTCAACGGGATGCGTTGTGATACTTGGAATTCGTTGGACTTTCTGACCCGCTCGGCCACTGCATCGTCACTTCCTTCGCGAACGTGGGGAAGCGCCTGTCAAAGACTGAAACAGACTCGATCGACTCGAAAGCCCTAACCTCAGCTCGCAGCCTCAACTCAGTCATGAATTGCTCGTAAATTTGATGATCTTCTAAGGAAACGACAGAATGGCTCTGATAGCCGACACAATTGTACCAGAGTCGTGCGTCCCTCCCCATGCCATGTCGATAATTGACCGCCCAACGCCGCGCAAAACAGAGAGCCATAAGCTAGCTCCCCGTCGCAACCATAACCCGAAACCAGCCGACAGTCATCAGAAGGGAAACATAAAAGGGCCAATTGCCCTGAAACTAGTGTTACAGCCCTTCCTCGCCGGCCTGACAGACTTTGATACCCTTGCCCCACTCTGAGTTGAGTACTTGGTGTGCGCTGATACGTCTGCTTGCGTTGGGATCCAATATCGAGTAGATGACATTCCTACATCGCGCCTGGAGAGCATTGGTTAGCGGTTGTCTGGGTTGTGATGAGCAGGATTGACTTACTCTATGCAATGACTCAATTGGTCCGTAGCCAGCATCGCTCTTGCGACCTTGCACGTAGTTTTCGTAGAACTCATCCTCGTCCTTGTTGGCTACACGCCACAAGTGTCTGCCAGTTCTCATAGCCATGTAGATGACACCACAAGCCCAGACATCTACTGCGCGAGGGTCAAATTCCTTATCTGTATACTCTTCCGGTGCAATGTAGGGNGCACTGCCGCAAAGGCCTGCTGTCATGTGCGGTTCTGTTTCCCAAGCCATGCGGAAGCATTCACCGTTGCCGAAATCTGTAATCTTGAGGGCGCCATGCGTCGTGAGTAGAAGGTTCTCGGGTTTGAGATCACGATGTGCGACTCCCATCTCGTGAATATATTCGACACCACGCATGAGCTGAAGGAAATAACAATCCGCCTCGACGACTTCCAACTTGCCCGCGGCGAGCACGAGCGAGTAGAGGTCTCCACCAGCGCAGAACTCCATGACTTCGCAATAATCGCCCTTGGCATCAGTGAGCAAGTCGAGGGTGTGAATGACATTGGGGTGTCTAAGAGAAGACGAGATGCAGAACTCCGAATTAAGGCGTTTGCTGTACTTCTTCGCATCTTCCTGCGGTCTTCGGCGGAATTCCTTGACAGCATATAGCTGCTCATGTTTCGAGTCATTCGGATCCACCTTGTGCGCTATCCTGACGATACCAAAAGCACCACGGCCCACGATTTCCTGGCATTTGCCGTACTTCTGGACAAGCGTCGCGGTACCGGCAGGTCCATTCTTCTGATCCGAGGCAACCCGGTTCTTCTCATTNTTCAACTGGTCCACCCAACTAGCCATAAGAGACAGAGGCTGTTCCTCGTGATGTTCTTTCTTCTTGCCTCCGAGAAAGTCGCGAACCATGTCCGTTAGCTTTTCCTGTCGTCTGGCGCTTTTCAGTTGGTGGTGGTGAGCACCATCTTCATCGATCCAGAAGCGACGATGTTGAGCAGGGGCACCTTCCGCTTCCTTCTTGTCCTTCTTTGCATCGCTACCACTTCTCGAAACGGTCCCAGCCAGTCTAGCCTTGTCGGTCTGGGATGATTGTCTAGAGGGATTCGCCGGCCTTATGGGTTTGGGGAGCTGGATGGCTTCAGCTTCCGGTTCTTCAATGGCAGTTTCGGGCACCTTGTCGGCAAGTTTGTCTTTGATCGAAGGTTCTCTCGAGGACTCATTGGTGTCTTTGGCCGAGAACATGCGACTTAATCGTGAGGTNGAAGGTAGGCTTCTTGGGTGGGCCGGATGGGCGCGCGTCGCCATTGGAAGGGGACTTTGCGGCTGCTGAAGCGGGCAAGGAAGTCTGAGAGCTGACCGAGGAAGCATTTGAAGGGATGACNNTGAAGGTGATGTCGACTTCAAGTCTTCAGCAGCGACGGCCATGGTGTAAGAATGAACAGACGACGTCACGTCGTGGGTTGGTTTAAGAGATGAAGCAGGAGGCCGCGGAGGCCGATCTTTTCGCGTTCAGACAGCAAATCCAGGTGTCAGACGGGCGCAGTATATGATCTCAGACGTGTTGGTGTTACTGGACGATGCTGAAGGGCGTGGCCACAGTGACTGAATTGTGGCTGTGACGTCTGCTTTCACTGCTGACAAACTTCGGGTGCGACAAGGACCGGAACACAGCCAACTGACCGAGGCAGAGACAAGCCTCAAGGCCAACAAACGTGTGTATGGATAAGGGGATAACCAAGGGCACCGTTCTGGGTAGAAGAGAGAGCCAGAGAGGGAAGATGGAGCAAGCTCAGCGGTAAGTCTGTCGGCAATAATGGGGTGTTCAAACTGCAGAAAATGCGATCGCGCTTTCCCACTTTACGGAGGTTCATCGTGGACCGAAAACCGCTCATGCTTCTTTTGCCAAGCAATTGTCTACATTTCACCTTCCCGTACGAGGGGTTTTCGACGTCCAACCGCTGACCGCCATCGCTAACCATCTTAGGCCTCGAGCATCAGATGTCTTTGAGTCGTTCATTTTCATCTCGTTTGTCCCGCACAGCCTCAGCCTGAACTCCAGCCAAAGATATTCAAGGTGATATACATGGCATACATGCATGGGTACCTCATGCTCTCCACATTCCAGCAGAAAGCGGGTTTGAATTGTCAAAAACTGCTGCTGTGCTGCGTCATTGAGGCTCCATCATCTGCCGCTGAAATCAGAGCAAGACATGGATATCAATAAACTCAGCTTCGATGCGGCAGCACCGTCTTCATCCACTGGTTACCGCTGCTTCCCGAAAGGTCTATCTATGATACATATATCATTGTGCTTGTACCGCGCCCTGGCGTAGGGACTGCACAAACTCTCCCTCGGGAATAACTGCATTGATCAGAAGTGACAGCCAAGTCGGCGTCAAAACGCTGTCGCGTCTCCGTATCCTCTCGCTGATTGCTTGCCTACTCACCTCCCGAGAACGTAACACTCCTTTTTCCCACTTGTTAACCATTCACCTGATGCGCTAAGTGGCACCGCTGCCCTGCACTTTGCCGACCCGTATATGCAGCTTTTACTGCGATCCAGATCATGCGCTGGGAGGTACCGTAATCGCTGAGTGCGTACGTGTCTATATAAAAGCGAGAAAATCGCGCAACGTTCTCGCCCTTGCCCTGTCTACGCGACTTGTCGGCTTATTGCATATCCACGAGCAGTCGTAAGCCTCTCTTCACCTGATGTTATTGACTGCCAGCCTGTTGTCCATGACCTCTTGTTTTCTAGCTATCGGCACGTGGTCCAACCTTGAGCTGTCAGATGTCGTTGATCCGGATGCAAGACCTCTCACACCGCCAACTGCACTTTCTGGCCCTATCTTTCGTGATGACTTCTTAGAGTGCATGTTAATTGACTACGTCTTGACTCACGCGCAGCAAAATCTTGGAAGCGCAGTGGACCTGATGAAATTGATTCATGGCTTTTTATTGATTGTTCGCTGCTAATGTTTCGAGTAGCTTATAGCAATGATTCCCCCTCTCTGAGAAAACAAGTGCCTCCTCGTATCTGACCTCGTATCCTTATGTGGAGCGTTACAGGCTTCCGCGGCCTCCGTCATCCTCGGTGTACTTGTATGTATTTCACAAAGCTCATTTCGAGCATCCTGTTGCGATGTTCCTCCTAGGTAGTCTTTCTCTTCTTCTTATCTGCATCATCCTCTTCCTCATCAGATTCGAGAACAGCCTTCTTCTTGCGTTTCGAAGTGCTGCTTGCGGTCTTCTTGTCGAACAGGGAAGCGCGCTTGCTTGCAAGTTCGAGAAGGCGGTCGTAGTCTACTTGAATGTTCTCGATGGTTGCTTCCAATCTCTCAGCACGTTCTTCGCGATCCAGTTGTGCAAGGACATCGCGGTTAGAGATGTAAAGGCGCTGCTTGACATACAGCCGCCAGAAATAGTAAGCACGATCCATCTCGTTGGAGCTCTTCTCCTTCCTCGAGATCCTGTTCATCGAGCGGTTTAGTTTGGGTATCTTTGAGTATGTCTCCATCTCGATCAGTCTTCCTAGTTGACGGGGCATGATCTTGCTGGCCTTCTTGATGCGAGCCTTGGCGTCGCCTGGGACAATGTCGTCCACGGGAATGTTCGCGTTCATCTTGAGCTTTGCGCTGTCTATCTGCGTCTCGATCTTGAGCGACGCGAAATCATCGTTGTTGTTGCGAAGCCAGAGCAAGTCGCAAACATCACGCATGTCATCAAAGGCCTCGTTGGGGTCTTCGACTGTTAACTCGCAGATGTTATCGGGCGTGATGAGGCTTTGGAACACGGTATTGTAGAGCCTAGCACCATGTCCAGATCCTTGGTGGCTAGGTACAATCAAAAATTGTGAGATGCGCTCGCGGCTGGGTAGCTGTAGGGGAGTCTTGACAACGTCATTGTTTTCGCCATTAGTCTCTAAATTCCATCGGCGGAGTATTGCGTCCATGTCTGATTCTTCGTGTTGGAGGAGAGCAAGATCGTGCTTTGCAGGGTCCCGGCGATCAGGTAATGTGAATACGCGATAAGATGTCGAGAATCCAATGAGTGTGTATGGTGATGTGCCTGCCTCCTTCTTGTCGACCTGGTAGAGCATGAATAGAGTCCAGCGGTTTGCGACCCAAGGTTCATCCAGCTCGAGGATAGTGCCGCCTTCAATCAATATAGGTACCAAGATCTGGACATTCTCCATGATTTCTTTGGCTCCATTGTCAGACAGAGTAGCCTTCCAGACTTCGAACTTACGGCCTTCGTGTGTGTATGAATGGAGGAGTGTGCCCGGTGGTGTGAATGATGCGGCGTTCGGGTCGGCGAGAGCTTTGGCGCGTGATTTGGTTGCATAGGCGGACTCAGGAATGAAGTCCTCGAGGGCCCCACGGATGTCGGTCGCTTTGATATCGCCTAGCTGAGGGAACTGCTCTGTCCAGGAGATGTCCATGTGCGGCCGCATGTTGTGTGCAGCCAAAGACAAGGACATGTCTAGTCCACGGTAACCAAAGATAACCTCTTCCTCGCCAAACATCGGGTACGTGTGGAGCGGTCCAAACTCTGACACAACCTCGTCGCCGCGGTATATGGAAATGCGAAGAGCATCGTTACTGCTCGTCGACCCTGAGCTCTGATTAGCTTGATGCTGCAACATAGCGAGAAGAACTGCTAGTACTTACATNTCTTCCACTTGATCCTGGATGGCAGAGACCAATTCAGAGTTCTCTGGACTCTCGGATCCCGACATTGTGATGATTTGAGTAATACACTAGTGTGCAGAGGTTGTTGGATGGAAAGTCAGACTGGCGCAAACGCGGGAGACGTGTTGACGCGACGGCCTGAAATTGAAAGTGCACGGACGATCGACTCAGTCGAACATCGACCTCTTCACTTTCCATCCTGGGCACCTTATCATCAGACACTGCAACCTTTTTGCATACGAAGGCGACTTTATCTGGTGATCTGGGTCGCTCCAGTTCGCCAACCATCAAGCAGTATATAGGATGGTATGTGAGCTGTTCGCATGCCTAAGTGATGACCGTCGGCAATGCCACGCTCTTTAGTGATCTCTTTCAATCGTCTCACCCTTGTTCGTACTTCGTGTTTTTAATGTATACACGTTTCTTGATGACGGAGTAAGTTGGTCGCTAGCTAAAGTCCAATATCGTATGGAATATACGGTGTTTTTCCCTCTTGAAACAGTAAGCAGCCTATGGTCAGTCTTTCCTTAGCATAATACACATCCAGCACATCCAGCACAACCTTAAGAAAAATCATATGAAGATCAGAAAGATATACCGGGTACTTTCATGCACGATTCTTGAAGCAGCAGGATTTGTGTCCTGCTTATCGTGTTGTTTGTATAATACATGCTTTGCTAGAGACAAGCAGTCAAGGGCAAACATTGGACAACACGGCCACATATATACTGATCAGACGTGCCAGTGTAATGGCATGTTCGATGATTGGTATTAACTGAGTAGTCTACAATGATTCCAAGAAGCTCGGACATGCGGAAGATGTCCAATCGAGAGTCGCGTCGTGACTCGTCACGGCGTCGTTATTCCTATACCAACACACACAACAGACGGCGGAATTCGTCAACGCCCTGCCACGACAACATGGAGAGAGGAAGCAGTACGTAGCGCCTTATGATGTCGTCCAGAGCGCTGTTAAGCTGATTTATGTTTAGTGTCGTTCCGCGAACGTGACGAGCGCAGCGCCTCCCCTAAAGCCACTCGATGCTCTTCACCAAACCTTAAGCTGCGCTACGCTCAGGCTTCTCGTTGCGCCTCTCGCAGCGCTTCCACAAACAAGAACTTTTCCATCGCCTCTCCTAACGGCGACGTTACACCCTTCTGCGCCGCGACTCCCTCGTCGTCGACCGGCAGATCGATCGCAGACGCCCCTGAGATCGACTTCACTGATCGTACACAAGGCTCCCAAGTTGCGCCTCCTGTCAAACCCAAAGACTTTCGTGTTCCTCTCACTTGCTTCTTTTGGTACCATACTGGATCTTGCAAGAAACCTGACAACAAGTGCTTGTAAGTTGAAAGTCCCATCAAAAATGGCTGCAGAGATCTCCTCCAGAGGAAGGTCAGACACAACTCATTGCCAAAAGGCACGATTCTTTTGAGGTTGTTGGAGTTATTCTCTGAGATAGACTTCTTCACACTCTCTCACTGGCCATGACCGAGATAGTACACACAACCATGCCTTTTTATGGGCGCGGAGTAACCCTCACCTTACATTGGGAGCCTGCCGCCCTTGCTCTTGCTCTGCAGCCATATCTACATCACACTACATTGTGCCTTGAGACAATTGACTGACACTATACAGTTACGCACACTACCACACCGGCACCGTCGCAGAACCACCCATCTCTTTCGGCGGCAAAGCCATGGGCGGAACCCGAGCCAAGAGCATGCTTGGTAGCATCAACCAGCGCGAGGAAGAACTGAGCATCCGCAGCGCAGAGATCCACGATGGCGAGCAGCGCATCCTTGCTGCACAAGCCGATCTGGAAGAGCGTCTGAATGCAGTGGCTGCACGCGAACAGCGTGTCCAGCAGCGCGAAGAGGCTATCCAACAGCATGAGCAGGCAATCCAGCAGCGTGAGCAAGCCCTCCAGGACCACGACCAAGCCATCACCACCCGCGAACAAACCAACCACTCACGCGAAGAAGCCTTTGCCGCCTTCGAAGAAGGAATGCTGCGCCAACTAGAATCCAACTACACCACCATCATCTCCACCGTTGCTCAAATGCGCAGAGCAGTCGGAAATGCTCAAGGTATTCTCACCAACCGTCGCCAGCAAGTGCGTTACCATGAAAACTTTGGCAATGGTGTGCAAGGTGCTCATGGCCAGGGTAAGTTTGTGCTTTTGTTTCGTGTGGGAAGATGAAAATTGGGGCTTATGCGTGATCACAGGTAGATATGGTGGTTCTATTGCCATTGATGGCGCGATGGGTGCGCTTGGAGGATTGGATCAGATGCTTGCGCAGGGTGAGATCACTCTCCACGCTCAGATCCACAATGCTATTCAACGCCAGTAGGTTTGTTGAAGGTCTTGTCGTGCAATTGCAGTCACGGCTTCTGAATATGGCGAGGTAGATTCTGTCAATGGCTAGGTAGTGCAGTCCAGCATGTTTTTGAGGAGGACGTTGGACACAGACACATCAAAAAAACTGGAAAAGGTTTTTCCATGACAGCGGAGTTCACAAAGGGTTGATTAGTCGCAAAACAACATCCAATGGGCCCACAAGCAACGGCCTCTTTTCATCTCTTCCTGGTCACAATACATCCGAACAGTCTCAAGTAAAGGCGGTGCTAAAGAAATTATCGCCATGTGTGAGAATCTATAATACATGCTATAATACAGCTGAGATGATGGCTTCTAGAACCCACCGCTCATCTCGGATAGTGCAAGCTTCATCCTCTGCGGATTCATCTTTTCAAACCGGTCAACAGTCATAACAAATGTGCCTCTTCCCTGTGTCAAACTGCGCAAGTGCTTCAAATACCCAACCATCTCCTTGAGAGGCACCCTTGCCACGATCTGGCGCATCTGATTGCCTACACTGACAGATCCTGCGCCGATACTTGACGCCGAACCACCAAATGGATCGGGTGGTGAGTAAATCCTTGTAGGGTCGATTTCGACATCGTCTTCTGAGGTGCCGGTTTCGTCGTCGGCACCGAGAGATACGACTTGTCCTCCTCTGGCAGAGCTGATGTCGTGTACCACGCTTCCGAGACTGGGTTCGTCAACGGTGATTGTGACGTTCATGACGGGCTCCATCAGTGCTGTGCCAGAGCTGGCATCTGCTGACTCGCGCAAGGCCTTCTGTACAGCGAGACGAGCCGCTGACGAGATAGCAGCAGCATTAGTGGTTTGAAAGAGATGCTCGGAGGGGTCAAAGGTAATGTTGATCTTGGTGGAGTGGAGAGGGTAGCCGTGTGAGGGACCACGCGCAAGAGCTGCCGTAACACCAGTCTGCATGGCTGATTGTAGCATTTGCATCGGCAAGGTGGAGGGTAGAGGTGGCAGTTCAGAGTCTGTTGCTGAACCATCTGGGTAAAGAGTGGGAGTCTTCAAAACCAGATAGTTGTCGTCTAACAGTGAGAACACATGCGTGTGATCGTCGGCTGCATCCAGCTCCGATTCTTCAAAAGGCGTTACGCTCGCAGTACATCCCGCTTTAGATGCCTTTCCAGCAACTTCTCTATCGAAAATCGCGAACGCGTCCGAAGAAGGAGCAGAGAGGGCTTCACGGTAGCCAATCTGGATATTGCCGATTCTAGCTTTTGCTTTGAGGTCGTTGATGAGTCTGTCGCGAGCGATTTCCAGATGAAGTTCGCCCATGCCAGCTAAGTGAGTCTGTCCACTCTCGGGATCTTCCCTCACGTTCAAGCTAGGATCTTCTCGAAGTAAGAGTGCCAAAGTCTCAGAGATGTGTTTCTCCTCAGCTAAACTGTTTGGCTCTACACTTGTGAAGAAAACAGGTGGAGGAACAGCAATCGGTCTAAGTTGAAGAGTGTTGATCGGCGATGGGGGACCAACCTTCGGGTTCACTCCGCTGTACAGAATAAGTGTATCACCTGTACGTGTGGACTTTAACCCAGGAATGACTCCAATCTGACCTGCCTCAATCGAAGAGATTTCGACAGCCTCATCAGCGTACATTCTCAGCAAACGAGGAGCCTTCTCGGTGATGCCAAGATTTGTGTTGAAGAGGGGAGCATTCTTTGTGATCGATCCAGAGTATACTCGAACATAAACCAGGACACCTCGACGGGGATCAGTGACAACCTTGAAGGCCAGAGCACAAGCTTCAAGACTCTTGATGATGGACATATTTTTGCTTGCAGCCAATGCTTTGGTTTTCGGTTGCTTNTTGGCCTCAACGGCTGCAGGCAAAGCACTTTTTCCTGAGAGGAGATCATTCAGCCCGTACTTGGAAGGACCCACACTAGCTTCCGGATCAGATCGCTCCTGCGGTGATGGAAGGAGATCTACGACTGCATCCAGTAGTGGTTGCACACCGACATTGCGGAAACTTGCGCCCGAAAACACAGGCACGAGCTTTTGTGGTTGCTGCAGAGTACATCTTCTCAGACTCTCTGTGATGTCGACGGACGGGATAGCCAGATGATCTTCGTCATATTCCAGGAACTTTTCGACCATCTCATCGTCATATTCACTGAGCAGCTCAACCAAGGCGGTTCTGGCTTTCTTAATCTCTTCTGCGAAAGCAGAGCTATCGGCTTCCAGGTCCTTGAGTGAGAACACTTTGAGGGCTTTGCCGTCACCACCCTCCNNCTCATACAACAAGGCACGAAGACCTACGGCATCGCCAACGCCCTGAAGCTTGAGGTCACCAGGGCGCCACCATGGAATCTGGCACAATGCCGGCCAAACACGTAGACGTGTGCCTATCTCTGATATGGTTCTCGCGAATGCAGCACCTTCGCGATCGAGCTTGTTCACGAACAAGATCTTGGGGATCTGGTACTGTGTTGCTTGGGTCCAGACCTTTTCTGTCTGCGCTTCGACACCAGCAACTCCGTCAAGGATGCAAACAGCGCCATCCAAGATACGCAGAGATCGAAGGACCTCGAAAGTAAAATCAGCGTGACCAGGTGTATCGATCAGATTGATGTTGTGACTCTGTGTGGAACGTGGCAGGACAATCTTGTTGGACGAGAGATCGGTAGCTGAAGAAGCAGCTGGTGGCCAGGAAAANGTCACTGCTGCTGATTGAATGGTGATACCTCTAGCGCGTTCTGCAGGTAGGAAATCTGTCACGGTAGAGCCTTCGTCGACATCNTGAGAAAAACTCAGCACACGGTTTGCTTCTAAAGCAGATACAAACAACAAGAAAATCGTGGCACGCAAATACTGACCTCCTAGTCTACGTGTAAAACCACTGTAGTAAAGCATACGCTCTGTGGTTGTAGTTTTGCCNCTTTACATACTCAGTACCTACATTTTCAAGAAGTACGTGTTGCGACATACCGCATCGATATGGGCTATAATGCCAATGTTACGAGTTTTTGATGTAGCAAGATCATTGTGCCGGGGCGTGGAAGAAGCAAAGGATCTAGCAGTTATGGAACCAAGAAACTTAGCATTGTGATGGACACGGCGGCAAGGCCATTGTAATCTGAGTAGCATCCCAGAGTTGATGCCCAAAGACAAAGCAGATCAACGATCTGTCACGGAAACAAAAGAGTTGATGGAAAGTGAGAGGCAAGAAGCGCGGGCTGCAACATTTGGGCATGTTCGCGGCCCTCGGCTCTTGGCAGGTGCCGGTCCGGGGCATCGACACGATGTCATGGTCTCGAGCAGCTGCGTGTGCTCTCGAGCGACACATGCCCAGCGACAAACAAGACCTTCACCAACCAAGATGGATTATTCTTCGGCCATAGCCAATGATGCAGGCCGTGACCCATGGGCCTCGTCGCCTCAGCATGATCGCTCGACCTTCCCTCAAGCCAACAACCACGACGTGCCGCCTACCAACTCGTTGTCGCACCAGCCTCCGGCTCCCGAAGATGACGACGAACACTACGACAAGAACCNNCCCAATTGAATGCTCAAAACAACCAATATCCCTCGCAACAGCACCAGCCGCAGTCCTACGACAACTCGACCCGCTCAGAGCCTCAACGCTACCACCATGCTCGTCCGCAACACCCCCCCTCAACAGCCTAGCCACCACCAGCAACCACCACAGAACTATCAGCAACAACAGCAGCAGCAGCAGCAGCCGCAACAATTGAGGAAACAATACAAGCTCCAGGCCAAGATTACTGCCTTAGAGCGCACTGGTCGCAAGGATCCCGTCTTGCGCTTCGACGTTTATGTATGCCGCTTCGTTCGTGAGCAGTACTGCCGCAACNATAGCTGACCCAAGAACCAGACCAACCTGCCCAAGTTCCGCACTACCCAATTCCGCGATGTGCGACGCACCCATTCCGAGTTCGTCAAGTTTGCCGACCATCTCATCTCGTCAAACCCCGAGGCCTTTGTCCCTGCCGTTCCTCCTCCGCTCACTGCCGCTGGCGTTGGTACTGAAGAAGATGAGGTGCGAGTCAAGGCTTCAATGCAGCGCTGGCTAAACACTGTCTGCTCCAACCATGTTCTTATGCGTGATGAGGAGATGGTCTTCTTCGTCGAAAGCGATTTCGGCTACAGCCCTGTTGTCAGGCGCAAGCAACCTGCTACAGGTGTTCGTCGCAAGTACATCAAGCAATTCGCCCCTCCTCCGGATGACACTCCTGAACTACTTGAGGCTCGTCCCATTGTCAAATCCTTCTATCTTGGAACTATGGATCTTGGCCAGAAGGTGGACAAGGTTGTCAAGTCGCGCAGAGGTAGGCAGCACGACCGTCCCAAGAGTCCAGCCATTTGCTAACTCCCCGCAGCTCTCGGTTTGGCAGAGTCCGATTTTGGTGTAAAGATGGGCCACATGCAGGTTCAAGAAACACATTCAGGCTTGGCCAATGCCTACAAGAAGCTAGGCAAGGTCATTCAAGCCGTGGGTGACTTCCACGCTGCTCAAGGTACTGCTGAAGCCACCACCTTGGCCGATCCTCTACAGTACCACTCCAGCGATGCCTTTATCGTCAAGGAGACTCTCACCAACCGTCACATTCTTTTGCGCGAGCTCATCCAAGCGCAACAATCCACTCNNCGCAGCAAGACGAGCGCTGTTGACAGACTGAAGTCTTCGACCTCAGTCAAGCGCGACAAGGTCGACGAAGCTCTTGCCGCCCTCGACGAAGCACGATCCCACGAAGCCCACCTCAAGGAAAAGACGGATCGCGTGACCGAGAACCTCGTCCACGAACGCCGTGAGTGGACCGCTCGCACAACCTCTGACCTCCGCGCTGCCATTCGCGAATACGTCATGCGCGAGATTGAAGCAGAACGCCGCACCCTGGCCACGCTCGAGCAGGTCCGCCCAGACGTCCGCAACATCGACGCTTCGGGCGGTCTCTCGCGTCTCGGCCGTGAAGCCCACCCCGTGATCCGCCGCACCAGTCTTGCCAGCAGTCAGGGACCCAAGGGCGACGCATGGAGCGGCGTCCCACGCAGACCCGATGGCTTGAACCGCAGTATCAGCGGCAGCTTTGCCGGCACAGGCACAGTCCCCGAAGACGCAGAAGCCGAGCAAGCCGAAGAGGGCACGACGGGCAGGAAGCGAGCCACTAGCAGTGCAAGCAGTCTTGGCCGATTGGAAGAGGACGACGAAGATAGAATCGATGCAAGGAATGCTGCTAGTCGACTTGCACAGACGACGTTCTAGAGGGTAGAGTTTGCAAGAGATGATGCATAGCATTGTTTTGGTATAAACTCGGCTTTTATCCTCCCCCTCTTGTAGATGTAGTAAATGTTCAGTCTTCCTCTTCACGTCACGAGTCTTTTTACTGCTGTCATGTAAGCTAGCATCACTCGTGGTCTTCAGAGCGAATCACAATCGAGGCTCTTCAGGTACAACGGCACTATTACAACAGATCAAAAGCCATTGAATACTGGTGGAACAAGTGTAATAAAGGGACTGTAACCCAATCGCTCGGGTCAATGATTTTTTATGCCATTAATTCTTCCAAGCTGTCCAAACTCATGTTGAAATATTTGTTGGTCGTGAAATCGTCGTCTAGATACATAAAAAAAAGGGGGGTTGAAAAATACTCTCTCTTTGTCCTCCTCCACTCAGTCCTCCCGAGCCTCTCCGTCCTCTTTGGCCTTCTCTACCAAGCGGTAATATCGCCAACCTCGGCCTCTCCAAACGTCGAAGTCTTGACCGCTTGATCGCCCTCGACGCCCTCGGTGTTACTAAAGTCCACAGGCTCTCTGGCCATCATGTCTGGCAAAACTTCATGCAAGAAATCCAACACAAATCTATTGACCTGTTCAAACTCGAGCAAGAATGCATCATGGCCTTCAGGACTATCGATATTTTTGAGTGTTGCGTTGGGGATTGCGGCGGCGAGTTCTTTNTGCTCGGCGTAGGTGAAGAGGCCGTCGGATTGGATGCCTAACACTAGTGTTGGTTGTTCGATGAGGGCGAGGGCATCAGCCACAGGCGTAACGGTTTGAGAGTCTGCGGGCAGGCGGCCCCTGGATACATCGTGGGTGTCTAGTTTGCGCGTGATGGCAATGTAGCAGTTTGCATCAAAGCGCTTTATGAATTTTTCGCCTTGGTAGCGGAGATAGGATTGTGCGGAGAAGTAGGTGGGTGTGCGCTTGAGTCTGAGGTTGGGGGGTGCGGCGTTGGTGGGTAGAGGTGTGGTACCGTGGAATTGGGGGTCCATGATTGTTTGGGGAGGGGTGTTGGATAGAGGTAGGGAGTCGGTGGAAGTGGACAGGTCGGCGGAGCTGTTGACGCGGCTGTAGCGAGGAGAGCCGGCGTGCTTGTGGCCTTCGTTGTGGATGGCGAAGTGGTCGCTTGAAGGGGTTGAGGGTCTGAAGGAGGAGCCGTTGATGTTCTGTTTGCGCGAAGGGTCGGGTGTGTTGCGGCCGAATCTGGACTCGAACGAGTCGCGACTGCGGTAGGTCAAGAGTGCTGACATGCGAGCGGCCGACAGACCGGTGGATGGGGGNTCTTCGAAGGTGTAGTAGCCGTCATCGTACTTGGGGTCGCTGTAGATGCTCTGTCTTTGGGCCTCACCCCAGCTGATACCCCAAGCACTGTATTGAGCCGACGTCGCAATGGGCACGACGCAGCGTACATAGTCCTTGCCAAAGTAGGCAAACTCCAGGACGAGCATACCACCCATCGAGCCTCCAATGACAGCAGCGATCTGCTTAACGCCCAGATCGTCCAGCACAAGCTTGAAGATGTTGACATCGTCTCTAACGGTGGTCAAGGGGAACTCAGGACCGTAATGCTCGTTCTGTGGATTGCCGTCCTTGCTCGTGACGGGACTCGCACTTCCGTAGGGACTGCCCAGACTGTTCAGGCAGACGACGAAGAAACGCGACATATCGAAAGCCTTGCCAGGTCCTCCAAGCAGAGGACCCCACCAGTCGCCAACATCGGCACTACCAGTCAAGGCATGGCAGATGACCATGGCATTGTCACCTGCGGGCGACAGAGTGCCATACGTCTTGTATGCTATCGGCACATTGTAAAGCACACCACCGCTCTCAAGGCTGAACTCTGGGATAACGGCGATATGTTGTTCTGGGATGAGTTTGGAGTACGGATTCTCGGGTTGTGAAGTCACTCGTTCTGTGTTTGTGTTAGTCAATGCAAGTGCCATTGTCGTCTTGAGGCATACCGTATCTCATGGTGGGCGTGGGCTAAAGATGGATTGGTAGTTGGAAAACAAGAAGCTCTGGTTTGAATTATCAGCCATTATTGTTTCCACTCAGTCACAATATGAGTCTACCCACTTGCCCTTTTTTCTGCCCGCAATCGCCAGTAGCTCGTCATTGGACAAAGACCGACCTCGGTCGCTGACCCTCAATGCGCTGTGGCTTCCACCCCACTTTCCGCCCCACAATCTTATCGCCCTGAACAGACCATCTGGCTAATTGTGCCACCCTGTCACAGAACTACATTCACAGCAAATGGATTCTCACGGCAACAGCAATAAGCTGTCTTTGGCTACAAAACACAGACAGTCACGATTTAAAATATGTCGCGGTTGAGGTTAGATCTAAAACGTCACACTTATGATTGAGCTTCTGCTTGCCTTTGACCCATCAAACACGAGTTGGTGTCATTCAAGTAAATACTCCACAACGACACATTACATTAACGACAGTGGGTAAAAAAAAGAAAGAGGCGAAACATCATAGATGAGTGGTGATTTTACGCTAAGATTAAAAATCGTAACTCAAGCAAGGTAGCGAAATTGATGAGGACAGGACAACCCAACCAAGCCAGCAGAAGAGATATGAAATTGACAGGAAAATGAATCAGAATGTTTGACCAGCTTTTATACCAGCTGGCGGCTCTAGTCGAGTAGAGAGAGATATGAAGAAACCTCAAGATGAGCCCCTGCCGAAAACGCCATAATTCTATATCCACGTCTCCATCATGCGTAGTTCAATTCCCTGTTCTGCGCTTCTTGCTGGGTGTCTCTTCATCATCACCTGCTGCTTTCGTTGTGTCTGGCGGACTCGTGCCTGCGGAACTAACGCTGCCAACGATTCTACCACCTCGCTCATCAACGCTCAAGTTTCCATCATTAACATCCGGTCCTCCAACATCGCCAAACAAGTCGTCTGTATCTGGCATCCCGTTCGCTTGCGTGTAATCCCAGTTGAAGTTCAGATCGTCATTGATGCCTTGCGATGGCGCCGAGGTGGTTGGATAGGTGGATCGTTGAGGCGCAGATGTTGTGTCTCCAAAAGTGCCAAAATATCCATCCTCGGTCTCATTTAGAAAATTACTAAGATCGAAATCGCCGGGATTGCCCAACTCTTCAAAGTTGTTGGCGTTGATACCTGGGATCGCACCTGTCGGAGAGAGTGGTTGTAAGCGTCCTGCAAGATCTGCGACTTTGGAGTCTTGCTCTTGTTGCATCTTGGCTAGCATGTCAAGTTGCGCCTTATTCTGTCGAAGACCTTCTAGCGATGGCATTGTTGGCGGGTTGGGCATCATAAGAGCATTGTTGGCACCAGGCTGAGCGGCCGTGGCACCTGCTCCAGTGGCACCCGATGCTGCTATCAACGAGAGCATATCCTCCCGCTCTTGTGGGGTCAAGGTGCTATTGCTGTTGGCAGCCTGTAAGTGATCCAGTGCACTGCTTATGTCATAGTTTCCAGCAACACCGCCATTGTTGGGCGAGTTGCTGGCGTTCACATTGTGAATGAGGTTCATTACGTCGTCATTTTCTGGGTATTGGTGCAACAAGTCGGGAGTAGGTGCATCGTCTTTGATGACAGGAGTGACTGAGGCTCTTGGTGGCTGCTGCTGTTGTTGTTGAGGTCGCGACTGGGGTGCGCGTGGCCCGAATTGTGTTGTGTGTTGGCCTTGTTGTGTAGGACCAGGGCTAGTCGAGGATCGGACAGAGGGAGTGGCATTTGAGAAAGGTGAGGCAGAAAGATTCTGTGCGCCCGGGGCAGGTAAAAGCAAAGGTCGTTTTTGGTAGCGTTGCAGCTGTTGATTGTTTATGTTGTTGACGCTGCTCTCGTTCATGTCGCCATCGCCCATATCGAAGACACTACCTTGTTGCTGGGCTTGCTGCGGCATGGAAGCATTGCTGAGGAAGCTGGCCAGGTTGGGAGGGCCAGAATGTCCATCTAAGCTGCGGTTATAGAAGGTGGCCAGGAAGGTGAGAATGGCGTTAATCGAGTTCTCATGCCGGTCATGAAGAGCCTGGAACGCAGTTGCTTGGCGATAGAATTGCTCATTCTGGTCTTTTAGCGAGGTGATCATCTTTGATATCACACTCTGCTGGCGCTGCAATTTNTGTAATTCCGTACGGAAGGTGCCCATGTCCTGCCGCGGGATAGTTGTCATGAGCCCTGCAGCTCCGTCGCCAGTGTCAGGCGAGTTCTTGTGGTCATCGTCACTGTCGCCTGGCTCACGCTTTTCTTGATCCCGTTTCCTCTTAGAGCTCGAAGATTTGGCGGCCGGTTTTTGGATCAACCACAGCAGATCAGGTCGACCTCTCTTGAAGTATTCGTGCCAATATACGCTGGGATCCTTGACTTTNTTCTCGGCTGCTTTCATTGAGTTGGCGTTGAGGCCCACCTTCTTGTGGAAACCGTACATGTTGAGCTGACGCACGAATGAAGCATAGTTGTTGTGTTTGAAGAGCTCTGGGATCAGCGTACGAGCAAATTCGTCCTCGTCGAGGACAATGAATGAGTTGCCATCATCTGACCAGCGAATCAATTCTGTATTATTCGATGAATCGAGAAAGCTNGCATGTATGTTAGCAGAAGCTTCTTTCAAGTGATGATTAAGTTGGCAAACGTACCTGCTCAGCTTCTGTACGAATGGCGGGATTTGTTTTCGCTTTGCTTGGGCGTCCTTCTTCGCGATGGCAGCCTTCTGGTCCAAGTCCTGCTCTTCCTCATGATCCATATCCTCCCATACACGGTCGGTCGGATTGGCGAAATTACTCCATTGATTTCTTTGAGGCGTGCGAGCAACTTGTTGGTTGGTGTTCCTGCGCACAAGCTGATTTGAAGGAGGGACGGCAGGTTGGCCGTAAGTGGGCGCCTGAGTCGTTGGCACTTGCGGAGGAAAAAAGTTGGGACCAGGGTTTGCGTTGTTGATCGAGTTGTCGTAGGGTGGGAAGTCGGGAAAGGTGTTGGATGTGTCGTTCGAGAGAGGGTTTCGGTATTGTGCCAGAGGGTCGTTGACGCCGAAGGATCCGTCTTGCATCTGCTGCGGGTATGGATATGTCGCGTCTTGAGCACTGCCATCGGCCGCACGCTTGCGGGAACGTGCTTGGGCCTGCATCTTGTCGTTTGTATGGCTGAGACGAGTAGTCCCTAGTAGCGGGTAGATGCTGACTGGTTGCCCGTCGCAATCGCTGATGAGGGAAAGTGGTAGCGACGCGATTGATATAGGTGTGGATTGCAGAAGTCTAGTCAAGCAAGAATGAAATGCCTATCGTCTGTCCGAGCCAGTGGGCATTGTTGTATGAAGGAAAGTCTTGTGGTCAGGTCAGATCAGGCCTCAGACCAGGGCCGAGTGTGAAGACGCGATGAGTCTTTCGTTCGGTCTAACAAGTTCCGTGTCTCTCTGCGCGCGCGACGAAAGTTGCGTGTGTCTCAGTGCGCGATGTATCGTTGAAGTAGACGCTGATGTCCCAGGTAGTGTGCGATTCTATGTCGATAATTTGAAGTGCAATGGCTGAAAATCTCTTTCTCGTCGTCGCTCTTTCCTTTCGGTCATGCTATGCGATTTTCAGACTGCGGGCAGGCAGGCACGTCACACAGTTGGCAGGAGGTCCAAGCTTTCTCGATTCTCAGGCACCCCAAAGACCCTCTGCTTTTAATTGCTGCCATCGAACCTCTCCTTTCTCTCGATCACCGAGCCGTTGATTCAAATCGCCCGAATCGAGTATTCGTTTCTACCTTCTCTGTGTGTGTTGTGTACATGCAACGCCGAAGCTTCTTTCACCCTGGCGTCTGTTTTTCACATGCTTTACCACCGTCTTTCTACATGCTGTGTACTACGACACTTGTCGTCTGTTCTCTAATCCTTAGCTGCAGATTACAAGACACACAATGTGCGATCATCAGTCCATTCATGACAGAGTCCAACTCGACTCCCATATCGTTCGACGTATCAACAACAAATGAGCCTGTCAAGACGCAATACATGAGTAAGGCTACCTAAATACGTGAATCGCGGCTCCTTGATCAGCGGAAAGATTACCCGAGCGACCCTTGCAGTCTTTCGTCGACCTCGTTGCTTCCCTCGGTCTTGCTGTATAAGACCTTCGTTGTGTTTATCGAGATTTTGTATGTATCGTAGCATGGCTACCAAAAATCTTTGTAAGCTCAGTGTATACGTGTCCTCTCTGCTGTACCTGTTTCATCTGCGCTGGATGTGTCCACGCAAGTCTAGCAAGCTTTGCCGTATCTTTATCCAGAATTGGCTACTAGCAGAGAAGTAAGATATTGAACCATGCCTTCTCATATATATCTCATTGCCATACCACTAAGACAGACCAAAGGGCGAAAAGAAGGTCGCTCGAACGAGTTGAACGCTGACTGCCAAAAATATTGCACCCTGCCGAGGGCCACCTCCCACAACTCAGCTATTCATACGACAGATTTTTTTGGTGTTTTTTTGTTTTGCGCCTCGCCCCCGGCCACCGGTGCAGAAGGACTGGAAACTTGTGGGTATATAAAGATTCGTTACTGCAAAGGAAGACTTGGTGCATCAAGGACAGCCTGCTGGGATCCACTTATAATATTTTGATATATAACCACAGCATTACGACTTCGCCGATATCATTTTACAGCCAGATAGACCCTGCTCTGTACTTCGATCGTCCTCAACCGATCTATCTTGTTGATACAAGACGGACAAGTTTCTTCTTGGTACTCGAGGTTGTTCTAGAATCTTCGATAACTTAGTCGCCAACCACATACCGGACCTGTGTCCAGTGGTGGGGCCTAACCGTCGATCCACCCGGTGTACTGAAGCATATCGGCGCCCGACTCCTCCTCAGCCGGCATGTAGCCATAGTATAAGCTATGCGTAAATATGATCTTGAGTGAAACCTCATCACTCCCTCTTATCGTCCTTCTTGATTCCTTTGCTCGTTGATCTGACCAGGCACCACAACACCCACAAGAAGCCAAGTGAAACGGCCACTCCGGTACCAATCTCGACGAACTTGGTTTTNGTCGTGTCCAAGACAGGTATCTCGAGCGTCTCCATCAAAGTCTTCGTCTCATCCGAAGCACCAACATGATGGAATAGAGTCTTGGGGCCAAAGAGTCCGTCAAAACCAATGTTCGTACGGTCGAAAGGGTTGACAGCCATCTTCAATCCGTCTTCAGCTTCACAAGCCCAGAAGACTGCTGGCCAGGGGATGTGTGCAGCGTGTGTGCCGTCAGTGGATGGCAACATGTAGCGTGTATGTAGAGGGACTGTCACCGTCCAGGTGTCGTTGTTTATGGATGGCGACTCAGGATGCGCAAGCTCAAGTAGTGCTGCTGAGCCCCATTGTGGTGTTGTCCATACAGGTGCCTCAAGGTCAGTGGCACCACTGAGACTGCGTAGAGCGACCAGATTCTGCGATGCAAGGAACAGAGGATCCGAAAGTTGATAGCGGTCTATGAAGACGGAGGATGGGAGTGTTAGGTAAGCGTGCAATGCACAAGACTCATCAGGCTGTACAAGTGCATTACCAGGGAACTTGAGCTCCATCGTAGGATGCAGTCCAGTCGGTTGACGGAATGATGTCTCGAAGGTCAGCTCTGCAGACTGCTTGGACGCAGCATGATGTCTTGATGGGAAGGAGAACATGGTCGCACTGGGCTTTGTGTCTTCACCCACCACAGTCAACAACCCACTTAGTGCAATCTCGCCTTCCTCAGTGGACTTCTCAACGTTCAAGATGCCAACTTCGAGAGCGTCTGAAGAAGGCTGTAAACGTAGAGTTTCATCCCAAGCACCTTGCGAGCCATCGGCTGCAACAGCCCAGTCCCAGTATGCGGTGACACGGAGCGCGTGAGATATTGTGTCGTAGTCGATATCCAAAGAGCTGGCTTGGGCGAGCGACATGATCTGATCATAACAAGCTGTATCCGATGGTTCACAGACAATTGATGAAAGATAGCCAATAAACCTGGTCAGACGCGCTAGAGGCTTGTAATACTGATACTTTGCGGACATCGCAAAACGTTCAGACAAGATTGGAGGTGTCGAGAATGCCTTTAGAGAGNNGAACAACATTCAGTATCATATTTAGCAAGCCTCAATGATGGAGTGGAATACCTTTACAGACGTGCACTCAACAGCCTCACCAAAGATCTTGCCCAAAAGGGGACATAGTGTTTCTCTATATCGGTCAGCATAGTAACAATCGCACGATGCAGAAATTCAAACGTACGAAGATGCATTTTCTCCTGGAGTATAGAAAAANTGGAAGCCAGATGGAACTCTTGACGAGAAGGGTGTCACGGCATCATAGTTCCACTCGGCAGACCAGCGTATGTGTATTTCATGACTTTGTTCAAGAACATTGACAACCNNTTCGAAAGTGATGTTAGTCTGACTCCCCAACCATTGAATACACTCATAAGGGGGCCGTCTCCATACTTCCTTTGGCAGTTCTCGTGTGCCCAGCGTGACTCGCCATTCTTTAGCGGCCTTGAGGCCCGGCAACTTTATAGAGTCTTTGCCAACATCCAGTGTCGCAGGATCAACTCCGCCAGCCTCGTGCAGCAAGTATGTAATTCTTTGCTTCATTGTTTATTTGCAGACAAATGCCAGTTCACGACTTGTAGTCTGGTGGCAGCAAGCCGCGTGATTGGGCAGATAGCGATAGGGCAACTGGAAGCGTCAGGCGTGCTGCTTGTTGCCAAACGTGCTCGAAAATACGCACAACCAGGCAGCCACTTCCAGCTTTTGTTTCATTCAGCCACTATTCATTGCACTGCCACCGTGTCCTCGCCACTCTTCAAATACTCGGAGTACAAGAAAACCATCAGAAGTTACAAGATATTTGTTAGAAGCAACATACATCGTTAGCTGTCGACACATATCGAGTATCAACCACAAACCACTTCGCCACAATGCGGTTGTCCGCTGTCCTACTGGCCCTCCTCTCAGGCCTCAACTTATCAGAAGCTCTCCGCAAACCATCAGACAGCGTCCTCCTCTCCAAGATCTCCAGTCTCACTTTACGCGCCGGTCAAAAAACCAGTGCTCGTCGCAGCTCTCCAATTCCACAGCTACAATGTATGGGTGGTAATGCACGGGGTCTCTACGATGTAGATGTGATGCGTTGCACTAACGCCGGCTCTGATTACGACGACGATAATGTACAATGGACTTGCAAGGCCTCCCTGCCCCCGGAGTTTAAGCTGGGCAGTACGGATGTTTCGTGCGAGGGCTATGACTCGCCCGAGGATCCGTATGTGTTGAAGGGGAGCTGTGGTGTGAGCTACAGGCTTGTGCTTACCGAGGAGGNNGGTGAGAGGAAGTATGGTCACAGAGCAGATGGAGATGACAGAACTGGTCCATCCTCGACTGGCGAGAAGCTCATCTTCTGGGCTTTCTTCACGTGTAAGTCTCTGATCGTATTTGTTTAATGCTACATTTATTGACCAGAATATCNNACAGTTGTTGCAGGCATGATTGTCTACGGAGTCTGGGATTCATGCGTCAGAGGAAACAACAGACGCCCGCCGCACGCAGGTCACGGGTATGGGGGTGGTTGGGGAGGTGATGACAATAATGGTAAGGCGAGCTCCCTGATCAAANCCACCTGCAAAAGGCTAACACACACAGATGACGCACCACCACCTTACACACCGTATGGCAGCAAGCCAAGCTCCAGTCGCAACTACGGCACACAGAACGGACAGGCTTGGAGACCTGGCTTCTGGTCTGGTGCCGGCGCAGGAGCTGCTGCGGGTGCCGCTGCAGGATACATGGCTGGAAACAGAGGAAGCAGCTCACGCAATGCCCCTAACAGATCTTACAGCGGTGGTTGGGGTGGCAGCACAGGCTCGAGTTCTCCTACACCATCGTCATCGAGATATGAGAGCACTGGGTTTGGCTCGTCGAGCCGTAGATAAACTGCCCTCTAAGGGCTTCTTGTAAATTCGATTCGTACTCGTAACTACTTCATCTGCACATCACTTGAACTGGATTACCGGGAAATATCTCGGTCCTGCAAATCCAGTAGCCATGACAGTTTGTACATCAATGTTTTTGTTGACATATGGTGTTTGCAACTTCAGCAAGATATGCGTGCCAGANTCTGTCCGAACAATTAGCATTGTATTCGACCCTTCGACAAGAGACACGTACACTGGAGGATCGAACTTGATCGCTATCCGGTGTCGATTGTCCTTGATCTTGAATCTCGCCCTGGCAACAGTATCGCTCTTGTATCGATCGGGCTCCGGGCTTAGTGGAGCTGCTTCAGATCGCTCCATGGAGATAGGTGGTTGCCGTATGCGCATACGCGCATAATTGGTTCGATATCTTGACTCCCAGATATCCTCGTCGTCGTACTCGCGTAAGTTTCGCTCCCTACGCCTTCTATCGGCAAGCACGTCTGGTCTGGTCGGATCCTCAGGCCAAGAAATCTCCTCGTCACTCAGAACGACTATGCGACCGTCTGGTGATTCTCTCAAATCTGCAGGATCATCACAATTCCGGTTGTCAATGTCATTTCTGTTTGCAGCTTGCCGACTCGGATCCATAGGAGGCCATGAATGATCTCTGGTTGTAGGTATGGAATTCCACATCTCGTCAGCATCGTCCTCGTCCTGAGACTGGTCATCTGCTGGAGAGTCGATAGGTGAGAAGAAGCCAGCACCCCTGCGCGTACCAATAGCGCGGGCGACCTCAGGATCATGTATACTCTCCAGCAAACTAAGGCGCACAGGATCATGAGTACGGCGTGGTGGCGGGCTCCTGGGAGGGTTCAGGTAATGAGTTGAGCTGTTGATATACGGCTGAAGGTCGTCTCGGCTCATGCCAACATAGACCAGACCCTCTTTTACCCTGCTATTTATTAGCAGGAGATACAGAGAGACATGGACACGACCGTCTCACGGAGCAGTGAAGCCATTCTCAGGCGCAATAATGTACAGCTTTTCCAGACAAAAGGTCGAGTCATCATGATGTCGCAAGACAATGTTGCATTTGGAAGCGCGAGAGCAGTAAACACTTTTGTCGTGCTTGAGAATGTTCTCGGGACCAAAGTCGATACCGCTGCGCTCCTCGTTGTGGACTTCGCCGTCGCAGCTTTCGAGTTCGAGCTTCAGTCTGCCAGGCTCGACCTGACCATAGCGGCCGTACTTGTAGTTTGACTCGTGAGTCAACTTCCTCCTCTTGACATTCCACTGCCTCGGCTCGTCAAGGTCGGAGGAGGGTTGGTCGATGATGGAGCGTGTGAAGCGTGGAGGGGACTGTTCAGTAGGATCCCTGTAGCGCCGACGTCTCAGACGCGAAGGTGGAGGAGCCCATCTGGCGTTGCGCTCGGCTTCCTCGGACTCTCTCCTCAACTCGTTGCTTCTTTGGACGACACGACGAAGCCTGTCCAGCCTCGTAGGGGCGGCGGCGGCAGCATCATTATCAGGGTTGTTGGTGGTTGCGGGGGGNTAGTCGTGGTCTTGCGGCTGCGCGACCCAGTCAGCCATACGAAATCGCTACCAAGAGAGGCCATGCGATCATACAGCAAATGCCCAGGACCTTCGCTCCGACATGGTCGCGCTTGTTCGTGTGCTCGTCCGGATGCGGGGCTTTGGTCGTCTCTGCTTGCGAATGTCGTCTACGTTGGTGAGAGGGTCGGCGCGATTCGGGCCGGATGTGTCGTCGAACTGTGGTAGGTATGAGACTATTGAGTCAGTGATGGCGACAGTCGTCAACGTGTCTCGACAGCGAGGTCAGGGTTGGATGCACCAGGTCGAGGTGGGCGGGCTTGCATGTCGCAGGTGGGCGTGTGCGGTGCGACAAAGGCTATGCAGCCCCAAGCCCTATCGGTCCATCCCGACTCCGATAGCCTTTTCGGCAGCCCTCGCCGTTGCCATCCGTGCACTCAACTCCTTCCTCTTGCCGTCTGCGCCCGCTTCAGCGCCTCAACTTACCTTGACTCATGGTTCGTAAATTTACGTGCGTACTCGTCTCTGGCTCCGCGATAGAGTCTACACTATCGTCCCGTGCTGCTGCCACTGTCGACAGGGCTGATCGCCATCAACGCCTCATTGTGTTTCAGTCGGCAAAGCCTTTTGAGAACAGCATCTACAGCCTGTTCTCCCAGCTATGTTGGCTGTCCCAGATAGATCTGGCGTATTATCGATTGAAATAAGAAGAATCTTGAAGGACTGACTTCTATACCCAACGCTGGTCGTGCAGCATCGTCACGATGGATCCTCACAGTTGACTTGCCAATGGTCTGGACCGGATTTAGCTATGGTCGTTATCCTTTACGAACTGGTTCCTTGAGCGTTTCGGCATGAGCTTTACTCATCCGCTTCCGTCCCGTGCATAACTGTTTCCCAGCCTGATAATACCCATCTCGCAAACTCCATGATAACCTATCTTGCTCGATAGAGGGCGGAAGTCAACTCTGTATCCCAACTTTTGAGACAACCTCATGGGTTGTTTATAGAGCTGCCAACAAATGTTCTCCTCAGCTTGCTGTGACCCCAGATACTCACCCTGTGCGTAGTGCGCTCAGACTGTCGAAGTCGAACAAGCCACATCTTCATCGGCTTGACCGTTCCTGGAGCCCTTGCCCGGCATCTAAAATTGCTCACCGGGGAGTCGTTCAGGAACCGTTCGCGTTATTGCTTCGTAGTTGTGGTTGAGTCGCGGGTATCTGCAGGACTATCGCATTGAAACACCGATTATGGAGGTCAGCCGTCTCAGACCGATGATATATGAGTTCCCTGCCCGAGGCAGACAGATTTGACGATTCACAATCCCTTAACCTTCCTCCTGCAATTGTTTCGACATGGAAGGACACACTCATGAGATCGCTGAAGTACCAGAGGCGGCTAGAGTCATTACGATGGCCTTGTCCATGATAACGATCAGCGTACTGGCCATCTGCATCAGTAAGACTGTCTAGAGATTCTTGTTCTGACCTATGTCTAATCAATTAGCTCGGCGGATACAATTCATTCACAACTTCAAGAAAATCTCGGTGACGAATGCCTGTAAGATCAACACACTGCCATATCGTACTTGGACATATTTCTAACATTCTGCCAAGTGATCATTGCAATATACATCGATTCGTTCCTGTTCATCTTCTGTACGGCCGTACTGTCCAAAGCATATTCGTTGAACCAATCCGCTGGTATCTGCGATGGAGCCATTCTGCTATGCCTGCTCGTACGTAAACCGAAGGTACAAACACCATGACTGGTGCTGGCGTTTGTCTCAGCCTGTACGAGCAGTCTCTGGAATGTGTGTTTTCGATGAAACGCCGTCCGGGACGGCACCTCGTAGAGCTGAGTGCATTCGTCAAGCTAAGTCGTGGTATTGTCCCAACCAACGTTTGATATCTTGCTAATTGTACCTTCGCTTAGTGTTACATGACTACCAAGATTGTGAGTCACCAAGCACACCTTATCTCGGCACTTCTGACCTCGAGACAGATGATTTACTACTTCTTGGTTGAAAAGTACATATTATCCGAACAACAAACACATCAAGGATGAAGAGCAAGCTTTGGCTGTTCAACTTTTCGGCGTCATATGTGAGTCCACTGCCAGGTGTCAATGTGAATGATACAATCTAATTCTATTCTCAGGCCCCTATGTTGTCTTGGTCATTCTCAACTTCGTTTTGTAAGTTTAGACACGATTCAGAATGGGCCAGCAAGCTAACAGTATCACAGCCGCATCGCATACATCAACGAGAAGGGTGTTTGCGTTATTGGAATGAAGAGGCGCGCTCTTGTGCCACTCATCACGTTCGACGTCCTCCTCAATGTCTACTTGACATCTCTCTTCTTGCATCCACTCCGACGTAAGTACAAGAATCATCGAGCATATTTTCACCTTTGCTTATTCATGATTACAGAGTGTTATTCGTTTAAGCAGGGTAGAAATTCTTTAATGCGGACGTTGGTCGTCCGAACATTCGTGGGGTCCTGCGCAACTCTTCTCATGAGTGTCGTCAACCTCTCGGTTCTAACGATCCTTGATGGCGAGCCTGGATACATCTGTCTGTGCTTGTGCAATCTTGATAGTATGTCACTAAGTCAGAGTACAAGAGACATCTGCTGACCTCTATACAGTCCTGTTCACTGTTTGCGTCTTGCACTGGGCAACAGCTATTGATAAACAAGACCGAACCACAACTTCTGGCTCTCAGAGACCCAAGCACATCTCTGATTCTAGAGGTGGGTTGAATAGCGCGACTGATGGCAAAGCCGACGACTATTTGGAGTTGGACGAGAGATATGTCGCTAAATTGACAACCGTCATTGGAAGCCAACAAGGAGAGTCCGGATTTGAGTGTCCTGAGTTCACATGCGATCGGCATAAAGACCCAGCATGTGCGTGAAGTAGACACCGAGTCCTACAATATCGACAGCGAAAGTGGCATTTGGACAGAAAGCCAGGAAAGGATTGTAAAGTCTGACAGTATTCAAGATTGACCGGTCGCGGAGGGGTGGCTCGTTTGTAGGACAGAAGTAATCATCACAAGATACAACTACCACTCCGTTATCGCAAGGCACGACCTTGCTTCCTACCAACTATCTTTCTACAGCAAAGCGACCAAATGCAAACGAGTCCTTGGGTCGAGAACAAAGAGGGTTGAGCAACCCCAGATCGTGCTTCTGTGATACTGCTTGACAGACGGTTAGATGGACGAAGACGTGGCCGCAATCTCACCCCCTGCTTACACGGGTGACCCATGTACAGACACAGACTTCCAGCCATAACAATTCGCAGATTCCAAGGCTTGGTTGTCTTGGACTGGATGCCTGGCAACGCAAGATGCAGGAGAGCACCAAGTCTGGCGCAGCACGAGCTTACCGAGATTGCGGCTGCCCAGATTCAGAATCAACCGCGAGCACGAGTCTTCAGCATCTGAAGAAAACGTGAGCCAGAAGAAGGGGATCAGTGAAAACAAGGAAAGAGTAACACAGGCCGAATCTAGACAGATGGTTGTTCGAATCAAGGAAGGTGTTTGACGGGCTGGCGTTGCAAATGAACGGTGTAGGTCTTGGGGTCTTGGATTTGGGGAACGAACGACCGAACTAGCGGGCCGCTAGGGTTCGTCAGTGCGAAGACGATTGGACACGCTCGAGCCCGTGAAGAAGGGGACGCCTTCGACACACGGCAGGATGCAGCATTGCACTGGCTTGAAGATACTCGATTCAGGCAAAGACCATGACGAGCTGACGAATTTTGCCTGGCAAAGCTCGTGTCTTGCTGAGAGAAATGGCATGCGAACGGGAAAAGAAAAATAGAGAATACAGGGCCATGAACGAGCAGAGAGGGTGACACACGTGCCTGGTGATTGGCTGAAGTTGGATGGCTGGGGTCGCGCTCTTTCTCTCTCAACTTTGCGCTCTGGTCTGTGCCTCGAAAAAGCCGTCAGTCGTCTTCGTCCTTGAATCAAGCATCGTCCTCGACTCTTTCTTCTTACCTACCACCCTCGAGGCCTTGTGACTTCTTGTCATCTTCACCTCTCCCTGTTTTGGTTCTGTACGAATCAGCACGACTAACCCCTGGATACACCAGTCGACCGCTTGCGCGACTTTGACCCGCTGTCGATTCCACTTCACCTATTAACCCAAGGCTGGTGATCGTTCAACAAACGACCTTCAGCCGCCACAACTTGCGTATCACACATATCCCTTAGGATCTCTTCGCTGCGGCGTTTCCATTCTGGCTACCACCAAGTTGGCGGGCTCTCGCCTTTTCCTGTCCCTCAGCCTCCCTTCTCAGGGCCCGAAGATTTGGGTCTGCGGAGGCGACAAGAAGCCGCCATAACTGGTCCACGGCATACTTACCACATCATCTGCTATACAACAACCAATTAACCTCCATTTCTGCCCTCTGTCAAGACGGGGTAGAGACTGGACCGCGAATCGCTATCCACGGCTTAGTGTAGGGCTGACCCCTGCGCGAGGCCGCTGTTCAAGTTGAACATCTCTCAACGGTGAGGCGCGCGCGCGCCGCTCACTTGACTGCCTATAAGCGCATAGACTAGAAGGGACCAACATACAGGAATATACTTAGAGAAAACCCATTGGATATCCAGAACCATCAAAATGGCCGAGACTCCCAGATCCGAAAGGTCGCAGACCAGGTTCAGCACTCCTGTCTCCGACCTTGACGACCACCGCCACCAGCAGGAATCACTTCCACGCGCCCACGAACAAAGCTCCCGAAGAGGCACTCTGGCCAGTATCGCTGGTAGCCCACATCTCGCAGCTCTAATTGCTGCTCAACAACTCGAACTCGGACAAGGAATGATTGCTCGCGACTTCGAGAATGCTATCGTCGACGACCAAGACGACGACAGCACTCGCTCCGTCCATGAGACTCCCACATGGCGGCGCAATTCTATCGGGCAGGGTGTAGGAAGGCAAACAACCATTCGTCTTCCTCCACCTGCCTTGGAGGCCAAGTCCAGGAGCTGTGAATCTTCCAGTTCAAGATCGACCTCTCCTCCAAACTCGGTCGACGCTTTCGCCAACCCTCAAAGACGTCGTCGTGGCGATACAATTAGTAGCGACGCTCCGCCTTTCACTAACCTCAATCTCACCAGGACCATTTCTGGCGCCTCGAAGCATCGTCGATCGACTTATGACGATACCAAATCGACTCACACTGTACAATCACGCCACAGCTCTGTCCAAGACGATGTTTGCTTCCCTCCTGAGCGTGATCAGAGCAAGACTTACTTGATCGATTTTGAGGAACTTGAGGAGTTTGTTGCAGAGTCACACGAAAAGACCCCTGTCGCTCACCCATTCCAACCTCCTTTTGGCAAGCAGAAAACTCATAGTGAGCCAAAAGTATTCCATGACCTCCGCGCTTCCAAGACCAATGCGAGCGACAGCGACGTCACGGACGAGAAGCTGGCTATGGACCAAGTCAAGAAAGCAGACCTTTCTCCCGAGATTGAGCTCGAGCGTGTTGTGTCGCACACTCAGTACCTAAACAGATTCACCTTTTTCTCATCTGAGATTGATGAGACTATTCACGCACCCGAGTTGGGCGGTCTTCTCATGCCTGGCGAATCGTTCAGAGACTTGTTTGAACTTGGTCCGGATGGTGGTGTCTGGTGGCTTGACATGCTTAACCCCTCTGAGGAAGAAGTCACAGCCATCTGCAAAGCATTTGGAGTCCATCCCTTGACTCGTGAGGATATCGCCACCCAAGAGACGCGTGAGAAGGTTGAGCTGTTCAGATCCTACTACTTTGTCTGTTTCCGTTCCTTCTACCAGGAGGACAAGGAGAGCGAAGACTTCATGGAGCCCATCAACGTCTACACTGTCGTCTTCCGCGAAGGACTGCTGACCTTTACCTTCTGCAACAACCCTCACGCTGCCAATGTCCGCAAACGTATCGGTCGCCTTCGTGACTACGTCAACCTCAGTGCCGACTGGATTTGCTACGCCTTGATCGATGACATTGTCGATGCTTTCGGACCCGTCTTGCGTGATGTCGAGCATGAGGCTGATGCTATCGAGGACAGTGTCTTCACTGCGCGTTTCGAGGATTCTCGCCAAATTCTTCGACAGATTGGTACTTGCCGAAAGAAGGTCATGTCTCTGCTACGCTTGCTTGGCGGTAAGGCAGATGTCATCAAGGGCTTCGCCAAACGTTGCAACGAGCAGTACAGCATGGCACCTCGGGGTGATGTTGGCCTGTATCTTTCTGACGTCCAGGACCACGTCGTCACTATGATGAGCAACTTGTCACACTTCGAGAAGATCCTGTCTCGTAGTCACTCTAATTACCTTGCTCAGATTTCAGTCGACAACATCGCTCAGGGAAACAAGGCCAACTCCCTGCTGTCCAGAGTCACTGTCCTGGCTACCATTCTGGTTCCCCTCAACTTGGTTACTGGCCTCTTTGGCATGAACGTCCGTGTGCCTGGCATGGATGGGCCCAATCTTGCCTGGTGGTTCGGCATTGTTGGATTCATGGTCCTCTTCGTCGCAGCGTGCCTTGTCTGCGCATGGAAGCTCGGCCTGCTCGAGGACGTCGTTCCCGAGCGCGAAGATGAGCTGTGATTTTCTCGTCCGTTCACCGTCTGGTACAAAATGTTTCCTCTGCACATACACCGTTGTCTTTTCAAGCTTCTGAGTTGTGGCTCTTCTGCTATTGGTTATGCCTTGATTACTCTTTGGATTTTGTTTATGATCCGCGCACCGCAAGCCACATTTCAGCGATTGGTTATTACGTTGATCGGGATAATTGCAAGATACAGGGATGCTTTGGGACGTTTTCTTGGGGTTGCGTCTCTTTTGTTCTTTAGCTTGGATACCTCTTTCGTCGACCTTTTATCTGCTTTGTTGTACGTAACTGCTTCGGTCCTACTGTCAATTGATTATTGCAACAAAAGATGCGCCAGCTGCCTTGATTCTCCGTGCAATGTAACAAAGAACCTGTCTACAGTGATCAAGTGGTCTGTTTGGCAGCAGAGCTAACATAAGCTCCAGAAAATCACCAAGCTTGGGAGAGTTCGCGGGACTGAGAATAGTAGAAAGCTCTCGCACAACAGGCAAGCGCGACGATGGGAAGGAGCGATGCTCATCGCCTCCATGACTAGCTCGGTTGACATCTGTCTCCTTCAACCAGCAACATCTATTTTACTTGCTCTCACCACCAACGTGAGCCAGGCGCGCATTGATACAGCTATACAACTTATAAAGTTTTGAGCGCCCATCTCTTCTTTTCTCTTCTCTTCTCTTCCTCATACACTTATACACACAGAACTCCACACTTCTCGAATCACCATGGCCGATTCCACTTCGACTAGATGTGCCAACTGCCCTACAACCACAAATCTCAAGCGTTGTGCCAAATGCCAGCAAGAGTGGTATTGCAGCCCCGAATGTCAAGAGACCCATTGGAAGATCCACAAGAAGTCTTGCAGCACTAAAGACTCCGACCTTAGTACACCTTCATCAGCCCCAAAACCTGCTACCCCAAAGAACCTTGACACAGCCATCGAAAAGCCATTCCAAAAACTCGATGCTGGCACCTAGCTGTACGACCGCACCGAAAAGATGTCTTCAAACTGCTCATCGACACTTTCTGTCTACGCTGTGAGGACGAATACACCTTCGATGGCGATGTCAGCGATGCCACCATCTACGCCGGCGAAGCCAACAAAAGACTCGCCTTCTGGACATTCCTTCGACTGGCTGAGAACAAGACTGGCATTCTACCTGACTGGTGGTCGCGCGACAAGGCAAAAGAATGCACTACTTTTGGCATGGCATCTGGCAACTGGAGTAACCTGCAATTTGCAGCTGAGAAGTCTGATGTTGTGGAACACTATGGTGATGATTCCATGCCCTCGCAGATGCGCGCTCTGTATCAGAGTATCACTGGACGCGCTTGGGACAGAGACCTGCAGATGCATAAATCGATGGAAAGCGACGGGTATGTGGGATATTATATAAACTTGGACCCTAGCAACCTTGCAAAATCTTTCCGCGCCGCAGGAGATTGATCAAAGGCTTGCGCTATGGATGGAAATGAGGTATTGAAGATTGGGACGACTCTGTGATTATGGGCAACCTTACGAGGGCAGAAACATTCGTTCATTCATTCATTCATTCATTCAAGATTGGAGTATGCTCAGATGGTATTCATGAGACGTGAGTAACAAGGACGAATGAACGACATATCCTTCAAAATTCCTGTTCTCCTTCTTTATATCCAGCAAGTGAGCCAAGGTAGCCTCAGCATATGCAGTGTCCGAGCCTGATCAAACAGAATGGAGTAAGTACACTTGTGCCGTATAGAGGCCGCTCAACGGGAAGAGCACTCATCATCTCCCATGCCATACTCAGTAAGTCGATCTGAAATTGGAACTGTTCAAACATTAGTAAGATTGAGGGTCTTGATCGTGCTTCATTCGAACCCTTGCCCAATAACCTTCATCTCACCGCCGGACAGCCACTGACAACGACGATCTGCAAAAGCCATCTTTTCTGTTTCTGCACAATCTTGACCAAATACGCATCTCGGATACCTTTTATCGAGACAAGTCAACAACATGCACTATATCCAGCCAGATTGATCGTTCTCCTAACACGAAGAAGTAAGGAAGTACAAGAGCTGAACCCTCTCTTGAACCATGAATAACCTACACCGGATCCACAGAAGCTCGGTACATACCAGCCGCGAGAACAAGACGATCTTCTTCGTGAGCCCCAACACTAAAGCCACGATTGATATGGAAAGCACATGAAATCATCGTGTATGTTCAGTCCAACGATAATCCTCCTCCTCAAGCGCACTCAGTACGAAGCCCAGGAGTTTGATACATACCAGCCACGAGAATAAGACGTTCGTCAATTTGAGAGGCTACGACTAATCTCACAAGTATTTAAACTCACCATGTATCTTCAATCCAGTAACAAGCCGTACTCAAGGCGATTGCGGGATGCACATAGCACAGTCAATTGGACGTGATCGTCGCCCAGAATGCTTTTAGCCCAATGAGTCTGCTCTTCAACTCTCAGACTCCATGAGGTCGATCGAAGAAGTCTGTACGGCGGATATCCTTGTTTCAACACCCACTCACAGAGCCCAGAAGTCTGAGACATACCAGCTGCAAGGACAAGACGCTCGTCGCTTTAGACCCCAGCATCAGAGCAACAGCTGTTATGGCAAGTATATAAACTTCTCGTGTATGGTTAGCCCAAGAACAAGCCTTGCCCAAGTACGCAGTATCATGTATGAGTACGAGGCACAGATGACTCAGGCCATCGGACGTGTTCAACGGCCGGGATGCTGATGGCTCAACATTTCTCGTCTCCAACTCTCCATGAGATCGATCAAATAGGTCTGTACGTCAGACGTCTCTTGATACATCACTTATCTCCCAGTTTTGGACTTTGCTTCAACGTTCCGCGCCAACTCGCGTTCGTTTTCTTCGATGCTTCGGTTACGCATTGGTATGCAGTGGTGTTTCTGGCTTTCCTGTGCTCTCTAAGAGAAGATACACTCTGCAAGCGGTCATCGTGGGTATGTAGTCACCATATCCTACCAGAGAACTATCCATCTGTCCTACAACACAAGCCCTTTCAGCGTTGTAAAATGGGCAAAGCGACAACGATGGTACTGTTTTAGAGGCACTGCAACAGATCAGTAAACTGTCTGTATATAACGTGCTACAGGTAAACAATTGCACCTTCAAAACGCTTCCGACAAACCCGTGGTTCGTCTTTGCCGCAGCCAGTCTACTGGTAAATTGATGTGTCAGTGCCGGCTATGTCTTAAACAAGAGGTATAAAAATCATCTGTAAACCACCTGCAGCAATGTCATCCATATCTCGCCACGCAGCTATCTGATCCGACAGCTCTCCCATCAAGATCAGGGGCACATGATTGGGCTATCAAGAGACTAGGGGAGAGCTAAATGGTATGAACTTTTCCATTGGAACTCTACTGATTCTTGCGCGGTTACCACGCTCCTGATTCGCTCTGTCATGTTTTCTCTGTAAAGGAATGACTGTTCTTCAATCTGTGTGCATCTTCCTGCTTTCCTAGCCGCTGTGTGCAATTTTCCCTTGATTTTTTCCTCCTCGATGACTTCTGCTTCCAAACTCCTATGTTGTGCCCCCGACACTCTCTTCTGTGCATCACCAAATAGCCATGTGATCTTTCTTGTCACACAAGCCAAGCTCAGTTGTAGGAACTTCCAAAGACGTTACGGGCCAGCTGTGCATGAAATGGGCACATGATAGGGTTCTCCCTACGAATACAAGACACATGGGCCTCGTTCCAGCCCGGGGGCGTACTTCCACTCATCGTGGGCGTGGAAAGCCGAAGTAATAGCTTGGACTATAGCAGTGAGTTAGTAGGGACTGGACAGACAAGAAGTTAAAAGTACTTACGCGCAAGAGGGCAAGTCTTCGGGTTGCTGTGGCACCACGCGGTATGATGCCAGTGGCACTTTTCGTTCTGCTCGGGGCATTCCTTGCCTGGCTTGTGCTGAGGCAACTTGCCGGCATTCTTGATCTTGTTGGCACTTTCGACTGGAGCCTGGTGAAGTGAGACAGCAGCAAGCTGGTCAGGAGGTCCATGAGTGGGAGGAAAAGCAGCAACACCCATGGGGCCAGTGAAACCATAAGAGTAAGGCATAGTGGGCTGGCCAGCCGGGCTGTAGAATTGTTGTAGCTGGTCGTAGCCTCGCTGAAGGGCAAGGTATTCATCGTTCGAGTGCGCGTGGGTGTTAGGATCGAATACAACCAGCTGGTTGTGGTCTCCTGGGGCAAGGAGATCAGGAGCGGCATCCATGGTGCTGTTGGGGGCGTAGTAGCCAGGCATGAAGACCTGACCAGCAGAGCTGTGGGTCTGTTGCTCATAGCCCTGAGCCTGCTGGGCCATGGCTTGCTGGACAGCAAGGTAGTTTTCGGCAGGGGCGGCTGACGAGTAGGGGTTGACCATGGCGTGCTGCACATCAAAGTTGCTGTTGGCAGAGACGGTCGATGCGTAGGGGTTAACCATGTCATGCTGCACATCAGGATAGTGGTTGGCAGCGATGGCCGACTCGTGGTGGTGAGGCACAGCCTGGCTTGGAACGAACGAGTCAACGACCGGGTTCAGGACTGTGGCAGTTGTTGTAGCCCTGATCAGACAGTCAGTACACGAGAAGTAAACAAGGCGTGAAGCAAACACTTACTGGTTGGGGTCCTCTACCGGACGAGGCGGCATAATACTGATGCCGGGCTGAGTAACATCGGGGTTTTCACAGGCGGGACAATCGTAAGGCGGTGTGGCGTCGAACACCTCGTTCTTCGGGTCGCGTACCTCGACCCAGGTCATTGGCTCGCCTTCGGGGTTGACGTGCTGGACATGGACACAGTCCGACCAACGGTAGCGTGTGATCTGCATCCTGAGAGATGACAAGGGTGTTCGATGTCGTGGGTTAGGATGACCCAAGTTGATGGTGGTTGAGGAAAGAAGAAAGGAGAGAGAGAACGGAAGGTGGGAGGGGTTTTTATAGAGCCGCATGTGAGTGCGCGACAGAAGTGAACCACGACGACAACAAACGACACTAGTCGACGGAACATTGAACATCGTGCCTTCTTCGTCACTTGTTCGTTCACGCCAAGAGAATGTGCCTACCAGAAATACAGTCCAGTGCTCGTGGATATTGACTAATTTTACCATCTACAGACAAGAACAAGGGGTGGAAGGGGCTATCTCAGGGGTTCGACAAGGCAAAGAAACAGTACCAACCGTGTTTGCATGATCTTACAAGATCCTGTCCTGCCACCCAAGAACAGAAGAGTAGAGACTAGCAGTCCTGTCATGTGCGGCAGGCCAATGTGTCAATGCTCGATCACTCCTATCACCATAATCGAGCAGTGAGATGGAGCTTAAGAGCAGGGTAAGCTCACACTCGCGCATGAACGGTCGTCTCCACAGGTCTGATGTGAACGCATGATGGTGAAGATGGCAGACACTCACTGGAAGCAGCGAGCCTTCGACGCATCTTCCACCATCCGTACTTGCTTTGAGCTTTTCCAACCATCCTGATGCTAGTAGGCTCGCAGAGATCCTGATGTACAAATGGAAGATTGTGAAATCGGTCATACAGGTAGTTGTGTTAACAGGCTGCCAGCTCGAGTCAAAGGAGAGCATTTCAGAAGCACTTGGCACACCTCAATGCAAGATATCTAGACGTTGCAGCATCAAAGCAGTTGTGGCCGACCTTGGTCTGCTCAGGTAGCCAAGCCGTACGAACGGTGAGTGAAATTCGTAGAGTTGGCCGAAATTCTGCAACACGCAGCGCCGTACAACGCGAAATCATACCTATCAAAGCTGATCTTCGCGACCCAGTCTTCTCCTTTCTCTCCCACTTCAACACAACTGTCAACATGCTTCCTCAAGAGAACCTCAAACCCGGCGCGCCTGGACCAACGATCCACGACTTGAAGATGACTTCTTCANAAACCGCTCTCAGCTATGCCAGTGACTGGGGCGCCGACGCTTTGACTCGCCTTTGTGAGACGCACGGCATTCACATCGGCTCCATCAATGACAAAGAGAGCCTGCTCGCTATGCTGGAAAAGTCTCTCACTCAACCTGTTGTGTACGATGGATTCGAGTTGCAGGATCTGACCAACTTCATCGAGGTCAGGGGCTTGGATCCAAATCGATCTTCCACCAACGCCATCACAACCAAATCAAGCTCGCAGAATGCATCCCATCTGAAGCAATCAGAATGGCAGGAGAAGACCATGCTTGGCGACATCGGCTATCTGTCTACTAAGCGTAACTTCGAGAGTGACATAACACCAGTGGCACGTTCGCACGGCAGTTATTCCATCAACACATCGACAAAGCTCATGACTGTTCTCGATGGCTTCAAGACTGTTCTCAGTGGTTTCAAGACTATATCTCCACCGGAAGACCAGCTTGCCGTGATGGCCCCAAGTCTTTCTGAGCCTGATCAAAGCAAGAGCGTCTTGATCGGATTGCTTGAGACAGCTGATCAGAACGCTTGCTTCAACTTCCTCGGCCTTCCTACGGAGATCCGGCAACAGATTTACCATCTCACCTGCCGTGCATCTCTAACTGTGTTTCACCCTAAGCGGCAGCCTGCTATCACAAAGACATGTCGTCTGACGCGCTCGGAAGCATTGCCAATCTACTACGGATACAACCGGTTCGGAGTGGTGTTTAATCCAGTGCACATAAGGAATCAATACAGTTTATGGATGAAGAGTATTCCATCGGCAGATCTATCACTGATCCGGTCGTTTGAATTCGTAGATGTCGAGCATGAGAAGGTCATCGAACTCGATATCAGGCCACATGGGAAGATCCGATATCACTTCAAGATGAGGAAACTTCCCAGCAAGGAAGTCACGCGTCGTAATCGTGACCCTAGCTTGCGTCTTGGTGGCTTTGTCAACCAGTATGCAATTACTCTGGATCGATTCAACAAGTACGTTTCTGCACTGGCGTTGGGCATGCCAGATCTTCATTCAGATGACTACTTCGAGCTCAAGAATCATGTGGCAGACCGCATCCTAACGACCATCGACAAGGAAATCTTGAGAGCAAGTGAGCGGAGAGCACGCTATGGCGTCGTCGAGTACAAATGGCCGTCAGGTCGTAGTATATTCTTCCCAGGTGAGCTCTCAGTCGAAGACTGGGAGCTGCTTCAGAGGGAGTGGGAAACAGCCCAAGGCTTCTCCGTCATGGGTCTCAGAGCTCTGATATATGCTCTTTACTCTCGGTATTTCTGGTTGAACTTTTTTGTTTGGAGCTCGTGGTGAGGTCTAAGAGCAGACACCACTACAGACTGAGTAGCGTACGAGCGGAACGGAATGGCGAGACGACTCGATGGTTCAAGCCGAATGGTTCGATGAGGGATGTCTCGGCAAAGGTTCGGATCGGGTTCGCAGAAGGAGCATATACCACATCACTAGTTTAACTTGGCAGCCGTCTGACACTCTTCTTATTGCCAATGCAGGCGTTGAGTGATACGTAAGGCCTACAAAGTATACAGACAAGGTATACAGCAATGACGTTGGGTGATTATACTTTTCTGTCTTGACGGTACCTTTCACAGCGATGCCCCCTTCTGGGGTCTCGGCCCAAACTTCATACTTCAGGTCATCAGCTTTCCTTCCGCAGATCTTCAGCGGATCGTAGGCATAGAGCGGTGCTAGGTTCCTGTATTCGACTGACTTGATGTGCTCGTGACCTCCCTCTTTNGCCAGCTGTTGTTGTAGAATTGTCAACATGAGTGTAAACGAAAGAGGGCCATGGACCAGTAAGTGTTTGTGGCCTTCGACGTTCTGACAATACTGTGGATCCAGGTGGATGGAGTGAGCATTGAATGTCAATGCGCTGTATCGGAAAAGTAATTGAGCATCTGGGCGGAGACTATGGTGGAAGTCAGGTTGGTGTTGGGGTTTCAACATCTTGCCAGGCTTNTTGGCAGCAGCAACCGCCTCTTTTGCTTGTTCTGAGGTTCTCTCGCGCATAAAGACAATATTGCGGCGTTCAATGATGTTTGCAGGTCCAAACTCGATGTCTGATGGCATCCACAACCTCTGCCTGATAGTTTCTTCTAACTCAAGTATTTTGTCTAGTTGGCCGTTGGCATCTGCCATAGCCTTCTCCTCGTCTTTGTTCAAAGCGGCAATGCGGCGTTCGATGCCGACAAAGACTTTCTCGTCCCCAGGCTTGCCTTTGACAGCAACGTCGCGAATACTTTCGAGGCATACTGCACGACTATTGTCCATAAGCAAAGGCTTCTTTGTGTCGAACAAGACACTGCCACCAGCCCACATGCGGCGGACAAAGGGGTCGCCAGGCGAATGATCTGGATTGGTACCATCGGGAAGCAAGTCTGAAGGAGGTTTTGTGGGTTCGAAGTATAGTAGATGGTGAGGAATTGGCATCGGTAGGGGCTGGTTTGGTGCTGGGGGTGTGNNGAGTGGAGCGCTGCAACATGTTGTTAGCAAGGTTTCAAACACAAGTTCTGGAGCATGATCAACTTACCTTGCGTTTGGCAAGAAGTCGGCCAGCGAGACATTGAGTCTGAACGAGTTCTGGGACGTCAAGTCATCGAAGACTGGCCGAATCTTCCTCGCCGTCATGCCTGCCTCAAGGTGCGAATATGAGGACTGCCATCTTCGTTGACCACAGCCTAGTCTCAAGGAGCTTGGCCGTATCGCTCTTGCGCAGGCCATCCTCGTTACAAACCAGATCTGCTGCTCGTCTATTATCGAACAGCTACTGCTTTGACTGTTATATATTGTCGTCGGCAACTCGAGTCCAAGGCCGAGTCGGCATCGAGGAAGCTTTCCCCGCCCCCACCTTTCTGTTCTCGGCCCGTGTCTTCCGGCGCGTCATCTTCTCCTTGCATCAACACTCTTTCCTCAGATAATCTGGTCTTGAGGCGCCAAATACGTGTCTGATGGATTCTTTGTATGGCTAGTGATAGGTGTATGGCGCACTCGAGGTGAATCTGAGCATAGTCCACCCACCTGACCTCATGGCTACATCCTCGAAGTGCATCAAGGCTTGAGAGAGAAGTCATGGGTATGTGCTCCCTTCAGGTAATCGTAACCGTCTTCTACCCATTCAACGCATGGCATCAAACTTCCCCAGTCGATTATTCCCTCAAGACTTCTTGGAAGGATCACTTTGGTGTCATTTCGGTACCACTTTGGGAATTGCACTGTCACAACCATCACCCGCGGCTCGTCTGTCTGATTTGGCATGCCAGCGTGCCAAAGTCGGAAGTCTCGAATGATCAACGACCCCTTGGGCAGCGTGGGCTGTATTGGTGGGCTGATCTTACGTCTCGCTTCAACAAGGTCGGGTCGTACGCGATACTCCTCCGGGTCAAGGACGTCTATGTTCGTCTGAGCATGGGTGCCCAACCAGATCTCAGTCGATCCGTTCTTTGACGATGTATCGACAAGGTTGATGTTGATACAATAACCGAAAGGTACCTTTGGCATGTCAAAGTCGACGTCAATATGGACTGGTTGACGACCTTTAGCTTTGAAAGCTGTATTCGCGCTGAAGAAACGTAGCATTGGATTCGGTCCAATCATGCATTCCACGACCTCCGTAGCCCAAGGGTTCGCAATTATGTCTTCGAAGATAAAATCTTTGTCGACTGGCGGTTCTTGCTGAATATTGCCTGTGGAAGCTCCGAAATTACGAGCAGTCGTCTTCTGCTTGTACAAGACCTTGGCTTCAGCTACCATACGCTCGTTCAGCTTGTCCAAATGAGCCACATCGACTGCATTCTTCAGCACCACCAAGCCATCGACATGGAGTGCTTCGACTGCAGCTTGCAAAGTGTGGGAGTTTAGCTTCTTACACGCCAACTCCTCTCGAGACAACTCAAGGATCTTGACTTGAGGGGGTATGGATGACATTCTAAGGGCAGCGATGGTGTTGATCCTAGGTAAGTTCGACTTCTGTGGGCGGCCCAAATATATAACTGGATCCTGCAGTCAGACATGCATACCTCAAGAGGAAGGTCCAGCAGCGCCTATCATTGCCTGATATGCTCTAGTCACACCCCACTCACAATGATAAGATACAACATCATCGGTCGTCCAGATTGTTATGCACACATCACTTCTAGGTAGGTTGTGCAAACATGTTCTTACTCGATATCATCCTGTCATGATGTGGATACGAGCCAAGAGTTGTAAGGTAGTGCCAAGATGGCTGAAAACACCGCCTCTTGCTGACCAACTTGGACGATGTACCACTCTGATATCTTTGTACCCATCTTGAAGTGGAAGATAATCGCGCCGAGTATTGTTCTGATTTGGAACGGCACGACCAGTCATGAAATCTGAAACATCTGTTCGGCATACAGAAATCGAGCACTCACTCGGATTTTGGCAAGCAGCTAAACTATACTATCCGGCAGCATTATGGGTTCTCTATGTGAACCTTGCAACTGTACTCAAGGGTATGGATGGGGGTATCACTGGTAGTCTTATCGGTCTCGGCCCCTTCAAANAGACCTATGGACATCCTTATAACGATACCTATGTTGTTCCAGCTGCTTGGGTTAGTGCTTTCGGCTACGCGAATAACATCGGTGGTGTTTGTGGTGCTCTATTCTCTGGTGTTATCTACGAAAGATGGGGTCCTCGAAAGATGATCGCAGCGTGCTCCCNNCTTGGATCGATTGGTGTCATCTTCATACAGTTCTTCAGTACTACACCTGCACAACTGTTTGTGGGCCAACTACTCAATGGTGCGATCATCAGTTTCTTTCCTATCTGTGCATCAGCATACACGGGCGAGGTGTGTCCTCTTGCTTTGAGGGGCGTGATGGCTTCTTTAACAAACCTTGCATTCAGTAAGTAGCTGACCTAGAGGGACTGAATCCTATGCTGATAATGTGCAGTCTGCGGTAAACTCATCTCCTCAGGAATCATGAAGGGAACAAACTCGATCGAGACTTCTTGGGCTTACAGGATCCCTATCGCTACACAGTGGACTCTTCCAGTGGTCATGCTATCCTTGGTATACTTCTGTCCAGATCCTCCCTACTGGCTGTGCCGCAAAGGACGACACGAAGATGCCGCACGATCACTCAAACGCTTTGCGACCAACGAAGTCGATACCACGCTTACCCTGGCCAACGTCATGGAGACTCTGCGTTTGGAAGAGTCGTCAAAGCAAGATCGTGCAAGCTATCTAGATTGCTTCCGTGGCACCGATCTCAGACGTTTGGTCATCTGCGTGATGGCATACGACATGCAAGCCTTCACAGGCAACATGTTATTCATCAGTTATGCAGTCTACTTCTTCGAGATGGCCGGTTTGGACTCAGCAAATGCATTCTCTATGAACCTTGGTCTGACGGCTCTTGGGTTTCTCGGAACTTGTGCTGCTTGGCCTCTGTTGTTCTATGTTGGAAGGCGCCCAGCATATCTGTTCGGCACAATTGGTCTTGCTACGATCATGTTCCTCATTGGAGCCATTGATTTCGCACCAAGATCAACCTCCGCACCTACCTGGGCACAGTGTTCGTTGATGCTACTGGCGAACTTGATCTACGATACGACTATCGGGCCTTTCTGCTATGTCATGCTTGCCGAGGTGCCATCAGCAAGACTTCGTGGTCTCACCATCGCCTTGGCTACAGTCTCTGTTCAAGTCATGTCTATCGTGTTTGCCGTTGCGATACCTTACGCCATGAATGAGGACGAAGGCAATTGGCGAGGCAAAGTGGGTTTCTTGTTCGCTGGGCTTGGGCTCTTGTGTGCACTCTACTGCTACTTCTTCATGCCTGAGACAAAAGACAGAACCTTTGAAGAACTCGACATACTGTTCGAGCAAAAGGTTCCGAGCAGAGAGTTCCGTGCATATAAGTTTGATGCGGAGACGGAGAGCTCTGAGACTGTGTTTGTGGAAAAGTCAAATGTTTAAAAGGAGGTTGTCAATTTGTCATATCGACAAACTAATACATGTTTGAAGAGTCTCGGTCAGTCTCACATACGTGCAATGCTCGTCTTGTATTTGCCCTTGTTTGCTGTGCATGTTCAGTGAATGTGTTTAGAGCTCAGTACCCAATGTTGTCTCGGGAAAGGTGAGGATCTTATACTTCACTTTCATTCAATGAATCAAACCTCCCTCCATTTATAGTGACTGCGTCTCGTCACAACACATCTAGCCAAGTTCTTATAACTTTTTACTCTGCGTCCAATCAACTGGACACCTTTTGTCGTCTCAACATCCATTATCGCCGACTTTCATCCTCTTCTGTCATTCAAATCACTTCATCATGCCAGTCACGATAGATGACCTCCCCAACGAATTGCTTCTGGAGGTCCTGCAGCACTTCGACTATCATGACCTCAAAAAGTACAAGCGCATCAATAAAACCTTCATCGCCATCATCAAACACACCACTTTCGACAAAGTTCTGTTCCGCTCTGCAACTGTCGTCGGCAAGGAGGAACGCTTGGACTGGAACACTTTGACTCTCCATCCTGCCCTCAGAACAAAACTCTCTGGCTCACTCGATCTTGCCAAAGTTCCTAGCCTTTTGCTCACAGGTGAAACTCTCAATGAGCAAGCCACTTCTCCACCAGTCGAGTTCCTATGTATCAAACTCTTCGTGGTTTTGACGCGTTGCTCGGTATCAAAGCAATTCGAGATTGAGAATCCGCGCGGTGTCACTCTTCGACAGCTCTGCGAGAAGATGTGCCGCATTCATGCTCAGCATGGCATCTCTCTACATCTTGTGGACCCTGATGATACCTACCGTTTCAAGTTCTGGGACTGGAGCTACATCAAGCTGGCACAGGATTGCGCTCCACGTGATCTTCTCCTGACAGGCGCTTGCCAGGCAAACTGATCTCATGCTCACTGCTGGTCACCTTCGTCCTAGAGTGAAATCTGTGTTCTCGATCTCATATGGACATTGTGGCGGAAGTCATACCAGCAACAACGATAGAAAGTGCTGCACGCAACAGGAAAAGCATGTGCTACGGCGTGGTTGAGCGGTCCGCAATTTGCGTTTGCTCGCCCTCTTCTCTTCACTACCTTTTCCGTTGTTGGCTTCTAGCTTTGTTTTTCGGTTCATTGCTCTATACCCTCCGTCAGTTCGAACGGGCAAGAAGACATAACAGCAGTTACCACTTCAACTGCTGCACACATGTTCGTCAGCTCTTATTCGCTTAGCCTTCTTTACCTCCAATACAAATTCCCCTTGCTCAAGCATCTTCAGCTCAAGCCACTATCGTCTCTCATGTCGCTTGACATTAGATCGGTTCAGTCGTCACGGTGCGTTATGTGGTTCTCCATGGCTTGATCTTGACTCCAGGGGATGGTCAGTAATGTGTTCCAAAAGACGCAATCAAGGGTAGAAAATGGTGGCCATGAAATAGTTTCGATTCTTTTCTCGTTCTGTTCTGTTCTTTTCTGCTTTTCTTTTCTCAACATACTAGCCATGGCCACTTAAGTAACAACAAAAAATCAAAGAGGAAATACGCCGTAATAATATCAATTTTTCTCCGAGAACATTTCATGATCACCCGTGTCTGTTGGACATGCGTCAATGTTGGACTCAACTTTGACGAGTCTTCCAAGATCCTTTGCCTTCAAGCTGGACGAGAGGAGGGAGATTGTCGTCGCTGCTCAGTTGTTTTGCAACTGGGCCCTCAGTGGGCTCGGCGCAGCGGGCTTTCTCGTCAGGCTCTGGTGAACCTTGAAGATGGACTTTTGTGCGACGAATGACCGAGGAGTGGATGACTATGCAGTTGTTAGTTGGTCTTGTTCGCGAGCAGATATATTTCTTGGATACACACCTGTACCTCTTGTTGTACGCTTGCTGGCGAAGTACCAGGATGAAGCTCGTAGTGATTCGAGGCAACTCCAACGTCCTTCTTTTCCGCCAGACTCGGGTCAGCGCTGTCAAAGCGCTGTGCGCGAGAGCCGTCAATCCGGAGACTGGAGCGGCGTCCTCGCCCTTTGCGAGGGCTTCAAATTGTCAATCGTCGTAGAACTCATCATCAGACTCGTCAACCTCAGCAAGCTGTTCAAAGTTGAGCTTGTAGCGCAGCATGGCACCAATACCACCGAAACCCTTGACGAACTGGTTACCCTCAGAAGAACGGTCCGAGACGAACTCAAGGTTGGCACCAAAGTCGCGATACTTCTCGGCCAGCCACTCGAGGAGGGAAATCTGCTCGATGATTTCCATCTCTTGGCCAGTCTCCTTGTCCATGAACTGACTGCGGTCGGACTCCTGTTCCTTGTTGGTGTGGAGGATGATTTCGCCGCCTGAAGAGGCCTTGAGGGTCCAGCGGGTGACTTCCAAGTTTTCGAAGACAATCAAAGTCTCGGCAGCACCAGCGTCCAGAGCACGAAGGGTATCTTCAACACCGTAGCAAACCTTGCCGGAGTCCAGAGAAATCTCGTCGAAGTATGCGTTGATGAGCTTCTTCTCCTGGATGAACTTGACGTTGCCGAGGGTCTCGGAAGAGAGTTCGATAGCCTGGTTGAAACCGTTCTCACCACCGTAAGAAACATCCACGACCTTGACGACCTTGGCAGACAGACGCTGGTCGAAGAGATCAGACTGGTTGAGGTCGTTCTTGAAATCGGCAGAACCAGCAAGAATGAGACCAGCAACGTTGACCTTGTTGTCGGTGATGAAGTTCTGGACGGCATGTTCTGCGACCTTGCGGACGTAGTTGTGGCGCTTCTCCTCACGCAGACGAGCGAAACGCAGGGCAGACTGACCACCACGACCGTGCTTCTTGGGAAGATCGACCGAGAACTTTTGGCGAATCTCACGGGTGTTTCCAGAGAGAGTACCGAAGAGGGCACCGTTACCATCCATGATGATGAAACCGAAAGCCTGGTCAGACTCTAGCAGCTCACTTAGAGCCTCGGTGTGGAACTTGTTGTCGCAGAGGTACAAGGAGGTGTTGATGGGCTTGAAGGGCTCAAAGTCGATGTTGATCTTTCTCTCTTTTCCTTCGGCAGTGATGATTTCACCACAGTAGACAACGAGACCGTTCGGGGGGACCTTGTTGTAGAGCTTGAGACGCTGTTGAGTCGAGGTAATGGCTGACAGGACGGAAAGACGGTTGACACGAGACTTGATGTTACTGGCAGTTCCGTACTCTTCAGCCAACATCTTTGCGACTCGGGAAATCTGATCCTTGGGGGCTGTGGGAGCGAGTCAGCAGCTGTGGGCTGGTGGTGGTGGTGGCTGCTAGGAGCATGTCGACAATCACGTACGGATGATGAGCGAAATCATGGAGGTTCCGTTACCACGGGCCTGTTCCAGGCGCTTGATGAGCTTCTTGACCTTCCATATTTCGATGTTCTTCTCGGCCTCGTTCGCCTGCTGCTGTTCACTCATTTTGGCGGGGCGTCTGTTGTGCGAGCTTGCTGGGATCAAGGACTGCGGGGAGGCTTGTCAGTCGATATTCAGACACTTTTTTCCAGGGTGCGGAGGGGCCCGAGGGACGGTCGCACCAGCGCCGACGGGTGCAGGGAAGAGGGAAATGATGCAGGACGGTTGGCGAGGAGTAATTCGCGCAATAAGTAGATACTTACAAGCTCTGCGCCGAGAGTGGGTGGATGGAAGGGAAAGGACGGTGTCGCGGTCACACGTCGAGTTTGCGGTGAGAGGAAGGTGTTGAGAGGCCGCAGCGGCGTTCTCAGGACTTCGCGTGAATGTGCGTTGCGTCACAGGCCAAGTCGCTCTTTCCTTCACGGCGCGCGCGCTTGCCTCTCCGCCTGCAGTGCTGCTCGCTCGCCTATGTCTTTTGGCCTGCGACATGTCCGTCACCTTGCAGCGAATTTTCTAGTTGCATATTAAAGACTCGATTGACGAGACAATTTATGAACATCTCTGAGACGTATCAGGCTCATATTCTTATACACTGTTTGAGAGTTTACAGTCTGCATGGATCAGACATGAGTGCGCATCTCGAAAACCATGTCTCCTATTCAATGGTCAAAAGTCCTTTCCCGATTCCATTCGGATCCTCCCTTCTCCACATCCACGAACGCCAGCAACAAACTCAGTTGGTGTTGCGATTAGGTAAAATGTTTCGACAAGTCCACCCAGTGATCATCTAGTAAACAAATCCCCTTCTCATAGCGTGCCTTTCTCACCGCAATCCAGCGAGAGTCCAGTACCTGCCACAAACTACCGCTAGGACGTGCTTTCCTGCGCCTAATACAACGCTGTAAAATCTTTCGATCGCTCCGATCTAGACAGACCAGTATCTAGCCGCACGGCACATCCTGTACAAAACCCTGACGCCCTCTCCCTTGACATTTTTGACTACAGATAAGACCTGCGTCCATGTTTCTCCTATATCTGTCCCTGTAGCACTCTTCTGTACCCTCGCCAACTTTTGCCCCTTCTGTTCCTCCATCTTCCGTGCCTCGACACTAAACCGCCTTCAACCGTGCGAGCCACCATCTGTCTCTTCCTTGCGACTTTGCGCACGCGATCTCTTTCCTTGTTCCTGCTTGACAGCATAACTGCAGTCCAGCATGCCGGCCGACAGAGCGCCCATCCCGTCCAATTGGACCGAATATGAAAGAGGTGGACGTCGTGGCTCGTCCGAGACTTTGGAAAGCCATGTTCAGTGGGGTGCAGACGTCCACGATGCTCCTGAGCATGCTGCTGGGTCGCCAGATGCTCACCACACCCAGACACTGCGGCATAGGAGGTGCGCCATCTTCGTCCCTTACGCTTTTCATCTGCTGACTCGGCATATCTNNAGGTCGTCAATGTCCATGAAGATCAACACTTTGCGCCAAGCTGGCGGCGTCAACAGTATCGACAACTTTGCAAGATCATGGCAGCGTGCAGCTGGCTTTTACGAAATCGCACCCGTCAGACCATCATTCCGCGTGTCCGAGACCGATGAAGAGAGTGTAAGAGCTTCGGACGATTACGAGAGGCAGGACATTGCAACCTCATTCGGAGAGCAANGGGGTCTCCTTAGACAGGCGCTGGCAGATGGGCGCAAGCTGTCTGATAATGCTATCTCGGATGCTGGAGAGCCCTCTGAGGCAGGTACCATTCGCGGTCGTGCTCAGCAGGACGACAGCATTTTCCAAGTTGAGCCTTCATTGACGACCCCTTTCAGCGGCAGCTATGGGACAAACTATGGAAGTCTGTCATCCAGAGTCAACGAGTCGTCGATGCGCCATGCTGGACGCCTCTTCCAGAAGCAGCAGATGTCAGGCGTCAATGACCCGGACAAGGAGCGAGAGCCTCTGCTCGTCAAGCAGGTCGAGGAAGACGACGGCAAGATTGTGAACGTCGTAGTTGGCCAGTCCACGTTGCCTCAGACTATCTTCAACTCCGTCAATGTCCTGATCGGCGTTGGTCTCCTTGCACTGCCGCTGGCTATGAAATACTCTGGTTGGGTCTGCGGTCTGGTGTTCTTCGCTTTCGCTGCCGCTTCCACACGCTACACTGCTAAGCTTCTGGCCAAATGCCTCGATGTCGACAACTCTCTGATCACTTTCGCTGATCTTGCCTATGTTTCGTTTGGCTCCAAGGCTCGCATTGCGACAAGTCTCCTTNTCAGTCTGGAATTGGTTGCCACCTGTGTTGCGCTTGTGGTTCTTNTTGCCGACAGTCTCAATGCTTTGATTCCTGGTTGGGGCCTCATGGAGTGGAAAATTGTCTGCGGCTTTATCCTGATCCCCCTGTCCTTCTTGCCTCTGAGGCTGCTGAGTTTTACCAGTATCCTCGGTATTGTGTCTTGCTTCGGTATCGTCCTCTGCGTTGTTATTGATGGATTCGTCAAGCCGCATACTCCTGGTTCTCTTCGCGAGCCTGCAAAGACTTACCTCTTCCCCGAGAATTGGGCAACACTCCCCCTGAGTCTTGGTCTCCTCATGTCACCTTGGGGAGGTCATAGTGTGTTCCCCAACATCTACCGCGATATGAGACACCCTTACAAGTACAACCGCGGTCTGAACATCACCTACGCCTTCACTGCCACTCTTGATCTTTTCATGGCCGTTGTGGGGCTTCTCATGTTTGGCGATGCTGTCAAAGATGAAATCTCCAGCAATATCCTTGCCGACGATGGATACCCTCAATGGTTGTCTGTCATTATCGTTGTTTGCGTGGCCATGATCCCCCTGGCTAAAATCCCTCTGAACGCACGCCCCATCGTCAGCACTTTGGAGATTCTCCTTGGTTTGGACGCCCGTGCAGTCAGCAACTCTACCTCGCTCCACGGCATGTCTGGTCTCAACCGCGGCATCCTCAAGGCTACAATCCGCATCCTCTGCACAGTTGTCTTCGTGGTCTTGGGTATCCTCGTCCCTGAATTCGACCGTATCATGAGTCTGCTGGGCTCCGTCGCTTGTTTCACTATCTGCATCATCCTCCCACTCGCCTTCCACCTCAAGATCTTTGGCGACTCCATCCCTCGATCTGAGAGAATTATGAACTGGGTGCTGATCGTCATCTCGACTATCCTTGCAATTGTTGGAACCGTATTCAACTTCATTCCCAGATCGGTTTTGGGCATTGAAGAGTAGGGTTTGGTTATGACACTTCCACTTTTGGATGCATGAAGTTATGATCCTTTGTGTCTTGATTCCTGTATGTTTTCTTATATTGTACATCACAAACCGACAGTTGTTAATGCTCGCTGTTTCATAGCAATGGCGCTGGCTTCTTTGTTGTAATATCTCCGGTTAGTTCTGCAGATTCGTAGCGCTTTGTACATACATCTTGCTTTTGAACTAAGTCTAGGCTTCCACAGCGCTTCTTGAGATATCTCGCAGACTCGTAGTATGTCAGACCTGCAATCGAACGGACCAATGGATGGTTCATCATCTTGATCGCAACTTCATGATTGATACAGAACCCCTGGAGATATGTCAAGCTCCGCGAGACTCCCCTTGTGGCGCAAGAAGGCCAAGGCCAGATCCAAATCGACCCTTTCGCTGAACGGTTCGACTCAACCCAAACACGCACAACATGCGTGGAGAACACGCGAGATATCGCCGATCCCACGTCAAAAGAAGAAAGTTTCAACTTCCACTATGCCGATCACCTGTACAATCCTCGAACCTCAAGTCTGTCGCTCTTCTCCCCGGACAATTATTTTAACGCAGTTCTTGCTCTATTATGTGCTTCCTCTATCCAAACGATGAGGAAAGACTGCAGGAGTTGCTGATACTATCTGGAAGTGCACTCTCCAGACTTGAGCCCACTGATACTACCAAGCTCTGGCAAGCATTTGGGACTGACTTCCGAGGCAGACAAGGCGACTCACCCCACACCTTGAGGCTTAACCTTTTCTTGGATGTGGGTAGACGCGGGGTAAGAGAGTATGGGGATACCTGCATGGGGTGTTACCATGTACTTCCTGAAGGCAATTGCCGATTGATCAATGATGCGGCTGGATAAGTTAAATGCCCTGGATCCGCAGTTCCCAGCAGCTAGGATCATTTCGTCCTTCGTTGCGTTGTCTCCTTGATTGCCTTGTTCCTTTGCTTGTCCTTTTAACTTTATTTGTTCAAGATGGCTACTATCGAGAAGAACGACCTTGATGACAGCAAGCTCGAGTATGTTGAGGACCTCGAGAAGACAAACACCACTTGGGACGATAGACCAACTCTTGATCCTGAGCTGGACAGACGCATCACGCGAAAGTTCGACACACATGGTGAGCATATATCTCTTTCCATTGATTCGCATTAGTGTACTAACACTTTCTCTACAGTGGTCCCCTGGTTGTTCGGTCTCTGGCTACTAGCCTTCATCGATCGTAGCAACATCGGCAATGCTCGTATTGATGGCCTCGCTACCGACCTCAAACTTAATGGAGACACGTTCAACATTGCATTGGCTGTCTTCTACGTACCCTACATCATGGTCGATGTGCCGTCCAATCTGGTCTTAAAGTACTTCCAGGCAGGCTATTACCTCCCCGCACTCATCATCGGATGGGGATTGGTCGGAATGGGCATGGGCTTTGTCAAGAGCTATACTGGACTTATCGTTACACGTTTCTTCTTAGGACTTATGGAAGGTGGTCTATTGGTACGAGTCCTCGTGTGCAGGTCTCAGAGGTGACAGTGACTGACATCTTACAGGGCGGCATGATCATCTATCTAGCAATGTTTTACCGCCGCCACCAACTTATGTTCCGCATTGGACTTTTTTACTGTGCAGCTCCCTTAAGTGGCGCGTTTGGTATGTATAAATCCAAGGTATAGACATTACGACTATTGCTGGCGCCTTGCCTCAGTCTCTACCGAATGTGTGCTCCTGTTATGTGTAGTGGAACACCATTCGGGCCAGCATTCGGCAGAGTTGGGCGCATCTCTCCAACGAAGTTTGTGGTGACATTGCCGTATGTCCTTGAGAGATCCTGCTAATTTTGCCTTCATCTTAGGTGGTTTGCTTGCTACCGGTCTTGCCAGGATCCACACCAAAGATTACAAAGGATGGCCATTTATCTTCTTCGTGGAAGGAGGCTTCACAGTTCTCTTTGGTATCCTCACAATATTCTTCTTGCCACATACGCCAGCCGAGTCGAAGTTCTTGACCGAAGAAGAGAAGGCTGGTGCTGCTTTGCGTATGCATCTAGATTCACATGGATCCGATGCTGCTGACGATGTGAAAAACGAGAAGTTCAGTAAGTGCATTTGAGTATCGCCGAAGCTCTCAAACAGTAATCTGACCTCGATAGGCTGGCATTGGGTCCGCATGGCCTTCTTGAACTGGAATACCGTCCTCCTCTCTTTGAACTTCTTCGCCATCATTACACCTATCTACTCGTACTCGTTGTTCCTGCCGACCATCATCAAGAGCTTGGGATACAAGGCAGTGCACGCCCAACTTCTGACTGTGCCTCCAAACGTCGGAGCGTTCCTGAGCGTGCTTCTCGTTACCTGGCTGTCGGATAAGTACCGTATGCGTGGACCCTTCATGCTGGCTGGCTGTATTGTAGCAGTTGGTGGATATATCATGCTCATCTCCAGCAACCACCATACGATTCAGTATGGTGGGACCTTTCTGGTTGCTGCAGGCATCTTCCCTTGCAGCCCGCTCGTTATGGGATGGCTGGCCAACAACTTGGCTCCTCATTACGTTCGCGCTACTGGCACCGGTGCCCAGATAATGATTGCAAACTGTGCTGCTTTCATTGCCACGTTCACTTATCTTTCAAAGGATGCGTAAGTTACTTGATTTTCTTTCCTGAGCTCAGATACTAATATTTCTAACAGTCCTCGCTACATCACTGGTCATGCTATCAACATTGGAATGTTGTGTTTGTCTTTGATCATCACCTCCTGTATGTTGGTTTACTGCAGCTGGGAGAACAAGAAGAGAGCAGCCGGTAAACGTGATTACAGATTGGCAGAGGGAGATGAGTCAATGCTTGGCTACAAGCATCCGTCATTCAGGTACACCTTGTAGATAACCATTAACATGCACGATTACTTTTCAGGTATAAGCGTGGTCACAGAAATATCATGGAAGATTGGATAAAGTTCGTTCTGCGAGAGCGCCAGAGCGGACGTTACATGGAATCGGTGGAATTTCGGCTCCATGCCATGCCATGCCACTACTTCTAGCTAATATTCCATTCCATGTCAATTATCTAGTGGAATAATGCCAATTCCAACTCCGTCGTCGTCGTCGTAGTCACCCTGTCCTTCTTCTAGGTCACCCTGTCCTTTAACGTCATCCTCTAGCTCTTCTACGTAATCTTCCGGTCCTTCGTTGGTAGTAATTAGTAGGTCAACCTTGTCAAAACAAAGGTTCTTCTACTAGCTCTTAAGGCACTTAATATAGCTAAGATTATTAGTAGAGAGGCTTACTCGGTCCTATAATAGTGTCCTTCTATAGCTACTAAACACCCTCTCTAACTTAGTAGATATTAGATTAATTAAGAGGATATTAATAGCTATCTAAGAGAGGTTTAGATAGTTATGTTACTACGTTAGCTTAAGCTACCACTATATAGCATTATTAACGAGTACTAGAGGACTCTTAGTAAACTAGATAAACTCCTTAGGTATAGTAACTAAGTTTATAAACCGTATAGAAGCCTACTACTTAGCTAGCTAATTCGACTCCTCTTTATTTAATAATGGTGCTATTATAATAGGCTTAGTCTTATTCTTATATTTAGTAGTCTATAAAGCGCGTATAGTAGTAATAGCTAGTGTTCGCTATAACGGAGGCTAGTATTATTTAATATAGTTCTCGCGATAAGTTAGATAGAGGAGGAGCGCTACTATATAGGTAGGAGTATAGTTATTAATAGCTTACTACTTATTAAGTATAAATTAGCTAGTTCGGATTACGGTAATAAGGGCTTAGTCGGTAGAAGTATCTTATTATATATACTTTTTATAGTGCTTACGTAAGAAGTCCATTAATATAAGCACTTAATTAAGAGTTACGTTATTGCCTTTATATAGCTTTATTACCTCCTATAATGGTTCTATAAAGTTAATAAGCGCTTTAAGAAACTACTAGTAGCGCCGCTAAAGAGTAGTATACTCTATATACTCGTTAGCCGACTAAATAGCACGTATAGTTACTCGAGACTAAATCCCTCGCTTAATTATAGCTAGCTAGCTATTCTACCTTATAGTATTATTAAGCATAGGAGATACACTAGTAGCTACCTTAAACTTACGACGACGGCGAGCTAACCTTATAATCTACTCGAAAAACTAACGGAGGTAGTCGAGAGCTTTATAATTAGTAAGGCTAGTACCTTAAGCGAGCGTTAAGATAGCTTTTAAGGGATCTTAACTCTAATTAATTATAGTAGCTATAGTGTCTATTAAGCTCGCTAATATAAGTGCTTAACTAGTAAGATTAATCTAGTGTCTAAAGTAGCGAGTTCGATGTTATATAGGGTCCTAATCGATAGATAGACGCTCGCTAAATAGAGTAGTAAGGTAGCTTATTATAGTATCGTTATAAGTAGCATTATTAGAGGTAATATATCCGATCTTCTACTCGATGCTATAGGTAATAATAGTATTAAAGAATAGAGGAGCATATTAAGCACTAGCATAGCTAGCTAATAGCTTATAGAGAGCTAGTAGTGCCTTACTTAACTTACCGTCTAAGTCGACAAATCGAGCTATAATACTAAGTAGCTTATAGCTACTATAATTAGCTATCTAAGTATCGTAGGTAAAGTGGATTAATAATCGAGATGTTATAAGTAGTGCCTTAAGCTACTCTTAATAGAAGTCGTGCTCCTTCTTAACGTGTTTAGCGATAGTAGAATAACTCTTAATTAAGAGCTTTAAGGCGCTAGGAAGCACCTTATTAAGTAGCGTATAGAGTAGAGGATTACTAGTAGTACGGAAGGGGATGTTACTTAAGGTAATATAATCGATAAGACGTCGATTTAAGCGAGTTTTGTCGATATCGGTAATAGTATATAATGTCTAAGAGGGTATTACTACTACTAGCATCTTTAAAAGTGTACTAGTTACCTATCTCTAGCTATGTCTCTTCTTAAGGTATAATCTAATATTATTATAGTTAGTAGTGTTATAGTTACGAGGATAGTCTCTATTACTATAGAAGTAGTACTAGATCTTCTTCTTACGCTTACGCTCGCGCTCTCTAGGACGACGAGCTCTAGTATAAGACTAGAGCTCTTTAGAATCGCTACGAGTAGGAGCTAGTTTTCGAGAGCGCTATATTAACGTACATTTAGAGTTATTAATGTAGTTGCTAGCGGTTATTAGCGTTAGTCGTCGTCGCTTTAAAGAAGGAAATAATAGCTAGTCGATATTAGAGGCGCTATCGTTAGTCTTAGAGTTATTACCTTTAATAAAGATACTATCTAATTAACTCTAAGGAGCGAAGAGTCTAGGCCTTAGAGTATTAGAGGCGAATTTAAAGAGGGTACTCTATTTAGAGGCGTATAGCGGCTAGCTCTAAGATAATCGAGAGTTTAGTTAGCTTTATAGCTCTTATAACTTATACTCTTAATTAGCTAGTAAATACATAATATAAGGATTATAATTAAAGGTAGATTATGTGCTTATAAAGATAGAAAGATAATAAAGAGCTAGGCTCTAATATTAAGTAAGAAGGTAGAGGATAGGATAGTTAATAAATTAAGAGGGAGTAGTTAAGACGCGTCGAAAAGGACGCGCGAGGCTTCGCGTAAGCTAATAAAGAATTAGCTAGTCGGAGCTCGCGATCTAATCTCCGAGATAAGATCTAGCTAATTAAAGAGCTTAAATAGGTTACTAATCGGAAAAGGCGTTATAGCAAGTTTTTAAACGCGACTACTATACCTAAGCGTAGTATACTCTAAGCTAAGGCTTACTATTATTAACTATAGTAATACTAGCTATACTAAGTGGTGGAATGGTAGAATATTCTACTTAAATTAACGATTCTATTCCATGCTAACTAGGTGGAATATTCTACCTTAAATCAGTGGAATATTCCAATATTCCACTTATTCCATGCTATTTAACGTCCGCACTGCCTCAGAGCGCCCATGTCTTTTGTTGGCTGTGTAACCCTGACACGCCTTTCCTCTCTGGCGATTGAAGCCTCCAGACCTCGCAGGCGGTCTATGTTTGGCTGTACAAGCACTGGAGATAGTAGTATGGCCATTAAGATCACCAAGCTATGATAACATGTTGTTGCAAACCGTGGTGTGTTGTTTTTAGAAAAGATAGTTTGTTCCTAGTGTTCTATGATCACAATACCGAAAGTCATCCTGCCCACAGCCTGAAAATATCTTACCGTCATTATTTTCTATAATAAACACATATTCATCTCGCTCGAGAAGGGCCAGAAGTTGATAGGTTTCAAGTCTGAGCGACTGACATTGTACGACCTTCCGATCAGTCTGGAAGCAAGGTTGTGTCTCTTTGTTGTTGTTTGTGCCTTCCCCGGATTAGGTGCCTGACCAGGTTTTGCCGCGGAGAAGCTTATTTTCGCCAAGTTGGAGGCTCAAGCAGCATCTGTTATCAATCCACAGACCTATCTTATCTTCAGACGACCTCTACTCCTGATATATAAGTCCTATCGCTCTCGGAACTTCTCTACACTCCCTCTCGAACCTCTTCGAATGTCTCTGAACATATCTCTTCCCACTAACTTCGTTGTTGACAATACAGGCTCTCGCCGTGTTTCTCAGTCCCCGCTGCTGCGGCGCAGCGGCTGTTACGTACAGGAAACAAATTGGCATTTCACTTCGACCAAAACGGCCAAGTCGCCATCACCACATGACGAGATGACGTTCCTTCCAGAGTTCTACATCTCCGGAGGATTCATTGAACAAGAACGTCGCCAAAGAAGTGGACAATAGAGAGCGACGTCTTGAATAACACAAAAGCGTCTTGTTCTCGAGGAAGAAACACACCTTCATCATGACGGTAGGTTTGCCTAGGAAAACTGACAGGTAAGAGCGGCGCAATATCCTGCCAAACAGTTGTCGGTTATTGCATCATGTCTTCCGTTTCCAAATGGTGACATGAGACCCCGCAAGCCATTTTCACTCTCCTTGCAATAACCCGAGGGATTTTCGTCAGGCCTGGGAGGTACTTGATCAACTCTAGCTGCTCTCGCGAAGGCCGAACACCCAGTATCATCTACATTGCTTCTCTTGCCTACAATGCATCCACGGATATTGACTGCTCTCGATTATGATATCGACACTCACCTGAATCGCCTTGTTCCCCACTCCCGCATATCGAGGCTACCGAAGCCTATATCGAGGTTTCTAGGTTATCGATCGGAGGAGTACAAAGAGCCACCGCGTTTGGTCGTTGTTNTTTGGTCTTTTCTGGGATCATTACTCGGACTTCTGATCATAGGTGCCCTTTTCAAATACGCTCCGGGTATACGAAAATGGCATCCTCCAATCATGATTGCGAGTTTGGTATGCTGAATTGCTCTGCTAGGCCATCTACAAGGACTGACAGACCACACAGNNGGCGCTTCGGCAATCTTAGATTATAACTCTATCCGGACACCCCTTGCTCAGCCAAGAAACGCGATCTTAGGCCAGACATTCTCGGCCTTGACAGGAGTCATCGTACACAAGCTGTTCCACCTTAACTCGGACTGGGAAGATCTTCAGTGGGTTGCAGGTGCAGTCGCTTGTGCTTGTTGCTCCGCCATTATGGCCACGACAAACACTGTGCATCCTCCAGGAGGCGCAACTGCCGTCCTGGCTACAACCAACGCTGAGATCATCGCTATGGGCTGGATCTTCGTCCCTTTCGTCCTCATGAGCTCAGCGATAATGCTGACACTGGCTTGCCTCATCAACAACATCCAACGAGCATACCCAGTATACTGGTGGACACCAGCAAACCTGAGGACGGAAACCAAAGTCCAAGACCTTGAGAAGGTGTCGACCAACGACAGTGAAAAAGTGCTCTCAGGCCAGTCGATGGCCAGGACTTCGAACGTAGACCCGGATTCTGTTGTTATATCACCACATCACCTCTACATCCCTGACAGCTTCGACCTGGACGGTGACGAGTTGGCTGTACTATCGCGACTACAAGCTCGTCTTCGATGGGACGCTGCTATGGATGAACGACCTCGAGCAAACTCAAATTCAAGCTGAGCGCATCATGAGTTTCCTTACACCCATAATATCTGAGGATACACAACGACCTCGAGTATCTTGACCATTATGACAAGGCTTTCATAGGCCTAGATCTCAAACACGACCGCGGTCGCTTGATGCTTCCTGGCTTGATCCTTCCTGCTGAAGCCAAGATCAGCGAGAACAATTGCTCCACAGCATGTTCGAGTGCCGACATGGTCTGCGAATTTGTAACTTGTATCAGCTACCACCTCTATGGTCACACTGTTGTGTCGACGGCCATCGCGCTGCCGATACCATTGCTGACCTCAAGTCTGATCAATATAACAACAACACTGTTGCTACCATGATAATATGATTTTCCGATCCTCATCCAAAAGGACTGTTTGTGGATACGACATTCTCGATAGAACGTCAGCACCCTGTACGGTGCACAGCGATAACGACTATACGATTCATGCCAGATGGCGCTGGACATCCTTACGATCAATCTTGCTACCTATGTTAAGAACATTTGCATTGTCCCCACGTGGGTGCAACACAACTAAGCTCACTCCACTAGCATCTACAACGTCGCCGATGGCGACTTTCTCGAGATGATATTCAGCATCAAGAGCAAGAAAACAGCTCGAACTCGAGCCAGTTCTTCCCGCCTTAGGCAAGCCAATTACCAGAAACAAGGAACCTAGACTAGGAGATTATAGCTTTCAACGCTTGGTCAATCTGTACAATAATCGTAATCATAACCATCCTCACTCGCAGTCATCGATCCATCTCTTGTGAAAGCATAAGTTGCTTGAGCGTTGCCATATCGTATTCGCGAGATGATAACATGAGTTGGTCTCAGATTGGCTTCTACTGTCGTTAGCATGATGGGAGGATGTGTTACCCGATCAAAAGCTTCAACTTGTTGTTACCACACTGAGCAGACATGACATGATACGGATCAGAACAGTGTTTGTCTACAATCGATATACTATAGTAGCTACAAACACACACTCTGGACTCTAGGACTGTTTTGGACGACAACATTGCTGACCTGATTGACATTCACAAAGAACGAACTATGTTTTTATCTCCTAGCCTATCTATACTTTTCGCACGCCATCATGGTACCCAATCTAACATCTACCTCGTACCACTACCACTTGCAACCCCATCAAGCAACAGTCCCATTACCCGTAACATTACCACTAACATCACAGCCAGTAATACCACTCTTGAGATCAGTCAACCAAACCGCAGAATTAAACTCTCCATAGAAAGTCTTGATCTGCCATTTCTTTGTTCCCTCACCAACGCCAGTGCCATTCTTTTTNGCCTCTTCAACTTCGGCAACAGCGATGCCTTGGACATTGAGGCCAGGAGGTGACAGCACGTATCGGAAGGTAACGGCATTGCAGGAAGACCAGGTGTTGAGGAGTTTGAAGGGGACGCCTGGTTGGGCTTGTTCACCAGCGAGGAAGGAGGCTTTGGAGTCGAAGGTGATTTTGCCGAGCTAGGGATGCAAGTCAGTAAGATAGATAGAGGAAATGAAAGGGAATGGTCTTCTAGTGGGTNNCAAAGACTGTCACAACGTAACCTGAAAATGCACAATACTGTCTTGAAACCAAAGATGTTTCATAGGGGAGAAATCTCCTCTAGGTCACATTTCAAGTGGACCAGCAGTTGTGTCTTCCAGTAGCTTGAGGATTGTCTGTACCTGCAGAAGGCAAGGGGCTGATCTTTAACAAACAGGAAGGAGAGAACTCACATCAGAGGCGATGACATTAGGCGAATGCATCAACGTTGCTACGCTGTCAGATTGATCGGTATAGCCGTCTGCAATCAGAATATCGCCAAAGGAGGTGCTGAAATTGGAGAGGATCTGGCCAAAGCCGTCGGCGATGAGAACAGCATCGGCGGCAGAGATGCAGGATGTACTGTTCGAGGTGGAGTTTGAGAGTTTGGAAGAAGTGGAGTTGAACGGTTGGGCAGCGCAGTGGGCCACAAGAGGACAGAGAACTGTAGCGACGAAGACACGCATGATAGCTGTTTGTTACTGCACAAGGGACAGACTGAATCGAAGGTAATGAATTGATCTGAGAAGGAAAGAGCAAGGGGACATGAAGGATATATATGGAAGGAGCGACTTGAGACTGTGAGCACGAGTATCTCAGCCCTTACTGATTCTGAGAAGAGATGCTGTCGCGGCATCGCGGCTGATTGAGATACAACCGCCAGCGTACCATCTACTTAGCCATTAGCTATGCGAGTAGACCTTGCTGTGCACCTGTGATGATCCGACTTGGCTGTTGCTTTGCAAGTCATCATCAACGGGAAATGTCCTGATTTATGATCTCAGTGTCTGACAAGGCGCAGCGAACAAATCTATTGTGGATGACTGGACATGGAACTATACACCAAGTACAGGTAAGCAAGAAGATGCAGCCTGGCAGAAGCTGTGAGAAAGATCATCTCGCCATGATGAAAGAGGTTTGAATCGGATGTTTCTGTCAAATCCGACCCTGATCGCCATGTGCTTACCATGAAGTCTTTTGTACCTCCGAAAGACAGACGAGTACGCTGCGATGCCACGAAATCATTGTTCCGTATCTCTCGCGCCGGCCAAAGGTAGATAGCACAGCAGTCCCGGCAACAAGGCTACAGTGTCATGCTCGGGACTGTTTGCATTGCAAGAGAAAGTCCAATCAAGGGCATGCGATGATGTTGGTTTTTTGCGTGTTTGTTGGTGTTTGTATATCCTATTCTTGTCTGCTTACACAGCTTACAGGACACAGCATGGAGGCTCTACAATTATCGAGGTACTTGTTTCCTCAATGGCGGTTCAAACCTCCGAAGGTGCCAGCGTATGTACAGACACATAATTACGCGACTGAAGATTTTGTGTCAGTGTCCAGAGGTAGAGGCTGTCCATAATCAGAGATTGGACGCATCCACGATTCAAAAAGATTGTAAAAGAAAAAAAGACGCAGATCATCATTATCACCCTCCTAAGATCTATCAGATCATACCGGAAGCGCAAAAGAGAGGCTTACGCCTGGTTGTTAAGGTCGTACTGGGGCTCGAACCCACTGGAGTATGTTAGGAGACGGTTCGGCTGGTGTGAAGCTGGAGTTGTAACTTACGGACTCAAGAAGATTTGATTACTCATCAAAATCTTGCGTGCTAACCACTACACTATACAACCGAGTTGTGGAAGCAAATTCGGTTTGCCAAAATAATAATGCAAGTTCATAACGTGGTGATCGCATAGCAATGATCCAAGCAAAACATGTCGACAGATAACAAAAATGAACAAAACAGCTTGCGAATAATGTCAGAGATGAACTTGTTCAGTTTATAGCCATGATCTAAACATTATGCTCTATGGTATCCATGTACGTTGCCTTGTAATTAGGAAGCCCAAATTTTCAGCCGCTGACCCAGGAAACATACTCGACCAAGACCTTGACCAGAAATTTCCAGCATTAGGTCTCTGCCTATTTTTGATTGGTCTCTTCAACCCGCGCTATCGTGATGTCTGTCTTTTGTGATCCCAAACTCTTCGGTCCTTGTATGCTGATGTGTCTGACTTTGTCTTCCAAAACGTGGTTGCCACATGCAGTAACAATATCCCCAATTAGATGGCTGTAGATGCGACGCTTGCCATATGCAAGTATGTAAACACTTTCGGGACCAGAAGACATCAAGTACGGTCTGTCTTCATCGGCGAACGATATGTTAAGGCTGATTGTCTCGAAAACAATCGGTTGGCGCAACGTCTCGGAGACAGTGATGTTGGGGCCATGACAAGCGACCTGTTTCAGCAGCTCTAACAGTGCCTTGAAGATGTTGCCTGGTTTGTCTTTGCTGTCATTGTCCCAATGGCCGAACATCGAAAGTGTGAGGTTGATCTTGAAGTCGATGGAGAGGTGTCGTACACAAGACGATGGGCACGGTAATGATATCCATGCCAGTGTGTATTCGTCATTATTGAGTGTGAGTTGTGCAGACCACGTTTGGTCGGTAGTGCTGTTGTGGTAGGCTGGTAAGCGATAGATCTGCCGCATCTCATCTGCGATCAGACCGTTTGTTCGCATGAGGTCGAGCCAGTCGAATGAAATGGTGCTCAGGTGGATGATGGCTGAGTATCCAGCGTCGCAATCGAGTTTACGTTGTCGAGTTGCTGGATCGCTTGTTGGACTGGCGAAGTGAAAGACATTCGTGTAGACCATGTCGCGAAGCTCGCGTGGGAGGCCCATCAGAGAATACGGCTGAGGTGAGGAATGTGATAGTGTAGATGCCATGGTGGTGTACGTGTGTGTTGATCTCGATAATTGATTTGTAGAATTGAATTTGCACAGCAATAGAACACAAGGAGAAGTAGAGCATATATAGGAGCAAAGGATGATGCGGCAACGATATCCTACCTGTTTCTAGAACATGGAATGCTTCCTGCCTTATCGTATGATGAGGTGACACTCCAGTAAGCAAAGATCTGTTTGTGATGAGACATTTTTCTGAGGTGCTACCATACAGGAGGATGCCGGAAGGATGAATAGCTCGAACAAGCGTTCCTATATGCTGGTAGGGCCGAAGATTCGTGATGGGGCACCAACAGTCAGAGTTAACACGAATGTTCGTTGCAGACCGGAAACGATCAGGCAGGAATAGAAAAAGAGAGCGGTTGGGATAGTATTGCAACGAATCATCGTGTCCCAGAGCCTCTCATGCAGGAGCAAAACATCTGGTGATAGCTGGTGCAATGGACGAGCTTCGGCTTGACCTCGGATCTCGTGATGTTTTGTTTGCCTTCAACAAGCTGGATTTCTACGAGTGAGAACAGACCACTGTGACACGACTTCAAGGCCGATATTCACCCTGTACTAACTTGGAAGCATTCTGCAGTGTTCAGGGGATATAACTAGAGCTATGCCAGCTCTTCCAATGTTCCTTCTTTCAGATGTTGTTGGACCGAGGTTGAGCGGTCAATGCATGCTGATGTATTGACCAGCCGCATTCAGAATGAGGTAAGTAGGTTTCCAAGAAGGCTGAGAGCCTTTTCCGTCAAAACAGAGGGGGAGCAGCAGTATGATATGTACATGACTGGACGTGTTGGCCGAGCAGGATCAGGTGGTTGTGCGAGATGCCTCGGCTCCCCCGCAAAGTGACAGTCGAATCTCCGCAATGTCTAGCGGCCACCTCGGGCGAAAGATGGACGTGAACGAGTTACAAGACAGGCGGTTTCTGTCCAATACTGTTCCTGCTCTATACTGCATATCAAAATGTCAAAGCAACAGAAGAACGACTTCTCGGAGAAGCTGATGATCAGCGCTGATGGCCAGCTGAGCGCATCTCAAAAGATCCCCCAGATCGCCAGACCCTTTGTCAGCGAGAAGGCATTGAAGTACCTTGACATTGTAAGCCTGTTCATTCTCTGTTTGTAGTCGTAATTACTGACAGCAGTGTTCGTCAGGNTCGAGAAGTTCGTCGAAGAAGAATGTATACCCGCCGATGCCGTATTCCAACAACAGATTGGCGACTCGACAGCTGAACGCTTCAGCGGCCACCCAGCCATCATCGAAGACCTCAAGAAGCGTGCAAGAGAGCTAGGACTATGGAACTTGTTCCTGCCAAAGAATCACTTCAAGGAGGGAGCTGGCTTCAGCAACCTTGAGTATGGTCTCATGGCCGAGTACCTGGGCAAGAGTCGTACCGCCTCCGAGGCCACCAACTGTGCTGCACCCGACACTGGTAACATGGAGGTGCTCGCCAAGTACGGTACACAGGCTCAGAAGGACAAATGGCTCAAGCCTCTGCTGGAAGGCGAGATCCGTTCTGCCTTCCTCATGACCGAGCCTGATGTTGCCTCGAGTGATGCCACCAACATCACTCTTGACATTCGCCGTGAAGGCAATGAATATGTCCTCAATGGTTCTGTATGTTGCTCCACTCCTCCGTCTTGGGTATTTGCTAACGGTCTCCTCACAGNNAAATGGTGGTCATCAGGTGCTGGTGACCCTCGCTGCAAGATCTACATCACAATGGGCAAGACGGATAAGAACAACCCCAGCCCCTACAAGCAACAGAGCGTCGTCCTTGTTCCAGCAGATACCCCCGGAATCACCATTCACCGCATGCTGGGTGTCTTTGGCTACGATGACGCCCCTCACGGTCACGGTCACATCTTCTTCAAGAACGTCCGCGTGCCTCTTGACCACATCGTCCTAGGTGAGGGCCGTGGCTTCGAGATTATTCAGGGTCGTCTAGGCCCTGGCCGTATTCACCACGCCATGAGAAGTATTGGCGCTGTAAGTCCTGCATTACTGCTCCCACTTGGCTGCCGCTGACATTCTTTCCCTCTTAGGNCCGAGAAAGCTCTCGAGCTCTTCGTCGCTCGTGTCAACGACCCCCGCAAGAAGGCATTCGGCAAACTCCTGAATGAACACGGTGTAATGGTCGAACGCATTGCCAAATCTCGTGTTGAGATTGACTCCGCCCGTCTTTCCGTACTCAATGCCGCAATCACAATCGACACTAAGGATGCCAAATTCGCACTCAAGGAGATTGCTGAAGCCAAGATCTTGGTTCCCTCCATGGCTTTGACAGTCATCGATCGTGCTATTCAGGCCTATGGCGGTGCTGGTGTATCACAAGACACACCGTTAGCAAACATGTATGCCCAAGGCAGAACCATGAGGATCGTAGATGGTCCTGATGAGGTGCATCTGTTGCAGCTTGGTAGAAACGAGAACAAGAGAGGCAAATTCTTGTTGGACAGATTAGCGCGACAGAAGAAGAAGAGTGAGGAGCTGGCAGCTAAGCATGGTATGAAGCTTAGGGATGTGTTGCAGCTGGACCGTGTCATGTCTGAGAAGGCCAAGCTTTAGAGTGTCTTACATGTTTATATAATGATCATCTGGAAAACGTTCATATGAGTTTTCGATATTTATTCGTCATTGTGCTACCGCACTTGTATCTAATCAACAGTTCCGTCTATGTTCTTGGATGATTGAAAGGTGTACTTGATTTTCCTGTCTCGCGACTAGGAAATCTTTAGTATGTACGTCTATGAGAACAAAAGAAAGAAGAAGTTGAACCGCGTAATCCAAATCACCTCGCCACATGCTTAAGTCAAAACTGGTCAGAACCAATGTCTGAAAATATCCGGATCGGCTTCCTATGCCTTCATGGCCTCAGAGGCCTTCTTTTCCTGAACAGGCTTGGGTTGGCCAGAGCTGACGCCAACAAGGCGCTGGAGCTGTTCCATGAAGACGAACATCAAAACAGTGTTAGGTNNCTATCAAAAGTCAGAGTCAGTGATTCTCTTTCTAGACGGTAGCAGATCTACTTACGCAAGTCTGAGCCATGCGGGCGACCATCCTCTCATGAGGAAGCTGATACCCTCCTTCTTGTACGAGTCGGCGAAGATTTTGCTGAGACTGGGCTTTACACCGTTGATGGTGGGGGCACTTTGAACACGACTCTTGAGTACATCGGCAGGTGCGCATGCAGTAGTGGCGACGGTTCCAGCAAGTAATGAGGCAAGGAAGTGGAGGAAGATGCCGTCCTTCAAACCAAGGCTGGGGTTCGAGAGAAGATAGTCCTTTGCGGTCGAGTANGCTGGTAATGATTAGTTCTACTTTTTTTTTTGGGGGATGTTCTATCCATTGAGGACTCACGTAGCGATCTGTGAAATGTCTGCGTAACGTTAGTGATTTGCAATGACACAGTCTGACGTATGGAACTCACTCATGATAACACTGCGAACAATGTTAGGTGTCAAACCTCTGCTGAAAGTTGACATGCCCTCCTCCTTTGCAATTCTATATAGCGCACGGATGGAGTTGCCGTAGTTGTATCTTTCGGCAGCAGTTTTGGCACCATCTGCACACATTCTGACGAGCACGACCTCTGTAGGGTTACCAACAAGACCTGCTGCTCCACCAGCAACACCAGAACACACGACTTCCCAGCCAGCGGTCAATTTCGTGGTTCCTGTCCTTTGCTTGACTTCCTTGGCAAAGTAGTTGTAGAGTCCAAAACGAGCGGTCGAGTAGGAACATTGTCTGAGCCAGGATCCAGTGAGACCAGTCCAGAGAGAAGGAATGCCATCACGGCTGGCGAATGACACTAGTGTTCTAAGAATGTTCTTTGGTTGGTGCATGACTTGCATGCGGCTGTCATCGTTAGTTGCAGTCCAGAGTTGCGGCTTGAGAATCCTCACTATNTTCGTCTGATCCAAGGGATGTGCTGCACAACTTGTCAATACATGGTCATCTCGACTCCTATCTGACTTACTGCATGTTGCTGCCATGGAAGCGGCCGCTCCACTGCTATTGTCTCAGCACCGATGTTTTCATCCCGTATTCTGCAGAAACGCATACCCAAGCCAGAAAGGCTGTTGCTTCTTCATCTCACCAGCCATATCCAAAACTACCAATTCCTGTTGCGGATGTCGTCGGCTATCAGATCACTTTTTGTTTGTCCAAGATTATCGGAGATCAATTGGCGGGGAAAAAGAGTCTTGCCGGTTGGATAGGATGAAAGTTTGCAAAGTCTCCGAATGCAACCTTCCAAACGCGACTGCCAACCCAAGAAGATATGACCCTAAGATGAGGTTGTCTATAAATTTTGCTAACGGACCAGAGAAAAAAAATCACATGCCAATTTCCATGAATCAAGCAAGCAAGGCTCTTTCTTCTCCTTTTGTTTCAACCAATCAGCGCTTGGCAGTCTACATGCCGTGAAATGGCCGGGCTGCTCGGGCCGACCTCTTCTTCTGCCTTTCTTCCACGATGGTCTTGCTGTTCGATACTCTATAGCATCAGACCTCTTGATTCACCTCAAATGCATCTTGCCGGCGTAAAAACTTCTTTCAGAAGTGCTTCGAGTGGGGATTTGATGAAGAGCTCTCTCGACGCGCAACTCGGCTGGAGGAGCGCGTTATGCACGCGTTATTCTCATGGAACCCAACCATATAACAAGTGCTGTAAATTTGCGTCCTGAAGGGCAGCATGCCACTGAACGAGCTCAATCAGTCCAGAAAAAAACTCCTCTTGCCCTTGAACACGGATTTCCGCGGTACTGAACACGAGCGACAACTGTCGTCAGTCCAAAAGCCGACCGCAAAAGAACAGTACCAACGATCGTATGCAAGAATGGCCAGAACTTATCATGTGCAGCTTACGATATGCTCGTAGAGCCGCAATGCTCCATTCGGCTTCAGCCAGATTCTGTTGTAACAGCTTGACATATAAGAGGAAGACCTTGGACCGTTGGAGCAAGTCATTCACTCACGCTGAGCTTGCTTTGGTAAGCAGACTACAGCTCTCTTAGATGACCTCTTCTACAAACCAGTGCAGAGCTTACACCATTGCCGAGACTGGCCTCGGTGATGCGAGCACAGTGCAAAGAGATCGCGCTCGTATCCGGCCTCCATACCTCAAGACGTTGATGTACGGACATCAACAGGCGCATTGCTTTTGATTCGGCAGAGTCGTTGTCTGATATCGGCAGATCTATATGCTTCGAAGAACCCGACTATGGTCGCTAGAGACGACCTATATGACCCAAAGATCTGAGGAAATACAACTGCCGAAGAGATAAGAATTCCTTACGAAGCATCGAATACTCATTCGTCTGTGACGGCGTTCGGACATCAGGATGACCGATAAGACCTTCTTGGATGAGGGCTGACGTTCATAGACAACAATGATTGGACATTGTCCGGATATGGATTGGCGACCCCCTCGTGGTCAAGAAAGATTCGTCGTACCCTTGTTGGCTTGCGACTGACCAGTTTAACATCGCGGCAATGAACATCGGCTGTTGGCAGTGAGAAGTACTTCGATTGAGCATCTAACGTAGTCTACCAAAGGACACACCTATCAAAATTACATGGACTGCTCTTGTCTAAAGATGCAGAAGTCATACCAAATCAATACGGACAAACACATTCACTGCTGACACTATATGCAAAAATCCGCTGGGTAAAGGCTGCACAGTCCTTTTGAAGCAATCAATATTCAGCCGCTCCCGGTACAATCCTGCTGCCACATGAATGAGCTCTCAAACGGCAGCACGTTCGGCCAAGGCCTCGTTCTTGGATATGTCTGCTTCTTTGTGGGGGTGGCAGAGTAGCCAAGACAACCATGGCCATTCTCAGCTGTGCCGCCGCCTACTACAAGGTCTAGCAGCGGTTCGAGAGTGGTCTGCCCAGCAAACATGGCTTGTGGCCAAGCAAGCCAGCCCACCTCGCTGTGCACAGCTCCATCTGGTGGGAGTCCAAAGTCAAAAAGACAACAGCGAAAAAACGTGCAATCAATTCCCCACAAGCGGTCCCCGCCCTGATCTCCGCCGCGAAATCCTACACTTCTTTCTGTTGACTGTTCTTCCATTTTTCACAACTGCCGATTTTCAGAGAAGGTATGGAAGAGATATAAGAGCGTTCCCCCAGACCCCAGATCCCCCACACTGTTTACCCCAGACGCATCGTCTGTATCTTGTTGTCAACAATTCCAATCTTGATCCAATATCATTTATACGATGAGAACCTCACACGACGTCGAGAAGGAATCGCACGCTGCTATGCACAAGGAGCTCGCCGAAGAGACGGTCCACGAGGCCGCTGAGCGTGGACACCAGGCTACTGATCAGTATGTCAACCACTTCCCAACTCCAACATCACGTTAACCATAGTACAGATATGGCAACTCTCTCATTCAGTTTGATCCTAAAGCTGAGGCCAAGCTACGCACAAAGATCGACTTCATGATCATACCCACTGTCTTCATGTTGTATCTTTTCTGTTTCATTGATCGAGCCAACATCGGTTAGCAACCACTCCCGAAGTTCTACAATGATTATCATCTCATCATAACCATAGGCAACGCAAAGTTGGCCCGTTTGGAAGCTAGTCTAGTAAGTTTTGCGAGCGTTTTTGTATGTACATTGCTAACTTTGGTATAGAAACTTACTGTTCGTGGCTGGATTCTTCCAAAACATAGATGATGGGATACTGACCGCNATGTTCAGGGCTACGATTACAACGCTATCTTGTCTGTCTTCTACATCAGTTATATCATCTGCGAGATTCCGGCGAACATGTGCTGCAAATGGCTCGGCCCTGGTTGGTTCATTCCCGGTATCTCCCTGGCTTTTGGTCTCTGTTCCATTGCCACCGCTTTTGTCCACAACTTCAGCCAGATGTGTGCCGTCAGGTTTGTCCTTGGTATCTTCGAGGCTGGTATGCTTCCTGGAATTGCATACTACCTCTCCCGCTGGTATAGAAGATCTGAGCTAGTTTGGAGACTCGGTCTCTATGTTGTTGCCGCGCCCTTAGCTGGCGCATTCGGTGGTCTGTTGGCCTCGGCTATCTTGAAATTGGATCACTTCGCTGGGCTCAAAGCATGGAGAATGATCTTTGCTATCGAGGGAATCATCACCGTGGGCCTCGCGGTCATCTCCTTCTTTACTCTGACAGACAGACCCGCGACTGCCAGGTGGCTTTCCCAGGAGGAAAAGGACCTGGCCATCTCCCGTGTCAAGTCCGAGAGAGTCGGAGCTACCGAGGTTCTGGACAAGTTTGACCGCAAGAAGATCTTCAAGGGCATCTTTTCCCCTGTCACTGTGGGCACAGCTACGATCTTCCTGCTCAACAACGTCACTGTTCAAGGTCTTGCTTTCTTTGCCCCTACAATCGTCAAGACGATCTACCCTCACAACACAGTTGTCAGCCAGCAGCTTCACACCGTTCCTCCTTACATCGTTGGTGGCTTCTTCTGTCTGATGTTCCCATACGTCAGTTGGAAGAAAGACTTCCGCCTTCCTATCCTGATCTGCTCAACTCCTCTGGTCATCATCGGATAGTAAGTTACGACCACCCCTTCCCATCTTCCCGAACGCATTCCTGTTTCTTAGAGCTGTACTGACCATCATTAACAGTNNATCATGTTCTTGGCCACCGAAACAGCTTCAGTTCGTTACGGCGCTACATTCCTCATTGCAGCTGGTGCATTCGCAGGTGGATCACTTTGCAACGCTCAAGTCAGCGCCAACGTCGTCTCAGACACAGCACGCAGCTCGGCCATCGGCACCAACGTCATGTTCGGCAACATCGGTGGTCTTATTGCCACTTGGTCGTTCCTTCCCTTCGATGGACCTAACTACCACATTGGTAATGGTCTCAATCTGGCCACTGCTAGTACTGGACTGGGCTTGTGTGTCTTGTTGTGGTTCTGGATGAAGGGCGATAATAAGAAGAGAGATGGCAGAGATGTTGATCAGGAGTTGGCTGGTACCACTCTTCTTGAGCAGCAGGATATGGATTGGAAGCACCCTAGTTGGAGATGGAGACCTTGAGGGATAGCAAATTGTACTGTAAATCTGCCCTGCACTGACGAAGATCGTGTTTGGAGCTCGGTGGTGGCGAATCAGGATATGATGCCGAATACGAAGATCATGTTCACGTTCACTGAATACCCATGGCATTGCTTGTATGGAAAAGGCTGGTCTCGTCTCGACTCAGAGGGAAGGTGCTGAGCACCGGAAAGAGCAAATCACAAGCAACCAAAGCTTGACCAAATCTAGTTTTGTGCTCAAAGCCACAAATATGGTCGATAATAATTGAACAGAACAAGTGCAAACAGTTTTGATAAAGTTGGACGCTATTTGAGTCTTTTGTGCTGAATTTACAAACTTCTATGGTAGATAAGAAATCCTCCTGCTCTTCTGAGATCATGTCCTCTGGTTGTGTAGGTGAGATCTTGTGCCGAGTACCAAGAATTTCCAGCTGTTTCTGTCATCGACGATATTTAGAAACCATATCCAAGCTCTGCAGTCGCCGCTGATAGATTAAGATTGTGTTGTAGTGTTTCGATCGGCCGTGGTGTCGTTACTGTTTCAGAATGAATGCAAATATCGCTCTCTTCAATCTTCGAGCTCAATGAGATCAATGCCCGAGCTGTGTTGTTTAACAACAAGATCTTTGACATGCGTCAGATCAATGACTTGCACGCTTCTGCTGCCAGCTCTCATAGGTTCATCGATTATGTCTGGCTCGCCTGTCAGATCAATGACATCGTTTATGCTTCTGGATCTTGTGGTCTCATTTGTGATCGCGACCTCTGAACTAGGCTCGACTTTGGGCTCGAGCTTGNNAGTCGTTCTCGGAGGTTGAGGGGAGACAATAAAGTCGTCATCAAGTTCGAAGTCATTGTCGCCTAGCAACGAGTTCATGTCGAGATCGTCGTCGTCGGTTGTGTCGTGAACTGTTCTTATGATAATCTCGGGTGAATTGTCTCTCGATTTCAGGACAAATCCAGAGCTTGGTGAGCGATTATTATAGTAATCGAACCGATTCTCCTCGGCGTTGGCGTTGGCGACGTCATGATCCATTTCGATGTCTTCGTTAACGGACATCAAATCTTGTTGTTCATCATCTGAATGTGTTTCTCCACCATCGTCGAATCTGGAACCGAGTCTGTGCGGATGGTCGGTGGCGTCCCTATGGCCANNCCATGGTGATTGTCACTCAAAAGTCATCACCGAAGTCTGGGTCAAGGTCGTCATCCTGGTCGTTGTTGTTGTCAGGTTTGATGTCGGCGAGTTCAAGTCTGTGTTGAAATCCACCCTCGTGCAACAGATTTTGGTGTCTGTTGATAACATTCTGAAGCATGTCAGATGAATAACAATACGACACAATCCCGAACATACCCGAAAATCCTGCCAATTCTGGTTGTCGAAAGGTCTAGAGTCGTCGAAGAGACCAAGAAGCTCTTTGCAATAGTCCCTGCGTAGGTTTCTGATGGCTGTGTAGCTGCGACTCTCAGTGCCGTTTGTGAAGATTTTGCGTTTGAGTTGTAAAGACGAACACCAAGCAACTTCTGGAATACCACCTCGAGTGTCATCGATACTCCTCATATGAGTAGTGCGGAGTACCCCTGCTTCGTCAGAGAGATACATAGCAGCGAGACAGCCCTCTTCATGCGGGTCTTCGCCTGCAACGAGACAGTGACGGAAGTATGTCATGCGGCCTGTTCTTTCCACCAGTCTGACGCAGTCAATATCAAAGAACATGATTCCAGCTATCGTCTTATGGTTCCTGATTCTTGTACCACGAGTCGCGGGATTTAGCATGTTTCTGATATCCTTGATGGATCTGGGCTCAAGTGCCTTTTCACGCGCACCAAATCTTCTCTGAGTTTGACCGGTAGGCATGGCTGTGAAGTTTCGACTGCTGGACCAGATGTGGCTCGCGATACGGGAGTGAGTGGTAGGTTGTCTTCTTCGTGTCCGAATATTGATGACAGGTTGTAAGTTGTGTGTGAAAGGGGGCAGTGAATCATAAAAGCCCTTGAAGAGGAGACTCTGGAACTAGAGGTGTGAAGCTCAATGGGATAGAACCAAGGAGAGCTTGGTAGTCCTAAATGACAGATCTGTCCCTATAAGTGAGGAGAAGAAGGCTAGCTGTGAGCGAGGCGTAGTCTCTCAGAAATTGCCAGCGTCTTAAGGCGCAAAATAAGACGCTCGAAGAGGTAAGACCGTTTACTCGACGGGTTGGAGTGTTCATGGATGGACCGACAGTCGGTGAAGAGTAATGGAGTAGGAAAAGAAAGGTTACTGACAAATTTCGAGAACGATCTTGCCAACGGAAGCCAGAGACAATACCGAGGTCATAGAGACTGAGTAAAACGCTCAAAGGTCTTAAGCATGGTCAGGGCCAAAAGAGATTCCGACTGCAAGACGAGTGAGTGGTATAAGCAGATCCTGGAGTGTGACCATGAATATCTCAGTATGATCGAACGGGTTCGAACGCATCACGATCTTGGCCTCTCACGGGTCCTCTCATTGCTGATCTCGATCCGCTTCCCTTCTTGTACTGAGACGGTTTCGGATGCATGAGAGGCTGGTTACTATTGCTTCGAGATCATGGTCGCGGAGAGATTTCTGGTCGACCTATAGTAGCCGAAGTCGTCAAGCAACAGCCGTGACACGTGCAAAAGAGTTCGAACGAATCGTGACGACTTTCCTTGTTGACAAAGATGAAAGAGTATGGGTATCGGTGTTGATTGCGGAAGAGCTGAGGCTTTTGCAGCATTGCAGAAGCAAACTTTGTTCCGAACATTGACCAACGATATCATTCCTAGCTCGCATGATTTAGATGACTTGTTCTGTAAACAGGATCAGGTTAATTTCGAATCGCAAGATGCATTGAGTACTTCTGCGGGACGAAAACAATGTTCTTGTCGTCGCAGGTCAGGGAAATTTCACAGGACTGAGCTCTCATGGCTGATACAAGATCAGTATTCCAAGCATGCTTGAATACAGTATCAGGTGCTAGCTCTCCTTGTTGGATTGACGATATGGGTTGTTTGGCGGGATCGATAGATTGCAGCGAAAGCTGCTGCTGCGGCGCACGAGCAGCGAGGAGAGAGCAGACCGGATCTCCAGCGTGCGTGACAAACCCGTTCCTCGAATTCTTCGCGTCTATCGAGCTATTGCCTCCACGAGCTTCGATCGCAGTGTCTGAGTCTGGACTCGGATCTGGGCAGGTTGTTGTGTCGACTTGATTTGATGCCGATCAGGTCCGTGGTCACCCTGACCGCGTGACGCCCTCACATTTCTGTGCGACGCCTTCCTGATCCTGTTGACCCAGCCGTTCTGTTGACAATACCTCTTTGTAACACATACAAGCATATGAAGGATTGCTCTGCCTATCTGCCAAAGATGCTTGCCCATTTCTTGGCCGCAGCTTATGCATATACGATTGCCACATTTTGATCCAAATCGGGCTAATGATAAGGCTTAGCGCATCCTTTGCATGTCTTATCAACCTATCTATCACGGCCTCAGGCTGTTGGTAGGACACGATACTACGTTACTGCGTACCTAGTGACGATAAGGACCGTGGCCATCACTACGGAGCCAATGGCTGGGAAACCTATCTGATAGACCGTCGGCAGAGGTATAAGTGATCATAGCACCCATGACATCGGTAAACACCCGCTCTCGTCGTCTTCTCTTCTCTGTCTGCAACGATGATGAATAGAATCAGACGACCTTTCCCGATCACACGCCGGGACACTGATTCGGTGCAGTTGAACACTCTAGAGCCTCAGAAAGCCGCAGATGGCTTCGACAGAAAAGGAGCCGAAGTCGGCATTGAGGCCGACTCACCAGACATTGAGCATGGCCACCTTCAAGAAATCGAAGTAGATGTTGACAAGGTGCTACATGACGGAGAAGTCAAAGATGTTGACTCTGATACCTCACCATACCCTGAAGGTACGATTCGATCGTGGTGATTTGGAGTACGCCCCTAACACTCTGTGCCAGTTCGTGCTGTGGTTCCTGNNGAAACAGATGATCCCAGTATGCCATTGAACACGCTCAGAATGTGGATTGTAGGCATCATCTGGACTATGCTTGGATCTGGCGTCAATCAATTCTTCTCCCTGCGGTATCCCGCTGTACATATCGTCTCGCTTGTTGCAGAGCTTCTGGCGTTTCCCATGGGAGTGGCTCTAGCGCACATCCTGCCCATATACACCTTGGATCTTGGCCCTCTTGGAAAGTGGAACATCAATCCGGATCGCCATNTTTGTGGGTTACCTTGTGATCAATGCTCGACAAGAACATGGCTGATTGCTTCGCAGAATATCAAGGAGCACGCCCTCATCACGATCATGTCAAATGTGACAATTGGCTTCGCTTCGGGATCCGACGCTTCAAACATGATACAAGCAGCCAAGAAGTTTTACGACTTCGATCTTTCTGCTGGATTGGCTGTCCTCATGGTGTTGTGTACCCAACTTCTCGGATTTGGTGTTGCTGGCCTTGGATCACGTTGGGTCGTGGAACCTGCCTCGATCATTTGGCCTGGCATCTTGGGCAACTGCGCTTTACTCTCTACCCTGCACTCCAAATCAAACGCCATTGCTAACGGCTGGAAGATCTCACGCCTTCGGTTCTTCTTTGTGGCCCTGCTTGCTGCGTTCGTATGGTACTGGTTCCCCGGCCTCATCTTTCCCGCTCTATCATACTTCACATGGATCTGTTGGATTGCACCAAACAACGCTGTAGTCAATCAGATCTTTGGTATGCAAACGGGGCTAGGTGCTTTTCCTGTTAGCTTCGATTGGAGCCAAATAGCGTATAACACCAATCCTCTATTGAGTCCTTTGAGTGCCGCACTCAACGTCCTGGCTGGCTTTGTATTCTTCTTCCTGATCGTCACTCCAGGGCTGTTTTACACCAACAAATGGTTCACTGGCTATCTGCCCATGATGACTGCGGATGTGTACGATAATACAGGCGCCAGCTACAATGTAACCAGGATCATTAATCCAGTGACCAAAAGTTTGGACCCTGAAGCCTATCGAGCGTACTCACCTCCCTTCCTCAGCGCAACATTCGCTTTCGTATATGGACTATCATTTGCTTCTATCACTGCAGTTCTAACACATACATATCTCTGGCATGGAACCGAAATCTGGACTGCTCTTCGTGGATCTAGAAAACTTGATATCCATGGACGCCTGATGAAGGCATACAAGCCAACTCCTTGGTATTGGTATCTCATCGTTCTGGTGATCTTTACAGCTTTGTCCTGTGTTATGGTGGAGATCTATCACACTGATCTTCCTATCTATGGTGTTGCACTCGCTCTTGTCATTCCGGCCATCTACTTCATCCCTTGTGCCTTGATTCAAGGTATCTCGAACGTCGACGCGAACCAGATTAACGTTCTGTCCGAGTTCATTGGCGGATACATGTTCGCTGGCAAGCCTCTTGCCAACATGATCTTCAAGATCCTGTCTACCGCGGTCGTCAACCAAGGCATCTTCTTCGTTCAAGACATGAAACTCGGACACTACTTGAAACTCGCTCCACGCACTGTGTTCTTCGCCCAAGGCTTCGCCGCCGTCCTGGGTGCCCTGACACAAACAGGCGTGACACTTTGGATGCTCGGCAACATCGAAGACATCTGCTCCTCCGACCAGAGCTCCAGCTTTACCTGTCCCAACGGAAGGACAGTATTTTCCTCCTCAGTGATTTGGGGCTTGATAGGACCAGATCGTCTATACAGTGTAGGAAAGCGCTACTCTTCCTTGCTGCACTTCTTCTGGATTGGTGCTTTGACGCCTGTGATTACTTGGTACGCATACAAGAAAACCGGAAAGAAGATTTTCAAAGATGTGAATTGGCCTTTGTTCTTTGTCGGAACGTACAATGTTCCTCCAGCTACAGGTAAGCAGAGACCATCTGCAAGATTCATGGTTGCGAGCCAAATACTGACTACTAGGATTTTTTCAGGTATCAACTATACCTCCTGGGCACTGGTGAATTGGATCTTCAATGGTTACATCAAANAGAACTTCTTTGCTTGGTGGACAAAGTATAACGTGAGATCGCCCTCTATATCGCACGAATTCTTGGACGAAAGAGCTAATAAAAAACAGTATGTGCTCGCAGCTGCTGTCGACACAGGTACAGCCGTCGCCGGCATTGTCATTTTCTTCGCTGTCAGTTATCCTGGCTACTCGATGCCGGATTGGTGGGGTACAACAGTGTTCGCGAACACGCTTGATGCGGTCGGTGTCCCTAACTTGCCGTTACCTGCAAGTGGTTTCTTCGGCCCTGCGAATGGAACTTGGACTTGAGGCATCTGATCTCAAAGAACGAAGTAACGATGGAACATGTTCCGTGTGCCAAAGCTTTTCATAAGCCACGAGTGTGGTTTTGAGCAAGTAGGATGAGTCTGTGGATGGCATAGCAGTAACGATCCGAAATATCAAGATAGTGTGTATTACATAATGCAAGTTGTAATCAGATCTACATCCAAGAGGGTTGGTGAGATGGAGAATACCAGCGGAAGTTGCCTCCTCTGGAAAGTATCGTGAGATAGTATAGCTACCCATATATGCTCCGAGCAGACGAGAATGATTGTAAGTAGTATCAGAAGAAGCCAGGCTTGGGCAGCTTCAGTGTGACAAGAGGGTCAATGCCAGGAAACGGAAGGCTGTCAGTTATCTGAGGTTGTGACTGTCGGTTGATTTGAGTCATGTTGTTGTTCGCCCAGTCCATGATGCTGCGATCTAGAACAATCGGATCTGCATCTTCATCGTCGTCTGGATATCCATAATTCGACAGAGAATCGTCCCCAATACTTGGTAGAGGTAGACTGTACGCAGGACCAGTCCGCGAGCTTGTCCTCTCNAATCTGTCATTCGAGGGCCCGGATTGATTGTCTTTGGAAGCAGCAGCTTGGGGTGTAATATTTTGGCTAAGCTCTGCGGGTTTCTCTGGATCATGTCTCGTAGCTCGAGTCCGCTTGGCCGGTTTGGGAACAGCTGGTCGGGATGCTAGACCAGCTTGTGCATATTTCTCTGGAAACCTTGTTCTCAGTCGATCGCGCAGGTCCGTTGGGGTTCTTTCATGTTCTCGAAAAGCCTCGTCTTTGCAAATAGAGACCCAAGACGGGCCTTGCTCCCGAAAGCCTTTAAGTAGAGCCTCATCTTCTTCGTCCGTGAAGTTACGTCTAGGTCGACGTTGTGCCTTCCATAGAGTCTGGTCAGTGGTACCAATTGGTTTGGGTTGTGTCTCAACTTCCACCGAGGGCTCTGCTGGATTTTGCTTTGTCGTTTTTGGTCTCTTGGTTGTTTCGGTGGTTGTAGCTTCTTCGGACGAGACTCTCTTCGCTTTTCGAGTTTTTCGAGCACCGCCATAAGCATCAGGGCGACAAACTCTAAATCTNGTGAACACATGAGTCTAGTACAAAGACACAAAGATCGTAATGTGGTACCTGTCTTTGAGATCTACAGCTGTTCGTTTGTGGAACTGATAGTCTGGGCAGAGCAGTATCTTCTTCCAATTACCGATGCCAAACCTTGACACGCCCGCTAGGAGGTCGTTGGTCTCTTCTTCGGTCCATATGTTGCGTCGAGATCGCTTCTCCGAAGTGCTCTGGGCGGCTTCGGCTGAAGCCAAGGGTTCTTGCTGGATTGCAGCATGACCTGTATCATCAGTGGGAGCAGGAGTAGCTGCAGGCTTGCTGCTCCTCGAAGTGGATAANAAGACCTGTGCCTCCTCCGTACTTATGGAAGGGAGGAGACCAGCATCTGGTGGTGGCTGGTGGAGGCCCTGTAGGACAGGAGGTACGCGGTGACGTTTTGCATGTCGTTTTGCTGGCAATTTTGGCAATGTAAAGACTGCTTGATCAACATCTCGTCTATAAGAAGTGTATTCGCCCAATCGAGGAGGCGAGTCTTCATCATTGAGTACAGCAGCAAGTGAAGAGGCAGATGACTGATGGGGCGAGCGTCGTGCAAGCCTTGTAGCATCCGGTCCAAGATCACTACGTTGGCGCAATCTATTGCCTAGCAGAAACGGATGTAGCTGCTCGTTAGTCGTCCGGTCAAGTTGACGGGTACTTCCATCGAAGATGCCATGGCTCAAGTCACTGGGCTCAACAGGGTTAGGCCTGTTTATATACTCCAGCGATCCAGGTTGGGGTAGAAGTGCGTTTGAATTCCCTTGAAAAGATGGTTCAGAAGACATAGTTGCTAGTGTGACATTGCATGTGTTTCTCGCATGGTTCTTGAATTGATTTGCATCTATGTGGGTGCCGGTATCATCTTGCAAAATACTCAAAATCGAATCACGAGAGCGACAGAGATGAAAAGGAAGGCGCTGATCAAGCAGCCAAGAAACGGACCGCGTTAGCGCTTTGGCTGTTGATGCTGAAGTGACCCTGCTCACATCCGACATCCTCAGCAACCTGACCTAAGGTGGTTGTACGTCGAGGGTGTTCAGCATGTGCAGGAATATAGTCGAGGAGTATGATCGAGACATGCGAACACAGTATTCCACGACAAGATCCTGATACATTTTCTCGCCCGAATCTTGGAAGTCAAGTCTGGGCTCTCCGCTCAGGTGGACCCCGTCTAACAACAAAACATTACACGCAAGGGAACACTTTGCACTTGTGCAATGTTGAAGGCAGCCAGTTTACGGCAACGGGACTATATACATATTTACCATTGCCCTGATTGGCGCACTCTACGAGCTGCACGAGACGAGGGCTTCTTTATGACCATCCAGAGCATGACAGATGTAGCAGCAGCCAAAGAATACNNCTGACAGTTGTTAGGCTTTGTAAGATGGAGGCGGGAAGGATGGGATACTGACCATGTGAAGATGTATTGGGTATGGTTGTTCCTAAGGTTCACCTCGGCCGGTCTCCCGATAGGAATGCCTTTTGCTTCTCTATCATAAGATTCAACGAGGTCAGGTTTCATGGTTTCCTCAATCCAGACAGGCTGGCTGCCTGTAAATTCGGCCATCTGCTGAACATCAGGGAAGTAGAAAGCACCCTGCTCGGGCTTGTTTTCAGGTGTGAACATGTTCTTCTTCCATGGCTCTCTCAGCAGACCCTGGACGGTGACTTCGCCTTGTGGTAGGCCTTCGGGTCTAGCACGTTGATTGGCCTTGTCTTTCGGAATCCAGCCTCGGCAGATGAGGATTTTTGTGTTGCCAGAGTAGCCTTCAAACTGGCGTTCGAGGGGAGTAACGACCATGTAGCCATCGTTGCCGTCGAGAAGTCTGGGACCGATGAGCATCTCCTGGTCATGGCGGAGTTTGCCAGTGGCATAGACTCTTCGATAGTCGAAGTCTTTTATGGCAGCTGGGTCGATGCTCGGCGGTAGGGGCAGAGGGTCACGCACGAGGCGATCTTCGAAGCGGGCGATGAGTTCAGTCTTCCATCCTAGTCTCTGGACCTGCCATGAACCTAAGGCGAAGGCAGTGATTGGGATGATAGCCAAAACCAACAAGCCCCAGCCATGTTTCTTGCCGCCGACGCGAACGAGCTGAGGCTGTACGTCGACAATTGAAGTAAACGATGGGTCATCAGCAGGCTGGCTGGCATAGGATCTTCGTTGCAGAAGAGGACGGGATTGTTGGCATTGTCGACATATCCATGGCTTTGTTTGTGGTTGTATACGAGGGCGAGAAGATAGTGAGGCCAATTGGCGCAATATGGGCGACGGTCGAAGCGACATCTTGAGTTGTTGGCAGGTCTCGATTGTGGATGGCGCTTTCCTCTTTTGCCCGGCTACAGAGCTCCACGCTGGTGACACGCGCCAAGACGACTGCTCGATTGTCGCGGATCGCACCTTCTGTGCCAACATCAACATCTTCACTTTTCCTGTTGTGCTGCTCCTTCTCTCTGTGAAAGCACAGCTTGTAAGAGGTTCGAAAGTAGCCAGAACATCTTTCGAGCGCCTTTACATTCTGTCCGGTGGAACACTCCAGCTCACTTGCTGAAACACGACATCGCGACCCACGCGTAAAGCACCCCGTCGCAACTTCGACTTGCGCTTCGCCGCTACCAAACACTCCCCACTTCGACATCTGACATTGCCTTGTCCGCCATCGCATCACAGCTGTATCTCTGCCAACTCAGCCTACCTGCCGTGACAGCGCGCTGCCCAAAATGGCCGACGAGGTGACGATCGACAAGGCTACCTTCCACAACCGCCTCTCGGCCTTCATCTCGCAATGGAGGCAGGACAAGCGCAATGGCGACTCCCTGTTCGCAGGCGCCTCATCTATCGCCATTGTCATGGGCAAGTCAGATGAGTCTCAGGGCTTTTCCAAGACCAGTGCTCTGCAGTTCTGGCTGCTGGGCTATGAATTTCCCTCGACGGTTTTTGTCATTACCCAGGACTCCATGCACATTGTCACCACCAAGAAGAAGGGTAATAATCTCTACACTATACTATACCATTTGCTCGATGCTAACAGTTTCANNGCTACCTATCTCGAACCCCTCAAGGACGGCAAGACACCCGTTGAGATCCTCGTCAGAGGCAAGGATGCCGCCGAGAACGCAAAGCAGTTTGAGACTTGCTTAGATATCATCAAGAATGCCGGCGTACGTTTTACATCTCATATTTGAGCTACTCTGGCTAACAAGTCCTACAGANAGAAAGTCGGCGTTATTTCCAAAGACCCCTCGAACGGCCCCTTCATCAAGGAGTGGAAGGATAGTTTCGCAACCATTTCCAAGGACGTCGAAGAGGTAGACATCACATCGGCTATTTCAGCTGCTCTCAGCATCAAGGACGAGAAGGAGCTGCGCGCAATCCGCGATGCCTCGCGCGCATCCAGTGGCATCATGGCCAACTACTTTGTCGACCAAATGTCAGGCATTCTGGATGAGGAGAAGAAGATGAGCCACAAGGCTCTGTCACAAAAAGTTGCCGACAAGATCGAGGACGACAAATTCTTCCAAAAGCTAAAGGTTTCGAGCGGATTCGACCCCTCCCAGCTCGACTGGTCTATTTCGCCCGTCGTACAAAGTGGCGGCAAGTATGATCTGAAACTTTCAGCCGAGGCAGACGACAGCAACTTGCACGCCGGCGTCATTCTATCTACTCTTGGATTGCGTTACCTCAGCTACTGTTCCATCATCTCCAGAACCTACTTGGTCGATCCCAACAAATCCCAGGAGAGCGCCTACAAGTTGTTGCTTGCCGTCCACGACAGCATTCTTAAGAACATGAAGGACGGTATGGTCGCAAAGGATGTCTACGCCAAGGCAATCAGCCTTATCAAGTCAAAGAAGCCTGAGCTCGAGAAGAACTTCGTCAAGTCGGTTGGTTACGGAATTGGTATCGAGACCCGCGACAGCTCATTCCCCATGAACGGAAAGAACACTCAGACTCTGCGCGATGGAATGACCTTCAGTATTACTACCGGTTTCCACGACATTGAGAATCCTAATCCTCAAGACAACAAGAGCAAGACATATTCACTGCTGCTCACAGACACTGTGAGAGTAGGTGGTAGCGAGGGTCTAGTCTTCACCAAGGATGCACCATCCGATCTTGAATCGACTTCTTTCTTCTTCAAGGATGACGAGGATGAGCCAGAGAAAGCAAAGCCCAAGCCAAAGAAGGACTCTCGCGTTGGTGCTGTCGCAAAAGGAAACATCACAAGCACTAGACTGCGCAGTGAGCGTAGCACACAACCTAACGAGGAGAAGGAAGCTCAACGCAAGGATCATCAAAGAGAACTCCACTCCAAGAAGCAGCAACAAGGCCTGGAGAAGTATGGCGAGGGCACTGGCAACTTGAACGGTACCGAGGTGAAGAAGTTCAAGCGTTTCGAGTCGTACAAGAGAGACAACCAGTTCCCTTCGCGCGTCAAGGATCTTATTGTCTTGGTCGACGTCAAGAATGCTAGCATCATTCTGCCTATCATGGGACGTGCTGTTCCATTCCACATCAACACTATCAAGAACGTCAGTCAGACTGAGGAGAATGCCTTCTCTTTCTTGCGTATCAACTTCTTATCCCCTGGTCAGGGTGTTGGAAGAAAGGATGACCAGCCTTTCGAAGACCCCCTGGCTCACTTCCTCCGAAGCTTGACCTTCCGTTCCAAGGATACTGACAGAATGAACACCATCGTCGCACAAATCACCGACATGAAGAAGGACGCAGTGCGCAAGGAACAGGAGAAGAAGGATCTCGAGGATGTTGTCGAGCAGGACAAGCTCGTTGAAATAAGAAATCGCCGACCTCAGCGTCTCGACAACATTTTCATGCGTCCCTCATTGGAGTCCAAGCGCATTGGTGGCTCGGTTGAGATTCACCAGAACGGTCTGCGTTATGCTCACATGGGTGGTGTCAAGGTTGATGTTCTCTTCAGCAACATCAAGCACCTCTTCTTCCAGCCTTCCCAGCATGAGCTCATCGTCATCATCCACTGTCACTTGCACAATCCTATCATGATTGGAAAGAGGAAGACCAAGGACATTCAGTTCTACCGTGAAGCTACAGAGATGCAGTTCGATGAGACGGGTAACCGTAAGCGCAAGCACCGCTATGGTGATGAGGAGGAGTTCGAGGCAGAACAGGAGGAACGCAGACGTCGTGTCCAGCTCGACAAGGAGTTCAGATCGTTTGCCGAGAAGATCGCCGACGCTGGCAAGGGTGACAACCTTCAAGTCGACATGCCTTACCGCGACCTCGGTTTCAATGGTGTCCCGGCTCGCTCAAGCGTTTACATCCAGCCTACCACCGAGTGTCTCATCCAGATCACCGAGCCTCCGTTTACTGTCATCACACTCAACGACATTGAAATCGTCCATTTGGAACGTGTCCAGTTCGGCCTGAAGAACTTTGATATGGTCATCGTCTTCCAGGACTTCCAGCGTCCTCCAGTTCACATCAACACAATTCCTGTTGAATCACTCGACAGTGTCAAGGATTGGCTGGATTCAATCGACACACCCTACTCAGAAGGTCCTCTCAACCTGAACTGGGGTACTATCATGAAGACCGTTACTGCTGACCCTCACGAGTTCTTTGCTGGTGGTGGTTGGTCCTTCCTTGCCGCCGAGTCAGACGACGAGGAACAGAGTGAGGAAGAGGAGAGTGCCTTCGAAGTCAGCGACGAGGATCTCGCTAGTGACGAGAGCAGCGAGGACGAGTCAGACTTTGACGATGATGCCAGTGCCGACGCCAGTGAGGAGGAGATGAGCGAAGACGAGAGCGGCGAGGACTGGGACGAGATGGAAGAGAAGGCCAAGAAGCGCGATCGCGAAAGCGGCCTTGACGATGAGGACAGACGTCCTGCCAAGGGTGGCAAGTCCAAGAAGCGATAGATGATATGGATTGAGCTCAATGCTTGATTAATATGTCTAACGAGCCTCTAAACAGAAGGGTTATTTCTTGGTTGCTTTTCGAGGAGTTTCGGGCGTGCAAAGGGCGACAGGGAGGTATTCATGACTGATACTGACAAGTACTCGGGGGTCAAACTTATTGAGGTAGTGGAAAACAAGACCCTTCTCTTATTCCAAGAAGCTCGTGTGTAATTTGGAAGTGTGTGTCTCGTGAGAAATCGTTGTATATGAAGATCCATCAATTATATCAAAACAAGAACCCAGACAAGAACGCCAATCATGACAGCCTCCCAACCGGGGGGTATATAACATAAATCCTTAACCATGCAATATTCCGAGCGCCATCATCTATCATGCATACATGATGTTGCGTATATAGAAAGAAAGATTCATCATCCACCACACAATCTCTTTCAGATGCTCTAAAACTTTTCCATCAAGTTCTTTCTCACCGTCCACATTCTCGCTCTCTTGCCATAGATGTACATCGGGATGGTAAAAAGCAAACACCCCAATTGAATGCCACCCAGAGCCAAAAACACAGGTTTGGGTCCATCACTCTCAAGCCACTCGTTAAAAAAANNCAGCGAAAATACCAAGCCGTGGAAAATATTCTTGGAAAAGTTGAGGGTGACGAGGGCTTCTCCGGCGTATTGGCGATAACTGTCTACGGCAAAGGTGATGGCAGTGGTGGAGCCTACACAGCAGCCGAAACTGATGATGCCAAAGAAGACGGTGGGCACGATCCAGGCGTCGCGTTCCGAGACGCTCCAGCCGTAGCCCATGAGCCCGATGACGGTGCTGATGGTGACGGGGATGGCCATCAAGAGGCGGAATTCGGGTTCGTAGACGCCGTCGTTCTTGCGGCTCATCCAGCGTACGATGACGTCGGAGAAGCGGCCGGCGACGGCGGTGCCGAGGATGCCGCCGATGAAGGGAGAGATATAGACCAGACCCACTTGTAGGGAGGTGAAGTTGTATGTCTCGCGGTTCTTGTAGATGACCGAGACGGACTCGGAAAGCACGATCAGCCAGCCGACTGAGAGTGCATACACCAAAGATGACCAAAGAATGGCTGGGTATGCAAACAAGATGAATGGGCGAAGGGCGACCTTGAACCAACGGTCTTGAGATAGACGTCCAGCATACGGCTTCAAAGTCTCAACGAAAGACTTTGGTGGCGCAGAGCGGTAGAAAGATGTATAACCCATTCCGGGATTGTTTGCGTCGAGAGAGAAACCGGGAGACGGAGGTACACTATCGAATTGAGCGCTGTGGGATCTCGCATGGCTGTGCTGAGATGTGGGCCTATAAGACACAAACGGATCATCTCCTGGTGATAAGTGTTGCGGGCCAGGAGAGTAATGTGCCGATCCTGGCGATAGCGCACTTGCTTGAGGAGATAGTTGTGATCTGGGAGAGGCAGGTTGCATGGCAGGAGAAGGAGGCTGCAATGAAGCATCATGCTGAGGCTTTTGTGGTGTTTGAGGCTCGGGACCCTCAGCAGCTTCGGGTGATGGGAGATTCAAAGCAGGTACGCTCGGCTTTCTACTGTCTGCAGGAGCGATCTCGTCATCGTCTGGCTCACTGAAATGAGCATGTCTTGACAAGCGCTTTTCTCCTTTTGTTTTAGTAGGACTTTCACTGTGAGCCAATTCGGTCTTCTCTCCCTTTTCCAATTCAGGCGCGGCCTCATGTGCGTGTGTGTCAGCATGGCCTCGATGGAAGATGGAAGCCAATGATATATTGCTCATCAACCTCGGCCTGTGCTTGTGTGAGTGCCGAGAAGGTCTCGGTGTACGATCCCAGAAAGTCTCGGGGACGAAGAGGAACAATAGAATAGCACCAAATGACACAACGATAGCGACGATCCAAAAGACCCATCGCCAACCAAGCGACTGTATAATGGCAGCACTCACCAACGGGATGAGGTTCTTACCACCAAGAAGGAGGAGAGTGTATATACCCAGTCGGTAGGCACGCTCGTGCAAGAAGAAGATCTCGGCGATAGTTGCAGAAGGAAGACATTCAACAGGACTGACAGCCATGCCCATGACAATGCGTGCGACTACCAAGGAAGCATAGTTGGGAGACAATGCACACCAGACAGCAGACAAGACGAAGATGACTGACGCGACAAGGTATACAGGTCTCTTGCCATACAGAATAGCGGTAGGCGAAGCAACAACGCTACCGAGACCAAGTCCCAGCATGTAAAGGCCGGTGGTCAGAGCAACCTGAGGCACGGAAACGTTGAATGTTTGCGAAACATTGACGAAGCCCGCAGCGAGAACAGGTGTCATACCACCACCAAGCATGCAGAAGAAGCCTAGAGACAGCAGGGCGCAGTCTCGACGCCATTTTGGCCAGTTCAGCGGATCGTTCAGAGACTCGTCCGGTTGTGGTTCAAGAACAATGCCATCTCCAGTCTGTTTCTTGTCCGGAGTGGGAGGTACGATAGAGCCGGTACGAGAGCGTGGAGCGATGGAGCCGTTTTGAGAGTGCGAGTAAGGGAAGGGAGAGGGTAGCGACGAGGTCGATGTTCTGGCAGGTGTGTTGCGAAGTCCGAGCGGTTCGTTGCGATTGGATACTTTCGAGAGCAGCAGGACAGAGCCTAGACGAGTCAGTCCAGAGCACACGAATAAAAAAGCATAACAATTGGGCGACTCACCAGGAACCTCGTCCGTCTCCTTGTCGTTCAAGATGCCCAAACTCCATTTGACCGGTCGCTTTTTCAGGGACTCTTCCGAGTCAGTCTGCGAGTTGCGATTCTGCTTGGACCGGGGCCAGGACCGGCTTTCCTGGCCGTCGTGTTCCTTCTCTGCGACCATGGCAGAAGACTAAAGATGGTACAATTGCGATAAGGCTATGACGAGCGCTGGTGTAGCGCAAGCCGGGGATATATACACTATCAGAGAGGCGGTGTAACTCGGGCCCCGTTAAGGATGATCAGGAGGCCGTCAGATAATAGGTACGTCGGGTACAGGTTTGAGTAGGGGTAGGCTATGGCCTATGGCGTGGGCGGTCTGTCTCGAGACTCGACTGTTATCAAACTAGGCACTAAGAGCTGTCAGGTGGGCGATTCTGACACCGTGATAACAACGCCAGACTAATGCGAGCCATGGAGCGTGACTCTGATGCAGGAGTCCGACACGGCAGCGGACGCAGCGATGGATGCTGTTTTGAAACGCCTTCTGGCTGGGCGCAACCACCGCAACCACGCTCAAAACCAAAGGGACAAGAGTCTTTCGGCCTCGTCATTCCTTGGCCCTTCGATGCTGCATTCTAGCGCCACATCTGCTTCAAGTTCGGCCAATCGCCGTCCGCTAATCATTTGACCCCTAACTTTAATCCGACAAACATGCTCGCTGATCCCAGCAGCCACCTCCGCGATAAGCCCAACAATAGAGACACCTTTATACAAACACGTTTTCCTCTGGCGTCCAAGCAAGCGAGCTGTCGTAGTTACATCGAAAGAGTCCCTAACGTGTACTGAATACTTTGATCAGGGGTGCTCGCCTAGAAATTCGGCACCGGTATACTTTGTCCAAGACTTGGTATTGAAATTAAATTTGTGGTTCTATTATCTTGCTCCCGGATCTTTCGGAAAATGGTAGAGAACGCATTCACCTTCTTACACAGCACATGATGTTTCCAGAACTTCGCTCAGCTATAAATTTCTATCAGGTCAATCGGGCTGCGTCGAGTGCCATTAGACATGACTCGTGGGATAAGATTCCATAGCCCTAATAGAGATGCTCTCTTCTAGTCATCCTTGGCGTCCTGGCCATCCTTGTTCTTGCGTGGCTCAAAGTTCAGCTGTGTTTCGTCAGTCACCGCGGTCTTCACGTTTGACCGCTCAGAAGTACTCACCTGGTTACCATTGTACAATTCCGTGTTCTGTTCTGCCTCTCGTCTTTGGTCGCCGAGTGTGCGAATGTTGATGCCGGCTGACCTATTGGCCATTCTGTCCGCTTCTACACTAGAAGCCTCACGTTCGTCCCCTGTACCAGCCACGTAGGGACCGGGCTGGTTGTTTGCTCCTGAGGCGTAGCCCATGACACCGCCTACAGCACTTCCAAACATGCTTGCCGCTCCTGACAAGAGTCCATATCCGGCGTTCAAGCCCTTAGAAACCAATCCACCGCTGCCGTTGGCATAAGCATCTGTGTAGCCCTTGATTGGCACCAAGACTAAGGTCGCGCTAGGTGTCAGACCGAGCGACTTGAGTGATTCACCCTCTTCACCAACCGAGATGTTACGACTGGGGTTGGGCAGGAGTATCTGACGGAACTCGTATGGCACGTCAGTTTGCGAGTTCTGTGAGATATATGTCCTTACTGAAGTTGCAAGAGTGGCAGAAGGATCAAACTTTGTTCGCAGCGAACTACCGTCGAACAGTCTGATCTGGAGCGCACAAACGTCAGAGTTCCTTCCAGGCGCGGTATCGGTGTGTACTGGTAGCTGTGCGGCTGCTGTAGATGGCTCGCCCTGAGCGGCCAGTCGTCTTTGTTGTTCCTTCTCTTTCCTTGCAGCCTTGTCAGACTCGATCGATTTGAGGATTCGCTCCCTCTCGAGGCGTGCTTCTCTGTTGCGGTTTCGTTGTTGATCGGCCCAGTCCTGTTTGTTCTGGGGGAGTGACGACGATTCGGCTGCTTGCTTGTCCGCTGACTCTTTACGTGCTTTCGCTGTAGCCTTGCGTGCCTCCTTCTCCGCCTCTTCTTGTTTCTTGCGTTCAGCTTCGAGACGTGCTCCGCGCTCGGTCAGGAATTGTTGCATCGTCACATTGTTGCCTTGACTGGTTGGTGCTGGGATCGGAACGTTCGTCTCTGCATTCTCCCGAGGAGCTGTGTCTGACTCTTGTAGCGTCGTTCCTCTCTCACCAATGAAAGGGACGTTTGACAGAACTTGGCTGACATCTGCGGTGGCCGAGTCTTCGTTTGCAGGAATAGGGTTGGTTGATTGTGGTAGCTGCTGTTGGGCAGGAGGTTGTAGTAGAGCAATTATACGCTTCTTGAATTCTTCCTCGGTAACGGTTGCGTCAATGTTTTCGACGACAGAGCCTGCTCGTATGACCAATAGCTTTGGCAAAGAGTCAAGAGAACAAAAGGCCCCCAGAAATCCAGCTTCGACGGATCCTGCATCGATTCGGAGCAGAACTGCTTTCTCGCCTAGTTGCTCTCCTAGCGACTTCTGTCCGTCTGTATCCGCATCAAGAGGAGCAGTCAACCATTCGGCCTCCCACTTCTGGCTTGTGTCATCGTCATCNTGACAACTTGTTAGGCTGCGTAGGATGGAAGGTGTGTCAGCTGGCTCACCTTGTCTAACGAAACAGGCAACCAGCTTATGCTGCTGGATCGCCTGCGAGATACCACTCTGCAAGTCTCCTTGGAAAAACATGACGAATATGTCGTGGTAAAGATGATGAAGAAGGAAGAGGGTGCTGCACTCGTACAACTGTTTCTACCCCAGGCGAATCACATGCAACAGCGTCACCGACACACGGTCCCTGCACCGCCAAGCATATCAGTGTTCAGATCAAACTCCGACATCAACCTAGATCTTGTTGTCGAGAATATCAGGACCATGCATACATAACAACCCGTCATCGTTATCTCTGGCAATGAGTACGGCGCCTTTTGGGTACAGGCCGTCATCCGAGGCCTTCGAGCGGCCTGATACAAAAGACAGTCCAGGAGACAAACGCCAAAACAATGCAACTACAGGTAGGAGAGATGGATAATGATCAAAGTGGTTTCACGGTTGTTGAAGGTCAATAGGAGCATCGGCCGCTGGCATGCGGGCTCTGACTGCGCGCATGTTCGCTTTCTACTTTAGGGTACCCGTAAAAGCATTCTTTCGAACAAGGATCGAGTAAGCGTAAACTATGACTTGATATATAGAATATACGCTGACTGATCGGTAGCTATCTTGTATGTGCTTCCGTGTAACTGAATCTATCCTTGTTGCCAGGCTGACTCAGATGAGGNCTTTCCCGAGGGCTATCAACCCTCTTCTACAGACCAGTGGGAAATGGTCCTGGAAAATGACTACTCCTGGAATATTGGCTTATGCTGTACAAACTCATGGATGGTCGTTCATTCCTAACCAGGTTCTGCCTCCATTGCTGGCAAACGTTACTGTTGGAGCAGTTCTATACACATCCTACCTCGGTGCACTTGGCCTTTACTACGAACCGGCTTCACACTCCTCTAAGAGAATCTACCCACCAGCTCCATTGTCCTTAACATTTGCAGCTGGCTTCTCTGCGGGCGCCTTCCAGAGTGTCGTTGCCGCACCTTTGGATGCCCTCACAATTCGGTTTAAGACAACCGATCTTACTCAGGGCTCGTACAAGAACATGTGGGACTATGCTTCGAAGAAACTTCAGACCATCGGCGTCCGTGGTGCGTTCGCAGGATGGGGGCTTTCGTTCGTTAAAGACTCCTTTGGATATGGTCTGTTCTTTGGAGCATTCGAGTTCATCAAGTCTCAATGTTTCTATGAGTACGTGAGTCACTGGTACTCGCGTTACGGTATTCTATCCATGTTCCATAAGCATCAGATCGAGCTGCAGAGAGTCAGCGATCAAGAGGAACGGCCAGTGATTAAGCCACATTATCTCATGGAGCCCTCATTCATACTTCTTGCTGGCGCAACAGCAAGTGTGCTACAACAAGCTGTTGCCCATCCCCTCACGCGGATACAGGAGCTTCACTTCCAGCGATTGGCAACACTCGATGAACTGTTGCAAGCTAGACCGGGGCGAATGGACACCATGCAATTATATGCTCGAGCGTATCAGAAAACATGGATACAGGCTGGCAAGCGTGCAACAAAATCAGGAGGCTGGCTAAGATGGCTGTATCAGGACTTCTGGATGACAACGTTGCGTCAGGTACCATCAACCGCGGCTGGTCTGATTGTGTTCGAGATCTTCCGTCGCAAATATGGAATTGGAGAGGACGCCGTTAAGATTCCGAAGGATGAATATGATATCTTACTGCCCTGATCTTGGACCGCTGGCTCACTCAAGTCATAGAATGTTAGTCCAGGAAGTCCTCAAGCCCAGTCAAGATCTGTTCCCATCTGGCTTGGAGGAGTTTGAGCTTGTTTGCAAGATCGCCTGTTTTCTCTTCTGCAAGCGCTTTCAGGGACGCAATAGCTTCTTTAGCTTCTTCGGTGTAAGATTCAAGAGAGGGTCTCAGCCAATCGAGAACTTCGTCCTCTTTGTCGTCTGCGAGGTCCTCTCCGGAACCCATGAAGTGCTCCCACTCGTTGGCTGTAAGGAGTACCGAGCGCACGGCAACCTGCGTCTTGAAGCACAATTCACCAGAGCTTGGTAACAACGCATAGCCACCAAGGAAGCCCACATCTTGCAGAGCGCTTTGTTGGGTCTCGGTCAAGCGGGACAGTAATACGTGGTCCAGACGGATCTCGTCGTCATCTAGGCTGGTATCGGGAAGGATGAATCCATCTATATCGTGTGTCAGTTGGATTTATATACATACGCAACACATCACCCTTACANNGTGCACTAGGAGCTTGTCGTTCGAATGAGCTCCGTACGTAGCTAGTATCTCTTCTCCGGGTTCTGTTCAAGGTTGTACTGTTAGTTGTGTGCCACGACGGATCACGAAACACGTACCATAGTTTCGGTTTGCTTTCAGTTCATAGCCTTGTGGCGACATCGTGACTTCACACTGCCTGTCTTCAGTAAGGGAGGCATCCGACGATCTTTCAACACTTACACCTTGACCGTTCGGACAGTGGTTCATGTAGTCCAATGCAGGATTCATAATCATGGCACCTTGGCTGACGCCTTGGGGCTTCCAGTGGAAACTGCGTGTATTGACGAGCATCCAATGGTAGAGAAACTCACGCTTGAATGCTTCATCGTCGGGAGCGTGCATGTGTTCTACAGAATCAATGTCTCGCTTCAAGTCTGACAGCATGCGGTCCAGTGGTTTTTGTACACTCGGTGGAGCCCATTTGCGTAACACATCTTCCAGTTCATCCTTCGGAGACCAAGCAAGCATGCAAGAAGTAAAATCTTCAGGTTTTGGCCAAGCAGGTCTCGAAGCGACGTACGTGGAAGATTGGCTCTTCCATTCCAGAGTGAGATGTGCGGCTAGTTGAGCCTGCGAAGATAGTTTCGTCAATTTGTGCTTGCGGAGTGTTGCCATCTCAGGTTTGATCATGGCTTTNTCCGGCACAAAGAACAGCACATCATCTTTCTTTATATCTTCTTTTGCCAACAGGCCGACACCTCTACCAGGAAGCACGGCGGGTGTAACTCCATGGATCTCAATTCCTCGGGCAATTGCCCATTCGACGTAGGCAGCGTGAACTTCCGGTATATTAAAGACCAGACTAGCATTGGATGTCTTCCGTCTCTTTGATGGAGGGTCTGTAGGCATGGTGATGTGCACGCGTGTTGTGAGAGAATTATGGTCTCAGAATCCCCGCAGTTCGCTGGCTTTGGAGTCAAACATGGAAGCCCAACGGTTATCACATTGCACGGCAGCCGCGTGAAAAAGCCTCAGCTGGCTGAAGACCATGTCTCAGACTTTATATCCGCGTTGCATTTCGTGGCTCTATGATATCGTCGGCAGAAGGGCCTTTTGATTACGCGAATGAGTATAGGTAGCTATCACCACCGTTTCAGATGTCGGGTTGAGCATGCATGCTGGAGCGAACAAACTCAACAATGCTCTCAAGAAATACTCTACTATTGTAGTAGGATCTCAGTGAGGATAGATCAGGTCATGCTCAACTCAAGCAAGGAAGGCCCGCCCCAATGAACCGCCTTGCATATCACAGGTTGGCAGTATATGAGAGCAGAGAACCGCGTGCTATGTATGCAGATTATTGTCGTGACAGCAAGGTCAAAGAAAAGGAGGTTCTCGAACAGCTGAACCGTCGACTAGACCGTGACTCGGGACAGCAGTTCAGGCGCTATTACTTTACATGAGAAGACGGAGGGAGGGGCTGTGAAGCAACAGTTGGGCTAGATTCGAGGTAAGTCTCGCACGTTACCGGGGCTTGCCGCGTTGCAGCGTTGGGCTTGGACACACCGGGCGCATCTTTGAAGATTCCCTCTCACACCCCCCTTCAAGTTCAACTTCCAGCAGCGACTCTATCCTCAGGGCTATCCAGGTCGACCGCCAACTTCTTCTTGGCCCCGTCGTCCCCCCTGCCACGCCCTGTCGTCGACATCTGTCGCTTCTTTCTGCTGCCAACAAACTCCAGGTGCGTGACCCACCAACCCCCGTCCGGTCAGCTGCCTGCCACGCATACTCTATCACTGCCCGCATCTCTCTACCGACACTCGGCTTCTTTCATTTCCAAGTTGGACGCCGTTTCTGCCTATTGTTCCTTCACTCTGCTTCCCTGCTTTTCTTCGTCCATCCTCTCATCTGCTTCTCATCCTTCCTTCCCCTCTGATTCGCTGGCTTGGACCTGCCTCCGCTTACCCCCTTCGCCTTGCTGACGTCGCCGTTGTCTCTCTACAGATCCCTCCATCTCCATCACAACCTACTTCTCCCGCCTCAGCGACGGCTCACTCTCACAACAATTAAAGCATGACAACAATGGTACGACATGGTTATCTCGACCACATCTCGGCTTCACCACTAACCCACAACAGGACCTCCGCGTCGGTAACAAGTACCGTATCGGTCGTAAGATTGGTAGCGGCAGTTTCGGTGACATCTACCNNTTGGTATGCAATGCTCGCTATTTCCCCTCCACAATCTCGTTCTGACCTAGTCTCACAGGCACTAACATCATCTCTGGTGAGGAGATTGCCATCAAGCTCGAAAGCGTCAAGGCCAAGCACCCTCAGCTCGAATATGAGGCTCGTGTCTACAAGTCTCTTGCCGGCGGTGTCGGTATTCCCTTCGTCCGCTGGTTCGGCACTGAATGTGACTACAACGCCATGGTCCTCGACCTCCTCGGCCCTTCGCTTGAGGATCTCTTCAACTTCTGCAACCGCAAGTTCTCCCTGAAGACTGTCCTCCTCCTGGCCGACCAGCTCATCTCCCGTATCGAGTACATCCACGCCAAGTCCTTCATCCACCGTGACATCAAGCCCGACAACTTCCTCATGGGTATCGGCAAGCGTGGAAACCAGGTCAACGTTATCGACTTTGGTCTGGCAAAGAAGTACCGTGACCCCAAGACTCACTTCCACATCCCTTACCGTGAGAACAAGAACTTGACTGGTACTGCTCGTTATGCCAGTATCAACACTCACTTGGGTGTCGAGCAGTCTCGCCGTGACGACATGGAGTCTCTGGGTTACGTGATGCTTTACTTCTGCCGTGGCTCCCTGCCTTGGCAGGGTCTGAAGGCTGCCACTAAGAAGCAGAAGTACGACCGCATCATGGAGAAGAAGATGACCACTCCCACCGAGGTTCTGTGCCGTGGCTTCCCCAACGAGTTTGCTATCTACCTCAACTACACCCGCTCGCTTCGCTTCGACGACAAGCCCGACTACTCGTACCTTCGCAAGATTTTCCGCGATCTCTTTGTCCGTGAGGGCTTCCAGTACGATTACGTCTTCGACTGGACCGTCTACAAGTACCAGAAGAACGCTCAGGCCGTTGCCCAGGCTGCTGCCAACCAGCCTCAGGCCGAGGAAGCTGAAGAGAAGGCTGGTCGCACCCGCACTGCTGCTGCTACCGGCGGCCAGACTGCCGGTGCCGTCACCGATAAGCGCCGTGGCCCAGTGGCACCCCGTGCAGAGGGATCGGGAATGTGAGTTCAATCTCGTCATCCTGTAAGACTCCCCTGCGTTTGAGTGCTCTTGCGTGAGGCTTGCCGCGGGGGATATTTGGTACGTGTGCTGACGTGCTGGCTCCTCTCAGGCAACTCCGCTCCTCAAAGCGTGGCGTCGAACAGCAGGGATACAACAACTACTGATCGCTTGTCTTCTGTTGCGAATTCGGAGTCTCAATTGTTCCTTGGGACTATCGACTCTGATCAGCAACATGGTTTCTTAACTCAACTCTTGTGGCAGAATGCAGTTTTGCCGTCCTGGACGTTTTACGGACGGCGAAAGATGCATCCACATTCTTATGTTGTCTGCAATTTCCGCTATTGGGGGTTACGCCGATTGCTTCTCGGCGGCATCATCCTACCCAGACAATTATGCTCAACTCGGAGTGGCTATAAGCATTCGACCCTTATCTCGGGTTTCATATGCTTCGACTAGAGCATAGCGGATTCGGATTTCATATCTGGCAGTGTCACTCGGCAGGCTTCTCGCTTCATCGCTGGTCGACCTGCAGTTTTATCCGGCCACTCTCGGTACATCAGATTGCACGTATCATTTGGCACCCCTAATCATCCACTATCCGTTTTCANTTTTCTATCTGTTTTGCTTTGTCGCTTGGGATNCCGGGGACGGCTTGTGGGGAGGTNTCAAGCATCAGGGGACGACATACACAGGAGNNAGAAAGATTCGAACAATCCAGATTGAAACCACAACCGACAGAGTTGATCAGCAAGGGACCGGACCTGAGGAATGGCATATATCTCGCTTCTGGCAAAGAATGGCGGTCCTTGCAAAACATGGTCAAACGGCCGGCTTGTCCTTTTGTTCGAAGAACGGAGATGGATGCTTCTGGGGCAGTTTCTAGTTTAGTTTATTATGTAGCTAGTCTTTCTTGCTTTTGCCCTTCCAATTCACAACACTCTCATTTAATGTCTCCTCTCTTCGCGTGTCTCATACATTCGGGCGTCTAGAGATGTGTTCAGCTCACTCAGTATTCTTTAGACATCCTTGCTGTGGCTTGCAACGGCTTCCCTGTGTGCTGAAGACAGTCACGATTTTGCAATCGACCCTTCCTTCATGTCGAGTATAAGGAGCATTATAAGCTATCAAAATGTATAGATGTAACTCGACATGAGACCAGCCACTGAGATAGCCATTAATGAGACTCTCTTCTTCGATACTACATTCTTTACAAGTCTTTCGCATTTCTGTAGCCACGACCCTGGACAGCTGTTTCCAGCTGTTCACCGCCCGGCAGACCTATTCGCTGACCATTAATTATTTGCCGCCGCATTTCTTGCATTTACACGCAGAGCATATCCGTCTTGAACTCTTACTAAATCGCATCAGGCTACTTCGCGCAGACCTACCAACTAAACAAATGACACTCGCGCCGATCCATCAATCAATATGCACAACCTGCCGACTCCGTTCTCTCGTGGCAGCAAAGCAATACGCCAGAGCTCGAACACCGACCTCACGAGACTGGTCACGACTGAGACAACCGACATTCGCGCGATACTTGCATGCTTCTAGAGTCAGCTTGGAACAGCAGAAAAAGTCTACTAGACAAGAGGAGGAGTTTGCGACGGGTTCTGGCATCAAGTCATCTCAAACAGTGGACAAGAAACTCCAGGCGGAACAAATAGCGCGGCACGCACAAGAAGACTTTGAGCTGGATGATATAGAGACTCTTGTCGCCGAAGACGTAGAACCAGCACATGCCACAGGAGCACTGAATGCCTCTCCCGAAGACGTTGCTCGAGCAGCTCGTCAGCGATTTGGAGATGCACTGCCGGATAACCTTCTGAATGACGAGCAATATACAGCCTATGAGCGTCTATACGGACCACCGATTGGAAACACCAAGGACGACATAATCGACTTCGAGGAAAACGAGCTAGAAGGAGAACTGGAAGAAACAGACAATGTCGGTACGGGTATACTGAGAGAGAACGAAGACGGTGTTCTCGAGGAGGTCGAGTACATCGAAGAGGAGGAAGAGTTTGATGAGGAGGAAGACTACGAGTTGACGGAGGAAAATGGCGATCAGGCGGAGCTGGACACGGATATTGCTGCTGCAGGTCTCGATGCTCAGACTCTCAATGACCTGGCTGCTCTGCGCTTGGGTTCGGAACAAGAGCAACTCGAGGATTCTGAGGAGCAGGTCGAGGCACCATACGATCACACGCGAGCACATCCATTGACTGTGGTCAACCGATTTGGCACGCCTTCTTCTACTGTGCAACTACCGACATCTACATTTGTTGATCCTGTTACTCGGCTGGTTTCGGGCGTTCCAAACAAACACATTTCAGAAGTTGCTCATCGCATCTTTGGTGGTGTCGGACTGCCATACTCGACTTCGACGCCACAGCGCGCAGTGAACATGCCGCAAAAGGCTATCCCCTTGAATCCCGGTCAAGGCAGAATGAGCGAGATGGATGCCGATATCTTTACAACCACTCTGATGCCTGGTATCTATGCGAGTGTATTCAGCGTTCTGGTGGAAACACGTAAACGTTTGGGTAGCTCATGGTTGGAGGGCCTATTGACAAAAGAAGGCGGACCTCGTATTCTGGATGCTGGCGGTGCAGGCGTGGGTGTCATGGCTGCAAGAGATGTCCTTCAAGCAGAGTGGGAGCGCATGCACGACACAAGCGAAGACGAAGATTCTTTCATGGCCATTGCAGAGGCTGGCGGCAAGACTGGTGGCGAGTCCATCCCTGCACCTGTCGGCAAGGCAACTGTCTTGACCAGCAACGAGGCATTGCGCTTCCGCTCCAGCAAGCTGTTGGATAACACTACTTTCCTGCCTCGTTTACCTGATTACATGCACGCCAGTGATGAATCTGCCCGTGAGCGCGGCAAGTACGATATCATCATTGCACCACACACTCTTTGGCCTTTGAAGGAGGACCACATCCGCAAACAGCATGTCAAGAATCTATGGAGTTTGCTTAGCACCGATGGAGGTGTTCTGGTCCTTTTAGAGAAGGGTGTTCCTCGCGGCTTCGAGATGGTAGCCGCAGCACGCGAGCTACTCTTGAACTCCCGCATCTCTTCTCCAGGTAACGAAGCCATGTCCGAAGACGTTGAGGAACCAGGAGAAGGCACAGTATGGGGCAAGCAGCCAAAAGACAAGGGCATGATTGTGGCCNCCTGCACCAACCACCTTGGCTGTCCCATGTACGTCAACCGTGGCATCAGCAAAGGCCGCAAGGACTTCTGCCACTTCAAGCAGCGCTTCATCCGACCTCCGTTCCTGCAAAAGATCCTCGGAGCAAAACACAGAAACCATGAAGATGTGGAGTTTTCGTACGTCAGTGTCATGAGAGGCCGTGACCTCCGTGACAGAGACGAGGAGAACATTATTCAGGGTGAGGTTGCGACAGATAGGGCATTCATCGGGTTTGAAACCCCTCAAGCCGTGACTGAGCAGGTTGAAGATGAGTTCGATCCTACAGCACCTGCAGTTCCTGATGTTGAGGAAGTTTCTGCAGAGGAAGAACCTCATTCGTTGAGTCTACCGCGTGTTGTGTTGCCTCCTCTCAAGCGTCAAGGCCATGTCATTATCGACATGTGTACGCCAGCCGGCACACTCGAGCGCTGGACAGTGCCTCGCAGTTTCTCCAAGCAAGCCTATCGGGACGCACGCAAGAGCTCTTGGGGCGATATCTGGGCGCTAGGAGCCAAAACCAGAACGCCTCGCACTGTGCGTGTTGGCAGAGGCAAGGAGGAACTCGGAGGCGTGGACAAGAAGAAGAAGAACAAAGCAAAGAACACAGTCGAGGTAGGCTATGACTCGGCTGGTAACATCAAGGAGGAGGATATCAAGGTCAAGACGGGCGGACGCATGAGACAGGGTAAGATCAAGGGCATCAGAGACAAGCGTGACAAGAAGGCCGATGGAAGAGGCAGGAGAAAGAACCTGGACAAGGAGTAATCGGCGAACAAGTGTAAGATATACGAGTTTGAAACATCTCAGCTCTTTATAACGACCAATAACGAATATTGTAACCATATCCAAATCAAGCCGCGAGCATGAGATCAATGGGTTTGGAGCTTTGCGCGACTGCATTTCAAAAGACACTGGGATCCCAGAGAATAGATGTGGTATTTTTACAAGCGCTTCCTGTGGTTCTACAGAACCACGTTCAACTCTTTTCTCGTTATCGGCTCCTTTCTCAGGCGAGCATATTTAAACCACGGCTCTGACAACCTTGCCGGCCTTGGGGTTGCGGGGGTCGTTTCTGTACTCGTCGGCTGTAGGTGGTATAGCTTGTCAGCTGTCTTGTTCTTTCTTTCCACGCGATTATAGATTTTCAATGGGCCAATGCCGAAGAGCGCAAACAAGGCAGGGCTGGGAGAAGATGGGGTAGGACTGACTGTTGGCGAGAGTAGTGGCGAGCGAGTTGATGCCGTAGTAGATGATGGCGCCTGTAAGGGGACAAAGTATCAATACCCAGGTACTCTTCGGAGAAGCGCATGCGTCTATGATAGAAACGAACCGGCAACGAAGAAAGGTGCCATGGGGCGGGCTATAGCAAAAGAAGCAAGTCAGCATTCAGCCATGTTTCGATGGTCGCAGTGGAGCCCCAGAGCGCATTGAACATACCGATGGGGGTGGGGAACTTCTTTCCGAGGAGACCGGCCATTGTGACGGATGTGGTGGTTATGAGAGGAGAGGAGTGACGGAGAGGTATAGATTGACTGGAATGGACGTTGCTGTCGACTGAGCGCGGGCTTCTTTCGCAATCCTCAATCCGCCCATGCTTCGACCGTCGTCCCCCGGTGAGTCTTCTTGGCATCACGGGACGACGGTTTCCGCATTCACATGCGACCGATTGCTCTGCTTTGTCAACAATAAACATTCACATACGAAGTACACATATCGACCCTATGAGTATGACAAACAACACCCTGGAAAGCTGCGTCTCATCGCTGCGTTCGAGCATGCAATTGCTCGATTCATCCATCGGCATTCTCGATTCTGGCACTAGTGACTTTCCACGTTTGGCCAAGGTCCTGCAGGCCACTAGGGTAGGATTATCCTTTCTCCCCTTCACTCTACGAACAAATCTGACAATGACACTGTATAGCNATTTCGAACTTGTCTCCGAGCCTGAACTACAGAACGCCCAATCTGCCCTTCTCTCTGAAATCCAGCCCGAGGTCGAATCCTTGCTCGATCGTGTTGCTGCCTACCTCGACAAGCTACAGCGTCGCGAGGAGTCTTTAATTGCAAAGTGCGAGTTACAAGAGGGTCGATTGTCTTCGCGTCACCCTCAGCAACAATACCACCCGAGACCCTCCGCGAGCTCATCATCACATGCTGCCGCCAATCCGCTGGAAGAGCTCAAGATGCAGCAGCTTAGGCAGAAGAAAGATCGTCTCAGCTATGCTGTCGGCAGACTCGAGTTGCAAGCAAACCAAAGAGAGAGACAGTTGAGAAAGAGCATGGCTGGCTTTTGATTCATTTCAGCAAACACAATTATCTTGCAACGCCATATCCTCGCCCATCCGTCAATCGCTACTCAGTCTTCTTCGGACCATCCTCGATCTGTAGTGTCACTTTCTGGATACCGAAACCATGCAGGCATCTTCCGAGACGTGCAAGCCGTTCATTGTGCGTCTCTCTTGCTTCTTCAGGTCGGTCTGGTTCGTCTATATCCAAGCTGCTTCTCGACAGCACTTCTTGGCTTGCCATGGGTGACATGACAATATGCGCCGACCCTACGGATTGCTCTTGGCTTAATTGCCAGACATAGAGTTCATGCACTGACACCACTCCTGGTATCTTGCTCAATTCCTGGATGATCGCTTCGCTCTGAGCACTTGGTGGTGTGCTGCCCAGCAGTATGTGACCGCTTCTGAANAGCTGTGTCCGTCAGCAATGGCTTGACGAAACGACGAGTGCTTACTTACTGAGGGGCAGAGCGCTGCTCGCGATCATAAACGCTATGCCTACACCGACAGCGGGATCGGCATAGAATCTGTTTGGCGATCGCACTAGCATCATGACAAGAGCCGCAGCGATTACACCAAGGTTGTTCAGGATATCTCCGAAGATATGAATGACAACAGCATTGATTCCCAGGTCACCATGTGCGTGTTTGGCTGATGGATTTTCNCTGCGCAAGTCAGCCCTCTGCGGACGTTGCTGGCTGGAACAACGGTTTACGAGATCTGAGATTTCGAGAACTGGAGATCCAGCTTTCGGTTTCTTGCTATTGCTAGTGTGATCATGACCGTGGTCTNNGTTTTTGTCAACGTTTAGTCGTGTTCACACACAAAACATACTCATACCATGAACCACTAAGATGCATATCACATTGAGCAGAAGTCCTACGCAGCCCATGATGAGAACATTGCGTGGTTGATCGACGACTAGCTCGATTTAGCATCTGGCGAGACAATAGCAAAGGAGGTTTGTACCTTGGATGTTTATGAACCTTTCAATGGCTTGTAGAAAGATGCTCAGACCAAGAGCTATGAGGAAAGATCCGTTGAAGAAAGCGCCGAGGACTTTGGCTCTTTCCCAGCCGAACGCTAGACTCGCAGGGGCATCTTTGCGATCAGACAGCTAAGATGGCTTTAGCATGTTGTCAAAATCTCCTTGGGCAAGTCTAATCACCTTTGCAGCTACCAGAGCAACGCAGAATGCAATCAGGTCGTTCAGCNNTAGGGATACGTCAGTTCCGTTAGAGATTACGAGATGAGCTTGATGTACGTAATGGAAGGCATCAGCGATCAGAGCCAGTGATTTGGTACGGAAGCCAACTGCGAAAATGGTCAGAAAGTGGAAGACGTGATGAAGTATTAACATCGCTTTCGTCTCACCAACAAGCTCTGCGACGAAGAAGGCAGATGATAGGACAATGGCAACAACCAATCTGGTAGAAGTGGATGAGTTGCTGCGAGACATGTTGTAGTTTGCATAGGTGAGGGAAGAACTAAAGGAAAAGGATAACTCTGGAAGGGAACAGACATGAGGGAGGTCTAGTGTTGCTACATAGTTGAAGAAGAAAGAGCACCTCGTAGCACAAACATGTTAAATCATGGCAGTTGCCATGTACAAGTAGGACGATACCATCAGGGTTGAAGGACAAGAAGCGGCTAGCAACACTGATTTGATTTCTACAGAGCAGTGCTACCTGTCCAGTGGTACTGCATGCTTCCGCGTCAGAAACAGGAAGTTTCGACTACTATTGTGTTTGACAGCAAGGCGAAGACGGTGTTTCGAGAGAGGTGACCAGAAAGGGAACTATGAATCATGAGCGGTGTCGACGTCAAGCATCATGACTCTTGCCAGCAGTGATTCATCCCACATTTCGACCCAAGCACAAAAGACCCCGCTCTGCTTGTCGCAAGAATTATTGTCAGACATATACACATACAACATGGCTGAGGAAAACGCATTGGAAAGCAAGCCCGCTCAGTCGATCCCCGAGAGACCTAAGGACGCTCCTGNNCTGACGAGGCTGGCGCCGCACCTGCCGAGGGTGAGAAGGGTCCTTCAAAGAGCGCCTTGAAGAAGGCCGCCAAGGAGAAGGAGAAGGTGCGATTGGCCTTGGACCATAGACAGCAACATGCAGCTGACAATCGGACAGGCCGAGAAGGCAGCTAAGCGCAAGGCCGCCGAGGAAGCACAAAAGAAGCAGCAGGACGCCAACGATGTTTCGGCCAACGACTACGGCGAGTTGCCCATGATCGGCTCCCAGGAATACAAGCCCTCTGGTGTTTCGCGTGTCACCCTTGCCCAGATTGCCGACAAGTACAACGAGACCACTCCCATCGACGAGGCCGGTGGTGCTGAGGTCTGTTTCCGCGCCGTCGTCGAGAATGCCCGCAACCAGTCCGCCAAGCTCTCTTTCCTGGTCTTCCGTGAGGCTCTCAACACCATCCAGGCCGTTGTCGCCGCTAGCGACTCTCTGAGCAGACAGATGGTCAAGTTTGCTGGCAGCATTCCTTCTGAATCCATCGTGCTGGTCCACGGTCTGGTCAAGAAGACTCCCGAGCCCGTCAAGAGTGCTACCATCAGCCACCTCGAGATTCACGTTAAGAAGCTCTACATCGTCGCAAAGGCCGACAGCCAGTTGCCCATGCAAGTCTCGGATGCCGAGAGACCTCTGCCCCTCGAGGGTGAGGNNGAGGCCAAGGAGGACGAGAGCGGTCGCCCCATTGTTACTCTCAACACTCGTCTTAACAACCGTGTCATTGATCTCCGTGGCAAGCACAACCGCGCCATCTTTGCCATCAAGGATGGTGTCACTGCTCTCTTCCAGGAGTTCTTGCGCAACCAAGGCTTCATCGGTATCCAGACCCCCAAGCTGCTCGGTGCTCCTTCTGAGGGTGGTGCCAACGTTTTCGAGGTTGGCTACTTTGCTACCAAGGCTTTCCTGGCTCAGTCGCCCCAGCTGTACAAGCAGATGCTGATTGCTGCCCGTTTCGAGCGTGTCATGGAGGTCGGTCCCGTTTTCCGTGCTGAGAACTCCAACACCGCTCGTCACTTGACCGAGTTCACTGGTCTGGATCTGGAAATGGCCTTCGAGGAGAATTACCACGAGGTCGTCGAGGTCCTTGAGAACCTCATGTTGTACATCTTCAACGGCCTCAAGACAAAGTACAAGCGCGAGACCGACCTGGTCCGCAGCATCTACCACGTCGAGGAGTTCAAGCTTCCCGAGGCTGGCAAGGTGCCCCGTATTCCCTTCAGCGAGGGTATCCAAATGCTGCGCGACGATGGCCTCGAGATTGGCGACTTTGACGACCTCAGCACACCCGATGAGAAGCGTCTCGGTGCCCTCGTGCTCAAGAAGTACGGCTCCGACTTCTACGTCCTCGACCAGTTCCCTCTTAACATCCGTCCCTTCTACACCATGCCCTCACACACCGCCCCCGCCCACCAGGCCGGCGCAAAGGACCCCAATGCTGGCTACAGTAACTCGTACGACTTCTTCATGCGCGGCCAGGAGATTCTGTCTGGTGCCCAGCGTATCCACGATGCAGAGTTCTTGTGCAAGCGTATGAAGGAGCATGTCAGCCCCGTCGACCCCAACTCGGATGGTCTTCGCGACTATGTCAACGCTTTCCGTTACGGATGCCCGCCCCACGCTGGTGGTGGTATTGGTCTGGAGCGTATTGTCATGTTGTGGTTGGGTCTTCCTAACGTCCGTCTTGCGTCGCTGTTCCCTAGAGACCCTAACCGTGTCATGCCTTAAGCGGACTTCTTACCCACAACTCAGATCAAACACACCAAAAAGTATCATGGTTCATGTAGACATGCCAAAAAATTCACATTTCATTTTTCTCATTATTTTTACGTGGTTCTTTTGCTCAAGTCGTGGTTTCTTCCTCAGGTGCTTTGCTCGACCGCCAAATCTTCGGTCTGAGGAGTAACAGTCTTCAACTCCTCGACCGCGTTGGCAGCCACATCTCGCATCTCCGTCTTTGTGTCATCGTTATCCTTGCCCTGCTTGACCAAATCCCTCCACTCCTCCAACTTGGCAGCAGCTTCTTTGTTGCTTTCCTTGACCATTTTGATCATCCTACTCGTATCCTTTCCCGAACTCAAGTACAAACCCTCTCTCTGCCTCGCCAACAAGATCCAAATCACATTCTGCAAGAGATCAGAAGCGCGTTTTATTTTCCTCATTGCCACCACTTTCTGAGCTAGAATTTGTTGCTTGCGGGTGAGCAAAGCAGAAACAGATGGATGCTCGATTTTTTGCTTGCGAGCCAGTTTGGAGGTGGAAGTTAGTATGTCGTCTAAGGTCCTTGCTGCTACCACTGCATCGGAGAATTTGTCTAGATCTCTGAGAGCAGATTTTGTGGGTATTAGGTTGTTGTCTTTTATGGTGCGCAGGGTTTCTGGCGCTAGTTCTTTGCGAATATACTCGTAGGTGAAGTCTTGCACGCGGGGTTGCAGTGTGGAGTCTGTGATTGTGTCTGCGCCTTGGGAGTACAGCTTTAGCGGTGCGAGCAATTCGTTTTGGATGGTTGTTGTAAAGGTTTCCAGTGTTGATTTTTGGAGTGCGAGAATCTTGGTGTCGAAACTTGCTTGGGTTTTGCTTTCTGGGTCGCCGGATGAGAGGATTGCGAGGTCTAGTGGTGATGTGGTGAGAGATTGGTTGGTGGGATCAAAGGTGATGTCTTCTCCTGCACGTCTGGAGGACCATTGTTCTGTAGCTGCATCTGCGGCTTTGGCAGCGATGACAGATAGTCTTGCGGAAAGAGTATCTTGTGTTATAAGGAAAGAGGAGCTTTCCGTGCTCACTTCAACAATATTCGAGCTGCTGCTTTTCTCAGCAAAAGCTTCGCGAATTGCTTGTTTGAGATCGGCGTCTTCAGCGTTGCGCAGAACTTGTGGTCTAGAGGTGGCAGTCACATCACAAGACCCATTGTCTTCCAGCTCTCCTGCTGCTCTTTGAATATACGCTTCCCTGGCTTGCTTTGATTCGCTTTCACGCTGTGCGAGTATGGATCTTGGCGTATAAACCAAGAACCCAGATCTCATTTCGACAACGTCCTGAGCACTGTCCTCGTTCTTGAATATCAGGTCTTTGGCAGTCGCCTCCAGCCAAGATATGGGAACTGAAGGGAAAGTATCGCTCAGCACGATGGATCCTTGATTGCCTTGGATGATCTTGGCAACATTGCTTTCGAGCTTTTGGAGAAACTTTATGTCATAGGTCTTTCCGTTATCGAGGTCCTGGAGGGTAACATCTTGAGCAGCAAGCATGCGTCGAAGTGTGGCAGTAGTAATATCCTTTTCGATAGCAATCTTGTCCAGATCTACACCACGAACAGCTAGATCGTTTTGCACGCTCTGGCATATGGCCTTCTGAATACTCTCAGGTAGGAGTCGTCGACGGTCTGTACTGTAATGGATGCGCTCGTCTTCCTGGGTCAAGAGCCATTGAACATCATGGACTCCCAGTTCACTGTGCAAGCTGTTCAAGAAAATAGGACCAGAAGAAGTTTGAAGAAGAGAATGGAACCGCTTGGTAACTGCATCCGAGCGTACGAGATTGCGGCCTGAGAGACTGCGAATCAGACATTCTTTTCCAGGTCGTGGTTCCGGAGGAGGAAATGACAGAATCAGTTTTCGAATATCGTCCTCAGTGAAGACTGGTGACTTGTTCACCTTCTTGGTCCCGAACAGAGAAGGTATCATCTTGGTGAATGTGTTTTTGGAAGAACAGAAGGAGCGATGATGTAGACCATCCAAATTTCCTAATTGGGAATCTCTAGATCGGGAATTGCCGCTGGGGACTTGTTCCATCAGCGCCGCCATCACCGCAGTGTATAGCAGCGACAGGCAAGCAAAGGGCACTTTTACGGGATATTCGACCACATAGACACCCGCAATCATGTCCATGTTCCGATCGAAGAAGCTGGACCTTGGTGGTTTCGTCAACATCAAGGTCATTCGCGACCACACCAAGCGCAAAGTCTTTGAGCAGAACGAGACTGAGAGGTCAGTTGGATCTCAGCATATCTATACCCGTGAACAGTATACTGATTCAGGTTATAGACAAGCACTCCGCTACATCATCCGCAACACACTCCTGCCGCAACGCACGCGCGCCCAGGCCCAACTGCAATTGTCGCAAATGCACTGCTACACCCGCCCCACCCAGATCAAGAACAGATGTATTGCTGGAGGCAAGGGAAAAGGTGTTTTCCGTGATTTCCGCATGGCAAGAGTACGTTTGATTTTGGATAAAACAAGAAGACAAGGCTGACATGTTTCTACAGNNTACCAATTCCGTATGCACGCTTTGGGTGGACAATTGCCTGGCGTGAAGAAGGCCAGTTGGTAGAACTTCCGCCAACTCCGTGTTACTATACTGTACAATATTCAAAACAAAGGGCATTGGGAAAGGCGTTGGTTGGGAATCAAGGACTTTGGGTGGTTTCGAAATTCAGAAGTTATTATCTGCCTTCCTGCTTCATTCCTCCTTCTATCGGTTGTTTATTCTTTGCAGCATGGCCAATCTGGCGGGGTGTATACCTTCTTGTGCTCCCGCATCGACTTCAGGCTCGGGTGCTTCCTCTGCCTTATCCGCTCCCGGAGCACCTCCCTTCTTTGCTTCCTTTGCTGCCTTGCGCTTCTCCTGCTTGGCCTCGGCCTCTGCTCTCCTCTGTCTCTGCTCATTTAGTCTGACGTTCTTCTCCTTGAGCTTTTCCTTTCTGCCCTCGGACTTGCTGCCGCCGCCTCCAGCCGTGAGCTCGACATTGATCCTACGCTTGCCTCTCTCGCCGCCAACGCCGCTGTCGAACATGCTGTGGTGGTACAGCTTCAAACACGTCTTCATGCGGTCGTAGTTTGCAAACTCGAGGAAAGCGAATCCCTTGCTCTTGCCTGTGCCCTTCTCGGTCGAGTGACGCACGGATTGCGGTTGGATGGATGCAAAGTGCTCGGTGATTTGCTCGGTCGTGGCCGTGAAAGGAAGATTGCCAATGAACACAATAAAGCGCTGGTTCTTTGCGGCGGCTGCGTCGGCAGCCTCTCCTGCTGTTGCTGCATCTCCTGCCTTTTTGGCCAGTGGCTCCTTGTTGGCTGAGGGTTCCTTCTTGCGCTTCTTTTGCTGTTTGGCTTCTACAGGGGCTGCGTCTTCTGTCGATGCTGGCTCCTTGTCTTCTTGCGATCGCTTGCGCTTCTTGGATGAAGTCTTGTCTGAGGCGGCATTCTGGTCGTCTACTTCTGCGGTGGGTTCGTCGTTCTTTGGCGCATCGTCGGTGGTGGTCTCTTCGACCATTCTCTTCTTGTTCTTCTTGTATCTCTCCTCGGAACGCTTGGCCTTCTTTGCCTTGCCCGTCAGGACTTGTGCATCTGCTTCTTGTGACATTCTGGGTTGTTTGATAAAGTGGTGTTTGTGATTAACAAAAAAGTCTCTGTCTCGACTCGGCTCCTTCTCCGCACTTTCTAAAGTCCGTGCTTTGTCCGAAGAGCGCGCTGATCTTTCACATGCTTCACGCAGCCTGCAGGGGGAGCCTCGAGCACGCGAGCACGCCATTGACTACGAGGAGATTTACGATCACATTTGTTGCTTCTTTTGTGCAGTGCTTTACGATATTCCCTCTCTCGGCACTCTTTCATCCATGCCTCGAGTACAGCGGTCCCAGCATCTTCCAGCTCCACTCCGCAATTCCATCCACTTGCTTGATGTCCTGAATCCACTCCAACATCAATGTCGTCGTCTGCTCCAGATCCTTACGGTTCACCCTCTCATTACAAATCTTCTTCAAGCATTCGTTCTCCGTCGTCAGGCGCAGGATAAGCAATATGCCCACGAAATTTTGTGTCCATGTGAACAGATGCGGTACCAATCGCTTCTTGTTCTTCGGCGGCGCAAGTACCAGTGGCCATAGACACGCCGATTGGATTGCGAGAGCACAGCATATTTGATCCTCTTCCGTCATCAGCTCAGGGAAGTGTAGAGCCTTGTAAACAAATGGCCGGTAAATCATAAATCGTGCGTAGTAGAATTGCGTCCTCAATTGTGCCGTCATGATGTCCAGGTTGTCGTGGTGGTTGATCGGAACAGATCCTTGATCCATCGAGAAGAGTGAATCTGTGCCCTGTCTTCCCGTAGATCCCATGTTGGGAAATTCTGTCTTGTCGTTGTCGGACCATTGCAGAGGCCGGGGCAGCAATGAGCGCCACGATTCTAGTTGTCGAGCTAGCTCCTTGATAACGTGAACCGGTGGGCCACCATAGTCTTCAGATAGCTCGGCCGACGAATTGGATGCNTGCACACGGTAAGCTTCTGACCTCGCTTTGTCCAGCAGACACTCACAGCAATGTATTGACTCGTGAATCCGCGCTACCAATCGGCGCAATGCTATCATTGCAAGGAAGTGATATTGGAAATGCGATTTCTCGTCCGAGGGGTTGCCGTAGTTATTTTCCGAGCCATGGAAGTAAGGAAGTGGCACTTGGTCCTCCAGAGTATGAATTCCGGTTTGTGAGAGATCCAGCTCAAGATGATACATNACTACTAATCGTCAGCATCAGCGGTATATCAACCACGCGAGAGACATGGCTTACTCCTCGCTAAGCATACACGCCCAGTACGCGCGTTTGATGAGATCTGCTCGTGGCGTGGACCAATCGATAGATTCGCTANNAACATAGTCAGCTCGTGTGTTGTTGGCATGCTGAGGATTCTCATACCATTTGATAAGAATTTGACAAGAAGTTGATGCTGCAACCGTGGCTCGCCAAAAGTCCNNTGCGCAAAAGGTTTAGTCACATGGTCTATATCACCTTATGAGGATTTTGCCTACCATGTGTCGAGCGCAAGCTTCGTAGTATGCACTNGTGATATGCGTTAGTAATGAACGCGCTAAAATCCGTACCACTCACGATTCAAGCAGATGAATCTGCACATTCTCAAGCGTGCATTGATGCATGATGAAACCCATGCGTCTCCGAGCCTCGTTGAAGAGATTCAGACCAGGTGGTCTCTCAGATGTGCCTCCACGTAGACCACTGGGATTACCCTCTATGATGCTGATTGGAGAACCATAAACTCCATCAATGGCAGTCTGGCCAAGGGCCAGTACAAGCAGGACAAGGCAGCCTTGGGGATCACAGTCTGCGAAGCCGTTTCTCAGAACAGGTTCGAGGATGTCTTCGAGAAACATTTGTCTATCGAGGATTGGAAACAGGATGTTGAAGGTGCTGAAGTATGCATCACTCATCCTCCGCACATTTTCTGGTGTCAAGCCGATAAATCCAGCTCTCATTTCTCCAGTACTACTAGGCATCGGGTATGTTCGCATGTCGGTATCCCAAGGAAGAGTCTTTGGATGCTTTTTCAATTCAAGGTGGATAAACCACGGTGTTCCTTCCTGAAGCACATATTGTAGGTCCGAAGCCACAGCGATTCCAGAATTCAGAATATGCAGATATATCGATGGCCACAGCAAGACCTTGTGAGCCACAGTCAGATGTTGATAAGTGCGCAGCATGTCAGGAGGGAATGATGTTTGAGATCCCATGCGACGTGGACGTATTTCGCTATCGGATGATCCATGAGACTCGTTGGATCCAGAAGCAGCCATAGTGCCATTGACTCCTGGTGGACGTGATGCAGCTTGTGGTCCGCTCCAGTCGGTATTGCTTGCTGGTGTAGAGGGTTTTGATACATAAAGAGTATCGAACTTATTCTCAAGTCGTTGCAAAGTCTGAAGAATATAAATCATGGTCTTATCCTTCNNCTACACGACGCACGGTTTAGCCAGATATACGCAAATAACTCAAAGCCAGACTTACTTTGTAGGCTGAGGTTCTCGGTAAACACACTCGACACTGAGGCGCCTACAGAGGCCACACTTGGGCCTTTGCTCGTCACATTTTGATTTTCTAGTTGGTGGAGAAGAAAGCAGTCAGTAAAGCATGGTAACAAAGGACTCGGGTTTTGGTCAGTCTTACCGGCTCCGACAAGTCTGACAGGCTTGTGCTGCGATGACGGCACGCTCTCGCCGCAAGGACATGTCAGTCCTGTCATCCCCTTCGACCTCCATGGGTGCGACAAGTCCCTTGGAGTGATGATATGTTTCGTTGCAAGGCGGCGACAAGCAGGTGGCAGGAGGGAAAAATAGGGTCTGGTAAATGTTGGGGTAGCCACAGCGGCACGCCGTGGGCAGAAAAAGGTCGTCGCACTCGTTCACAGCAGTAGCGGATACGTGACCAACCTCGGAGAAGAAGTCGCTTCTGGAGAATACCAGTAGTCAGAGCCGATAAATCGAAGAGGGTCCACCGAAGAAACTTCGACACAGTTTACAAACTAGCACGTTCACAGCAGTCGGATCTGACTGTTAGATGCTCGATGCACGAGACGAGGGTTCTGATGCAAATAAAATGCAGCGTAGCCACGTTCGAGCGAGCATGATTCGCGGGTCGCAAAGCTGAATGACGCAGGCCACGAGATGGCGTCCAGGCCCGATCGGGACAATGTATTGTACATTCAAGGTTAGCTCGGTTGCGGCTCTTATCAGCAACTCTGCTTCGTCCAGGGCTGCAGCTGGATGAGCTTCGAAGATGGCATTCTTGGACATATCCATGGCAACTCGCAAGACGTCAATTCTTTGTCCAGTCTCGTCCTTGTTGCACTGAAGCTCGCGCCTTGATTTTCGCACCGGCTTTGACAGGCTCGTTCGTTGTTCCCCACCTTCCCGCGCACCAGGTACAGAGGAGCTCTCGGGCACAGAAGCACATGGTACTCGACGCCTCTCGCCTAATCCCCTCCATCCGGCCCTCGATTGGACTGACGATTCCCGATCAGAGTAGCAGCTGGCTTAATTGAAAGCTGCATATGAGCAACATCGTCGACTGCCTAGCGGCTGCCCCCGCATCGCTGCCCATGCCTGGAGAAGCTGACGCCAGACCACTCAACCATCAAGACGACAAAGACACCCTGTCGCAACCCTCCAATTCCACTCCCGACGCCCCTCCAAACCAATCTCCCAGCCCGCGCCCTTCCGAGGGCCGACAGGCTTCGCGACGCAGGAGCCTGGAAGTCGTCGCCGAGGCTCAAGGAGATGTAGACGGCTTCGTCAAGGAACTTGATCAGAAACGCCGCCAGCTCGATGACCAGATCCACAAGTTCATCGCTCAGAAAGAGAGGGAATTCAAACTATACGAGCGCGAGTTGCGCACCCGCTATCGAACTCAGCCCTCACCTGCAACAAAACCGCCTGGCCATGCCTCACCTACCACCCCGCCTACTGACCAGCCTGTACATGCTGCTGCCAACACACAAGATGTACGAGCCACGAACGACAAGAGTCATGAACGGGAAAGCGAGCTTTTAGGTCTCTTCACCCCTGTATATCTTCCGCTACTGGAGAGTCGACCCTCTGGTCCTGGTCGCTCTCCTTCTGCTCCTGCCCTCAGCGATACTGCTGACTCAACGCTCATCTCACCGGATCGCCAGGCTCTTCACAGGGCTAACACCGATCCTGCTGGTGACAACAAGTCCCTGTCTTCCAGGCGGGGCTTAGGCCCAAGGACCCCGTCATCTGGCTCAGACCAAGGAAGAAGCCTCGTATCAGCGTTAAAGTCACCTTCGGCTGGTCCAAGACTTTCCAACAAAAAGCGCGTGTCACTGGTCGTGGGCGATGAGGTAGTTGCCCCGAGCGATAACATCTTCTCGAGTGCAAATAAAGACATGGACCATCATCCGGACAACGAGTTCGGCGCTGAACATATTGAAGTGCAAACGCCTGCACAGCCTACGCGACCAGAGACACGTGAACCCACATCCCCAAAGCCACCCTCGTTGGACACGATTGAATCTAGCACTTCTCAGAGTCCCCAAACTGGTGGTCAACCTGGTGGACTGAGTCTCGGATTCGCCTCAGCTGCCCGCGGACCGAGTGTGCCCCAGGAACCCCTGCAAACGAAGACCAGTCCCCAGGGCGATCTTGAGCTTGCATCACCTTTCTCTATGGACGAAGAGTTTGATGACATTGGCTCTACAGAAATGTACACCACGCAAATAGAAGATATCGATGCAGATATCGACTCAGGTCTTGATTCTGAATCTACCTTGCGCGCAGCAAGTCCAGCTAGCCCTAGCGACAGGGACATCTCCCCAGTGAGCCATGCATCCAGCCTCAACATCCCTATCGCGAGTTTCGGAACATCGTCTTCCTCATCAGCTCAGCCCATCTCACCAGGCTTCTCGAGGCCCTCTGTGCGAGAAGATCCTCAGCTGCAATTTGACGACCAGGTGCCAGAAGAATTGCCAGCCCAAGGGTCCTTGTACGGTTCCTTTTCTCGACCGAGCTATAGCAAACAACAGACCAGTGGCAGTCTAGGAGAATCCTTCATGCAGAGAAATGCCGAGAAGATGATGCGCCGCAGACAGTCTGTGCAGAGATCCTAAAGAATTACGATTCATTAGTACGAGTAGCAAGCTAGAGTATACCCAATGTAATAATCAGCATGCACCGCTTTCCTTTGCTAATGCAATTTGCGGTCTTACCAGCAGACCTTACTATTAAGATGTACAAAACATTCGCGTCAATGTATATCAGCTCACGATGGTTAGATAGCTCTCAAAAACACTTTTTGATTTCTATATCGTTCAATGAATAGAATTTCAGACTGTGATCTCTCTCTCCCCTTCCCTATGTGATACATACTGGCACAGTGTAGCTATGGATATGCGCCATAATTCGCAAAGGATGTGGTCTCCGCAAAAGACTCCTTCGAAGGCTATCTTCATGACCCGACTCGTAGCCAAATGTCAAGGCTACAGTTCGGTAGCTTACAGGGGACCAAGAGGATCCTGAGAAGCCGCCAAATTACACTGCCTGAAGATGCGAACCTCCTCAGGCAGGAAGGAGCCTGTGACCGAGTGAATCACACCTTCGTTGTTGAACAGAGCAAGGTCCCCTTCATCCCAGTTGACTGCATACACTAGCTCGGGAGCAATACCAGGTCTCTGGAGCCTGTGTACGATATCTCGAACTTGCCTCAAGTCACTGATGACAGTGCCATCGGCAAGGTGAAGCTTTTCGGCTGCAGATGGGTGAACTTGTAGAGCAAGACGTCCAGTCACTGGATTGCGCCAACACATGGGCAGGATTTTGATCTTTGACTCGTCGATGGGCGGCAATTCCTCTCGAGGAATTTCGAGACCATCTGATACCAATCCGAGACCGTCACTCCTTGATCTCGCTGGCGACATCCAGATGTAGGGGTGTGGTGCATATTGCACTTTTGTGGTTCGAGCAAACTCCTTGTCGGCTTCGGAAAGCAGGTCGTACATGCGGTAGGAGCTCACAAATGCAGTGCTTCCGCGAGGCACTCTCATCTCATCATTGCTTCCGTCATCGTATCGCAGTGTCTGATATTCGGTCTTTGGGACACTGACAGCCATGAGACTGGTGACTTTGGGTGGAGACAGATCATACAGTGCTGCATCAATGTGCCAGCGGTAGAATCTTGTTGCGTCTCGGTCGTCAGCCTCGCTGATTGGTGTCTTGTGGAAGGTCTTGTGGTGAGGGTGCTTGAGTGTGATATCCTTCAATCCTTCAAACTCGGCAACTGGGCCATTTCCAATTACTTGTACTTGGGGTTGATGAGGGATTGTCTTGAGATCAGGGTGGAGTACACTTCTTTTGGCGTCGATCGTCTTTCCATGTCCATATGAGCCAGCAGATGGGTCAAACTTTTGTGTAAGCTCGAATTGAGCTTTGGGCGAGAGTGACTGTTGATTCTTGAACAAAATCACACTGTTCTCGTACAAAGCATTTCTGATGATCTTGAAATCTTCCTCTGTTGAACGAAATAATATTAGCTTGAGAAATCCGAAGACGGCTGGAATTTGTCACCTGAGAGATTCTCCAAGTCTGCTCCCCCTGATCTCAGCACCAAAGTCAATTTTGGATCCTTTCGATGGTTGGATCTTGTGTACTGAAATGTTGTTGATCTTGACAGCCATGGTGGCGTAAGGACAGAAATGATAAGGTTTGCAGGTACTAGATGCTCGCAACAAAAGATTCTTAGAGAAGGTGGTATGTACAGTAGATCGAAGAAGTCGAGACATGTCCTATGAGATGGTTTTATATATCTCAGAAAAGAGTACTTTGCTCATGGTCGAGTTCATGTTCTCCGTCTAGGAAGGGCTCGGAGACCCCCGATACTGAGCTCGACGTACGCATACTCGTTCTGCTTTACGTTGTTGCATACAAACACGGAGGATCTCAACTCGAAGATACCGTGCCGTTTCCTAATCTTTCATCGTTCGGCTACGACCGCTGTCCGGAGTACACCGTGTGGATGGTCGAGCAGGGCAAAAGCGAAGTCGGTTGTGACCTACAGGGGACGTGCACTTTTGAGATAAGGAAGTATACCGTGGAGAAGCATTTGCGAACGCTACCATATTTATACTTGGTTGCTCGGTCTTTAAGTCTTTTGGTTTCTCTCAGTTATACTCGTTTTGAGAAAGGTAAAATCATAGAGTTGGCCATCTCGATACCTGAGCTCGATACCATCCTTGATATTCCTCAAAAGCCCATACTGCAGGGTCAGGTAAAAACTCCTGCCCAAAGACTAATCTGACACGAGTTCTTAGACATGAAGTGGCACATCATACGGACTTGGGATAGCCGCGTAGAAAGAACACGGTAGAATTGGAAGTGTGACTTTTTGGTCCTTGGTGATTGAGAGGACCTCGGTTTCAGTATTTACAGGAACCGGATTCGATTGCAGATGGCCGCAGGAACAGCGACCAGGACAGATTGCCGGGAGATCCGACCCTAGGCCAAAGATCTTCGATTCCGCAGCTGGTATGCAGGTGTTGAAGGTGGTCCGGGTCGTATGGATGATTAGCCGATGTGATGCGAAGGGCACCGACTATACGGGCCTTTCGAGAGCATGTCACGCGGATGCGCGAACTGCCACCATGTCTTCACAGCTTATCGAGCAACTTCCGTCTCCTTCTCTCGATGAGCTCGGCCTCGACTTCTTCTGCGGTCGGAAGGCTCCACGCAACACCGTCTCCAGAATCTCCAGGTAAAGGCTCCCAATCTGCATCTTCAGCCTCTTGCTCGTCCATGATATGCTCGAAGGCCTCTTTCTCCTTCTGTGCCTCGTAGGCCCATAATGTACCGTCCTCCTCATCAAGGTTGTAGCCGTAGTAAGAAGCATCGACTTTGTGGCGTAGATCTGAGCGTGTCTCCAAGGCCTTTTCTTCCTGCGGTTTGGCCTTTGCGGCTTCGAACAACTCTTTGACACCAGGCAACTCCTTTGCTCTTCCAAAGTAGCGGTAACCTTTTCCACCTCCTTGTATTTCTCGACCTTCCTCATCGACAACTCGACCACCTCCCNNCCTCATGTAGTTCGGCCCTCCGAGTTCGCGAATGCGCATTTCCCATTGCCATTTTTCTTTGAAGAGTTTGTTCAGTTCGTCGTTGATGTCGCGAATTTGGAAGTCTGAAAGCGATAGATCCTGGATTTTGGAGACTTTGCGCGAGATCTCCTTGAGCACCTGTCCGCGCCAGCGTTCACATGTCGGTACGGATTCTTGTTGCGATATGGCCTTTGGTCGCCGCGTGCGCGTTGTGTCGAGAATGCCCAGGTCGGCCGCTTGCTGGGCTCTCCATCTGAAAAGTGTACTTTGCGCCTTCTCTGCGTTACGAGCCTGTGCGTGTTGTTAGCTTGAACACTGTGTTCATGGATTGCGAAAAGCGCTTACCATGTTGTGTGATGTGTGTGGTTTGGCGACGGGAAGCTCGATGAAGCATGCAACTTTGGTTCACCGTGCTTGCGCGACCACGAATTGACCAGAATAAGTCCAATGTTTATGTGACGAATATTTCAACTTGTCGGAAATAGCCTTCATCAGAGTCGCAGTGGTTTAGTGGTAAAATTCGTGCTTGCCATGCACGAGCCCCGTGTTCGATTCACGGCTGCGACAACCTTTTGTCCTGTCGAGTATCTCAATCGACTTTTGTCATCCTCGTCTTCGCGGTCCGGCAATGCCCGCAAATGCGCAAAACTTGGTCCAATTTGACGACAGATATATACCGCATTGCTACCAGTGTGGTGCTTGCTGGCTTTTAGGTTTCTGGAAGCAACTTAGCCCACACAGAGAGTCATGTCTGCCGTGTGAAGGTGCTGTTCTGTTTTCTCCCACTCCAACAGCCTTCTCATTCCAAGAACAGGCCAGTACTTCTTCAGCCCTTCAGATAGTCCAAAGATCTCAGGACATCTGAATCACGGAGGTGACCGATGCTACATCTTTCTGCATCTTATCAACGCGTATGGGTAAGGTATCTCTTATCTGCCCGATCAAGGGTCTGCCATCGGCTGCCCGAGCCCACACGGTTCACTACCACTCCAGCACGGTGCCAGTCTGCCAGTGACCTTCAAACCACGGACCACAAAGATCCCAGAGGCCGCCCCAGCCGTTGGCCACGCGACAGGGCCCTCGCCCGCAACTTATCGACCTGCCAAAACCTAAACCCGAATATCGTTAAGATAAGCAGACGCCAAGACTCTGATTTTTGCCATTTAAATGTGACTATAAGAACCTATGTTGCCAAAGGCAAGTGGATCTTGTGCTTCTCAAGTCGATCGTTTCTTCTTGTCTCTATATCGATAATGTCTCCCTCGTTTTCGAAGCTCTTCGTTGCAACCTCTTTGGTTGCTGCCAGCCTGACTGGAGCTGCTCCTCTTGAGCAACTCCAGGAAAGGTCAGCTAAGAACAGCACCAGACCTAAGGTTATCATGGACAATGACTGGAGTACCGCTGGCTTCATTCCTTACCTTCTGGCACTCGATGCTGGATGGGATGTTCTCGGTCTTGTCTCTGATACTGCAAACTCATGGGCATTGCAAACTGGATTGTAAATATACCAGGCTCATCATTAAGAGGTCGCGTGCTAATTACGTTGATCATAGANNCATGCTTTGGCTACTCTTGAGGTTGGCAACTTGTCTTGCATTCCTGTACACAAGGGAGCAGACTACCCTATTCTTAACACTCCTGAGCTCTTCCAGACCGTAAGTGAATCAAGGCGATCAATCCACAAGGACCACATTGACGATTCTGTTTGCAGTNGGGAGATGGTTCATGGTAAACTGTAAGTCAATTGAAAGATGTGCACCCAGAGATGAATCCTTTACCCTCTCCCATTGCCCTTTTGGAACTGCCATATCGATGCAAGGAGACAATCTGACGACCTATGTAGGCCTTGGGAAGGAGCATTTGCGCCAGAGAACTTGACCTACGAAGCACTTGGAAACGACCCAACCTCGGGCAACCCAGACCGCGTGTCCAAAGCAGCCTTCTACGAGGGCTACCCCAACACCACATTCGCCTCCAAGGACGCAGCATGGTTCATGATTGAGCAGGTCCGCAAGTACCCTGGTCAGGTCTCAATCTACTCGGCTGGTTCTCTGACGAACGTCGCTCTTGCTGTCCGCATGGATCCCGACTTTGCGAAGAACGCAAAGGAGCTCATCATTATGGTATGAAGTGCTGTTATCTGTGATATGCATAGTCATACTGATATCCGTGCCAGGNGAGGCTACATTGATGTCAACCTTTTGCAAGTTACCGGCAGCACTATGCAAGCTGATTGGAACTCCGACGTGAGTAAAATCAAAGGAAATCGACGAGCAACAAATGCTGACAGTTCAACAGNNATCAACTTGATGATCGACCCCGAAGGAACCAAGATTGCCCTCTCTGCTCCTTTCCCTAACATCAGTAAGTTTTCATTTTCTCGGGATCAAAGCCTGTAAGGGAACACAACGGCTGACAGTACGTCCAGCCNNATTGCCGGCAATGTCGCCAACCAGGTCATTGTCACTCAGGAATACCTTGACGACATTTACAAGGTCAAGAACCCTTACTCTACTTTGATGCACGAGTACTACGGTACTATCTTCCCTCTCTGTATGTATCCTGCTCCAGTCTACCGATCTATATACTAACAGCGTATAGNNGGGGATGAGACTGCGGCCGCTATTATGCTTGACCCTACTATCGTCAAGAACACCACAAGCNTGTAAGCAGATGTTCTTGCCTTCACATTCGATAGGCTTTGCTAATATTTGGATATAGTCTACCTTGATGTCGACACTGCCCCTTCCAGCCCTAGTTATGGTAACATCCACGCTTACCAGGAGGCTCTCAAGCCCGTTGCCCAGAACCTCCAGAAGGTCAACATGGTTGTATCGGTTGATGGCAACAAGCTCAAGAAGTGGGTCAAGAAAGCCGTTCAGTACCCCAAGTCCTGCGCCAACCTGTAAGGCGCTGGGTACAAATAGATATAGTAAAGACCATCGCCTGGCTAAGTCAGGCTTGGAAATGTAAAAGTTATCATCTCAATGTATGATATCCTCCTATATGCCCTGAGACATGAATCAAAATTTGCTTTTCTCTATGGTGGATGAAATCGATATTTACGATGGCAAAAAAACACTTGGAAGGTGAATCAGATATCTCTCCGATAAACGCCGACCATCCATGCAGCTCTCAATACAGCCAGTCCCCAGGCCATACCCAGAGAGTCCCAGACAACATTTAGCTTGCTGCCTCCAACCTCTTTCCAGCCAATAGCTACCTCGGCCATGGGTATGCCAGCACTCTCTGCAAGCATGAGCATCTCGACATCGAAGATCCAACCCTCGCTATGCATGTATGGAATAATATATGGGAGCGCAGGGCGTGTAAAGAGCTTGAAGCCGCATTGAGTGTCCTTGATTGATGATGTGGCTGGAGGTGTAAGAAGGCGGAGCAGAAGATGGAAAGAGTGCATGAGTGCGTTTCGCAAGAAAGAGCGCNNTGTGAGAGGGTCAGTAATGATGTCCAGCTTGGTGTCTTCTAATCTCTTTACCTTGACGACAGCTTCGCTACCAACCATATGTGCTCGGCTTCCAACACTAACAGCTCTTCCCTTTGCATCAGCAACACGATCGCAATTCTCCATCAGCTTGCCCAGGTCAGAGAAGCGAGAAGCACCGTCGGCATCGGCGAAAACAACATATGCACCTCTTGCATGGCGCATGCCATGAGTGACAGCTCCTCCTTTTCCTCTGTTCTCTTCCAATGAGATGACGCGAATGCTGCCTTGTGGAATGGTGGTGGGTACTGTCTCGATTTTGGGAGCAGACTTAGACCGTGTCTTGGGGCCATCGTTGGAGGACCATGGGCCAGCTGGAGTGGAAGGATGCGTGGAAAGCTGATGGTCGCGAGCAAAGGATAGAGCCGTGTCGATGGTCTTGTCGGTAGAACCGTCGTTCACAACAAGAATCTCCCAGCCTTTGGGCTTATCGCTTGTGGTGGATTGCGATTGCGGGAAGGTGGATTGCAGGTACTCGACAGCCTCCTCGAGCATGCCGCTCATTCTTTGCTCTTCATTGTAGGCAGGCACAACGACGGTGACCAGGACCTCAGGTTGAGTGGGCCTGAAGGCATCGCTGGTAGCAATCTTCCCACTGCGGGCCTGTGCCTTGAGTGATACATGGTGGTCGTACCAGCATGGCTGTGGTTTAGGGTCGCTGACAGATCCGTCGGGCAGGATAGTCGTGTATTTCTTCTCAGGCTCATGCGGTGACCGAGGAACAGGAGCGACGATGAATAGACCGAGATACAANCTGAGCTTGGAGTCAGAACGTTTTGTATGAGTATGCTGGTTGTTCAGATCAACGGATACCAGAATCGCAAAGGCGACAAGGGAGAAACAAGCAACGGCCAGCAGCAGCTGTGTCGGTACTTGTTGTACCTGGTCGATCAGGTTGTAAACCTGAGCCCAGGCTGCATCCATTTGCGCGCTACCTCTTAGCTTCAGGTGGATTGGATTATATGCCCTTGGGCCATTCAGACAGTCAGAGAATCAAGTCCTCATAGAACTGAAAGCTGTGTACGCGTTACCCCTCGAGTCAAAGGGGGGGAGCTTGATGCCACATATCAGATCAACATGGGGCAGCCGCGTCTCCCCAGCTTTCGCTTTCCTGACCCGCCGAACTGTCCGTCCACCGTCTCCCATCGCAGTACCAAGCATTATTTATATTGTAGAAATGGACAGTCGGTTTTCAATTGTAGACGTATTCAAAGATCCTCCAGGAATCATAGCTCCAACGGCCGCGACCCGATCTCGCATTGTATATATCCACATACAAGTGCGTGACGGACTTGCATGGGGAGAGGACTTTGTCGTGGCCGATGTTCAATGTTTGTGGTTTGAGCAAACAGCTTGCGCGCTTCTTCCAACTCCAGCGCGTCAAGACTGCCGTCCACACCATACCTGCCTCGACTGATCGCATTGCCGCGAGCTGCTATAGAGAGCACTTGCCCGATCGCGTCAGTCGCTGTAATCCTGTTGCCGCAATTTTCTGAAGTCTGCCCGATCGCGTTGGTAATATACTGTCTCCTGTCGTCGCAATCCTTCCTGCGACTACCATCGCTCGAAGCTTGCTCGACTGGCTCAGTCCCTGTTCTGCTCGCCTCTCGCAGTCTTCAAAAGGAGTTGCCCAACAGTGTCAGCATTACTCTCGGGCTCAACAAATCAAATCTGCTGTTGCGGTCCCTGAAGCCCGCCACATATCAGGTAAAGGCTTGATGTAACGTCTCAGCTAACAGTTTCTGAGGTAGTTTGCGCCCATGGCCACTCCCGGGTGCATAAGGCTTCTTGAGCCCCAGCTATCGCCGTGCAGCAGCTTGGACTGGTTGATTTATGGGCAGCCTGTAATCGCTCTGTTCTCCAAATTGGGCAACTCAGTCTACACTCCTTTCGATCGTGAATACCTTGGTCAACCATCGCGCCACGCCCGGGGTCAGAGCCTCAAGCTTTGGGTTGCTTGCGATGATACGAACAGGCTCCTGGTAGTCTTGACTCAGGAGATCCAAGTGAGCAGCGGCAAGAAGCCTCGTATTTTCTATCTCCGTGTTTCCGTGGAGTCGCTGGCAGTCGACACTGCCTCTCCTACGTATTGGGCTATGTCCGATGGTGTTGTACCGTTGAACCCTCTGGATCGATTGGATAACACCAGGCCCGACCAGACATCTCGACTTCTGCGCACCTCCTTCTCACCAGCCGCCAAATCTTGGGTCATTATGCCTGACTTCCCACATACTGGTCGAGTTTCGGATGAGTCCATGTCGTTGCTACGCAAGCTCAAAGCCTTGTCCGAAGCCTCTTGTTTCGACCTGTTCACCACTCACGACTCTTGGACCTATCAGAGCCTTCTCAGACTACAGGCTATCCTGGCTGATCGCACTGTGGCTGGCTTCAACATCAACTACAACAACTTCTACCCGGGAGGCCGTCGTGCTATTGTTGACTCCTGGGAGTCTCAGGGTTGGCGGCCTCTGGAAGAAGGGGCTGAGGACAGGAGTGAGAAGGAGCCTGAGGATTGTAAGAGGTTGAAGCGGAAGCACGATGCCATTTCGGATGCTGTCGCTCCAGGTATTGTATCTTTACCACCCNCGCCTTATGACCTACCTGTGCCAGACCTCCTATCTGCGGCTGTGCCAGGGGTTGTGCCAGGGGCTGCGTCGACGGCGTCCTTCGACATGGCCGCAGCCTTGGCCAATGAGGATGCTGAATCCGGTCAAGAGTCCGTCTTGTCTGAAGTCTATCCGCGAGGACGCTCAATATCTTTGCCTCCTGAAACCATACTCAAACCATTGACCCCCAACTTTGTCTTTACCCCTATTGCGTCTGGTGTCGTACCTGCTGATGCCCCAGAGCCCACTACCCCTTTGTGTATAGCTGAATTGTCTTCTTCGCCTTTCCGGTCAGTAGCCTTGTCTCTTCAGATCGATGATCACAGTCCAGCTGCTCCAGACTACACCGCCACGCCTCCACCGCAGGCACCATCACGCTCGTATCAAAATGAATGCAAATCACCACTCTCGCATGTACCAGAGACACCACCTAGTTATATTCTGTCAACTTGCAAAGCGGTGGTTCCGAGTACCATCAAAAGTAGGAGCGGACTCATCAACTGGCTGGCGACGCTGCTGAAGCGTTACCCCTATTTCCACTATATATGCATTGCCGAACTTCTTGCTCTCGGCGCAGCAGTTAGAAGAAGCGACACAGAAGACACAATCAGGCTTCTAAGGGCAAGGTGCCTGGCCTCCCTCCTCGACCAAGCCACTGATCACGATTATCTTGGAGTCGAATACAAGTCCATTAGCGGAAGCAGCGAGCTGGAGGAGCTGGTCTCCTGGCTGCTGCTTGTGAACCCTGACGGAGACTTAATGTTTCTCGAGCAGTTGTCCGAAGCCTCGAGGGCCTTAAAGGACGTCAAAAAGTCTATTGGCGGTCTTGCTGCTACGCCACGCTCGTCTGATGGTGCACTGTTTGACCATCCCGGTCCCAAAGACGAATATGCTTCTGCGAATAAGTTCATGATCTGCAAAGCGGGCATTATTCTGGACGCTTGTATGGCGTTCGGCGATCTCATCTTTGGACAAAGCAAGCGTGATATTAAGGATTTTATGTTGAAGGAAATGCAGCGTTTGATCCGATGATTAATACACGATTTCATTTGTTTTTTTCCTCATATGCTTGTCAATGTCATAACATCGTATCGTCATCATCGTCATCAGGTCTGCTATAGAGAATCTCACAAACACCTCCAATAGGCACATCCATAACGGCATCCGTGCCTTCATTCCATAATGTATCCCATTGTAAATCCTTTGGAGGCATGTTTCTTCCTGCACTGTTGTCTCTGCGATGGGACTTCCACCTGCCCTCGTCGTCTTTTCGGATAATGTTTCCTTTGCCGTCTACCACGGCTATGTTTGCAGCATCGTCCACCAAACACTCTACTGCATGCATCTTCAAAGTCAAGTAGCCTGTGTTGTAGGATGCCAACGCGACGTATATCCACACAACCAGCATTACCAACCAAGCCGGAATCGCCAGACTCCACCAGCGATTGGGGTAATAGTATATCCCTAATTGATGCAAGAATGGCGAAGGCAAATAGCTCCAAAGCAGGTAGATTGCAAACCCGAGCGAGNNGGAAGTTAGGTACAATGTAAAGCCATAGTACTCGTAGGTAGGCACCTTGGGCGAAGCACGCGGGATGGGTTTTGCAGTGCGGAAAGAGGTGGTAAGCGTTGTTGCAGCCGCAGAATTGGGGGTTTGGGAGGTTCCTTCGTCGCTGCTGGGGTCGGGTGTGGTGTGTCTCGAAGCATGTGTACTGAATGTCGGTCGCAGTAAACTCGTCAACGACGGACTGGGTGGTAAAGGTGTAGGAGGACGATTGTAGAATGGCGGCGCAAAGGTTGCAGGACCCAGATATGTATGCGATTGCGACTGTTTGTGTTGGTACATGGGTTGTCGTGGCGAAGGCATTGAATCGCCATCTTCGTCTTCGCTGCCCGAGTCGATAGAGGCAGGAGCATCCAGAGAAAAGTCCTCGATCGATGCTGCCTCTGAGGGTGAGGTCAAGGTTGATGGTGTCGCGTCGCATTCATTTTCTCGGTCGTTTGTGGTCAGTGACCCCAAAGTTGGAAGATTTGGTGTTGATCGTGAGTAGAAGCCAACAGGTACCGGACTCGCCGGCGGTCGAAACGACATTTTGAACTTGCTGTCATGAAATTGACCACTTGAGGATGCCCTTCAAGGTGGTCGAGGCATTGGCGGTGGTCTGTGCGTTGATGAACGCTTTTGGTATGACCCTGTCTGAATCATTACTCCTCCAAGAACACCACCTATACAAGAATCTGACACTTTGTTCACGAGTCGGAGGTTGAGAGAGTGGCACTGTGGCTTCTAAGTGTGGAAATAGACAATTGCGAACGCAGGAGGCCTGAACATCAATCAAACAAAGCTTCACCATGATCGGTGCAAAGATAGCAAGAGAATATGAATGTAACTTGACCATATTTGGTTCTTTTTATTCATGACTACTCAAACTCAAGAAGAACAATGAGATAAATAACTCAGGGATATCCATAAAAAAGCGCCCCAGCATGCCGTGACCCAGGTTGAAAACAAAAACTGCGCAAGCCCAGAAGGTGCATCCCCCTCAGTCGTTGTACTCGCTTCTAACCTTCTTTTGCGCCCTCTTGTTGGCTTTGAAGTGCTTCTTGCCTGACGACATCATCATCTTCACATCATCGGGGTCCATGTCCTTCTCCAGAGCCATCATGACCTTAGCTTTGCGGCCTGTCAACATCCTGCCACCGGTGTTTTCCACTTGCTTTTGTCCTTGCTCTGTGTACTTGTGATGGAAGGGCCTGTTTTGCTCTCCTCTACCTTGTCCAGGTGCAAAGAATTGCTTGTCCATACGTTGTGTCTTTGCTCCACTGATGGGGATCATGTCGAGCTCGTCGTTCTCCATAAGCGATGGCTCATCGCCGGTTTGTGTTTCAGGGTGTCTTGCAGCTGAGTGCATAGCTGCGAGTTGGGCTCGTCGCTTTTGAGGAAGGTGGTTGTAGTCGTAGAGTTCGCGATTGAAGTGCTTGTGGTCGATCGGAGGCTCTGCGGGAGGAGGGTGTACGAACAGCAGTTTACCCTTGACGTAATCCTTGAGAACCAGTCTGGCGGCTCTGCTCTCATCAGGCTGACCAAGACCTTGTGTGAAGAAACCACGTGCGGCGGCGTATGCGCGTAGCAGTTCCTCGCCGGTTGGTGTACCGGTACCACCCTCCTCGCGAGAGCGGATGTTGATATTGATACCATAAACAGCCTCGAGGAAGGGCTTGGGGATGCGTTGAGCGACGATGGTTGCGGGACCGGTGTACTCGCGCATTTGATCGATGGGCAGGACACCGTTACATGTGAGTTCTGCCTTTGTGAAGGCGAAGTTGGGGAACACTAGACCAGGACAATCGCAAAGCACGACTTGGTCTGAGTAGTGAATGGTCTGGAAGTGCTTCGTCTTACCAGGGGTGGCAGAGACAGAGACCTTTTTNGCGCCGAGCAGAGCGTTGATAGTAGACGATTTACCGACGTTGGGGTAACCGACCAGACCGATCTGTACTTTGCGAGCGGGCTTGTCCTCGGTAGCGGCAGCCATCTTAGGAGCGTGCTCCAAGAAAAGAGCTTCCAGATCCTCGGTTGTCAGAATACGTGTGGCCTCCTCGAGCGACATGGGGATAACATCGGATACAGGCGCAGCGTGTTTGTTGTCAATGGTCTCTTCATCAACCCACTTGGCTTCCTCTTCTTGCACATCTTGGATGTCGAGCTTCTTGGCCTCCTGCTCCAGAGCATTCTCGTCTCCATCTAGCGCCTCGGCCACCTCATCCTCGCTCTCGTTGTCCTCGCTGTCCACCTCTTGTGTCTGTGACTCCTCCTCCTCTGCCTTGGCGTCATTCAGCTCACGGGCGAGCTCTGCGGAGAAGAAACGGAAATTGATCTTGTTGTCGATGAAGTACTTGGCCCAGGTCTGGCGTTGCTCGAGCGTCATCATATCCGACTTGTTGACGAGCAGCAAGTTGCGCTTCTTGGGGTCAACCTCTTTGACGTAAGACTCCATGTCTTCACTGCGGAACATGAGGGGGTTTCTGGCATCGACAATCTGCACGACCAGGTCGGAACGCTCAATGACACGCCAAAGCTGTCTCCAGACTTCGAGATTGCGCTCGAAAGGAGTCAGGAGCAAGTCCTGGTTCTCTTGCAGCTCGGCAAGATCTCTGCGCCACTCAATCATGGCTTCCTTCTCACGTGTGTTCAGCTCGTCCTTGGTGGTGGTGGAATCCCATTTCGGGCGACGGGGGACGGTAAGACGGCTTCTGTTCTTGTTGTGCTTCTTGACGACGTTGCGCTCCTCGGTCGAAGACAAGAGGTAAGGGTTCTTCTGGTCCCTGTGGATAATCTTGACATTGTTCATCTTCTCGGCGGTGAAATCAGTGCCAGCCAGCTCTGCGGTGGACAAGAACTCGTCCAGATCGCCCTGCTCGGTGACGGAGCGCATCTTCTCGTAGGCAGCAGCCTGCTTGTTGTTGGTGATGTATGTCTCTCCATTCTGGCCCTTTCTCTGAATTCCTCCGGCGTTGGCCTTGTGTTGGTTGGAGTTCTTGTTCTTGAAGCGGTCGTTCATGAGGGCATTGCCCAGGCCGACGGCCTGCTTGCTCTTGGCCAATACCATAGCGAGGATTGGTATTGGGTCTCTTGGATGGGTGGGTGGTAGGATAGCAAAGAGAGGCAAGATTTAGCAGAGAAAATAACCGCCGCTTTGGTAAGCCCCGCCCACTCCGTCATTCCCGCTGCCAAGCCAAATCATCTAGGGTCTATCAACTTTTTGTGCCCATCAAAGTCATTGTTTGTCTCGAACCAAATATCGTGTCGCCATGGTGCTTGCAGTGTCTGCCAGAGCGCGTATACTCTGGGGCCATGCGCCCCGAGTGCGGTCCGCCATTCTTGTGCGCCGCACATTTGCCACCGTTTCGGACTCTACGACAGCGTATGGCCAAATGTCCCATCCAGACATGAGCACGCGACTGACTGCGAAACAGTNNCCCTACGATGTAGTCGTAATCGGAGGTGGCCATGCTGGTTGCGAGGCTTCAGCAGCTGCTGCACGGACTGGCGCAAGAACAGCCCTGGTAACTCCTTCGGTCGACAATCTCGGAGTCTGCTCATGTAATCCCTCGTTCGGAGGAATCGGCAAAGGCACCATGCTACGAGAGATCGATGCTCTGGACGGTGTCGTTGGCCGCATAGTCGATAAAGCAGGAGTTCAGTTCCGCGTCTTGAACAGAAAGAAAGGGCCGGCCGTCTGGGGCCCTCGTGCCCAGATTGACAGAGCCCTGTACAAGAAGCACATGAAAGAAGAAATGACAAACTACAAGGGCTTGAGCGTCGTTGAGGGTAAAGTCGCCGATATCGTCGTGCAAAGAGAAGGAATGACAGACGGCAAGCATGGAAAGATTACTGGAGTCAGACTCGAGAGCGGCGAGGTCATTCCTACAAAGAACGTTGTCATCACTACTGGCACCTTCCTGGGCGGCGAAATTCACATTGGTCTTGAAGCATACCCTTCAGGCCGTATGGGAGAAGCAGCAACGACGGGCTTGAGCAAGTCTCTACGAGACGCAGGCTTCACATTAGGCAGATTAAAGACAGGAACCCCTCCTCGCCTTGACGGCAAAACCATCGATTATACCGGCCTCGACGTTCAGCCTGGTGACGATCCTCCAATGCCTTTTAGCTACCTCAACTCTCGTGTCGCAGTCCAAGATCAACTGAATTGCTGGTCTACTCACACCAACCCTGCCACCCACGACATCATTCGCGCAAATCTCCAAAACAGTATCCACATCCGCGAGGAGGTCAAAGGTCCCCGCTACTGCCCATCCCTCGAGAGCAAAGTCATTCGATTCCACACANAAGATGCCCACATCATCTGGCTAGAGCCCGAAGGCTTCGACAACCATGTCATCTATCCGAACGGCATCTCCATGACTGTCCCTGCTGAGGCACAAGAAGCCATGCTCAAAACCATCAAGGGTCTGGAAAACGTCAAGATGCTACAGCCCGGCTATGGTGTTGAATACGATTACGTGGATCCTCGCAGTTTGCGCAAGACTCTGGAGACGAAAGCTATTGGAGGTTTGTTCCTGGCAGGCCAAATCAACGGCACAACAGGCTACGAAGAAGCTGCTGCTCAAGGCGTTGTCGCCGGTATCAACGCGGGCAACTCTGCACTGGAGAAGCCGCAGTTGCAGTTGACAAGAGCTGATGGATACGTTGGTATCATGATCGACGACTTGATCACGAAAGGAGTCTCGGAACCATACCGCATGTTCACCTCAAGATCAGAATATCGCATGTCCGCCCGTGCTGACAACGCCGATCTCCGCCNNCTCACCGCTAAAGGCCGAGAACTCGGTGTAATCTCAGATTCACGCTGGTCTCATTTCTCCTCGCAGAAAGCACAGATGGATGAGTTGAAGACCCTCCTGGAAGGCCACACCCTGTCAAGCAGCGTTTGGCAATCACACGGCTTCCCAGTCCGTAGCGACAGCAGCAAACGCAGTGCATTTGACCTCTTACGTCTCGCATCCATATCGGTCTCCAGCCTTGCCACCATCTTGCCGGACATCGCAAAGTTCGATCCTTACATTATTTCTCGTATGGATATCGAAGGCACATACTCTCCCTACGTCACTCAACAAGAAACACAAGCCAAGCACTTTGAAAGAGATGAACAACTATTGCTTCCTGCAGACATCAAATACGAGAAGATCTTTGGACTGAGCAATGAAGAAAAGAGAGTGCTGAGTGTCACCAGGCCTGAAAGTCTGGGACAGGCTAGAAGAATCGAAGGAGTTACACCTTCAGGTACACTTCGCCTGTTGGCCTATGTGAGGGGCGCAGGTAAGAGAGCAGCTGCTGTCGATCAAGTGCTTGCATCTCAGGAAAAGAGGTTGTTGTTTAATGTCTCGAAAGTCTGACAGGAGTGTCATTGCATTTTGGGTGGCGTAGGCGCTAGTGAGGAAGCATTTACATGGATGGAAGGTCATGATAGGAGTTTGTGTAATATCAGTGCAAAGAGCCAAGGTGCTCCATTCTCTACTTCAGTGTTTCTCTTGCCCCGAGTGAGCTTCGTTGATTTCATCACATGAAGAATTCGTGTGCATATGAGAGATGCTCGATTTCAATTGACTAGCAATCCTAAAAAGACCACCACCACTCAGTGTTATGTATACGTCCATTTCTTCGCCGACAAAAAAATCTTTGCCACCTCTTCTTAAGCATTGGTAATCCAGAAATGCTGACATCCACCATCGTAACTTCTCTTTCCCCTTCCCCTTCCACCGCCCATCGCGCATACCTCCAACATCTGACTCTCACACCAAACCTGAGGTACAAAAGTGCCCCATCTACAGGTAGCGCCAACGCCTACTCTGACGCCGGCAACAGCAACGCCTCCAGATGCGTAGGGACCTCCGGTGTAGAAGTTTGTGTTGCAGAAGGCGTTTATGGCGGCGAGGACGCGGGCGTCTTTTTGGGCGCAGCGGTTGCGGTTGTTCCACATGGCCCAGAAGTCGGGGCCGGCGTGGGTGGGGGTGGCCAGGGAGAGGAGGGCGATGAGGCCGAAGAGGAGGAGAGAGAGGCTGCGATTGAGCATGTTTGGTAGTTTGTTTGGTTGCTTTGGTTCTTGGGTTGGGTTGAGATCAGGCTTGTTTGGTTCTTGTCTCAATTTGAGATCACAAAGGGAGGAACTTGGTCTGATAATGATGAAGACTATTCCTGGATGAAGGTCACGGTTGTTCGGCACGGTCGCCTTCTTATCATCGTGGTCTTCACAATATCAATCTCCCGGCGTCAAAGAGAATGGGTCCTTGTGTCCGGTTTCAGGGTGCACTTGCCTTGTGGTTTGTGTCTCGGCCCTCACGAGCACATCTCGATATAAAGAAAGAACGTCTGAATCTCCATATTGGTGGAATAGTCCTTGATGGTGGTTACTTTGTTGTCTGCCAGAGAAGCAGCTTTTCTTTGTTGAGCGCATGGATCGAGGGTCGTGGAATGTCCAGGCAGTCCTTAGTATTGTTCTTCCCAAAATCCCCACATTCATATTGTTCAGACCTGGAGCAGTCATAGCCTAGCACGAAACAAAGACGGGTAGGAACTTCTAAGACAGTATAAGCTCAATCATGGGTAGGACATGGAAAGATCATAAGGATAACATGCTGTATTAATGCTTCGTATTGTGAGTCTCTGCGCAAAAATTATCTTTCTGGAGCGATCAGCATGTACAAAGGTATATATGGCGGGACGATGTTTGAAGGGATGCTAGGTGCTTTGTTCGATCTCACTCGATAGGTGCCAGGCTCTTCATACATCGACGAGACAAACACTGTCAACGGAGCCGAAGCCAGCTGCAACACCACCCTCTTCGCTTTGATCGCCCTTGGTTCTGAGCAGATAGCCAGCCTGTCTGTTCTCGAGCATCTGTTGTACACCATCTTCACCGCTCTGTGTCTTCCACAAGCAAACACCGTATACACCCAATTCTCCAATAACGCCACCCTTTTGAATTTCTCCATTACGGAAAATGGTATTGGTCAAGGCTGGTGGCTCAATCATCTCCATCAAGATATAAGCCGGCCAATGTGACTCGGGGGTCTCCTTGAGGAACTTGGGAATGGCTTTGCGGTAGACGTTGTTGCCACCACCTTCACGCTGAGGCTTGAGGACATAGCGAGTCGCTGTTTCTGGGTTCTGCGCAAGCTTGCAAGCTTCTTGACCTGCTTCGCTCTTGTCGAGAGGATAGATTGGGGCAAACGTCTTGAGGACCTCGGCAGCTTTGTTCTTGTCCGGAAGGAAGCGGGCAAGGTGAGGCGAGTTGGGGGTCGCAAGGACTTGTTGCACCTTCTTCGAGCCGGCCAAGTGAGTCAAGATGCTAGGACATTTGACAGCTGCACTACGTTCGATATGCAGACGAGCGTCCCAGTCAGCCTTTCCAGAGTAATCATCAGGGGAGTAGCCAGCGCGGAAGTAAACCAGTGATACCTCCCACGTCTTGTTGGGAGTGTGAGGAGGAGTGTAGAGCAAAGTTCGCTTTTCGTCGAGTCTAGTGTGAGACATGACTTGGTCGAAAGATACACGGAAAGCCCTGACTTGGTGCTCGTTGAAGAGAGTATATTCCAGGTGTCTTTGGTCAAANACGTTGCGTTCTGGGTCCTGGACAAGGAATATGACACAAAGAGGAGAACCACTTCTCGATTCGCCATAAGCATGATGACCAGCAGCCAGACCTCCAGCAAGAGACGGAACCGATGTGCTTGGTGGAAGAGAAGAAGTCTTGATAGTTGATTGAGTTTCTTCCGGGTAGGCGTCGACAGAAAGAAGATAGTTGTGCAGCTTTGAGACTTGTGTAGAAAGTCCACCGAAGGATGAAGCGATGGTGTTGAACTCTACTTGTTTAATGGTAGGTTTGGCAGCAGAGTTCGCTGGGTCGAGATGGACCATGTAGTCAGAGCGGAAAAGCCCAAGAGTAATGCCNCTAGAGACATATTAGTAAGTGAGATTGAAGATCTTGCAGGCAGGTCTATCCACCTGAACATATCCCTCTTTCTTCACGGCTTGGTGAACCTTCCACAGCTCGGCGATGAAATCATCCACTTCGACGAGTNNCTAAGTACGTAGTCAGCAGAGTTGGCATAAAGTAGGGCCAATTCGTGTCTAGAGCATAGACGAAACTTACTCCTCAACAATCTCCTTGAGCCAAGTCTCGTTGCTTGCAATAGCGGCATAGAGCTCATTATATGCTGTCTGAATGCCAAGACCTTGCTCAAAGCAATTTCTAGGGAACAAGCTAGGGAAGAGGGTAACAGGAGCAGTCACTGCTAACGAACCGGCTGGATCTTGTTCTTTGGAAACCCATGTTGGTACCGGTCTCACTGCCAGGCCGTTTGCAATTGACCAGTCTTTGACATTAGTAATCAAGTATTGAAGCTGCTCCTCGTTGAGGTCCGGAGGGTACTTTGGGTAGATTTCACGCGACATGGTAGAAGCGAGAACAATAGGGCGAGGATAGAGAGGCTTCGTGAGTCGAAGACCTAGTCGTATGTTATGCTAGAAAGAATTGGCGGTGTCAGTTAGAGGTAGTTCGACTGGTTGTCAACTGCCGGTTGAACTGCGGTTGATGAAGTCCGTTGTCGCGATTGCGCATTCGGCAAGTGCCTGGACTTTTCCTGACTTCATCTCTGTTAAAGCTCCCTCAACAGCGGCTCGAATTGTCGTAGAGTTCAACTGATAATTAATTGTCACTACTCTGGCAGGTTATCGTGCTTCTATGCTGAAATAGTTAACGCGAAATCACTCGTGTTAGCGTCGTGTTAATTCCACAGAGGAAAACCTCCAGCATTACCAAACACGCGCGTAGAGCTCAGTTGTGATCGGGGCTTTAGGAGATGCAAAGCAGAGAAAGAGACACTTCACTTCGACTTCAACAGCCGAGGCGACGGTCAGTCTGAACGTGGTCTGCGTCAGTGAACGCGCTTTTCTAAATCGCGACCAACACGCTACTCATGTACATAAAAGCAACCCACACTTACATCTGCTTCGTCTAGAGCACCAGCACTTACCTAGGCGACTGGTCTGGTCTGCTCCTTCCAATAGTGAGTGCTCCCTCAAATCTCTGCGTCCGGCGTCACACATCGATTTATGTCTTGGCACTTTCACTCGAGTCATCACAAAACACCATATGCCAGCGACTAACCTTGAGCGAGCAAGCAGGACCAGTCCATGAGAGCTTAGTCCTGGCACTCCCCCTTTCTCTCCAACCCTTTTCTTCAAAACCTCTCTGTCACTCGCGCCGCGCTAGGTTAGTCATTAGGCAATCATCTATACACAGACGCTCCTTCCCTGACAGATACTAGGTGACCTTGTTCACTTCAGAGCTGCGCGCTCTCCAATCCTCCTTCTACATCACAACATCACAACATCAAAGCATCGACGTACTACAACATTGCATTAACATCACCATCAATACTGTCATCGTCGTCACAGTCAGCAAACCTTCATGATGGCGGCGACCGACCCCTTTAAGTGGTCCACTGCAGAAGTCGTCGAGTTTCTACAGCACAACCAGTTCGCCAGTCTTGCCCAGCAGTGGTCTGACAATGGCCTTGACGGTCGAATGCTGCTTGAAGAGGTTAACCACCCTTTCTTGAAGAACGACTTCGGTATTGTTGGTGTGAAAGAGCGCATACTTATCATGCAGACCATCCGTGCACTTCGCAAGTCTTCGGCGGCGTACACTGAATCCCTGCATCCTGCCATTCTGCCATCTACACTGCTTCTACCTGCTTCCCAGCCCTCAGACCCACCCCTAGGACCTATCGGAACCAGAGTTCGCAAGNGGGAAGAGCTTGTCGAGTCTGGCGGCTGCAAGCGCCGCAGATTGAATCTCGAAACCACCCTCGCCGACACTGCTTCACTGGAACATACTCCAATCCCGTCTGGATTCCTGCATGACAGCAACGGAGCTATTCTCCCCGACACTCAACCTGGAGCATCTCAGAGTCCAACCCTTGCAGTTGACCCCTCTTCTCAGTCCAACTCTGTCCCAAGCTCCTCTATCCCAAACTCATCCGGATTCCTGCATGACAGCAAGCACACGGTTGACGAGATCTTCTACGGAGACACAGCCTACGGTGCAGAAGTCGAGCACAATGAGACAGAGGACGATGACTCCTATGACAATTTCACTATCTTTGGGGGCTCCGAGTTCTCAGGCAATGCCTCTTTCGTCTACCGTTGCCTCCAGCGCGCGTTTCAGCAAGACGATCCGCAACCCGTCACATACCACCGAAAATCGGCTCTTGCAGTCTATCCGTACTCGGAGCGATTGCTCGAAGACAAAGACGCCAGATCAGTCACTATCTTCGAGCCCTCAGAAAATGGCGTCAAGGTCATTCGCGAGAAAGCCCAGACATTGTCTTTCCAGCAGCATGAGGTCGTGAACCCCCAGATGAGTCCTGGCGAGTTCAGTTACCTTCTCGACAAGTACACGGGAACTGACGAGCTTTTGCCTACATACGGAGACTCAGACGATGACTCAGATTCGGCAGATGATGCTGAGGCCGAAGACCCTGTCAGCGGATCTGACGATGACATGGCCGAAGAAGACCCTGCTGTTGAAGCCATCCTATCTCATGAACTTGTCGACTCGCTGGTCGAACAGACGATTGACCTGCAGCGCCAGGCTTGGCGCGACAACCAGCTACCAAAGCTTGACAAGAACAAAAGCCGCAGTGTATGGCGTCTTGCCAAAGGCAACATGCAGAAATCTCGCGCCTTGATTCAAGACGCGCGCAAGAGAACCATGCAATTGGCCGATAGACTTTCACGACTCAAGAAGAATCTCATGGACGGTACATTCGAGACCGAACAGGAGGTCAAGCAAGCTTGTTTGACTCTTGAGCCCACTGTCCACGATGCTCTGCACGAAGAGTGGAAGGTCAAAATCTGGGACCTCAAAGTGGAGCCTGCAGCCACAGCAAGACAGCCCAACAAGAGCCACCGTGGTGCTACAAGAAGAACTCGTGACAGGGAGGCATCGGATGACGACATGCAGGACTTTATTGACAACGACGAGGACTTTGAAGACGCCAGAGAAAGCCTCTCTCAAGATGGTCATGATTCTGAACCCGATCTCGGCATGCAAGAATTGTCGTCTCAGCTTGTCCCACAAAACGAACAGGTGATCTCTAGCGAGGACAACAACGTTCTCGTGATGGTGGACGAAAACATACCCGATGCGACCGAAGTACCAGCTGACTTTGACTACGAGATCTCTCGTGCTGGATCTGTTGAGATCGAGCCTCCTGAGCAGTTGACAGAACTGGACCAGACCTCCGAATCCATACAGACGCCTAAGAAGGACAGACTCACCGCTGGTCTGCAAGTCGAACAAGACTCTCCTGGCCTGCCCTCTCTGGAGGCGTTGTGGCAATCCAGGCCATCGACAACGCAAAAGCATGTACCGATCATCGAAATTACGTCAAGCCCTGCTAAGCCTACTTCGACGCATACGACAACTCAATCGAGCCCTCTGAAGAATTCCGATGTCAAGCAAGAGCAGGAAATGCCTAAAGAGATCACGTATTCGAAAAACCCAGACAACGATTCCTTGAAGCAAATTCGAAGCTGGAACTACGAGGATCTCGAAGAGGAACGGGACAGAAGACGAATGCTTTACGTACTAGCGTCCACCATGAGCGATGAGCGACTTGAGTCACTTGCGCGTCTCCTCACCAGCAACATGACGAGTTGTCTCGCAAAAGTCAGAGCTGCCATTTCTGCTATAAATGAGGGAAGTGAAGTTTTCGATGGCTACGATGAAACGGACTTCGAAGTCATGCGAGATGCCGCCAGGATCTACTTGGGCTTTCTCCACATAGACCACAGATTCTTCGACTCAGACCCATCCGAGTTTGCTTCTTTCGAACACGATTGGCCATGGGACGGTGAGGACGAAGAGTACGCCAATGACCTGCGCGTGTGGCATAGATACACTTGGGTAGCATTGAAGCGTTTCAAGAAAGGTGCTTCAACCGAGAAGCGCGAAGTGGTCAACTTAGACAGCGATGATGAGATCGAGATTGCCAAATCAGGCCATTCGAGCACCCGCAAGAGAAAAGTCAAGAGAGATGACGACGCGGCCAGAAAACGCGCCAAGGCAGCCGAGAGAGCTGCGAACTACGAATCTCAGCAGCAATACAGCCAAAACGGCTCATTCATGGCTGGCGAGGATGGAGTGAGCGAGGTGCCTCTCTACGCGCCGGATGACGTGGACCCTTCCGAACATGTCTATCTCAACAATGCCATCGCCAAACGCTTGAAGCCACATCAAATTGAGGGCGTCAAGTTTATGTGGAGAGAGATCACTGCGCCCGAGGAAGAAGATGGACAGGGCTGCCTGTTGGCTCACACAATGGGTCTGGGCAAGACAGCTCAGAGTCTGGCTCTTCTCACCGCAGTAGCTGAGACCGTGAAGGATAAAGAGAAGCGCGATGCCCTCCCTGAGGACCTGAAANAGGCTAAGAACAAGCTCAGAGTACTCATATTGTGTCCACCGGCTCTCATGGCGAACTGGAAGCAGGAAATCGCCATGTGGTGCCCTCACAAGCTGTTCAACGTCTTCAGCCTGAGCAGCGAAACACCAGGCAAGGCAGAGAGACTCGATGAGCTAAAGAGTTGGCGCCATCTAGGCGGCATCATGCTTTGCGGGTATACAATGTTCACCAAGTTGATCAATCGAAAGGGTGGAAAGACGCAAGCTTTCAATGATGCAGAACATGCGTTGGTCACGAAGTTCCTTCTGCAGAAACCTCACATTGTTGTTGCCGATGAAGTCCATTCGATCAAGAACGACTCAAGCAAGACATCTCTGGCTGTTCATAAAATCAACACCCAACGCCGCATCGGTCTGACAGGATCACCTATGAGCAACAATACCGCAGAGATCTTCGCTTTGATCGACTGGGTCGCACCCAAGTTCCTAGGCAGCAAAGTCGAGTTCAAAGCAGATTACCAGGAACCAATCGAAGCAGGAACATACTTCGACAGCACCAGATATGAAGTCCGAAAGTCTATGACCAAGCTCGCAGCATTGAAACGAATCATCGCTCCAAAGCTCAATCGTGCCGACATTACGGTTCTCAAAGGTTCGCTCAAGAGCAAGGTTGAATTCGTTCTGACAATTCCCTTGACTGAACAGCAGAAGTTGGGCTACGCAACTTATGTCAAAGAGATCCTCGGTGGCAAAGCTGGTGAGGAAGGCACAACAATCACACAGGTCAAACTCTTTGGGTGGCTGTCCATCCTACAGTTGTTGTGCAATCATCCTATCATCTTCCGTCGTAAGCTACTTGAGCCCATCAACAAGCAAAAGAAGGGCAAGAGAAACACGCTCGATGCTACAGAGATTGAAGTCCCTGCAGACTCACCCACCGCAGGCCCGTCTACAGCAGGCCCGTCTACAGCAGGCACGCTAGCGACAGACTCTCCTGTTCCAGCATCAACAGTAGTCACAATTGCTGAGACTGCTCGTGCACATGAAGAACTGCCAGTCGTTGACGAGGACGCAGCTTACGCAGATGCCCATATCTCTCAGTATGACATCAACAAGGCTATAGTAGATGCTTTGCTCGAAGTTGTACCTGAAGATGACTCTATTGAGCTATCCTACAAGACTCTGCTCGTCCGAAAGATTATGCGTCTTTCGATCGAAGCTGGTGACAAGGTTCTCATCTTCTCTCAGAGCATCCCTTCTCTAAACTTCTTGGACTACATGCTGTCAAGCACTAGAGCCCGTTATAGTCGCATCCAAGGAAACATGCCCCAGGACAAGCGTGAGAAGGTGCTGAAGTCGATGGCTGATGGCAATCTAGATGTTTTGCTCATATCCACTCGTGCTGGAGGCCTTGGCTTAAACATCCAACAGGCCAATCGTGTCATCATCTTCGACTTCGCATTCAATCCCACTTGGGAGGAGCAAGCAATTGGACGAGCTTATCGTCTGGGACAGACTAAACCTGTGTTCGTCTACCGCTTCGTCGCTGGCGGAACATTCGAATTCTCACTCTACGACAAGCAACTCTTCAAGACAGGTCTCTCTTCTCGCGTCGTGGACAAGAAGAACCCTATACGCAATGCGAACAAGAAGCCCGGCGACTGGTTGAAGGCACCTTTCGATGTTCAACAACAGGACATTAGTGCTGAAGCCGGCAAGGATGAACATGTAATGGACAAGATCATCGCAAGCCAGGGTGGCGATCAGGACGAGTTCATCCGTAGTATCAAGACTATGGAGACTTTGATGGGAGAGTCGAAGGATGAGGCTTTGACTGCAGAGGAGATGCAAGAGGTTGAGATTGAAGTATTGAAGGCAAAGACTCGCAAGCTCGCAGGTGGCCCTGCTACTTTGGCACCACCTCTACCTGCAGGCTCTCACCCAGTCGGTTCTGGTACAAGCTTTGCTCTGCCTGATGTGGCTGGCTCGTCGCCTACTCCAAACGGAAGAGTTGTTTCGAGATACTAAGGAAGCATCAAGCCGATAGTTGCTGCATGGGAACACTATCGCTTCTGTAATATATGTAAAATCATCACTTTTCAATTCCTTGTGCAAGAATGAATAGCCAAATATCACTTTTCATTCGCTTTATACTTGAGCGTGTTGATAGCTGGACGTGTTGGAGACGTTCTCGTAATCAGACGATGTGATTGTACGGTCTTGGCACTATCCTGACGTAATCATCTCCTTCCACTTCACCTTCAAACCCCGAACCTAATCCCGAGCACCCGAAACAATCTTCGAGAGCACGAGACAAGACAAAAATCTTGCTTGTCCATTGATTTCTATACAATCGACCAACCGACAGAGAGATCAAGATGCCACCAAACAGTGCTCATGGAAAGCTAGACAGTGAGGAGACGAATGCCGCGGCGTGGCAAGCTACAAGAGGTGCTGTTACAGGAGCAGCAAGGGTAAGTCTAAACATGTGAGACGGTCTGAAGGACACAGTAGTCTGTATAACCAAGATGCAGTCTCTTTGTGTTTTCATATCCTGTGTCTTCTAGCGTACGGTGTTCTTGGTCATCTCACTGACATATTTGACAGTGGGGCATCTATTCAGCAGTCGCAGCTGGCATTGCATATGCTTATTCACCAGTATACCGAGGCTTGACGGTACAATTCAAAGTGTACGTATCGAATTTTCTCCTAGTCTTGTGTTCGAATGTCTCTTTCCCAGGCTATGCTTCTTGATGAGCCTGTTACGATGCGCCCTTTCGTTACATTCCACAAGCAAAACCTTCTTGTACATTCGCCGTGACCACAACGATCTAGAAAGTTCTTTCTTCTTGATTTTCTTCATCGAGAGACTATACATGAACTCACGCCATTGCAGTTTCCTCCAAATGTCCGGCATGATCTTTGGAAGTGTTATAGAAGCAGACGAACGATTGCGTATCTATGGTGAGCGGTCACGGCGCCAGAAAGTCATGGCTCGTGATGCTGCTGTATGGAGAAAGTACGAAGAAGAGTTCGAGAGTTTGGGCATTCCGGGTGTCGCTAGCGAGGCTAGAGCAAAGAGAGAACAACAGCAGGAGAAATGAAACAAAGAGCACGGGAGATATTGCATGTAATGACTGACCATGCAACTGTTGTTACGGGGTTCCGTCCTTGTATTATATGCACCAACAATCAATATTTCGGAGCATCCAGATATTGCTCCAGCCCCATGATTTTGCATCAGAAGGCATCATGTAGGCAACACAGCCGTCTGAGCACGAAATAGGCAACCACGTCATTTTCGGATGAGGTGTGGAGACGACCTTGACGACGTCTCTTCGTGGTTCCATGGAAAATTAACTGTGATGCTACTTTAGCAACCATGAACGTCAATTCTTCAACATGACACGCAACCCTGCTAGAGGGAAAACTTCCTTTTGAGATTCCCAAGCTTATCAACTGCTTTTTATCGTGCCTTAGCCATGGACAGTCATCCAGAAAATCCAGAGAAAGAAGCCTGGACATTACGAAATCGTTTTCGCACACGCTTCTCTACCGTATCGAAGATCATACACAGCTCTAGTCTTGGATAACATACTTGGGCTTATGCTGGTTGATAGAACACAAGGACAGGTACCTCCAGGAGTGGCTCTTTGTTCATACCCTCAGCCCCCTGGTGAGTGTGCTGTGCGATGGGAATGTTCACAGTACAGTCGAAAGTGTCGAGTTGAACGTAAAGGACTGAGCTCGGATTTGAACATGGGCTATAGCCAGAGCAGTGGTCGATAGCGGATGCTCCTGTCAGTGGTATGTACAAGGCATAGCTCACAAGAGACTAACGCAGACGTCATAAAGCTAGAGGTATGCGTCAACAATCATATCTCTGTGGCTACTCAATTACACCCGCGACGTACTGGACATCTTTACAGCTGCACAGATTGACGTTTGCGGAAACAAGGGACTCATCGCCGCCTTCGCAACTCGCGGCATCCTCACAGTTCTGGTTGAGACCTAGGTGATCAAGCGTTCACTGGATCAACAATACACCGCCGCTGCTGGCACGATTTCTTCGAGGAACTTCTCGTATGCTGGTAGATGTGCTGGCGGATATAGGAGTTGGTGGCTAGTCACAAAGCCTCGTGGGAGCTGGGCGATCGGAGTGAAGACTTGGAGCAAAACTCGAGCGTCGCCATCAGGAATTGAACCCTGGTCCTTTCGCCGTAATTTAAATTACAACCACAACAAACACCGGATCCTACCACCTTCCTGCTCACCAGAGGGTATACCAGACTACTCGCAGTCAAAGGGAAACAGCACGAGCAGATGCAAAAGAAAAAGTGACCTTCTGGAGCAAAAACACAGGCAGTTCGATTACCGATTGGAAGGTAGGGAAAGACCCCTCATACTTTGCCGGGAAAACTAGACAGGGTAAAGTTACATGGCTGGCCAGACCACTGCGCTAAACTGGTTGTCATCCTCATTTTATTATTACCTACCACCAAAAAAAAAAAAGTATATAAGGGTAGCCCCCAAAAGTTGACAACTTGCACAGGCCTCAGAAGTATTTCTACGCCTTGATAAATCATTTGATGCACCAAGTTTGTCACTGCTAATTTTCTGATGACCGGGTCGCGTCGGTGTATCAGTTGCTGCCTGGCTGATGACAGAACAACACGCCAGCTCCACCTCATTCTCAATCTTGGATATTTTTACGTGTTAAATCTCAGAGCAGCAGAGAAGAGCACGAAAAGGAGGTGTTGTTTCTGGTAAAGACCCAGACACGGCGAGGAGCCGTTGTGCCAATAATCGGGATGATTTGGCAGCAGTCGCTTTTGCAACGCTGGCTATCAACAGGTCCATCTCGTTCAAATGCGCAGCTGTTTTGCGTGGATGCATCTCACTCGCTGCTTTAAACGAGAGTGCAAATTTCTCGCAGAACTCAGAGGACTGAGAACACCACTTTTTACAATCCCTTGGGCTCGCCCATCACTCGACGTCGTTCATGCAATACACTGCCAAAAGATCACGCATTGTGACAAAGGCATTTGTATATGCTATTATGGCTTAGATCCTTTCCATGTTCTAAAGACACTCACAGTGTAGCTGTCCAAATGCACAATATCTTCGTGAAAATTATGGTTCCTACTGAGAGAATTTCAGTGGAGGTTATCTCAGTGGTCAGACTTATAATCGGATCGAAATTGTGCATTTTGATAGGTAGCTTATAACAACCCTTGTAGCTCGGGATGAGAAGAGGTCAGTCGTAAACTGTGACCGTCTCTAGCACACGGGGAGGAAGCAAAACTCTACATCAATCTCGATCACTCACCCCTGATGAGCCCCGAGCACCTGTCCTTTCAGCTACCAGAGTGGATGGTCTAAACCTATGATCCTCATGATCCTCTGCATGTCGCCCGGCCGGCCGCGAACAACGCAACTGCCTCGTCTTCTCATCTTGCATCTCAACGTTCGAGTTCACAACAGTAAGCAATCACGCTTACTGAGGCTAACCAAGACTTAATTTATTTGTGCTCTGCCATACTCCTCCATGATCTCTTTGACTCTCTTCAGAGGCAGTGCCTCTACCTTGTGTCCCTCAAATCCCACCATCGTCTCTGCCATGAACAAAGAGTTGTAGATTGCTTCTTCCACACAGTCTGCAGTACCTTCGAACAGCGAGGACATTGCCAANTCTTCCACCACCTTGACCTTTTCGATCGTTGATCTGCTTTCGCCCTCCACGGGTCTCGGCTGGTTGACAAGAATCTCGTTGGCAGTCGAGAAGGCGAGAAAGACATCGCCAGACATATTGTGTCCGATACCACCGACTCGAGATAGACCAACGGTGGCGCGCTTGGCTATGCGAGTGAGTTGATGTGGCAGCAATGGCGCATCTGTAGCGATGATGATAATGATACTGCCGTCTTTCTCCTCTTTGGCCTTCTCCAACGCTTCCTTTGCCTTCTTCTTTCGTTCATCTTTCTGAGCTTCCTCGGCCAGAATTCGACCGACGGGTACGCCTGCAATACGTAGGTCTTTCATGGCTCCATAGTTCGCTTGAACCATGCAAGCAACCGTGAAAGTCTCATCTCGGTATGGGATCTTGACGTGTCGACTCGACGATCCATTGCCGCCCTTGAAACCATGGCAGATCATACCATTTCCACCTCCTGAGTTGCCCTCTTTGATTGCCATATTTGTCGTTGCATCCTGCAACCCCTCGATCACATGCTTAGGTTTTACTGCAAAGGAAGGACAGTCATGCAGATAGCCATCGTATGTTTCTGCAACCACAGGCAACGCCATGAATGATTTGCCAAAGGTTTTGACACCGTACTCGAGGATTTCTTGATGAGCAGCGCCGATGCCAAATGTTCCAGTCAATATGATAGGCGAACACAACAACCCATTCTCGGTGATTTCGTGGGCTCCAGTCATCTCGCCATAACCATTGAAGCTGAAGATACCGGCATAGCAAGCTTTATGGAACCAGTCTTCTCGTGGAACGATACATGTAACTCCAGTATTGATGCTTTCGTCTGCAGATGTAATCTCTTGAGTCGAGACTGCAATGCCAGGCACATCGGCCAAAGAGTTGAGTAGCCCTGGAGGGTGGTCGCCGAGAAACAAGTATGGTAAGAGCCCGCGGATGCGCATGCGAGGCTCTGGGGCCGATGCTCTGGCTTCTTGTCTCCTAACCATCTCTTGAAGCAACAAGACACGATTTGGGATATCTAATAGGAAGTGTGCAGAGCTATGAGAGCAAGAAACCGGAACTACGAGCAGCAATTATAGCGAAGGAAGGTGAGGTCGACTGAACTTACTGGGCAACAATTTGATGGATGAGGCAGCAACTTTCAGATTTAGCCGCAACGACCGTAGGATTGCAGCGGAGACAGATACTGTACCTTATCCACTCATGGAAATCGGTATCCGGGACAATATAAGAATGCAGGCTCCAGCTCTGTCATATAGGCCAAAAGTACATGGAACCCTAGCAGGACCGCCAGGCCTACAGCTGATATATTGGATGAGAACAGGGTCGTCCTCATCACAAGAAATGGCAACCCTGTCGCTCTCGATATATCGACCGCAGAACACGACACTTGGACGGTTGGAGCCAGCATCTTGAATAGCAGGTTATACAAAGACTTGAGATAGCCTCGTATATTTCAGACAGTAACAAAAGTGATACTGACGCTTAGGAATTGACAAGCCTTGATTTTTGACATGAGATTGGAAGCCGAGGATAGAACGTCTCAGTGAAATATGTTTGATTACTGTGCATATAATCAGATGGATCTCAAAAGAGGCAGAGCGAGTAAGTTTGGGATCCCAATCGATTGAGCAAGCGTCCGCAGCTCGACAATCCCAGCGAAGCAGAGTGAAGCGTGTCAGAGGTGGTCGCTTCTCATCATCCTTCTTCTCCAGGCAAACGCATTGGCGGGAAAGAGCGATCTCCGGCCCCGCGCGTCAGAGCTTCGACGCGCTTTCCACAGTCGCGTGTTAGCCGCGACCATTCAGCAGCTTGCACTTGCCTTGTACTGTACATATTCTTCCACCGACATTGTACATCGCCATACCGCAGCCCATGCCTCGAACGCGCAATCGCGCCAGTGCTGCGCAGGAGACGGTCGTCGTCGAAGAGCCCGTCATCGAGGAAGCACCTGCTGAACAGGAGGAAGAGGAGGAGCATCAGAGCATCGAGGGTGGCCCAAGGCCGCTGAACTTCACCGAATCGCTAAATTGGCGCGCCGGGAAGCCCATCGCCGTCGCTGAACTACTACGTCGCCTGAGAACACTGCACACTGAGCTGAGCCAGCTGGACCAAGAAGATGCACACCGCGACTCTCTCGTGCCAGTTGCACAAGAGCTGGCCCACCGCAACCTGCTCGAGCATCGCGATCGTGGCGTCAAGGCCTGGTGTGCCCTATGCATTGTCGAAATGTTCAAGTTGCTGGCTCCTGACGCCCCCTTCAAGGCCGCCCAATTGAACCAGATCTTCTCTCTCATAATCACCCAAGTCCTGCCTGCCCTTGGCAACCCACAGGATCCCTACAACGAACAGCACCTGTCCATCATCCGATCGCTCGACGAAGTAAAGAGTATTGTACTGCTTACCGATATTCCTGGTGCCGATGGTCTACTGTACAAGTTGTTCACGGGTGCCTTTGACATCTTCGCAGACACCTCCAAGAATGACAAGGCCGAGGAGCTGGGCAAGAATGTAGAGCACCATGTCACAAGTCTACTCGTCACTGTCGTGGACGAGAGCCCTTCATTGCCCAACGACGTGGTCGATATTATACTGGCACAATTCCTCCGTCTCGATCCTACCACCTTCCCTCTTCAGCTCAACAAATCCGCTCTCGAATCGTCGCGTCCTTTCCATCTTCAGTTGCCCCCGCCGGCCTACAACATGGCCAAAAACATCTGCAGCTCGTGCCCCGACAAGATGTCGCGCATGGTTGCACACTACTTCAACTCAATCATCGCCGACCTCTCGGATGGCATTGATGGTTCAAGCTCACGAAAGGCTACGTCGCGAAGACGTCCTGGCGCAGACGATGAGGAAGAGGAGGAAGACGAGAACGATCGCGACGCGCCGCCTGCTGGCCCGTCTGCAGAAGAGCTCAAGTCACTAGAGAAGGCTCACAGGCTGCTGCGCGAGCTTTGGAGATCTGCCGCACTGGTCATACAGAACATTGTCCCACAGATCGAGTCTGAACTCAGTGCTGAGAATGTGGACGTAAGACTGCTGGCCACCGAGACAGTTGGTGACTTGATTTCTGGTATCGGCGCAGCAGGTCCTCCCACTCCGGTCGCGCTCGATCCTGCAGCATACCCCTCGCAAAGCGTAGATCCGCCTTCAGCATACTCCCNNCGGACATACAATTTCCTCACAACACCCGCCGCTCCTCACGCCTTTTCCTCAGTCCACGCCTCTACATACCAAGGCTTTCTCAACCGTCGCAACGACAAGTCACCTCGAGTTCGTTCTATCTGGGTGACTTGTGCGGGTCGCATTCTGGCCACTTCCGCTGGCGGCGTTGGTCTCGATCCAAAAGAGGAAAATGCTTTACTCAGATACATCTCCGATATGCTTGTGGATACAGATGATCATGTTCGTCTTGCTGCTGTGCAGGCCATTGGTCGCTGTGATTTCGAGACCATTGTGCAACGCATAGGTTCAAGCGGCAGTGTTACCACTCCTGATTCTGTATTGTCAAACCTGGCCGACAGAATCAAAGACCGCAAGCAGAGCGTTCGTGCCGAGGCCATGTCTCTACTTGGTCGAATCTGGGGTGTTGCTGCTGGTGCAATCACCGAGGGAAATGATAGAGTTCGTATGCTTCTTGGGTCGATCCCTTCACGCATTTTCGATGCCATCTACATCAACGACCGCGAGATCACCGCACTGGTCCAACAAGTCCTTTACGATTCACTGCTGCCATTAAGCTTTCCTCCCATCAAAGCCAAATCCACTTCCAACGGCGATTCTCAACGTGTCAAGGATAGCCAGATACCGGCTTCGCAAGTTGGGAAAGCACCAGCCCCAGATGCCATTCGTGCTGAGCGAATCTTAGTGCTGGTTCGGGACCTCGAGCAGAAGGCTAAGACAGTGTTCTTCACTTTCCAGGCTAAACAATCCAAGCGGGCGCAATATCTGGAGGCATTCCTGAAACGCTGCGAAGACTACAATGGAGGTATCAATGCAAAGAATGGCAAGGAAGGAAGTGGTTCACTATCCAAATTGATTGAGTTCTTTGCGCGAGAACGTCCTGAACCTCTTGTAGCCAATGACCACCTCTGGAAGTTTGCTAAAAAGCACGATAGGAGGTGCTATCAGCTCATTCGATTCGCAGTCAATCCTGACAGCGAATACAAGAAGGTCATCAATGCTATCAAGGAACTGACAAAACGTGTTGAAGAACAACCCGGTCAGCTACCAGCGATCTTGACGACCCTTCTCCCTATAATCTATCAAGCCAGCGTATTGGTTTACAACAAGAGTCATGTCCCCACAATTGTTGACGTTTCACGTACAGAGGACAAGGGTCTTGGTTCATCTGCGCACGAAGTGCTCAAGGAGATCTCAACTCACAATCCCGAGGTCTTCAAGGCACATGTGCGCAGCTTGTGCACAACACTACAGGAGCAAGTGCCATCAAAAGACAGACCGACCGATTCTGGAGTTGTCGAAACATTGAAAGCGTGTGCAGGCTTTGCGCAGAGATACCCTCAAGAGATTCCTCGCGAGCGTGCCTTCCTGCAAGCCATGGTTCAATTTGCTCTCCATGGAAACCCACCGATAGCGGCGAAGCATGCGGTTTCTGTCATTGTTGCTGCGGACGAGAAGAAGGATATGTACGTCAAAGACATCGTCACTAAGTGTGTGCAAGGCTTTGAGTACGGTGAAGAAGGATATCTCTCGAAGTTGGCCGCACTCAGTCAACTTATGCTCTTGTCTGCGAAGGACACTGAGGATGAACACGATAACATCTTGGAAATCGCAATCCAGAAAGTGCTCTTGCAGGTACGGACAAAAGCTAAGTCAGACGACGTTGAATGGCAAGAGGTTCCGGACGATGAATGCGAAGCCAAGATTTGGGCTCTCAAGATCCTAGCGAACCGACTCAGATCTTATGCTCTGTCTGTACCCGACAGCGAGATGGAGTCTGTGGTCACAGAGCTAGCGCTTCCAGTCTTCAAGCTTCTGAACCGGATTGTCGACAAAGACGGAGAGCTGTCTAAGACGCAGGGTGAAACTCCTAAGCCCCACAGGGCACGCCTACGACTGACTGCTGCCATCTTGCTGCTCAAACTTTGCAGCGCACACAAACGATTCGACGCGCTGCTGGAGCCCAAGAACTTCAATCGTCTCATTGTCATCGCTCAAGATCCTCTGCCCGAGATCCGATCTGCATTCGTGGACGCCATCAAGAAGTATCTCGGCCAGGGCAGACTGCCTCAACGCTTCTACACTCTAGTGTTTGTTTATGCTTTCGAGCCAAACGCAGTGATAAAGAACCCGGCCTCAACATGGCTGAAGGGACGCGCTGCAGCATTTGCCAAATCCAACGAGACTGTGATGGAGACTACCTTTGCACGCTTCATCAGTGTCCTCGCTCATCATCCAGATTTCTCAAAGGATGCGGAGAACCTGCAAGACTTTGTTGACTACATGATGTTCTATCTGAAGGCTGTTGCTACGCCAGCGAACATCGCCTTGATTTACAACATCGCTCAANAAATGAAGTCTGTTCGGGACGGTATTGACGAGAACAAGAGCGAAAACCTATACTGTCTGTCCGACATTGCGCAAGCTGTCATCCACAGATACCAAGAACTACAAGGCTGGTCGATGTCAGTATACTCAGGCAAGCCTCGTCTTCCTACCGGTCTCTTTGCATCACTGCCCAATCATGCAGTGGCACAGGAAATCGCCGAGAAGCAGTATGTACCGGAGAAGTTGATGGAGCAGATTGAAGATCTGGTCAAAGATCGTTTGCGTACCAAGAAGCGCAAGTCTGAGAGCACGAACACCCAAGCCAAGAAGCGAGCCAGAGCCAGTGAGGGCAAGTCTTCCAAGCCAACGACGAAGAAAGCCAAGAGCGTCAAGACGCCCAAGAAGAAAGCATCCAACGCTACTGCCCCAGTGCCCGCGAGCGAGATTCGCCGTAGCTCGCGCAAGTCGGGAGCGAAAAGCTACCTCGAGCAGAGCGACAGCGAAGAGGAAGTCGACGGCTTCGACGACGCCGACGAGGACGATAGCAATGCCGAGGAAAGCGACGTCGAAGACCAAGAGATGGGCGATGCTGAAGAGCAGGAGCCAGAACAAGCAGAAGCAGACAGCGACGAAGCCGAACAAGAAGCAGTTGAGCCAGAGGAACCAGAAGAAGAGGTCGAAGCACCAGCACCAGCACCAGAAGCACCTCAAACAAGACGATCAGGTCGTGCCGGCGTCAAAGGCAAGAAAGCAGCTCCTCCGGCTGCAGCTCCCAAGAGGTCAAGCCGAAGAAAGAAGAACGGTGTTGCCAGTGACTCGGAGTTGAGCGACGCACCCTCGGACATGGAGTAGTGATATCAGGTTGCATGACTTTCCTCAATCATTGTCTTTGCTCAAACATGAATATGGCTTGTTTTATCTTCCAGCCTTAGCGGTGGGCGTTTTTCCTTTTCTAGCGTGTTTCAAATCTGTTCTTGTCGATTCATCTCATGTATAGCAACCAGTATCCAAACAAAGAATCAACACCTATAGCTATATTCCATTCTCATTGTCATCGGTATCATGCAAAGTAGGCAGGGCACAGTTCACAGGGGAGATAATCATGATTACGAGATAATAAAGTTGATAATTGGGTATCTAGTCTTTTACGACATAAAATAAAACAAGTCGTGATAATATTACAAAAAAGTCCTTTTGGGTGTCCGAGTCTAGACAGACTGTCTGTTGGACGCACTCGACTTGACCGAAGCTCCAGCCATCGAGTTGTTTCTGCTAGGGCCGTAGATGGCCGAAGCTCTTCTTCCACCATGCTCCTCACGAGCAGAAGACAGCTGCTGGGCGAAGGGCGAACGCTTGCGGAGCACTGGCCCCTTCCAGTAGATGACATAGACCGAGACGACGAGGAGACAGGCGATACAAGCCAGGATGGTAGAAGCGTACTGCAAGTGATCCTTGCCACCAATGTTGGTGTAGAAAGGAGTGGCAGGGACAGTCAGCACACCAGCAAGGAAGTCACGAGACCAGCCGTTACCACCAGTGGCAGATGCTGAGTAAGGACCGTAGGCGCAAATCATGTAGTCGATGGTGGCCATGTAGATTGCGTAGTTGGCAATACCGATGATGGCACTGAAAATCATGGAGCCAATCCAGTGAATCGGAGGTCCTCCACTGGTCCATGCGAAGCCGAACAAACCAATGGGGAGGCAGGGTACAGTGTAGAGCAACCACCAAAGACGCGATTCGTACTGAGCGTGCTCATCGTTGGGATGATCGCGGCGTTGCTTCTTGTTGCGAGCAATGGCAGGGAAGAAGGAGAACCAGGCGATGAAGTATCCAATAAGAAGAGGCAAGAAGGCAAGACCAACTTGATAGGCAGAGAAGCCCCACTGGTCGTAGACGAGAGCGTATGACTGCAAGAACATGAAGATCAGGGCGTCACTGAAACCAGAGAGAAGTGAGAGTGTAAGGACGATAGGCTCAGTCAAGAACATCTTGAAAGGTCGGATCCATGTCTGAATGATCTCCTTGGCAGAGAAGCGGTCTTTCCAGGGAATCAACTCGGTGGGACCATAGACGTTGGTCTCACCAGCCTTGCGACGTCTCTTGGCGATCTTGTTCAACATGCAGCTAGTTCTGGTTTCAGGAACCAGGAAGAAGTGAAGAGCTTGAACGAAGCCACCGAAGATCAATTGGATCCAGATGTTCCATCGCNNCTGTACAGTTAGTTATAAAGATTTTGACATGCGTTAGGGTCAGACATACCATTGAGCGTATTGCTCAACAAATCCACCGACGACAGGACCAAGGACGGAACCGCCAACCGAGGAGAAGACGATGAAAGCGACAGCATACTGCTGTTCGTCGGCCTCCCACATATCGGCAACCATACCAAGAGTGACCGAACCACCGGCAGAAGACAAACCACCAAGGGCACGACCAGCCATAACGGTTCCGAAGTTGTGTGCGAGAGCGACAGGAAGCTGCCAGATGTTGACGAGGAACAAACTGAGCTGGAGAATGGGCCATCTTCCAAGCTCCTCGGACCAGGGTGCCCAAAGTTCACAACCAAAGGCGTAAAGGACAAGGAAGATCATAGCACCACAACGAGCAGCCTGAGCACTGATGTTGAATTCCTCTGTCATACCGGTAATGGCGTTGCTGTAAAGACTGGTGTTGAAGTTCATCGAGACCTGAACGATGAAGATGACACTGAGAATCATCCATTTCTTCCAGGTTGGGAAGCAGAAGCCGAGCTCTTCGTAGCAGTCATCTTCTGTCAAGATGATCTTGTCGCCATCGCCGCCGTATCCGTTACCTCCCTCCTTCTTACGGGTTGGGACTTCGGAGTTGTCGACTCTGCGTTCGATCGAAGGCTCAGACGAGTCCGTGTTGTCGACCTTTTCGTTCTCAAACATGCCGGCCATGTTGAGCGTTGTGCGATTAATAAGATATAATAGTTATTGTGAGTATCCGAGAAGCAAGTAATCTCAGATGGAATGTATATATCCCAGAAAATCTGACGGTCGAATGCAACCCGTCAGATATAAATACTGGGGAGACTGGGGAGAGGGGAAATATGCTGGGGAAGGTAGCACGCAAGGGTAAGATCTTACGGTCTTTATATGGCCGTTTTTCAGTTTGAGAAGGAAGGAGCATGATGTCACCCAACAGCTGGATACGGAGTCGATGGATTTGCAGATCTTCTGACTCTGAGCCTCGCAGCAACCGCAAAACCCTGCTCGCAACTCGCAATGTGACCCGGTGACTAGAGATCCACATGGCTTTAGTTTGAGAACTTTACGGAATATAAAGTCCTTTATGATTAAGAACACCAATCAAGCTTGGAGCATGAGTTTGTTGTAGGTAAGCATCAGACAGTCATAAAGCAAAGTACTCGAGACCTTCGAACATACAATACTCCCCATCAGATGCACAAGACCAAGATACATGACGACGAGCAAAACCAATATTCAGAGGGAATGATTCCGTTACCGCTCGTTCCTTCATACAACGTTACATGGCACACCCGAAAAATGGTACTGGTCTTATGGCCGACGCAAAAGCGTCATCGCGCCAAGCGCGTAAAACACGCCTTGCCCGCGGTTGGCTTGCGCACAAGCATCGGAGGTGGCGCCAACCTCCGCCTTGATATCATCGACATGGCATTCCTTCAAGAATCAGGATACCGACATGACACGCGACAGGTGACAGACACTACTTGAAAATCTCTTTCGTTACCTGCTTGACGAGATGATATAGTCGTCTGAATTCAAGACAAGCCAGCCTTTGTACCTGAGGCATCCCCATGACAGCGTGGCTTCACCGACACACTTTCCTGAATCGTGTTTAGCCGGGTGAAGCTGGGGGTTTATGTGGTTCCTCCACCACCAGCACCACTTTTTTCTTTGGAGCAAGCTTGGGGTCTCCGAATCATTTTCTGGCACACCCACGACACACCCCCCGATATTGGTAGTCCTTTTCGGCCCGATTCTGCTGACATCGCTCGAATCCTCGGGAGAACCGTAGCCGTCAGAACCGATGGAACGGCAGAGAGTGGCAGGTTGTCAAAGAATTGCCCATCATTTTCGGCTAACGCTCTGATACCACGTCGATCGCACACGTGGTAGATGCGGCAAGAGTTTTTCTATGCCGATCCGACAAACATGGTCAAAAGATATCGTCTTGTTAAGAGACGGCGGCAGGAGGTTGACCAGAACCTCTATTCCGAGGACATCTGGACAAACGGTCTTGCAACCTGAAAGAAAGCCCAGTGGGACTGTCGTGAGCTGTTGCTTGAAACTCTCTTACATAACAGTGAGCTATCGACTTTAGTAAGGTTGTAGCGGAAAGCGGAAACCGCATGCCGTGTGATTTTCGTATCCAAGCCTTGAACGCCTACAAGCTTCAAATATCGACCCACCAGTCACCAAGACCCTTGGCAGGTTGCATGAGGTGGGCCTGGAAAGGCTTGCTCGCAAGTTGCGCCCACTTCAATCAACCCTATATCGAATTAACGAAGGATATACTGGCGTGACATCAAGCGTTTCTACGTTGAAGTTGCAATAGACGATGGGCATGGCACGTTGATCAGGAGACAGCTAGAGCTGTGGCGGAAAATTACATTTGTATACAGGGGTATCGGTGAGTGTTGTTATAGCAGATGTTCAATCCTAGATGGCCCACTCGTTCTTGTTATCGCTGGCAGTCACGAAGGGTTCGTCGATGCGTTTGACGGCCATCTCACTACAAAGCACACTGATAATTCGTTAGCAAGCTGCTCATGGGACTAGCAAAATGTGACTTACCAAGCGCCTGCGACTAGGGCATCTAGCTCCTTGACCATGCGTTCTCGTTTCTTGCCGGTGACAACAGCTCGTCCTACTTCGGTTTGCAGCTCCTTGATGCGCTTGCCTTTGCCCATTCCGACACTCTGAAGCACCATCTTGCCAAGGCAATCGGCATGGAAAGAGTGCTGGCAGGGGAACACAAAGAATTGGCGCATCAAAAGAGGGAGCCTACAGCTCCAGCACTTCTCGCCAGGTTCGACGATAGCATATCTTTGATCGAGGGACTTGATATCCTCTTTGATGTGTTGCGCCGTATTCGCACTTTCATCCATTTCCCGCTTCAATCCCTCGATCTGTCGTGAATATTCTTCAAGAGCAGCGCAAATCTCCTCTTTGAAGTCATCGATGACCACAAAGTCTGGGAAGAAGGGGATCAAGTCCTCGATGCGTAATAACTCGCAGCGCTTGAGGAAGTCCATGGCGGCTTTGATGCCCTTGCTTTGTCCGATAACCTTNTTAGCAACCTTCAGCCACAACTTCTTGCGTAGAGCTGGATCATTTCCAGGGCGGTCGGCGACATTCGCAGCCAAATCCATTTCGTCGTGTTTGAGTGCCATGTCTACAGCTTGAGCATACTGATTCATGGTGCAGTAGATGTGCACACACGATTGAACACGCTGGTGAGCAATACAGATACGAAGAGCGAAGTCTGCATCGTAATTTTGCTCATGAGAGGCACTCTGTGTTTGAAGATATTGAAAGAGGGCAGTTTCGTCTTGAGTTGGATGCGCAGCGTAGATGGATACCAAAGTGTTGTGAACATCGGTCTCCGTCGAGTGTCTTTGGTTGATGCAAAATTGGAGATAGCGAACGGCTTGATTNCTTGTGATCTGGTCAGTATAGTTCTCGAGCCTAGTTGCTTCGTTGCTCACCTGGTTTAATGGGACGTCCGCCGTTTTGTTGTAGTTCAGAAGAGCCGGAATTAATTTGTTAGCCTCCAAGTTGTTTTGTCGCATCATGACTTCCACAAGCTCAACAGCAACATGTGTCATGAGGACACTACTATACTGATAGAAGATCTCTGGATCTGTCTGCTTNTTCAGAACCGACATAGCCTCTTGCCATCGTTCTCTCTGCACCCAATATGATAAGACGTAGTTGTAATCGTCAATGACGTTTGCGAAATAGAGCAATTCCTCTTCTCGTCCATGGCTACTGATCAGCTCATAAGTGGTCTTTCTGTCCAGGTCCGATTTGTACTTGGAAACAAACTCTTGGAATTCGCGGCGCATCGAAGGTAAGTCTTCTTGTACATGGGCGATAGGAGCTGCTTCGGAGAGTTCTGCTTTGGCCGAAATAGTGTCGTCCAGGAGGTTCAGTTTTGCCATGAAGAGCTCGACCAACCAACTAGCGACCATAATCCTTTGCATAGTTGAGGATCTTTTAAGGACGGAGAGTTTTGTCAAGAGGTACTTTCTCAAAGCATCTTGTTCGCCTTGATCAATAAAAGTAAGCGCGACTTCTTCGAACGGTTTTGTGCTCCTGCCATATACAGTCGCAGCTTCTGAAAAGCGACCTCGGGATACCAAATGGTCTCCAGATGCGGTAGCAACAGCGTCCTTCTGCGCTGCAGTCTTGGCGTAGCGTGATGCCGCATCAAATTGCTCATTTCGGAGCATTATCTTCCACACATCTCTGGCCTCGTCTGTTACAACAACTTCGAAAATTTCACGCTGAGTGAACAGCCAATATGTGTTTTTCTTGTGGTCGGCATAAAGACCAAGCGGCGCATTTCCAGGCTCTAGAACAAGCTGGTCATACACCAAGCTGCCATCAAGTCTGTTTATCGCCACCACGCGACCTTCGATCAAATGTAAAATGTGGAATTGTGTCAAAGAGATTGAGGACACGGGCTCCATGGATGGCTTGTTGCGGCCTCCAGAGGTCTGAGAGGGAGGTATGGTCGACCTTGGTAGCAATTTCGCTAATGAGAAAGGACTATTTTCTGCATTTTGTACCAGAGCAGCAAAGTCTCCATGTAGAACACCCTGAGAATTGAGCCATGCAAAGACGTTCTCCTGCGCGGACTCTGACGAGGACGCATCTGCCGGTTCAGAGATAGTGACCAAGGTCGAGGGACCTGAAGTTGCATCCTTGAGATGATGTACCACGGGTGTCTCACGCTCAAGAAGCCTAGGATAGATGGAACCACTGTCTTGACGACCGCCTTTGCCCACAAAAAGCAACAATCGTGTAGGGGTGGCTACCAGAACGCTACGCGCATCGGAGGCAATATCGACGGACAAACCAACAACAGGACCATCATGTACGTTGTATAGCATCTTCAGGTACTTTTCCTCTCTTCTGTAGAACTCTGTGCTGGGCTCAATATATGTTTCATAGATGTTGCCATCGGATGCACCAATCAAGATCTCTCTGGTCGAGGCAGTGGGTTGTGAGGGGTTCCAAGCGATTGATTCGATCTGGACGCCTTTTAGACGGACCAATGGCTTAGGGGTGCGAGACTGGGTGTGTAGATAGTAGTTTTCGCCTTGAGCGGTCGAGATGACAAGATGAGAGGCCGAAGGGTCCAGGAACAGACGACGAATAACACCAATCTCGGAGGGCTTCTTGGGAAGGTCGATGTCGTCAATGTCCTCGGGGCTGTCGAGATCGAATCGCAAGATGCGGCCAGTAGAGAGAGCGAGGATCAGAACGTTGTTGGCGACTTGGGCAGCGACGAAGTCGGACGAGATATCGAAGCGGAGCTGCACTCGCTGTACGTCGAAGACAGGCAGCGAGGGGTCATAGGCATCCGGGATGTTGCTGGCGGCAGCGGCATAGCCGCCTGAAGGGTCGTAGGCCATGAGATCGAAGTCGGACTATGACTGTATCATTGCGTATAAAAGCAATTAATTCAATGCATGGTACTCGTACAGATGGTATAGATGGATTCCCCCGATGTCATCGCGGTCGGCGTTGGTTGATTGATGCTTGGCGGTCACGTCGCAGTCGCGTCTCCCAGGCCTGAGAGCTTGACAGCTTCGCCCTGCATCTCTTGTACACATCCATCCACATCAACATGTTCGCCGCTCGCTCCGTCCCTCGCGCACTCAATGGCGCTCGCGCTTTCTCCACTTCGCCTGCCCATGCGCTGGCCCGTATGCAAATCATTGGCCGTCTCGCCGACCAGCCCGAGCTCACTCCCACATCCACTGGTCGCGAGATGGTGCGGTATGCCCTTGGTGTCAAGAGTGGCCCCAAGAACGAGAATGGTGAGAGACAGACCAGCTGGTTCAGAGTCGCCAGTTTCTCCGAGGGCCCTGGCAGAGATGTGCTCCTGAACCTGCCCAAGGNNGGTGAGACATCAATCCTCCTGATCAGGCCTGCTCTTCTTCGATGCTGATGTTCATCCAGTACTCTTCTCTATCTCGAGGCCGATGCTCGTATGGATACCTTCCAAACCCAGGATGGCTCCACTCAAACTCGTCTCAACCTCGTTCAGCGTAAGACACGTCTCGGCCCAAATGAGACTTACATGGTGAACTGACACATACCATAGGTANACTTTGAGGCTCTCAGCCGTCCCCAGAACCGCCCCGACTCGGATAGAAGTGCCGCCGAAGAGCCCAGCAGCGGTCTCGGTGCATCCTAGACTGTGCAGATTTCGCAAGAAATGGGTAAGATTATGGCAATCATCTGTACAGTGTCGATGTTGCGCAGTATTCGTGGGCGTCAACCCTGCCTGATTCAAGTAAGCCATCAATGTAAATCATCAACGATCCTCTTCTCCACGCCCAATCCTTGACTCTGCCATGTACTACGTATCTGTGCACTGTCTTCCTGCCAGCGGTACATGTGAGTAAGATTCTTGTCTCGCAAGCTTCCCAAAAGGACAACTCAAGTTGTTCAATCTCAAAAACATTGCCATATAACGTCGCCATACTAAACCTGTGATGTATAGTTCGTTCCACAGCCACGCAGAGTGATACCTAAACCTTGATAGTGCACAACTGTCTACATATCAAAGACATATCCAAATGGACTGATTGATCGGCACCTCTCGATGGATAATGTTTCATTACCAAGGCAATTGTGAGAAGCCGGACGTGCCATGTCTAGCACGTCGATAGACTTGAGCATTGTAAGACAGAAAAAGAATCTCAAGGTAGAGATGAATTCATCTTCAACATGTCAATGTTCCGGGTGTGAAAGACAACAAAGTGACTTAGATTCGACATGACAATAATGGCTTGAAACAAGTACTCAGGGAAGGCACGTGAAAGAGCATGCCTTCCAATCACACTTAAGGAAGGCACACACGAGCATTCATCAACAAGCAATTATTGTCCGCAACAATATCACTTCGATTTCCACCGACGTGCGCGCTGCCGCTCTGTGTGACACTTTTGCCTTCTTGGAACCTCGACATCTGCCACTCAAGGGAAACGCGCACTCGTCTTCTATATTCATCTTCATCAACCATTGATCTTCCTATCAACCTGCCAAACAAGGTTGCCAATCATGTGTAACACGATCTCGCTACACTACTCTTGCAACCACTTTGCGCAATTCCACCGCTCGACATGCCGCAGCACCATCTGGGTCACAAAGACCACGAGAAAGACCAAGAACCCTGCAAAAACCTCAGTCGACAACAATGACAGCGATAATGGGACACCGAGCAGAGGCAGAACTCTTGAACGAACACCGAACAAGACAAGTCCATCTTCACCACCACCAACTAATGATTCTACATCTCCTCCGCCAGCACCAAGGCTTGTTTCCAAGGCAGCTTGCAAGAGTACCTCGAACATTGTCCTCCGCACTCAACAACGATGTGGCCCTTGCCAACGCACTTTCAAACGAGGGTTTCTTCAGATCAGAAGAGCTAGACAGGAGCTTCCAGCACACAAGAAGCGAAAGCATCTCAAGAGGNGCAGGCCCATCTCAGGAGGAAGCCCTCTCAAACATGAACTTACCCTGGAGGAACTTTCGAAACCAGAAAATGAGGTTTTGACGGATTCTACTTCATCCGGAATGGTAAGAAATGTCGACCCCTTGCTACGATGTGGAAGAGCTCATGAGCTAATACATCATTGCCTGGTTTAGACCCACTCAACTTCACNNAGAATGCCAACGGTATCGCACGGCTGCTTCATCTCGAGCCAGCACGCTTCTGGAGGTGTTGGAGACGCTTTGATAACCTCGGTCGTCGCTATGTAGACTTGGTCAGAAGCTGAGGACAGAGTCATCTTGACCAAGCGGTCTTTCTGGAAGACTAATCGCTTATGACACCTTCACTGGGGTCGATCCAGATGCGGGCAGACCTGCGCATCTTGACGACGGCAAAGACGACATGACTCAGCACATGGAAGAGGGTACATTTGTCGAGCATAGCTTGCTGGCGGCTATCGCTGCAGTGTCTAGTCGACGATTGACAGTGCCACGTTTCTGCCAGAATACTCAAGATCGAATAGAGGTACTTGAGCCTTACAGAAAGACCAATACAATTTTTTTTTTTTGGAACAGCGACTTGGACCGGGCTATCTGTCATCGATGAGCCCCAAAAAACTTGACAGAGTTGTATCATATGAAGCTTTCTAAAATAACAATAGAGCAAATCTTGGGGAACATACTACACAAAAGAATACACAAAGAAGTAAACAAAAGACAAGGTTTGGAATCGAAGTTTTCTTCATATCATGGGGAGCTTCTTTTGCTCTACCTCTTCTTCTTGTGCACGTCTCTCTGCTATTGGTACACTTCTCATCTTTTCTTCTGCATCCCCTGCATACTTCCCTTCCCTCCCGGAAAGAATCTCTCTTAAGTCTCGGAATCAGAAAGCTCAAACCTCAGCGCCCTCATCGCCAGAGTCAGGAGACTCAAGGTAAGCAGTCATGTGAGCAACAACCTCCTTGTCAACATACTCATCCGCGTCTTCAGGGTGGCTGACATCTCCATCATCGCTCTCGGCATACTGAACCTGCTCCTTGGCGCGACGAGCAGACTTCTTGTTGCTAGGGCTGTCTTCGTCTTCATCCATAGGTTCGTTCTTGACCTTCACACCTCCCAGTTCTGCAACTTCCTTCTCCATGTCATCCTCAGAATCTTCAGCTGCAGAGACATTCTTGCGGCGTTTAGCGGGTGTCTTTGTGGGTGGGGCTTCGTCGTAGTCCTCGGAGTCAGATTCAATGTGTGCCTTCTTGCGCTTTGCGGATCCTTTGGCCTTGCCGGCGGGGGTCTTCTTGGGCTTTGCGGCGGCGAGGGGGGTGCTNGGAGCAGAAGCGTTGCCTCCAGCGATGGCCTTGTTGGTCTTGCGGATCTTGGAAAAGTGTTCGGTGAAGGCCTTTCTGGTGGGTGGGGCGCCGAAGGACTCGGCTGGGATGATGTTAGTTGGGATCCTAGTGGTGGTTATACAGAACTGGTATAATTGTGATAATAGACAAGAGTGTGAAGGGGTAGACTAGGTGGATGCAGTGCAGAAGCATGTATAAGGAGGACATCAAGGAAGATGCAAGATAGAGGGACAAGGTATGATGAATGAAGAAAGGAAGTCTGAAAAATGAACCAAGGGGAACGAAAGGCACTGTAAAAGATTTGGATACTTACGCCAGGCAGCAATCATGGAGTCAAGGACTTCGGTGCTAATCTTGATGTTCTTGTCCTCGAGAATGTGGCACAGGATGAACTGGTCCTTCTCACTGCTCCACTTGACAACCATGTTGCTGATGTTCTTTGTTGTTTGTTTGAAAGGAGGAAGAGTAAAGTAAGAGACGCGTCGATGGATGGGCGCGGCTGACTGGACGTGTTGTTATGAGTGTAGTGTGCGGAGCAGATGTGTTGATGAGAGTTGGATGAAGGTGGAGTAGGATGGAAGAAGAAAAAGGAAGAGGAGCGGAAGCGCGGGTGAGGGTTTAAATAGGAAGATACGAGATGAAGAGAGAAGAGAGTGAATCGAGGGAGAAGAATTGTGACGAGAGAAGGAAATGTTGAGTACCTGGAGAGTGAGAGGAGTGCTTCGGAAGAGTTGGATCTGATCGGCCACAAGTGAAGCGGAGGTCGATTTGGAGACGGACGCTAGAGACCAGGAGATGGAGAGATCAACAAGAAGTCGAGTCCAAGTTGATCCCAAAGATAACCACACGATCTCGAAATCAGGGGGTGGACAGGTCGAGCAAGTTTCTGGCCGTAAAAAATCTTGCTGGTATTTTGTAATGTAGAATGTGAGTGCAAATTTTCTACCCAGTGGATACCTCAAGGTACGAGGATAATCATCTTGAACGTTCGTGTATCATTTCTGCGTTGCGTTGTGCTATGTAGAGGGGTATGAAAGGTAGGGAACAGGGTAGAAGTCAAGGAAAAGGTATCTAGAAGAACAAAACCAACCAACTCCAATAATCAAGTCATGCATACCCATGGACGAAGACGATGTGTTGATCATCGACTGTACGATCTACAGCTGTTCCTCTTCCTCGCCTTCTTCTGCAATACGTGTGGTCAAGAAAGCGGCGACAAGCGCAGCAAGACCACCGAATCTCAAGACCCAGGCAACACTGTCATCTCCAGGCGTACCACGAGGCTTTTGCAGTAGCTTGAAAATCGCACTCGATACAAGGGTCGCAATGACCTGAGGTGCAGCAATAGCAACGTTGTGAATACCCAGGATGACTCCAGCTTGATCTGCACCTTGGGCGGGATCATCTCCGTTGGCCAGAGCTCGACCCTCAGCAGTGGCTGGAGCGGGAATCTCATTACGACGAATGGCTTCTCGCTTCGAGATCTCAGCAGCAATAAGCGCGAAAGGAGCCCAATTGCTCAAAGCCCAGGGGATACCGATGAAGGCAACAAGCACAGTAGCAGTAGTTGTGTCATGGACGAAGAAGGTCAAGAAAGTAGCACCAGCAAACAGCAGATGCGACAGGATCCAGGCACGCCGAAGCGTGAAGGCACTCATCTGAACAGATGGCATGCGGCTCTTGATTCGCTCCCAACGGCTAGGCGCTGACAGATTGAGCTTGCTTGTAGAGTGTGTCGGAGTGTAGGCAAAGTAATCGCTGCCAGTCATGGAACGAGGTGTAGTAGGGGTGAAAGCGCGAGGCGTGAGTGGAGTGTGAGGTTGAGGCGATGGAGGCTCAAACCCAGGAGCGATCAACAAGGGCAGAACGACTGCAGCAGCCAGGTTTGTGAAGGCGAATATCAATAATGCAAAGGTGCCGATGCGAGTTGCACGTTCCCAGGTGGCATCAATCTCCTTGGGTGACATGTGAGGGTTTTCGGTGAAGTATGGCTCAACATAGATCTCGCCAATGTAAGTGGTGATATAGAACAGGAAAGGGAACCAGCCGATCCAGGCGAAGAATTGAACAGCGCAGACTTTTCGGACTTGCGGAGGTAGACGCTTCATAGAGCGATACAGCTCGACGAAAAANGACAAAACGCCTCCCTTCTGTGGTGGCGGGATTCCCTCGAGTCTGGGATCGCGCTCCTTGATGCTGATACAGGAAATGCCGACCGTGATGGACAAGGCCAAAACTGCGATGACACAGAGGACCTTGAACTGCGTGTTTCCAAAGAAGCCAAGGTACTTGGGCAAATTGACGTAGCCAGAAAGATAACCTAGGATATTGCCGAATCCGGACATACGGGAAGCCCATGCATTAGCATCGTTTTGCTGATGAGTCGGTGCATTGTCTACTATGAAAGCGCGAATGGCAGCTTGGACTGTGNNGAGGGGTATGGTTAGATAAGTCTTCCACAGCGAGAGAGTTCGAGACGTACTGGTGTTGATGGAGAAATCAAGAATGTAGATGAAGCTTACAGCCCACACGATTGAGACGACGTGAACAGTTTGGGATTCGGCACCAACTTTGAAGAGGCCAAAGAAGTTTCGCACAATCTCTTTGGTCCATGCCAATAGTACGAGAGAGATCATGGTCGCAAGAGCACCACCAATGATAAAGGGGCGTCTCTTTCCCCACGGCGAGCGGCACCTATCGCTCTTGATGCCGACATACGGCTGGACCAGTGTACCAGACAACGGGCCAGCAATCCAAACGAAGGCGAGGAGAGACTTGCTGATGCCTAAGCTGAGCAGATATGGCNNTGTTTAGTGGTCAGTCGAGAAGCCTAGCGGTGGAGATGATGGTGAACTCACCGAGCCGTTGGAAAGCTCGACGGACCAGGCAATCTGGAGGCCACCAATGGACAAAGTCAAGAGGATCAGGTACCATTGGCTTTTTGTTTCTTCGGTGTTGACATTGTTCCAGTTCTCCGAGTCCTCGGGAGAAGGCATATCAGAAATAGTGAGGGGAGACTCGAGACTCTCGGATCGTGGTCTTATCAAGGGGGAAGTTTCATCCTGGTCTTCCTGCTCTTTCTGTATGTCCAAGGAAGCGCTCTGCCTGGCATCGTACGAGTCGCGGTGGTACGAAGCATTTTTGAGGATGCCNCTCGGACGAGGCGATGCGAGAGGTCTATTACTCGACATGAGTCGACAGAGGCGGTGTAGGGTGATGATGAGTGTTTGGTGTGTTTATCAGATTGCGGGGTGGTTGTTCACATGCGATCTGGATGGACAAAGACTCGTGTCGGGTTGCTCTGGGTATTGACGGTGGACAAAGGTGTCGCAGGGTAGGGACGGCTAGTAGGAAAGAGAGTCGACGACAAGCAGCATGACTTGACAAGAAGGAGGATGATCACGAGTGCAGGTGGGTGAGCACGTTGGTAATGAAGGGTCGAATGATAGCGGGAGAGTTGGCTAGCGTCGTTGGCGGTGTCAAGAAAGACTTCCGGACAGATTTGGCTTGTTCAGGGACCGCTACAGTCGGATAACACAGCAGCCTTGTCGTTTATGTACAAAACACTGGTAACGGCTCAACAGACATGTGCTTGTCTCACCTCGCCCACGTCTCTTTGTGCTAAGCATGACGTATCTCTTGATTCAGGCTTCGTGGTTCACCAAGGACAGGGTCACTGTTGGAAAGATGGCAGCACCAGATCAGCAGCGGGCCGAAACAACCTTCTTGTGGGGACGTGACGCGCGCGTTGCTCTCCCGTCCGCCTAAGGCGTCCGTGCGGTGTGCTCCAACTTGTCCAGCCAAGTGGAAGCTGTTACCAGGCAGAAAGGGAGACTGACACTATCAAAGATATACCATCACCCACGCTGTGCTGTCGGGTTTTCTTGGTTCGCACTTGAGTGCAAGCCGAACTTGCCTAGTCACTTACTCGTCCGTATATGCGTATGCGATAACAATCTTCCAAGGCAGTTGACCTGCCCCACCATTCACCACCCTACCCAATCGACAACATGGCTTCAATCCTGCGCGACACCGTCTTTGAGCTCATCAGTATGCATATCTCTCTCCTCTGTCATCCCGAATGATATGCTGATAGCGACCCTCTAGAACGCGAGGCTGCAGACGCCGACCCAGATGGTACCCATTCTCCCACCACTCGTTCCCCTCGACAAGACAACTGACACGACGCAACAGAGCCCGAGGCTGGCCAGAAAGAGATATTCGCATCATGGTCGCTCTTCATTCTCATCATGCTCCTCATTGTCGCCCTGTTCACCAGTTACATGCTCCAGACGAGGAAGATCCAGGCCGTACACGAGACCGTCTTGTCCATCTTCGCAGGTATCCTCCTTCGTACCATCCTCTGTCGGAGTACTGTCCGCTAAATACTGTCTANNGGAATGGTCATTGGATTGATCCTTCGTCTGACCGCTGCCCAATCCGTACTCGGCGCTGTCAGCTTCGACTACCAGTTCTTCTTCAATCTCCTTCTCCCGCCCATCATCCTAGCTTCCGGCTATGAACTCCACCAAGGAAACTTCTTCCGCAATATTGGAACCATTCTTACATTTGCCTTCGCTGGCACTTTCATCTCTGCCATGGTCTTGGGCCTGATCCTCTACGTGTGGACCCGCATCCCTCTCGAGGGTCTGGATATCACCTTCGTCGAGGCCATCTCTGTCGGCGCAACTCTCTCCGCTACCGATCCCGTCACCATCCNNCTTGCCATTTTCAACACTTACAAAGTCGACCCACAACTCTACACCGTCATCTTTGGAGAGTCGATTCTCAATGACGCTATTGCCATTGTGCTCTTCGAGACCGCTCAAAAGTACAGGGAGGGTGCTGCCAAAGGTCATCTGACCATCTTGAGTCTCTTTGAGAGTATCGGTGTCTTCTTGCTGGTCTTCTTTGGCAGTTTGATGATTGGCTTGGTTGTCGGCATTGGCACTAGTTTGTTGCTCAAGTATACCCTTGTCAGGCGTTTCCCCAAGATTGAGAGCTGTCTCGTTGTCCTCATTGCATATGCGTGCTACTTCTTCTCCAACGCCATCCATATGTCTGGTGAGTCGTGCCCGCCTTCGAAGAAAGTGCGAAGCTAATAGTCTGCAACAGGAATCGTGTCTCTCCTCTTCTGCGGAATCTGCATGAAGCACTATGCTTACCACAACATGTCTCGTCGCACGCAATTGACAACAAAATTCATTTTCCAGGTCATGGCTCAGCTCTCTGAGAACTTCATCTTCATCTACCTAGGTCTCTCACTCTTCACCGAAGCTGGACTGGAATACAAGCCTCTCTTCATTCTCATCACTGTGGTCGGAATTTGTGTTGCTCGATACTGCGCAGTCTTCCCACTATCGAAAGCTATCAACTATTTCATCCGGTATAGAGCCCGTAAGCTTGGCCGCGAGGAAGCAGACGTCCTACCGAAGAACCATCAGATGATGCTTTACTGGGCTGGTCTCCGCGGTGCTGTCGGTGTCGCTCTGGCTGCCGGTCTACAAGGTCCTAACGGATTTGCATTGCGTGCTACGGTGCTGGTTGTCGTAGTGTTGACTGTCATCATCTTTGGCGGCACTACGGCGCGCATGCTGGAGATTCTGGAGATCCGTACTGGAGTCGTGGAAGAAATCGACAGTGATGATGAATTCGATATCGAAGTTGTGCCAGGATCCAACGGCACCTTTTCTAAGAAGGGCGGATCTGGTTTCGGACACATGCCTCGCTCAAGCGTGGGCGGGATTTCTCTAGCCAGTGTTGCAAACGGGCGACCACGTGCAGAGAGCAGGTCGAATAGAGCAGCGCTGTACAGCACTAGCAATGCCAGCAGCCCTCCAATTCGTCCTGGTGATGGACTTGGCAGAAGAGCAAGCAGCAGGAGTGCACGAGAGCAGGCCGCGGCCGAACAAGGTCTGCTTTATCCAGATCAGAACGGAGACGCATCTGACGATGATGAATCAGGGCTCGACTTGCCACCATCAGCTAAGCGATCGCCTCTCAAAGATTCATTCCCAACGGCATCTGGCGAGAGTACGCCGTACGCCGATGATAGAGCTATCGAAGCAGGTCAGGCAGAGTCAAGCCACCTCACGGCTCGTGGAGCATTGAGTCAATTGATGAATGCAACCACCGAAGATGCCGGCACTCTGTTCTCCAGGATCGATGAGGGCTTTATCAAGCCACATTTGTTGTTGGATCCTGGCGGTACAAGGTCTCCTCGTCCCCCAGGAGGTGCATAGGATGCATGACTCTGCTTGCTTCTGTTGGATTACCAGTGGGTCTGTAGAATGCATAGCGCGGTCCATCTGCCGTTCCATAGAACGATGTATTTATCAACACAACAGCCATAAGTGCAACTTCGGTCACACTGCGAATTTCTGTTTGCAACATACGCTGCTGACATTGATGTAAGAAGGCAAGTTATACTTATAGTAGCGATACTGTCCAGACAGAGCCTGTGGAGTGATGACTCTTCACTGGACAACGCTCTACCTCCCAGAAGTACTTTGTATTTTGATAGCATATCATGATCGAGATATGCTCGCGAGGGATCATTGCGCTTATAAGAGAGAGGAGCAACAGGGTCGCCAATGAGATCGAAACCAGAAAGGTACAACCCTGTGAACAAAGGAATGACACAGAGCTATAAAAACGCACGAAGGCATCAGAAAACAGCATGATGTCCATTGAGAGCCATGATCTTCGCAAGATCCGACATGAAGAATACAAACACAGCTAGAAACGGAGCATTTGGTGGAATGCGCGCTTGTGTCTGACCACATACTCCACAAACCAACATGCACAATATCACGACAAGAGGAAAAACAGCAAACACGGATTTTGATTCTGCTCCATTGATTGCTTCGTTATCGACCGCATTGCTTTGTTACGCGGAACCCGGCCTAATCATATAGGTCTGCTCGCTCTTGACGTCCTCTACATGGACTTTTGCTTGACGTGTAGCACGAGACATTTCATATCAGTGCTCGCTATTAAGCGCGGTGCTCAACCAGACTTCTTCGTTAGCAGCACCGGCAGTGGTGCCAGCGTCGCCCATGTCCTCGTCCTCGTCCTCGTCAGAGTTGGAACGCTTCAGCTTGGAAGGAGTCTTGGGTGCACGCTTGGTGACACGGCCAGATTTGACNGGCTGTGCTTTCATCAGTACGTGAGAAGAATCGATGATCAGTGAGGGAGAAAACTTACTATCCTTCTTGGGAGTGGCAGTGGTCTTCTTGGTGCTGCCGCTCTTCTTCATGTTCATGTCCATGCGACCAGCGTCCTCGGCTTCCTTAACAAGAGCCTGAGCGGTCTTCTTGTAGACGCGAGTGCGGTTCTCGATGGCGTCGTAGGTCTCGTTCATGTAGCGGGCAACAGCCTGGTTGTCGACCTATACGTACATCGCGATCAGAAGTGATGAGCAAAAGGTAAAGATCTTGTTACTTACCTTACCGCCGTTAGAGGCGATGATGGCAGCGACGAGGCGCTCGATGGTCTCGATGTTCTTCCAGTCGGCAGGCATAGTGGATGAGTGGTAGTGGTGTTGATGTAAGATAGATATGGGACTGGACAAGCAAGAGAGCAAGTACAAAACTGTTCGTGGTAGTAGATGAAATGGTTCGGGAGTTCGAATGGAGGAGAGAAGGGAAAACTGAAGCAAGAAATAGGAAAAGATATTGGGCGCCGGGACAATCGCTTAGTCGTCGATGAGAGTGAACAAAGATGGACGAGTTGGCAGCAATAACTAGTGAACCTGGTCTTCGTTCGCTTCGGCACCTAGTATGTCAAGTGATCGATTCGAAGACTAAAGCTTTCGCAGAGATGAGAGTGCTTGAATTGATGTTGAGCAGTATCAATCTCAAGGAATTTTGAACCACATGTATCAGCCCTCCATACAATCAGATAGCCCAATGAACCCAGTGCTTGTGTGACTTTGTACCAGGTCTAGTATTGATCGATTGATAATAAGAAGCCCTCGAAAGACTGACCCGGTAAGCAATATCAACGCTGACTAGTGTCAATGTCAAAGGAATACAGACAGACGGACATATCCCAACCCTCTATCTGATCAGGAAATGTTGTAAACCCGGTTCTTGTGCGACCTTGTACCCGGTCTGTTATCTAGTTGATATCGAAGAAAGAAGCTCTCAGAAGGCCAACTGTGTCGATCATGCTAACGCTGACTACAATCAACAACAATGAAAAAACAATCTGGTCTGGGCATCTGTATGTTCAGGACATGCCACAAGCCCGGATTCCAGATAGTGACTGCCTTGTCTGTTGTACGGTTGACACCCAAAAGAGCACCTCATAGAGGCGACCTTATCAAGAGTCCCAAAGCTGACTGGACTCAATGTTAGAAGCTGGCATACAGATCTGTCTAAATCTGCAAGATCAAGATCCATCGGGTCTATCAATCGATCGAGTTTAGCTTCTCACTGTGTACTCAAGTCTGCAACTCTCACGGTCCTCCGACTGCAGCCAAGAGCAAAATATAGACTATAAAAACGCAAAGTTGTTTTTAGAAGTGGAGGCATACCTACAGAGAGATCAATACCGTGGACACGACAAGAATACAGAGGAAGGCACAGAGAATAGAATTCTGGGAAAGATGAAAGTGTTTATTGATTGCTCCTCGAGTAATTGTAACCTGCCTCTCTGGATTCAACTATGGAGGGTGAGAGAACAACGATGGCAATGCAGCCATGTTCTGGGTGAAGGTGTGTCAAGAACTGTAAAGGTGGTCAGTACGAATAGAGATCTTGTGGTAAACAAGAAGTCTTACGCTTAAGCCTCATCCTCGTCCTCGTCCTCAGTCTTGACGATCTTCTTGGGCTGCTTGGACTTCTTGGTCAGAGGAGTACCCTCATCCTCATCTTCATCGTCAGAAGCAGCCTTCTTGGCCTTGGCCTTAGTCTTGCGCTTGCGAGGGGCGGGAGTAGAGACAGGGCTGGCACCGTCCTCGGCAGCGGCGGTGGTGGTGATCTCGCCAGCCTCCTTCTTGAGCTTGGCGAAGCGCTGGCTAAAGCGACATATCAGTGACAGATCTTAGCAGTGGTGGAGGTGATAAGCAATACCGAACGGCTTCCTTGGTCTTGCCCATCTGCTTAGAGACTTCCTCCCAGTTAGGGTTGACCTGGGCGACGGAGATTACGGACAGAAGAAGCTGACGGTCCTCGGTGTCGTTCCAAGGTGCCATTGTTGTGTGTTCTTGATGAGATCTTGTTGTGTAGTTGTGTTGATGTAGTTATTGTGATGAAGTGGTGGTTGGTTGACGTGATGGATGTGTGTGATGAAAAGCGAAAGAATTCGGATCACGGTGGGTGTTGTGAGTTGATAAGCGGATGAAGCAACACAGCGCACGCGAACGTGAAGTGAACGTGAAACACTATCGTCCGTACAACGATGATGTCGTCCTGGAACGCGTTCGAATCTCCAGAGATTTCCGGCAGTAAATCCTCAGACGCGTAGAGTCTTCATTTCTTCATTCCAATGTACTTGTGCCTTGTGAAAGCTGAAGGTTTGACATCTACAGAAGATATAGAATATATGTTGAAAGATCTGTACAAGTTCATCCCATATGATGGCATCCTGGTAAGAGATGTCTCGGTGCCGCAGAGCTCAACCGGCCTGTCTTTCATAGAGGTCGGATGTTGTCTTTGACTTTGACAGATGAGCGAGTGTATCACCCTTCTTTCTTGAAATTGCAGAGGCATCTGATTGTGTGTTGCCAGGACTCACAAGAAACAACGAAGCTATGACCGTCTGACAGGTAATAACAGTCTTTTGAGACAGTTCCCAGCTGTCAATGTTGCTCCAGAAAACATCAGGCATTCATGCAAGTCAGACAACACCTACCTGCTTTGTCCGCGCCTCTGCGCTAACCGTAGAGATACAAGCTTGAGTATTAATGCTTTGACCATTCCAAATCAATTGCAAGTATCCTCAAATGTATTTGGATTTCGCGATCGCTGACATGATAAGAGTTGAAAGCAGGTACGGCCTGAGGTTGAATTAGGCAGTCACGGCTATACGCCGGCAGAACATTGGCCTGCTTGCATAATTTTATGCCATATCGATCATCTGAACAAGAGCATTTTTGTAATCCAAAAACTGCAAACCAGATCGAGCAACAGCAATTTCTCTCATATCTTCTCACAGCGAGGGTTCAGTTCGTGAAGGAAACACTCGGCACCTGGATCCTGAAACCTACATCTGCTTAGGACAACAGTCACAATACAAAATCTCTTGAAGAAGATCATGGCAGACAACAACGACGATGGGAAATCAAACTCAAGCAATTCATCCTACCCACAACTCTCAGATCTAATCTTCAACAACGCAAGCAACAACTCCTTCAACAAAGTCCTTGGGGAACTCAAGAGGAGCACATTATCCATACCAAACAGACTTCGCTCGATCAAACAAGATGCAAACTTTGTGTCCGAAGTGGCTGCAGCATACCAACTGCCTCTAGTAGCCAACGAGAGATGTGGAAGTTGGTATATATCGCCAGAGCAGAAGAGACAAAGTGCTTATTTCAAGAGCACCGATGGGCATATGGCACAGTGGAGTTTCAGTCTGCGAAGATTGAATTTGCAGGTCTTGGAAACGACAGGGAAGTTTGATGGGTATGTTATGCTGTTTCTTCAAGATGATAAAGTGTCGTTTGTCTGATGTGTACCAGATNGCATTATAGTCGACTCTACACGGCGAGGCAAGAGCATGCCTGATGCTTTGTCANAAACGATACCCATCTGGACAGCAGTCATGAACCGTGTTCTATTTCCCGAACAGCCAGAGAGCCACGAAGTAGCCACACCACCAACAGTAGTAGGGGCATCAGAACACGCCCAGATCGCCGCACGCATATCAGGTTTCGTCGAGTCTCTCAAGACATTGGATCTTGACCTTTCAACCATTCGACAGAATCTCACCAAACCATTACGACCAATTTGGGTGACGCCGACATCGACACTTCCAACTGCTCCTCCAGAATTTGATTCGTTTCATCCTGTAGTACTGCTTACAGCATCCTCCCGCGTCTCTGGCTCAGAATCGACATCCGAGACCGGGTATGTTCAGNGGGCTGCAGACGATGCTGAAGCATGGGCGCAAGGGCTGACAGCCCCTCTCTTCTGGCAACATAGTGACACCCTGCTTTCTACGCCGGAAGACATGATCGAGGAAGTAATTGCAGGTTTGATTGCCGAAGGCGATGGCAACAAAGGTACACAGCTCACTGAGGTCGGGCCTGGAAAGCGAGTTGCGATCGGCACGGTCGATGCGGCAGAGACAGATGCAAAGGAAACAGACATTGCAATCACAGTATCGCCCAAAGACAGTGAGGTCTTACGATCAAGGCTGAAGACACGATACTTGCACCTTGCTGTTGCGGACGGGAAAGTAGGGAGTCGACAACTACGACACAGTCTACCCAACCTCATCACCTCGGTCAAAGCACAACTTGCTACATCTCCAACGTCTCGTATCGTGGTTGCAGACGCCAGTGGCAAGGATCAAGGAGTGGGTATTGCATTGGCGATCTTGTGCTTGTTTATCACTGATGATGGGGAAATAAGGCCAAGCGAGGAGGTTAAAGAACCTCCGAACGGGCTCAACAAGCAGACCATCAAACAGAGACTCAGTTGGATTTCAGTAGCTAAGCCGGATGCTAATCCCAGTCGGACGACTCTGCAGAGTGTAAATGCCTTTCTGCTTGGCTAGTGCCATGTGGTACTGGTTAACCGACGAGCGGAGTGTTCAGGCGTGAATACCACAGACTCGACGATGCGTACAAAGTTGGTGACTGCTTCCCTTTTCCTTGGGTTGTGTATGAAGTCTTTTATTTGTTCGTTTAGTAGCGTAGCATCGTGATTATTAGCAAGTCTAAGTAATGACTGTGTGCACCTCATGCGCAGAAGTTTGCGCTCAGAAAGTGCCAGTACCAAAGATTCCTCTGCGCCTGTTCTGGCGCATAGCAGCTTTCTCGCGTCTCTGTGCCGTACGTTCTTCCTGCTCCTTCTCTCGAGCGGCCATTTGTATGTCCCTCTGTTCCTTGGCCTCTTCCATCTCCTTCTTCTTACGAGCAATCTCTACACGCTGCTCTTCTCCCTCAACCCTCAATTCCTCTTCCAATTCGCGTGGGTCCTTGAAACCTCCAAGATCCTGGCCAGTGGCTTCCGCAAATGATTCGAGGTTCATAGGAACTGCTTCACCAGCCAAGACACGATTCACACGATCAGGATCCAGTCGTTCTTCGCGAATAAACTTCAGCTTAATCTGACGTCGAGTCTTGGGTGGGAACATTTTCGAGATGATAAAGAAGTCCGTGCCGAACATACGGAGAGCCTCATAGAAGCGATCTGTCTCCTCGTCACTCCAGGGATCGGACTTCATCTTGAAGAAAGGCACTCGGTCAGTAGGATCGCGTCGACGTTCGTTGATCCAGCTCATCTGGTTGACACGTTTGGTCAAATCATCGTTTTCAGTCACGACCAGATTTTCGGCGTTTCGCTCAGCTTGAGCTTGGCGATCAATACGCAAACTGTCTTCGTCCACAACCAGATTGCCTTCGGCATCTATACGTAGTCGAGGTCCAGTTGCGACGGGTGCTGGTCGAGGTGTGTCTTCGGTGTTCTCGCCTTCACCCCCGTCACCAGCTTCGGTATTCTCTGTCGGCTGATTGTTGAGAGTAGCAGGGTCTATACCAGCTCGGATAGCTTCTGCTTCTGCCACTCTCTTTCTGTGCACCTCGTCCCAATCTATAGCGGCCATCTTGGATTCTCTTTCCGACTTNTTGCCCAGACCTCTGTCTTTGGTAAGTTCAAGCATCGTCGTTTCCGCGACATCAATCTCGTGATTCTCTGGATCTTCGATGTCGTCCTGGCCAGTTCCTTCTTCTCCCTCGAACGACTGTGGTGATTTTTTCTTCTGACGGGGTTTCCTTGGCTTCGGAACAGGACGAGAAGCGGTGTCTTCTGTCTCAATGGCATTTGCACCTTCGTCTTCCACTACTGTTGCCGCCGATTTTGGTGCGCGCTTGGCTCTCGGGGCTCTAGGCTTCCTTGGTTTCGCAGCGGGTGTCGTGCTCGAGTCATTTTCCTGAGCACCTTCCAGAGCTTGAGAAGAGTCATCTGCCTCGACCGAGGGCTCAGCGGTAGGAGCAGCCTTTCTTTGTCGCTTTGCGCGAGGTTTGGGGGCTATTGCAGGTGTAGTTGCGGGTGGCAGCATCTGAGCTACAGGGGCCCGAGGTTGTTCCTGATGGTTAATGAGAGTGTTGATCAAAGCAGCTTCGGGATCAGATGCTGGTGTGGGCTGTGCTTGCTGAGTAGCGGGTATTGGTGAAGGTTGGCGAACAGTAGATTCATCGGATGTGACAGCAGGCGGTGGAGTGGGACGCTTTCGTTTCTGACCAGCCAGCTGGTTGGGAGAAGGCGGACCATGTGTGAACGGCTGCTGAACATGAGGCGAAGCTTGGTTTGTAGTAGAATCAGGTTGAGTTGGTTCAGTTTGAGTTACAGGTGGAGTAGAAGCGACTAGAGGTTGTAGAGAGGGAGAGATAATTGTTTGGTGATGCGATACATCGGACTGAGCAAGAGATAGAGGTGATGGCTCTACATGGTGAGGAAGCGCTGGTGGGGGTGTGGGCTGTCTGATGGATTGTTGAGCGACGACATTGGCAGACTGAGTGGTGGTCGTTTGCTGAGTTGCGGGAGGCGTAGGCAGAGGAGGGTTAGAAGCAGGGCGGTCGGATTGCGTCGAAGATGCTTCTAGTTGTGCAGCGCCGGCAGCAGTATCGGAAGCAGTAGCGGAGGAAGTGGTTTCTGGTGCGGGTGCTTGAGCAGATTGGGCGAGATGAGAAGGCTGAGAAGGCTGAGTAGCAGCGGCGGGTTGAGCAGCAGCAGGGCGACGACGGGCGACCGCGGCTTTGGGAGCGAGCTTCTTGCCCTTGTCTGGCAGACGCGTTAGTGAGGGGCGTCGCGATTTTGTCTGAATGGGATTCCGCACTGATGGCTGAACTGGTCAAGGGCGCCATGTTGACTAGGCGCACATTTCCTGCAAGTTTTGTTGTACACGACGAGCAGCGGTTGTGTCGACTGGCGATAGCTGAAGATAGTCTGGTCGTAGAAAAAAGAGTCGAGTCAAGGAAGGAAGCAACAACCTTGCTGGAAAGTCCAACTTCTCAAGCGCCGGACGCGGAAAGGGAAAGTGCCAAGGCCGTCTTCGACGCAACATTCAACTTGTCGAAGTTACTCCCTCCCTCTCTCGCCGACTCCAGCCTTCACTCATCTCGAGCCTTCTGCTGCCACGCCACCACGACAGCTAAAGCGTCGCCATCTTCGCCGCGCACCAGCTGGAGTGACATGACGCTCTCCGAATCGACCAACCTCTCCGTCCACTCGCACAAGCCCACCATGGACGAGCGTAAGAGATCCATCCAGCCCGACTCGGACGACATCTATCCCAGCAAGCGCCACCAGACCACCCAGAATGCGCCCCAGATGAGGATGGACTCCGAGAAGGAGAAGGATGTCGAAGTGAGTCTTCTGTCCCTGCCCGACAACCTCCACGTGACTATCGACATTAACATTGTCAACAGTNCGTTCCAGAAAGACGCCATCCTCCGCCAGATGAAGGAATACAAGCGCGAGAAATCCCTCTACGAGTCTCAAGTCCAAGACCTGTCCAAGCGCTCCCAGTACCATGACGACCATCTGCGCATCGTCGACTCATGGTTCACCCAGGTTAATAAACCCCCGACATGTCCCCACAAATCGATTCTCGACGCTGACGCCGCCGATTGTATAGNNTTACTCGACGAGATCAGAATTCTGGTTGGCGACCTCGTCTCAGACCAAGAACCCGAGCCTGGTGAACTCTTCCGCTCGTCTTTGCTTTTCGACGAACACTCTCAATTCGAATCCCATCTCAAAAATCGCTCTGCAAAAATCAAAGCTGCCATCAAGGATGTTTTTGGCAGACTGCCTGCTGCCGAGCCTGAAGTCAGAAGTCTGCAGGAAAGACTGGCGGCTTTGTTGGCCACCGAGAAGGCCCATGTCATCGAGAGCCAGAGAATTATTGGTGAGCGCGACCAGTTGTCAGAACGCTTGGAACAGGCATCCTATCGTTACCTTCTCGCCGAAAAGAAACTTGATCGCGCAAAGAGCGCTCAAGTGCAGAAGCTTGAGCGTCAGGCAACAATGGGTGGAGCCTCTGAGGCCAGTTCTACTTCAGAAAAGAAACCGACCAAGAACGATGCTGTCGAAACAAATGGTGATGTCGACAGTGCTGTGCATGCAGCCGCAGAGACGGCGCGCAGGGAAGCGCTCGCTGCATCTGAGAAACGCAAACTTCAGACCGAACAACTTGAAGCAGAAAACAAACAACTAACCGAAGAATTGACATCTGCCAAGGTCCGGCTCACTTCGCTGTCTGACGAGGACTATGCCAAAACCGACCTCTGCAAGCTGCTAAAATCCCAACACGAAGATGTGATTAAACGCGTCAACGATCTAGAAGCCACTAACTTGCAACTTCGTGAGGAGGCTCAGAGACTACAGGCCGAGAGAACGTCTTATCGCAACAACATGGAAGAAGAATCACAAACAAATGCTACCGACCTTGAGAGCCAACTCGCACGCGCCGAGTCTGATCTGGCCCGTATCCGTAACGCGAGAGACGAGCTTTCAGCCGAGCTTTCTGTCCGCAAAGGATCGCAAGAGCAGAGTCAGGTGGCCTCGGATTCGATAAAGGAACTGGCAGCTGCTCGGGAGACTCGTATCGCTGCACTGGAATCAGAGGTGGAACGTCTCAAGCTACAGATTGGAGAGAGCACTGCGGCTACTACTGACGAAGCTCTGGAAGGCATGTCAATCGAAGAGCTGAGATCCAAGCTGAAGACGCTAGAGAACCAACACCTACTACTCAACAATGAGTTGCCCTCTATGGAAGCAGCATGGAAGAAGACCAAGAGCCTGGCAGAAAGAAAAGTGGCCGAGATTATCGAATGGGAAGAACAGCGCACACGCATCAATGCTGAAAAGGCAAAGGCCGATCAAAAATACTTTGCCGCGATGAAGGCAAAGGAGGCTCGCGAGAACGAACTACGAACTCTCAAAGCACAGAATGCAAAGAGTTCTGAGATTGTGACGCAACTGAAGGACGCCGAGAACAACAGCAGATCCTTGATTATCAATCTGGAAAAGCAAATTTCCGAGTCCAAGGAATCATTGACGTCTCTCTCTCAGCAAAACCGAACAATGCAACAAAAACTTAGTGAAGGAAACATAACCCTGGAAAAGCTTCGCACTCAGATCACAGACATGAAGAAGTTGGTTGTTTCAAAAGATGCTGCTTCATCAGCCGCGGTATCGGCGAAGCGACAGGCTGAGGTTGAACTTGAAGAGACCAAGGTTCGCCTAGAAGACACCAGAAAATCTCTTGAAAGCATGAAAAGAAAGGGTTCTGGACGGGAGTCCGAATCGGACGACTGGCGTGTAAGTGCAGCCAAATGGTCTCTGACCGAACGCAAANCTAACAACAATTAGAAAATTGCCATTTGTCCTGTTTGCAACTCGAACCTACGCAACACTGTCCTCAAACTATGCAGTCACACCTTCTGTCAAGGTTGTGTACAGAATCTTATCGCCAACCGATCAAGAAAATGCCCATCTTGTGGTAAAGCATTCGGCCACGCAGATCACATGCCCATTGTCCTGGCCGAGCAGCTGCCACACAAAAACATCATTCATCGACCTTCGAGACTCTTTCTCCCATTCTACGATACCCTGCTTTTTTCTTCGTCGCTTCATTGCTACTTGCTTCTGAAGAGCGACCTTTTGTGTTCCTGGGATAGACACGTCGATAACGTCCAGCAAGAGCCCTACAGGTTCAGGAGGCTGGTCGATACACGTTTTCTCTCAACACTATTTCCGTGTCAACTAACGCGACATGATCTAGACGCACCGTGATCGTTGTGATCCCTCTACTCGAAAAGCAACTGCTTCAATAATGATCGGACACTCTTGGATAATTTGAGCTTCCGCTCAAATCATCTTGTGTCATATGTAGATTCAAGGAACGAATCTGAATGCAGGAAGTTGAATGCTCGGCCTGTCATCTAATGTGGTGTCATATGCTGCCATTCCTGGGCGTCAGCTGTACCGCCATACCTTTTCAGTATGATGAGGCGCATTCTTACGAAGGACAGAGGGCTCAGCAATAGGTTGGCTGGACGCGGCGAGATACGACAATAGCTTTGGCTTAGCACACGAAGTGCCCAGAGCCACCCTGGCTTCAACCTCCAAAGAGCGAAAAAGCGAAATCAAAATCTTTAATCAACCACTTCGACGTCAATGTGTTTCCTGTGCCGTGTCAAACTTTGTTTAGATCACCATAACGTACCGCGGTGTTATAGATAGAACAGGTTACTGACAGCACTCACTGATTCTGATACTTTGAATGTGCTTATATCAGTATTTCGTGACGGAGAGGTTCTTAGTCAGAATTTGTATAGAGATCGCTCTATTCTGCCATGAACCACTAGCTAAGGTGATTAAGAAGGCAGAGAGCCTGAAGGATGAAGAGGGGGAAAGATATCTCGAATGTTGCACAGTTGCAGACATGCGCTGCGGAGGCGGCCCGTATCTCTCGTCGATCTCTGAATGACGCGCCGCCATCAATCTTCCAATCTGAGAAAAGAGAAACTTCCTTCCTGAACAAACCACTAAAACGACAAACATGGGCAAATCAAAGCGTCGCAAGCTGCAAGAACGCAAGGAACACAACGAGAAATCAAATGGCGGACGCTCAAAATTCAACGTCCGAGACGGACCCTCGCGACCAAAACACCAGCAATCGAAATCGCAACAGCACGCCAAACCTAGTGCAGACAAGAAAACTGCAGCGTCTGCGCAAAAGCAACAGCAACAACATCAAGAATCGATTATTCCTTTCGATGCCCTCGACCGTATTCTGGTCATTGGCGATGGCGATCTGAGTTTCAGCAGGAGTTTGGTGGATACACATGGATGCGCTGCACTATTAGCCACAACCTACGACACCGAGATCGAATTATTGGAGAAATACCCACAGGCACAAGAGAACAAAGATGCAATCGAGGCAGAAGAGCAGAGGGTGTTACATGGAGTAGATGCGACGAAACTAGGGCAAAAAGAAGTCAAAAAACAAGCTGGAGGTTGGGAAAGAGTGCTGTTCAATTTCCCGCACGTGGGAGGAAAGAGCACGGATGTGAATAGGCAGGTTAGATACAATCAAGGTATGTTTGATTCCACCACACCGACCTTTGATCCTGCCTGCGGAAACTGATTTTGTGGGTTCTAGNAAATGCTTGTTTCGTTCTTCAAGGCTATAAAGCCTCTGTTGGCCCCTCATGGCACTGTCATTGTTACACTCTTCGAAGGCGAACCTTACACTCTCTGGAATATCCGCGATTTGGCTCGGCATTCTGGCTTGGAGGTTCAACGCAGCTTCCGCTTCCAGGCTGATGCTTATCCTGGATATTCTCATGCACGCACGTTGGGCAACATCGAAGGAGGTGGTGGTTGGAAGGGTGAAGAGAGACTGTCAAGGAGCTACGTATTCCAGCACAAGGGTGCGGGAGACGTAGTACAGAAGCAACAGGCCAAGAATAATAAGAGAAAGAAGGTGGAGGAGAGTGATGATGAAGACAGTGATGAAGATTGATGTGGATGGAGTGGATATGATTATTGTCGTCTATATTGTTCGATACCCCTGAGCGTAGATAGAAGGCTGTTCTTGTGAATCTGCCTTCAGCACGATGGATCTGAAGAGCTGCGAGTCTGTATATACGATGCATCGCTCTCAAAAGCCGACTGCATGTTTGACTGCTTGCATAGTCAACTCGGCAGACTTCCGTGCCTTCTCAGCACCAGTCTGTGCTGCTTCTTCGATGATCTTTCCATCACCGCCAACAATCTCTTCGAACCTTGCACGAATAGGCGCGAGATGTCCATCCACGACCTCAGCAACCTTTTCTTTCAATGCCTTGAGGCTCAGTCCCTCGAACTCCTTGGCATAATCTGCAGGACTGACTGCACCATGATTCGAGCTGTCGAGGTTGAAAGCAATCTCAATGAGATTAGATACACCAGGTCGAGTTTTGGGGTCGTATGTCACGCCTTCAATACTGTCGGTCAAAGCCACACGCAGCTTCTTCGAGATGGTGGAGGATGAGTCCGTGATCAGGATGCGTGACTTTGGATTCGGTGCTGATTTCGACATTTTNTGCGTTGGCCGGTCGAGGGCCATTACACGTTTTGCAGGAGCNTACAGATCTACGTTAGTTTTCTTTTCCTAGAGCGTTTTCAAGGCACAAAGTGTGCTCGATGTCGAGTAAAGCTTACAAAGCAATGTCTCTGGCTGTACGAGAATCTTGCTGCCAGCTAGGTGGTTGAAGCCAGCAGCACACTCTCGTGCAAATTCGAGATGTTGAGACTGATCATGGCCGACGGGTACGTGTGTGGCTCTGTGTATCAGGATATCTGCCGCTTGTAGGACAGGGTACGAGAAGAGGCCGAGCTTCAACTTTGTCTTGGTCGAAGGATCCAAAGGGTTGGCGTTTTCGTCCAAGTCGAGTTTACTCTTGGATGAGTGTTAGGACGGATCGAAGACAGGAGATAACTGATACGAGAGAAGAGACTAGGGGGATGGGAAGAAGGAGAATCGATAGAGAACACCTACCTTCCATTGTGTCATCCTCGAGAGATAACCCATAGATGCTGAACAGCTCAATATCCACATGAGTTCAGAATGAGCAGGTACCTACATTTCCCATCAGCCCAAGGCTCTCCTACATAACGTCACTAGTGATTGATCCTACATCGCTCTGGAAAAGATAGTACACTTTTGAGGATCTAGTCCCACAGCAAGAAGAGCAGCCAACATCTCTCGTTTCGATGTTCTCAAAGCATTAGGATCCTGATGCACTGTGATAGCATGAAGATCCACTACCGAGTAGATCAGGGATGTGTTAGAAGAGGCCTCATTCTGTAGTTTGACCCATTGCTGCATAGCACCCAGATAGTTGCCGAGATGTGGTACCCCAGTAGGCTGGATACCAGAGAAAATGACTCTTGGCGATGGAGAAGCTTCAGCACTGTAAAAGCGTGCCAGTGCTCGCTTTGCAGCACTCTGCTTCACAGAGCGTGTGCATACTGCACTACACAATTTTGACGACATCGAAAACACACAAGGTATGTTCTGTTAACGCTCTACAAAAAGAAGCACTTCGGCGTCGCGAGACTCGCGGAGGTACTCGGCGTTAGCGGCGGATCATCGGTAAAGGTGCTAATCCTCCGCGTCGGCAGGTCGGCAACAATGTCTTGGGCCCCAAAGCCTTCGGAGGAGCAGCGTCAGCGGCTGGACGCGCAACCAAACGCACTGGTTGCTGCCGCCGAGCCCTCTATACCGCAGTCACTGAACAAGCAATCCACAACAACCAACCCTGCCGCCGTTTCTGCCCGCGCACCCAACTCCACCTGGATCAATCTTTACTACAAGCTAGACACAAACGACAAGTCATCCATCAAGTCAGCCTCAACCATGTCGTGGGCCGGCTTCAAGAAGAACGTCAACAGGGCTGCCACCCAAGTCATGGTCAAGACCGGCCATGTCGAGCAGACCCATGACCGCAGTTACGAAGTCGAAGAACGCCGCTACAGAGTTATGGAAAACGCCGCCACTCGTCTCCAGAAGGAATCAAAGGGCTACTTGGACAGCTTGCGCGCAATGACTGCCTCGCAGATGCGCATTGCAGAGACCATCGACGCTTTCTACGGTGATGCTGGTGCCAACGATGGTGTCTCTCGCAGCTACAAGCAAGCTGTTGAAGACTTGGATGCCGAAACTATCAAGGCTTTGGATGGTCCTTTCCGCTCTACTGTCCTCGACCCCATCAATCGCTTCTGCGCATACTTCCCCGACATCAATGAGTGTCAGTCTTGACTCCTCTCACTCTCGATCTCGCTTTCTTGCTTCACAAGCTAATCAACATCCACACAAACAGGCATAAAGAAGCGCAACCACAAACTCCTCGACTACGACCGCGTGCGCGCCCAAGTAAAACGCCTAACCGAAAAGCCCGACAAGGACGTGACCAAACTGCCTCGCACCGAAAAGGAAGCAGAAATGACCCGCGCCGCCTACGAACAACTCAACGAACAACTCTTCAACGACCTGCCCCAACTCATCGAACTGCGCGTTCCTTACCTGGATCCTTCGTTCGAGGCTCTCGTCAAGATCCAGTTGCGCTTCTGTGCCGAGGCTTACTCGAGAATGGCGCAGGTGCAGCAGTACTTGGATCCTGACACTAGAGATCAGTATGCCAATGGTAATCTGGATGCTAGGGTCGAGCAGGTCTTGCAGGAGATTCGTGAGCTGAGCATTGCTGGCACTGTTTAAGCTTGCCCTTGCTCATCCGGCTCGCTGTTTAATTGACGACTGTTGCTCTGTCACTCAAGCGTAACGAAGGTGTTATGGAAGCCTTGACGTCCAGGCTAGGCGCGAGAAGAAAAGGACAGTTTCACAAGGAGAAGACTACCTAATCATCACTGGCATAAGATGTGGGAGAGTGGCACATCTGGCGTTCTTCGTTTTCAAGATTTTCATTCTCTGTTCTGAGATCCGTAGACCATGGATCCTTCTTTTTGGGGATGAATTACTGTGTGGATAGAGTGAAGAAAGCCAAAGCGTTTTAAGTAACAGTTTTTCCTGCCCATGCTTCCAAAAGCAGCTTCTCTCCTTCTTTTCATCTCTCGTCTAGACTCGGCATTTGACTACAGTAACCTGTGTCTGCTCGAGCTCAACGTACGTACCGCGCATATTGGCGGACGTGCTGTCTTCTGCGTCTTATCCATGTACCCCCGCCGGACTATTGTGCTTCCTCAGACTGTTTCGGAGTACTACTGCTGTCTTTGCTATTTCGCACAGTAGACCAGACGACCCTCAAGGTCGTCTGCATGTGTGTGGTAGAGTGTGAGTGGGGCCATTTACTCAAGCATGATAGGCTGAACGTCCTCTCCTTGGACGGCGTTGTCACCATCAGCAGGTGCTGAGGAGATGGCATTGTGGACCTGTACTCCGTTGCTGTGTCCGTTTTGCATTTGCTGCATCTCGAGCTCTGAAGGCTGCACCTGAGGGACACCCAAGCCGTTGGGCTGCAAGAATGTCTGCAGAGGGTAGATCGGTCCGTCAAAGTTCTCACCGTCGAACATGACAAAGTTCTGGATGGGTTGCTCGCGCTTGCCGAGCACGTTGATGACGTCCTCTGCCAGTCTACCACCAACGAATGCAGCAGTGGGAACTATCTCGCTGCCGATGTTATGCAAGAAGCTACGGAGGAACTCGGCTGTGAGAGTCTCGGCAGGCATCTGAAGCTCCTTAAGCTTGTTGGTGGCCATGCGAGTGAATTCGGCCAGGTCGCTCTTAGAGTTCTGGTCAGGTAGGTGATGATGGTTGCGCTCAAAGTCCCAGAGCGCGCGCAGACAAGGCAGGAGAGGTGTGACAGATCTCATCTTACGACGGTTGCGGATAAAGTCGTCGGGCAAAGGTGAAGTGTTGGCCAGGAGTAGCGGCGAGTAGATCTCACGCTTTGTGACGATTTCGATGTTTTTGCCGTTTTGCTTCTTGGTCGAGACTCCGACGATGCTACGTGTTGCAGTTTCCTGTTTGATGACGGTAGGCATGTTCGATGTCTCGCGTTCAATAATGTAGTCGTGCAGGATTAGATCGGCAAAGATGAAACCGTAGAAGCCATGGATACCAGAAGCGTAGAATGGACGGTTTACAAGACGACATGCGGCGTTGATGGTAGACATGGTTTCCAGATTTTGGTCGCATGCGATGACGAGTTGGAATGGCGCATAGTAAGTTTGATCCTTGGTCAAGATGTTGCTGCTGTCAGTTCTGACAGCGACTCTGGGGTTGAGCTCCTGAAGGCGCTCTGCGGCAGCTTCTGCTCGNCTAGGGGAGAATGTTAGTTGAGGAGTAGACATTGATTGGCATGATAAACGCACGTTGCGACCGATGTCCTCCTCGCGTACGAAGTACTGAGCACCCAGGTCATCTTCAGTCACTTGCTCGCTGTCTACAATGGTCAAGGAGCCAATGCCATTGAGAATGAGGTTCTTGGCGATCTCTGTACCCAAGGCCTTGACGGAGATGAGTAGGATGTTGGCAGAGCGCATTCTACACATGGATGGTCAGCACACTTTTGCACGTATGCAGGGCAAAAGTGCTCACCTCTCCTGAGCCTGCACACCCCAGAGACGGATTTGGCGGTCGTAAAGAGCAATTTCATCNTGTCCAGACTTAGTAACCAGTTGTAGGAATTTGGTGTTCTAGGTGATGTTACCGGCGCTCATGGCTTGTGCCTGGGCAATGGCAGCGACAGTCTCGGCGGCTGCATCGTGGTCTTGAGGTGCACCGTTGGTCTGGTCCACTACCTATTGTCAGTATTTCTCCCGCCGATCTCACCAACATCAGATCTTCCATGACTTACTGATGTCGCCGTTTGTAGGCAGGGCGGATTCGTTGACAGAAATTTCGACAGGACGAGAGCCTTCTCTGGCCAGAGATGGTTGAATGTTGCGAAGTTGTCCTCTCTGCAAACGTATGTTGGGGTATGTTCGGTAGTAGAACTTTTATTTACACAAAGATTAGAAGAAGTAGGAACAAGTGAAAGTCGTTTGTGCTGCCAATAGATGGGATGACGGCTTTCAGAAAGTGATGGGTCCCGGCAGAAGTTTGATCTTAGAGATACAGCCCGTTGTAGCAAGTCAAGTTCTAAGACTCCGAATTGCGAGAAGTGAGACGAGTGAATTGAATAATAAAAAGAATTGATGATGGGCCAAGAGAGAATAATGTGAAGTTGGTCAGAAAAGTAAAAGCATCCAAGTCCAAACCTGGCAACCTGGTCGGCGGAAGCGCGCAAGCGGTCATGACGCACGGACATTCTGAGTCGGCATCGTCTTCCCCGAGCACATTCGCGACCCTGATGAACACCTATGTAGCTTGTTGATAACTTTGAAATATCACAATCTCACATCTCTCGCCAGCACAAACCAAGCTCACAATGGACGCAATCATCGAGTCCGGTCGTAAGATCTGGGAGGGCGAAATTGTACGACCTTATACCTCACACAAAACAGGATGAAAGCTAACAGTTCCCAGGNACTTTGAGGGTCAACGTCTGGTCGAGATGTTCAGTACGACACTGTTGACCACTGCCGGAGTATGACTTTCCAATTCTTCTATATCGTCCGGCCTGTATGCTCGACATTCCCATCGCATTCCACTATCAGCTTCCGCTCACAACACCTCGACGCATCCACATCACACGGAGCTAACCCCACCCTAGATCATTGCCTTCATGGTCGGCTTCGCAACTCAAAACATTCAATACACTCTCTGGATTTTACTTGCCGGAGCTGCTCTCGCATTCGTCGTATGCGTGCCGCCGTGGCCATTCTACAACAACGATCCTGTCAAATGGCTGCCTGCAAAGAAGTCTGGCCCCGTCTCGGACATAAACATCACAGTCGATGGGAAGAAAGTGCAATAGACCTTACGACTCTATCTATATGGCTGTGTCGAGTCCTTCGTTTGTTCTTCGAGACGAGCTATTCTTCCGTGTGCAGACGTCTGTCACACGTGGTTGTGGAAATGTACAATCCTATCCGCATCAAAGAAAGGTCCAAAACCAACAAGCATGGGGTTTTAGGCGTTTGTGGGAAATGTCAAAGCACAGGAGTTATGGGATCATAAATATGGCATTCTCTGCCTTTCATTAGTTTGGGCGCAAAAGGGTGCGCCAAGTTGCAATGCTATCATTTTGGTCGTGTGATGGTTGGCCAAACGCATCGATGTCTGATCATGTATGTTCTTCCCTCCACCCGCAGTGCTGCTCTTTCAGGGGTATAGTGTGATATGTGGCAGACGGCTGGACTGCGGGAAGTCGACGCTGGAATGCATGCGAGCATGGTGAAGCAAGGGTAGGTGGTCGGTCGAAGTGGCGAAAGCAATGATTTATCGACCGTACTTTTGGAACTCCCAGTCTCTGTTGTCGAGAGGACAGACTTGACGAGTCTTGAGCCAACGTGAGATGCAGTGGAAGTGGAAGGCGTGCTTGAATAAAATTAGTACAAATGACAATCAATCGAAATTGCTGTCGCTCACGTTGCAGATGCCCCAGGCTACGGTACATTCCTCACTGGTGGCGGATGCTTGGTTGGCTTGACAGTCGATNGCCTTGTATTATGGTCAGTGTCATGTGCGAGAGTAGTAGGACGGCGCAAGCATACACAAGTCCATGATGTGGTTGCGGCAGATGGCACAGTTGTCGACGACAATGTCCCAGGCCCAGAGAGCGACAGCGTTCCACNNTGATAACAAGCATATCAGTCATGGTCCTTCTTCATCCAAGGCGGCGTGGGTTATCACCTTCTTGACTTCGAAGCGCTTCTTTCCAGAATCGGCAGCAGTGTCGGACTTGGAGGTCTTGGTCTTGGGAGGTGCGTCGGTCATCTCTACGTCGGCCATGTTTGCTGAGGATGTGTGCGACAGAAGCACAAGTGTTCCGAGAATCGAGAAGAGTAGAGGAAGGTGTTGGGCGTCGTAAGGTTGTGAGAGTGAATGCGAGGGTGAATGTTTGATGATGGCAAGCGTAGGCAGCTGCTGCCACACCTTGAATCGCGGAACGAACGAGGTACGGGAAGCTCGGGCGCTTTGAGCCGAGCACGCTTGCGTCAGATCAGATTCAGATAAGATCCGCTCGGCCTTCGTGATTGGTGCGATTAGCCACACCGGGCGCCATCGACACAACGACGACCTTCACGTGGGTTGTGCCATTGCGCTCACGCCCAACTCATTCATTCTCCTTGTCTCAGCAATCCAAAGACACCTACTACACGTCTGTCGCCTGTCCTTTGTGCCCTTCATCCCTTCACTCGCACTTTGGCACTCATTGGCACTCATTGGCATCTCACGACACATCTACCTTGCTCCGTCTTACGCGCCGTCCATATCTCCCTATTCGACCAAGCCGCCATCTCGCCAACTGGTCATGTCTACTGCAATCGCTGCTCCCTTCCAACAACCTTCGACCTTTGGTTCCCAATATCACAACATGTCAAGCAGTCCTACACAACCTACCGCCCAGCGCAATAACAGGCCGCCGCGTACTCGCAACGTCAACATCCACAACAACGCTCAAAACACTCAATCCGACTCGGGACTCCCCTCGCAAGCCACTACTCCTAGGCCGAAGAAGAACAGACCGAGACAGAACGACAATCGCGCCGCTTCCAACAGTGATGTGCCCAAGTCTGCCAACGCCAGGCCCAAGCCTTCTCACAAATCTCCTACCGCTACACCTGCGAAACCCGCTGCTTATGCTGGTCCTACCTTCCATGCTTCTCCCGCCGCTTCAAATCTGCCAATGCCCAAGTTTGCTTCCAAGTCGGTACCCCCTGTCACAACAAGCAATTCCCTGCAAGCGAAACTCGATGCCGAATCCACAAAGCTCAGTGCTCCGTCACCGTCTCTCGACAATGCTGCCCCACAAGCTTTGTCGAGGGAGAGATCTCCGCTCGATATATTCTTCAACGCCGACAGGCAGGAGCGGGCAATCAAGAGTTCGCCTCTAGCCCAAAGACGTGCAACACCACCCGAAGCAAAGGGCATGTTCAACCTAGACATTGACTCTTCTAGCAGCCCTGCTCCCAATCGTAACCAGGCAGAGATCGACAGGCAGGCTTACACCCAATCGCTGAAGAACTTCTTGAACTTGCAACCCTCCACCACTTCTCCTGCCCAGCCTCGCGCTCAGCCAAATCCTGCATTTCAAACGCCTCAGCAGCAGCGCACTCTTGACGCTGATCCTTCTCTGCACTACGGAAACCGCAGTCTGACACCACTTTTCCATGCTGCTCGCACTCCTTCTTCGCCTCAGACCACTATGAACACTACCCCCAAGCGCGAGCCCTCTGGTCATGCGCAGCAACCTTTCGATCCTCGTGCCTACCTCGAGTCTCAATCACCCTTCATCTCGCGTCCTCAAAACTCTACAGCCTCGCCCCAGCAGCATCATTATCAGCCTCAGCCTTACCACAGCCCTGCGCAGTATATTGGAGCTCATCGACCTCAGCCACCTCCTCCTCAACGTCCATTGGAACATGACCATTCGCCTGATGTTAAGGGCATGGAGGCCAAGCTCAAAGGCATGCTCAAACTCACCTAGTTGCCCCCTCTGGATTCTCATTTGCCTGCTGTGGCCACTTTTTGCACTTTTCGACCAGCGCTCTACTGCTCTATGCTTTTTCTTGTTCACTCGTTGCTCGGTAGTGGGAGTGGCTCTACATGGCGTTTAGAACTTCTGGTCTTTCCTTTCTCGAGACTTTTGGTTTTCTGGCCTTTGTCTTTCCACTAGCCACTGGATTCATTGACGGGTACAACGCCTGGCACGTTGGGGTTCACGTTCTCTCGGATGTTCTTGCGGCAATGGTAGCATTGGCAAAGGAGTTTCAAGAGCGAGCGGATTTTCGCATTCGTCTTTTCAACGATCAACGAATCTTTAGGTACTTTGTTTTTCTTTGGCAATTTTGGGAACATTTTGGCGTTTTCTACATCGTTTCTGCTTTTTTTTGCCTTTGTGCGCTTTCCTTCCTGTTGCTCGTTTGCTTTAACGACGGAGGGTTACATATCTGGGCATTCACGTGGCGTTTTGATGGAAACAGGGAACAGACAAGGAACCCAGTTCAGGAGGCGCGATCTATCCGATTCTCGTTTTTGGTAGGTGTGCGACGATACCCCCTTGCTGCTCTTTGCTTTGCGTTGCGGTTCTTCCTTCTCTTTCTTTGCGCATCTGCCATTCTCTTGAGATTTACTAGTCCTTCTTCCTTTTTTTTGATTTGAACAGAAAAAACAAAAAATCATACTTTTTCAGGAGCTCGTGAAGGTGGCTGGTCTTTCTTGATCGGCCTGAGCTCTTGGCCCAAAAATCTCCTTGCTTTCTTTTCGCATATGAGTTTTGTTCATGTTGGCAGCATCTGCAGGTTGGGCTTCTGAGCATATGATGTTGACCGTAGCTGCGAAATGCTTGATATCACAGGTCACATCGACTAATGGTCAGTGGTGTACGATAGGTAAGTGTCAATTAGCTGACTATCGAGCGAATTAACATTGGTCAGACTAGGAACACTCCCTGATCAGACGTAAGAAGCAGAGCACGTTCGGTTCAACGGCAGACTACATCAATACGGATCAAATCAGACCTATCTGGACCACATTCATAATCTCAAATATCACAAACAAAATCCTTGACCTCTGATTTGTTTTCATCTCACCTCCTACATCTCGGCGATATCATTCGAAAAAGCTGCAAGTCTACCGATTCCTATAAAAGGGCACCAATATGTGGTGTATATCCAGGCAAGTGAACCTTCACGAGACTTTGGACCTAAGATTACGAACAACATATCTCCAAAGCTCTCGTTTAGAGCCAACATCCGACAAAGAGAGGACATGCTGCACAGCAAGCGATATTGACAAAAGAGAATACCGTAGGCAGGGATCGAACCTGCGACCTCCCGACTCTAACGAACGTGTTAAGAACGAATGAAAGACCAACCAAAGGAATGACTGAGAATCGGGTGCGCTACCACTACACCACCACGGCTGGTTTTGCTGATCGAAAGGGGATTAGATATTTGAGTATATAAAGGTTGACGAGAAACAGGGTGCGCTAACAGGATCAGTGGCGGGAAGCGAGCTTGATTGAGGCAGTTTATCTCAAGCCGAACCAGTCTGGTATCGTACACCCAAAAGACTTCGAAGCACTTAGATCTTGACGGCTTTGAACGAACACTCAGACATCAACAGGAAGCACCAAAACCGAATATCCTTAGTCTTAAGAAGCCTTCGCAACATCCGTAACACTAGCCACCACCCCCNNCTCAACCGGTGCAGTGGTGTGGCTCGAATGCCTCTTGGTCCTCCTGTTTCCCTCCCTACTCTCATGCGGCCTAATACTCTGTCTCTGCTCCAAAGCACTGACAGCGCCAGGATCGGTCCTCAATCTGACATGATCGTCAGGAGGCTCTGAAGGCGTGGGAGCGGCGCCAATGACTCCAGGACAGATTATACTGTTGGGAATGTGGGTTGCGCCGGCGAAAGCCATGGAGGCGGAAGAGAATGCCGAGCGGCGGGCGCTGCCGATTGCTGAGATGGAGGTGCCGCTGAGGTCTTGACGTTTGGAGAGGATGGAGGCGTTGGAGAGAGAAAAGACAGAGAGGAAAGTGGCTGTCAGCAGTGAGGTATGCATGACGGGCTGCTCTATTCTTGAGTATTTCTTGAAGATGGCGAGGGAGGCAGGAAGGAAGAAAGCAAAGAGAAAGGATCACAGGAGATTTAAGCTGAAGTTGTGGACACTTTCCACAGAGCAATTGGGAAACTTTGACTGGTGAGGATATCAGTCGACCTACGAAACGAAGACCCCACTGACCTACACATGCTTCCAAGACAAACTTCGACTGAAGAGAGTAAAGAAAGAATAGGGTTAGTGTGAAGCGGTGGTGAGACGTGGTGGTGGAAAGAGCCAGCTCGATGGTACTTCTTCCAGAGTCGATCACAAGTTTTGCAGCATCGCAGCTTCCATATTGATATGTACATTCATTCTCATTTGTTATTGTCTGTATCAACAGTACTATCAACATTGGTAAGACCTTCCTTGCGATCATCATCGGACATACAGGGTGTTTCTTGAAACAACCTCATCTCATGAACTCAAAGTCCACCTCCACACTCGAGGGTTCAACACATCGCACTGAGTCCGTTTTTCGATATCAAACAATGCCATCATCATCAAACGCGCCATTCATCAAAGTCTGCGTGGTGGATGAGGTGGCTGCGGACCTCTGAGATATCCCATATCTCCACTTCCTCCATATATACCTCTTCCTTGGCGAATGATTTGGGTATCTTGTACTACTCCTGTCCTTCTGGCCTGGGTATCTCCAGCACTGATGTCTTCTGAACGTGTAGACTGGTATTCTATCCCGTAGGAGATCATTCTGATGACTTCTGTTCCGTCTGCCTCGGTGTGTGTTGTGGTGACTGTAATCTCAGAGTCACCATATACATGAGTTGCGGGACCTTCGGCTGCAGACGGGAAAGAAGGAGGATGATGAGGACGTCTGGTGGGCTGACTGCTTCGGCGTTCTGCATCTGAGGCACGGATATAGTTTGTGCTCTCATCTCTTCCAAGCACCGTTCTGGATAAACGTCCAGTGTCAGAGCGTCTTGGATCATATATATCGTTTTGTCTTCTGTGGTGACGAGACGCATGGCTTTCAACCCCAGCACTGGAGTGCCGTCTTGAGGAAGATACGGTGTGAACCCTGTCATGCTCACGCGGCCTATATGGCTCTCTTTCGGTGCCTGTTCGGGACGAAGCAGGGGGACCAGGAGGTACACGACGTGCCCAGTCAGAGACACGGCGATTGACTTCGTGTTGAGATGGATCTGGATCACCTCTTGCCCCTCTCGATTCGCTCGCTCCATATCCATAGCCTGAGATATACTCATAACCTCTCGCATTTGCAAGAGGTGGAGTAGGAACATATCTTTGTGGCAGACTTCCTCGTCTGCTGCGAATGGGCACATCTCCTCGGAAGTTGTGGTTGTCGGAACTTCTCCATGGTGTGTGTGTTCTCAAGGCTGCTGTATCTTCACAGGGTGGACAATCTCTGTCTTGGACCTGGAGGACTTCTCTGAATGGGTCTGACCAACCTGGACATGCGTACACAGGTCTTCGCCGCTGCGCTGTCTGACACAGCCATGGGGTTCTGAGTGTATGGCCGCAGTTGGTGTAACTGGTTGCGAAAGACTTACACATCCTCGTACAAGTTGATGTTGTCAGAAGAATGTCTGGACTTTGTTCTTCCAGTTGGCGATTTTAGCTTGAGCTGTTGGACTTTGCTTGGATGAGAGTTGGGTTCTCTCTTCTGTGCTGAACGCAATGTCGTAGAGCTGCGTGAACAAGGAAACTTGTGCTGAACTTCAGGGTTCGATGGGCAGAGTTGAGTGGTTGTCCAGATTGTTATGTGATAGTTCTCTTTGCACTTTCCGAGACTTTGCTGTTGATGGATTGTTTATGTTGCCATCGAAGAAGCGAAGTCGTTATATACCAGCCATTGAACACGTATGGGAGAGCTCATGACAAGCAAATGCGCTGTTGAACACCGCACACCCACGGATATCTCCAGAGACAGCGAAAATATCCAGCGAATATCCTTTAGCATCGTTGGCAGTGGTGATGGTTGGTGATTTCCATGGTCAGGTGGTTGACATGTTGTCTTTGCCAACCACCCTTCCTAGCTTCGTGACTGGGTTGTGTGTAAGTCACCACGATATCCTGTGACAGGCACAAGCTTATATCTCTGAAACTGCGAGCAAGGTGTCAAAGGGATGGTTGCACGTGGTGGGGCAGAATGTTTGCTAGAGGCTTTCTTTCAGGTTCAGCACACTGCCACGTCACTTTTGCTTCTCGATCTTTTCTTTGTACTATTCCTTGTTACTTAGTGCAGAGCGTTTCCCCAAGAGGTTTGCTTGGGAGAATGTTCGGGCATTGCTTTGACGTATGGAGTATTTTCTTTTGGTCTGTTCACCAAGTCTAATGCTTGGTTGGCAACGAGCTCCTGTGAAAGACAAGAGCCTAGGCCAAGAAATAGACGTTGTCATACATAGTCTGCATACTCGAATCAAAATCGGGTTTTGTATCTCTGCTGCCGGTTTGCTGACTATTATGTTTTCGAGTTGAACACAAACGCAAAGTGCAGCTATGATAGGGATGACTTTGAGCGCCATAGACCCTTCCAGGAAGAATGAGCTCAGCCCAAGCTGGGGAGCCCCTGAGTGAGCCTATATAGCCTTTGAAGATTGCCTTGCTTCCACCTACTCAGTCAGTAATGCGTAGAAACTATGTTTGGCTGAGCGGAATAGCCGGTTCGCGTATGCATACTTGCTCGATAATAAAATCTCTTGTATGCTAGCCGGGAATAGTAGGTGTAACGCGACCTACTTTTGCTGGTTGTGAGTTCGATTTTGGTTCGTAACACGATTGAATTTTCTTTTGTATTTCAGCTTCATACTCGAACTTCCACAAGCCTCGTATCACATAGATCATATTCGACGAGCTTCGCCTTCACTACAGTAGAGTATCCTATAGAATTAGTCATCACAGTCTCTTGGATAGTAGTGTCACAAGAGCAGGATATGCTGTTTCCTTCATCTTCGTAGTGAGCAATCGAAATAACGTGATGCGAGCACGTCCACATTTTCAATGAATAGACCTACGAAGTCTCGTCCCAAGGGACCTCGACCACCAGCTTCAGTCCCGCCTATACCAGACAGACGAGGCTTGCCACCGCCATTGTCAGCAGCTCCACGGCAACGCTCGCCACACCCAACAACCAGACCTCGCCCATGAGATGAACGGTTCTCTAGGGTTTGAAAGACTTGAATTCGAGAGGGGCTGAAGGAATATGTTGGAACGCTGCTCGACGAATGGGTGGAGGATATAGTCGACGGATGAGTTGACATACACTCCTTCAGGCGAATGAGGCCGTTCCTGGCATCTTTGCTTACTTGATGGTCTTCGCGTGAGAGAGTGGTGATGGTGACTAGTCAAAGTCTGCGCTTCTTGACCAGCCATCCAAGCCGACCTGTCTGAATTCTACCTCGGCTTCTTGACCGAAATATCCAGCTTCGCGCCATGAACGCATGGTGTTCTTGTCATAAGGACCATGCGTCTGTCCACCATCTCGAGCATCCGCCCAGCGAAACTCATACATGGCGTTCTCATCTGCTGGTGTGTCTACAACGGGATCAACCCAATCCTCGCCAGTATCACGCTTGTACAGACGTTGTAGCAGTTCGCGTTCATGGTCGTAGATGTCGGGATTGTTGCGGCTGAAAATGGCATCTGCAGCAGCGGTGATAGCCTCGACGGCAGCTATGCGACGCTTCTCGGCTTCGTCTTCTTGGGCACCTCCTTCCGCATCTACATCCATGGCATCTGATTTGGTGGCTAGTTTCTTTTGTTTCCACTTGGGCACTTTCTTCTGTTTTGACTTGGGAGCGGCTGCATTGAGTCGTTGTAGAGCTTCGAGAACCGATTCTCCCTTATGCAGATGTGTGATCAGAGTAGAGAGTAGATCAGAAGTCAACAAGGCGTCATCGGCAGCGGTTTGTTTCCTTCGCTCCTCGTCACGCTTCTCTTGGGCGGCTTTGGCTTTNTTCATGTCCTTNTTGTTCAGACCCTCTAGCCAGCTGTCGTGAACAGAGTCAGGATCGACTGCTTTGCGGATGAAGTTTCCAGCTTCGTCAAAACGACCTTCTTCGCCCTCTTGTTGCATGTTGAAAGCATCGAGTTTGGGNGCGTGTCTCTTNCTGCTACCAGCGCCTAGCTCCTCGGCATCCTCATTCTCTTCGTCCAGACGGTCGCGTTCTTCATCACTGCCGCTCTCGCTGCTACTCTCAACACTGGCATCGTCATCGGCACGCGACTTGCCCTTGGGATCGAGAGTAAAGTCAGCGCGGACGTGGCCGCCGGACTTGCTCTTGTGGACTTGACCTTCGATATCATCGATGTCCATGAAGCGTACGTCTTTCTTGGTCTTCTTGCCTTCTCCTCTGAGCTCTTCATCGTCGTCACCATCTGCTGTGCCTCCTACACCTCCAGTACCTTCGTCGACATCGGCAAACATATCCATCTCATCTTCGTCTTTTGACTTTCCAGAATCTTGACCGCGGTGATCCCATCCAGCATTCTTTGAACCTTTGGAGCCGCCGTTTCTTCCTTCCTGCTTGGCGAGTTCTGCCTTTTCATCTGCTCTGGCCTCAAAATTGTCGTCGCTGCTGTCGCTTTCGTAGCCATCGAGCTTCACAGCGTTGCGCTTGGTCTGCAGACCACCTTTGCCGATTTCGTCCAGTTCCAGTATGGCATCTTCTTCGGGAGCGTCAGGAGCCAGGGTTGAAGGGTTGCGGTGGTCGAATCGCGGCTTTTTGGATTCGGGAGAAATGTAGCGATCAGAAGCTTCGGCGGTGCGCTTGGGACGAACGCCTCCAGCAGGGATGGTCTGGTGTCCGCCAGACATGTTGCGACCGCCCGTCATGTCGGATAGAATCGAGTTGTTCGATGTGTTTGTTGGATGAGTCTGGAGCTGAGCACTTTGTGTTGATGTCGAATCGTGCGTCATGGGTCTGTGCTGATCGAGCATAGCATTGTCCTATCAATCATATTATCACATCTATCTTTTGGGACCATATTGGATCTACAACTGGAGTGACTAGTGACAAGAGTATGAGTGGATTCCACCCAAAGAGAATGCTATTAAGTGAGTTGTCGTCGTGTGAGACCGAATCAGATGGAAGTAGGGATTTCGTCATGGCGGGACTCCAGACTTTCACAAGACAGACACCTTTGGCCTTGACGTTTGACAACAACGAGACCTTTGCAGCCATCCATCCATCATGGTATGTTGATCTCAGACCATAGCAAGTGCATCACTGACGTCGCTCTAGTATCGCAACGATCCTCTCGCTATGTACAACCAGGGCATGCTGGCGCGAGGCGGCCGCCCTCGCCGCTTCGACGAGTACTACCGATGCTACCCAGTCCTCATGAAGACAGACCGTCAAGATGTCATTCACGGCGGCAAGGTTTACCTGCCTGCCTCTGCTCTGGACAAGCTCACTCAGCTGCACATCACCTACCCCATGCTCTTCGAGCTCATCAACGGTGCCAAACAGACAAAGACGCATGCCGGTGTCCTGGAATTCACTGCCGAAGAGGGCAAGATCTATCTTCCTAACTGGATTATGCGTTCGCTCCTCCTCGATCCTGGTGACCTCCTGCAGATCAAGTCCACCGACTTGCCCTCCGGTTCCTTCATCAAGTTGCAACCCCAAAGTCCAGCCTTCCTCGACATCTCCGACCCAAAGGCTGTCCTCGAGAACGTCTTCCGCAGCTACTCTTGCTTGACANAAGGCGACATCTTTTCCTTCAGCTACGTCGACCAGATCCACGAAGTCGCCGTTCTAGAAGTAAAACCAGACAAGGACTCTCATTCCATCAGTGTCCAAGAAACAGATCTGAGCGTCGACTTTGCCACGCCAGTCGGCTATGTCGAACCTGAGCGTAACAGCGGTACATCCACACCTGCTCAGGTCAAGTCTATGGGCGGCCCCATGCACACTCAAGGAACCATGGCCCAAGCCATCAACTACTCCGCCATCGCTCCGACCAGCACAGACGCAGCCACCGGCCACGCAGCAGCTGCCTCGCACTTCCTTTCTCAAGGTCACCGTCTAGTCGCAAAGAAAGGTAGCAAAACGNCAACTCCCTCATCTACCGGTACATCAACACCAGCGCCTGCAGAAACCGTCGGTATTCCTGGTATGGCCAAACCTCAGCCTCGCAGAAATGGTCCTCAACCTCTACGTTTGGACCCGAACAAGCTCTTCTTTGGCTACGAAGTCAAGCCTAAGCCCGCAAAGAAGGACGAGACGCAGCAAGAGCAAAAGAAGCAACACTTTNTCTCAGGTGAAGGCCAGACTCTTAGAAAGAAGAAATGAGCTCTTGCATGATAAGACAGGGTTGTTCACGACTGTTGCTTCTGCTATGGCGTTTGTTTCATGAGGAGTTCACGGTAGCAGCCTCCACGCATGGCTGGAAATCAAGGGGGTCCGTTTCGATTGCATTTCTTTGGCGTTTTTCTTTTCTTCGACTTTCTCAATGAGTTAGCTGCACATTTGAATGCAAGCCCACATATCACATCGTCAAACACTAGTTTCTGTCTTTTGTTCTGGTGAATGCTTTTGACCATTGTTAGTCGGTGGATTTGCTATCCGTTCAAGGCCAGGGTGGTATCGTCAACGACCATTCCGAACCATCGAGGTCTTGTTTCTTCATCTGATTAGGGTCGTAACAATCAAATGTTCCTTAAACTAGATCGAGACACATTTTGACGTTACTTGTTGGTATTCATGTTGCTACAGAATCGCGTTATGACAGTGTGGGTGAAATCAAGGTGATATACAATTGTCACGTTGAACCATAGCACTTCCATGTTTCTTCGAGATCCAGAGTTTCAAATGCAATAGGTGAAGAAATGAATCAAGCTTACACGACCTAGCGAAGTCGTTAGTACTCAAGACTCACCGGTATACGAACACGTATGATTGATGCGGTGCTATATCCTGTGATCGTGTGAGAGAAGTTGAGTCTCACTTTTGAGAGCCGCTACGTCATCGATATACAGTTCATTTGAAGTCAACTCGAAACACAATCCATCTGTACTTCGAACTTTGAACATACATGCTCTTCAAATTGATATCTACGACTTTTCACCACAACCTTCATCGACAATTGAGCAAAACGGTCACAAGACACAACCTCAACACCAGAATCATGAGCACATTCACACTGCCAGGCTCGTCACCCGAGTGCCCAGTCCACTTGACGGACGATCTCACAAAAGAACAACTTCTATCATTCCCGGCTTTCAAGAACTGGTCTGAGACGCTCCAACACTCACTCAAACAGCAAGAATCAAAGACACACACCTTCCATCAAGCACCTTACAAGCTCAGACGCATCGACATTCAGAGCGTGGACTTTTTCGGTGGTGAACGCATTGGTTTCATAAAGTTCAAGGCAGAAGTCTCGAACGATAATGGAGAAAAGTTCCCTGGCTCTGTGTTCTTGAGAGGAGGCAGTGTTGCGATGCTGGTGAGTTGTACAGCATGAGATAGCAAGACACTGCATTTGTTGACTGACCCCCACAGCNTTGTTCTACAACCTGATGATGTTGAGGAGGGCTCTGAANAAGACAAGCATGTCATTCTGACCGTACAACCTCGCATACCAGCTGGGTCTCTCTGTTTCTCAGAGCTTCCTGCAGGCATGCTCGACGACGCAGGTACTTTCTCAGGTGGTGCTGCGAAAGAGATCGAAGAGGAGACAGGCCTCAAGATCAAAGAGGACGAACTCACCGATCTTACAAAGCTCACGTTCAGCTCAGACGAGCAGACTCAAGATGGAGAGAAGCTGCAAAAGGCTATGTATCCTAGTGCTGGAGGATGCGACGAGTTTGTGCCTATTTTCTTGCACCAGCAGCGCATCCCTCGTAAACAGCTCAAGGATTGGCAGGGCAAGTTGACAGGACTGCGCGATCATGGCGAGAAGATCACTTTGAAGGTGGTGAGACTGGAAGAGCTGTTCCGTGAAGGAGGCAGAGACAGCAAAGCATTGGCTGCTTGGTCAATGTACGAGGGTCTGAGACGTGAGGGCAAGTTGTGATGAGGAGGGCATGTCAAGTTACTGCTTTTGGATATCATGATGGTATCGTAGAGCGTGACCGGATTAGGCAGATAATGACAGAGGGTGGTGGACTTATCAGGTGCAGTCGTTTATCGCCGTGTTGCCCCGCTCAGCTGGCACAACCCTGATGATTCACCCACCGCTTTGTCTTGCATCTTCAACTACCTTAACCTGCCATTTGCTTCCCTCTTGCACCTCAACCCCTCTCACCACTGAATCACACCAAGCACAACCATGTACAAATACATCCATACCGCTCTCGACTCAATACGCGACTACGCCAAACCCTCGACCACATCCAACTTCCGCGAAACCGGAAAGCTCACCNCCGACGAGTTTGTCCTGGCTGGAGACTTCCTCACAACAAAGTTCACCTCGTGGTCGTGGTCTGGAGCTGCCACCCCGGCTCAGCGTGTCTCCTACCTGCCTGAAAACAAGCAATACCTTGTCACTCGTGGTGTTGCCTGCAAGAGACGTCTCAACGACAACTTCGCCGGCAGGGAGGGTCTCGACGACTTGGTCAAGGAGGGTGAAGCTTTCAACCCTACTGGAGATGACGACGATGGCTGGCTGAGAACCGGCGGTGACATCCATAAGCCCGAGTCCCGTCCTGGCGATATCCGCACTGTTGACGATGATGGTCACGTCGAGCNNAAGACAGTGGTGACTACGAAGAGGATGTCCCTGATATTGAGGGATGAGGAGGACGACCCCGATGCCATCATCCGTGACCCCAGGGCTCAAGATGGCCCCAACGAGTGAGTCGTCATCTTACCGCAATAACCAGCTCACGAGACTAACTTCCGCGCTTAGCNNACTCTCCGCAACTACACCATCTACATTACCTACTCAACATACTATATGACACCACGACTCTATCTCTCAGGTTACTCATCTTCAAATGAACCACTCCCACCCATGGCCATGATGGAAGACATTGTTGGCGACTACAAGGACAAGACCGTCACCCTTGAGGACTTCAACTTCGTCTCTCCACCCATCAAGACCGCCTCGATCCATCCATGCCGCCACGCCAGCGTCATGAAGATCTTGCTCGACCGCGCCGATGCCGCTCTGAAGTTGCGTATCCAGAAGATGAAGAACGGCCAAGAAGTCTCCAACCAAGGCATGGAAGGCTTAGTCGATCAGACCAGTGGACTCAAATTGGACGAAGACAAGGTCGATGCCAAGAAAGCCGACGAGAAGAAGAATGATGAGTGGGAGGTCTTGACTGACGACGGCAAAGAAGACGAGGTGGCCATCCGTGTCGATCAGTACCTTATCGTTTTCCTCAAGTTCATGGCTAGTGTCACTCCTGGCATTGACCATGACAACACTATGGCCATGTAGACGACGACAAGTTTTGCTTTTGTGATTTCTGGCAGACTCTCACTTCATAAATCAGGTGTTTTTGGTGTTTTTTTTTCCGGTCGTTTTTATCAAGAGGATATCTCAAGTGGGCTCGAGATGCAGGCGTCAGGGGAATTCACGAGATTACGGCATTTTCAATTCCCACTCAACAACAAAGAAAGACGATCCAATATAGTATAATTAGCAAAGCAAAGTTATTGCACTTTTCTATAACAAATTTCAAAGATACCCAGCTGTTCGTCATATTTCTGATCTAATTCCCATTTGTCTCATTCTATCTACCACATAACACGATCATCTGGCCGTCAAAAGTCATTACCCATAACCATAACCATAACCCTCCAATCCCGAACCAAACAACAGAGAGGAGTCTGTCGACAACCATCAAACACACCTCTCAAAATTGCCACCGTCTATTCCTCACCGGCCTCAACACCTCTATCTCTTCCCTTCTTTCCACCTCTGCCTTTCCACCAAACATGACGCCAAAAACACCTCTTCTCCCAATCACATTGTGCAGTTTTCTGCGCACGGCCATGGTGCGTTCGTCCAACATGCCTTGAAATGCTGTTTCTGTGTTCCCATCGTTGTAATCGTTGGAGTGTTGGTGAGAGGGTAGATGAGAGTGGTAGGAGGGAGTGGGATGTTGGCCTATTGCGATGTGTATGTCTTTNCTGTTTCGCGCAAACAGAGATTAGTATTTGGTGTAAGAGGTAAGTGGTTAGGGATGCATGAGAAGAAGGTAGGAATAGAGAGAATGGGTTACCTCGGAAAGACCTCTTTGCCATGATTCTTCTACTTCAGCAAAGGTTGTGGGGGCTGCAGAAGTGGAGATGGCGAAGAGGGATAGGAGAAGTGTGAGGAAGACGAAAAGACCAGATAGGCGTGCCATGATTCTTCCTTTGTTGATAAGAGGAAGACGATGACCAGGTAGTGTGGATGGCCCGACGATGGTTGTGCCTGATAGAAACGACACCAGGCAGATCTCGAGAATTTCTAAAGAAAAGAGCAACAACACTCTCAACGATGACCCTTCCCAATCACAGAAAGAGAAGAAGAGGAAGTGTGTGTTTACCACCTACCGTATATCAATCATACCACCCTTTCTTGTCAGCATGAAACCCGTACACGTACAAGCACATGCCTTTCTGACCTGACTCCTAATCTGGAAACCATTGCATGAAAAACTCAGTTCCGACTTACCAAAGACACGGCTCGTGAGCACAGAGATAAGCAAAAGGTAGCGGCCATCGAAGAATTGGGCCTTTTCGGTCGTCAAGCGAGAGGTGGCGCTATTCTACACAGGAATGTGAATGCGTCAAGCATGGAAGCAAAAGCGTTGAGCGCATGGAAAAGGACACAAGAGGGAGGAAAAAGCTTGAGCGGAAGGCTGAAAAGCAAGGGGTGGATGAACAAGGGGACAGGTCGTATAGACCCGGAACAGATTTCTTGCATTCCTCGCACAAAAGGGTCTAGAAGAGAGCCCTTTCCTTCTCTTCATCGTACTGCTATCTGCGACGATGTTTTGAGCGTGCGTGAGGTGTTTAGAAGGGGTATCAAGAAGCGAATAGCCAAACATCAAGAAAAGAAACGCCGTCTCCCAGCCATGTCTTTCTCTGCTTCTTTCCTTTCTATGCAAACCCATCTAATGAATATCGCAATGCAAAAGTTTGATAAGAATGATCAAGACTCATAAAACCAGTACATGGAGCCAGCCATGATACAGAACAGGGAGTCGTCCTAACGCCTCCATCCACCCATTGAGCCAAGGGGCGCGCCGAAATTTGAACTCATTTTAGTACGAAGGCGGATGCCTACATCCAGAGCATCTTTGTCCTTGCTTTCTGCACTGGGTGATTCAGCCTTTTCCTTGGAGTCACAGCTCGCCGAATCGACTTTCTCGTTCGGGACAGGGAAGGCCTCAGAAGGCTCATCGAGGGCCAAGATCGTACTTTGGCACACTATTGGTTGATTTTCTTCGGGATGCTCAGAAATGTCTTTTAGTTTTGCGTCCAACATGTCCACAGTGAAGTTCTCGGCGCCTGGATTGCAGGGTAGTGAAGGCATGTGTAAGGGACCCTTCAGGGACCTGTCCTCTCCGGCACCGTCGTCTTGTGACATGACCTCGTTCATGAGAGTGTTGGCACGGGTTGGCGTATCGGTGAGTTTGTCTGAGCGTATACTCAAAGCAGGGCTGAATTCGCCAGGACGAGGAGCCTTAAGAGGAGTATGACCGGCATGTCTTAGGTTGGCTGGCGGAGGAGGGCTGAGTATATTTCGAGTAGTTGGTGGAGAGGCGGGCAGGTCACCGTGAAGAACTTCTGTCAGGGGAGCGTCGCTGTCAAAGACAGAGGCGTCTGCCAAAGTGGGTATATCGATGTGGACTGGTGCAGCGTCCCTCTTTACACGGGGCATTTCCGGGGACAAGCGAGAAGTGTCGACTTCGGCTATGCTAGGCAGTTGAGATGGGGCAGGCTTCACGCCGTTTTGAGGAGACAGGGCAGGACTGCGTGCCGGGCTNGTGGATGCTAAATCAGACACATGGTGTTCGACCTTCTGTTATTCTAAGACTCACCTTTGGCCATTGGGGGATTTGAGCAGGGATTCGAGGGCGCTAACACGGCGTTGCATCCTGTCTCGTTCCATTTGCCAGCTCTCTCGCTCGGCAACAAAAGCTTGGTGTTGCAGACGCAGGGCTTCATTCAGCTTGTCGAGCTGGGCCTGCATATCGTTTTCGGTCGGAGAAGTGCCCAGAAAGTAGGGCGAGGAGACTTGGGATAACGACTGCATGGCCATTGGGTTGAATGAGGGAGCCCAGAGAGAGTCGTTGGAGGTGACCTGGAAGGCCAAGGGCGGCGACTTGGGCGGGACCTGCTTGGTCGGTGGTGCATCGAGAAGCACAGAATCCATTTTCTGGTACCTGAGAGAATCCTTAGGCGTCGAACCCGACGTTATGGTTGAGGCTCGTGTATGAAGGTCGAGTTGGAGAATGTCGTCGGCTATTGGGTCGCGGAGGGCGGAGAGAAAGGGAATGAATCAGAATGCGAACGTCGGACGACGACGGGGTCATTCGTACGTGTGGATCGTTTCCTCGTCAAGAGATGAGCGAATCTCTAGGTGTCAGGTTAAATAAGGTACCGACCTCCAACCAACAAGCCCAAAGCCCATGACGACGAAGGCCCGATCCCCCCGCCATTTCCCGCGCCTTTCGACCCCAATTCAGCCTTCGTCCCTGCAGATCCCACCTGCCACTGCAGCAGCCAAGCCTCTTCTACACCTTCTGCGTTTGTTGTTCTGCAATTCTCTTCTACACCTCTACATCCCCATGGGCCCTGTGCAACCTTAATCAAGCTTGACATAGTTTGCTGGGAAGCTACCCGTCACTCCATTGAGTTCTCCCTCCCACCAATCGTCCGTCGATCCTGTCTTCTTCACCACCTTAATTCTGTCGCCTTCACGGAACGACAGGTCCCCTGACCCTTGCCCAGCAAATTCATACATAGCAGTGACAAATTCACTCTGATACGACGCCATTCTCTTCTTGGGCGGAGGCGGTGGAGGTTTCTTCTTGCCCACGACACTGATTGTTCCAGAAGACGTAGAAGCCTTGCGCTCTCGACTGAAGTAGTCCGAGCCCTGATTCTGATGCGATACAGAAGACGGTGTCAGGAATGGCGTTGATGCCGAACTAGGTGTACTTGAAGCCGAATACATTGGTCGAGCTGCTCCGCCGTTGGCGTAACCATCGGGCGTAATCATCGGAGGAGGCTTAGAGCTAGAAGGGATCCGTGGTTTGCTACCCATGTCGATACTAGGAGCCGCTCCAGGTCGAGGTGGTTTTACTGGAGGTGCCCCTTCGTCCTCATAGTGAGAGTTGGGTGTAGCTGTGTCCTCATAGTGAGAATGCAGTCTGGCACTAGAAGGTATACGACCAGGTCTAGGAGGCTTGACAGGTGCTGGCTCATCATCGACATCGCCGGATTCGATGCGCGCTTGTCCTTGTCCCAACATACTAGGCTTAGGCAACGACCCTTGGCTGCTCGTTCTACGAGCGAAAGTATTACGCAAACCAAGTCCAGTCACAGTGCCTTGCTGTTTGTCCGGAAGACTCATGGGTTGGTGTATAGCTTTGCCAGTCGAGATGGTCCGGACGTTACGCTCGAGATCCTCTCTGAAAGGCGTAAACTCAACCTCGAAAGTGTTCACGACCTGCTCCAAAGCTGGAGCGGGCGAAGGCAGTTGATGTGTCTGACAATACTCATGGAGCTGAGTGTACATTTGACCCACCAGCTGGTACTGAATCATGATCTGGATAGCAAGAAGATGTGGCAGAAGGTTTGATAAGCCATCCAACACAGGGGGCAGAACTTTCCTGAGCTGCTCATCAGCAGCTTGATAGTCNCTGTAATGCCGGTAAGCCATCGTCTGAACACGCATGATTAAACCATCACTCACAGCACTGGCGCGAGCAAGATCGGTCTCATGCTTCATCAAAGCGTTCTCTTCTCTAGCAGACCTTGTGTCTTTGCGTCGAGCGCTGTCTGCGCGTGAGTTGTAACGCTCATAGTCAAGCNNTAGCAGGCAAGATTAGTGTGCGTCGACTCATGACCACCTTTAGTGAACCCAACTAACCTTCAGATCTTCTCTTCGTTTAATCGATTTCTTGAGCATCTTGAGAGAATCCTTAGCATCCATGGCAGGTCTAAGGAGTCTGGGCTCAATTGAATTGATCTCGGTGCTCAGATCTTTTCCAAGATGTGCGTAGATCGTCTGCAAGTCACCAGCCTTTTCCAGGTATCTTCGCGGTGTCGGAGCTGGCTTGTGCTGTGTAGGATTGTCTGGATCATCTTCGACTTCGATAGGTTTGTACAGCAAGTGCAAAGTTTCTGCAACATAGAGTTGAGTCTTTAACGTCTCGTCCCAGGCATTTCGCCATGATTTCGTTGCATCAATGAANCTATCAACATCGATTAGTACCCATAGAAATATTTCGGAGCACAATGTTCTTCTTACACTACCAAGCGCTTGGTCCGCAGTGTTGAATTCACTTAAAATGCCTCCCACATCAGATCTGTCGGCAGACCGTTTCATCAATTTACCAAACTTGCGTTGCACATTCTGCATTTTGACGCCGAGCGAAGAATTGCGATCAGAGGAGGAAGAACGAGTGAAGAGCTAGCAATCAAGTTGAAGGATTCCGAGAGTGGTCGGTGTTGAGACAACGTGTATTGCAAGCGGGGCCAAGGCTTCGGCCTGGCAGAACCTGGAAGCGGGTGGCAGGCATTGTTCACTAGTGATATGCACTATTCCATTATATTGTACTGTCTGAATTACGCGGCGCCAAGTTGATCTTTAGGACTGGTAAGATCATCTATAGTTTGTCTTTGATGAAACCGCACTGCGCAATGTTCGTCTCCTGTCACGGGCGGAGCACATACCTTAATGGCCGAGTGCTCGACACGGGGTGACGCGTGAGTGACGCGCCAAGAACAGCACTTTCCTGCGGGAGGCATCGTGGTTTCCGTAATGGTCTACTGCCTGCTCTGGACATTTGCTCGTTGCATCGACGCCTCTTGAGCCAACGCTGCTCACGATTTCTTCACGCAATGACGGCTTTGACGATCGCACATTCAAATCACCATCGAGGATCATGACGGCAGCAGTCCTGCGTAATTCTCCAAACCTCGCGGTTCCTCAAACCCAGAACACTGCTCCTGTGCACGAATTCAACTGCCTCTACACACACGACCTCAGGCGAAAGCAANAGAGATGGCAGGATGGCTTTCTACGCTACCACACCTTCAACAAACGTGTCATGGTCTACGATGTTCCTAGGAATTTCCTCGGCGACCTTCACTGGACCAGCGGCGATGACCTTCAAGAGGGTGATGAGATGACTCTCGAGAAAGGCGGCATCATGGTCCAAGTTTCTGAAAGAATAGGCACTATACAGACAGATCTCTCGGACCTATTACAGCGGAAAGACAAGACCCCGGCTAAAAACCCTGCCTCGTCAAGAACATTAGTGCGCCATGGACCGCCATCTGCCGCTGCTTCCTCTGTCACGCCCAGAACCCCTCATGCTGTTTCGACGACGCCTATGAAACATAAGTCTCTTAATGCTTTGCTTGGAAGGTCAAGACGACCCATAGGGAAGGCCTCTCTTCCTACAGAATCTCCTTACGAAGCACGTATCAGAGATTTGCAGGCTGCTGAAGCCCAGGACCAAAGAGAACGTAAACGACAGAGGCTTGATTCTCCAGCTCAGATAACGCCTAAGACAGCCAAGCGTCGTAATGATGCGGTTCATAAGCAGGCGAACCCTGTCTCTCGTTCGAATCTGGGATGTGAAGTCATCGATCTTTCTTCCGACACCGACGACATCTCGGCAGCTCAAGCTGCAAGTCGTGCTATCGATGCTGAGTTGTTGGCGACATCCTCTCCCGCCTGCCTACTTGAGAGCCCTGCCCATCGACAAGTTGCTTCGAATCATTTCCGTCCCGTCGACCGACAGTCTACAGCAGCGAAACCAGCTATCGTTGAATCTCCTTCGGCTAGGGCATCGAATCGCCCGAGGCATGCTGATCCTCCTGCTGTCTCTGACACTGCTCAATCCAGAAAGGAGACTGGTGTTTCACGTGAGGCAACGAACAAGGGCGTTAAAGAGGTAGCTCATGAGCCTCTGAGAGGTGGACTTACTGCGGCGGAGTCTGATTCCCAGGTGCGAGGAAAGTCCTTGAAGCTTGTCGGTGGGGCTCCAAGAAAAATGTTACTCTTTCAATCACAGAACTCACGTCCGTCAAGCTCTGAGACTGGAACGGAGGGTGCTTCGCACGGCAAGGCTCAAGGTCTGAGACAGGAGAGCAGTCTCGTTCCAGCTAAGGAGCCGGCGAGAATGGGTGCAAATCTCACAGCAGAACAACCAGCAGTCGAACAAGATCCTGAAAACTCGATCTTTCAGCGCCGTATCCAGGAGAGACTTGCAAGGATCGAGAAGAAANAGAAGAAACCCAGCTTGCAAAGAAGTTCTTCAGATGTGACTGAGCAGCGTCCTGTTGTGGAAAAGACTACCAGTAACACTGGCCTGAGGAAGACCACTTCTGCTGTTATGTCTCGACTTGACTCACCTGAGAATCCCTTGTTAGATGACTTTCAATTCGCAGACGTTGGTCCCTTGGACTTCGATGACCCTATCATCGACGACTCTATTCCCCAGCCGCCTACACGACCAAGCAGAGAGCCAATCGAGAAACCCACAAGGCCGACTGGTAGAGGGACTAGTACGATCTCTGCAAGGTCATTCAAGCCTCTGACTGTCAAAGCGGCCCCTGTGGTAAGCACAAGAACGGCTCAAATTTTGGCCACGGAACAGAAANAGAATGAAGATACTGGACCGTGGAGTAAAGAGGCATTCGATCTGATGGATTGGAGGCCACCGAACATGCAAACTAAGACCAACGAGACAACATGAATTTGAAGGAGCACAGAGAACTGTATTGATACTATGACTATGATGCGGTGTAAATGGGGGTATGGTGTGCTTGTTTCTTTTTTTTTCTTCTTTCCTCAACACAGCGATGGCGTTCTGGATGGGGCTACGGGCTTTCCACAAAGCTCAAAGGTTACGTTTCCCTGGTATGAGCATTGTGCAGACCTTCATATATACCCTGGCAGATATGATATCCAACGAGACAGGGTTAGAGACCCGATATTTTCGACAGCAGTGCAGATTTGACTACGTGCTTAGCGATTATGTGACGTGTGAACATGAGCGTACCCGGCAGACCATGCAATGCAGCCTCACTCAATTTTGCATCCAACTCTTCTCCACCATTCAAGGTATAAGAGTTACTATAAGTTATCGCAATGCACAGTTGCGGTCTGAATATGAGGCTCGCCATCCAGATAGCCTTTGATGGGATGTTCTCTGTGGAGGCAACACTCTTTACGCCAGTATCGTGCAGTTCTGTAGCTACACTGTGATTGTCTTCAGCACATGGGGAGGAGAGATAGATGTGAAAGCTGGGATTGAACATTAAAGGTATTGACATGAAAAGACAAAAGCAGAAGTACTAACTACATACTCAAACACGTCTTCGCCGCCTCAATTCCCACATGATGCTTTCGTTTTCGTCTTCGAGCTCATCCTCCACATCCTTAACAAGTTCCTGACTTTGGTCATGCTGCTCGGACTGCTTGAGATTACTCTGCTTCTCCTCATCGACAGCAAAGTTGAGCTGACCGCCGAGGAACTTNTCAAAGTAGATCACGGCATCCAGAACTTCCTTGCCTGTAGGGACAATGTGGTCCTTGGGGAGCAGGAAGCCATAAGTGCCGCGATCACGGAGCTTGAGCTGGTAGGTGTACTTGACCTTGATGTCATGATAGAACCAATCAAGGAAACTGCCACCACCTATCTCGAAGCGAGGGAAGACTTGACGGTCGCCACTAGCGGCATAACCGACGTTGCCCTCGCAAGCAGGAGCAGATTGATAGTAGCGTCCACCCGAAAGACGCATAACCTTTGACAAACCGGCGGCAACCTCCTGCAAGTTTTCCAGGTTGGGAGGACTTTCGTCACAGGTGTAGGAGTAAGGATACAAGATCTGCTGCGAATATGAGTGCAGGTCGAGCAGACCCACGAAATCAACATTGTTGTGCTCAGTCTCGTTGCGTACCCAGCCAGCCAGACTCTTCGACTCGAAAGCATCGAAGGGCGCGGAACCCGAAAAAGACTCACTACAAGGATTCGATCTCGTGTTTGCTGCACCATCCCACTGGTAAGAGAAGCTTCGGTCAAGGTCGAGGCCACGGCAGAAACGGAGAGAAGTCTGTTGACGGTTTTTGCGCCACAGACGATCGGTTTCCCAGGTGTAGGCGTATCCATCTGGATTCAGAGTGGGAACAAGAACCCAGTCAAACTCCTCGAGAAGGTTGGTAATGACATGGCTCTTTCCGTAGCCTGTGATAAGCGAGTATGCAATGTAGTTGACAGTGCTGGTTGAGATCCATTCTCTAGCGTGCAGACCAGCGGTGATCAAGATGGTCTTGCGACGTTCAGGAGAGTCATTGTTGGTTGGGTGGACACCGATACGCAGGGCAGGGATGTGGCGGCCTTCATAGGTTGTGCCGACGTTGATTACACGCACGTGAGTTGTAAACAGGGAGGCCATCAGTCGCATCCAAGGTTGAATGACAGATAGCGGTTGGTAGTCGTTGAAGAAGATATTGTCAGACGAGGATGGACCAAGCTTAGGACCGAAGGCATCATGGTGGGTAGGAGCATTGGACTGAAGCATACGGGTGGAGCGAGAAGAAGGATATGTATCTGAGATGGCATTCTGCAGGGTGAACTCGTCCATGAGCAAATTATGTGCTTGGTGTAACGAAGAAGGCAGCAAGCCGAGCAGCGAGGGAATCAAGTCTTTCTGCATTCTGATGTCGACCCAATCATCCGTAAACTCCCACAGGTCGAGGAAGAGAGTGTCGGCAGCATCGGCGAGGCTCGAGGCATCCTGAGCATTGGTGATGTTGAATCGGAGAACGACGTCGTCACTGTGCTTGTGGTGCGGTAGAGGATTGACAGCGGGCTCAGATTGAGAGTTTACCGGCGGATTCCAGATGTTGCGAACTATGGCGTCGGTGACGGAGCGCCATACCGGGCGATGCGATGGTTGCTGGGATAGTGGTGGTGGTTGCGGATGAGAGGGGACTGCAGAGACGGTGGGTACCAGCAGAGTCGAGGCGGCAGCGAGCAGCAACGACGAGGCGCGCATTGTTGGATGCTACTGTGCAGGCAGTCACTTTCCAGTTCAAATCAAGATCGAGAAAGTCGCAGCTTGGGCAGAGGGCCCGGAGGCTGTGGAGAGGCAGGGACTGGGGCAGCTTGGCAACATCCTTCGCGCCTTCCCTGCTCACCCATGTGGGACCTTTTGCAAGCCTTGTGCGTGGTGCTGACGAGGCAGTCGCGCTTTCTAATTAGTCCAACTTCTGTATTACTCTGTCAATCTAAATTTCTGATCCCAATCTCTGACACCACTCGAGCCCGCGTGTCCGAAGTCCGCTATCCTTTCCACAGAGAGACACGCTCGTTTACCCCCGGATCCGCCATCTCCAATTTCCTGCACCCCTTCGATAACCACCAGAGTCCATATTTCCACCTCCGACGCATGAACGCCTAGTACTTTCCTTGACACGGTGCTGCTACGCTGCCAAATGACAATCCACTCATTGCGAGTTGCCGGCCATGCCTCTTATGTCGCGTCGCCGCAGTACTCTGGACAACCTCTTGAGCGACATCCGTAGTAATACTCAGGAAGATGCTGCTCCTCCAAATTCTGGCTACGCAACCCCTGTGCCTAACACGCACCGTCCCATGAGTGCTCAAGATCCCATTTCTCCCATGGACGCTCTCAGTCTTGGTCCGCCGTCTCCGCCCATTCAGACTGCTACTCCGGCTACTGCTCGCTTTAGCATGCTACGATGGAGGCACTTTTCCGACGGTCAGCTATCAGCCAAAGCAAAGCTGCATGCTGAGGCGGATAAGACTCCTCCGGTGCCTCAAGTCCCGCTTGAACATCAATCGCAAAGTACGTATGCCATTCTCTGTCAGCTCCGTCGACTCCAGCTCATAGCTATCTTCTAGCCCNCTGTGCCGAACCCTCAGATCATCACCACTGCCCCCACTATGGATGAACATAATCATCCTGTCCATCGCCCTAGGAAATCAAAGAGCCCCTTCAAACGCCAGATCTCAAAGCTTAGCCCATCGAAACAACGTCGGGAGTCTACCGAAGATCGCCGTCCATGGCGCAGAGGCCGCTCTGTAGAGCTCGATCGTCTCGTTCCTGACGCTGTTGCTCCTCCACCTTATGGCGACGAATCCAGCTCGGCCCTAGCACTGCCTGTCACTCGTTTGTCCGATTCGTCGGGTGAGCAGCGAAGTTCTGGAGAACACGTCACTTATGCTACCACTACCACTACTCATACCATCTCTACTACCACGACGCTTTTCAGACTGCCCCGCCGTAACAAGAAGAATAAATCGCTATTTCCCTTACCTGATAAACAGTCATCTCCACCCAACCCACCTCNNCAGAATCAGAAACCCCTCATGGCACACCTCGACCCTCGACCANGCGCTATCTCGACAAACTCTAATACTGAGTCGCCAGAAAGACAGAGACGACCTCCTCCTCTTAGTGCCTTACAGCGACGCCATACTGAGGCCTCGCGCCCACGCTTGTTCCTTTCGTCTTCTCCAGCGCCTGCTCAACTTGCAAAGTCATCTATCGCTGCTCTTGCCACTCACGGGGGCGCTCCATTATTCAGGAATGATTCGAGCATCTCTGCTCATTCGAATGGCTCTTCACCAGTACTGCATCCACCACGTCGATTCGGGTTACGAGATAGGTCTTCGACCGTGAGTTCGTTCGGACGCCGTTCTGAGGACCATACTCCTCCTACGCCGCCTGTACCGTCTAGCGCTCGCAACTCGACCTCAACTTCGGGACGGACTAGCTTGGGCGGTCTTCTTGGATTCAACCGATTCCGACACAATTCCGACCTTCGGGATCGCAATTCCTCGCCTGGATTCCATTCGAAGTCTAATTCGTTATCTCCTAGCGTGCATGAGCCTTTAGTGATACCTGATCGCGAAGACGGCGATACCCCAGGCAAATATCTAGAACGACTGCAAGCTGCCGTTTCACGAAGTCTTATCGCTGGTATACTATCGAAATCATCTGACCCATTCGCTCAGGCTGTTTTGCGAAGTTATTGTCGCAAGTTCTCTTTCTTCGGAGAGCCGATTGATATGTCGCTACGCAAATTCCTCTTGGAAGCAGAGTTGCCAAAGGAAACACAGCAAGTGGATCGAGTTATACAAGCTTTTGCCGATCGATACCACGAGTGCAACCCTGGTATCTTCATGTCCCCTGATCAAGCTTATATTATCGCTTTCTCGTTGATGATGCTGCATACTGATGCTTTCAACAAGAACAACAAGCGGAAGATGCAGAAACACGACTACATCAAGAACACTAGTGGTCAGAACGTATCAGACGATGTTCTGGGTTGCTTCTACGACAATATTTGTTACACTCCTTTCATTCATTTCGAGGAGGAAGTTGACATCAATGGAGAGCGCCTGCTGACATTCAAGCCAAAGAAGAGCAAGCTTCGTGGAAGCATACCCGACCCTGGAAGGAAAAACAGTGGACCAATCGACCCCTACGCTTTGATTTGTGACGGCAAACTGGATTCTCTGCGCCCTTCAATCAAGGATTCGATAACCATGGAAGATCCTTACAGTTACCTGGGCACAGCAAACTTCTTTGACATGAAGAAATTGCAAAAAGCTTTTGTGAATACTGCAGTCCTCCAGATCATCTCTGCTCGGTCTCGACCCGCTGCTTTTGAGTCACAAGCTACTCGCGACAACCCTAGTGAGTCAGCCATAGGATTGGTAGATCTCAAGGTCACTAAAGTCGGCGTCTTGTGGCGAAAGTCGACAAAGCGCAAGAAGACACGATCTCCATGGCAAGAGTGGGGTGCTATTTTAACTGGATCTCAACTTTACCTCTTTAAAAATGTTACCTGGGTGAAGGGATTGATGTCACAGCATCACTCACATGTCAAGCAAGAAGGTACTAACGCGCCTGTAATCTTCAAGCCTCCAATTCAAGATTTCAAGCCGGATGCTCTTATCAAAACCGATGATGCTGTTGCTTTGCTCGATCGCAGCTATTTGAAGCACAAGGACGCTTTCACTTTGGTCCGTCATGGCGGTCAAGAGGAGGTCTTGCTCGCCGAAAACGAATCCGAGGTCAATGATTGGATAGCTCTGATCAACTACGCCGCAGCCTTCAGATCTGCTGGTGTCAGAATTCGTGGTTTCATTGGCGGAACGGACACCGATGTCACAATCAACAGTCGTGGCAGACTCAATTCTACAGCATCTGTCGATTCCTCAATCAATGCATCTATTGGCTCTGCCTTGGGTTCGACAATAACACATGACGGGCAGGTTACTATGGAGAAGAGGGATCTTACTCCTCAGCTTGTTAGGCAGGTATTGGCTGCCCGACGACAAATCATGTTACAAACCATAGTAGAGTCGGAAAGAGAGGTGACCGATGCAATCAGGAACCTTGAGAACATGATGCGAAATGCTCGCCATCTGCTCATCTTGGCACCTATCCAACCGAAGACAAGAGAAGACGTGTGTCACGCCACCGCACGCATGGATGCCAACTTGAAATGGATCAGACGTGACATCTGGCGGACCAAGTGTCACAGGGACATCCTTTCACTGGACTTACAAGAAGATGGAGACATTTTCGATAGCAAGCTACCAGCTCCGATACCGACTATTCGCAAGACTAGTGGGCTTCAGAAGACGGTCTCAAGAACCAGCTCTGCCATCAACCAACAAACAAGCCCGCAGTCGCCAGCCCACTCGCCTCGACTGAACAGCAGCGATGGTCAGGGCGAAGGTGTATTCAACAGAGATGTTTTCAAGACACCGCCTGAACATGCACTAAGATATGGGGATGCTTGGCAGCTTCCTACAAGTCCATTGGACCTTAACAGCTCGCAACAGGCCCGTCGTCCTTCCACTATCAGCAATGCGCAGTCTGTTATCCGAAAGCACAGTGGCGCTGCTATGTCAGTCACTTCTAGCGTACCAGATGGAGACAGACACCTCTCATCTGCTGCCTCTGACGCCGCTTCCCGTAATGGCCGCTTGACACCTACTCGAAGTTTCGAGAGTCGCGATCACGAAGCAGTGCTTCTCGCGAGAGACCCTCTGGTCCCAACGGCGACTGTTGCTACTCATTCATCCGCTGGACACCCTGAATCGTCAAACGCGACTCCAGAAAGCTCTTCCAAGGTCAAGAGCGGAAGAAGAAGTTTGCACCGTACGCTGCGGGATGGGCGTCGCGAAGCATCTACTTCACAGCGTCACCGAAGAGGCAAGGAGAGTGCTAGCACTATTCGCTCAGATGGGAGTCGTGCCGATGAATCAGTCGAGGCCACTCCAGGACTGGAGAGAAAGGCGGCTAGATTCATGGTTCATGGCAAGCAAGCTTCAGTCGTCACTTTTGGCGCAGATTGGGCAGAAGAGAAGATGCGCCGTGAACTCGCCCGAAAGCATTCCGCATCGACGCAGGATAGTACCGAGGAGAGTGGACCAGACGCCAACTTACAATATCACGTTGCTCAAGCCTTGTCCTCATCCAGTGATCATAGTGCCATCAGCCCGAATGCTGCAGGAAAGTTGAACCTTCGCATTCCTACAGTGCATGAATGGCAAGCCAATCCTGCTGATAAAACGCCGACTGCTGCGGTTGACAAACAGCTGGTGGATCCCTTCAATCTTCAACATGAGCTGACAACCCCGACAATCATGTCAAGCGATGATGATCTGGACTCTTACTTTGACGCGAACAGTCCACGATCAGATAGGGTGCGCGTTGCTTCAAACAAATTTTCCGATTCCCAGGGGCTAGAAAACGCGCTGGACATTCACGCAAGACCTGAAGACCTCCCACTCCNNCCTTCATCGCCTCCTTCAGTTGTCGAGCAAGGCAATCCAGACGACAACACTATCCCGTTCTCTCGATACATCGAGAACGAAAAATTGCGTGAGCTCATCTCACCACCAAAATAAAGCACTGTACGCAGGCGTCGATGCTTGTTGATCGTGGCAGCCTTATTGCTTACATCAACCAAAAGTCATTCGTGCTGCCTTCCTCTTGCTCCGATTCAATTCCGTTGTTTTTGTTACTGCTATTCAATCGCACGATTCCCCCCTCCTTAGGTTTTGCTTTTATTTCTAGTCCTTTTGATTCTCTTGCAAGCAATTTGGCTGAGCGTGTTACTGCGCAGAGGCTGCGAGTCATCCAGTCCGGCCCTGTTCATTGGAGTTCTGGGCTTCAGAAACTCTCAACATTATCGAGCTTCGAGACTTCTGGTCTTGCTCGTGTTTTAAACTACATACTCTATGACTTCAAAAATTTATGAACGTTCCTGTGCACGCTTGTATAAGTATTTGGTGCAGATGGCATAGATATATGATCTGCTAGACACAAGCCCATAGGCAGACAATTTAGTAGGAGTCCTTATCTAGAGTCTCGAAGGTTCGACGGCAATGTTTACCTGCCTACTTAGTATAGCTCGACGGCCCAACATTCCGGACTGGATATCGAACCTGCGCTTTTCATCTGTCGAGTGCGACCCGTCTTGTCCAACAAGGTGGTTGGTGTTATTTTATTTGAAGAGAGGAACACGATGATACATGTCAGAAGGATGATTCATCGGGAGTAGGTGTTGCACCGTATTCGTAAACGTGTCTCGCGTGTTTCGTTTGTCGTAGAGCGACCAGCTTAGTTTCTAACGTACTCGCAAACGTACTCGTATTCGTATCTCGTAGGTCGTACAATGCATATTCCCAACAGAGTCGGGGTGAAGACCCCCACGACCGCGAGCCGGATACGACTTTATGCATAGCATTGTGAGCTAGGCCAGCTTTAGTGCTAGAGTTATGCAGATTTGGTCTACTCTTCGGTGACGAATTGGGCAAGGTCGGTGATTGTTATACACCGATGTGCTGGCACGGAAGATGAAGGTTCCGAAGGATCCCTTAGGCAGAAGGATGTGGTACTTTCACCCCTATCTAAGCACGCCTTCTACATGTTAATTGCACAGATGGAGGCATGCCAGACTGTGGGTCACAATACCAAATACTCCAGACGGAAGAACATACAGCAGATTCATAGGGCGAGGCGATCTGGAGATTGAGATATTAGGACCGTGAGCCCTTGCTCCTTTTCTGAAACCGATTTCATTTTTTGATCTTACGACAAATATATCTGGTGCTGCCCACCGATTTCCATCTTCGACACATTTCTCTTGTAACGACTCTTTGCTTGATTTCACTGGATACAATCTCTTGAGTCAGGATCCCATCTCCCCACAGCCTGAATCGCCTCTCCCCCGCTGTCAACAAGCCCCGGGCGGCTATAGCCCTTCTGCCAAAACAATATGGATCCCGTGCGTGAGGGACATCATGGCTCAGACTCATCGAGCAGCGGCGACACCGTCAACGTCGAAGTCACCAACTACGAAAAGACACAATTAGGCCAGNGCACCGCTGCCGCTTGCACCTGCGCCTGCGCCGGCAGTACCGGTCAACGAGAAAAGACGAAGAAGAACAAGAAGAACAAGAGCCAGGATGAGAAGAAAGACAATGATAGCGACGATGAGGGCGAAGATCCCTTTGCTCATTTACCCGAGCATGAGAAGGCTGTCTTGAAGCGTCAACTGGACATCCCGGCCGTCAAAGTCACCTACTTCATGTTGTTCCGTTATGCAACATTCAACGACAAACTCCTTATGGTGCTCAGTGCACTTTCTTCCATAATAGGAGGCGCCTTGCTGCCTCTCATGACAATCGTGTTCGGTGGTTTAACAACAACTTTCAAAGACTTCTTTCTGAAAACTATCACCAAAGAACATTTCAATCACGAGTTGTCGAGATTCAGTCTTTACTTCTTATACCTGGCTATCGGAGAGTTCGTCTTCGTGTATATTGCCACAGCTGGATTCCTCTACACTGGTGAGCATGTCTCTGGAAAGATTCGCGAGAACTTCTTGAAGGCTATTCTTCGTCAAAATATTGCGTTCTTTGATCAACTTGGTGCTGGAGAAATCACAACCAGAATCACGTCGGACACCAATCTTGTCCAGGACGGTATTTCCGAAAAGGTTGGATTGACACTTACTGCTCTTGCCACCTTTGTCACTGCCTTCGTTGTGTCGTTTATCAAAGACTGGAAACTCACATTGATCCTAATGTCGACTGTTTTTGCAATCGTATTCACCATGGGCGGTATGAGCGGATTTATCGTCAAGTTCAACAAAGCATCTTTGTCCTCTTATGCTGAGGGCGGCACCGTAGCTGAAGAAGTCATCAGCTCCGTCAGGAATGCTAAAGCCTTCAACACAGAAGCAAAATTGACTAGAGCGTATGATGCGCATCTTGCTGTAGCTGAGAAATGGGGTTTCAAGATGAAGGCCGTCACTGGATCCATGATTGGCTTCTTGATGTGTTACGTCTATCTGAACTACTCTCTGGCTTTCTGGATGGGTTCTCGTTATCTCGTTAGCGGACGAATCCAGGTTGGTGATGTTCTTACTATCATCCTCAGTATCATGATTGGAGCTTTCGCTCTCGGTAACGTGGCTCCCAACATCCAGGCCTTCACGACCAGTGTTGCCGCCGCAGCTAAGATTNTTGCTACCATTGACCGTGTCTCTCCCCTGGATCCCGCCTCCGAATCAGGAGAGACTTTGAAGAGCGTTGAAGGTCATATTGAGCTGCGCAACATCCGTCATATCTACCCCTCTCGTCCAGAAGTCACTGTCATGGAAGACGTTAGTCTCGTTGTTCCCGCTGGCAAGACAACTGCTTTGGTCGGTGAGTCAGGCTCGGGCAAGAGTACCATTGTCGGTCTTGTTGAGCGCTTCTACGACCCTGTGGGTGGTTGTGTTTACCTTGACGGCCAGGATATCTCCAGTCTCAACTTGCGCTGGCTCCGTCGCCAGATTTCTCTTGTCAGCCAGGAACCTACTCTTNTTGCTACTACCATCTTTGGAAACATTCGTCATGGACTTATCGGAACTGCCTACGAGGCCGAGTCAGAAGAAAAAGTTCGTGAGCTTGTCGAGAACGCTGCAAGATTCGCTAATGCGCACGATTTTATTACTGGACTGCCTGAAGGCTATGCTACCAACGTTGGTGAGCGCGGTTTCTTGCTTTCTGGAGGACAGAAGCAAAGAATTGCTATTGCCAGAGCCATGGTCAGCGATCCCAAAATCCTTCTTCTCGATGAGGCTACATCGGCTCTAGATACCAAGTCTGAGGGCGTTGTGCAAGCAGCTCTGGACAAAGCTGCTCTGGGCAGAACAACCATTGTCATTGCTCACAGACTTTCTACTATCAAGGGTGCCGATAACATTGTTGTAATGTCTCGCGGCCGCATTGTAGAACAGGGCACTCATGACGTTCTGCTCGAAAAGAGGGNNGGAGCTTATTATAAGTTGGTTGAAGCTCAACGAATTGCTGCCGAGAACGAAAACAAGGACCAGGAAGAAATCGCCATCTTCGATGAGAAAGACCAGAACCTCACCCGCGTGGCCACCAAGACCGAACAGCCAGAGAATGATCTCAAGCTTGCTCGTACTCAAACTGGCAAGTCGCAATCTAGTATCATTCTTGCGAACAAGAAGGCTGAGGTCGAAAACCGCTATTCTTTATGGACTTTAATCAAGGTCGTCGCGGCTTTCAACAGGCAAGAGTGGCTCTACATGACCATTGGAATCATCTGCTCTGTCATTACCGGAGGCGGAAACCCGACTCAAGCCGTATTTTTCGCTAAAGCTGTCACAGCTCTGTCTGGAGATAACGAAACACCTGAACAGAAGGCCACGATCCGATCCCAGGCAAACTTTTGGTCCTGGATGTACTTCATGCTCGCACTGGTTCAGTTTTCTGCTTTCATCATCCAGGGTTATGTCTTTGCTGTCTGCTCAGAGAGACTTGTCCACCGAGCTCGTGAACAGGCTTTCAAGACCATGCTTCGCCAGGACATCGCCTTTTTCGACAAGGAAGAAAACACTGCTGGTGCTTTGACTTCATTCCTGTCTACAGAGACCACTCATCTTGCAGGTATGTCTGGTGTGACTCTGGGCACGCTTCTCTCCGTCATAGTCACCCTTGTCGCTGCATTCTCCGTGTCTCTGGCCATTCAGTGGAAACTCAGTCTTGTCTGTATCTCGACAGTCCCTATCTTGCTTGCATGCGGTTTCCTGCGCTTCTGGATGCTTGCTCGTTTCCAGGCCAAAGCCAAGAAGGCCTACGAGAAATCTGCCAGTTACGCTTGCGAAGCCACTTCTGCTATTCGCACAGTCGCATCCCNNCTGACAAGAGAAGACGACGTACACCTTCACTATCATGATCAGCTCGTGGACCAAGAACGCAAGTCTCTAGTCTCCATCCTGCGTTCTTCTAGTCTCTACGCTGCCTCTCAATCACTCATCTTCTGTTGTACAGCTCTCGGATTCTGGTATGGAGGGTAAGTTTAAGCTAGATTGCTCGAATGTTCTGCCTTTTGCTAACTATCACCAGAANCCCTGATTGCTGCTGAGGAAATAGACCAGTTCCAATTCTTCCTGTGTTTTAGTGCTGTAATTTTCGGAGCTCAGTCTGCCGGCACCATCTTCTCCTTCGCCCCCGATATGGGCAAAGCCAAACAAGCTGCTGCTGAGCTCAAGGCACTGTTTGACCGCAAGCCTGAGATCGATAGCTGGAGTGAGGACGGTGAAAAGCTTTCGAACGTCGAGGGTCACATCGAGTTCAGAGATGTTCACTTCCGTTATCCTACTCGCCCCGAGCAACCCGTCCTTAGAGGTCTCAACTTGACTGTCAAGCCTGGTCAGTACGTCGCCCTCGTTGGTGCCAGTGGTTGCGGTAAATCAACTACTATTCAGCTCTTGGAGCGTTTCTACGATCCTCTAGCTGGTGGTGTTTACATTGACGGAAAGGAGGTTTCAAGCCTCAACGTCAACAACTACCGCTCCTGGATCGCCCTCGTTTCGCAAGAACCCACTCTCTACCAGGGTACTGTGAAAGAAAACATTCTTCTTGGTGCCGATAGAGAGAACGTCCCACAGGAAGCCATTGAACAAGCTTGTAAGGATGCCAACATTTACGACTTCATCATGTCCTTGCCGGATGCTTTCGACACCATCGTAGGTAGCAAGGGAAGCATGTTGTCAGGTGGTCAGAAGCAGCGTATTGCTATTGCAAGAGCACTTNTGCGCGACCCCAAGATTCTACTTCTGGACGAGGCCACTTCTGCCCTTGACAGTGAGTCCGAGAAGGTCGTTCAGGCTGCACTGGACAAAGCTGCTAAGGGTCGTACTACTATTGCCGTCGCACATCGTCTGTCCACGATTCAACGTGCGGATATGATCTATGTGTTCGATGCTGGAAAGGTCGTGGAGTCTGGCACACATACGGAGCTTATTCACTTGAGAGGACGCTACTGGGAGTTGGTTTCCTTGCAGTCACTGGGCAAGGCACAGTAGTTTGGAGAGCTTCTGGATGTTTATATTCTGCTCTGGCTTCGATGCCTGCGTACATAGAATGCGTGGGTTCACATTTTGTTCATGGATACCCACTTTGTTAGATTTGTCGGTATAGAAGAGTGCACGCATATGATTTACAATTTTTAATTCACAGCCATAGATATCATAATCTGAAGAACCGAGAGGTTGACGCCTCTGAGCTGAATGATATACATGGTATACGGTACGAGTCAGATCTATTGAACCGTTGCGACGCCTCGATGGTCTGTTCGGTCGAGCCGCCTCCTCTTCAGCTAAAACATTACGAAACCGTTAAAATGTGCTAGACGCCTTCCGCTTGCAGTTTACGCAAAAGGCTTTCAGTGTTTGTGGGAGGGCTTTTCCAATATCATCGGTGGTTGCTGTCTGGGAAGGGTTTGACGACAAATGTCAATGTCGCAGTCGGTAACGCTAGCCGGCCGTAACCTTGACACTCCTTGTGGATAGGCAAGCGCAACCGAACATGACCTCTGTTTCCATTTCTGTTTCTCCTTGCTTCCTTTCTAGGAAAGCAAGCGTGCATGCTTCTTCACCGATTCATCTGTACCAAGGTTGAAAGTACACTCAACACCGTGAACAATGCCGGACTCGACATCTCGGACTGATCGTATGCGTTCATCATATTCCTCCCCGAGATACAGTCTTCCAGACCTGCTCTGGCATACGTTTACCGGGAAGGATGAGACCCACCAATGTCTACAAGAAAGCTGATCAACGGCCAGCGTGTGAAAGCTGTAGGTCACAGTAGCCGATGGATTGACCAGAGCCGCGACATATTGAAGTTCAGACAGAACTCCACTTCCGAACCTGGTCTCCGCTTAGCTGCTGTTTGTCAGATATATTGTCGTCTGAAGGGCATCTTTATGACTTTCCAGTATTCAAGATACAGAACCGTTGCCTTCGCATAGGAACGTCTTCTACAGCCAGTGCGGAGTTGCCTCCGCGCTATCTTCTTTATTGCTCTCCAGACGTGTTCACAGGCTATCCTTCACTGGCCTCCTCGAGTGCTTTATGCACCATGAGCCTCAGACGTAAGCAGTATTGCCTAGCAGTATAATGATGCCTCGGATATCTTCAACTGGTTTTGTCATGCCGCGGCCCCTGTCGGATGCAGGGGTGGACTCCGGTCTCAGATGCAGCCCTAAAACCAACGTCTTCAACGATCTAGGCCAGATGCAACCGTCCATCACGATTACTTATACATGTAAAACCACGCTGAACTCAAAACGACAACTGACGATAGGGTATGCTATGATCTCTTTCTAGATCTACGTGGAATTTGCTTATATGAAACCACACACGCGACTCAGCTCACTGTCGAGTTTTTGCCTCCTCTACCTCGCCAATTTGAGTACTGGATATTACATTTTATCATAACGATGGCAGCATTGCTCCGAAGACATTTGTTCGCTATCTTCGAAGATGACCAGCCTGGACCTCGAGCATATCATCACAGTTCTGTACCGGGAAGAGCAATCTACAGCGCCTTGTCATGTCTACCACTAGTCCTAACCTGCTATCTATTCTGTAAGTATACACTAGGAAACAGTTTCCAACACACATCTAACACCGCTTACCAGNGGCGTCGAGTCAAAGAAGTCCGCTGGCGGACAATCCGACACATCTCTTGGATACGTTTTCTTGTCTACGCCAGTTACATCGTCTCCATCGCTTTCTTCATAACCTCTATATCCATCTCTGGTGTCGGCATCCAAACAGGTGGCTTTTGCCGGACGGCGATCTACTTCTGCATCGGCTTCCTCTTTATCGGTAGACTCACAACCCAGATGTTCCTCATTGAACGAGCACACATTGCAAATCTGGACTACCTTCGCAGACGCGATGATCCTATCTGGATTCTATCCACAGCTTGTGTGGGTGTCTTTGCTTCCTTCCTGCTCGTCTGGGCTTTCTTGAACCCGGTCGCATATATCGCCAATAACGATGGCAGATGCCGTAAAGGCATTCCTCCTGCAGTCGTCGCACCGCTCGAAATCTACGAGGTCGTGACTTATGTCGTCCTCACCGGAGTCTTCATTGTCATGCTTCGACGCACCAGACGTACAGAACTGTTCCCACCAGTCCCTGAGCGCTTCGTCACCTTTAGCAAGAGGTTGAATCGATTGAGCCATGTTGCCAGACCTAGCAGTATCGTCAAAGGTGCTGAGGTACGCGAGGAAGAGGTCGATTCTACTGCAAGTGGTATCGTCCTACCTGCTTCCACAAAACCCTGCAAGCTTCGTGGTTTGGCATACAAGTCGTTGATAGGCACTATTCTGATCCTCGGCTGGGGTGTCATCAACTCCACAATCTTCTACGTCACTGGAGGAAGAGAACACGTCTGGCTTTGTTTTACTCAGTGCAACATGGACAGTAAGTCTTATTCTCACACTTCGCTCCTACCCAAGTATCATTGACTAACTTTCGCAATAGTCTTCCTCTCAGTCTGTGTGCTTCACTGGTTGACAGCAAATCCCAAAGAGCTCGAACGCAGTATGCGAGGTACAAGGCCGTCTTTGACTGAACTGCCTGGTTTTCTTCGAGGTGACTCGATAGCAGAGCCAGAGCCTGCTAAGCTTTCACCTTCGTTTTCTTCTTCGATGGTTTGAGGACATTATGCATATTTTACAGCGTTGGAATGAGATAAATGACCTATTAGATAGACCATAGAGTTCTGCAGGCAGAAATCAAGTCGATATATCATCATACTCATGTCTTCTCTTCTTGTAGCGACCTACTAACGACTGATTATGAAATGAACGATATCATGTTGAATACCATTGCTGTCTAGTGAGAGTGTCAGACTGAGAACCTCTCTCTGATCGCACCAAGGTTATGGGTACGACTATACGTTTTGTTTTTCCTTGTTGATACGGTAGCAAACAGGAGACAGGGTTTCCAAACAAGACAAATCAATAGATCATAGAACTACCGTCTATCTAGAACGAAAGATCAAAAAGCACGTCCACCATCTAGACCAACGCTTAGTGAACATATCTAATCGTAAAGGACTGAGTCTCAGCACTGTCATAATCGTCGGGATTCGTCGCGTCTCCAAAAATCCTCAAGGCACGGACAAGAATAGAGTAAGTTCCTGCAGGAACTCTTCTACCGTCGTCAAGGACACCGTAGAAAGCGGTACTCCAGGCATTAGCTCTGGGCTGGTAGACAGAAGGCGTACCAGCAATAGCACCAAGGGTCTTGACGCCGAGGATAGTAGTGGTGTTGGTGTAAGTGCCATATGTGGAGTTTGAGGGGAGGAGGTCGGCACGGATTAGGGATGACGGCATGACGAGACCAATTCTCAAGTTGGGGATCAGAAGGCCAGTCGAGTTGTCCGTGGTACCGTTGATAGTCGTGTTGGCAATCGAGATGGTGAAGACGGTACCAGCATCCAGAGGAACGAAGGTGTTGTCAGAAGTACTTGTAATATAAGGATATCCAGTACTGGGGTCAAGGACAGTAGCGTCCTTCAGCGAAGAGGCAACGCCGGCGTAAGGAAGGTTGAGAGAGTCGCCGTTGGTGCCGTTGATTGTGATAAAGCCTGAGTATACAGGAATTCGAGCGGTTGTGAGGTCCTCAGGGAGCGACAGAGTGACAATAACAACCTCCGACTTGCCAGCAGCAACGCTGACGCTACCAGAGCTGAAATGCACACTCGCACCAGAGGTGACGAGGTCAGGAGGGAAAGTTTGAGGCTGAGTGCTGCCATCATCGGGAAGAGTGTAGGCGGTGGCAGCATTAACGTAGTCAAGATTGTAAGTAATGTCGCTACTACCGCGGTTGGTAATGGTGAAGTTCGCCTCCTGGACAAAGTGTGCTGTGTCGTTGAAAGCAAGATTTGCTACATCAATCACAGTCGACGTGTGAACGGCAGCAAAAGCGTCGACCTCACCACCTCCCTGCTGGACTACCGGAGCAAGGTAATCATAGGTGGTCTTGCCATCGTTGAAAGTGACAGGATGACCAGTGGTACCAAGGATAGTACGAATAGTGTGAGGATCAAGGTCAGGGCGAGCCTCCTTCATGAGGGCAACGACACCGGCGACAAAAGGAGTGGCCATTGAAGTACCGGACAAGACTCCGTAACCACCCTGCTCAAGAGGCAGAGTGGACAAAATGTTGCCGCCAGGAGCAGAGATCTCTGGCTTGACGTAAGCCTCGGCAGTTGGGTACCACATCGAGAATGTAGACATGTGGCCGCCAGTAACGTTATTGGCAGGGCTGGAGAAGACTGTCAATTTGCCGTCGATATTGACCTGGATAGCGGAACCTGCAGCAAGACTGGCCACCCAAGAAGCACCTTGTTCAGCCGAGACCATGGCTGCACCAAGAACATCAGGGTCAGTGACACTAGGGGAGGTAAGGCCAGGTGCGTTGTTGTAGAACAGAATATACTGTGCCCCAAAGGCAACTACGTTTGCAGCTTTGGTGTCGAAAGTGCATGTGCCACGGCGGATGAGGACAAGCTTTCCGGCAAGATCAGGGGTGTCGGCAGGAAGGGGCTCGCAAGCATCGTCAACAATCGTGCTGTCCTTGCTGACGGCCCACAGCGGCAGGCTGATATTAGGCATACCAATGGCAGACGCCAGATAGCCGAATTGACCATTCGTCGAGTTGTCGACAGTATAGGTGCCATAGGTAGTGAACACAGGAGACTCGATGTTGTCGATAGATCCAACAGCGATGACGCCGATGCCGTCTGCGGCCGATGAGCCGTAGAACAGACCTTCAGAACCATCGTTGCCAGCAGCGAGAGTGCAAGGAGTGCCAGCTGCAACAATGCGAGATACTACAACAGTCCATGGCTCCTCTATTCAATATCAGTATGTTGCGTTCTAAGCATCATAAGATGGCTTACCGGTCCAGCCGTTAGGGCCACCAATACTGGCAGTGATGATATCCGCTCCATCCTCGTAAGCACGGGTAAAAGCATCGATCAAAACGTCGTCACCGGCACTTCCAGAGCATCCAAACACTCTGTATGCACCCAGGATTGCATCGGGCGCAACTCCAGTGAAGTTGTAGGGGTTGGGATCAGCTCCCACAATACCAGCAACGTGGGTGCCGTGCTCGTTGCAAGCACTGTACGGATCAGGATCGGGCACAGGAGTGTTAGTACCGTCATAATCATCACCAACGAGATCATAACCCTTCAAAAGTAAGCAAGTGTTCTCTAGTCTCAATCGANNATTACGTACGTAGGCAACCTTGCAGCCCGGACCGAAGCAGCCGCCGAGAGCAGGGTGAAGATAATCAATGCCAGTGTCAATGATAGCGACGAAAGTTCCATTTCCAGTCAAACCTTCAGCATGTAGTCTGTCGACGTGACCCATGAGATGGGTAGAGAAGGTATCAGGAGAAGTTGTAGAGTTTGATCCATTGGTGTAAGGAGCGGTTGCGAAATCTTGAGTATCATATAGTGAGATAGGCCAGACCTTGCGTACGACAGGCATAGCTTGGATATCTGAAGCAACTACAGCCTGGTCAAGACCAGTATCAACATGGAATGAAAGTCCTTTGAACAGCGATGACGAGAGGTCCATGCGGTGAGTAGGGTTCATCTTTTTTCTNGAAAGTTCGGAATAGAAACTGGATTTGGTNCTGTTGAACATGTCAATGGTAAGTCTAGCAGCTGAATCATCGACACGCACATCCGAAGCAATGGACATGACATCCTCGAACTCGACAATATATCCACCAGGGACGACATTGCGCTTCTTCTGAGCACTGTTGTCTGTGACTGCTGAGAGAACAGAAGGGGCAAGAGCCAAAAGAGTGGCGATGTTAAACAACATCTTGTGCTGGAAGAGAGAAGCTGAACCTTGAAGCACCACACGATTCTACAGACTGAGCAACGCTTTTATATTGTATGCTGGCAATTCTTATCTTCACTTCTCCTTCCAAAAGCGGGAGTCCACCGAGAGGGGTTTGTGTTCAACAAGAGGTAACCATAAAAGCTGCATGTTGCAGGAGACGAGGGCCAAGAGACGCCAATCGTATCCTAGAAGCAGTATAACCCAGGACGATGGTGATATCTTGTGAGGGCATGGCCTCATGAGCCTTCGTTGGCACAACAGAGGGTCTGGAGGCGATGACCATACTTTCTCTGAGGTAATGATAGATTGATGTGCGTCTCCTAGCGTGGAAGGCTCGTTGAAAGCGACTTGGCACGCGGAAGTCCGAAAAATGGACAGCAAATGGCACGAGAGGAAGTCATGAAGACGGGTCCTAGGGCGGCAGCAAACATTTGATGGAGTGTAGATCAGGAGCGTACATGGTTGAGATTAAGACGCACAGTCTATCTCAAGTCTTGGCTGGGGACTGATAAGGAAGGAGACAAGCACTTACGCACGATAGCTTCTATTGAGAAAGACACTTGACAGGAGGTACAGCTGCAGCATGGGCAGTATGCTGCTGCAAGGTTTGGATTTACGTGAAGCAATGTGGTGGCGATAGAAGCATCGCTGTCGCCGACCGAGGAAGAGTGGACAGCGCGAGCTTGATGTCGAAGCGGGAAGCCCCGACCTTTAGATGCACGCTCTCTAGGCTCGTAGATCGGTGGGGCATGTGCCTGGCAAGGGGGAAGCATCTGGAGATTTGAGAGGCACATGGCGGTGATAGACGCACGCGCAGAGCTCATCAGACATACCACCTGATTCTTCGTGCGATGTGTCGCGGAGGCACGGGCACTCTTTGCTGCTCGCTGTTTTTATGGCTTGCCGTTGTCGGATTGACGTCTGGAGCTCGGGCCAGCTCCCCCACAGTCTGCATGCGATCGCGAGCGCGAGCGTCTGAGCGTCTTTCGAGCTGAGCTCTCTCGCAGCAACCAGTCATTGTCAACAGCAAGATCGTGTGCTCTCGATAGCGATATGAAGATTCAGCTCGGTCGGTGTGGGCGTCTATGCTGCATGACGAGGGTTTCTGACCAATTGCGCTGATCATCAAAATCCAGATAAGTGGTTGGATGCAAGAACAATCAATAGTGTCACGGGAGAACTACTCTCCATGTCACTTTCCTAAGCTTCCTAAACACACATCTGATTTTTTTGCAGGAAAATGTCAAGTCTTGACTCAATACCAGGAGCGTATTGGCCAAACGGCTGGTCGAAGGAGTTCCTGCTCCATGCTACCTCCGCTGACATCCTTTCTCTTTCAGATGATGAAAAGAACCGCATGTTTGACAGCTTGCGTTCCGCTCTCGGCACAGATGGATTCATGGAGCTCATGACGGAAGCAAGTCGTAACCACAAAGCACGCGTCGCCCAAGAGGAAGCCGCACGAGTTGCTGCAGGCGGCGAAAAAATTCAGACAATAGATGAATTGCGCAAGACCGAGATGCCATTGTACATGAAAGCTCTGCAGCAGTATTATCCTGGAGACCAACCTTGGGGATTTGTCGTCCTCAAAACATGTTGCTATGATGACGATGAGCGGTGGAGCCAGTTCNAATCCAAGTGGGACGCTGTGATTGCTTCAAGTTTCGACAAGGAATCTCTCGTTGACGGCATATCTGATGTCAACCGTCGATTCAGGATCGATTGGATCGAAAATCCACAGCTGGAGAGTGCCAGTCTACAGCAGGTGACAGAACAACACTGCAGCTTTGTCGCCCCCAGCGAAGCAGTGCATGAAGCTCTTATGCCAAAGATGTGCTTGGTTGTGAATGAAGCATCGCTGCAGTCATTTTTCGACTCCAAAATCCCGACTCCGACTCCATGGACTTCTGAAACAATGATTCCTTATGTTCTCGCAGTTTCTCTGGCCACCCAAAACACAGTGTATGATGACGAAAATCCCGATCATGGCTCTCAACCATCCTTCAATGTTGCTGTGGGCAGTCTCAATACACTGTGGGGTGTGATTGCAAGCAACCTCCAGTCGTCAAGAGAGCTTAGTGCAGGCACGCGGAACAACCAGATCTGGATTGCAGACACCGGACCACGGTTCCAGATGGGTATCGCACAGGGAGCCATGGGCCGACGAGGACAAATGTGAAAACACATCTCCGAGACAGCTCAATTGAACGGGACGTGATGGTTACATAAGAAGACGACGGTTAGTATCCTTCATCATCGACGTCTTCGCTCATGAGGCCAACGCCAAAGACATCATCACTGGCACTCTTCAACACACTACTATGTTTTGTTGTCAGCATGCCGGACCTGACAGGCCTAATGTCTGGACGCTTCCACCATTCATCAATACGCCTAAATCATACTAAAGGACTTTTGCAGAGCACGATCCCCAAGGGACGGTGAGATCTCTCGGCGAGGTGCGAGCTCCTGGAGAGTATCAGATCGTCCAGAATCTCTGGTCATCGGACGTAACACCTGCTGGACAGGAAGCCTCATCCTCGATACATTGCTCAAACAACTGGTCAAGCCAAGCTAATCTGAACTCATCCGCTCCCGTCTATGGTCTCCCTTGGTCTTGGTGATACACGGAAGCATCGACATTACACGGAGGTCCGAAACGCTGGCAAGACTGGTACTCAGGAACGATTCTTACGTCGACAACATTGGAATGCTCAGCGACTGGCTTCACCAGACGGTCAATGCGCAGTTCTCGCTCGGTCCGTCTTGTACCCGTCCCAGATTGCCGTTTCATCAAGGGCGAGATGGCCGAGCGGTCTAAGGCGCCAGCTTAAGGTTCAATCCAATACGCTGGTCCGAAAGGGCGTGGGTTCAAATCCCACTCTCGTCAATATCCTTTTGCTCGTTACCGGTATAAATGCTTGTAAATGAAGAAGATGGTGGAACGGGTCGAGAAGCAAATTTTGTCAACTTGGACATGGAACCCTTTTTTTTTTTTTGTGAAGCCTGGCTGCATAAAATGGCTTGGCATGCTTGTGCATGTGCATAACGTGCTTTCCTCCAACACCTCATTTACCTATCCCGCTGCCCATGCCTTTTACACTTCTGAGAGCTCTCCGTTTCAGCCTGTATAGACCTCATAGATACATACAATGATGCAGACGCGAAACAAACCTGCAAAGGCACGTTGCTGGGAGCACCCTGGCATTCTGTGGCTTATTACCTATGTAAGTCGCTAATTACTTACTCCTCCGTCAATGAACTTCTGCAAGAAGTTTGCTTTTTGGTCGATTGAGTATATCACACATCTATCAGATTGAGTTGTTGACAGCAGTTCCTGCTACTGAATATATCAACGGTCTATGTTAATATACATTCGATGCTCAATTCCAGTAACATCGTTCAGTGAACAACCCAAGAACAAGTTCAAAGTTGAATCTCTCACAACCAACTGAAAATGTCCAATGAGTTTCTATTAAGGCAATTTGTTACTAAGATCGAGCACTTATTCTTCTAAGCAGCTCACCGAGCCTGTCGCGACAGGAGACACAGAGCTCGGGGGCCGCTCCCCGAGATATATCGTCGATCTTTGCCTAATGGGGTATTCCAAGTACCGAAGACACCACCTACCACCAAATAGTTGCCTAAGCATTCTCTACATCATGAAACAAGTGCCAACATAAATACCAGCAAGCTCTTCGTGTATTTTTTCAGATCTCATCATGTATACCCTACGGCAGAAATCAATACTACAGAAGCACTTGTTTTGTTTAAGAACAAGAGCTACTTTATTCATACCTGCATCGACAATATCAAGTACCACACACGGTTCCTCAGCCAATTCTATCTTCAGCAGCAGGTTCTATTCCTCACAGATTAACACTACTCCAAGGAAGGACCCAAACATGCACAAAATCCTCATCGTCGGTGGTGGCCCTGCAGGCTCCAGCACCGCCCTATGGCTCGCAAAAGCAGGCTTCAAAGTAACAGTCGCAGAACGCTCTTCCGTACCTCCTTACGGACAAGGTATCGACATCACAGACGAAGCAGTTGGCATCGTCAAAAAANTGGGCTTGTGGGAGAAAATCAAAGATAACACTACTGGAGAGAGTGGGTTTGCTTTGTTGGACGATACGGGAAAAGAGATTGGGATGGTTGGGACTAATCCTGCTGATAACGGCAAGACTACTTTATCGCCTACTAATGAGATTGAGGTATGTAGGATGAGATGATCAGCGGGAGTTGTTGCTAATTTTGTGGATAGANTTATGCGTGGTACTTTGACGAATATCTTTATGGATGCTGCAAAAGAACAGGGAGTGGAGTATAGATACGGGTAAGTCTTTCTTTTCTGTCGATTAGCGATGACATTCCGCTGACGATTTGCTAGATGCACCGTGAGCGGAATCCAACAAGGAACATCTTCCGTAACAGCCACCCTCTCAGACACCAACCAACCGGAAGAGTACACTGCGATCGTAGGCGCAGACGGTGTTGCCTCTCGAGTACGAAACCTGACCTTCGGCCAAGCCGCAACTGAGAACTGCTTCAAGCAAACTGATACATATGTGGCATACTTCTCTATGCAAGTCGACCCCAAACACCGGACCACCTACTCAGTCTTGCAGCATGCCAATAAAGGACGCGTAATGTGGATACGGCCGATTGACAGGACTGGAAGTCGAGCTTCTGGTTATGTGATCGTCACGACAACGGACGCTGCAGATCTGCAACAGGCAGCCAGACATGGAACCGTAGAGCAACAGAAAACTCTCTTACAGAGCCGCTTTGAAGGAGTTACTGGCATCAGAGACAGGATACTACAGGGCATGCAGGAGTCGCAGGACTTCTACTTCACAAGAGTTGTGCAAGTAAGACTCGATACTTGGCACAGTGGTCGTTGCGCTCTGGTCGGTGATGCGGCATACTGTCCTTCTCCTCTGACAGGACAAGGCACCACTATGGCTCTCATTGGAGGCTACATTCTCGCAGGAGAACTAGCAGCCAACCCAGAAGACCCAGCTGCAGCCTTTGCTAACTACAGAAAGAAGTTTGAAGGCTTTGTGCAAGAAAACGGCACCATACCGTTGGGTGGAAGAGCGCCTAAGCTCGCCGCTCCTCAGTCAGACATCGGAATCTGGTTGATCAGGTCTATCTTCAGGTCAACCTCGCGACCGGGATTCCAAAGGATCTTCGAGTCTCTTCCTTCGCTGCCTAGCTTTGGTGGTGAAGCTAAGAAGTTCCAATTGCCTGCTTACGACTTCCGGATGCGTGAAGAAAAGCGAGCTGTCAAAGCGTTGACTTCAATGAGACATTAGATGTACTTCTAGTTTATGTAATGTTTTAAGAAACCGCTTCTCATTCATGCAGATAGATGCCTCTAGAAAATCAAACAGCGTATCTGAACTCTTTGTTTTCGCGATCTGTAAGGTCGAGGAATTCGTGATTCTCTTCCACCACGTACTTGTTGCCTAGCTCCTCTCGTTCTCGATCCCTTCGTCTGTTCTCTCTAACGGCGAACCATCGGATCAGATACACATCGATCGTGATCAGAAAGTAGAGAATGCAGATACTGATTTTGGCAGGGNNGTATCTTGGTGCGTCTGTGGTCTGGAATGTCTGCGGTGAGATGATGTTACCCACGGTGTAGGCAATGACACCGATACTCGTCACGGTAACTTTCTTGGTTGTGCCAGCGACGTTGGTGCTTTGGAGTGCAAGAATTGTGGTCCAACCTATTGGTATGCCTCCAGTAAGGTAAAAGCCTATCAGAGCAGGCACTTTGTTGGTGGTAGCCATCAAAATCGCACCAACGATCGAAGGTATGTGGCCTGCAATGCAACACCAGAGTCTTTGTTTTGTTCTGCCGGCCAAATAGGTGAGACCAATCAGGACAACAACCTCATAGGCACCGAGTGGAGTCACAAGTAACAAGCTCTCTTTCCTGGTGTACCCCATACCAGTGACAAGAATGTTACCAAAACTGGTGGCCGTTGAGTTAGGTATATTGGCAGCGAAAATCCAGAAAGCGTAGAGCCAAGTGTTGACATCTTGGATAGCCTCCCAGAATTGGTTCCACTTGAAAATGCGAGACCCAATGCCTTGCTCGTTCTCACGCATACGTTCTGCATGTAGAGCCTTTTCCTCAGAGGAAAGGAACTTTGCCGTGAGGGGAGAATCAGGCAAGACGAACCAGAAGATGATACCGACGACTGAAGTCAGTAGGCCAAGAAACAGAAAAATGAACTGCCAGCCTCGAAGAGCGGCATGCTCGTCACCTCCAACGTGGTTGGCAACACCATAAGAGAAGAAGCCGCCTAGCATTTGAGCGAACCCACACATCGAAAACCAGATACCAACACGAAATGCTTGCTCCTCCTTTCGATAGTATTGACTCGTAGAGACAACCCAAGCAGGCACGATGGCAGCTTCGGCAACTCCGAGTAGGGCACGGCAGACCATGAGACTGACGAAGGACTTGCAAGCAGCGAGACTCGCCAGGACCGCACCCCAGATGGTCACGTTGACAGCGACATATTTGGCAAGGGGGAAAAGTTGGAGCAGGCGGATAGTAGGGAACTCGAAGGCGAGTTGACCGAAGAAAAANATGCTTGCAATCCAGTTGAATTGATTACCGTGCAGTTTGGCTGAAGTCTTGATGCCGGTAACGCTAGCATATGAGATGGCTATCTTGTCGAGATATTGCAAGACTNNGAACAAGGGCACGTGAGCCAATTGGTCGCAGCGATTAGCAAGAAAGACCTTACAATAGACTATACAGATCATTGGCATGATATGGAGGTCGATCCGCCGGAGAAGCCGTCTGTTCTGTTCTGAATCCAGGGGTCTGGTTTGCGAAGCGTTATTCTGTAGCAGTTCGAGGGCGGTATCGACATCGTTACGATGAACATGTCGGCCAACAGAGGTTTGGATCTGCTCCGGATGTTTCTCCAGATCAGTTGCCATAATTGCAGGTGAGTGAAATGACTGCGAATTTAGTATCTATGTACATGATTCAGACCTATTTATACATGTGTATACTCAACCATCTCTAGAGACATGTCCATAATGAGTCAAATCGAGCTGGTAAGCATGTCGTGCTCGCATCCTACAGCACGCAATCGGTCAAATTTGGCTACAGAAGCGCATTATAGCAGAAATGGCAATGTCACAGGTATTTTGGTATACTGAGTGGAACAGTCCGACAAACGCACGAAGGTGGGTGACAATGGCAAGAAACGATGGTCGATGTTAGGAGGTCAGGGTGAGTAGAAGGAAGGTCGAGCTTTCCCCACAAGGCGGACCGAAAGCGCGTCACCAGCCGGACAAGAAAGATGGAAAGGAGATAACATTTAGTATTAGCATCAATTGCGACGACTTCGCAGGCGCGACAGATTGAAATAGGAAGATATGGATAGCCGAGTATAACACGACAGTACAGTGTAATGACAACAATGACGACGTCTAAGCGCATCGCCTTCGGCCTTTCCAATATCTTGATACCCATCGCGGTACTCGTCTTCGCAACAGGCTTTTTTCCCTACAAGCCATTCCTGTCTGGCCTGGCCACATTTGAAGAGGTCGAGAACGAAGAGCTGGGACTTGGCTTGCTCAAGGGCAATGATCGGCCACAGAGGATATTCGACAAGGTCATATTCATGACTGTGGACGCGTTGAGGAGGTGGGTACGTTCTTCCAAGGACACATAAGAAAGACTAGGTTGCTGATGGCCAGCCAGTGATTTTGTCTATGGCCATGGATCAGGCTTCACCTTTACCCAAGGGTTGATACGCTCTGGCGCTGCACTGCCCTTCACAGCACATGCCACTCCACCTACCATCACCATGCCTAGAGTCAAGGCTTTGACCACTGGCTCTGTACCTTCGTTCCTCGACGTCATTCTCAACTTTGCCGAAAGCGATACCACTTCTTCTCTGGCTACTCAAGATACATGGCTGGCTCAGGCCAAAGCCAACCTCAACAATGGGAACCTCATCTTCTATGGTGACGACACCTGGCTTAAGCTATTCCCCGACTTCTTCGCCCGACATGATGGTACCAGCTCCTTCTTCGTCTCTGACTTCACAGAGGTCGACAACAACGTTACGCGCCATGTTCCAAGAGAGTTGGACCAACCTGACTGGGATGTCATGATTATGCATTATCTCGGTCTGGATCACATCGGCCACAAAGCCGGGCCTCTGAGCCCTAACATGCTGCCAAAGCAAAAAGAGATGGACAGTATTGTTAAGAAGATATACGAGGCCATGGAACTCAACAGTCACCTCGATGATACCTTGCTCGTTGTGGCTGGCGATCACGGCATGAACTCTGGTGGAAACCACGGAGGTTCTGCTCCTGGTGAGACCGAGCCCGCTCTCGTCTTCATCTCTCCAAAGTTTGTGGATCTGGACAAGCCAGCATATTCCGCCNCCACCCACCCCAAAGAAGAAACCGAGTTTGAGTTCTACCGCAAGGTTGCTCAGAACGATCTAGTGCCTACGCTTTCCGCCCTTTTGGGCATTCCGATTCCTCGCAATAACCTTGGAATCATCCTTCCCGAGATGCTTGGCTTCTGGAAGACGAAGGTCAGCAGTGCGGGTCTGAATGTCGCAGCCGAGTTGCTCTACAGGAACGCCCTGCAGATGCTGAGCATTATCAAGGCCAAATTCGGGGACTCCGATGCCTGGGAGTACGATCCGAAAGTTAATGGCCACATCTGTGCGGATTGCGAAGGTTCGGAAGACGAAGAAAGGCTAATGTGTCGCTGGTACTTGGTTAGAGATGCCGTGTCCAACGACATGCAATCGGGAGAGCTTGTGAACTCGGCCACTCATCTGAATGAGGTCAGTACAGCGAATCCATATCTTACGACTTCTATTGACGCCTTCTCAGNNTTCCTTATTGATGCCCAGGATGTTCTAAGTACAACAGCGAGCAGCTATAACGTCGATCGCTTGATCATCGGTGCTGCAATGTCAGCCGTCTCTCTCGTCCTGGCTGTTTTCTCGAAGCAGAATGTGTGGCCACCAACGTCTGCTGGTATGGGCTTCACCTTGATCACCACTCTCTACGGCGTTATGATGTTTGCCACTAGCTATGTCGAAGAAGAGCAACACTTCTGGTACTGGGCCACAGCAGCTTGGATGGCCTATCTATATGCCGCANAAGTATGTACGACCATTTTGACTAGTAAAACGTCAGCTAACATGCCCTTTCTCAGAACCAAAGTTACTGGGCTTCAAACATCGGTGATATCCTCCGCTTTTGTCCTTGTCGCGCTTCACCGTCTATCGACGCGTTGGAATCAGACTGGTCAGAAACACGCTGGCGATCCTGATGTAGCTCACACATTCTTCCCTGAACACCACATTATCCTGTGGATGCTCATTATCACGGCTTACATTCACTTAGCCTTCCGCATCGGGCGACGAACTTTTGCTGACATCCTGGCTCCCGAGTTCGCAACCATTTCTGCCATCTCCCTGGTCTTGCCTTCGTTTGTGTTCAAGCTCAACTTTACTCAGGCCGATGCGCCAGAACTGGTTGGCGGCCTTGCTGAGTCCGTTAGAGAGTGGACTTCCGAGCTGGATCTCGTGACTCAAGCCAGGACCGCTTTCGTAGGGTTGTCTATTGCCACTCTAGTTGTTATCGTTATGGTCGTCCTGGGATACGGACGCGATGATGAAGCAGCAAAGAGGGGTGCCAGCGGGTTCACAGACTCTCGTCTTACATCGCGCCTCCACGATCTTCTGACACTGTTTCTCATTACTCAAACACGCGCTCAGAACATCCCACTCTTCATGTTCTTTGACTTGCAGGCTCAAATCATCTTCCATCTGCTCTCGCGACCAACCGTACCCACCGCGCCCAATTCTCACACGTATACAAAACCTCTGCCGGTACTCTCCACAACTGTTACCATCCTTCTCATGGCACATACGTCATTCTTCGCTCTCGGCAACTCCAACGCAATCTCCAGTATTGATCTCAGTAATGCATACAACGGTGTCAGCGGCTACAATGTCGTTGCCGTCGGTGTGCTCTTATTCGCATCGAATTGGGCAGGTCCCATATACTGGAGTACCTGCGCAGCTGTGCTCTTTACTCTGCCTTCCATCGAGCAAGAAGAAGCAGCTCTTGATCGTCTCGAGCAAGTAGCTGAAAGACAGCGAACTTTGGGTAACAAGAAGTGGATTCACGAGGAGAGGGAGCTGTTGCGTCAACAAGCTGTGGACGTTCCTGCATCTGCAACCAAGCAAGACAAGAAGGATCACGACATCTGGCATGAACATATCAGCACAATGTCGATCTTCATTTCTGCAAGCTTGCTAGCTGTCATGGTAGCTTGTACTATGCTGAGAACGCATCTGTTTATCTGGACAGTGTTCAGCCCTAAGTACCTGTATGCTATGGCTTGGGCTGTTGCGTGGCATCTGATTGTCAACATAGGGATTGGAGGAATTCTGTGGAGTGTTAGATAAAAGTGTAGATCTAGATCGTGCAAGAAAAGGGGTGAAGCAAGTGGACGTTGTGTGTATCAAGTCATACGAACATAATGACAGATGCCTTCTCTCCTGTTCTCGGCTCTTTGTACCTTCGTGCATCGTATCATGTGTGCCCTTGGTCCAATCACGCTGACAGTCCTGCTTCTTGCCTTCGACACGAAAACAAGTGGGTGTTTGTGACCATGAATTTCGGAACAAGTTCGACAACTTTCCCCTCTCATAATGCAGAACGATCTGGGAGCAAGGTCACGGATGCGGGATCTAAGAGCGCCGAAAACATGTGAGGGAAGAAACGTGAGTGTTATATTTTCGAGAAGCTAAAGAACGTGGGAAAAGTGTTTTGTGTTTTTTTTTCTCGACTTTGCAAGGAACTTTTGGGAGATTGAAAGAAGCCTGATCGAATACAGCCGCCGGTTTCGAAGCTGGAACTTGTTGTTGTTGATAGTCCAGTGCATAATACGTTGTGATATAATAAGCTTTGGACGATTAGCATTGTTTGGTCAATACAGTATGTTATGGTGAAGCTCACATCTCAGAAGTGTCCTGTAAGGGGTTTTGATCCGCAGTCGGTAGCACTGGAGGCTAGCCGATGCATCACTGTATGATGCAGGAGCGGGTTCTCGTCTCCTTGACCGTCACAGTCGACTCCGACTTTTCCACCTTGAGATTCTCGACTGATTCTTCCGAGCTCATTGAGCTTCTGCTGGACCCTTGAAGAGCTTTGCGAGCCTTGACCTTTTCGAGATGCTCGCATAGCGGCTCGTGTCGATACGTAACATTGACGCGCAGTTCGAGGTCGGTAATGTCATCTCGCGCGAGTAGGCCGAAGAAGGCGCGATCGTTTGAATGTTTGGAAAGTCGTCGTCTCTTGCCACCGTCAAGGATGGTGTAGCTCATCGACATGTTGACAGAGTAATCGTCTTTNTCAGCACGATCAATGGAGCCGTACAAAAANGTGATCAGTCTCCAAACCTCGGCCTCTACATGTCGCCATTTTGTGTTCGGAGATAATGTCAAGGCAGTCGTGTTTTGGTAAAGCTCGGTCGCGTAATGTCTCGATCCATACTCGTTCTCCTTGATGGTGTCGTACAAGGTGATGATAACATCGTACGATTTTTTCTTGCGATCCCGGGTCAGCATGATTGAATGTTGCGTAAACGGAAAGGATAGTTTCTACAACGATGGTGGGAAACCATCGACTTTTTGTACCAGATCACGCTACACTCCATCAACTGAACCCTCTCAAGTGTACACGCACAAGGTTCGTTGTGGGCATCAGATGTGCCTCATGCATAGTGTTTCCGATGATTCATGTGGGGCTTAAATCAAGCTTCGAGGTGTATCCGTATACTGAATTCAGAGTTCTGCGGAGTTTCAATCTCATGAGGATTATCAGCTCTAGCAGGCAAGGACCGCCATCTGTTCACCAACTTGCGACAACTCCTGTCGCAACATCGGTCTGCTGCCATGTGGGAGAGGAGGGTCAATTCCAGAGTCCCGAAACTTCCAAGGTCGCCGCACAGGACACCGATACATTCTGTTGCTTAGATTGAGTGTCAAAGTTGCCTGTCTCTCGAGAACATGTCGGTGGTGAGAAGTATATTCGAAGAATATCTGCTGATTGAGAGACTTTGTAGCATGTTTGTGCTCGTGCGAGTCTGTGGGTTCTGGTGGCGTACAGTACGAAGATGTCAATCCTGAGCGTGCTAAGAGTTTTTTACGCAATGACATACAGCCAGAATAAATGCAGCTGTAGTTATTCAAGCATTTTGGATGATCGTTGTAACATGATGCAGAGTATGAAGTTGCACATCGAAAGCAAAGTCGTCGTATCTCGTATATAGAAAGCGGCCGGCACGTTGGCGGCAAGATTTGCCGATCCGTCGGCCGTCAACGACAGGGCGTGGCATCTTTATCTCTTTCGAATTGGGCGACTTTGTACTTTTATTTACCTATCATTGGAGAAGGCAAGAGGTATTCTAGGGTTTGGACGAAAACGATGGTAAGTCGAACCTTCTCCTTTCTTCAACTTTCGAACGCAATTACGTTTCATTGAAATATGCAATTGCATCACGACAGTGGTATTAGGATAAAGTCGTCATCAAGAGTGCTTATGCCAATTCATGAATCCTGATTTATACAATGCGATCCTTAGAAAGTTGTCAATTCATGCTAACTATTGCTATAGGCTGCTTCCACAAGAACGTATCTGGCGTTCCAGCACAACGCAAAGTTGTACTCTCTTGCCACAGCGGTCCGATCAATACGCTCAGCGACTTCGCTAGAAGAGGCCAACCAATCCTTGTTCAAACAGATCACTGACGACGACCATGTGGTCATCACCGAACAAACAATCTTCCACCNNCCTCAAGGTGGTGGCCAGCCATCCGACGTCGGCATCATGAAGACATCAAACAGCATCTTTAATGTTAGTGCTGTACGCATGGATGCCGTCTCCAACGGACAAGTTCTGCACTTTGGACGTTTCGAGCCTGGAAACAGCGCGTTCGCCGAAGGAGAAGCTGTTACTCAGGAAATTGATACCGAGAAGCGCCTACTCTACTCCAGGTTACACACAGCAGGACACGTACTTGGAGCTGCAACCAGAAAACTGCTTGAGAAAGAGATCGAAGGTTTCGATGAGCTCAAGGCATCCCACTTCCCTGACGCTGCATCTTGCGAGTTTCAAGGGTCAATCGAGGGCAAGTGGAAAGATGCAATCCAGAAGAAGGTCGATGAGTACCTCGACGGAGACTTGCCGGTCGAGATTGAGTGGTGGAGCGAGGAGGACTTCAAGAAGAATGGTCTCGAAAGACTAATCACCGACAACCCCAATGTCGCAGCGGGAGAGAAATTCAGAGTTGTCAAGATTGTCGGAGCAGATACCTACCCTTGCGGTGGCACTCATGTTGACAGCACCTCAGCTTGTGGCAAGACAACAGTCAGGGNNAAGATCAGCAGGAGCAAAGGAACAAGCAGGGTTTCATATGCTGTTGCATAGATGGACCTGGCATATATATAGAGATACAACATTGGAAGAGCAAAGCTTCATGAAAGGCTTGCCATTGGGTCAACATCCTGCTGTTTTCTTCTGCAGCGGTTCTGTATACTATCATCGACTACATTGTATATTATGTCTCCAGCAGAAGCAGCCATGAGCGGGGTCGCTTTCTGTAAAAAGACTTAGACTGATCAACTCAACAGAGCCACCGACACTTCTTCACTCCATCGTCGCTGGGAAGCCAGACCTTGCACGGTATTCGAGGCCGCGGCGACAGCTTGCCTGCCCGGTGTCGGTGCGAGGCGCCCCGTGATGCGTGAAACTTTAGCCGTAACGGCGAAGATTCGGGTGACGTAGCAGGTTACCACCTTCCCCTTTGAACCTGTAAGCGATATAGTGAAGGACGACCAGATAACAAATCCTCTTCAGAAGTTACTGCTCACTCAGCGTCAGCAAATGCTTTCGAATCTTTAGCATAGTTGCCATATCAGCAAGTCGATTGCGCAATTGGTACTGAGCCCTATTTACAATAGCATCTGCGTTGGAAACAAAGGACGGATTGGTAAGCGGTCGTGCACGCCCCGGCCATTCGGCAACGAACTTGCCTCAGCGTCCTCACCCGTTTTCTCTCAACTTCTATAGCCTGCTTAATAAAGCAGTGCTTGACTAGAGTATTTAGGCATATAAGTAGGTGTCGAACGAATATTCCTCTCACTCAGTCCCCTCGTATACAATTCAATTGCAGCATTTTCAGCGAGCGTCATATTTTCCATCTGCAATTACTTCATTCAACTCAATCACAATGGCCGGCAAGCTCTTCCAACCTCTTCAAATCGGCAAGGCCAAGTTGTCGAACCGCCTGGCTATGGCTCCTTTGACCCGTTTCCGCGCCGACGATGATCACGTTCAACTTCCCTTCGTCAAGGAGTACTACTCTCAGCGTGCTTGCGTTCCTGGAACTTTCTTGATCACTGAAGCCACTCCCATCTCCGCTCGCGCTGGTGGCTACAACAACGTTCCTGGAATCTACACCGACGCTCAGATCAAGGCTTGGAAGGAGATCGTTGATGCTGTCCACGCCAAGGGTGGTATCATTTACATGCAGCTGTGGGCCCTCGGCCGTGCTGCTGACCCTAGCGTTCTCAAGAAGGATGGCTACGACTTCTGCTCTTCCTCTGACCTTCCCATGAGCGACAACTCGCCCAAGCCCCGCCCTCTTACCGAGGAGGAGATTCAGATCTTCATCAAGGACTACGCCAACGCCGCAAAGAACGCCGTTGAGGGTGCAGGGTTCGACGGAGTTGAGATTCACGGCGCAAACGGCTACCTGATCGACCAGTTCACCCAGGATGTCTGCAACAAGCGTACCGACAAGTGGGGTGGCAGCATCGAGAACCGCACTCGCTTCGCTCTCGAGGTCACTAAGGCTGTTGTTGATGCCATTGGTGCCGACAAGACTGGTATCAGACTGTCTCCCTGGTCTCCTTTCCAGAGTATGAAGATGGACGACCCCGTCCCTACCTTCACCTACCTCATCAACGGCCTCAAGGAGCACAAGCTCGCATACGTCCACCTGGTCGAGTCCAGAATTCAGGGCAACGCTGATGTCGAGTCAACTGAGAAGATCAACTTCGCCATCGACGCCTGGGGCAACACCTCTCCCATCCTCATTGCTGGCGGCTTCCGCGCTGACAGTGCCCGTCGCGCTGCTGAGGAGGAATACGCCGACAAGGATGTTGTCATTGTCTTTGGCAGATACTTCATCTCCACTCCCGACCTTGTCTACCGCATCAAGGAGGACATTCCGCTTGCCGACTACGACCGTGACACCTTTTACGCTGCCAAGAGCGAGAAGGGTTACACCGACTACCCTTTCAGCGAGCAGTTCCAGAAGGAGTCCAAGCTCTAAATATACCCCTTTGAAAGTTTTTAATTTCCTGAGATACCACTAGATACTCTGATAGACTTGTGTCTAGATTAGCATAGATCTTCATGATTAGACGACAACACTTCTGCTACAATTGCTCCTTCTCCATCCGTGACAGACTCCAGCTCATTGATTCATGATCACAAGAGTTTTTCATCGAACGAGACTTATTACACCTGGTCTTCTTGTGTCAAGGTCCGTCTTGTACGTTCGTGACTGAACAACATCTAAGAAGACAAAATACCTCCCCGTGTGCTAAAGTATATAAGTTTCACCATACTCCGACTGTAGCCGAGAGCAGAATGTAGACTATGAAAGGCACAGTCGTTCTCAGAAACAGGGCGTTATCCACAGAGAGTCGAAACCCCATCGCTTCTCAGTGGATACTGTCTCGTTTCCTGTTGCTATCGTGCATTTCAACAGCCTCACGCGTTATAAACTTTTACACACGGGGAGGCAATGAACACAGAGTTGATTTCGTAATAGGTGAATACAGGGCAAGAAACCGATCGGCCATGCTCAGGTGGCCGCCAACATCATCGCCCTTGCTAATGCGAGTGCTCTTGATAACGAAACTGCATCTTCAGCTGAATTCGGAATTCCACCCCCAGAAAGCCTGGTCAATGGGTGCCAGGCCAGTATCCTGCCTATGACAAATCCCTACAAGATAGTCAGCACATCATTTTGTGAGGTATCGATTTCTTTGGTTTTCACTCCAAGAGATAGAACATACCAAAGCCAAATCGAATCCTTTGGCAATCTCGACCTCCCAGCTCGGAAAAATGGACCGGGATCCAGGCTTTTCCTTCGTGACTCTTGCAACGAGCTGTCCATCTACCAGGACATGATAGCTTGGATCCAAATGGCCTTTCGGCTGGCGTATTTTGAGCGTGATCGGTTTGCCGTCCCCCGCTAGGTTTTCGATATTCAAGTCGATACCTGATTTCCACGAATAGCTTTTCGAGGAGTCGGAGGATCCAACCGATTTGTAATCCGTGCCGTCGGGCAGTTGGACTGTCCACTTGCGTCCGGTCCCATGCATTGATGTGTTGTGGATTAGGCGAAAGAGGACAGCGTCGTTGGTGTCTCTAATGAACAGATTGGTCGCACGCCATCTAGATTTTGGGCGAAGGGTGAACAACGTGGTGACGGATTCGGTAGAAGTATCGGGGCCTGGGGTTACAACGCCTGCGTCCTAAGCACCGGCATCCACTTTGATGTCATTCAGCGTGAGAACCAATGTCGTCGATGAAGTTGCGATGCATGATGGCACAAGACCGATAGGTGACGAAAGAGGACTGAGAGTTGCAGAGGCCATAGTGTGTCAAGGCTTGGTGAGAGCAGAGAGCGAATAGGAATTGTATAGATAGCGAGACAAATGATATAGTGGCGGTTGGCAGGAGAAGATGGTCGTTGGCCTAGAAGTCGGCAGTCTGGCCATTTTCATCCACTCGGCTTTGAAGGCAAGCACGAAGGACATCGTCACACATCCTCCCCGTGTGCTAAAGACAGTCACAGTGTAGCTGCAGGCAGAGATGCACAATATTAACAGGAAACAAGACAATTCCACTGAGAAGCAGAAATGTGTCGGCTCTCTGTGGACACGCCTCTAATTCGAACACAATTGCGTCTGTTTAGAGTCTGCTTTTTGCTCTCAACTGTAGTCGGAGTACAGTAAAAATTACATCCTTTAGCACACGGGGAGGACAGAAAGCAATTATCTCACCGACTCGCTCGACGATGTCCTGACTCGAAGATGTTGATGATACATACTAATGCCTGCACTTGTCCCAGCCCAGTTCATGGGCCGCATTTTCCTGCTCGATAGGGTTACCGGCATGATACTACCTCTGTGTGCTTGCTGTATGGGATCTGGGTTTCGATCTGTTCCTTTCCTGTCACTCTGAACCACCCGACAAAGCACGTCGCCCAGAGATGCCGCGCGTCTTGGCGAGCAATCCTCCTTTGATCTGTTTGATGGCCAAAAGAATAAATCGAACGTGATCGATTTCTGCCCTGCTTGCTGCAGCCGTGAGGAGGCTTTCATCAACCCTTCTTGACCCTACGACTTGCTCTGTATTTCAACTTCGTGCTTGTTTTATGCTGTCTTGCAACATTTAGACTTCGTGGTGACGCGGCCATGAGTTCCACAACCCATCCTTCCGGCCGCTACTCATACCTTCCTTCTCAATACAATCCTAACAACCCTCCTCTTATTGATCGCGTTGTAAATAACTGGCACCGCCAGNAGGAGAAGCGCTCAGAACGATCGCATTACGATTTAGACTCGGACGGAGACGACGACGACCACGAACTCACCCACTGCTGCGATCTCGACTCAGACGCCTCGTTCATCAACCTCTGTCATGCTTTTTGCGCAAACCGCAAGGTCCGCCGCGCAATGTTTCTCGTCCTAGTCGCTTTTCTCGCTCTGTACTTCCTGTGCAACGGCATCCTTCTTCCGGCATGGCGCGAGCGACAGGCTATAGAAGAAGGTCTCGACAATCCGGAATCCTTTGGCCATCAGATGCCCGATCCGCTCAGTGACATTACACAATTACAACAAATTCCTACCGACTTTGTGCCCGGTGGTGCATCTGATCCGGATGGCAAGAGACGTCTGATCTTCATTGGCGACATACACGGCTGCAAGAATGAACTTCTTAAACTGCTGAAGGCTGTTGAGTTCAACAAGGACACGGACAAAATTATCGCGACTGGCGATGTCATTGCAAAGGGGCCTGACTCTCCTGGCGTAATAGACACGCTGATGTCCCTGGACGCTCTATCCGTGCGCGGTAATCATGAAGACCGTGTTCTGTTGGCTGCGAGCTCGCGTGACTCCACTGGTGCTTCTGTCGACGAAAATGACGAGTCTTCTAGCGACGTCTCGGCTGCATCCAGAGGTGCTGGGCTCAAAGGAGAGGCCCTGCTTGATTACCTCAAACCACGCCAGATCAAATGGCTCAAATCCCTCCCACTGATCATTCATATACCCGCACTCAATCCACCCAGACACTCTGCTCCATCGACTATTGTTCCGGATACTCTGAGCAAGAAGAAGCAAAAGAAGACCTTCCAGATCCTAGATGATATCAATGTCGTACACGCCGGCCTAGTGCCTTCCGTTCCTCTTCTTCGCCAAGACCCTTTCTCCGTCATGAACATGAGATCCATGTCCCCAACCAATCATGTGCCTAGCGAGAATCGGAAGAGAGGCATTCCTTGGGAACGTGTCTGGGGCTGGTACAACGACCGTATTGCACGCACTCATTCATCCTTCATCCCTTGGCTGTTCGGTTTCACCACCGAGTCTTCAGAGGCTAGGGACTGGTGGAAATCACGGAATGACATGCTCAACAGCAGAGACGATGATACAGAAGCTCAGCTATTGGCCAAACACTCCAAGCCATCTGTTGTCGTCTACGGCCACGACAGTCCTCGCGGCCTGAACCTAAAGAGATGGAGCAAGGGCCTTGACAGTGGCTGTGTCAACGGCGATCAACTCTCTGCCATGGTGCTGAATGCCTGGGGTCAAGCAGAGATTGTCGGCGTGGACTGCAAGCACCGCAGATAAGTTCTGCACAAATCTTTGCAACGAATGGAGTTCTTGGGGAAGCATACTTGAGCATTAATATACATAGATAGCATTGGGTTGGCGTTCTGAGCGATTTGCCTTATTTCTTGTACATGAGCATGACATAACTCCGTGCTTGATATATACACACACATATACATGTCACTTTTAGTCATTCTCAACCTGGTGTCCGTCAGAAGTCACGATGACAACCTTTTACAATCCAAGGAGAGCGCTTCTCTCGGTCATGGTCAAGCCCGTGACTTCAAATACTTTGACTTAAAGAACATTGCCGCTTCTTCGTGGTCTCGTTGCTTCGAAGATCCAATCGCACAAGAAAAGATGTCCAGTTCTGCATGGGGCTGTCCAGTCTAGATCGAGATAAATGTCTTCTTGTTTCCCAGTATACACTCCATAATCACCCAACATTCCAACCGAGCAAGAACACAATCGACATTCGAAGTTCCTTCTTCAACTTTACCCTACTGCTTCTTGAGAAACTGCCTCACCTCCTTAGCCAAGATCTCATGGATGTGAGAAGTCATATGTCCATCATTGAACCACGCATACTGATCCAAGGGTAAACACCCATACCTCTCTGGCTCAGTATTGATATACGGTTGATCGTAATTCTTGCAATAGCCCGTGACATTCTTGATCCCATACTTGTCAGGAGAATCCAAGACTCCATTCAGGAAACCATTGACATCAAAACCAAAAGCATTGGTTGTAGGGTTCTGTTTGCTAAAAGCTTGGATATGTGAGGTAAGAGTCTCATCCCACCAATTTATCATCGTGGTATTGGGTAGAGGGGTTGTTTTTAGGATATTGCCTGGAGTGCGATCGAGAGGAGGCAGGTTCATGAAGAGGAAGTTGCGATAGCCGATATTGTAAACACTCTGAACAGACTCAAATAGTGTTGTGATGAGTTTATCGTAGAAGGATGGAAAGTCCACTGCATAATTGGCACTGTCGTTTATATCGTTGATGCCGATCCAGAAAGCGACCAGAGTCTTTGAGGGATCGACGAACTTTGAGAGTGTTGGTTGAGCATAGGTTAGGAATTGTTGCACTTGCTCTTCCAACATGACTGTATAATTGTGATGGCGAGGGGTANNCTGTTGCTGGTCGTCAGTATTGAACGCTGGACAGAGCAAGAGCACGTACTACTTGGTAGAGATATCCGCACCTCCAAACGCAAAGTCCCAGAGCTGGGTTTTGCATGAGAGTGGTGAGTTGAGACCTGGCTTCAGACCACAGCCTGTGAGGTATTCAAGCCAATTCGGTCCTCCTTCAGCAGTTGCAGTCTACCTGAACACATCAGTATCCATTACTTCAAGTCTGCTTCAATGTATTCCTGACNNCTGATTCTGGACTATCTTATTGTTCAACAGCCCATCTTGCGAGAACGAAAAGTCAAAGTAGTCGCCGATGAAACTCGAATTCTGTCGACCAGCAGTACCTTGGACGTAAGTGTACGAATCCCCAAAAGCTATCCTGATCCAGATCAGTCATGAATCTTGTTTCTGGATTCCCAGGTCTTACATATATTTAGTGTCATGCCAATTGAATCGAACATTTCTCGGAACGGCAGTCACGCCTACCAAGAGTGCGAGATACCCAAGAACAAGACTTTGGCGGCCAGACATTTTTGCTCATGAGCACTGGAGGACCTGCGAGTACTCAACATCTTATACTTCTCACCCATGTGGTCATGATTCGGGTGATGCGTTCCTCTCGCTGCTGCCCTAGTGAGGGGTCGACAATTCTTTCGCCCATAACGGCAGATCTGAAGTACATGCTACATGGTGTTAGGTCTATCACGACCAACGATTGGTGGAAGAAGAAGTTAATCCGGGATATCATAGTCGTAGTGATCGACAGGGTTGCATGTTCTCCCCACAGTTGCCCCAGATGGTCAAGGAAGGTGCGAGAGCATTATTATGGATGTACAATACAGGACCTCATTGTCCATTGTCCACCAAGTCAGCATTGTCACATAGATGTGGTACACATTTGGTGATTTCAACTTTTTTGTGATCATTTTTGTCCTTTTATCTGTGTCTTCCTTCTTCCGGGTGGCCTTTTCTATACATCGCAAGAGAAGAAAAAACCGTGGTGCTAAACCCTCGATACCATATGCATTNNTCTCTGCCAAAGCGCCATGCAAAACTCNATTTATAGCCCCATACCCACGCCATGCCGAGATGGAAGAATGGTTGAAAAGAAAACGAAATGAAANTCGACATGAAGAGACAAAGAAAACGCTCGATGGTATCTTGTGGAAAACATGAAGATGTTCCTGTGCTCCGCCTTTTTTTGCTCCGCTGTCTTGCACAATCCATATGGTGCGCCCTTTTCGTTTATATTCATATTTTTTGTGGCCTTTCAAAACATGAAGTAAATCCAGATATGTGAAACAGTGCTCTTTTCGATCATGCAAATAGTCGGCTACCATCTGCCTCAAGCAAAACGTCAGAGTGAGAGTGGCAAGCAGAAACCTGGGCCAGGTATCCAATCATCCAGGTTTCCTGCGATCTAGCCACTGGATCATCCACCCTTTCGATCGGCTTCGTTGGCTGGCAAAGGCTCTCCNCCACCAGTCTTGGGAGCGTGTGAANNCCCTTGGAAGCTGTGTTGGATTTGCTCTTCTTGTGCCCCTTTCTTGCTGGAGCCTGTTGCCAAGAGTTGCTGGCGTTATTTGAAGGAGCTTGATGTTTGNCTACCGTCACTGCGGCTGGAGTTTCCATTCTGTGACTTTGAAGCCGCTTCTGCGTGCTTGCCATTCACTATCTGTACGTTCTGCGCGAGCTTGTGGTGAGGCCCATGTTTCGAGGGTTCGGCCGCCCGGCCAATTGCGGGCGATGGCGTGCGAATTTCGGCGACGGGCGAGAGAAGCGGTCCCGTAATCGCGTGGAGCGAAGCAGGTTGGGTAGAATCACCGAGGCTGGTCGAAGAGGCATGGTTTGTGTCTTGGACTCGTGAAACGGGTGCAGCATGATTCGAGATTCCTTGGGGGTCGGGGGCATTTTGCCTCCAGACAGGTGTTGGAACATTTTGGGCTACATGAGCTGGCAACGAGGGCTCAACTGTATGTCCGTTCGTGCGATTGACGAAATGTCTAGGAGCTGCCTCGCCTGCGTCATGCTGCTGACCATTGGTATGGAACATAGAGGCATCCAGGGACATTTGCTGAATCTGCTCAGTTGGGACCAGATCAGGAGTAGCATCGCTACTCTTCTGAGGCAATGGAGTTGAGGCTATTGTCATAGATGGCTGTCGTGGTCTTGCGCTTGCCATGTTGGATCCATTGACGATAACAGGTCCTTGATTATCATTGGGCCTGGGTTGCACCGGAATAGACTGAAGAGGCTGCGGGGAGAAGGGTTGAGAAGCAGCAATAGGATGAGCAGACGCCGAGCTTGAGTGCCGACGACCACCAGCGAACGGTGAAGGCGAACGAGATAGACGACGCATGCCGTCAGAAACAGGCATTACAAGCTCAGGAGATATGCGTCTGTCGGGTAGCGGAGCGATATCCCTCAGCTGAGGGACTTGTACCAAGTTGCCACTCTGGAATTGAGGAACAAGCTGGGGAGATTGCCCGACGTAGTAGCCGACATATTCCTTAGGCATGGCGGTCTCAGTAGGGAAGACGCCATTGGCTTGTCTTACTGAGCCATTTGGCTGCATCTGAGAGAATTGCTGCACTGACCGTGGCAACATGTACGAGGTAGCGATAGCCCCGGACACGTCATAACCTGGATGAGCGAGACCTTGTAGAGTCAACGGATTGGGGTAAGAACGTCCAGGCTGGGACTGTGAGCGAGCCGAAGCATTAGTCGTGCCTTCCGTGATGGATCCGCGGTGTACCCCTCTGCGCATAGTGGGTGTTGCATTCTGTAGCGAGGGAGAAGAAGGACCAACAATGGTGTCATCGGTGTTTCTTGACTGAGACAATGGCGAGGGCGGAGGATATCTTGCCGGATAATGGTAAAGGTAGCCAGGCAAAAGCGGAGGTGCTGTTGTAGGCGAGTTGTCGAAGGTCCTTGCACTTTGCGGGCTTGGAATGTTGTTGGCAAATTGTCGAGAACGAGGTGAGGTACCTAGATCGAGACCACGAGCTTGCGCCTGGGCTTGGACTTGTTGCAACTGGACCTGTGTTTGCTGTTGTGCTAGGAGCTGATTCCTCAAAGCTTCCTGCTGGGCCTGCAAAAAGCGATACTGTTTGTAGAGTTGATTATGCAGCTGGTCAGTTGATATCGCTGTGGATGAGAAGTAATCTGCAGGGTTAATCCCGACCGGCGGGCTCATAACGTATGGCATCCTTTGGTTGCCATAGGCTGTTCCACTTGAAGACCTACGACCGTTGGTCCGCTGATTGGACGTATTACGGTTATTTCTCGCGCCATTCCCGTTTGCTCGCCCTTGGTTGTTCCCATTATTTGGCCGTCCAGACTGCGAAGCACTTCGTGTGAGGATTGGTTTAGGCTTGGGTGGCGGTCTTTGGAAAATGTTCTTCTCGACAACAGGCCACTCGAACTGTGCGCAACATTCTTCAAGGCCAGAGCCGTCCTTGAGCAAATCAAATGCTCTTCGAATCTCCTTGTGTATGCCCGTGAAAGCGTAGACGTCGGCGGAATTTCCAAGGTTTCGTTGCGTGTTGAATGGTTCCTCGACGCACAGCCGGTTGTGCGATTCCTTCTCTAAGTGGTTACCTGTGTCCCATCCCTTCTCTTTACGTGGGAGCGGCTTCCCTTCCTTCACTGACACCACATGTTCTGCGTAGTCGAAGACATAGCCGTAATATCGGAAGAAGTGAAACATAAGCTGTCCCAAGCTTTCGTGGTTGTCTTTGCCATAACCACGCAGCTCTTCTAGATCATCGGCGAACGCTGAAGTCTGGCCATTGACTTGGGTGGAGCGAGAACTGGACATCTTCTGGAGAGACGGGAGGATGGGCGGGTCGCGGGTCTGCAAGAAATTGAGAATCATGCATATCCATGTGTAGGAACTAATAGTGCCTCCAAAGGCTGCGAGAAGACATTAGCGTACAGGCTTTTTCCAGCCAAAGCAGGGGCGCGCACCAGCATCGTTCAAGATTCTCCTTTTCGTCCAGTATTTTATTATCTTGGCAAGTGGCCGTACTCGCTCGTCGATCTGGACATATGTCTTAATCATGCGCGTGTTCTCGAGAGCCAGTGGGTTGTTGACGTTGAGATCGCACGCCAGTTGCAGTTCCGGATCCCACATTTTGACAATCGGAACCTTTGCGCCTGCTCTGCACACAACGTGGTCCATGCCATCTGCCAAAGGTAAGCTTGACCGTATAGGTGAAATGAATGCCTGGCGCTACATACGTCGATGGAGCACAGCAGCCAAGGTGTGCATGGACTCGAGCGCTTTCAAGGGTGTGGTTACACAAACATCAACNTGCGAACAACAATAAGCGCATGACGAGCAAAGCCGAGCATAATTATACGCACCGTCAGAGTCGTTTGAACTGAGCAGGTTGCCCGAGGATCCGAACACATTGACTCTTATCTCATTGCCGGGCCATTCACCGTTCAAGATGTCCTCTAACTTCTGGACAAGTTTCCGTCTTCTTTCTTCGCTTTCTTCTGTCGGTAATAATCGACCGTAAAGTTCTCTCATATCGCCACTCAGCTTCTGGTCCTGCTCTGGATCGAGAGCCACTTTGGGCTCTTCTGTTGGCGGCGGTAACGGTACATCGCCACCGTCGAGGTATGGGATTCGTCGTGTTCTGTACTCAGGGCCGGCCTCGAATCTACAAAACTCTTGAGTCGGCTTCGCTACGACAGGAGTACCAGCAGCCCCAGGGACAGCTGAATGAGGAGAGTTGTGGCCTAGCGTCTTGCTAGGAGAAGGCGATCGTGAACGGAATCGAAGGTCTCGCGGATGTTGATGCGGCGTGGAGGGTACGGAATTTGACTGCTGTGAATTCGTCGAACGTCTCTGGGCGAACGAAGCGGCTGCCATGTTTGGGGTATGACTAGACGTCATGAAGATGTTCCAACGGGGTTGGTCTTGCAGGTAATCCTCATGCTCGAACTTCGGGAGACTTGATCACTCGGCCGCGGGGGTAATGCTGGTACGGCGACAGGGATCGAGTGTGTCGACAGACCAGCTGAGCCCAGAGGAGATCGTCAGAATGTATGCGAGGATATTCGAGCGGGTTGCAACTGCGTAAGTGATCTGGTCGGTGGAGGCGCTTGTGGCACACGCAGTCCAATGTCCTTGGATTCCCTTTGTCTCTTTCAAACACAGGCTTCTGCGGGCGCTGGTTTTGAGAAATGCAGGAACGAGAGCAAACGAATATGGACACCAGAGGGTCGATGGACGGGCAGAGCAAACCAGGAAGTGGCGGCCGAGTTGGGCGTTGTGAATGGGGAAGGCAGGATGGGTAAAGTGTTTCCTTGTCTTTGCTTTGTGTGCTTCTAGACGAGGGAATGATGGAGAAGACGTCGGAGATCGTCTCTTATGCAACCCCTGCTTTGCACTGTGCGGTTCCTGGCAGCAATCGACCGTGTATTGCAACGACTGATATGACGCTTCTTTCCGCTTGTTTGGAATACCAAGACGCACCTGTTCACTTCTTCCTCTTGCTCTGTTAATTCACAGGCCCTGAAACATCATCATCAGAGTGCGCACGGACCTCGTCTCCTACTCGACTCGCATAAATCAATCATTGTGAATTTCCATGTATTCGTGACCTTGACCCGATTTCTTTTTTCTAACGAACGGCAATGTTTTCCGAGCAATTCGCGTCTTCTGCGCCGGGTATTCTGTGCCTATGCCGTCTCTTCATGCATCACCTTCCGTCGCTTAGCAGCAGTCGGGTTGGAAAGCAAGGCTGGATGACCGAGGCCTCTGCTGCACTCGTGTAAGACAAAGAACATGGAAGCCAATATACCAACCACCGGAATACGCGAGACTCAATATTGCTATCAAGCCTGGCCTATCACGTTTGCAATCACACTGTTTAGCACAACAGATGCTACATTGAGCCTGTAGCTCGCGCGCTTGCCGAAACTCATCGATTATTGTTATTAGCCTCTAGAATCTGCACAAAGCCTGAAGGCCCTCCTTTGTCTTGGAATTGTATTCCTTGACCAGACCTGCGATTTGCTTGAACTCTGGAACCGAAGCATCGCCCATGCATTCATAGAGCCACGACTCGCTAGTGGTGACAATAGCGCCTTCAGCTCTCAATCTTGCCAATGCGATGGGGACTTCCTCCTTGTTGCAACTGCTGACAGCATCGGCAATAATGTAGACCTTGTGTCCTTCCCTGAGCAGGTCAAGTGTTGTCTGCGTGACGCAAATATGGCTCTCAATGCCAACAATGATGACCTCTCTCTTCTCACCACCAAGCTTCTTGAAAGCGTCCCGAATCTCTGGCACAAACATGGAGAAAGCACTCTTGTCAACGTGGGCATGAGTCTGGATCCCCTCTGGACTGTCCAAACCAAGCTCACTGCATGTCTCTCCCAGTTTGGCGCGGAGCTGAGTCGTCGCGAAAACAGGAATGTCGAGTATCTGGCAAGCCTTGAGTAGCTTCTGAGTCGTGCTGATCACACGTCCATACTCGTAGATGGCCGAGCGAAATTTCTCTTGGAGGTCGCATATGCTGCCCGTAATGTGAGCAATAGAATACTAGAGTGTGATGAAGAAGCTCAAAGCAATATTGGCGGTCTTACAAAAGAGCTGGTTTGACTGTATCATTGTTAGTCCGAATAGGTACTGCTAGATGGGCACATGCTGTAAGTACCGAGTCTTCGAGTGGCAGCCATGTTTGGATATCCTGTTTGCTCGGATTGATTTGTGTTCTTGTAGACTCAATTGGTTCTTTGAACAGCCTCTATACAAACAATACTGTTTGTCTGTTCGGTAGAACAATCACCTCCACTTTGTGAACTTGCCTTTGACCCGGCAAGTGATCCCGTCATCTCTGCCCCACACTCAGTCAGGCCCGAAGCCGCTTCTGGCCAGCCTGCAAATGGGACGTTTGATTTGCGGGAGGCTTTTGGTCCCTGTCATCGTGTATGAAGTCAACCTGAAACAAACACTGGAAATTACAATAGCTACAGCCTACAGGTACCCTGTCACGGTGTCAAGATTGGGACCACAAGACCAGTGTGGCATTTGATGAAGATTCAATTGAAAGGGCTTGTTCAAAAGTCAAGTCCAGCAGTAATAAGCATAAGCTCTCAGGTATCTCTCAGGTCGTGACGGTCATGGAAAACCGCATGATTGTATCTCAAAGTGCTCTTCTCCATGTGCACCCGCATTCGGCGCCATCTCTACTTCTGCATCATAAGTTGAACGAACTCGTTGTCTGTTAGGAAACGTCAGCGCAGTCCATTTGCGGCCAGTGTAATGATGTAGACTCACAGNTCGATTCTGCCGTCACCATCCTGGTCGGCTTCTCTGATCATCTCGTCAACCTCGTCATCGGTCAACTTCTCGCCAATCGAGGTCATGACATGGCGGAGCTCAGCGGCCGAGATAAAACCGTTGTTGTCGCGGTCAAAGACCTTGAAGGCCTCTCTGATCTCCTCCTCGGAATCGGTATCCTTCATCTTGCGAGCCATCATGGTCAAGAACTCTNNGTTGGGAAATAGACGTCAGCTTCCTGACTTGGTCGATAGCAGTTCAGGGTGGAACTAACCAGGGAAGTCGATGGTTCCGTTGTTGTCAGCGTCCACCTCGTTGATCATGTCCTGGAGCTCCGACTCGCTAGGGTTCTGGCCGAGGGAGCGCATGACAGTGCCCAACTCCTTGGTGGTGATCTGACCTGTGCGACATTGTTAGTACGGCTGGTCCTCGTTCGGCGGGATATCGTGTCGACGGAAAGAGATAGAGATAGAGGCACAGAAGAGGGTAGAGACGTACCATCGCCATCCTTGTCCTGTGAGAGAGTTAGTACAGCTGCGACAAGTTGGTGCCTAGCCGCGCAAAGCGCAGGAAGGACGATAGGTAGACAGTAAAGACTTACANAAGAGAGAGAAGGCCTCCTTGAACTCGGAGACTTGCTCTTCGGTCAGCGAGTCGGCCTGTGGGCAGTGTCAGCAAGTGCAATGGCGGTGGAGAGCAGCAACAGCAAGCGCCTCCTGAGCATGGCGGGGCTGAATGGGCGACAAGGGGTGAAGCTACCATTTTGTGATATGAGTCGTGGACGAGGGTGTATCAAAAGGTGGATAGAGAGCAAGTTGTCGTTTCGGGTCGTTATGCGACTAGACCAAAGTGCAAGAAACGGGAGTTGTGTTGAAGAAGGGGAGAGACCCAGAATGCTTGAATCGGCGTGTTTCAGTTGGTCGGCGGGAGCTTGTGCCTCCGCCGTGTTTGCCCACGTCAGCAACCACCTTGACCCTGTCCTCATCCATCATCCAACTTGATTGCTCGAGTGACACAGCACACGGTTTTCCATGCCGCCACTTCCTGTTCCATGTTGATTCGAACCCTTCTCATAACCGCGCATCATGTGGCGCGATAGAACCAATCTGTACTGCAACCCAAAGCAACCATGCACTACTGGATCAAACTGACCATGTCTCCCTTCGTAGCNNTTCATTTCATATCGCCAGTCCTATTCGCATCATCCTACCACCAAAAAGTCTCGGATCGCTGGAGGCTTCGCAGACAATGCCGCCGAATCTGAAGAAACCAGAGGACTCATGTCCGCTGGTGCTTTCGACGATAGAGATGCCGTAATTGAAATGGATCGTTTACCCCCACGCTGGCTCGATGTCCAGGACCAGGTCGCCGAATGGCTGGAGAACATCACCAAGCAGATCAAGAAGTTGGACCAATTGTGCCAGAAGCACGTGCTGCCAGGCTTCGACGATGAGCAAGTCAAGAAGAGGGAAGAGCGCGAGATCGAGGCCATGACCCAGGAGATTACCAGAGGCTTCCAAACTTGTCAACGCGCTATTCGTCGTATCGACAACATGGTCAAAGAGTCGCAGCAAACCGGAAGTCTGAGTCGAGGAGAGGAGACCATGGCACAGAATCTCAAGGTCTCGCTGGCTACGAGGGTCGGAGACAGCAGCGCATTATTCCGCAAANAGCAGTCTGCCTACCTCAAGAGTATGTTTCATGCTCTACCTTCAGAAAATATACCCGTTGTGACTGACAAGTACTGCAGAANNCTACGCGCGCTTGGTGGCATGAATTCACCTCTCGATCGAGCCACCTCCCCTGTTCAGAACCCCTACACTGATCCTTCCCTCATGGATTCTGAGATCGATCGCAGCTCAGCACAAACCACGCTCTTACAAACAAAACAAAAGCAACGCTCTGCCGGCTTGCATGACTCGACCATTGCTCAGCGAGAACGCGAGATCGAGGACATTGCCCAAGGCATCATCGACTTATCCAACATCTTCCAGGAGTTGCAGACTATGGTCATCGACCAAGGCAGCATGTTGGATCGTATCGATTACAATGTTGAGAACATGGCAACTGAAGTCAAACAAGCGGAGAAGGAATTGAAGGTTGCTACCGGATACCAAAAGAAATCGACAAAGCGAAAGATCATCTTGCTGCTGATCCTCATAATCGCTGGTATGTTCATCTTGTTGATGATCAAACCCAAGAGTCGCAGTGCCCCTGCAGTAACACCGCCACCGGCACCTGTCACGCCAGCAGAACCTCCTGCCCAGCCTCCCAAACCACCACCGCGACGGACTTCGATCTTGGACGAGCTTATAGGTACGAGCAAGGACTGGCGAAGGCGGAAGCGAACAACTAATGGGTTTCTAAGTCTTTAATAATTAATAATGATATGCATACATTTCATTGCGGCCTGGTCGTTATTGCAACTCGGTCATTCTACAGCCCATTAGGCCTTCTTTCGGAAGTCATCCGCACCTTGAACACACTGCCTTGCCATCTCAGTCTGTTCGTCTGTTTGGCAGATGAGAACTCTGTGCTTGGATCCAGATTTCGTGATGTCCACCACTTCCNNCTTATCATCAGGTTTCTTGTTCTTCTCCTGATCAAGTTCGAAACCAAGACAGCCCAATTGCTCGACCACGCGAGCACGCAGCTGGCTTCCCTTCTCTCCGATACCACCAGCAAAGACCAGAGCATCGAGCTTGCCTCCCATCTTGACATAGTAGCCACCAACAAAATTCAAGATCTTGTCGACAAACAGGTCAAAGGCGAGTTGGCAGTCCTTGTCACCTTGCTCTGCTTTTGAGCTGATGACACCAAAGTCAGTGGTACCAGCAATGGCGTTCCAGCCGCTCTTNTTGTTGAGAATCTCTTCAGCCTCAGTAATGTGCAAATCTTTAGTGCTGCTGCGACTGGGCTTTCCGGCTGTGTGCGTGAAATGGAAGATTAGACTGGGGTCGACAGAGCCTGATCTGGTTGCGCCTGGAAGACCAGCCAGCGGAGTCAAGCCCATGGTAGTGTCGAAGGACTTTCCGTTGACGATGGAACATGCAGAGGCACCGCTACCAAGGTGAAGAGCAATGATGTTGAGAGAGTCGACGGGCTTGTTCAGAGACTCTGCCACTGATCTGGTGATGAAGGCGTATGAGAGACCGTGAAAGCCATACTTGCGGAGCTTGTTGTGCTTTGCTCGCTTTTGGTCAATTGGATATGTTCGGATGTGCTCTGGGATCNNTTAAGACATGGCATGTTAGATCAAGTTCTTGTTCTTGTTGCATGTCACACTTACAGAAGAGTGGAATGCTGAATCGAAGAAGGCAATATTGGTTGCTGATGGCAATTGCTCATGAACAGCTTTGACGATGGTCAAGGCACCTGCGTTATGGCTTCAAGGCTGATTAGCTAAATTTAGGAATCGAGCTTCAGAAACTTACAGAGGTGCAAGATCAGAAAGTTCCTCGATATGATGGTAGGTCTCCCTGTCAATTCTTGTAGGCTTGTCGAAGTCTCCTCCATGAACTACTCTATGGCATGCGAATTCGATATCCTCCTTGTTCTTGAGTTCGGGCAGACCATCATCGTTCAAGAGGTGCTCAAGGATGTACTTGAAAGCATCTTCTTGGGTACTGACACCTTCAATCTTCTGATCCTTGACTTTGTGGTCTCCACGTTTGTATGTGAGTGTTGAAGGAGGTGCAGTCAATCCAGCTACTGACACTTCGGCAAGCTGAGATGGTTCGGCATCCTTGGAAGTTCCCTTGAAGACCGAGACTTTGACGGACGATGAGCCGGCGTTGATGGATAGAATAACTTTGGCCATTTTGGTATTTCTTACTCGAATGCAAAGGTGTTTTGTTGAGTTTGTGAAAGGTGTTTTGTGACCTACTAGCATGACGCAATGGTCATCCCACTCCGGACTTCCCGAAAAGCATGTGAACATAACCTCAAGCTGAGCCTGACACCCTGACTTGCATTTATCACAATCATATGACTTGCAAAGAGGTCAAGCAGCTGTCCTCGAGAAGTAAACCAAGTTACACGTGTGAACCGAATCTTACAGTCGGCGAGTCGATTGAACCCGCCGCAGAGATAACATTGACGATTCCTCGTGCTCTCGAAGGATTAGAGGGTTCGAAAAGAAAAAATAGCTATCAGCATGCGCAAAAGTTGTCATCGTCCACCAAGAGTAATTAGCAGGTGGTATCTCTGTGGCCAACTTCCTAGCAGAGGAAGCATTGTGCATTTGAGCAGCTGTTCTAGCCTGGATTTGTCCACTGAGATATCCGAACAGTTCTCACTCTGACAAGCCTCGACGAAGTTCATTAGGCCTGTTCGCAACTGTCGTAGACTGCAAGCGCATATGACGTGAGAACTACTGCTAGAACAGCTGACAGTTGCATGTTGTTTTCGTTTCATGCGTTTCGAGACTGTTGAGCTTGGTCCGCCGTAGGCACCCAAGAGCCGACTCTCCTACCGAAGGTGCGTCGCCTTATAGCTTTATGTCGCTATCGATACAGTCTGAGGATTCGGCCAGTCACGGACTGACAAGGCGAGCTCGCAGCAGAGAAAGATGTGTAAGAGTTGTTGCTAGGATGTGTTATGAATTGAAAAGGGTACCTGCCTTAGCTTCTACACGACAGCACGCTTGCAGGATTGTAGTTTCAGCTTCACGAAGATCATCATGTGCCTATATGAGAATCTTCCTTTGGCTGCAGATGTTGACCTCGCGCGACAGCGGGTGAGAAGCGGCAAGCAGTCGGCTATCTATACGACTTCATCAAAGGAGATATCTGTCGGCTTGTTGGGCTTGATAGGCCAAGCCTCGTCCTTCCTTTCAAGTCAAGGGGTTGTCAAAAACCAGATATTGCGGGGATTTAAAGTTGGAGCTAACAAAGCCGAGGGGTTCGAGAGAAATGCAGAAGCAAGATAGAAGGACAAGCCTAGAGACGTGAACAGCTGTCGAACCAAGTGATGCAGGTCTCAGTCGATGCAGTCTGTGTGAGAGTCAAGTAGGAGAGCAAGTGGCACGCAGCTGAGATTAGATGCGACATGGATAAGAGATGAGGCATTGGCGCAACACATCGAATCAAGTTTAATGAGGCTGGGCTAAGAAGATTTAGTGGCTTTGCGTCTTCTGGGGGTGCCGCGTGCTCGTCTCGGACTCGAGACGGCATGAATCTCACATGTTGCAGATGTCATTGATGGTTGCAAGTGGAGAGAAACAGATGGAAGAAGAGAAACGTTTGCCAGTTGCGCAGGCGATGCAGAAGCGAAGAGAGGGACGGGCACAGCAACAGGTCGCGAGATAACGGGTCTACTGGCGTTGGCCGGGCTGCCACGAGTTGGTCGTTGGTGTGGAGAGGGGACAAGAAGTAGAAGATGGAAAGCTACGGTGGTTAGGCCCTGCCTCGATTGCGCGCCACAACTTAGCCCCCCTCTCCATTGTCCAATTCGATCCCACGAACGACGTGCTGGTTGCGCCGTGTCTTGCGACGACGTCTGCTGCGTTTTCTTCTTCCGCCATCTGCTGCTCTTCAAGCTCTTCTCTTCTACCCATCCGCGTGTCCCTCGTGCTGCGCCTCCATTCTCCTTTACTCTTGCCTCGGATCGCTCGAGTGCAAAGAACACACTCGCTCTGGAGCAGGGGCACATTTCCACACATACACATACATTCTATAATACCGCCATCGCTGTCACATCCGCTCACGCCAGACGAGGCCACGTCCTAAGCCGCTCATCATGTTGCGGCCAGCGACTCCGCTGTCTATTCTGTTTTTTATCGCCTTCGTCTTGCTGTTGCTAAGCACCCTTTCCACGCCCATTATTCAAGCCATTCCCCTGGCCCAATTCGAAGGTGTCGACTTTGGAGTCTTTGGTTATTGCNAAAATGGAAAATGCAGTGGCATGAGAGTTGGATACGACACAGGTACGCTACATCTGTCAGGGCACGCCGATCACCTTGCTGACTCGTCTTGTANNGACAAACTATTCTCAGCCGCCGACAACAATGAATTCTCTCTACCATCCAGTACTCGAGCCTCGCTCTCGTCTATTCTCATCGTCCATCCTGTCGCAGCTTTCTTGACCCTTATTTGCTTCGGCCTGGCTGTGGCCGCTCACTTCCACTCGCCAGCCCACTCTCCTCGCTATCTTCTGGCTCTGCTCATTCTGACATTCCCCACACTACTTGTCGCTCTATTGGCTTTCCTGGTCGACATTCTCTTGTTTGTTCCGCACATGCAGTGGGGAGGATGGATCGTTCTGGCAGCTACCATCCTCATTATTGCTTCTGGTGTCGTCACTTGCGCTATGAGAAGGACCTTGGTATCAAGAAAGGCTCGCAAGAAGCGTATCGCTGAGAATGCTGAGATGAACGGCGCCAACTACTACAACAATCTGCAGAACGAACGCCTAATGGCTGATGAGCTACCCAGAGCGGACAGTCCCCCACCTATGAATGGCACTTTCGACACCTCCAAAGGACCTCAATTCGCATCCTTTGAGACTAAGAGCAACGAGAGGAGAAGTGACGACCGCGCGCCGCTCAATCCCAAAGCGCCGTCTGTCATCAGCAACGGCACTGCTCCTAGTGCACGCCCCATGGATGACGATCTTCCTCCCATGCCTGTTCAACCCGCGGATCCTTACAATACTCAGCAGAATGCCAACGCTCCTATCATGTTGATGCATCAAACTTCTGATGGCTCACACGAGCCTCAGAACCCGAACCGCATGGGACCCCCACCTCCTGGCTATGGACGAGGCAGAGGCGGCGGCTATCCTCCCCGTGGAGGTTACGGCNCCCCTAGAGGTGGATTCGCACCACGAGGTTCTTATGGCCCTGGTCCAAGAGGTGGCTACGGTCCTGGCAGAGGCGGCCCACAAGGTATGAGAGGTCCTCCTCCTCCTGGTTGGAACGGTCCACAAGGCAGAGGAATGGGTTCTGGCCCTGGTCCTGGTCCTGGTCCAATGATGGGTCGCGGCCAGCGTGTTCCTCCTCCAGGCTATAGCAACGACCAACTCCCCCCTCCTGGTGTCGGTCCATTCCCTCGTAGAAACGGCTCTCCCGAGGAGCCTGTCAACGGCGAGATCATCGGCCAAGCTATCGAGATGGACGAAAGAACCGGAAGTCCTGCAATTCAATCGCCTGCCAGATATGGTCAACATGATATGCCTGGTATGATTGGTGCAGCTCAGCCCCTGCCACGTCCTCGCAGGGACATCACACCCGTCAACCAAAGACAGCCAAGTGGAGGTGAACCTGTCACTCCATCAAGCATTTATTCAGAATCGTAAGTTTCCGTAGCTCACCTATGTGGATTTTCGAAGCTTTTACTGACACTAAACTCAGAANCATATGTGCAACCGCGAGTTGGATGGGATGCACCTCCTGTTCCCAGACATGCTCCCCCACCTACGGCCCAGATGAATTCTGTACCTCCTCTTTCGCCCATTCAAGCATCTCCAACATCTCGTCATAGACGCGCTGGTTCTGAGTCTTACTACGAAGATGTCGACCCTCGCTTCGCTGCTGCTGATGAATCGTCCATGGTTGGTGCTCCCATCCCGACGACTTTGACTCCTGGTCCACAAATCCCCACCGTGCGTCACCCTACACCCGAACGCCTGCACGTTGGTCAGGACCATGAAGGGCCGTCTCTGGAAAGAGATAGCTCTTATGAAAACATAGAGGGCGCACTGTCTCCTGCCATGTCTGACACCAGCAACTTCACGTCCGTAAGTCAACGTGGTGTCAACCCCAACTGGCGTCCGCCACCAGGCTACGGCCCTGGATCCGCGACGGGCCTACCATCGCAACGCAGAAACGAACAGAATGACATGATTCTTGGGCAGAACCCAGACTTCATGTTGCCTGGCATGCGCGGCGGAGCCCGAGGCGGTCGCGGAAGAGGCGGTATGCCGCGTCCTAACCCCACCGGACTGACTCCTCCTGGACGTTACCCGGGTGCGATGTAAGGCCATTGTTGCCAAATAATGTTTATGTACTTTTACCTTTCTGGCGGATTGGGCTGGCCTTTATTTCGATTCTAGACGGTCGCTCTCTTTTGCGTGGTGCTTGATGAATTAGTGATGAGAGAAGGCGTTTTGATAAGAGGCCATCCTGCTTTTTATAGTATAGCATGTTCGGTTCGCTCACGACACAAAAAGTGTATGCACCAGTGACGAATGGAATGACTGAACGATATATAGATGTCAGAATTCAGGCACATTACTTTCAAAGAATTGAAACACGATTGATTGCGATGTGCATTTGAATGTACTCTAATGTAGAGGTTAGGAAACTCCTGAGAACGACTCGCAGTAGAACGATGAATCCCAGAGAGCGTATCCAACGCAGTAAATCTTGACAGAACTTCGTGTCAATCATCTATCATTGCATGAAATGCGAGCCTTGTTGTGCTCGACAGAGTAAAAGACCCAAGATCAGTGTATTCGTGTTCGAAAAGTGAGTGTTCGAGGCAGGAGCGATGGTCGAGCGGGAGCGGCAAATCCCCGGTCGCACTTGGTTCGCCAAGACGTGAAGCGGTCCGCGACGCACCAGACAGAATTCGCAAAGCCCACCTGAGATTTTTCGAACAGACAGCGACACGACCGACCCTCTCACAGCCAGCCGCACAGTCGATACTTCAAAATGAGTTAGTCGCCGCCCGTATACTCTCGTCAGAGCGATGGAATCTGGATAACTAACAACTGCGCGCAGCCAAGGGTACTGGATCTTTCGGCAAGCGCCACAACAAGACGCACGTTCTGTGCAGACGCTGCGGTATGCACTCCCACCACCGACGACGACCGCTCTCGTAAAATCTCCTCCTGGACCCGAAATGCTGACGGACGACCGAACACANNGGCTCCCGCTCTCTCCACGTCCAGAAGCACACTTGCTCCAACTGCGGCTACCCTAGCGCTAGCATCAGAAAGTGTACGTTCCGATCCTATACCTGCTCCTCCTCTACGATCACTACACCTCCGACACTGCCATCATGGCCTACAAACAACCGATCGACATCTCCCGACACATGAACATCCGCATCCGAATCACTACACATTTTCCCTAATGCATAAGAACACACATCTGACATGAAGCAACACANNGTCAACTGGGGCGAGAAGGCCAAGAGAAGAAAGACCACCGGTACCGGCCGCATGCGCTCATTGAAGCTCGTCTCCCGCAAGTTCAGCAACGGCTTCCGCAACGGCACCCCCAAGGGCGCCCGTGGCCCCCAGAACGCCTCCGCCTAAACGATGACTTCTCCTTAAAAGAAAAGGACGGGGTTGATCAAAGACATCTGAATGACACAAAAACGCGCGTTGTTGCTTGGGTCAGGCATTGATTCAGGGGAGTTTCTTCTTTTATCGGCATTAGGGCAATGAGATTATTTTGCAACAAATGTGGATTGTCTCCCAACTGGTCAATGGTTCCTAACCTGTGGCTGCCCGCCGTGGAAAGGGGGAAAAAGAATATGAAGAAAATGACAAAACTTCATCTGGCTGTCCACAACGAAAAGACAAAAGAGAGAGATGCTGGCAAGTGGCTTCCTCTACGGGCCCTTTGCCAGACAAAGTCGTATGAACTGTTCTGAAAATGACCTGCTTTCGTTCCGTTGCCCTGTTTGCAGACTATGTTGTGAACATATCGAGTGCTCGACTCTGACCACAACCTTGTCTCCCTGCACATCAACTCTGGCAAACACTTAACTTATATCTTGGTCTGCCACAATGTCGACATACCCATCCATTTGTAGGTTATAATCACCCAGTCTTTCGCAGTGTGCTCATAGGAGAATGAAAGATATCAACTTTTAACAATATGTGCTATATGTTTGAGAAAACCAACATGGCAAGAACATCATCATAAGAATCATAGACCGTCATCTCGTTTATTCATCCCGCATCCCTCGCCCACCACTCATGCCTTGCAAATCTCATACATGAACTCTCTGAAGTCGCCCTTGGTCGCGTCCTCGATATCATGGTCAAGCTCCTTGTGGTACTTCTCGACGTACTCGCGCTTCACACGAGCCAAGTGTGCATGGTCCCAATGGACTCGCATCAGTCTTGAAATGAGCAGCTCGTAACGTAGCTCTTCGTCTCGGTTGTGGGAGCTGATGTCGTCGATGGCGTGGCGAAGTAGTAGAGCGTCTCGTGCTGGTCGATTGATTGCTCCGTTGAGGATGTGGCAGATTACTTCTCCNCTATCAGGTTGGTCAGTAATAAACCTCGAAAGACTCAAAACCATGCATCTAGTCATTGGTACGGCACTCCCGAACAGACCGTGAGTGCTAGAAGGAAAGAACATCTGACTCACCACCAGGTTGTTGCTCTTCTTCAAAGCTTCCCTCGCAAAATTGACGCCGAATCGACGCTCATATGCTTTCAGCACCTCTCGCAGATGTGCATCGCTCCTTCTGACCACGATCTCCAACATCGTGCTTTCTCCACCTTCCTTGGCCGTCAAGCATCTATTCAAGACATCAACATCCTTGTCAACATATTGCCTCAGATACACTTCATTCTCCTCCTGTCTCCTGGCCTCGAGTGCAGTCAGCACAGCAACACGGAACTTGTCTGGCTTGAGCTCCTTCTCCATGCATCTAACCAAGTCATCGTTGTAGCGTTTGTCCTTGAACGATTCTGTAATTTGTCTGATCTCGGCATTACTGCGACCCATCAAGCTTTCGATGAGTAACTCGCGCCGGCTGCTATGTGACTGGTACCAGAAGTTTGCCCAGTAGCCTTCGCTCTCGTATCTGCCGAGTGCGCACACATACACTGCTTTTCCAAAGTTGCCGGAAAGTTTCATCTTCATGTGTTTGGCGATGTTGATGCCTCGTCCCTGGACCTTGACGTGTTTCTTGTACTCCTTGCGCAACTCGAGGATTTGGTCGTGGGTTAGGTTGGGAAGGATCTTGCAGATTGTGTCAACGTCAATTCTGTGATGAGAAATTGCTTCATTGAGAGCTAGGGCATCTTTNTCCGCATCGTAGAGTCTTGCTCGTTTTTTTGGGNNTTCTGAGGCAGGGCTGGTGAAGTCGATCTTGCTGGTACTGCTTCTGGAACGTCTGTGATGCTTGCCGTCTGAGGACGCACCAGGCGAGAGTGAAGATAACTTGTCAATGTCACTGTCTGAAGACAGTCTCATTGGCGCTATCATTGGAGACACGGATTGGTATGTTCCACGATAGGCTTCCAGCAAAGGACTGGGCGGCGGCAATGTCCCAGCTGTGTCTGGCCTATTGCCGCTGACCGACAAGCGGTCCATACGCACGTTCAGACCAAGGTTGGTCTGCTTGGAGATACCGGGAGTCACATCAATAGTCTGAGCCTTGAGAGAAGATTGAGATTGTTTCCCAGCAGCCGGACTGTACGTTTGGGTATTATATTCATGACGTGCTGATGGCTGATCAGGTCTAGTCTGAGAATACTGATATTGCTGAGACTGCCCAGAAGGAGGCTTGGAAGTCGTATACTGCGGTTCCTGATGATGGCCAGACGCAGGATAACGGTAAGGGGTAGTGGTGTAGGCCGATGGTGAAGGTGCCCGCTGACTACTCACGCTACTACCACGACCCCTTCTGGTTTCCGGCAAGGGCAGAGTACCATACGCAAGATCGGCATCGTCATCGTGTGCGTCTCTGAATGCAACATACCCAGGTCGTTCATGCGGCGGAAGATCTTTGTAGTCGCCCATATCGATTTCTTGTGGTACAGAGGGGTAAGGCAGCTGTCCCACAACAGGGTAAGGAAGATGTTGCCCATCGCTACGCAAACCACTTCCGGGGTTGACGATGTATTCGTCGTCAAAGTCACCAGGCATGGGAGGCATGGTTACTACCGGTGAGATGTGACGTGGTACTGAGGCTGGCGTGTTGGCATAGACATATTCGGCAGGCCTGTCGGGGGTTATGTTGTGAGTTTTTCGAACATTACTGTGTGAACGCGATCGGTCACGTCGCGAGTGAGACTTGGATCTCGAGCGCGACGAGCGATGGTGTTCGGGTCGTAGAGACATGCTATCTCAAAAGTTGAGGATCACAATCTCGGTGAAAGTTGTTGTAACCAGTCCACAAGAGTGTGGGCTTCAGATCCGACCCCAGAACAGAGACAAAGGATCAGCACCAATCTACTATTGCTCTACTGCATGTTTGTCACACTCATACAGGAATTGTTGAGCGATGTGGTTAGTGCGGGGAGGCGGTGAAGGATCGCAAGCGCCTTGGAAGTTCGCTTGCGAGATGAACACACTTGGTCGTGCGACCATGACATGAACATAAAACTAGAGAATTATTGAACCTCAACATGAGCATAACAAATCAGGAGTTTGCGTGGGTATGCACGTGATTGTCATGAATTAGTGTATTATTGTACAGAGTAGTAAAGTCTTCGTGCCATCCCCCAGTCGTAATCGTCAAAGGACGTGAAAAAAGAAATGCGAAAAGCAAAGCTGAGCATGCAAGCATGCTTATGGGTATCCCAAGCAAGGTGGCTACTATCAATCAAAGAATCATAGGAACCGTCTTGGAAGCGTCGAGCGTCCAAATGAAGCAAAGTGCTGAATATTATGCACTGCAGATTTAGACAGTCTCGGGAGTCTGGTCGTTGGCGACAGCGGCGTTGTTGGCGTTGTTGGTGTTAGGGTGGACGTTGGGGCCAGGAGCGCCGACCTTGTCCTTAACAGCGGGGTCCTTCTCGTTGTAGTCGTGGATGTAAAGACCGAGACGAGCAGGGTCAATGCCACGGTGACCCCAGATGAGGAGAGCACCAAAGACAGGCTTAGCGAACAGGTCGAGGATACCGTAGAAGATGGCCTCAGAGTCGGGAGAGATGACGTTGCCACCCTCACAGAGGCCCCAGGCGATAGGGTAAAGAATCCAGAGGAAGGTGGTGAGCGAGCCACAGATAGTGAAGGCCTTGCCAACATCGCTGCCGAGAGCGTTGGCGTGACGGCGAGCCTCCCAGACGAGAACCCAGACAACGTAGAAGAGAGCAACGCAGCCGAAGGCGAAGTAACCCCACTTGTAAGAAGAACGGACGAGAGCACCAACGAGACCAGTGACAATCATAACTTCATCGACCAAGACGACGAAGAGCAGAGTGGGCCAAGGCATGGCAGCAGTCAACAACAGATCCATGAGGAGGAGAGGAGTAGTGATGAACCAGTCGATGTAGCGGACGTAGAAGATCTCACGGTTGATACCGCGAACAACAGGGTCGCTGCGGAGGAACTCGACATCGATGGGAGTCCACCCGAGGTTGGAACCCATGGAGAAGTAGGCGATAGCAGCGACCATGGTAATGGCGGCAGTGATGTAGTGGAAGATGCGGTGCTGGCGAGGCTTGGTGATACCCAGACCGAGGAAGACAAAGGTGCAGGTAGTCATGACAGCGCAGACGGTCCAGTACCAGTCAGAACCGCGAACGGTGATGGCAATGTCGACGGTCTTGCCGTTGACAGTGTTGCCTNNGCAAGTCTGGTCAGCGCGCTGCCCATGATCATGATGGTGGTTAGAGATGCACTTACCATTGACGTTGAGGGCATCGTTTCTCTTGGAGAGGTAGTCCATCTTGAAGGGTGTGGATGAGATGAAGAAAGCAATGCTGCTGTGAGCTGTTGTGTGGATGGATGGATAGATGATGGCGAGGGGAGTTGTGGTTTATAAACGTGATGCAAGGAATGCGCGGAAGTGTGCGGTCAGGCCAATCTGTTTTGGCATCAGACTATGACGAGATTGAGGGAAGCAGCGCTTCACTTCTGGATCGACGACCCTTTCTTGTCCCCGTCACTACTCAGCTCAAACACCAACGAACCACCATCCCCAAAGTGATCTACGGGTAGTCGCACAGGCCCAACGCGCCGCTCCCATCGAGATATCACTATCGCACTGCAGGGCCTCTCACACCTCGGTTCTTTCAATTACTGAACAAGCATAGCGTCCGCTTTCTTTGAGAGCATAACACCACTGCCGTCACCAGGGACATGTAAAACTCTCACTTTACAGTCTATCATGAATCGAAACCAGCACTTCCACGTACGTAAAGATGTCTCTGACATCATCGTCATCAGCGGCTCTGTAGTCCGGCCGATCGCGAGTCGCGACGCCAGCAAGCCACCAAGCAGTCCAAGCCCTTTCCGCAGCCCGATCCTGAAAAGCTTGATTGAACTTCGAGGATCAAACTCAAATAGCCAACCATCATGGTTGTTCGGCATCGAAAAACAACTGCTATCGTACTGTTCTCCTGCTCTTTAAACTTTAGCAGACGTTGTCATGTCTTCTCTGCAAAAACAACCATGACGTGACCCCTTCCAATTTCCCTGTGTTGTGCGGTGTCGTGACAACCGTACCTGTATGCAGATGCATGTGAAAAGAGGTGCAATCTGGCGGTCGGGATAGCATGACATCTTTCGTGTCAATCACTCGAACCTGATCACAAGATGTACGTACCTCGCAGAAATTGATTATTCATCTGTAGAATGTGTCTTCGATTATTCATATCTCATCAATTTGACTGCGACCAGCAAGGTCCCTGATGCATCAGACAGAAAATATTGGGTTCCGAGTGTCAAAACAATCCTTGATCGTGAATTCCGGCATGGGCCGAAGATGCCGAGAAAGGTGTATGGAGCAACACGTTCGGTACTAGTTGCTGTTCGTAAACATGTGTCACCCATGCGAACGCCGAGGGGTTTCACACTGCAGGAAAAGCAGGTCCTACGCAGGGCGTGGTTCTGAATCCGTGACCCCATCCATCAAACCCGGCATCCCGCGGGACTCGCGTCCAGCTCACCTGATTTTGGTTGCGCTCAATTTTCAAGTAATTATTAGGTACAGCAGCCGAAAGCGCCTCAGGGACCAAGAAACAGTGGCTTAAACAGCAAATTGTTATTACAAAGTCTATCGATTGCAGAAATCTAAGGGTCTTGGTATATGAGAAGAATTAAGTTTGCTTACCAAGGGAAATACCAAGAGCCAGAATGAGAAGCGCAAGCAGCATGTAGACAATCCACTCGAGCGTGAAAGTAGTCTGCACTTGATCAAGAACGCCAGTGCGCGTAGTTGCTTTGGATCCGGTCTGCCACGGAATCTCTACCCCAAGATCCTGGCATACCTGTTCCGCAACCAACCGACCTCCTGCTAGCACGATCGGTACTCCTGTGCCAGGATGAGCGCTGGCGCCAACCATGTATAGACGCTCGATGCTGCCTCCACTGAAGAGTAGCTCGCCGATTCTGCCTATTATGCCGCCGCCGTAGCGACCATCTAGCCAACCACCTCGTCTTGCACGCGTGGCTGGTCTGAATGATAACACGTTGAAGAATGAATGTGACAATCCCAGAATAGCTCCACGATCAAGATTGAAAGATTCGCGCCATGTGATAGGGTCGTTAGTAATCTCATGAACAATCAGAGGCTCGATATCAACGCCTGTACGTTTGGCGATAGTGGTGAGGATGGTCTTGCGTGCGAGTTCGATCATCTTGGGCCAGTCTTGAGTTTCGGCTGGTTTGATGCCCTGTGCGGACTTAGAGTTCGTCATCTTTCCATTGCCGTTGCTCTGTTGAATTTCCTTGTCTATAGCTGTGGTAGCTTTGGTAATGTTCTCATGGTCTCCAAGAAGATGCCCGACCGGCACCAGTACAACGACTGTTTCTTTGCCTTCAGGGGCAGCTGTTGGGTCGGGACGACTAGGTATGTTGACGTAGAAGCTTGGTTCGTTCGGAATCAGATTTTTCTTGAAGATAGAATCGAAGCTCTCCTTGTATTCGTCGGCCAAAAAGATGTTGTGAGCATTGAGTTCTGGTAGCTTGCGATCCAATGCCCAGTAGAAGGATATGCTACTGCAAGATGTTTCGCGATTGGCCAATGATTCTGCGTAAGGGGTAGGAGGCAAGAAGTTGTTGTATGCATATACTAGATCGGTGTTGTTCACCACAACATCGGCAGTCAGAGTTTCGCCGTTGGCAAGAACAACTCCGGTAGCGCGACGACCATCGGGAGAGAGGGTAATCTTAGATATAGGAGTAGAAAGTCTGTAGGTCACGCCTAGACGCTCGCCAACCTTGACAAGTGCCTCGATGACCTGCGCAAATCGTCGTTAGCATGAAGATTCACAATCGATCTGCTTTGCTGTATTTACCTTGTGGAAACCTCCAATCGGATACCAGATTCCCTCAGTCAGCTCCGTGTATTGTAGGAGACTGTATGTTCCAGGAGCGTCGAATGGACTCATGCCCATATACATGCTCGCAAAGGTGAAAACGCGGCGCAATCTCTCGGTCCAGAAATACTTGGAAGCACGACCATAGATGCTCTCGAAAGGATGCAGTTCGAAGACGCGACTGAGGAAACTAGGACGCAGCATGGAGGTGATGCTGGTGAAGTTGCGCGACAGGACATGCTCGACACTAAGTTCGTAGTGGTTGTGGGCTTCTCGGAGGAAGGAGAGGTATCTTGAGTATCCATCTTTGCCTTCCCATTTCTCAACCTGCTCCTTCATCAAAACCAGATCGGTCGAAAGCTGGAACTTCTCGCCGTCGCCGAACCACATGTTGTAGTTTGGCTCGCATTTGACTATGTGTACTCCTTCGGCTTCCAGACTTGTGTCGAGATCGGCGAAGGTCTTGTGGAACAGACGGGGGAGGAGAAGCAGAGATGGGCCTTGGTCGAAACGNCTAGGTCGTTGCCGTCAGTTTTGGGCAGATGGAGACAAAAGGACTAAGGACGTCGTGATACACACCCAGCCCTCGTGGTGTAGAAGGGAACAGCGACCTCCGGTAAAGTCGTTCTTCTCTAGCACAGTGACCTTGAATCCTGCCTTGGCCAGTCGCGCGGCCGTCGAGACTCCTCCAGCTCCAGCGCCNTGTAGTGCAACCTGTAAGCGTCTTGTATTTGTCGTCGGCGGCGTCTCATAGTACATACCTACGACAATGGCAGTCTTTTGGTTGGTGGTTCCGCCCATGGTTGAATTCGAGTGTCGACCAGCCTACCGCAAGGAACTGGACAGGTGACGGTAAGTGGCTACATGTTGTAAAGCAGATGATGTCCAAGCATTCGACATGGCGTTTTGCCGTTCAACTCCGGGCAAGCCTCCATCGACCATCGACGCTCTCGTGCTTCACATGCAACCCCACTATCACGCTACGGCCCGAGCGCTCCACCGATCCATATCAAAACTGTATCACAACGAGCGAGTCACCTCGCTTCACCGTGGTCAGACCATCGTAACGTGATCGAGCAGAAATTACATTATGCGTATGGACAGGGTATCTCTACTTTTATGTAATTATTACTGCTGCAGCGCTTTCCAAGCCACTGCCAGTCTTCGCCAACCGTCTACTGTTGCCCTTCCTTTCCTGACCCTGTAGCCTGGCTGCTTCAATGTCCGTCCAATCTCCATGTAGCTCTCCGTAGCAACACGCATGGGTCCGCGTACTTCTGACGGTAGCTTGTCAATCGCCCCACGCGAGTCCTCGTACAATGCGAATGATCGATCCAACAAACGGTTTCGCAGTCGTTCAAGCTTCGACACGAACAATTGGTCCTCAGCACCCAGGGTGGGTTTGGCATCCATGATCGTGAAGACTTGAATCGCTTGTTCGGGTGTCAGGTTCTCCTCCTTTAGCCAGCTTGTCGGCAGGTAGACGCGCTGCAACAGAGCATCCGTGCTGATGTCACGAGCAATATTGGTGTATTGAAGCGCGATCCCCATGGTGTTTCCCGAATCCAAGATCTGCTCTTGTAGAGCAGGGGACACNTCTCCAGGATAGTGGAAGAAAACGAGCTCAATGCACATGGCAGCCACTGTACCAGCAACCCTCGACGAGTAAATGTCCAGATCATATTCCGATTTTATAGGGAATGCAGAAGGTTGAGCTCCTTTACTTGTCTGGAATCCTAGATCCATCTCGAATCCTTTGAGAAGGTCGTAAAGATGTTTAGAAGAGAGCCGCGAAGTGGGCAATTGTAGCAATGCGGTATGAGTGCTCCGGGGNAACTCTGTGACAACATGACGAACAATACTTCCGATGTTTTGGTCGTGCGCCATCGGATCTTTGGCTTTGTAGGATAGATCCAGGAAGGTACGCAGACGTTTGATCCATTTGCGCGCTTCGAGGGGCGAGGCGGCATTGTCAACCAGATCATCAGCCACGCGACAGAAGGAGTATAACACGATCAAGTCCACTCTCAGGCGGCTAGAAAATGCTGCACTAGCCAGATAGAAACTCCGACTTTTCTGATGAAGGCGCTTGACAGCTTCGGACAAGCCCTCAACACGGTCTTCGTCGTATGCCGCAGCCGGGAGCAATAGAGCCTGAACCAGGAGTACAGGCGAAGGAAGGGCGGGCACGGAAGGGAAATGCGAAGGGAAAGCGTTGAGAATGGCGATAGCGTTGTCAAAGGCCACAAGACCAAAGACGATGAGCGTGTTCGTAAGAAGGAAGAAGACGGCCTCCTCTATTTCCAGATGAGGCCATAGGTGTTTTCCAAGCTTAGTACCAGATTCGATGACCCAAGTGCCTCTTTGAAGAGCGATTGTGTCGACAATCCAGAGGTACAGGGTTGGAAGAGCGATTGGCAGAAGGGTGTTGGTCACGGGCAGACCAAGAATGAACTGATATGCCAGCGACCACAGCAAAAGCAGAAAGGGGACGGCCCACGCAAGAATCAGGCCCATGTAGGTTCCGGGGCCTTCGTCCCTAATCAGGTTTACGGCTTTTTTGAGGAGCAGACCAAGGACAAGCTGACCGGCCAACTTCATGTATTTCCAGCGATCATTCTTTTCCTGGCGGCGCAGATAGATAGGGTGGAAGGTGGGCTTGCTGCAAAGCAGGTACAGGAGCGAAGTATTGTAGGTCTGGATGATGAAGAAGAAGACCTCCTCCAATGGAATATCGAAGAGCTTGGGACCAATGACTGCGTCTTCAGGATAGGACCAAATGCGAGTGCGAATCAAGTAGGAATCCCATGGAGTAGTGGAAACGAGGGCGATNCTAGAAACAGTGAGACTGGCGACAAGGAAATTCACGGCCGAAGGTCATACGGTGACAAGGAAGAGGATCTTGTAGACATCGAGGCGGGTCAGGAGAGGTCGGTAAAGTAGAGTCAAGGCGATTGCAGGAGGGATTGTGTACTTGACGTGCCTATGCAAGCATCAATGGTCTGTAATGGGATGAGGAAGCAGAGCAGAAAAGGGGATCCGTACACAAGCGCATAGTCGTAGCCCATAGTGTCGAACAACTGCTAGAGACGAGGCTGTCGCAAAGCCATAGCACACAAGAAGGATCGTCCGAGTCGAGTTGCGCAACTGGCACCAAGAGTCAAGAGAAGGCCTCGACAGCCGCGACTTGGGCAGAGCAGCAGACCAACTTGATGTGCAGCTTCGGCTGTCTCGGCACCGACTGCCCTGATCGGCGATGCTGCGTGCACGGTCGCACCTGCCGATGTCTCTGAGTCTCTTCCAGGTCTTCCGGCGAGCCGACCCAGCAAAATACGCGATGATGCAGCCATGAACGTGAAATTGATGTCATGGTTACACTGCACTTTATGTGACAGGTCTGGCGCTTGATCGTGTCAGTCCTCGGTCACCCTATGCACGCCCAAGTCATGCCATTGCTAATCCGACTATTGTCGTCCTACAAGCCTTTTCATGCTCCAAGTGCCTACTTTCATGCCTGAGCATAGTTTCACTCAACTATAGCGTCTTGCAGACTGTTATTGAGGACATGCCTCTCTTTGCGCAGAAGAAGGGCCCGCCACAGCACAAACACCCGTATGTTTACTCGTCCAGAGTTGACCTTCGCCTCAATCTTTGACTGACCATTCCTAGATATCTCTCGGGAAACTTTGCACCTATAAACCAGACACTACCACTAACTAGATGTACCTACGATGGAGACATCCCGTCGGAGCTTGCAGGTGGTGAATACGTCCGCAATGGCGGCAATCCTGTGTCCAACGAAGATTTGGGTCGTGACGCCCATTGGTTTGATGGCGATGGCATGCTAAGTGGTGTCTCGTTCACCAGGCAAGCAGACGGCTCTGTTCAGCCCGAGTTTGTCAACCAGTACATTTTGACAGACATCTTTCTCTCGACCGCCGCCTCTCCACGCCTGCGCTCGCCCATCTTGCCCAGCATCGCAACTCTGGTCAATCCCCTTTCATCCCTTATCACTATCGTCCTACGCATCCTGCGCACCATTGTGCTTGTCATTCTGTCCTTCTTACCGGGTTCTACCCGCGCCATCAAGAGGATCAGTGTCGCCAATACATCCATCCTTTACCATGACGGCAGAGCATTGGCAACATGCGAGAGTGGACCGCCAATGCGCATCGCACTTCCTGGGCTGGAGACTGTTGGCTGGTACGACGGCAACCGCGCAGAGGGCGAGCCCGAATCTCATGATAATCGTGATCTGGCTTTCTCGGAAAAAGGCTTGCTGGGCTTCCTGCGTGAATGGACAACTGCTCACCCAAAGGTTGATCCGGTCACCAAGGAGATGATGCTTTTCCACTCTACCTTTCTCCCTCCATACGTTCAGTACTCTATCATCCCACCCACCTCTGCTCGCTCCGAGACCAACCAAGGCATTGTCCAGCGCCCTGTCCCGGGTATCGCCGGCGCCAAAATGATGCATGACTTTGGTGTATCTCTCAAGCACACAGTCATCATGGATCTTCCCCTCTCTCTCGACCCCTTCAATCTGGCCAAGAACAAGCCCGTCATTGAATACGATGCTGCAAAGCCTGCCCGCTTTGGTGTCTTTCCTCGTCATCATCCAGAACAAGTCAAGTACTTTGNNGAAACCACAGCTTGTTGTATCTTCCATACTGCAAATGCTTGGGACGACTTCGACCCTGAGGGCCAGGTTGAGACCGTCCACCTCTTAACCTGTAGGCTGACATCTGCTTCTCTGGTCTTCAGTGCTGGCAATATTGCTGCACCTCGTTCAACCAAGGAAACCGCCAAGGCCGTCAAGAAGAACATGCCTTTTTCTCAAAAATACAATGCAGATGAANAATGCTTGTTTGAAGGAGCACCTACCTTAGAATCGCCTGGTCTGGAACGCGAACATCTAATCAAGATGAAGACCAACCAGGACAGTCCTTCTTACTTCGATGAGCAAGACGACGATGTCGAAGAAATTCCTGAGGAAGACGATCAATGCCGGCTCTACCATTATGCATTCTCACTCAAGTCCTCCCAGATCACTGCACAGTACGCATTGTCTGCAATTTCTTTCGAGTTTCCTTCCGTCCATCCCGACTTTGACATGCAGAAAGCTCGCTTTGTCTACGGATGCACTACATCTGTCTCTTCATTCAACGCGGCTCTAGGCCGTTCCGTAAAGATCGATGCCCTAGCTAAAATTGACACCAAAACACTTATCGAGAAGGGTGATCGATTGGCCGATATGGGGAAGCTCGAANAAATCACTGGCTGTGTCGATACTCGCACTGTTCAGGAGATCATGGACAACCCTCTTGAAAACGATTCAATTCAGATCTTCCGTATGCCTGCCGGTTGGTTCGCACAGGAGCCCAGGTTTGTCCCACGTAAGCCTGCTCCGGGCCAAACCTTGGCGGAAGACGATGGCTACCTTCTCACATATGCCTTCGACGAATCTCAGTTAGGCCTTGATGGTGAAGTGCCATCCGACACAGATGCCATGAACAGAGCAAAGAGTGAACTTTGGATCATCGATGCCAAAGATATGAGCACAGTAATTGGCAGAGTTGCTCTTCCCCAACGTGTTCCTTATGGACTTCATGGTTCATGGTTCCCTGAGGAAGACATTCTCGGCCAAAAGGCTATTGACACGGTTCGCAGTATCAGCGAAGCCAATTCAAAGAAATACGAAAGCACCTGGATGAACATCAGGGCTTCGATAGAGGGCATGCTCTCTTAATGTTTACACGATAATGAATGCATCATGAAGGAGTTTTGGGACATTGGCATGAGTCTTCCTACACACAAAAGACAAGATTGGCGTTCTTTGGGCTTTATAATACATCACAATACCCACATTTGTTTTCTAGGCATGATAATAATAATACTAGATTTGTTCTGCGTCACAAGATGTGAGAATGTGCTTGATTGGCAGACATGAATTCATCAGATATCGTAGACTCGTGACTATATACACTTTTCTTTTAGGCACGGTGCCAGGTAACCAACCGACGAGCCCACGAAGGAGACTTTTTGTGTGTCTGCTCGGCACTGCTGGTAGGGTTGCTCGCCGACCTCAATGCATTGCTCGAACGCGAACTTCTTAGCTTCTGTGCCACCTTCTGTCTCAAAGGCAACTTCTCATCCTCGTCATCCTCGAAGAAGCTGCCGGTGGGCCATGCAGGGCTGGTCGCCACCAACGTCGACGAAGAAGAATCTCTGGTTCTGTCTACGGCGTTTCTGCCCGATTTGAGCGAGTCCTCCAAAACCATGTCTACCGTTTCGCCTGACCAGCGCGAAGGCGGTTGGTCAGAGACGCTGGTTTGCTGTGTGGAGGAAGCGCTGGTTGTGCGCATGCGAGGGGAGGTTTGGGGACGCTTGGGTGAGGAAGTAGGGGAAGAGGAGGAGAGGTTTGCAGCAGGTTGGACGCGGACAGACATGCATGAGTCTGAGCGCGAACGCTCTGAAGATGCTAGTGAGGAGGTGCGAGGGCGGTGTTGGCTAGTGTGGCTTTGATGGGAAATGATACTGCCATTGTCGCTGATCACGCTGATGCGTGGGGTTGATGGCTGAGGCTGCTCCTTGGGGAAGAGAGTGTAAGAGTGTCTTTGAGGTGTTGAGGGAGACTGTCTTTGAGGAGAGGAAGGTGTTTGCCTTTGAGGTGAAGAAGGAACATGCCTTTGAGGTGAGGGCGGGGGATTGTCTCTGAGGAGATGGAGGAGACTGTCTTGATGGCGACGANNAGGAGTTTGTCTTGATGGCGGCAAGGCACCCTTGGTTCCATGTGCCGTCCTTGGTCGTTCAACTGAGGGCTGATAGTGTATGTAGGATGGCTCAGGTGTGGGTTCAAGACCAAAGTCAAATGCAGCCATGGCTCCACTCTGGTTGCAAGGCTCCTCGGCAGAGACAACTCTAGACAGGGGAGTGTGATAAGATGCTTGAAGGTAGTAGTCCAAGATCATGTGTTCTTCCGAGTCAGACTCGGGAGAGAATGGTCGCTCAAATGGAGGCTCTTCGATAAACATGGCTTCATGCTTGCGACGATGAGCGTTGATTGGAAGAGGAGGATGTACCACTCTGGGAGTCTTGTATGCGTTGTGGTTCTCTGCCTGAGAACATGTGCCTGGTAATGGTCGACGTGCCATGGACCTAAGGTTGGGCTGAGACTTTGTCCTCATCTGACGCTGTTGTGGTTGCCCTGGTATCCTAAGCCTCTCTTCCCTAGGCTGTGGTCTCTCATAAGCGGTATCCATGGGATAATTTCTAACGCTCTGCATGGTTGTTCGTCCTATCGATTATTCGGATGAACTATTGGGGTAGGGGTTCTGTTGCATAAGATATGCCAGGAGGAGCGAACTGCGTGAGGGTACCCAAGAGTGAGGTGGAAATGAGTATCAAAACAACAAACAGTCGCGGGAATGTAGAGTTTTGTTTTGACTGTCATGGGTTATACCTCCTATAAAGACCAGAGCATTCCCCACCTGGGTACTAGGAAAGGGGATGGAATGTTGAAGCCATGAAGCCAGGGCCCATAACGGCATGCGGGTTGATCGTGGATTTTTCATAGCGATCGTGCATGGTGTTTACTGTGGATTACTTTGTACTGATTGTGAAAACTGCAAGGCTTCGCAGCAGAGGCGAAGGATTGGCTTCATGTGCAAGGGGTGTCAACTATAGCGAATGATCAGTTGTCTCATCCATATACATAAAGTCAGTACATTCATCGGATGGTTTTCCTCGCGCAAGCTTCAAGTTTCCTTTGCACATGTTGTGTACAGGGGTACGCTTCTGCATTGTTGACAAAACGTCGAAGCCGTTAGAGGGTAAGAAGGGAGAGACCGTTGAAAGGGGGGGAGAAAGCAGGGTCAGTCTCTCAGCTAGAAAATTGTTTAACGACAACTGATCCGTGAACCAGTTCGGGCTGACATTTGACAACAACTGCCAGCCTCTGCACGTCGTCGGCGCGACTCAGGCCCAGCTTTGACGCCAAATGTTGTTATGCCTCTTGCAAGCTTTGCTGCCGTTTTCAGGGGGAGATGGGTCTTGAACTGCTCGTTCATGCACCGTTGCGTGATACTCATCGTTGTTTTCGCGAGGGCGAGGTCTGTGACAGGAGGTACATTGTACACACCGCAAGTTTGACCTTCGTTGTTGGAGCCCTGCCTTTGTGTCTTGTCCCTCGCGCCGTGTCCCTGCAAGTCAGTGAACCGAAAACCAACCAGCGGACCCGCTGCATTTCAACTGTGCGGGCCGACACCAGCGGGCAGCAGCTTGCTTGCGTTTGGTGGTTGCTTTGTGGGTGTCTAGCCTTGCTTGATCGTTGCAAAAGTTCACTGTGTGTGCCATGTCATAGCGAATCCTGATCTGGAAGCCTTCCGCGTGAGCAGATACAAGGAACATGATGTTTGCTAGGAGTACCAGGTGTAATGCAGCAACAATCGATGCAAGGCGCCTACAGTTACCATCTCTGATCAACCGATCTAGATCGCAGGTAACATTCCTGCCAGTTTCGTGAATAAATATGACTTGTTCACGCCGGATACTTGAATCGTGCTCGATGATGTGGGGACGACCCTGGTGCTGACCTGACATACCTCTAAACCATCAACCACTTTTAGTCAGCCTTGGTATTCAAGTTCAACGGGAGCCAGGATCTCATATAATACACAGAGCCTCGGATGTCTTGTGTATAAGGTCGCCTGTGGAGCTCCGTCAAGCAACAATGGGTCCCAAGCGCAACCGGACCAAAATATACATATACTTCCCGTTCACGACCAGACTCGCCTGTGTGTTTACGAAGGAGGGACTACGCACGAAAACGTCTTATAATCATTGTCAACGCTGAAGAGCCCTCTATAATATTATTGATCATGACACTAGTTTAGGAATAGTACGAGGCTAGCAAACAACATGAAGCAAATCGATCATACATGAAAGCCCTCCATAACGTCACACTTACTCCACACTTGACTGGTTTATAAGTACTCGCTGCCAGGTTCAACTGGGGTTTTACCAAATCGCATCAAAACAGCAATGGATTACGGCTCGAAAGGCTCGGTGAGCCCAGCTGCTGCTGGCAACCCACATATACGGATCCCCAATATGAAACCTCAAGCGATGGCTTCAGCAACAACCAATGTGCTAGGGCTCCTGCACGACAACTTGCTACCATCTCTGAACTTGCACTCATCTCTTGCGCTTGTCGCCTACACTGCCAGTCGTGTGACTCGTCGCGTCGAACTCAAGGACTGGCTATGGCCTTCAGGAATGGTGCTCAATGCTTGGTATCACGGAGTTTGGTCACGCAGCGCAGAAACCGGACTTAGTCTCAGTGAATCACTATCAACCCTTGGCTGGACGCAGAAGCTTCTTCTTGGTGGTGTTACGCTTTGGGGTGCTCGCCTGTTTGCCCGCATCGCTACTCGCAGTGTCAAGCGTGGAAAGGACGATCCCAGATACGACGGCATGAACCAGGATACCAGCTTCTGGAATAAAGCCTTCTTCACTGTCTTTTTACCCGAGGCAGTTTTCCAAGCACTCATCTCGCTCTCATGGTCCGTAGCTTTGCAGCAGGGTACCATTGGAAGCATTGAAGCCACGCCTCCGCAATACGGTGCCCTACTGCATGGACTTGCAATCGGACTCTACACCACTGGTCTTAACATGGAAGCTCTGGCCGACCAGCAGCTCGAAGAGCACAAGAAGAAGAGCGATGATCTCAACCGCAGCGGTGTCTTCTCGATCGTGCGTCACCCCAACTACCTCGGCGATACTCTGGTCCACTTCTCATTCCCACTGCTCCTTGCTGCGAACGGCATGTTCAACACGCTCAGTGTCGTAGGACCCTTGGCCAATTACGTCTTCCTGCGCTTCATTGGCGGCGACAAGCAGAATGAGGAATCCCAAGAGCAACGATATAAGACAGAAGCACCCAAGAAGTATGCCCAGCTGGAGGAGTGGCGCGCAAACAAGAATAGCTTCTGGCCTGCGATGAGAGAAGTAACGAACCCTTGGTCACTTGCTCTGATTGGAATTGGCGCCGTCGGTGTCTTGGCTGAGCGTGGGCTCAGAAGATTTATGTTGGCCTAGAAAAAATCGGCCAGGAAGCGACTCTACATGTAACTTCTGGAAAGGGATGTAGATGTCAAAAAATAATAATAATAATGATACAATCTTGCTACGAAAAACAAGAGAGGAAGAGAGGTGAAATCGAGCCAACGTTATTCATGTGGTATTGTACAGAACAGGATAGGAAACGAGAGTTTAGTACTGCGAGGCAGCGGACTGGCATGCCTTGAGCTGGTCAAGGTACCAGCCGCAGATGGTCAGACTGCCCTGGTTCTCGTCCATGCAGCGACGGAAGTTTGTGACATCGGTCTCACAAGCTCTGGGAGCCTGGTAGTTGGATGAGGTGTAGGTGCTGTTGTCGGCAGGGTTGGCAGGAGCCTGAGCTTGCTGCTCGACGGGGGCTGAAGAGCCGCCACCGAAGAAACCGCCAATTGCGTGACCGATAGAAGAGCCGACGGCGACACCACTGTGATGCACATGTTAGCTCGAGTCGTTTCAGAGCTTCTCGGACAGGCCGAGTGAGTAGAACAAGACTTACGCAGCAGTGCTAGCCATCTGGCCGAAAAGACCGGGACCAGCGCTCTGCTGAGGAGCAGCAGGAGCAGCGGCAGGTGGGGGAGGGGCGTGGTGCTGAGGAGGGTGAGCAGCAGTAGAAGCTGAGCGAGCCTGCTGGGGAGTGGGTGGCGCAGGACGAGCGGGAGCGGCGGTAGGGCGCCTGGGAGGGGCAGCAGATCCACGGCTCTGGCGAGGCATGTTGATGGCTGATGTGAGAGTGTAGTTGTTTTGGAGTGAGAGGCGTAGGTGTTTGAGTGGCAGAGGTGGGATAGAAGTCAAGGTGCTGGGTAACTGTGACAAAACTAATGCTCGCTTCGGAGGTTGTGATTGGCTCAGCCTCGGCTTTGCGGGAGCCGCCGCGCCCTCATGTCTGCTTCTAGAAGTCGCGTTTGAGCCTCTCCAGAAATTTCCACCATCATCGCAAATCACCCATCACAACCACCATGGACACCGATCTACGGCCCCTGGTCGACAGCCTCGCCAGTAACATCGACAATGTCGAGGAATCTCTTGCGCCTCTAATCAACACTGCCCTGTCTGCCAGCACAAGCAAACTTCCTCTGCTCGACAAGGCCAAACTCTACACTCTCGTCACATACGCCATCGAGTCTTTGCTGTTCTCATACCTGCGTCTCAACGGTCTCGACGCAAAGACACACCCTGTTTTTGCCGAACTCAACCGCGTCAAGCAATACTTTGAAAAGATCAAACTCGCAGAGACTTCGCATGTCAAGCGCAATGCCACTCTGGACAAGGCTGCTGCAGGACGTTTCATCAAGCACGGTCTCGCTGGAAATGATGAGTATGACAGAAAACGTGCAGAGCAACAGGAGAAGGAAAAGAGTGGCGCCAAGAGAAAGTTTGAAGACATGACCGAAAGAGTTGGTAGTCACTCGCGCTTTGAGGCTATGAGCAGGAAGATGAACGACGACGAGGCAGAGAGCAGTGCCAAAGACGTCGAGAACAGCGAATCTGATTCCAAGAAGAAGGCCGGCTCGTCCAAAACAGTTGCTCCTAAGAAACAGAAATCTGACAAGGCTCCTCGTGGACACAAAGCCGCCTTCCAAGCCTTGCTGCAAGGCCCTATACCGACCGACGAGNGAACCAAAGAAAAGAAGAAGAGAAAGAGCAAGGGTGGCAAGGACACTTAAGGACAACGCTTTCTACCGAATCGCCATCACTTCAAACTATTATTGTCCTACTCGACATGGAACACTTCATCTAGCGCGCGCCACCAGCCACCGTCGACACTGCTGGTAGCACCCTCGTTCAGGCTCTCCTGCATCTTATCAGTCACCTTCCACCATCTCTGCGTCTCTTCATCTTCAGCCATAGCCTTCATATCGGCATCGAAGTCAGTGCCGGTATACTTGAACGTGGCGAACAGGATGCTGGATTGTTTGTCGTAGAAGATGGTGTAATCATGGATGTTGCTGCCTGCAATCCTCTTCAAGACGCCAGGCCAGACCTCCGAATGGATCTTGATGTATTCATCGACATACTCTCTGCGCAGACGAATGGATTGGCCAATGCGTTGAACAGGCATGTTGGGCGGATACTGGCCAAGTCAGTAACCTGGAATCGACAAGACGGGACTTCACAAGTGCATGTACTTATGTTCTGGGAAGAGGGAAGACTGGAGAAGGAAGATAACTAAATTTGCGGACCCCGCCGATGTAAAAACATAGCTCCTAAGCTGGCTCGTATGAAAGAGAGCCGAGACGGATTGGCTTTGCCCCGTGGCGTGCCCCACTCAAAAGACAAGCTTCCAACAACCATTCTACAAGCGTGACCTCTCCAGACCATATGAACTTGTGCTAGAAGTATAATCTAGCTCATGTTCGTTTTTGCAAGATCAGTGCTGAAACTCAGACATGAGTTTGACCTGAAGTGACTGCAAATAGCCATTGTGAGCAAAACGAGGTTACGGAGAACATCCAAAGTTTATCTGCCCCCTTCTCCACACAATGAAACGGGATTTGTACCAGAACGTGGCCGCCTCGAAGTTGATCAAGCTTGAAGATACGGGCTAGCTGGTGGTTGCACTCACGAACTTCAGACACGAAGTGGACAGGCGCTGAGTTTTGAGAAGTTGGTCAAGGAAAAGTATTGATGGCACACCAGACGTCATTCATAGGCTTCAGGGGTTGGCGGCGTGTTTGGTCGCAAGTGATTGATGATTGGTCGGCTCACTGAACCTGGTCGGCGTGACTCGCGCGCATAACGTTGGAAAGTTCTGCAAAAGCACAACGGATTACAAGTGGGCACCGCTGGTCAGAGAAGAAAAGACTAACGCGGCTGCAGTGCTCTAGAGGCTTTGAGCACATCGAGAAGGCCTTTCTTCGTCGTAGCGCCCCGCAGAAGCAAAAGCAGGAAGAGCAGTGGTAGCGATTCGGTTCTACCCGGCGGCATAATAGGATTAGGAGCTCAACTCAACCAATCGCAGAGTCGAGCCCCCAAGTGAACTTCAGATCCATTGTCCATACCGCCATATCAGGAGCCTGACGGTTTTTTCTGCCATTGCTGCTTCACCTGGTGATTTTCTTGACGACTTGCCTGGTGCTCCAATCAGACGACACTAGCCCTGACGTGTAGACGGTGAAAGAAGGCATGTTTACCGCCTTCTCGGTGCCAGAGCCGCATCTTGCTAACCTTCACTGCAGCAGCCTTCTAATTGTGTCGTTCACTGCCCTCCGAGACCGATTCTCTTTCACCTGGACCTACAAGTGACGCTCCGAATACGAAAGCATCTACAAAGCTTGGAAGCCCCGTCAACACCCTCTCTCGCACGACATCATCACCCTCCGTGTCACCTACCCTCACATCAGAACACCACACCCAAAGATCGTCTCTACAATGGCATCCAACCCTCAAACACAGTCACTCAAGGTACGCCTACCTAAAATCCCCTGGAAAACTGGAAGTCGCTAAACAACAATTCTAGTGTGTCGTCACAGGAGATGGTGCTGTCGGCAAGGTTCGTGCTTCTCTTTGCCTTTGTGCGACAACCAACTAACTCGTGTACCAGACTTGTCTCCTGATCTCGTACACGACTAATGCCTTCCCTGGCGAGTACATCCCTACTGTGTATGTTTCACAAGATCGTCGGCCAGGCGCACAACTCGTAAACTAACATGCTGATGCCCCGACAGCTNTTGACAACTACTCTGCAAGCGTCATGGTTGATGGCAAGCCCATCAGTCTTGGTCTCTGGGATACTGCTGGTCAGGAAGATTACGACCGTCTTCGTCCTCTCTCATACCCTCAGACCGACGTCTTCCTCATTTGTTTCTCCATCGTCAGCCCTCCTTCCTTCGACAACGTAAAGGCAAAGGTACGTAACGCAAAAGCAAACAAGAGAGCGGAATGATGTCTGACCAAGCGAACAGNNTGGCACCCCGAAATTGAGCACCACGCACCCGGAGTTCCCATCATCCTGGTCGGAACCAAGCTCGATCTTCGCGACGATGAGGGCACCAAGGAGAGCTTGAGACAAAAGAAGATGGCACCCATCCAGTACGAGCAGGCCATCAGCGTTGCCAAGGAGATCAAGGCAGTCAAGTACATGGAGTGCTCTGCCCTCACACAGCGCAACCTCAAGAGCGTCTTTGATGAGGCTATCAGGTGCGTACCCAAAGTTCAGAATTGCAAAATGCAGACCACTGACACGTCATGACNNAGAGCCGTTCTCAGCCCTCGCCCTACCTCGAAGCCCAAGAAGCAAAAATGCATCATTCTCTGAGCTGGCAGGCAAGACTCACACCGACAACCCCTTACTTCACACAACATTCGCATTTTCACGGCATGATAGATCTCTTTAATCTCGTTGCCAAGTCTAGTTTCTGGGAGTCGCTGGCGTTGGATCCTTTGATGTTGGGGGAGCAGCGGCAGTGTTCAGCGCAGATACCCACTTGACGCAAGCAACACGCATACACACACACAGACTAGCACAGGACGCAGACTCAGCCATGGCTTGCGCTCAGGCCTCTAGGTTCACAAAGGCACCTCTGGATGGAACGGACAGTTTCATAGTGTGGATTGAACTCAAGAGGAGGACAATACCAGAGGAATGACATAGACGGCCGAGCAAAAAGACATGGTCGCGTGTGTCGGTTGACATGGTTGCATTGATGGCCCTCTTTTTCTTTCTTACAGCGTTGTGTACATATGGTCTGCATGAACTTTTTTTTAATTTATTAATTGCTCGTTCGCTATGTTCAAAGTGTTCTAGATGTATGGAATGGTCGATGCCAAGCAAAGGCCAGAGGCGTCCGGGGCCGAGTTGGGGCAAGTCTTCGCGACAAATTATTATCATCAGGCGACTGGCAACGCAATTGAAGACGCGACCGGCCACGACCGAAGCAAAGAAAGAGACGGACAAGAATGGGCTTGAACTGAGGCAGCCATGGACTTGCAATGTTCCGAAGCCGTAGACGAGTGCCATCAGAGGGAGCGCTTCGGGTGCTGCGCCAGCTCGCATACATCTCATCTGGTACTGCATGCGGTGCTGCCGCCATTATAGCAGAAGAGCGCCGCCGCCAGACAAACCTCGTTTCCAAAATCGCCGAGAACTCGCGTCGCTTGAAACAACACCCTCGCTACCAGCATGCCCACGCTGCTCATCGCAGACTTGCCGACGATGCTTCCCACTCGACCGTCACATCCAATACCATTGACCCTTCGATACCAGGCGATGACCTAGTCCCACAGGCAGAGACCTTCCGGAACAATCTCCTACCCTCCGAGGTCGAGCGAGGATACGCCAAACTCAACGCACACCAACCACCGAACGACCAAAAGAGTCAACCTACTCAGAACCCCCGCCCAAAACAACATGCCACCAATAAGTCAAAGACTGCCCTTTCGCATGACCTATCCTTCTTGACGACCGCTTTAAAATCCTATGGTCCGGCCAGCGCAGTGGCCAGCTTTAACAAACGCTGCGACAGGCTTATTGACAGTAACCAGAGAAACACGGCATTTGGCCTTCTCAGAGCAGCCTTTGATCATTTTAAACAACAAAGCATCATCATTGATGCACTCCAATATACCGCCACTCGTTTGTTCTACTCGTACCTAGCCGACCAGAGCTTCAAGAACTGTCGTAAGCTGCTGGATCGTATGGAGCAGCAAGGATGGTCTATCACACACTGTCTCGACAGCATCGCGGTTGCCTGTACTGAGCCTTTTCGGCCCACAGAGTTGATTCATTTGAGCGAGAAATATGGTGACAGGTTCGCCTTTCCTCAAAGCACCTATCCTGCTCTATGTGCAGCGTACTCGACCCGCAATCCTGAATTTTGCGCCCTGCTGTTTGCAAAACACATACCAAGGTCAGATCGCTTTTCAGTGCTAACTTCATGCGAATCTGCCTGGCCTGCCATCATCAACCACATGTGGTCCACTACACACAACTACAATCTTGTCGACTCGTTCTTTACCCATATGTGCAAATCGGTGGATCAACCGCCTCTTGCTCTTTACAATGCAATGATTCAAGTTTGCCTTCAATCCGGCAGGGTCGACCGAGCTCACCATCATCTTCAGACCATTCAGCAGAGCAAACACATCCAACCGGACGTTGTTACTTTTGGCCATTTTGTCTACAAGACTTCTTCGGAGGCTGATTGGCCAGCCATAGATGACCTGATGGCCATGCTGGTCCGAGCAGGAGAAACAGAAGCGCCTCTAATGAAACGTACCGATCTGTTTATCCCTGTCCTCAAGGCATATGCCACGCATCATCATCCCGAAGAAGTCTGGATTTTCACCTTCAGGGCCATCGACCAATACGGCATTCTTCCTGACCCACGTATAATGAGCATTGGTCTTGGACACCTCATCAGGGTTGGCCGCTTGGGATTGATACCTGGATGGGTCAACAAAATGTCGACCTATGATCACGGTGCATGGATTACTCCCAAAACAGCCTTAAGCATGCTGCGGCAGTTCTACTTCGACAACAGGCCCTCCCATACCGTCTTGGTGTGGCTTTGCCGTCGTTTGATGGACAACGCGCCAGAGTACTGGTCTCCAGGCGTCCTCGATTTGTTACGCGAGGCCGTAGCATACGATATCCGAGGCTATCGAGAGGGCCAATCTCACAGAAGACGGCATGCAATGTATATGCTCGACATGTTGCAGCAAGTTAATCTGGACTCGCCGAGCTTGCCAAGACCTCTGTATTGGTATGAGTTACGGCAGCTTACCGACCGCGACCAACCATCTGCTCCACCCTTGATTGCAGAGTCGACTGTACGAAATGCAACAAACGACGAACCACAGGTGGAAACTAGGCTAGAGGACTTGAACGAACTGCAGCCATTGGAAGACGAACGGCAGCCATTGGAAGACGAACCATTCGTGGATAATCTGCCAAATACCGCACTCTCTACAGCCGCTCGCAAGAGGTTATCGAACGAGCACGAAATGCTTATGGCCCTGTCGAAAGGTCGTTACACTGAGGTTCTGAATTTGTACGAGAGCAGCCTAGGACAGAGCGGCTTGCCTGCTTCATCGTATTCTCTGGAACTGGCAATGCAGGCTCGTACGAAACTGCCAGATGATGCTGGAGCATTCGGTGACTATCTCGATACAGCAAGCGAAGCCGGCATGGAAACGATAGCGGCATTGATACCGCTTTTGACCCAACAAGTACAGAACTCTGTAGTGGGCTCGCGGATGCATATTGACGAGCTCTGCGCGACCGTACGGTCTTTCTATGAGAACATGGTCAAGAACAACGTCACCATCAGACATCACCTGGCCACATCAGCAGCAACGGTCCTGCTTCAGAACAACAAGGCAAACGATGCAATTCAGCTGCTCTCGCAGATTTACCATTCGAGCTGGGCCGAGAAAGTACCTTTCGATCTGCCAGCCATGACTGTCTTGCTCCAAGCATACATCCATGTATCTCACAGCTCGGGCATCGAGTGGGTCATCAAAGAGGTCCTCGCATGTGATTATCGCATCGACTACGCCTTCATGACCGTAATTCGAAATGCCAGGAAACAAGCCTGGGGGCGATCACAAGCTGGAGGCGACAAAGGCATGAACAACCTCAGACTGTTGAGAATGCTCGAGTACTACGCAGACGTCTGCAGAGCAAAGCAAAAGACACAGATCAAGCGAGCGTCACGGCTGGGCAATCGTCTTGTTAATGCTATGATTAGACTTGCTGAGCCTATATCGACGGACGCACCTTGGCAGCGACAAGCAGAGCGTCATGGTCTTGATCCTGACATGTGGTCGCAACGTGGTACTATCTGGCGGGTCGTCTACCGGAGAAGAATCCGAAGGCGAGGATGGAGGCGACATTCCTATATTGTCACCAAGGAACGAGTTAGGCAGGAGCAGGTCGAGGAAGAACCAAATGAGTCTGACTCGAATTGGCAGGCAGCAGCGTTGTATCAGCGGATTGATTCTGGAAACAGGCGTTATCAAGGAGTGGAAAAAGGTATCTCACGAGCCGATGGAACTGTATATATCGGGAAGCATTCGGACAATATGTAGAACATCTTCTGTACTATTATAAATGCACTGTATAAAGAACATTTGAAACTGCTTTTTGGTATTCGTAACACTCTTATGATGGCTTTTTGAAGGTATTATGCTAGTCCAGTCCTATCTCCCGACTGTAATGCACAGTTTTCTTAGTACAAAACCATTATATGGTTCGCTGCCTTTGTTTGGTTCTTGCCCGTACTAGGTATGTGCTACCTTGGCTGGCCTCGGCTTGCATACCCTCGCAAGTATGCATTGCCACTTCTTCCCTTCTCAGTTGTCATTCACCGCTCAATCCTCATCCCAGTTGGGGTTAGGGCCTGGCGGCTTGGGACCACCTGCCTGGCGGGCAACAATGATCTGATCGACACTGAGGACCGTTCTGGCGGACTCGGTGGCGAGCTTGATGGCCCATTGCTTGGTAACCATAAGGTCGAGGATACCCTCATCTTGAGCGTCGAGCACACCATCACCGTTGTTGTTCTCAATGTCAACACCTGCACTGCAGACGCTGCTGTCCTTTGATGACTTTGCGCTGTGCGCAGTGTAGAGGGAAGCAAGGATCTCAGTAGCGTCGAGACCGGCGCTCTCGGCTAGAAGACGAGGCACCACCTCGAATGCCTCTGCGTACTTGCGGATGGCGTATTGTGAAAGACCCGAAGTCTTGTCTGCAAAGGCGGAGATGCGCTCAACGAGCTGCATCTCTGCGGCTCCGGCACCGGGAACGAGGCGGGCATCTCTGGTGATGGCCTTGACAACGTTGACACCATCATCGACGGCGCGCTCGACGTCTTCAAGGTGGTTCTGAGTGGCGCCACGGAGGACGAGGGTAGCGGTACGGGTGGTGTCGTTCTCCTGACGGAAGACAGTGACGCGGTCACCACCGATTTCAATGGTCTCGACAATGTCGACGGAACCCATCTCGTCGGGCATGGGTGCACCGAGACGAGCAAGAGGGGTGGCGCCAACGACTCTGCAAAGGCGGCGGAGTTCGAACTTAGACATGATCTTGATGACAAGGATGCCGTAGCGGTTGAGGTAGTGCATGGGCAGCTCGCCAACCGAGTTACCAGCAACAACGACACGAACGCCTGAGTCGTGCAGCTCCTTGATGGCCTGGTCGATTTGTGATTCCTCACCCTTGGTGAAGTCGAGCATTTCCTGGGCGTTCTTGAGCAGGACGGTGCCCTTGGTCTCGGTCTGTGCAATGTCGATAGGGCAGCTGAAGACACCGACCTTTGCCTTTTGAACGTTCTTGACAGTACCCTCGGGCTCACGGCCGAAGACCATACCCTTGACAACACGCGACTGCTCAATCGAGCCACCCATGATCTTGACGACACGGACGTTGTCCACGTTGAAGTTGAAGGTGTTCTTGGGCAGGACGGCGAGCACGGCTTCAGCGACCAGGTTGGCCAGAACTTCCTCGTGGCCGGATTGTTTGGCAGCGATGACGGTACGGAGAGCCTTGGACAGCTCCTCCTGGTCGCGCAAGTCCTTGACACGGTCGACCTCGAGTTCCTCCAGCACTCTCAGGGCCTCCTGGCCAGCACGCTCGTAACCCACGACAATGTCACTGGTCTTGAGGCCCATGCGCAACAACTCCTCGGCCTTCTTGAGCAATTCTCCAGCCAGCACGATAACCATGTTTGTAGCGTCGCCCATCTCGGCCTCTTGCTGTTGACTGGCCATGACCAGTAGCTTAGCAGCCGGGTGCACGACTTCGAGTTCTCTGAGGATAGTGGCGGCGTCCGAGGTGAGGATCATCTTCTGCAGGTGGTTGATGACAATCTTGTTGCGTCCGTAGGGGCCTAGCGATGTAGCCACGGTATCTGAGATGGTTCGGCATGCGTCAATGTTGCGCACGACTGCGCCGTCTTCGGCATCGTAGCTGNNGTTGTATGTTAGTCTTCTTGTACTCGGGACTTGTCCTTGTCGTAAGCTCCCTCATCGATGAGCTCTGCCAGCGTTTCGGTGCTCAACAAGAGTGTATAGGCAATGCTGGACTCACTTTTGGTATCCGGCCTTGAACAGACCGCTGTTGGGCGCATTCGGTATTGAGAGCGACATTGTGGTGTGTGCAGGTGGTTGGCAAACAAATAATTATGCTTCCTGGCCCTGACCTTGAAAACATACGCCGCACTCCCGTCGTCTCTCCGCGCCAAGATGTCCTCCCGCCGCAGTTACTGCTGCTCTCCGACCTCCTCTACTGAGTACCACTTCGCTGTCCAGAACACATTTTGATGCGCCGGTCTCGTCGATTGTTGGCTATTTTCATGTGTTTTCTGCGCAATTGCTCATTGGTGACCTCGGGTCGTCACCTGCGACAGCCTAAGGCAGCATGCAAGCTATATAATGATGGTAGAACCCAAAGCGAGATACAGTATGCTGAATGAAGTCCCTACGAGACAAAGACTCTACAGAATCTGCTCTATTTCTTTAAAATATATCACAGATTCATATTCAGGAATATTTCTCCCATTCATTTGCTACACTATCCGCGTCTTTTGCTAATCCTGTCACGAGTTATGCCAAACAATGTAGAAATGAAATGTTGGAAAAAGCGGTTGTGTTAGAAGAACAAGCAATAAAAGAGAAACAACGATGATAACCAAAGAAGAAAGATCAAAAGTGTAAAGGGGTATTGCGCCTCTCGGGCTGCAGCCTCTGCTGCTGGCCACTGCCACCATCCATCTCCTGCTGACATGCCTGCTATGCTTCAGCGGCTCCCGACAATTAAACATATGAAAAACAGAATCTTGTCCGCACACAGGTTTGAAAAGAAATAGAGAAAACCTGGTGCCCCTCACCCCAGCCAACAACTTCCACCAATCAATTATCCTCCGAAACACATCAAAGAGAAAAGAGAAAAAAAAGAGAAACGAAAATTATTCTTCTTCCACAGCGTAATCTCCCCCAGTCCCGCCAGGGAGGGCCTCTCTTACTTTTGTACAGTGGGTGAGCTGCGTCTCACCCTGCACATGATCCAACGTCCTGCGCCATCCAACGCCTTTGACATATGCTCTTTTCTGGCCTTTTTTCTGTATTCTGGGTCGTTGCATCACAGTGCCACGTCGAGCACTAGGCTGACATCACTTACTTGTGGTCCTGCAAGGTCTTCCAGCACCGGAATGAGGTCCAGAAGTTCGTTGTCATGGGCGTCCGAGAACCAACTGCTGATGGGCACAGCGTGCTGAGGATGGAAAATGTACGAGGTAGGTGAGTTGTCAATGATGATTGTCTCCTTAAGATCGCGACCAACTTGCGAGAGATCCTTGACGTAGTTGCCTTGGTGGTTGTAGCAGCTCTCGCGGAACAATCTGTGATGCACCACGCCATGGATGTCTAGTTGGTCCAGAAGCGGATCTCCATACTACGAACCGAGTCAGTTTCACACTTACCAAAATCGAATACAGCAAATGGGCAACATACCTTTNGAAACCGAAGCCGTGAACACAACGACCTCGTACAGCTCTCCCACCCTCTTCATGAATGCGTCGACCCCTGGTCTTTTGATAACATAGACATTATGGTATGTCCCTTCTATTTCCACAGGGATAGTAAAGTCCGCCTGGTGTAANAATCTGTTTTGCACATGATCAGCGTTTGAACGTCTGTAGTTTTCAAGTCTATAACCAACCTTGAAACTGCTGTGAACAAGGGTCTCGTCCAGATCCAGAATTAAGCATTTCCTGCCCTTGTGTTCAGGCCTGACAGATGGCAACAACCACTTCTGGGGCTCAGGACTAGGTACCAACGATGTGTCGTGGCTGGCCGTGTTGGGGTGTGCCACCTGTGCCTGACGCTCCACCAAAGGTGGAGGAGGAGGCAGATCGACACGCGAGCCAGACTCACGGCGAGCAGCAACATGGCTTTCATCCTCAGATGTGCCAGCTACATCGTTAGCCGAGAGAGGTAGCGAAGGGCCGACATCAGTCATTTCAATGTCCGTGTCTCTGGCCTGTTGTTCCGGGGTTCGGTCGGCAATCACGAGATCTTCGTCTGCAGTCGTCGCAATAGGGGTAGGTGCTTGAACAACGACATCAGGTTGAGTGAGATAGGGTGCGTCCGAAGAGACTTGTGTTTGCGGGTCTTGTCCATGTGCCGGTCCAGTGAAAGGCAATCCGGTCGCTATTTGAGGTGCAGAAACACCTTCGGATCTGGGCTCGGGCTGACTTTGGGCAGCCGAGGACGTCTTCTCGCTCTCCACGTTAGCTGAGGTGCCGCTTGGTTCGGCAAGGTAGGGGGTAGTAGCCGGCTTCTCATCGATAGTATCCACTGATTGCATTGTCGGGTTGGAGTTCATTGACGGTTGCTGGTCAACCTGAGAGGGTTGCGCAGGCACCGACTGGCGAGATGGCACATCCTGACCGTCTTGAGCATCGTCCGAGGAGCCACAGCAGTTCAAGAACGACAGGAACTTCGATTTCTTNTTCGGACGGGCAGCATTAGACTGAGTGGTGGCTCCGGAGAGCGGGCGGGTAGGCTTTTCACTCATTGAATTGCGGGCACGGTGAGATCGTTTGCTGCTTGCGTTGCTTCCGGCACGGGCACGTGGGCGCAGGCTACGTTTCGAGCGACGAGGTGTGACGACGGGCTGGCTTGGAGCGGCAGTAGACGGATGGTCGGGATTGTCGAGCGAGGAGGGCGAGGAAATGGCAGTGACTCCACTGCTTGGGGTTTCGGCTGTGGTACGGAGAGAGTCGGGGGCTTGAAGTGAGGTCTGTCGAGGTTCGGCCATAACTGCATACGTCAGAATGGGCGTGGAGGCACATGGGTGGTGCGGATGGTGTACGGCATACACAGGAGTAAATTAATCTATCGTAACTTCTTGATGCGCAAAGGCAAGTAACAGTGTTTGGTGAGGATAAAGAACGTCGAGTCGTGGGTGGTTGTGGTATCGGAGTGAAAGAGTGACTTGGCGGACGGCAGAGCAGGAGCAGAGATGCAGGCGCTTAAACACTCGACGAGACTCGAAGCAGAGCAGAATCGTCCAGGAAAGTCGGGCGCAGCGGCGGCGACGAGGTGCGGACGGGCAGAGCGGAGCGGGGCGAGGCAAGCGGATCAAGTCGCCGTGGTCGTCGTGCAGTCGCAGATCAAGGTCGAAGATGGGCGACGCTGTATGTTTGGAAGATGATGGCTGGTGCCAAGCAAGCGACCTGGGCCGTGCGTCCCGCGTCCGCAGACTAATCTCAACTGAATAATAAGGTCAATTTACTTTGGCCATCCGCACGTCGACGGCTGCTTGTGCTACGCGACCCTTGTCGCCCTGTGCCATCTATTACCTGCCCAATCCATGCGTGTTCCTGCAGCTGTTCTCCTGATCTGCCTGGGCCTCTGCCACCGGCTTTTCCACCAGCCAACATGTCGTGATCAGAGGATTGCTTCAAGCAACCGGGATAAACAAACCCCGCCATCAAAGCTTGACCCCGATTCTCTTTAATTGCTGTGCCCGTTTGGCCCCAGCAACGCCTGCTCTTCTTCCAAACACTGCTCCAGCCGTCAACCCCGAGCCNTGCTCCACATTAGCTTTATCACATCTTTCGTCATCTCGAATCTGCTTACCTCCAGGGTAGTTTGCGTAGAACAATCCGCCGACCGTCTCTCCTGCTGCAAACAGTCCCTCAATGCTGCTCCCATCATTCCTCACTACATTTGCTGTAGTGGGTTCAATTGCCAATCCTCCAAACGAAAAGGTTATACCCGAAGTTACTCGAACGGCTGTGAAAGGCCCTTTNACAACAGGTAACGCCCAGTTTGATTTGGGCAGCTCCAACGCCATCCGAGATGACTGCGTCGAAAGCCCGTCCTTGATCGATGGGTCAAGCTTCGCATCAGGATACTCTTCGCGGTGTGCACGAACCGCTGCGTTGTAGTCGTTGATCGTACGCACAAATTCTTGTGGCTCCCTTAGGCCCTCTTCTGAGAGCTTCTCTGCCAGTTCCTCAAGGCTCTCTGCTCGGATCTTACGAACAATGTCGTCACGATACTCTTCCTCTCGCAACCAGCCAACGGTGTCTGCGTCCCAAACCTGGAAAGCTAGCGCTTCTGGCTGCTCCAGGATTGATCTCCCAAACATCGCGTACGTGTAGTTTCTGAGATCAAAGCCTTCGTCGACGAAACGTTGGCCGCGGATATTGAGCATGAGCCCAAGCGGATATCCACTCTTGGTAAACTCATTAGTTTTGTCTCTGTCACCACCATCAGGAGACGAATCTGCGTCCCAGCTAACGCTGTGGCAACCTGTGTGGCTGTAATCGCCAGCTTTCTTTGCATCTAGATCCAGAGCTGCCAAAAGCATGTCCCCTGTGTTGTAAGGCGTTCCTCTGACGTGAGCGTGTTTCCAATTCTCTCCCATAAAGGATTCTCTGAGCTGTCGATTTGCTTCGAACCCACCAGCGCACAGAATGACGCTGGGGGCATATAGCTCAGATGTAGAAGCTGCGTTGTTCGAATCTGAGACTTGCACTCCAGCTATGCCTCCTTTCTCATCANNGAGAAGCAGGCGTTCGACCTTTGTGTCGAACAAGGTAACGATGCCCTTTGCGGTGACAGCATCAGACAAGTTTTTGATCAGACCTTTACCTCCATCCTTGACAGTAAGCGCCAGACCACCCCAGAACTTCCATCTCCCTTGCACTTCATACGCCTGACGACGGAAACTGAGCCACCAGTCCACGTGTCCATGTTCCTTGAGCCAGCGTACCGTATCCAAACTATCCTTGACAAGCACTGCTCCCAGATCTTTGTCGCTGCGCCCTCCTGTCACGCGCTGTAAATCGTGTTGAAAGTCCTCGGTTGTATATGGCGCTAGATCAATCTTATCCTGCAGCTCTGGGGGTACGTTGGAGACCAGTGGCAGAAGAGAGGATAATCCATCGTGAGCGGTGCGATAGGCACCGGCTGTGAAGTAGCCATTGCCTCCTCTCCACTCACGTGGTGCCTTCTCGACTATGACAATGCGGAGATCGGGGTTGGACACTTTGGCTGAGAGGGCTGCCGTCAGTCCAGCCGCGCCGGATCCAACGACGATGATGTCGTAGTGATTTGCATACAATGATCCTTGAAGCATTGTGTTGTACAGTTTCGATAGAGTCCAAGTCTCTGTGTGAGAAGAACATCTAAGTATTGTCGCGCTTGAGTTATGACATGTTTCCCCTCGGTAGAACCATCGGGAAGAACAGCGAAGGCGTGTCGATCATCACGATATAACATCAGTCTCGGGTAACAACATGTGTCTAATCAACAGCAACAATGCAGACAGCAGACTAGTTTTAGACATTGCTTGCCATGAAGATCAGCGCAGAGACCATCACTCGACGGACAAGAAGGAGAAGCGAATACAATGACAGGGTCACACAGTCAACACGTAATCGACGAGCATGTGGATATATGAATGCATCGATTGTTAGGATCGTTTTAGCAATTTTGTTATCCGATACCTTACACAGACAGCCTGCTGCCATTGAACATTGTCGACGCCATCGCCTCAGATCGACCTCTGGTCCGCACATGTGGAGGATACACATACAATGAACATACAAACCACGATGAGATGACCTGGCTTTACCTTCAGGTAGACAGACCCCGTGATACACGTCGAAGACTGACCAACTCAAGTTGTGGCACTTCCAGCATCTGGACTTCTTTCTCATATTCCTGCTCCTTGTCACTCATCTTNTTCCACCAGGTGACAAATTCAGCAGCCGTTGACTCAGATACAGGTTGTACACCATCGCATCGAAGATCCAGCCAAAGTCTGTCCACAGACTTGCCAATGTGCCTGAAGCGAACCAAGGTTTCAGTGCGTAAGTGCTCGAGCTCGGCTTCATACGAACGCAGAAATGTTTCCCAGGCACTTTCATCGAATTGTTGGTCGGTATCGAGAGCGAGCTCATTCGAAGACTGACGAGAAAGAGGACTCATGAGTGGTGATGGGGAACCAGCAGATTCAGAGGCGCGTCGAACTCTGGTAGCCAACATGGCGTCGACATGTTCGAGGCTGACCTTGTCGCGAAACGATCCACTGATGTCATCCACCTCATCGCCCATGATACTGTCGTGTGGAGTAAAAGGTGGTACATCTGGACTAGTGGATAACGTGCTGGCAAAACTTGTCTGGAGTGAAGAAAGAGCAGGTCGCGACTGGGAAGAGGATATCTCGAAAGAGCCTGTGGTGGGCAACTGGGGCGATCCAATGGCAGAGCAGTCAGACGTAGTACGCGAGAGATGTTGGTTTGGTCTGGAGGGCCAGCCTCGGTGAAGACTTTCGTCATCGAGCTTATCAATCCGAGCCAGGGCTGTGCAAACAGCGGCGCCTGCAGCCTGCCAGTCGTCAAGCTCTGTCATCAGAGACTCAGGCAAGCGGAGTCTGAGGTCTGCCGGGATCATCCATTCGACAATGAAGGCAGCATTGTAGTAGAAAGTATCATGGTCGGCATCAGCAGGCATCTCATGTTCCTGCTTGCGTTTGAAGTCTGTCTCTAGGCTTGAAGTCGTAATTGGTCAGCATGGTACCGTAATGAGCGGAATACGTGTGCATTTGAGTGAGTTTATTCGCCCCGTCTGCCATGCAGTTACAGAGTGGGGGATCTGCTCGAAACAAGCATAGATCTGGAGTTTACGTACTACNGTGCGGTGTGAAACGCGTGACTGTCTCCACGAAGGACGACGATGGCGAGGTTGAGCTGCGGGAGGCATAGTGGAGCTGTTCCGGTGGATGCAAATAGTCAAAAGACAGCAACATCAAACGACGATGTGCTGAGATTTAGGAAGCAGAGGGTTGATAGGAACGTCAAGAAGATGATGAAGACGAAATTGGAGACGAAGATGCCGAGGGAGACATGTCATTTATACAGAGGGAAGGAGCTCAGCAGGGCTAAGCAAAGTAAGAGCTACCCGTGTACCAAGACACTGGAAGCTGCCCATCATCCCCAGAAAACACTTGACCATCTAGTGGAGGGAGGAGTACCGATCACATGCGAGGGTTTCCACGCATCAAGACTTGTCTTGCTCCGAACACCTAGACTTCGTCGATTAGCAAACACATGCTTTGTTGTATATCGTCTGAGTGGAACATCTTCTGAATAGAAGAAGCCCCATCAGCAGCATGGCAGTCTCCGTAGTACCTGATTTTGGCTCGACCGATTGGAGTACGCTAGTGTTCAGGATGATATCAACTGGGCGACAGAATGTTGACACAAACCGAACTCACGTCTATCGTTAAGCATGGACATGACTGATCGTAAATCAGGATTCGCTCAGCCATCATACATGATGATAGTCTTGATCTATAGTTTGTTCGTTTGAGATGTTGCAAACTGAGTTTCAGCTAACGAACGATGTTCAGTTACCAAAGTCAAAAGGTACAGCAAGCGTCTTTGATTGGATAGACAAGCAATAATCTCTACTGCCAGATCGAGTGTGGTTGTATGAGCTGACCTGCACCGGAGACGCTTGAGAGCACAGTAAAATGGTAGAACGGTCAGAATGTAATGCTTTTTGTGCAGCCGAGTACAGAAGAGATGTCAAAACCGGACGAATACAAAGACGGGCGTCGGACGCTCAGAATAAGTCCAAGATGGTATATCGCGAGGAGACAGAAAGGACGGAAACACAGAAAGTCTACTCCAGACTAAAAAAGAAGGGAAGGAAGGGTCAGCAATGTAAAAAGAAAAGAAAGAGAAGACTCACCGCTCAATCAGATGCAGACCAGAGGCAGTTTCGACTACATGGCTGACCTCGCCGGGCTTCAAAGCAAATGCGGCGTCTTCAAACTCCTTCTGCATATCGCCCTTACCAAAGAAACCNGCTGGAAGGAGAGTTAGTTGACGAGGCGATCCGAGGAAAGGCAGAGACACATACAGATCACCTCTCTTTCTAGAGCTGCTGCAATCGCTCTCGGTGGTAGCAAGGTCGCCAAGACTGGTTGCGCCGCTTCTGATTCTGGCTTCATGGCCGAGGATGATGGTCATGGCATCGTCCTTGGAGCGGGTGATTTGGGCCTCGCGCCAACTCGAGGGGCGGCGAGAGTCCTTGTGCTTGACGAGCAGATGCGAGGCGCGGATCTTGCCCTCTTGTTGGCCTTGGCCGTCGGGTCGCAGACTAGCAGAGCTGTGGTAGGTGCCCATGTAATGCTTCAGAGTCTCGCTGTCGGTGCCGGAAGGAGGCTCCCATCTGCTCTCCTTGGTCGAGGGGTTGAAATAGTAGGGAAGGTTCTTGGAGTTGGAGTGTCTAACCTCCCAGCCGCTGGGAAGACCGGTAGCCTAGAGAGAGCAGGATGTGTCAGAGGCAAGCGCGAGAGCGAGAGTGNNGAGCGGCGACGAGGTGGAAGACATGGCGATGGCGGGGAAAAGAACGACTCACCATGATTCTGGAGATATGCGGATTGACTGGACTGGATTCGCTTGTTCAGGTACACGCCTTGACAGAAAGATGGAGAGTGCGGGGGTGCTTGCTGTGTTGTCGAGACTCAAAGCCGAATGCGAACTTGCGAAGGAAGAGACGCGCTTGGCACGTTGGCACGGCGCCGATGCCCTAACTCCCGTCGCAGTCGCAGCTCCTTCCGACTTGCAGGTGGTGACTTTCATCATACCAATCCGAACCCGTCGTCTTTGCGCCTCCGCCATCTTTACCACCGCCGCTACTCCATCTTGACATCGCATATCCAAGTCACGCGACTCACAAACCGCGCCCGCCTCTTCATCACTGCCATGGCCTCTCACGACTCCCNNCCCTCCGACGACACCGGCAACGCTCAGAACGAGAAGATCAAGTTCAGATTCTGTCGCGAATGGTACACATGAACTCATGCGTCTTCTGCTTTGCATGCGCTGACCATCTGCGCCAGTTCAAACATGCTCTACCCGCGCGAGGACAAGGAGACAGACCAGCTCATCTTCCAGTGCCGCAACTGCCAGTGGCCCACTGCTGTCGGTCCAACCTGCATTTACCGCAACGAAGTCATGGGCAACTTGATCGAAACCGCTGGTGTCGTTACAGATGTCGCCTCAGACCCAACAGTATGCCACAGTTACGCGCGCATCCACCTGAACTATGCTCACTCTATTGTAGNNCTACCCCGTGTTGAGAGAGACTGCAACAACCCACGATGCGGCGGAAGAGAAGCCGTCTTCTTCCAGAGTCAAATGCGTAACGCAGAGACAGGCATGAAGCTCTTCTACGTTTGCTGCGAATGCGGCAAAACTACCACCTAACGACTTGAACATGTGCATTTCTGGCGTACACGGTTGCATGGGAAATTGGAGTTTTTGCTCGGGCTGGATATATTGGAAAATTACGACGAGGAAACAGGCACAACTCGAGCAGAGAGAGTGGAAAGAAGACACAAAAGTAGAGGGGCAGTCTTGCGTTCATGCTCATGCCGCTTGATCGGTATAGCATCAAAGATGGCTGCGTTGATTCGCCTGATGCTTTATAACACATCGAAGAATTCTTCCTAATCGTACATGGCAACCTTGATTGCCAAAAGCAGTGCATCCGTTCGCTGTCCCCAAACCGTATCGCCTGAAACGCCTGTGCTATGCTCCCAGAAACCCCACGCTTTTTATCCTATCTTTTACAAGTGCATGGGAGCCAAACTCAGGATCTTAGACCACTGCATGTTGCGAAGTTCGCTTCCGACGATACCNTATAGGGCGTCAGTTGATATGCGACAACCAAGGCGACCGATATGCGCACCGTTCAATCTTGAGCCGATGGGCTCTCCTCCCTTGTTGATGAGAACGCAGGCGTTGTCGTCAAACTTGACAACACTGCCATCAGGTCGTTGATATTTCTTTGCGGTGCGGACGACAACGGCGTGTCTGATGTCGCCACGGCGGACTTTGTTGGCTGCGCTGATGGATACACTGCCTCCGGGGCCCGACTCGGGACCAAAGTTGCGCTGCTTCTGAACAACGACAATGATGCGGTCGCCTNNAGTGAACGGAGTCAGATGCTGACGAGGAGGAAACTATGGTATAGGCGTAGAGTGCTGACCGATCTTTGCGGCTCTCTTCATCTTGAGCACCTTGACACACTCGACCAGGGCGGCGCCCGAGTTGTCGATGCAGTTGAGCATAGACTGGAGACCAACAGTCAGCGCGTGTAAGACATGGACTCATGCAAACAACCGACCTTGAGCTGGATCATGTTTGCGACGGGTCGTTCAGTTATTCTACTTCCTACAACAACCACTCAATCAAGTTGGCTGTTGATTGATAGATTCAATGATTAAAGTTCGAACAGGCGAGGTTTTACCGGCCGGCTGGCGCGTCTTCCCCATGGCATTCCCTCGTCCGTCATGGCCCGCTATTGTCGTGATTGTTGTTCGTCCTTGTCGTCTGCATTGTGACTCGGTTCAGTCCTTCACTGCCGGCCGGTCGCATTATTGTCGAGAGTAATCATGCACATTAGGTGAAACCTCGCGCTCCTTGTCTGTTCCTTGGTGCTATTGTCCAGTCCGGCGCATCGCATTCCTCTGTTTTCATTCATCACCCTCCTCCTTTCCCGTTCCTTTGCTTCGCTCCTTCCAGCCACCCCCCCTTTTTGTTCGAGGTTTCTCTGTTTCTTTGCACAAATAAAATGCCGTCGCGCACTCCCTCCTTGGAAGACTCGCTGGCTAAANAGGGAGGCCTGACCCTGGCCCGACTCGTCGACTATGATGATCGCATCACAGATGCACTCATCGATCGCGTGAGTACTCGTCGCAATCAAGTGCTCCAGCCTGGACACTCACTGTCTACAGNNGTCTACTTCTGGACTACAATTCGTAAGCTGTGCACCAACCGCCCTCTCGGATCTCGGGGTATCAGAGAGGACGATGTCGCACGCATCCTGCAGACTCATGTAATCNTTGAAAAGGATGCCGCCTCGGCTGCACAGCACCTGTTGCAACTACCTGCTCTGGCCCGTTACCTCAACGCACTCACCTCCAAGGAAGAGAAGAAACACTTCCAGGATCATTTCAGGAAATATGTCAATATCTACCTTCCCGATTGTCCCTTCGAGGTTACAACTACCAACCGCTACACAATCACCACCCATGAGGCTGCAACCGTCGCTCGCAAACATATCCGCAGAAACGAGACCATCAAATATTTGACTGGCGTCCAAGTTGCCATGTCCGAGGCGGAAGAGAAGATTCTCGGTGTGAACGACTTTAGTGTTGTTATGTCCAGTCGCAAGAAGCGCCCATCTCTGTTTCTCGGTCCTGCGCGCTTCGCCAATCATGACTGTAATGCAAACGCTAAGCTCGTCACCCTGGGCCACAATGGCATGACGATCGTCAGCGTTCGAGATATTGATATTGGCGAGGAGATCACTGTGACTTACGGAGAGGACTATTTTGGGNAGGACAACTGCGAGTGCTTGTGCGCAACCTGTGAGCGTCTCTTACGGAATGGTTGGTCCAGGCGACCACTAGCATCCAGGTACAGCAGCGACTCTCCAGAACTGCAATCGTCTTCGAACAACAAAAGGAAGTTTACGCCAGAACTCACATCTGCTGTCGCGAGTCCTTCTTCGTCCAAGCGTCAAAAGATGGACGTTCCATCTCCATCACTGAATGCCTCGCCACGAATTTCGACCATCAGAAAAGAAGTCAGCATCTCTTCGACGCTGGAACCATCAACACAAGTCCTCAATATCAAGCGAGAAATCAGTGCTCCTTCAGCCCTCCCAGCCGTTCCCGCCAATGACAGCGAAAGCGATACTTTGGGATCGGCATTTNTCAAGCCAAAACAAATACTCAAACACCGTTATGGCAAGGTGGGCCGGCCATATAAACCAACGTACCAAACTGCGCGTTCTATGTCTCCATCATCGTCCACCACAGAAGACGTCTCGCAGACATCCTCGGTCACAACAGATCCCACATCCGTCGACGAACCCCCGGCTGAATCTGACCTATCAGATCTTTCTGAGAGCTACGAGTTGGACGACACGTTGCGCGAAGTCATTCAACGGAAGCCCAAACCAGTAAAAATGACAACCAGACAAAGCCTACGAAAACAACTCTCTGTACCAATACCCACCATCGAAGGCACCGACTCAGATGTTGAAGAGGATTCAGCAGCGGATCGCAGGAAGCCTGGCGACTACACATTGACAGCTCGCTTGCTAACAAGTGCTGTGTCCCGCTGGGTCGAGTGCCGCAATTGTGACGATTACTTTATTCAACACGAGGCCAAATTGACGCGAATCAACTGCCCCCGCTGTGAGAGACATAGTAAGCTCTACGGATACGCCTGGCCCAAGACGGACAAGGAGGGCAAGAATGATACGGAAGAAAGAGTACTCGATCATCGTACAGTCAACCGATTCCTACACCCAAGCGAGGAGCGAACCACAAAGAAGAGTCGCAAAAGCTTGAGCCAGATGGTTTCAGAAAGAGAAAGAAGTTTGCGAGAGAGCGAAGAGGCCGAATCACAAGAAGGCAGAAGGAGAAGTAGGAGAAGATTCAGCTCGTAATGCATTATGTATTATTTGTATCTATATAGTGGACATGGCAACATTCATAACTCGCTTCAACATCACAACTTGCTTTTCCCTCCATGATCATCATCCTTTTTACATCGTGAAGCGACTCATCTTACGGATCTTCGCGCCGTAGAAGAAGAAGAGGATCGGAACAGGGAACAAGGCGAGTGTAAGGAAGCCGAGGAGGGACATGGCCTAAGCAACATGTTAGCTCTGTGTCAATTCGATCTCCATGCTCCCGTATGCTAGACTCTGCAACTACCCCAACACTGTCAAAAGTCATAATAGTTTTCAGGGGCAAATGTGTTTCCGCAGAGATTCGATGAAATATCGTCCCTCAGTGGACACTGTCCTATTTCCCAACAGTATTGTGACTTTCGATAGCTGTAAAATCACATGGTAATAGCACTGGGGAGATGGTAGGAATCTTGTGCTTACCCATGGAACTCCAAGGTTATTGAACATGTATGTTGCGAACATGGGGAAGCCAGCTCCCAACCACGAACGGAAGAAAGTGTTTGCAGCAATTGCTGAGTTGGCATTGGCTTTGTAGACCTATCGTCAGAGTTAGCGAAGTGAACGAGTATCAAGTACTGCTCTACTTGACTTACGTCGATGAGATAGTTCCTAAAACGAAAACATGATTAGCATGGTACACTTCCAAGTCTTAGGTGCAGATATTNNCATCACTCACAATCCTTGCAAGAAAATCAACAAAATGCCTCCACCGATGAAACTGCCAGAGAGAACTTCAGGAACCCAGATGATGTTTGGGTTGGAAGTCCAGGCGAACCAGAACATGCCAATTGGGAGCAAAGCACCACCAACAATCATAGGAATCATTCGTTCTTCTGGCACCACATCGCCGGTCTCTTCGATCTTTCTGGCGAATCTGGTCTTAGTGAAATAGGCGATGAAGCAGGATCCGAAGGCGACTCCGACGATAATGGCTGCGAAAGGCAGAGCACCAACGCCAGCGTTCCAACCACGTTCTTGTTGGAAGGCGATGGGGTAGGCTTCGAAACAGAGGTATAGGAAGCCGTAAATAAATCCCATGTAAACNCTATGAAGCGAAAGTAAATCAGTATGGTTGTATGGGCAAGAACACCACGACTTTACTAAACGAGTGCACTCAACTCCGCGAGGCGCTGTCCCGGACGGTGTTTCAATTCACTCCGTACGGGCCTTGCCTACAGACTGAGACAAAGCGCCAGCGCTATTCGTGGTGTTCGTACTCGAAGGTTAACATACCGTGACTGCAACCAAAATGGGCTCGAGGACAAGCATCTGGAAAGGCTTCAACAAGTAGCGATGTGCGAGGTCTTTCAGATCGACCTCGTTCTCATCTGCCTTGGCATGGATAGCCCAGTTCTTTGTGGCAAAGCGGATCTTCTTTGCTCTGCGAGAAAGCAAGACAGGGGCAAGAGTNCTGAGAATGTCAGTGTTGTGAAATGGCTTGTGGGTGTACTGGCAGTTGTATACCTCAGGGATGACGAAGAATCCAATGGTACCGAAGAACGCAGCCATGATCAGTGTGATCCAAGCAGTCCATCTCCAACCANNCTGTCGAGAAATTAGCTTGATACTCTGACTTATTATATTCAAAGATTCTTACAGATAGCTCATAGTGATGAAGCCTCCTACGATAGGACCTGCCACAGGGCCGATGAAAGTTGCTGATGCAAAGACTGCGACTGCGATACCGCGATCTACAGGTCCAAAGATNACTAGAGGTCCTCAGTTAGCAAGGTTCGTGATCATGGACCTTCATGCTTCTTACTCTGCGAGCAAGCCTCCAATAATTCCAAGGGGAGCTGATGCTGCAAAGCCTCCAAAGAATCTGCAAATGAAAATCGTGTAAACATTTTGGGCAACCNNTAAAAGTGGTCAGTAAGAGTTTTGTGAGAATTTACAGTGTGTTTTGCTAACCGCAACAGGGATCTGGAAGATGGCGAAAATGAAGAAACCTATGAACAGAGGAATCTTGCGGCCATAAAGCTCCGAGAAGGGACTCCAGACGATTGGTCCTNNGATTGTTGTCAGAAAGGTTAACTCGAACAGCACGTCTGTCCTTCGAGACTCACCGAATGCAAAACCAAGAACGAACAGAGAGGTTCCCAAAATCATGACCTCCTCACTGACACCAAACAACTTTGACGTAGGAGTTGTTGCAGTACTGAAAACGGACGAGGCGAAAGTCACCGAGAATGTCATCAAACCAGCGACCACGGTAATCATCCACTTCTTCCAAGAGGGGNNGAAGTTCATTGGGTTTCCTGGGTCATCGGGACCATCCCACTCAACCAGATTGGGGTCCTTTTCCTCTTCGCCGTCCTCTCCGTCCTTCTCGTCGTTCTTCTCGTCGTGGCTGCGATTGGTGCGTTCTCTTTGCATCTCAACATCTGCTTCAGAGCTGGAGTTTTCCTCGTTCAATCCTGCTGTGATACCTGCTGGAAGACCAGTCTTGGCCTTTGGCTTGCTGTTCTGACCGTCGTCCTCCTTTGGTTCGCCAGTGGGATTTGAGATGCTTGATGAGGTCGAGTGTGCAGTGGTGGTTCCAGAAATGCTGGCAGCCCTGCTCTGCTGTTCATCGTCAAGAGGTACATGCTTATCTGAGGTCAAAAGTCCATCAGGAGCATAAGTCTGGCGACCACTGGCCGTCCTGATAATGCCATCTCCATAGTGTTCCGCCATGGTAATTATAACCGGATACTTTTCCAAGTAGGAAACCAGCAAAAAGACAATCGAAACTACTGAGCAGCCTACACTTGAGACGGGCAATCTACCCTTTTCATCAAGATCTATATCCATTCGGATTCCTCGGAAGATACAGACCTCTACACCAAATTCCTTCATGAATCGTATGTGATGGAAGCTCGGAATGACGCCATGTGCCCAAACGTTATCGATTTTTTTGGAATTGTTTTGGCAGAGCAAATAGAAACACACCGTTGAACTAGATTCCCCTCGGAGCATTTTTTTGTCTGGTGGCTGCACATGCTGTCAGGGACTAGTTCGATGATGAGCAAAAGGGTCTGACAGAATACATATCTGTATGCTCATCGGCACCTGTGACCTCTGATGCCAGTGTCGCTACGCAGAAGCCAATCTCGCGATCGACAACTTCCCTATTCCGAGATACAGGTAGAAGAAGCTGTCGAAACTCGCAGTTGTGTTCTGATTACGGATCTAGCCTTGGAGATAGCCTTTAATGGTGTGTTCTCTGTGGGGACTACATTCTCTGCAAAAGTACTGTGCATTTCTATAGCTACATTGTGAAAGTCATCAGCATATGGGGAGGACACTCAGGCTTCACAGTCGTCTCAAAGACAGATTTGTGCATTTTCATGGTTCGAGATCTGTATCGCAATGATGTAGGCAGGTGTGTGACGACATTGTCGCCCGTCCCTTCGTCGAAACAACCATGGTTTTTGGAATCCCTAAAATCGCAGAGCCTCAAAACCTCGTCAGTGTGGCCTGTGCCTGGAACTGGTGACGCCCAAACTCTAAAATCGAGAATCCTTCGATGAACAAGATACAGAATATGCGAACGAGTTATCTGCCGTATCGGACAAGGTGGCTGAGGCACGTTTTGGCGATGGATACAAAGCATGTTTGGACAATTGATCGACCAGGTCATTTCTACGTACATGAGATATGTAGGCCATCTTGGGCAATGCTTGGTTGCGGATACATAGTACAGGTATAATACATGAGTTGTCTGCGCTAAGCAGCAGACTCAATGGAAAGCTCAGGCTCGAGCGACTGGTGCAGGTTCTGGAATGGGCTGCTTCATAGCCTGAGCCTCTCTGTCCACAATGCTGGCTTCTCTGGCTGGGTCGGAGAAGCTGATGTCTCCACTAGCAATATCAGAGTCGTGAATTCTGTCAAGGTCTCTGAGGTTCTTCTTCATGTAGCTGACGACATTTGCGACAGCGGCCGCATCAGCGTTCTCGTCACCACCGAAGACGTTCCTCCAGACGGCAGTGGCAAGGACAGCATCACCCTTGACCAGGCCCTCGTCGTAGGCAGCAAGAACACCGCGCCATTGCACAAAGAGATCCTTGAGGTACTTGTTGCGCACACTGCGGGCAGCGATATTGTGCAAGGCAGCCATACGGTCTTCGGCAGCGTAAAAGTAGTGATCGAGCAAGTTCTGATGCCAGTGGTGGGCGTGCTGTTGGGGGAACATCCTCAGACGTACAGTAACGAGATACATGTGTAAGAAGGTGATTTGAGCCCAAGTGTTGAAGGTCGGGGTCAGGCCCAGCTCTGTGAAATCAGGTTAGCCGGCTGTGAATCGAGGTTGGAAGTACAGACAAGTCCTACCTTCATACCACCAGCCCGAGCCAACACCCAAATCCTCACCCTTGGCCGACCTCAATGGCTCTTCGCCTTCGGCAACGGTGGGCATGGTGTAGTCTCCAGCGCGAGCGCACACGCGGAACAGGTCCTCGGTAGCGCCGTAGGCGACATATGGTTCTGTGGCAGCCTTCATCTGCTTCTGTGCTCGCATGCGCTGGGCGAACTTCTGCATGGTCGACGCATCTGGTCCATCCTGGCTCTTTTCTGCTTCAGAACGGACGGCAGTGGTCGTAAAAGTACGTCCTAGAAACTGGCCACGAGGCGAAAGACGGCTGTGCACAATGCGACCCTAAGGAAAGCGTGGTCAGAGGCTGCTTGATTCTTGCCGCCGGAGCAGACTCACATTGATCTGTCGAGCAGAAGCTTGTCTCAATGCACGAACGCAGCTGTTGCAAACGTTGTTGGAGGCCATTGTGTGGTTGTGCTATGTTTGCGGTTTGTAGAGTACGAGTATGGGCAAAATTCCATGACCGACACACCATGCAGCTTGCACATGCTCCCCAGACCGATGGACTCATGACATCAATACATTTTTCATATTTCTCAACATCACTCTGGAACAAGGCCAAGCAGCCGTCAACAAAGGCATATTCAAGAAAGCAAAAAACCAAATATGCATAATGAATCAAGCTTGTTCCTAGATATGTTCAAAATCCCAGTCGCCTTCGCTTTTTTCGCCCAAAACACTTCGACGCCCTCCTAAATTTTCATACAGCGAAGGTTAATCTATCTTATCAAACAGCCAGCGCTTGACAAGAGCNCTAGTCATCATAGATCAATCATTGAATCATCTCTGTGTGCCGTGTTAGCATTTGTCGTGCAATCAACAAAGATCCTTACTCACGCGTCCTCTGCGCTGCCCACCACCACCAACCTGTCCTTGCTGTGGGGGATAGTAGCCTACAGGATACTGATATGCGCCCATTCCCACGCTAGGGTTGGATCCTGGCGGAGCGAATCCATTCTGTACTGCATGTGCGCCAGGTGCTGCAATAGGCGAGGCATTGAGGCTTCCTCTTCCATAGGGATCCATCATCTGAGGTGCCCCTGGCCCAAAGCCGTTCATCGGAGGGTAAAATCCACCAGGACGCTGAGCCGCAGCATGCTGCTGCGCGAGAATAGCCTGTTGGTACTGGATCTGCTGAGGCGTAACTGGTGAAATGTTCGACATCGCCGGACTATAGGTATAGGCCGGAGTCATGAGGCCTGGAGTTCCATAAGGATCAAAGGCGTTGGAATCTATACTGGCGGTTCTCTGAAGCGTGGGTCCCATCATGTGCTCGAGCGGCTGCTGGGGCGTCATGTTTCCGTATGCTTGACGGCCGTAAACACCTTGGTTGTCAAGATGAGCCATGTGGCCATTTGCACCAGGGCCTCTCGAGGAGGATCGGGTTTGGCTAGCGTCACGGCTGGCCGATACTCCTCCATGACGGGTCGAAAGACCGACCTCATCCATCAGTCGCTTGTAACCCTGCTGGGGCTGTGCTTTGAGGCGGAGCAACACATTACGAACATTTTCCAAAACCTCAGGGCGCATCTTTTCGTCAACGAAGGGTGTTGTGAGTACCTTGAAAATGAATGTAGCTCCGCAAGCTGAATCACTAAGTACGTCTTGCAGAACAGTGTCGTTAGGGGAGAAGAACAAAGCACGAAGAACTGCTTCGCGAGCATCGGCTTCACTTCTCTGGTTGATGATCTTGAGCACAGTAAGATACGCAACCTTGTGCGTACACAGATGGACCAAGTGGGGGATAAGTCGTGGAGCAAGTACAGATCGACGGCGAGGGAAAGTGCAAGTGTCCAAGAACCAAGTCAACAGCAAAGCACCGTTGGTGTTGGTCGCGAGCTGTACACTGTGAAGAGCAATAGCAGATGCCAGCATTCTTTGCTGGTCCCTGGAAGCAAAGTGGCTTTCGAGACAAGCTCTCATGGCGCGAGCACCAAATCTGCCCTGAGCGACCTCCCACAGCCTTTGCAGCATGGCGTCGAAGATAAAGTCATTGTGGGGAGCTTGGAAACGCAAGCAGCACTGGATAACATAGTTACCATATTGGTCCAGGAACAATGCCAGTGTGTATGGGCGCAATGCATCAACGATCATGTTGATCTGAGTAGGAGTCTTGGCCACGTCAATGATCTTCTGAGCTGCCCAAGTACCGTTCTTGTGAACACCAATCTCGGCAAGATGAGGAGCAATCTCGCGCAGCATGGCCTCCTTCACAGGCTCTGAGCAGTATTCGAACAGCTTCTGAACGACGGTGTTTCCAAGATAGTCAGAAGCAAGTTCGGCAATCTCAGGAAGCATATCCATGGCAATGTTTTCGATTTCAGCAGGGGAGCAGCTGTTGTTGTCGATGCGCTTCCTGATCTCACGCAGACGGGGAGCATCATGCACACGGTTCGGGCTAGGCTCTGGGACGCCAGGAATCTCAGGATGATACAGATCGTAGCTGATTGCTTGCTCGACGTTGGCGTTGATCCTGACCTGTTCCTCTTTGTTGGCACCTAGTTCCTGGATAATGCCATAGATCTCGCTACGCATATCACGCAGATTTGGAGTGAGCAAGGCGGCAGCCGCGGTCTCGGCATTGATGTTGACAGGCTTGAGACCAGCTGAGTCACTTGCATTGCCCATTTGGTTATCGCGTGCAAAGGGATCAGGACTGGGAGAGTGGAAGGAGCCAGGCGCACCAGGGGTGACTGTGTTGCTTGGAACTTTTGCGTAGCCGATGCGGATAGGACCAGCTCCAGGGAATATCTCCTTGTTGTTAAGCTGAGATTTGGCCTGGACAGCACTTTCTAAGGTCTCAAAGTTCACAAAGCCACAACTCTTGTGGGTAAGGACTCTGGTAGATTCGATGGGTCCAAAGTTGCCGAAGATAACATTCAATGAAGAAACAGTGGTCGAGGGTGGTATGTTGCCGAGCCAAAGAGCGCGTGTCGGGTTCTCGAGGAGGCTATCATCAGAGACATCGAGCATCGGCTTTTGATCCAGATGCATCTGCTGCACGGCGTCGGTAAGTCCACTGTAGTCGAGGCCCTCTTGTTCTTGAAAGTCGGATGCGGACATGCTGTTGTCCAAACGCGAAGGAGTAGGAATGTAGTTGCGGAGAAGTCTGGACGAAGGAGAGTCGAGCACACCTGCAGTCCTCGCACGAGGTCTACTGGCACTGGCCAAGTTGGTAAAGGCTTGAACCTCGAGATTGTGCTGGCGGACTGCCTCCTGAACAGCCAGAGCCTGTGCGGCAGTGATGTCTGCACCAGATGGGACGCCGTAAATGCTTCCATAGGCATCATAATCATCCTCCTCATCATCAGCATACTTTTCTTTGGCGTTGACCGAGTAGGATCTGAAGCGATTCGCATTTCTGTTATAAGCATTCAAAGCGGCGAGATCAGCAATGGTGGGGCCCGGNATGCCTGGTTGAGCGGCACCAATCATGTTAGGATGGTGCGGTCTACCAGACTGAGGGGCGTCGACAAGACCAAGGTAGTCCAGAGTCTTGACATCGTTGTCATTGAAAGAGTCACGCGAGGAATGTGCAGGAGACGAGGGGCCATCGGAAGAGCGGATGCTCTGCAGTGTGGATGCTCTTTCTCGGCCGGAAGTCCACCCATTCGAGAAGTACGGCGGTCCAAAACCTCCTGGCGTGTTGTTGAGAAGAGCGGGGCGCTGAGGCATAGAACCTGCTCTCAGGCGAGAAAGCAGCGATTTCTGAGAAGGGTTGATGGCGGAGGCTGTGGCTGTGCTCGACTCTGGAGGTGTACCAATGCTGGCCTGAAGAGGGCTGGTAGATGGCGTCGGACGAGAAGTCTTTGGCAACAATGATGGCTGAGACGATTGTTGACCAAGAGTACCAACAGGGGGGAATCGCGACGGCACAGTACCTGCTCGCATGCGTCGACCGGCAGCAGGTGCCTCGGAAAGGTCGGTAGCGGACTGATCAAAGTCTGGAAAGCTGTCGCTGCTTGGACTCNNTCTGGAATGGTCTCGCGCAGGGGGAGTCGAATGGCCGCTGCCTGAAGTTGGTGGGCCCCATATCTGTGGGCTCACGCCTTCTTGAGCCTGTATTTCTCGAGCTCTNAATGCGTTCTGGGTCAGTCATTGCGAGTCGAAGATAGCCTTAGAAATGTCTCACCTTTTGCTGAACAATCGACTACCATATTCCTTCGAGGGAGAGCCAGCTCCAGATCTGTTGATCAAGCCAATGGCACCAGCAGAGGCCAAGCTGTTGCCTAGCGGGTATCTCAGTCCCGAGCCTGATGGAGGCTCGTTGGGTGAGTTGGCGGTTGTGGACGAGGCTGAGCGGGATTGATAGTTGACTTGGGGCAGGTTGTCAAGGTTGATCTTGTGTTCGGGACGCGCGGAGTGGGCCATGACTATGCAGACACAGCGATATAATGCAGTATTGGGCTGGTTTGCCAGAAACCGAAGTGCGTTGTAGCGTCCAGTCTAGCTGGTTGTCGTGAATGCGTTAAACTTGATGGCTTGTAGGTTCGAAGGTGCCGATCGAAGTTGATGACAATGTACGGTCGAGGGCGGCGATGAGGACAGCGTGTCAAAGCTTGTGGATAGAGGAGCTTTGGCTTCTGAGACGAGACGGGAAGATGCAGCAGAGGTTCGAAGGGGAGCGAGACGGAGCGGAAACAAATGACGCGTGCCTCGATGAGAACAGTGTGATTGTGTAGGTCTTCAGGGGAACACGAGCCAAGAAAACGGTGACGGGCCTGGAAGAGCCACTCCGAGCTTTGGAAGAGGACGAATGAGAAGGGTGTCGGGTAGGTGCTATGCAGATACGAATTTGAATGCAGATGCAGATGCAGATGGGCTTGATGCAGAAGATTGCACAAAGAATATGTACCGAGAAGTGAAGGACGAGTGGAAGAAGCAGTTGGCAGCTTGTGGAGATGTCAGAAGTTCCAGCTTTTGTCAACTTGCATCAAGTGTGGGGTTGTGCCCTCGACTTCGACTTGCAACCTCTTGTTCGCCTCAGATACAGAGCTATGAACGGCCATGGACCATCAATCAACCAATCTTCCTGTCGAGCTGCATCAATCAGACTTTGAACATGACCTAGAGATTCTGGTTTGCCCAAGTATCGACTGTGATTTTGACTGCTCCTGCCATTACTGTCAAGTCTCGGAGGGACCTGTTCTGGTGTATCATTCCCACCATCGACAGTTTCTATGGACACTGTGCAGCAAGGGTCTAGTATGTTGAGGCACACAAACATGCCTGGTTTCGGCATAGTGCTCTGTTCTTGAAGAGAATCGTAACGTGATATGTACAAAAGCTAGGTGCAGAGGCAACTCGATTGCCCGCGATTCATGAGACATTATAAAGCTATCCGAACAATGACAGCAGTCAGTGTCGGGGTTTGCATCTTTAGTAAGAAAGACAGGACCTCTCAACGAACGGTCTAGATCACCCATTGTACCAACCGCGGGTACCAATAGCTGCTTCACTTCCGCCAGTCCCACGATGCGGAATCAATGGTTCGGTGATCTTGAACGCTTGTATCAAACACTGCCATGTGCCATAATCTATGCTGAAAACAGCCTGGTGCCGCATGGCGCTCTTTTCGCGTTGCTGCGCTACTGTGTGTGGTGTGGCGGGTACTNNATATTCTGTTAGAAACTAGACCTTCAAGCTGACTCATCGAGACAACTTACTGAGAGTAGGCAATCCATTTTCGTCCATCTCCAGACCGACATTGCCTTCTTTGATTAGGAAACTGATGTAGAAGATATTCTCCACAGTCTGGCTAAAACTGTGAGGATTGATTGCAAAATCGAACAGACTCGGTCCACCAGTAGGGGTAATGCGCTGCCGTTTCATCTCTACCAATGCTTGATCGTAGTCTTCCTCGCCGAGCGCCTCTACTGCTGCAGCAGCAGTAGCACAATGGTTGTCAAGGATCTTCTTTATGTTCTGACACAGCGTCGTCAAGGCATTATTCTCGTTCGTTTGAAGATCGCGTTCAGTCAAAGCTTCTGGGCGGACTTCCTTGACAGTGGAATCTTTGCGTTGACGAGCACGACGCTGAGTCTGGACGCGAATCTTNTTCTGAACAGAGAGCGGACCAAGCAGAAAACTCGGAGCAGCGGGTCTCAGATTGTGAGGGAAACAGGCGTGCGTCCCGAGGTGAGCCCAATCAAGGACATCATTGGCATCCTGATCATCGTCCTCGTCGTCGTCCTCGTCGCGACGGCTCTGTCGTTGCCTGCGGCGTTGTGTTGAGGCGGCGGAAGCATTGCCGTGATCGTTCTTCATGAACATGATACATTTGGAGACAAACTCGTCAATGTCGACACCGGTAGAGTTGTCGCCGAGGGTGAGCTGAGCAGATGCTTTCATGAGCATGTCAGAGATACCGACCATCAAGCGAGAGTCGACAGTAGCATCTGATGTTTGCTTAACGCCATAAAAGTTGTCATTCGCTCGATCGATGACGGACTCGAGACGACCGCCATCTTGGAGATAGACATCCCGGTTCTCTGCAGGATGTTAGACTGGATGGCAGTACAAGTGTAGAATGCAAGGACAAGCACCATTGAACTCGCGCTCTAGGGCACGGGACCTTTTCTTTATCTCCTGGCGTTCTTGTTGGTCTTGTGTAGGATCGTAGAAGCGCGATTCTTCGGGTTCTTCGTCATGGGCAGCGGAAGCGGTAGGACGAGCTTGAGTTCTCCTCCTCTTAGCAGAGTGGGAGTCGGATGTAGTCGACTGCATGCGACCTTTCCTTTATCGCGGGGAGCTGAATTCGACTGGTTTTCTTTATCGGAAGAGGGATTTGGCGAGGACGGCGCGACGGAAGATGGAACGACAGAGAAGTTCGACGAACGGGCAGGAGTCTCGGAAGGGCGCTGGTTAGCCCGAGCCATCGCTCAGTGAAAGTTGCGATGGTAAACAAACGAATAGTGACAAGCAGCAGCAGTTACAACAATTCGGCCAGGCAGAGCGCGTCTTGGGAAGCTGCGAACAATTAAGGTACGCGACGGGCGCGCGTCCGACCAATGAGAGAGGAGCGGGTAAGCATCACCGAACACGGATGACGGCTTGGCGCATCGATCGTCATAGCCAGTGCTTTGGTGGTTGGATCGAAACGAGACATGGATTATTGTTGTTAGGTCACTTCATACGATATCTGAACACTTTCTTCCTCTCTTCTGCCACGATACACGCACAAAATGAGTCTTCGCGCACCCCTCGGTCTCACAAGGCGGGCATTGCCTGCTCAGATCACAAAGTATGCCGCCTCGCAGCAACAATCCATGGCCACTGTCGTCCCGCCCGTTACTCAAGACAATACTGGTTCAAAGGGCCCTACTGCCATGGTCTTCATGAACATGGGTGGTCCTTCGACTACTGGTGAGGTCGGCGACTTCCTTAGCAGGTTGTTTGTGAGTATACTACCATGTCTACTTCACTTTCTCCAACTTGCTGACCATTACACAGNNGCAGATGGCGACTTGATCCCCCTCGGCAGACTGCAAAACTACCTCGGTCCCCTCATCTCCAAGCGCCGCACCCCCAAGATCCAGAAGCAGTACGCCGCCATTGGCGGTGGTTCGCCCATCCGCAAATGGTCCGAGTACCAGAGTTCCGAGATGTGCAAGATCCTCGACAAGATTTCGCCAGAGACCGCCCCTCACAAACCTTATGTTGCTTTCCGCTATGCTGCCCNNCCCCTGACCGAGGAAATGTATCAGAGATTGTTCGATGATGGTTTTGGCAATGGTAAAGGTGGCAGAGCTGTTGCTTTCACCCAATACCCACAGTACTCGTGCAGCACAACCGGAAGTTCATTGAACGAGCTATGGAAGTGGCGCCAAAGACTCGAGACCAAGCGCGCAGGTGGCGAGATCGACGAAGCTGGCGCCATTACCTGGAGTGTCATTGACCGCTGGCCTGTACACCCTGGCCTTGTCGAAGCCTTTGCTCAAAACATCGAAGCCAAGCTGCTCGAGTATCCCGAGGAGACAAGGAAGGACGTTGTGTTGCTCTTCTCGGCTCACTCCCTGCCCATGAGCGTCGTCAACAGAGGTGACCCATACCCAGCCGAGGTAGCTGCCACCGTCTACGCTGTTCAGCAGCGCTTGGGCTTCAAGAACCCCCACCGTCTAGTCTGGCAGTCTCAGGTCGGGCCCTCCGCCTGGTTGGGCGCCCAGACCAGCGACACTGTGACAAACTTTGTCAAGAGAGGTCAGAAGGATCTTGTTCTCATTCCTATTGCCTTCACTTCGGATCACATCGAAACGCTCTTCGAAGTCGACCAAGAGATCATTCACGAGGCCAATGAGCTAGGCGCAGAAGGTCGTGTCAAGAGAGCAGACTCGTTGAACGGCAGTCCTGTGTTCATCCAGGGTCTGGCCGAGCTTGCAAGAGACCACTTGGCTAGCGGCGACGTTGGCAGCAGGCAGCTGGGTCTGAGATGTCCTGGCTGCACCAGTCAGAGATGTCTGGAGACCAAGAAGTTCTTCATGAAGCAAGAGGCACTGCTGTAGTCGCAGGTCTGAGATGTTCCAGACTCTGTAATACTAGGAAAATCACGATATACCCCTCTGTAAATATGTCTATATGGTTTTGTCGCATTATGTTATCTCCGATCGCATGAAGTCTGCTTCCGGGCTCCTGATGGGTCTACAAAGCGTGGCTCTGTAAGTGTCTTTTGTTTGGATGATAAATCATGTGATATCGATGCTAACAATGAGAAGATGATGGAAGAGGACTCAATAAGGATCGCAGCCCTCACAGCATCAGCCTCGCTGAACCTCGAACCACGCACTGCCACTGTGCTGATCTCAGAATCCGATGTTCATGGCAGCTGCACGTCCAGGTTTCGAGATGCAGAGATGCAAATGCGACTATGCACGCGGCTCAGTCAATGCTGTTTAATGAAGCAGCATGCATCCGCTAACAAATGTAGCCAAGCGACCTTGAGAATTTCTGACCGGTCGAAGAGTCCGTTTTCGCCATTGCAAGCAGTATAGGATCTCTGGAGAAGGAACTACCAAGCTTGAGAGCCGATATGTCCTCCAACAACGACATCTATCCATCGTCATACGTCCCATCTGCGTCAACTACTCCGACTCTTCCTATCTCGACAGTCTCATTGGAGGCCGCTGCCAGAGACACTATCAGCCAGGCTATGGTCGTCTGAGAGAAGCAGAGAAGGCCACGACGTGGGACAAAGCCAGGACCAAACAAGAGATAGACGACTTCGTAAAGCGAGAGCAGGAATTTGCTGAAGACTTTTGGCTAGAACGATCGAACGAAGCTTACAATAGGCGGTATTGGAACAATCGACAAACGCTGAAATTTGGTCCGTGGACTCGTTTGACATAAAATCATTGCTCTCGATATCCAATTCGAGTTGGTTGGCGAGCATAAGAATCTGGCCGGCACTGCGACAGGTTCGTTCACCGGTGAGGGATTTGAGAAGTTGCACAAGAAGTACAGGAGGCTGGATGAAGTACTCGGCTTGATACAAACTACTAAGTACAAAAAGAGGCCATCCCGCAAAGATTCAATTGCTCATCCAACGCAGGTACTGCTAGCTAGATAATGTGATTCGGCTTCGGTACAGGTAACCGAGGTTTGGACCAGACCCAAATCATGCCTACGACGTTTTCGCACCCCATTTCTTCTTCTCGAACATGTCAGTCTATGACTTAAAGAAAACCAGAGACGACAAGACTTACATCCTTCGCACCAGAAGGAGCTGATGGGACCCCAACCATCATAATGTCTGAAAGTGCTGCATCCATTGGCCGGGCCATTGCTATCGGCATATCTACCCTGACAGCCAGGCTGGTCAAAGATGACACACCTCCCACCACGCAAGAGCACGGATTCAGGGATCAGGGAACCTGAAATGCAGCCACCAGTGTTGAAGCCCCCGTTTGTGTATTCGCGGCAGCCAGTGCCGGGCATGTCACGATCAAAGGTCATGCAGTTGCCGAGATCGGAGGCGCCGGTGATGGCGCGGTAACGGGTGTTTTCATTGGCGTCGCAGTTGTAGACGCCATCATAAGCAGTGACTGTGATATATCGAGTCAAAACAAGGTGGTATTGGGGAACGTGTAAGCTGATGGGCTTCTTACCTTCCCATGCCTGAGAAGTAGTGCACAAGGTTGCCAGGACGAAGGCACCAACGGTCAGGAACTGCATTCTGAATACTGAAGTTGTTGAGACTTGGAGGAGAGTGTTTACTGCAGAAGAGAAGCAATGCCTCTCGCCGAAGAGCAAGGTCCTATACTTATACCTCTACGGGACGTAGAATCAGATCTCTCACATGTTCGTGTTCTGCACGATGCTGTTGGTGCCTTTGCAACTTTGTTGAATTGCAATGCAATATAATCACACCAGTCGTGTTGTTATGTGCAGACAGAGACTAGATACTCCAGTACCGAGGAGGCCAGTAGTTAGACTATATCCATATTATCTTGACTAATCGATGTTGGCGGAGGCTATTATATCGTTGAGCCTTGCATATACTCAAACAAAGTGATTGTTCAGTCGACCATTAAGCGAAGCTGGTCTTTCCAACGACCCACCTGTATTAATATGGGTATTAGAAGCCAAGCTTCCCCAATCGTATAAATCAGAACTACGCACCACTACAATAGTTTCAATTGATGATACAGCAGGCGCCGCAGTCTCGGCAGACATCGACCTATGATACTGTTTTCGCTTTCTCGTTGTTTAGTTTCGAGAACAGTGCTAGTCGCGTGAGCCAAAAGATGAGTTATAGAGATACAAATAACATGGATTACCTTCGGTGCATTCCTGGATATGTCTGCGAACTCATACTGGTTGGGATGAGGAGTGGAGAAGTCGATCATGGAGATTGTCATGAAATTGCTCACTATTAAATTATCTACAATGTTTCATTGCTTCGCAGCTACTCTCTTCGTTGGATCATAATCATGAATCTTCGTCTGCTGCACTCTTCTCTAGGTAGACATGTGGTCTGATGAAGAAGCTGAGCACAAATGCCAGACCGAAGGTGGCGGTGAGGCAGACGAACACCGTCTGCGTGAACTTTCCGACAGTGGCGGAGTATATAGCATTGAATATCGTGGGAGCGATGACTCGGGCCAGAGCATGCAACAGCCCAGACGCACCAAGCAGTTGGCCAGTCTTCTCATGTGGTACATGTTTGGTCAGCGCTGATTGAAGGGTGGGCGAGCCGATTCCTCCGATGCTTGCTATGCTACCAGAGAGAATCATCAGCGGTCCGGTACGAGCAAGGGTGTATCCAAGATATCCCAGGGTATCAAAGAAAACCGCAACGCGAACAACAGCAAGGTCGAAAGAATCACTGCCCGAACTACGCTGCTTAGTTTCGCTTGCCTTGCCACGAACATAGCGCGTGACCAGCGGCAGAACGACGATGAGACACATGACCCTGCAAGTGTTGACAATAGACATGAAGACGCCGGACTCGAACGATTCCCAGTTGAACTGGTAGCGGGCGTAGATAACGATGATTGTCATACTGCCCATTGCAACGCCAAACAAGATGGTGTCGACAGCAGCCAGGAGCACAAGGTTGCGTCTGAGGGCGGGTGAAGAACCCTCACCGGTAGGCCACAATATCTTGAGTGGTTCCAAGATGTTGACAGCTCGGACTCGATCGATCCAGTCGGAAGAGCCCGTTTGAGCCTTGTCTTCGCGGTGCTTTTCCTGGGCAGCTTGCTGGCGACGCTTGGAAAGAGACTCAGGAACACAAAAAGCAATGAAGAGGATGAAAAGTGCATGTATAGCAAGCGATGCATAGAAAATGGACAAGATTTTTCCTGTGGCCTTGACGATAAGTCCTCCTAGGATGGGTCCCAGAGCAATACCGGTGAAGAGGCAGCCATGGAGATAGCCAAAGGAAATGTTGCGACGCGCTGGGGGAGTACAATCGGTAGCATAGGCATTAGCAATGGCCATGGCGGCGGTGAAGGAGCCAGAAAGGCCATCAAGAGCATAACCGACCAGAATCCAATTGACAGGGAAGGTCTCGGGCTTGGTAGCAGCCATGATGATCAAGGCGTCTCCCGCAATGATGCCCATGCTTGTCAAGGCAAGGATCTTTGTGCGGCCGAGTCGATCAGAAAGAGCGCCCAGCTTGGGGCTGGTGATGGCGGAAAGGAGGCCAGCTATCAGGTTGCCGTACAGGGTGAATTGCGCGACTCGGGCCTGGACTTCTGGTGATCTGCACTGAGGGTTCTCGCCGTTGAACAAGATGGGCAGGAAAGAATGACCGGGATTCTTGGACTGTTGCTCGGACATGTATTCGCGACAAACGAGGTTGAGAATGAGATTGATTCTCGGAGATATGATGGCACCAAATGCCAGAGTCATGACGAAGAAGGGCGCCAGGACAAAGTAGATGGAGGGCTTGCGGTACCATGGGAGATGGTCGAAGTCGTCGACACCATGCCACTCATGGCCTGAACCAGCATCGCTTGCTCTTCTCCTGCGGGATTCGAATGGCAACAACGGGTCCTGCTCGTCTGCATCCAAATGTGCATCTATACCTCCTCTTGCAATGGTTGTGTTCTCCTCACCCGAGTGAGTGCTGGCTGGCCGTGATCCCCTCGGGGCGTTTGTGTTCTTCGAGTTGATCTCGGCTTCGCCAATGAAGACTGCATCAGTGTCGTTGTCCATGTTGGCGCGCTCGAGTGGTCGGTGTATGCCAGGAAGTGGCAAAGCGTGGTGGCTGGACGCGCTTCTGGAGTCGACACAGAGAGGTCAAAGGATGTCACGGTAGGATTGGTAATCCATCAGGGAAACTCTCTGAAGACGGCAGCTGGCCAACATCCTGATCCCTAGCTTTTGATGCACTTCAGTCCAGATAACGACGCGGGCCAATAGCTCCCCGAAAGTCTACACGTAATGATCCGCGCACACACACACACACGACCTTCCTTAAACGAGCCTCGGTTTTGCTTTGATGCCAACCTCTCGACACGCATCGCTACACGCTTTCTTGTCTCGTACTCTGTCACGCTGACACACATGACCTGGACCTATATGCTATGTAACAGCACCACGCTTACTGCGTCTGTCGCGCTTGTACAACAATCATCTTGTGCCTGTTGCGGCTCTGCATCTCCGATCTGCTTTGTGGCGCATCTCTCATGTACCATGACGCTGCTGATTGATATCGGCCTGTCCTAACCCCGAATCTCCGATCATGTGCAGCTGTGGTGACCCTGCCCTGAATATCAGTTTTCCCAGGTCCCGGGACATCATGCTCAATATGTAAAGATACTCTGAAAAACACATTCTTTAGTAATTATTGTGCATTTCTATATATACACTGAGAACGTTGTTAGTCCACGGAGTTGGTCATGATCTCCAGCAAGAGCGCGGTGAACATTCTGACTGTATGATTGTAGCATGAATTACAGCCGGATGGGACCAAGATTACCCCGAGTTCACTTGTCAACAACCCATAGAGACGACATCAGGCAGGTATGCAGACGGAACAGCCGACTAGTACAACAGATATACCGACCTATCAATAAAGCTATTCATATGACTACCATGTCTCTTGTTTGTAGCGACCGTCTTTNTCCATCTGATCGAGATACCCGTTCGCCTGCTCAGGCAGCATCTGGCCATGCTCTCTGAGCACGTCTGACAGGGCCTCACGAACTCCCNNCTTAGGCATGTTTCCAGAGGATCCACAAACATACACCTTGCCTCCGTCTTGCTCGAGTACTTGGTAGACAAGGCTGGACTGTTGACGAATCATGTCTTGAACATATGTCCTCGGTTTGTCTTTGTCGCGTGAGAATCCAGGGAACACAATGAGGCCTTGGTCTTTGATATCCTGCCATTCGTCACGGAAGAAATAATCGGCTCTTTCATTGCGGCATCCAAAGAACAACACACTCGATTGTTTTGAACCACTCTCTTTNGCCCACTCCAAGCGTTCATAAACCATCGATCGCATCGGCGCTACGCCTGTGCCTGGACCAATCATAAGCACAGGTGAGTTAACTTCGTCCGGGCTCACATTCAGATAGCCCGGCTGGATAGTGAGGCTGAGTCGTTGTCCAGCCTGCAATGTTGCGATGTATCGAGTGCAGACCCCGTAGCGCTTCCGTAATTTGATGATGGGGTTGGGAGGATTTGCGATCGCTACAAGCAACTGCACCCTGGTATCACCATTCTCAAAGAGTTTCAAGCTACCTCCGCTTGCAATGCTGAATTGACGGCCTCGCATGACAGGGATTATGTTCAGAGCATATTCCCATGGGATCTTGACACTCGGAAATTCGGGCATAATCTCAAGGATTGTCCGTCTTGGTCGAGTCGTATAGTCCCACAACTCATCGATCAACTCGGGATTTGCCAGCTCCAGAATACGTTCTTTNTGATAACCTTCGTCTTCGTTCCCCTCCTTCGTGAAGTATGCTAGCGAGGCAAAGAACGACCTCCGAGGTATGGAGAGTATGTCCAAGTAATTCGTCAACAGCTCGCGCATGGTGAATGTCCTTTTCGACGAGTCAAGGTATCTGAGAGGTGAGGGAGGATAAGTAGCAAGATCTGAAGTCTCTGTTGTAGGAACAAGCTCCAAAGGCGTGTTGGCCATGGACTGCCAGCCCATGCATTCGATAAACTGCTCAACGTCCTTAGGGAAGTTCTTGGGATACACAACTGCAACGGCACCAGGCCCGTAGTCAATATCCCGAGGCACGCGGAAATCCAAAAGCCGTACATCTTGACCGTGTTCAGGAGGAGTCAGACGTGTGTTCGCTACAAGGTCGGCAGTAACGCTGTCTCGTATCGGAAGAAGGTCATTAGCTGGTGGAGTGTCCAAAGTAAGGGTTTCAATAGATCCAGCTTCGGAATGATTGATGCTGCCGTCACTGGCTGAAGAGGCCCTTAGACACCATTTTGGCTTGAGGAAGACGTCCTCAGCAATGATGTCCTGTGCGTCAGGCAAGGGGAAATGTTGCAAAAGTCCTTGCTTCAATTCCACGATCCATGCACGAAACTCACCATTATGGCCTTCCGGGTGTTGTTCGTTACCTTCTCCACGAGCACAGAATAACTGCGCACCCAGCTGTAGCATACGGTTATGTAGCATACGATGGGCAACATTGTATTGTGGATACGAGCTGTCGCCGAGGCCGAAAGTGGTGAAATTGACGCGTCTAAGGACGCCCGGCCGAAGTTGACTGCTCAGCAAGACTTTCCAAAAGGAGCGAGCATTTTGTGGAAATTCACCTTGTCCAGTAGTAGATATGGCTACGATGACAATGGTATGCTTGAGCAGATCACGCTGTCAAAGGTTAGAGAATGCATAAATAGAGACAAAATACAGCACAAACAAGNNTTCTATCGAGTCAAGATCTATGACGGTAGTATCAAAACGCAGACGCTCGGTCAAACGAGCAATCTCTTGAGCGACATCTTGCGCATTGCCTGTCTCGGAACCATACAGGATCAATGCAGAGCGTGACTTAGCAGCAGGTTGTCTGAACTTGTCAGAACGGGTTCGTCGTAGAGCGTGTGTCGTTGACAATCACCTTCTTGCGGGAGATTGTCCTGTCAGCGCATTGTGCCCAGCGACACCATTCTGAAGGAGTGTCATGCAGTGAACGCACTTGTCGCGTGACAAATTATACTGCGGCCAACAGAATATTACGCTAGCAACAGCAGAATGTGCCGAAGACGAAGTGTAGGAATGTGCAATCTCAACAGTGAGTCGAAGTATGAAGTCTTACAAACACTTTGACGAGAGATGGCTCAACTGAGGCGACTTCGACTTCGAACTTCTAGGTCCTTCCTTCCCCGGTGCAAGGGCAGGAAGTTACGCCAGCCAAGAAAGGAGGTGGACCCTGCTGAGGAGAGCGAGAGCAAGCAGCGACTGCCGAAATTCGCCCGTGCGAGAAGTCAAGGCCAGTTTACGAGACAACAACACCTTCCATTAACACCACCTACCACACAGCAAAGTGACAAACTTTCCACCCTCTCCTCATCCCCAACACCACGAATCGGGCACCTAGCTACCCAGAACTCTCCCTCGTCAAGCCAGTTTCCACCACAACAGGCGGTCTCGACAATCCAACCAACCTCCCCAGACCTCACAGCTCCAGCGTCATCCACCTACCAACGTCATAATGTCCGTCGAAGCTGCCACCGCCCAAATGGCAAACACTACCATCACCGAGCCCACCTCGACCGCCGAGGGTGCTTCAGTCGGAGCCGGCGGCGACAAGCCCATCAACGCTTCTCAGAACGAGGCCGTCATCGCCAGCGCCGCCGAGGGTAGAAGACTCTACATTGGAAACCTCGCCTATGCGACCACTGAGGGAGAGTTGAAGGATTTCTTCAAGGACTACCTTGTGTGAGTTTCCTCGTCGTCTTGACCATGAGCTTCAGCCCCTGACTTTGGCTACAGTGAGACTACTTCCATTCCCACCAACCCCCGCACCACTCGTCCCGTCGGCTACGCCTTTGTTGACGTCTCGACCCCCTCTGAGGCCGAGCGCGCCATCAGTGAGCTGAATGGCAAGACCATCCTTGACCGCAAGGTTTCCGTCCAGCTTGCTCGCAAGCCCGAGCCTGCCCAGGAGGGCAACGAGACTGCCGAACCTGCTCGTCGTCGTAGCNTCCACCCGTGGTCGCGGTCGTGGCCGCGGTCGTGGTGGCCGTTCTGGCCGTGGTCGCGTAAGTGTTGATGCACAAAACCCATCTGGACCAGAGACTAACACTCACAGGGTCGCAATGCTGAGGGCCAGACCACTGACGCACCTGCCGAGTCGACTGATGGACCTACCAACGTGCCTGGCCAGGTCCTTCCTCTGACCGAGACCACCAACGAGGCTCTTTCTGCCGCCCCTGGTGACAAGGACACCATGACCGTTAACCCCAATAAGACTGGCAAGACTGACGCTCTTCGCCCTCGCAAGCAGCGCGGTCCTCCCGAGGATGGTGTTCCCTCCAAGACCAAGGTCATGGTTGCTAACCTCCCATACGACCTTCGCGAGGAGAAGGTGAGCTTTGAAGATCGGAATGTGTCGCGTGACCACCATGCTAACCCATCTTGATAGCTCCTCGAAATCTTCGCCGAGTACAAGCCTACCTCAGCCAAGATTGCTCTCCGCCCCATCCCTCGTTTCATGGTTCGCAAGCTCCAAGCTCGCAACGAGCCCCGCAAGGGCCGTGGCTTCGGTTTCGTCACTCTCGAATCCGAGGAGCTCCAGCAGAAGGCTTGCTCTGACATGAACAGCAAGGAGATCGAGGGCCGTGAGATCGCCGTCAAGGTCGCCATTGACAGCCCCGGAAAGGAGGACGAAGACCCCAACGCTCCCATCGAGGGCGAGGCCGAGACTGACGGCAAGCCCTCCACCGCCGAGGGATCCGCCAACACCTCTGCTGCCGTCGCCGAGTAAACTGAATTTACGAAGCATGACGGGGCGAGGACTTCTGGAGGCCAGACGCTGTTCTGAGCACCACGCAAAGCACCAAGCATTACGGCGGCCGTACAAATCTCAGCATGACCTAGGTGCGCCGTCAAGTTGACTGCGAAGATTTGATGAAGCCGATTGCGCAAAAGATATGATTTTCCACATGACATTTATATGCCCTACCCTTCCTTCTCTGTTCTGCATGGTAACTTGACGACCATCGAATATGTATTAGTATGACGAAAGAAAAGCGATCATGATTCAACCATCTTTGTTTATTGAGTTTGCTACCTACTATGTGCCTTGTGAATTTAGAGGCTATGGCTTGAACATGCTCCGTTCGGACATGATCGAGGACACCAAGGAAAGTTCTTGCGACCAAGATACCGGCTACGACAGCAGTGATAGCATGTTATTTCAGATACAAGAAGCCGAGTACCGACGGGGTTAAAGGATGGCGAGAGCGTCAAGCCAAGTCTTGCATCGGGACCCCTCATGATTTGTGCAAGCAGCTAAGGACAATGCCGAGGTCGGAATCGCCTTGCCAAACTTCCTTGTGACGGCGTCTTGACTGTTCATCCAACTTATTTCGCATCACTCTCCACATCAACATGTCTGGTCTACGAATTCTCGTGCCGGTCAAGCGCGTCATTGACTATGCCGTCAGTCTATCCGTATACATGTCCGTATCGCATAACCTGTGATTGACACTGTGCATAGNNGTCAAGCCTCGAGTCAACAAGGCCCAGACGGCCGTCGAGACAACCGGAGTCAAGCACAGTATGAACCCCTTCGACGAGCTGTCGATTGAGGAAGCCGTCCGTCTGCGCGAACGCAAAGCCCCCGTCGAGGACATTCTCGCCTTTTCCGCTGGTCCCACAAAGTCTCAGGACATTCTGCGTACTGCCATGGCCATGGGTGCCGACCGTGGACTTCACGTTGTCGAAGAGAAGACCGAACTGGAGCCTTTGAGCGTCGCTAAGGTGCTCAAGAAGGTCGTTGAGGATGAAAACCGCAACCTTGTTATTCTGGGCAAGCAGAGTATCGACGACGATGCCAACCAGACAGGTCAAATGCTTGCTGGTCTGCTGGGCTGGGCTCAGGCTACTCAGGCCTCCAAGGTCGAGATCGAGGGTGACACATGTACCGTGACCAGAGAGGTGGACGGTGGAGTCGAGACATTGCGCGCTAAGCTGCCCATGGTCATCACCACCGACTTGCGATTGAACGAGCCGCGCTACGCCAGTTTGCCAAACATCATGAAGGCCAAGAAGAAGCCGCTGGTCAAGAAGACCATGGAGGACTACGGCATCGACCTCACCAAGCGCCTCAAGCACGTCAAGGTTACCGAGCCTCCGCCGAGACAGGNNGGAGGTGGCAAGGTCGAGGATGTTGATGGCATGATTTCCAAGCTCAAGGAGTTGGGTGCATTATAGAAGAGCTACCGAATAGCTCTGATCTTGATACCATGTATTTGTTCAGGCATGAAAATCTAACTATCTGCTTCGACCAAATCTGTCCTGATTGCATGCGTCTACCAATCGCCCCAAGCATCGTCGCTGGACTTTTGCTGCGATCCTGTAGGCTTCTTCATGGCACTCGTTCCTATGCTAGACGAAGCTGCTTTCTTTTGTGTTGCAGTCTCACCAGCAGCAGCAAAGTCGTCCCAGAAATCCTTCTTGTCGTTCGCGGGCCCTTGCGGAGCTTCACCAAAACTGTCCCAGAAGTCTCGCTTGTCTGCTGCTGGGCCCTTGCCTCCCCTTGGTGCCAGTCTCTCGTCACCTTCGACGAAGCGATTGAAGGTCTCGGCAGCAGACTTTGTGCCTGTCTGAAGACCCTGGCCCAGTTGCGCTGCCGTCATGCGTGCCTGAGCAGCAAGATCGGCTTCTGCCAACTTTNNTTATAGTGTCAGTGTTGGTAGACGGCATATCGAAATATCAAGACGGACCTTCTGCATGTTTGGCTTGACCCATCCGTCATAACCAGTCTTTGCCTGTTTGGTCACGGTGCTACTTAGCCAGCCGAAACCTTTTGTAAGAGCAGCAACAGGGTCCTTTTGGAAGTCATCGACACCAGGGATTGAGTTCGAGTTGGCAGAGGACGAGGGCATGGGCTCGCTGCCAAAACCAGCGTATTTTCCGCCTTGGTTAGGAGGCAGAGCATCAGATCTGTGGGCGTTCTCGGCGCCCATGCGGGCAAAGTAGGCTTCGTTTTGGGACTTCTGCGAGGGTGGACCAGCAGATGAGGCACCGAGGGGAGTCTGACTCCTGCTCGTCGAAGTCGAAGTGGCAGGCTTTGCGCGAGTAGCCATGCCACTGCTCTTTGTGCCTGGGACGTATTCCTTGCCCTCGACCTTTGCGGTCAGACGCTCTTTCCACTCCTCTCCAGCATCACTGTCGTAGCGTTCCTGGATTGTGCATTCATCGAAGGTGCGGCCTTGAAGGGTGTTTGATTCATGGGCATCGAAGAAATCCTTCCATGGCTTGTTGCCGCCTTTGGACATGCGCTCGACCTCTTGAACCTTGAAGGAATCCATGGTGATTGATCGTACAAANGAGATGTGGACGCCGAGAGAGCGATGGGTGCCAGAGCAGGATAGACAGAAGAAAATGCCGAACTTGGGAGAGGCNCTTAGGCACATGTGAGCAGAGAGGTTGGCTGAAGGCAGGAGTAATTGGCATACCCATTGCGGGCTGGGGGCACCGCAGTCGACGCAGCGGTTGTTCTCATTGGTCTTTTGGATGTCTAGGAGCTTGCTCTTTGTTTCGGGATCAACCTGCAGACATGTTGTTGGCACAAACGTCACCCTGGGGATGGAGCAGCTATGGGGCTATCTGACCTCCCACATTTTGTTGCTCATCTTGATCGTGGTCGCGTGAAAGCCTAACCTGGAGTTACGGCTCGCTCAAGAAACTGTTGTAGACAAGAAAAGGGAGAGGCTGTGAAAGCAATAATGCGAGCAGAGAAAGCTGCCGTTGTTATCAGCTTCCCCTTGGGCTCAATAGTCGCATCTCGACGCTCGAACTCTCGCCAGGGCACGTCATGCGCTAAGCACGGACCGTCTTTTGTTGCTCTACCATTTCTCGCCCTCACAATCACCTTGACCTTTCACATCTATGCGCCAATAGAGGTCAAGGACGATTGTGTATCACTATGGACTACAATTCGCTCACCGTCGCCAAGCTCAAGGATGAATTGAAGGAACGCGACATCCCCAGCACTGGCCTCAAGCTCAAANAGGATTATATCGATCGCCTGGAGCAGCACGACAAGGACCAAGCGATCCAACAAGAAACTGCTCCGCACACTGGTCCAGATGTTTCACTCGATACTCCAACAGAAGATCCCTCCACAATAAACCCTTCCACTGCCGCAGACCTACCACCAGTCGCTGAAGACAAGCCGGAATCCATTCAGGATCAAGACCCTACAGAGCCCACCAAGGAAACAGTCGCAGACACTGCTCCATCACCCAAACCAGAAGTCATGGATCAACTACCTACCGGTACTACTCCCGAGCCTGTCAAGACGGAAGAGCCTGCCTCGGCCAATGGAAACAAGAGGAAGAGACGCAGTCACAGTCCGCTTATATCTGAAGAGGTTGTCCACAAGAAACTAAAGCAAGAGGCTGATGGTCCAGCCGTTCACTTACCAACCGACCAAGATCCCTCAAAGAACGATGTGTCGATGCCTGATGTCCCTCTGGAACAGCCCCATCTTACCCTTCAGCCAATGTCCACTAGCGACGACTTGACCCAACCATTCGCCAACGATTCCGACAAGCCAAGGTCGACTCGAAGCCCTAATGAACGTCGTTTCAAGAATCTCATCAATCCTGCCGAGTCTGATCCCCTCCAACTCACACCCGAATCAACTGACGTTGCGGTATCTCCTGCAATTCATCCCGCTACTCGCGCTCTATACATCCGCGATCTTGTTCGTCCCATCAACCCCACCGGCTTGAGAGACCACCTTGAAGACATTGCAAGACCTCCAGACCATTCTGATTCATCCGCTTCACTGGTTGAGGAATGCCATGTCGACACTCTTCGCACACATGCCTTCGTCCTGTTCACATCCATATCTGCTGCTTCTAGGGCGAGGGCTGGCGTTCATGCTCGCATTTGGCCGCCAGAACCCATGCGCAAGCAGCTGTGGGCAGACTTCTTTCCCGAAGAGCGTTTCCAAGAATATCTTGAGGTCGAGCGCGCAAGTGGAGGCTCGAGACCTAGTCAGGCGAAACGTTGGGAGCTTGCTTACAATTCTCATGACGATGGTGTTGACGTACAGCTTGTCGAAGCAGGTCCTGCTATTCACCGTGCTTCAACGCATGCTGGCGCATCGAATGCTCCTCCTACTGGGCCAAGGGGCAGCATGTCAGACGGGAGACGTCCGTCCTTCGCTCAAGGCGACCAGAGGCGCCCATCTCAGCCTGTCCTTGCTCNNCCCCCTCCACGACGCAGCTCAAGAGTAGTCGAAGAAGCAAGTGCCCCTTTCCTGGAATTGGACAAGCTCTTTAACTTTACTTCGACCAAGCCAAAGCTATACTGGCAGCCTGTAAGTAGCGATCTTGCCGATGACAGGCTTGACGAGCTGGATCGTGAGACCAGCAGAGACTGGGATCCGATTGCCGATGCAAAGAGAAACGGTGACTCCCTGGGTCGCGGTCTCGATCAGCTCAAGCGGTATACCTTCGAAGATGGCGACGTTCTCGTCGATGGCGGTCCAGAGTTCGGCGGTGGTCGTGCATTCGCGCGAGCCGGCAACCGTGGGCGTGGTCGAAGGAATGGAGATAGTTATCGCGGACACTAGATTTGAGCCACAATGGTATACAGCATATACTCGAAGCGTACATCTTCAGGTAGGCGTCTCCAATACACTCGGTAAATAGAAGAACCTCTTTCTCCATGAATTCACTCTACTTGGATCATCGCTGCATGGTGTCCAGCAAACCCTAAGACTTGCTCTTCTCCACTTCTTCGTTCCCCTTCACCGTGACACTCGCAAGAGAACCGATTCGAATGGCTCTACACGATTTGATCTATGTACACTGCCGCAATCCGTCAACAACTGGAATTCGTGTCTTTGCTAGATGCTGCAGAGAATATCACGAGCACTGTCTTAACAGCACTCCCCTTCTCTTTCCGGACGACATCCTTGCTCAAGCCTCCATCAATGCCATCACAGCCATAGAACGAGGCCCATGGAACGTGAAGGCATCCTCGAGTATTCCAGTAGTACCACCTCCTTGACCAATCTTTGTTCTGCTCTACTAGAACACATACACAACAAGCCTTATACAGAGTCCGCTCACATACTCTGCTCATGCGCAAATCATCGCGCCTGGAAATGATAAATCATTGATCATTTGTATTCAATCTCTCAAACACAGCTTCTCGATACCACGAGAAGCAGAGCACCTCTAACTCAAAAGGGCTAGTGCAGCGCGTGCCAGTGATTGGGAGTCGATGAGAACGCGTTAAGAAGTTGATGGGAACAGAATTAGATCTGTCCCCTTCCCGGATCTGATTTATGTATAGGGTTGAGGATGTGATGACTCCATAGCGACACGAATCTGATTGATGTGGAGAGACGAGGATTTGATGTTATTGCATTCGTAGGTATTGAGATTGCTGAGAAAACGCTCGAAAATATACTGGCCATAACGTTATTCTCAGCATATCACACAGTGGAGCGTCTGAGTGGTGACAGCATGATGAACGATTCGTATGAGCGTAAAGATGGTATCGTCTGGGGTCTATGAACAAGCAGGAGACGGCAAAAGACCGAGAGATTATAATGTTTGTTGTTCTTATTTTGCTTTTTGTTCGATCTGTTGTATATACTGCCAAAGGCAAGGCAAGCGTTGGGGTCCCTGAACTAATGCCCTCTATGTTGTTGGATAATAAATATAAAGAACCAGTAGGCAATCTGCCCAAACGCCCGCTAAATGAACCTGAGATACTTAAAAATGGACAGGAAAAATTCTGTAGTAGTCAAGCGAAAAGAACAGAGGAAAATCTTGGTCGCGTGAAACAAGCAGCGAAAGCCACTAATCGTCGACTGGATCGGGATTCGTGACACCCAAGGGTCGGGAATAGTCTCGTTGGTCTTGCATGGTGCCGATGCTCGCGCGACTGCCGTTTCTTTCCCAGTGTTCCATCAGCGCAGCAGGGTTGAGTCGTTGATCATAAACGAGTGGACGACTGTTTCGCCTGTCGCCATCTGGGCTGCTGGACATTGGCGCAGTCGATTCGCTGCCGTGATATTTATGACCCAGAGCCGAGTCATCTTGGAACTTTTCCATATCAGCAGCAGTGCCTGCAGATGACAGTAGACCGGTCTTGCTGAGAACGCTAGTATTGCGCTCCATTCTTCTTCGGGCAGAACCTGAGCCAGAGCCCGATCTCGGTGATTCTGGATCATCGGATGTCTCGGATTGTTTCCTACGCCATAGAAAGAATGCACCTGCAAGGAGAAGAGCGACACCAGCAACAGAACCAATGACAGCTCCTGCTACAGTCCCACCAGAAACACCTTCGTGTTCGTTTTCATGTAGCGAGCCGGCACCGGGAGTCACGACAGCAGTGCTTGTAACGGTTTGGGTTACTGGAGCTCCCGAAAGGGTGACAACACGGGTGCTGACAAAAGTAGTGTGGGAAAGGGATTCAGTGTCGGCAGCAGTAGAAGAAGGGCTGCTTGTCACAACAGCTGCTTGAGTAGAGGTGATGGCAAGGGATGTTGATGTTGATGATGTAGACGACGAAGTTGAAGAGGGTGTCGTTGATGGTGGTGGTGATGATGTCGTTGTAGGTGTGCTCGAGGACNNTATACATATGTAATCAGCATGAGTGCCAAATGAGCCAGGATGTTGAAAGCGAGACGGCAAACGACAGAAGACTGAAGAAATTGGAAAAGGCATACAGGTGTAACATATGATACGACGACCGAAGCACTCTGCTTGACGGTCACGGTGATAGGCACAGAGGTGAACACGGTGGTATCGCTCTGCACGGAGGGGAGAGGCCTGGGCGGAGGAGGGAGAGGGTGATGAGGTAGGTGTCTAAGCAGACATGGTTCAGTTGCTATGCGGGGCAGCGGGAGTGTCGATTTGCAGATGATGTAGAGTCACAGCCGAGGAGATCAAGTTAAAGCTTACCGGTTGTTGTGTTGAGGATTGAGCAGCACTTGTAGAACTCTCGGCGGAGCCGGAGCCAGAGCCCTGGGTGCCTGATGGGCTGAGGTTGAGCTTGATGTAGCCGAAATGGCCATCATCTTTGTCACCACATTTATCATCGGGATAGCCGGGACAAGGAGCATTACACTGCGAGAGGTCGAGCTGGTCTGCAGGAGCGTAGTTCGAGCACCAGCATTGTTGGTACTGGACTATGGCAAAGGCGTAGTTGCCGACGCATGTTTTCTGGCATGCACCATTAGACTGGTAAATGTCGGTCACTACATGCAAGTCAGCAGGCTGGCATCCGCGGAGGCGCAACATGAGACATGTGCCCAATGCTCAAAGCTCACCAGCGTCATAGTCAGAACCCGTGTTTTGGCTCGAGCAATATGTCTGACCCAGGCCATGCGCGTGTTGCCAGAAGCTCGACATGAGAACCAGTGGCAGTAGCAGCAGTTGGCTGCGACGAAGACCGCCTCGAGACATGATGGTGATATGGAAGCGCGGTCGGATGCCAAGACACAGACAGAAGGGACTTTGAGGGGCCGGTCCGCGGTCGTCAACAAGTCACACTGCAGCGACAAAGCGACTTGCAGCGACTCGGTTTTGGGTGGTACAGGGATGATGAATGTCGGGTGCGCAAAGAGTGTCGATCGAGCGGACGCGCAGCGAAGGAAAAGAGTGTTGGGAGGAGCTTGTCGACGCTCGTCGCAGAATTACAGAGTCGAGCCTTCGTATCGTGAGCGGTCTGGGCACATTTCCATCAATTGTCCTTGGCCAGGGGGGAGAGCTAGGGCGCGACGTGACTCCAGGCAGGGGCGTTGAGATACAGTCAAGCAGCGAAGCAAGGACCAGAGCGCAAAGAGAGAAAGGTCCGGTGGAGCGATGACTGTGGGTTAGGACTGGGAAGAGAAGGAGAAAGAGCTAGCTAGCTACGATAAAACAAGATGCCAGCAAGCAAAGCAAAGCAAGCAACCAAGCAAACGATGGCACAAAACGCACAATGTTATTGCAGCCGTTGGGTAATAATGTTGACTCGCCTATTTGCAAGACTCGAGTCGTCGACTGCGCTAACCAAAGTCTGTCGCCTCTGGTGATTATGATTTGCACTCTGCCGGCCCGCTGTTTCATCACTGAAGCCCCGGATGTGCCAAACAGGTTCGCCAAATCTCCATCACCTCGTCATCCTGTGAGACACGTCCAATGAAGCCATCGGCCCCGAGGCCTTGGTGCCCGCTGTCCAAGATTCGCGTCTGATCTGCCGCCGTGCTGTTCATCATGGTTTCTTGATTCTCCACCCTGTCACACTCTTGTGAAGCATACCCGACAACTTGCTCACACAATTGCATCAACGGCGAGGTATGCAACAAAGAACTGTGTGCCCTTTGTCGGTCATTCGATCCTGCACACCCGATCCATAACGACTAGAGCATCCTCTACACATGTCGCGACGTTGGCGCACAGACATTTGCAATCTAATGCCTACATCTACAGCTTGGCCTTGCCGCCCTTGACTCCTTCAACAGTCGCTCCACTCAGGATGAAGTCCGGATATTCCCAAGTAGAGCCCGGTCCGCCAGCATTTACTCTCCAGCTGCCTCCGTCCACCACCACTGTCGAGCCATTGACAAAGTTGCCGGCATCAGAGAACAGATAGACGGTCGCATCTGCGATGTCCTTGACCGAGCCCAGCCGTCCTAATGGCACCCTCTTTGCTGACTTTGCAACGCTCTCCGGGTCACTCTTAGCCAATCGTTCCATGCCCTCTGTGCCACCGATTGGGCCAGGTGCGATGACATTACTTGTGATGCCCAGCGGCCCATATTCAATGGCAACCGCATTCGACAGAGAATCGACGGCTGCTTTGGCGGCTGAAACATGAGTCTGCAAAGGTAGACCGGTATAGTGGATTGTTGCCGAGACAAAGATGATTCTACCACCGATGCTCGGGTGTGTCGCACCTACAGTGCTGCTCTTGGCGCTCTGGACAAGGTAGGGCAAGGTCGCTTTGACGGTGTTGTAGCTACCGAGGACATCGATGTCAATAACGGACTTGAAAGCGTTCGCACTGAGCTGTGACATTGGTGCCAGAAAGTTGCCTGCTGCACCAGCAATGACAAAGTCTATGCCACCCAGTTCCCTGGCAGTTTTATCTGCAGCATCTTGCAGAGCCTTGGGGTCGCGAACGTCGACTCCAGCGATGGCGAGTACACGAGCGCCAGGACGGGCTGTAGCAATATCGGCGGCCATTCGCTCCGTCTTCTCTTTGTTGCGGCCAATGATGGCAGCAGATGCGCCTAGATGAACCAGAGCTCTCGTCTGAGCACTGCAGATGGAACCAGCACCACCTGTACAGAACAGAACTTTGTCNCTCTGGAGGGGTTAATCAGCATGGCGCGAAGGGTCTTCTGAGTAACAGATGAACCCACTGAAGAGTCCATCCTTCCACGCTTCACTAAGATATTCTTTTCTCTCTTGCAGCATGTTCACAATTGGTTTAGGGGTGTGTATGTCTGGTGGGGTGGGGCGGGTATCGTGGGTATGGTGATGGCAGAGAAGGAGAAGAAGGGAGGATCAAACAATACAACAAGCGTGTTCACAAGATCGTGTCAGCTCCAGCTGAACGGCACGAGGCTGCCGAGGTAGACGTGTTTCAGGGCTAGACCACCGAGGTGTATAGTCAACAAGCGGATCCCTGGTACGAGAGGTAGATATCCGAGTTATGGTAGATACTTGCTATGTCTATATAAACTGCAGATCTTCCAAGACGACGAGCACTGTGTGGTACCAAAGGTGCGAACTCTGGACTTGTGTTTGTTGCGCAAGTTGCAAAAGCGTGCCTTTGTGCTTGTACTGTGTGCAAAGCCGTTGGAGTGTGGAGATGCACGGACCTGACGTATGCAGCAGCGAGCATCAATAGTATGGGGAGACGTCAAGGTGAAACGCACACAACTTACTCTACAACCATCTCAAACGACACATCGAGTCTGTCGCAAGCGTCCCTGCATCCATTCCCAAAATGCCATCTACGATTGCCGCCTGCAAGTTTGTGGGCACCACGAGTCTGGGCCTTTTCACCGTCAGTCTCGAATCTCGACAAGCACCAGTCACACGCCATCGACTGACATGTGTCTAGGGTGCCTCGTACTCGCTGGCCGCCTTGTCCATACCAGCACTGCTAGATCTTCCGTCAGCAAAGCCTGCTCACCATGTCCTGATCTCGTTGAAACAAACTGCCTCGCTGCACTTGCGCTCTCTTGCCGTCGTCTCGTTGCTCTCCTTCAACCTTGCCTACGCTCTCTCGCCAGCTCGCGCTAGACATCCCTATCTGCTCTGGACTTCTCTGGTCGCCGGTCTTGCTGCCGCCTCAGATCTAATCCCTGGCCAATCCCTCCCCTCTCAGAATCAAGACGACGTCAATGGCGAAACAGTTGAGCAGGCTGTCAAATCTTCTCAAATCTTTGAGCAGGCAAGAGCTGCTATCGGCTTTGCTGGTTTCGCAATGGCCGTTGTTGGCATTTGGGGTGACGGTGCTTGATCGATCGAAGCACTTTGGAGAAGTACTGCCCACATCACCACCTCCAAAGCTCCGGGCTCTTGTAAGCACTGAGCTGAAAAGGCCACGTCTTTTCACGCCTGTCTGATTATGCAGAGTTACGTACCAAGTTCAATGAACCCAGCTTTACAAGTACTCTTGCGCAGTTGTATCTTGCCTCTCGCTCGTCGGAAGATGCCACTCGAGGTCTAGTCTTCCTTATCATGGCCCCAATGAACATGATTTCTCCCAACGTCGAAGGTCTGGACTCGACAGCATTGTTCGTCGAGTAGACAGCAACAATCTGGCTTGCCACGAAGGCGTGATCAAGGGCTGGACCTCAACCCCCCTATGTTCCTCCAGCATTGGGTCCTGCAGAAACACGAACTCATCCTGCACTACATGACCTCCTGGACTGCCTGATCCTCGTCTCAATGGTTCATGCCGCTCTTAACCAATGTTTTCATCGTCAAACGTGCGTGGGCTTCCCCAATGGCTACGAACTGAACTTGCACTCCCTCTCTTCTCGTGGACTCATAGCTGAACATCAGTGTCGTTCAGATCTCATTGGTCCAGAGGTCCCGCCCAGGACTTTCAATGCTACCATCTGTGCGACTCCAGTTCTGTTTCTCGATCTTCAATCACGTCAACAGACAAACCCGGTCTTGAATGGAACCTATACTTCGAAACTGTCTCTCCTTTGTGGTTGGGCTTAACAGATATACATGCGAGATGGTGCATCTTAATAACTTCTTCGGGCACCAGGTCTTCTGTTTGTCTTTGCTCCTATGCCCCGTCATGTGTAGCTTGTTGCCATGCAAGAAACGAGGGAATGAGTTCATCAACCGAGTGTATATCGCCTGGAACCACACCCACTCATTCAAGAGTCGTTCCGGACTCATGAGACATGAGCGAACCACCACGTCAGCAGCGCAAAACCTATCGCTCCAAAACATCTTGCAACCTTCTGCCATCTCAAACTGGTCGCTCTTGGGTATCACGACGTATACCAGTTCCTGGCTACGTGTTCTCAGCAGAAGCATTGGTCAATCTCCAATACGCCTGGCTATTTCATGCATGTGTTGCCCACTCTTTGGCAAAGTGCTTCTATCTCGAGATCGAGTCTCGGACATGCTCAATGTTAGAGATGACCTGTGCTCAACAGACGTCGGATTGATGTCCTCGTTTATGGTTTCCGGATGCTTCAGATATTCTCAGCCAAATACAAGGTCCCAAATGATCGAAGTATCGCTTCATGAGCAGAAACCATCCAGATCTTTTGCAACGTGCTCGCTTGGTGGATTTCGGCATCAATGCAGTTCTGTCTTTAGACATCTATAACATGTCATGGCTGCTGAACTCGAGACAGTGCTAGCAGAGCATATCCCCGAGTTGGTTCGATGATTGTATAAGATGCAGTAGTCTACGTCAGTCTCCCGGTAAGGTGTGAGACGCTGCGGATCTTGGCCACCAGCTTGTCCCCTGAACCAAGGGCTGATGCATGAGTTTACTGGATAGATGAGGACCTGGTCACTGCGTCTATACAGTCCTGTACACTGCATGGTTATCTTCACCTTGCAACTTGATAGAATAGAACCGTCAAGATGCACAAGGCGGCTGAAGCCTGAATGTCTGCGAGTCTCCCTCTCTTTTCATGCTACAGAAGTGTTTTTCCGGGCGTGTTCTGTACTGCCGACGGTCTCCAACGATCTTTGATTGTTGAATCAGAACTTCAAACTTCATTGCTCTCATGATCTTAGTTGCAGATCGAATAAAGATACAAGTCTATAAGATTGCTAGAGTAACAGAACTTGTGTTTCGAGGAATCAGGATTTCATGTTTCTTGGTAGTGATACTTATGCTCGATAAAAATGCTCATACAGTCTCTCAATTGGTCGACCCGAGATCACTGAATACTCATTGCTGGGCAGACTCAGCACATATCAGAGAGGTGTATGCAAAATTTGGTAAACCATTCTCAAGAAACATCTCATCGTGAATCGTCAAGTGTCACAGGACTCCGTGATTCAGAACACCAGCAACCCAAAACAGCTCTCTCTGCGTACTCTTTGCGATAGATCTGATGATTGCTGATCATGTCGAATGATTTGCTTGCATGAATGTTGGACTTGACAGAGCTGGCGCAGGACTGGTGCGAGTCCACCTTTATGATATGTCACTGGACAAGGAGATGAAGAAGAGCAGAGTCGATGCCCATGATGATCACAGAAGACATTCACAAGACAAGAGGCACATTGATGATAAGAGAAACAATCAATCCATACTTTGGTAGTCAACGAAGCAGTGACCCCTAGTGTTAAAGCATACAGAACATGAAGAATGAAAAACCCTGTCGCCAATAGCAAACGCTGAGCAGCTCGTGCTGATGAGAAGAAACAACCCCTGATGAAACAAACAAAGCAAAGAACAAAAGCAAAGCCTCCTGGTCATAACAAATGTGAGGCAGCATAGTGAAAAGAAGAGAACAAGTGGTATCGGAAGACAAGAACAAACGCCGCCGATGATCATGAAGAGTCAAGCCGACTCATCGATGCAAGGTGATGTGCTCAAGACTGAGCAGATGCATTGAGGTCACAGACCTTGTAGGTGGTGCTGAAAGGCTTGGTCACAGTGTGACGAACAGTGGAGACAGTGGTGGCAACACTGGTGATGAGCTTAGTGCGAACACGAAGCTGAGTCTTGGTGAAGACGCTGGTGATGGTGTGAGTAACGGGCTTCTGAGTGACGACGCTGGTGATGACGTCGAGAGAGTGGGCGGCCTCAGTGGTCAGAGAGCAAGCCAAGCTGGTAGTAGCGGTGACAGTGAGGGTCTTGCCCTTCTTGGCAGCGGTGGTCTCGATGTCGGTCTCGATGTCGGTATCAGTGCCGGAGCCGCCGATGCAGTCGTCGATGTCCTGGCGACCACAGACCCACTTCCAAGAGTGGCCAGCGATGGGAGTACCAAGGCCGTCGCCGTGGTGAAGAGCGACATTGTGGCAAACACCAAGAGCGCCGGTGTCGTTGAGGTCGACGACTTCAGCGCCGTCCTTCTTGCAGTCCATGTCGCTGAAGACGAGAACAGAGCATGGCTCAGAGCCTCCGACTTTGCTGTGGCCTGCACGCTTGATGGTGGCTGAGAGCGAGGAGAAAGGCTTGTCAAAGGAGTGGCAGTGACCGTGGACTTTGGTGTCGGTGTCGCGGTGCTGAGCGCTGTTGCAGTTGGGACCGTCGGCAGGAGCGACAGTGACGTGGTCACGAGAGAGTTCAGCGTCAACTGATCTGGCGAAGATCAACTGGCTGCCGTCGTCGTCGGAGTCTGGGTCGGGATAGTGGATGCTGACGTTGCGAGGGTTTTCCCAGTCCTTGTCGATGCCAGGACCACAGACCCACTTGAGAGCCTCGAACTCGTCGTCATTGTCGTCAATGACCTGGTTGTCGTAGACACAGAGGGCTGTGTTGTCGTCTGGATCGTGGGCGTCATCAACTGATTCAAGCTCGGCAATGATGGTGCCGTCTCCAGTGCAGTCAGACTCGTCGAAAGCAGCCAGAACGCAAGTATCGTCGAGATCCTTGAGGTCGTCATCGCGAATGTGTCTGGCACGGGTGCTGATGATCTGAGGGTATGCGTAACAGGCGTTGTAGAACAGACGTTCTTCGGCACCGAAAGTCGCGGTGTCACAGCTGCCAGTGTTGCCGAGGCTGACCATGAGCTGGTCCTGACCATGGAAGAGAGAGAAGATCTCCTTCTTGTCGTGTTCAGAGAAGTGAGGAGTGTCGGTGCAGTTGTTGGGACCGCAGGCAACTGGAGAGGTGGTCGAAGAGTTGCGAGAGACGGCAACGGCTCCGGTGATGGCGGCAGAGACGCCGGTCAGCTGTACGATGGTCAGCAAGCGTGAAACATGATGAAAATGGATGGCTGATGATGAGAGTGGATGGGTGATGATGAAGATGGATGGCTGACGATGCAGACATATGGCCGATGATGCAGAGGCATGGCTGATGATGGAGGTGATGATGGATGGGAATGGTTGATGATGAGTGAGTGATAACGTACAGTAGAGGGCTTCATGTTGGCTGGTGAGCTGAAGACAGAAGAGTTGTTGACAGAAGAGCGGCGAGCTCAGAGATGGAGATGCTGATGGGTAGATGATGCAGCCTGATGGTGCGATGGAAGAAACAAAGAAGAGGAGCTGTGGTGTTGTTGTGACAGAGTTGGTTGTGTGTTGGGTTGATGGAAAAGGAAGATGGAGGATGGAGGAGAGAGGAGGGGGTTTTATAGACTGACGAATCCTCACCAAAAGAAGAACCCGCGCGTCGTGAAGCTCTTTCCCTCGACGCTCGTTGACGGCGTTGCGTTGGGCTTGCATTACGTTTCGCTGAGTTGCTGCCTGAGGCTTCCTTCCCTCAACGCCAGTCGACAGCTTCGCGTTCGCAGCGACGCGTAAGAGATTGCCCTGAGTGGTGACTTCCCTCGAGAGCACCTGGGCAGGACGCTTACGACTCTCGCTCAACAAGACCCAACAGGAAATTGGTCATGTACTTTCAGGGCAGCTTCGGATGATCACCCCTGATTGATGACTTCCTCGTGAGCATATCTGTTTGTCATAGAAGATATCCACCTTGCATGACATGTGTGTTCCTCGAGCTGCAGGTCAGCGAAGCGTGTTGAGTTCCATGCGTCTAGCTGTCGTACGAAGCAATGGCACGAAGCACGCTTTGGTGATATGGTTGTCAGAAGATACTATGCTTTGAGATTGGTATGACAAGACAGAGGGAACTCGAGCACGAGTTGTTCTTCTGAATTATATACAAATCTTGAACACTATATCTTGACTGCCACTCGGAGATGCATCTCGACATCAACCCTGCTGTGAAGTTTGCGGCCGTGCCAATCTCCCCTTCAAGCAGACTTGAGTCGCACACATTGGCAAGCCAAACCCCACCAGGGCAGGCTGTTGCAATGACCTGAACCGAACAACTCTCGAGATGCGCGACGGCAGATGTTCGACTTGAAAGTTAGGCGATGATGTCCTCGATGATTCCTGTTGCGTAGGCTTGACTCCGAATAAGCAGTCCTCTGGAGGGTGTCGTAATACACAATCTGTATCAGATCCATAGCCACCGATAACGATAAGTTCAAGCACCAAAGTGCAGTGCCGCATCATGTTGGTATATCGCGAGAGCTGGCGGTCATGCTCACAATCGGATTGAGAAGGTTCGATCAACAACCTCTCTTTCCACAGTATAGCGTTGAGGAGGTGAGAGCTTCGGCTCAACAATCGCTTGTCCTTCTACACAGTCAGCTCAAGATAGCAAAGTAACGTATTGCACCGCGATCAATTTGCTACACATGTCCTACAAGAAGCATGGTCGCGAGATCAAAGATGCAAGGCAAAAAGCAAAACTTCATAAGGGGTATCTCGACATGCTAAACAAGGGATGTAACAAAACAATGAAAATAGAGCCATGGTATGTCATAGCCTTTCAGAACTACTCTCATGACTGAGAGTACCATGAACCTCGTTGACCACCAGCAGGAAACATGTCCTGAGAGGGAACGGTCGGTGTGTTGTTTGCCAGAGAGGTCTGGTTCACGCGAAACACACCACGCCCATTCTGCGTAGGTTGCACTTGGAAAATGTCAACAATCGGTCGGAGATGAGGCAAGCGATTACATACCTTGTATCCAGCGCGAATCTGGAACAGGTGCCTTGTCAAATCTGAGGATTGAAGGATAGTTGCAGACGGTCCCTCGTAGCTGGCAGGAGTTACAGATAGGTTGCAACCCATCACACNNTTTTCCTCAAAGTGAGCTTCGAGGTCAGACATAGAAGTTTATCGAACGTACCTGAGTATGCGCAGCCTTGCACTTGAAACATGGGACTGCAAGCTTAGAGAAGCGACCTACATCAGGGGGGNNTTGCGGTTGCTGGTAAGCCGGATTGAAGTTCGGACGACTCGCAAGCAGAGGATAATTGCCAGGAAGAGCGCTGGACGACGTGGTAACAGAAGCCGGAGACGGGTTCTGCCAGAGAGGAGGGGTGGAGGCGGCGACGGTGATAGATTGGCATGCGACNTCGTGGTTGACAGTAGAAGTGTCAGTTGGAGCCATTGACTGTTGAAGAATCTCGACCAGCGACAAGGGACGTTCTGCTTGATCCGCTGGTTGAACAGGCTGTATCTTCTGACGCTTTGGGCGTGGCTGAGTTGTGCTGTCTTTGGTCTTGCGAGGAGGCTTCTTTGCAACGGGAAGCTCTACTGGGTCAGGATAGGGCTGAAAGGTCGAGGGATCAACGTCGTGGAGAATGAAGGAGTTTTCGTGGGTGTCTTGGTCTGCGAAGGACAGCAAGCTTGCATCGGGCGTGGTGTCCGAGACGGACTGGTGCGTGACTGATTTCCGCTTTGAATCCTTACGTGGAGGCGGACGCCTTTCTGCAACTGTCTTGTGGATGGCGTGATGCTTGTAGACAACTTCGACAGACTGTCGCATGGCGGAAAATTTGACAGCAATCTGACCCTTGCAGTCATAGGTGGGTTTGCGAACGCCGCGAGTATTGGCACCAGGACGCCGGGTTGCGGCATTGGTGGCACGGAATCCGTTGGCGTGTCTGTCTTTGTTTTCCAACGAGTCGAGACAGGTGTACGAGTAGCGATAACCATTGTCGTCTTTGCTGGACCAGTTGTTGTTGAAGCAGTACTTGAAGCCATCAAGGTCCTGGATCTGGTGGACGATGCCCTTGGCGGCAGCGCGCTGCCAGATCTGTCGCTGCTTGAGGTCGTCGATGTTTACCAACTTTAGGACTGTCTTGTGTTGCAGCTGCTGGTCTTGCTCCTGATCCTGCTCTTGTTCATGTTGTTCGTGGACGACAGAGCCGACGTCATGTCCACCAAGGTCTAGGTCATCGCCAAAGCCATCGAAGGGTGCATAGCTGGGACGACGGCGAGAGTGCTGGGTTTCGGTGAGAGATTTGAGAGGTAGAGCGGCATGGGTGGATAGGGTCATGGCACACGAGACATATTGCGGGAGGGCGTCGGGGGTGGTGGCATTGTCCATGTATTGGCGTAGGGCGGTTTTGAGGTCGTCGAGCGACTCAAATACCGTGTCCAAATTGGTGTAGTCCTTGCGAGGCCGATGCGGTCGCCGCGCCCTGGGCTGTTGTTGCGCCTGTCCTGTCGTCGGCGCTGTTGGCGTGTCCATACTGCAGGTCGGATATCTCAGATGACTCGTCTGACTACCGCTTTGTCACCTCGCAAAACCAAAATCGATGTCGCGTCAAAAGCCGTCGACTTGACTTCTACCATTTCCCCGCCATGGACGCTCCCGCCTCTAGCCTGATTAGGCCAACCAGTATCGTAACGTTTACTTTCGGCGCTTCCTCGCTGTGTGCCTCTATTGTACGTGCAGTCCTATGGACCAAACACTGGGCAGACTCTGTATCCATGCCACATCTCGTGCATTCTTCTGTCGAAGTACACATTAAACCTGCGTTCGCTCAGTCATGATACTCAAGTTTGGGGTGACACACACGTTTCGCTGAGTATCCGCAGCTTACATGTAGCTCCTTCCATCTGCTCAGGCATCGAAGCATTTTCCACTACGGATATCTTGAGGGCACAACATCTGACCAGAGCTTGCCACAGCAGCAGCTCTTAGATCTAATAATCGTATCCCTGCCTCGAGACATCTTCAGCAGGAAGCTAAGCCATCCGAGGCTCCTCGCACACCGCCATGCACCGAGATCTACTCAAGAGCATGCAACGATCAATACTGTTATTACTGTCATGAAGCTGCAGCAACAATACAATAAACCCTCTTGCTAGTAACGAACAGCTATGTCGGTAGACAAAATCACTCCTGACGACAGTCGTATATCACATCGCAGGGCTAATCTGAATGGCCAAACATACCGTACGTTCATGTCCTTGACCTGGATCTTGAATTCGACTGAGCGGAACAGACNNTACATACTTGGTGTTCCCAGACATGGGAAATTCAAGGCAACTGTGTTTCTTATCCATGGATGGCCAGACCTCTCGTATGGATGGCGATATCAGATACCCTTTCTGATCAAGCAAAACATGCGAGTCGTCGTTCCTGATATGATGGGATATGGCGGTACAGTGAGTCGCTTGTGACGAGCCATCCTCCTTGAGTCTCCTTTGACCATCTGTACTCCATNNGATGCTCCATGCTCACCGCCTGCTGATTTGCGCCTTTATTCCATCAAACGTGCTGCAGATGATATCTCAGAGCTGGCCAAGCAGTTGGAGGCGCCTCAGATTATTCTGGGTGGTCACGACTGGGGTGGCTTTGTGGTATACCGGACTGCACAATGGTACCCAAAGCTCGTGACTCATGTGTTCTCCGTGTGCACACCATACACGCCTCCTTCCAGACATTTCATCTCGCTTGGTGACATGGTCAATGGACCGTTGCCTCAATTTGGTTACCAGATGCAACTCAAAGGACCAGAGTTGGAAGCCAACATAACATCCTATGACGAGGTCAAAAACTTTCTGAAGGCTCTATATGGTGGAAAATCTGCCCAAGACAAACCATGTTTTCGGCCAGAAACTGGTATAGACTTGGAGGGGTTGAAGACAATTGGTCTCGCACCCTCGCTCAATGGGGAGGTGAGTTCGAATAGATCAGAATCGCAAATTTTGTCCTAACTCAACGTCCAGAAGCTTCAATACTACACGAGAGAATATATGCACCACGGACTGCATGGTCCTCTGAACTGGTATCGGACACGTCGTATCAATTATGAAGATGAATTGAAGTGAGTTGAGTCAAGAACACTCAAGACAATCGTACGCTAATCTGTCTAGCNNCTGGAAACAAAGCAGATCATCCAGCCAGTCTTGTTCATCTCTGGAAAGCTTGATGCAGTGCTGACACCCAAGATGTCTGATGGAATGGAGGCATTTATCCCACGTCTAAAGAGGAGAGAAGTAGAGACTGGCCACTGGGCCTTGACACAAGCTCCTGCAGAAGTGAATGATATTGTGGAAGAGTGGCTCATAGAGGTGGTCTTCAGAGCGAAGTGCACTCTGTGAGCTTTCTAGAGATTGCTCTTTCATGCATCCATGTAAGTGCCTATAAGGCACGGACTGACCTTAACTCATTTTTCCATGCTGTACGAGGCTTGGTTTGCAGAGTGTGTCATCGGTATCGTTCCCATATGTACGAGCGACTACACGAAAAGGCCCAATCCCTTACATCTTGACAGACCCATCATCAGGAACCTTTTTGTATCAAGACGTTGTGCACGTTGTTTACCGAAAGTATCTGCCTCTTCTTAAGTAATAAGAAGTAGTAGGTTAGGCCTGTGTCGCAGGCATTCTGGTCTCGTACGAAGTAAGCATGGTTCTCCTCTTCAACCTCTGTAATGCAAATCCGCAAGACCACCACTCATTCTGCATACACAAACAAAGGTTCTTGGAATATGGCTTTCTTGGCACGTCTACATTCGCAGCGATGACTTTGCATGAGTGAATGATCAGAGTGTGCTCCCTATTCGTTGACTGTTACCATGTAAACAGTAGAGAAAGTCGTACGCAAATTATTCTATCTAACTAAGGTGCTTGTGTCCTGCCCGTACATGGTAATTGGTTCTGTTAAACTACAACAAAATTTTGGTTGAGAGTGCAATAAAGAAAGCACCAAGATACAAGAGCCCGACCGTTCCAGGTACCATCATGGCAGCGGCTGCATTCTCTGAACGACGCATCGGTGCACTGCTCCCAGAACCAGATGAGGTTTTCTGCGGCCTGGCAGTTTCGGTTGCAATTGACTGAGAACTTGTATGCGTAGTGTAGCCGGCAGTACTGGCAAGTGTCGACAGTCTGGGTACCACCGAAGCAGATATTTGACCTTTAACCCCGACCCCCTGAGACGCAGCCCTGACATTGTTCGCAGCTTTTCTCAGGCCCTCTGTGCCCGCTTCTACTTGGACAACATTTGACGAATTTGCCCGAAGGTTGGCTTGTGCTATGGACACCTGCCCGTTATCCAGATCCAACACCCAGTAACCAGCCCTCATGACACCGCTACTCGTCATAGAACTTGCCGACTCGGATGAAGCCTCTTTGACCCGTAGCCAGCACATCTGTTGGCCTAGTCTGTTGACTATAGCACTCCCGTTTTGATCCGTGAGTGGAGTGAACAAATCAGCTAGATCAAGTTGCAGTGTGGCGGTATTGGTTCCATTACCGGCGAATGTAAGCTCGAGACGAGTGGTATTGTCAACGTCACGAGTTACTTCATTGCAAGGCTTGATAAAGCTGTTCTTAGAAATTCCACTCCGACTGTAATAACCTCCTTCTGGCAATACTCCCGCGTAACCGATGAGCTTGTGGTACGCGCTACTTGGGAGTACCCAGTTGGGGGTACCCGTATCCAATTTGGTGTACCATTTTATGTTTTCTGTAGCTTGAAAGATGGTCTGATTGGGTCCGTTGTTAGGTTGCATAGTGACCTTCCTTAGCATCAACTGGAAGTCATCTATGTGGTGAGGCTGGTTGAGTCTCAATAAGTTGAGTGTGGTCAATGGACCCTTATACTTGTCTGTATCTACGCCACCAAATAGTATTGAGCCGTAAAGATCCAGTGTATTGAGGTAGATGCTGTAGAGACGTGAAGATATGGCACCAGCTTGGACGAGGGTATCAACGAAGCCCGGGAAGGACTTTACTCCGTTGTGGTACATAGGATGAGCCGTCCGACTTGAATAACCCAGACCCAGAACTCCAACGCGAGGGGCATAGGGCAGATATCCTTCCTTAGCAAGTCCCATTGGGAAGTCTGTTATCGCGCGGTCTTCTGCAAAACGTGTTAGCAGTCCGTCCTGAGGTACAACATGTGGCTCTCTGAGTGTCGTTCTCGAGCCTCTTTTATTCATACATACCAAANNGTGGACCACATCCGTGGTCAAGTCGCCCTGAATNTTAGTGCCATCAGCGTAGCGCATGTTGAGAGCCCCAGATTCTGTCATTTTGAATGTCGGTGACTTAGATAAATCAAAAGTGCCGCCATCGCAGCCAGCCTTGTCGCATATCGACGCATTTGAGGCGACGAAGATCGTGTCACTGCTTCCGGTGTCCAACAGGATCATCTGAGACTGCCCGGGNGTGCCAATAGTGAGGTTGACACCATACATTTCGCCGATTTTGTTCCCGAAATTGCTTGTCAAAGCAAGTTCCACAGTGTTCGGACGACTGGTTGCTGCTTCCACACAGCAGAAGAGCAGGGAGATATAAGAAAGGGTTTTGACAAAGAACTCCATGGTTGTTGGTGAAAAAGTAGGCTGGTGACTGTGGATCAGACACTAGAGTTGAATACTTGTGAGGAAAGAAGTCCCAGAGAAAAGAAGGCAGAGAGCTCTATATATGCTGAAATACGCCCTCACCATGAGTCAACAACCCATACACAAGCGATTGGCTGTTGTTCAGATAGCGGTCATGACTCACTCTCCTCGCTTGGACAGGCGTATCAAAGTGATAGTCTGCTCATATCTTGCTCGATTTCTGCGTAAGATAGTTCCTGATCTGATACCATTCGCAGAAAGTCAAGCTTGTCACTTACTTCATGGCACCTCAAGTCAGGCTTGACAGGAATACAAGTCCAGCGTTGGATGAGCAGAGGGTCACAGCTGGTGGCTGATTCTCAGCTCGAAACCCGATGGAAGTGATCGGTATCAATTCCCAAATGCCCTGTCATCAGGTCCACGAGTCTGAGCATATGGCTTTGAGCAGGATTTTTGAGCCATAAGTTCTGGGATGCCGCATGTGTTGAATGTGCTGCATCGTCTTGTAAGGTCGTGGAGTTCAGGTGAGGTCGATCGCGGCACTTTGGCAAAAAGAACTCCAAGTGGTCGGCTTCGTTGGCGCACCGTAGGTGCAACAAAAATAATGCCTCGAGGGAGAATCGAACTCCCATCTAAGGATCACCCAAGCCACGCTTGGTCATTTCGATGACCGATATGAGACCTTCGTACTAGCCGTTATACTATCGAGGCTGTGATTGGTGGAAATTCGGTCCGTTTCGGTTCTATCCTTTGTGCGCAAGGCTGTGGCCATTTGACGAAGCTGTGCGACCGCGATTATACTCCGAACATGGCAAACAGCAAAACATACACTACAAAAAGACACAGTCATTTGCGAGAGCAGATGGGTATCCACAGAGGGTCGTTATGTGTTCGCCAATGCATTGTGTTGCCCGATGGTTGGCTTTTCCCTAGAGTAACACAAACATCAGAGGCATACCCGAGAATTGGCCGGCATGGTTCGGTGATTCTTTCCAAGACCTAGTCGAAGATAAAATCAAAATATCCAGGCCGTCTCGAGCTGATCCAACAGTCTGCTCATTGAGGCAAACGCAAAGGAGCTTTTGTTTTGTCTCCAGAAAGAAAGGCCAGAGAATCGCAAGCTTGTAGTTCTCCTTGTCGTTGATATAACGCTTCACCTTCTTTGCTGCCACCGTGTCGTCCTGGGAGGATGATGATTACTTGCAAAATGTCTTGGTCATGATAGTTGCCAACTTCTCTGATGTTTGGTGCAATTCGCCTCGAACGTTCATCAACACGAGAAGACGTTCTCCCAGTTCTTCAACTTCTTAAAGCGAGGGAGCACATGTCGGTGAAGCACTTCTAACCAATATCATGAATTCATGACGACTCCTTGGATTCGTGCCACTGGTGACTTAGTGCGAGTGTGCGCTGCCTCGACCTCACCAGACAGAACAACACTACGTTGGCGAAGCTGAGCGAATGGTCCTGCGCAAACTTGAAGAAGGTTTGTTGTCGACTGATGCAGTATCTGATTGTGGGTGGGTTGTCGATGCGCTATCTGCTTGGAGCTCCGAAGTTTGAGCAAGTTATAATATCTGCTTGAGGCTGATGAGCTTGTGTGAATGTAGCCCTGCTATGTGCCTGAGGCTTTTGGTCTTGTGATGATGAGGCGTTACTGTGTACTCGAGGCTTCTGGGCTTGTAGAAGTGCGGTCTTGCCGTCTGTTCGAGACTCCGGGACTTGTGGCATCGCTGCGTTGCTGTCTGCTCCAGGCTTGAGTGAATACAACGCATATAGCTATAAGAACGCACGGTACGGTCAGAAAACAGGAGTGTGTTCACTGGGAAACGACTGCTTAATCACCTTTCTCCCATTTACGTATATCTTGCCATTTGCTGTATCCGGAGTTCGATGGAAGCTGACTACTTGACACAAGAAGGAAGAAACCCCACTAAACAAACTACGGATGCTCGAGTATTGAAAGAGAATGAGGGCTACCTAGCATTTTTGAGAAACGTGAGGTGCGTTCAATGTTGGAATCGAACGTAAAATAGGTGGTCGCCGGGATGACCCTGTTCTTTGTCTGTCTCGTGTCTCGGATGATGTCAGCGCCTTCTCGAATTGTCGCCTCGACAGCATTCACAACCATACACTTCTACCCTACGAGCACTGGGCACAAACCAACTCGATATTGCCCTTTATTCTCTGGCTTTCACCTGCGTATCTCACGATTTTGATCAGCAACAATCATGGTCGACTCCGAAAAAGCGGCGACGCCACCGAGGACCGCTCGACCAGGCTCCATACCACGATCACCGATGACGCCAGAAAAAATCCGACGCATGGTAACGTGATCTACTAGATGTTGCAGGAGGATGTTTTGCTGAGACAACACAGNNGAAGAAGCGCGCCTGAAAGCAAAGGCTTTACGATCACAGCAACTTGCATCGAATCAGGAAGCATCAGCAAACCGCACACCTTCAGGCTTCCTTGCTGGGCAGAAACGACCACATACTGCTCTATCCGGAGCTTCAGTGCAACCAAATCAACGCGACGCACGGCAGGCACAACCTGGCGACAAAGATGGCTTCAGCAAACCAGCTCGCGACACAGGCATCGAACCAGCAAAAAAGTTTCAGAAGTTCGTTGAATATGACTTCAGTAAGATGACGGACACAAAAGGAGGATTTTTGACAGCCGAAGACGATCCACACAACAGAGCACTGCACACGCCGAATCAAGAGCAGAAGCCGGCCAACATGACATTGAAGGAATGGGAGAAGGCGCAATTAATTAAGAAACTGAAGAACGAAAGAGCTGGTCCTTACGAACCGGGTCTCAGTGCTCTGGGTGGAGCAAAAGAGCAGAAGAAGTGCAGGGAATGCGGCACCCTGGAGATTGACTGGAAATGGGACGATGTTTTTGGATGTCAAGTGTGCAAAGCGTGCCAGGAGAAGTTCCCCGACAAGTACAGCTTGCTCACCAAGACGGAAGCACGAGAAGACTACCTCCTTACGGATCCAGAACTCAAAGATGAACAACTACTGCCACGGTTGGAGAAGCCAAATCCACACAAGTCAACATGGAACAACATGATGCTATACCTGCGGTATCAGGTAGAAGAGTATGCGTTCTCGGACAAGAAATGGGGCAGCCCGGAAGCGTTAGATGAGGAATTTGAGAAGAGGCAGGCCGAGGCCAAACGAAGAAAGGAGGCCAAATTCAAGAGCAAGCTCAACGACCTGAAAAGGAGAACGCGAGTGGATGCGTACAAGCGTCAAAAGGCGGGGGTCGAGGGAGGAAACTTTGGAGACAAGCTTTGGGGCTCAAAGCATGAACATGAATGGGGTCGAGCGGTTGAAAACCCAGAGACTGGAGCAACTGTCAAGACGTGCGTCGAGTGTGGTATGGAGGTCGAGGAGCTCGAATTCTGATCAAACAGAATGGTGGATACACAGTACAGTAGTCATGATACCCCTTATTAATGCGATGAAAGCGAGCATCAGTTAGAAATGCGATGAGCACGGAGCTGATTGATCGACACGAACCGAGGCGTGGCTGCATTGTGGCATGACGATCATTCCAAACAGCTTTGGCAGCTAGTCGAGTAAGCACGCTTTATTTGTCAATGGACCAAGAGTCGTACGGTCATCCCCTTCTTGTCCTTCTTGTAGCATACTCTTCTTCTTGCAAGACAACAGAAGGATAGCATTTTGATCCAGAAGTGCGCCGCTACTCTCACAGCAAAACGCACTTCTCCGGTCACATCAACGCAAGCTTCACGCCCAATCTACCATGGCACAAGCAGCCATGGCAGTAACGCCTCAAAAGCGCAAGCAGGTGCTCAAGGTGCTTTTCATATCGCTCCTGCTCGATCTCGTAAGTCGACGCAACCATTGCCCGACTGCCAGCACTGTCCTGACCGACATACGCATTCTAGNNATCTCCTTTACCTTCATTCTCCCGCTATTCCCCAAGCTCCTCGAGTTCTACCGTGCCGTCGATGCCTCGGTCACATCCTCATCGACAAGTCCAACCCTCCTCTCTCGCGTCCTAGGCCTCCTCAATGCATACAAGAACACCTTTGCCAAACCAATCAATGACCGCTATGATATCGTCCTGCTGGGGGGAGCACTGGGCTCGCTCTTCTCTTTCTGCCAGGCCATCGCTTCACCTGTCATCGGCCGCCTTTCCGACCGCTACGGCCGCCGTACTGCCCTGTTATGGAGCATGGTGGGCAACATCCTCAGTGTTGCTCTCTGGGTTGCTGCGACAGACTTCCGCACCTTTCTCGCCAGTCGCGTCGTCGGTGGCCTGAGCGAGGGTAACGTCCAACTGGCCATGGCCATCGCTACCGACATCAGCGACGACAAGCAGCGTGGTGCAACCATGGCTTTGGTTGGCGCTTGCTTTAGCATCGCCTTCACTTTTGGCCCTGCTCTGGGTGCCGCCCTCTCCAATGTCACCCTTGTGCAGAGTAATCCCTTCGCTACCGCCGCTGGCTTCTCGCTCTTCCTCATTGTCACCGAGACTCTGTATCTCTACTTCTGTCTGCCTGAGACCCATATTGTCAGCTCCACACCAAACAAGGAGGACAAGACGGATGGCAACAGAAAGACCACAACTCAGCGTACAAATTCGCATGGCCTACTCAACTTTACCCATCTGGCTTTCATCCTTTTCTTCAGCGGCATGGAATTCTCCCTGCCCTTCATGACCTACGATCTCTTCAACTATGGCAGCAAGGACACTGGACGCCTCCTCGGCTTCATCGGTATCGTGGCTTCTGTCCTTCAGGGCACCGTGACCCGCCGCATGCATCCTCTTCGCGTGGTACAGCTTGGTGTTGTATCGTGTCTATGCGCCTTTATCCTCCTCGCTCGCCTCACAACCGAGGCTCAACTTTATGGCGCTGCTGCTTTGCTCGCTGTGACCAGTGCTACCGTCGTGACGGGTCTTAACAGTCTGAGCAGTTTCGAGGCTGGTGCTTCTGAACGCGGCAACAAACTTGGCAATCATAGATCGTTCGGCCAGATTGGCCGTACACTGGGTCCTCTTTCCTTCTGCTCTCTATACTGGTGGGCCGGCCGTGACGTTGCATATGCTGTTGGGGCCACGGGCATGCTTGGGGTTGTCGCACTCGCATTTGGTGGTCTTCGTAAACCTGTACAAGTGTAAGATAGTCAAATTGTACGTGCATTTTGAGATGATAGCTGATTTATTTACGCTCATTGTACCGGTACCAGAATATTCGATTGCCCCCACACTTGCCAGCATAGTCTCGATAAATTACAGATCATCCAAAACTCATTAGCTTAGCAAAGTTGACATTCTCGACCGAATCTCGGGTTGTAAATCAACTCTGCAAACACTGCACAACTGAAACAAGGATCGTTTGGATCCAACCCTTTGCACTCTCCCTCACAGCCCAAGCACCTGAGTCTTCCTTTTATAGCTAGCTGTGTTCTTCCCTTGAAGACCTGAAGCTTCCGCGCTGTATTAACAGCAAGCACTACTTTCGTCATCCCAAGATATACTTTGTAGGTAAAGAAGGGGTTAATAGGTAACCAACGCGAGCGAAACGACGGTATAGCGATGTCCACAATGGCGTTGAGAGGACAGAACTGATAGATCTCGTGCGTGACCTGGGGGTATACATGGAAGAGTGAAGGTAGACGGTAACCATGGTAGTGTTCGGTGATGTTACACTCCTGATCTGAGACCGTGTACTGGTATATCATGAGACGCAGCTCCAGAGGAAGTGCGAGGAGTGGTGAGACTTTTCGCTTCTTTGGCCTGTATTTCTCCCTTCTGCGCTGCGATTCGATAGAGCCACAGCCATTTACTTGTTGATGGAAAAGATTTCTCTTGGAGCTGGTTATCAACGCGATATAATCTTGTCATACCGTATTGAAGATAGTGAGTCTTGAAGACGAGTTGTGTGAATGTCTGATAGCGATCGAGAAGCAGAACATACGTTTGAATAGAAATAACTACTTGGGATACGTGAGAGATGCACTCTGTATCAGTCATACTCTTGGTGCACATGAGTCCATATCAGTCATACCTCAACTATCATTGTATTGATGCCTAAAGAGAGGCCTTTTGCGAATTTGAGATGTTCGGGATGCTGCGAGAAAGTCTCCCTGCAACAAATTGAGTAGAGAATTGCCCCTTCCGATAATGACCTCAAACCAAGGCCATTTCAACCACTCGATCTGGAATCTTTCGAAGAAGTGAGCAACATACCAGTTTGAACCCATTTTTCCTACCCTGATGACCGGACAAAATGAGTCGTGTCTGTCATGAGTACAATAACCAGTCATTCAAACAGATGGTGAGTAACACCACGGCCACACTTCAATATATATTGTGCTCCATTCCTTCTTTCCTTAATAATATTGTCCTCCAGATCTTGAACTCTAGTCTATTGAATCTGGTCTACAACCATACAACCCTACAGAAATCTACTTTCCCCATCAACAACCATGAGGTTCCTCACCAGAGTCCTTATCTCTCTCTCTCTATGCTGTTCTGCTATACTGGAGTAGGAGCAGCAACCACTCGTCCGAAAACCGTCGAACTCGCCTTGATGAGCAGCGTTGGCAATACAGAGGGAATCCAGTACTTCGTCAACCTCACCGTCGGCACCCCTGGACAACCTCAGACACTGCTCATCGATACTGGAAGCAGCGAAACCTTTTTCTTTGCATCCAACGCATCTCTGTATAACAGTTCTTCTGACTATGTGGATAGTACCTTCAATTCGTCCAAGTCCTCAACATTTGAGATGATCGACTCCGGAGCTTTCCACGCGAGTTTTATGTTGGGAAGTGTCTGGTTCAAAGGCGATTATGTCAGAGATGCTGTCCAGCTAAGTATGTGAAAGTCTGTTCCAGGGTTATCTACCTGCAATGTTCATCCTAAGGAGTATTACTAACACGTTTNNTTAAGCGATCTTATGGTTCAGAAACTTACATTTGGACTTGCCAACAAACTGAAGGAGCGCTTTAAGCCTTATACAGGAATTATGGGTCTCGCCTATTCGAGCAACATCCATCTAACAAGGCATCACAAGATGGAATTACCGCCAACCTTCGTGGAAGGGCTTGTGCAAGCTGGTGTCATCTCTTCACGCCTCTACAGTATCTACCTTAATACACTGGACCAATATGGCTCGATCTTGTTTGGTGGAATCGACACCAAGAAATACGAGGGCCAACTGACCACACTTAATATGCGGCCTTCACGCAAAACAGGGAAGGTCGATAACATCAATCTGTATCTCGAGGAAGTCAAGATGAAACCTTATAATGAATCATATCAGCCCATTGTCCGCTCCACCAGCGACAAGAAGTTCGAGACTCTGATAGACACGGGAACTCCTGATTGGCAATTGCCATTCGACGCATGGCGCCAGGTCGTTAGATATGCAAGGGCTGAGCCTTCAAAAGGTATCTGGCCCGGGGTTCCTGAAGGATTCTTTGTTAAAGCTTGCAGTGAAGTGGCTCGCGGCATCGCCAACACAACCCACTTTGAGGTAACCTTTGCTGGCAACGGAAGTAATACGGCCGTACTGCGGCTTGAACTAGCTGATCTGTTCTCCCCAATCACGACAGGAGATGGAAGTGCGGCGACTGATGGTTCCGGTCGACCAATGTGTTGGCTACGAATTATGCCATCGCTTGGACCCGACTATACCACATCAAGTTCAGTCATACGAGCTGGATACTGGGTGTTCGATCTAGACAATGGTCAAGTGTCTTTGGCACAAGCCAACCTTGGAGCGAATTCGTCAAACGTGGTTCAGGTCGATGCTGGTCCAGATGGCTTGCGCAAGGCCGTGAACAACCACCTCAAAGCTGAGATTCAAACGAACAAAGTCGAGGGTCAAATGTCAGCTTTGGCGACTTATGAACTGTCGACTGCTACCAACACAGTTGGCTATGCTACAGGCGCAGAGTCCTACCCAACACCTACAGGTACTGGAATGTGAGACCCATCAGGCGACCGCAGCCCGTCTCATAGTGGAAGCAAGGTACATGTACGTCGCTATGAAAGTGTAGCAGCTGCTGCCATGGTGAAACTTGAGGCTTCTGGTGCGTGGGTTCTGTGTGTCGCTGTTGTTGTGATGGCAGCAACTCTGGCAATTTAGGTGCGTAGCGTGTGGAAAGTGGATAAGAGGAAGCGCACGTAGTTCGCGGGCAAAATTGAATTGGTTTTTGGGGTTTGAAGTGGAGGAGTTAATGTATGTGAGAGAATTAGAATACAAAGGAAAAGAGAAACAAGCTTAACCAATCTGTGTTCGAATCGTCGGCGGCGGTGTGACCTCTTCAAGCTCAACTTGTTCAATATGAGAACGAGTCGCCCAGTCCTTCCCAGCCATACTGCTGTCGTCAAAGTTCCTCATCCTGTTCTCATAGTGCTCGTGTTGTGTGACTGTTGTGCGAACAGTAATGGGTTCTGTAGACCCTCTTTCGGCATTATCATAGTTGTCCACATAACTCGTGACCCTTCTGAGTCTGTAATCTTTCATTTTGTCCAGGGCTGTTTTGAAGTCGTCAAGAATAACCGTGTCGGTCATACACTTGAAGATAAACGAGAGTTTCCAGAATGGGTTGATGCCGTCGGGTAATCCTTTGCTGGAGATTACATGGGTGACGCTGAGAATATCGACGAAGAGGAACAAGACCGAGAGAGTCATTACGACGAGAAGGATGCCAAAGCGAGGAGAGATGCGGACGAGCTCGATGAAGCCGAAATCGTATCTNTTCTTGATGTTGTAGACGAGATTAAGGATCGTAAAGATCCACCAAGGATCTCTGNNTGATTCAGTCAGTGGTTGACAAACATTACAAAATTAGGTGCTGGTGTACCTGAACAACGCCTCGAAGGGTCGGAGATGTTCAAAAACCTTGTGGTTGATGTTGTTGAAGTAAAGAAAGTTTGCAGTGATTTCAGCGACCCAGTAGGGCTGCACCATGATGACAGTGCCGATATAGATCATTGACATCTTCTGGCTCAGGAAGGGTTTGTTCTTCATCCATGAAATGACATTGTGGAGGCTCCAACTGATGTTGAGGAACAAAGCTCCCACAGATTCATACCATCCATAGTATGGTGGGTCAGGAAAGATGAATGTTCCTTGGAATAAACCAAAGATCAACTGTCAAACTCATCGTGTCAGCCGAATGCCTTTGTTCTCGGGACGCAGTAACGATTATAAGCTTAGTAGTACTCTAGTGGGAGGCCGCAAGCGGCGATGTATAGCACCGCAATGGGACCGAGAAAGACAGGTGCACAGAGCTCATTCCCAGCCTGGGGAACACGGGGCAGAAGATGTGGGGAGATATGATATACGGACCTCTATGAGAATGAGATGGTGGAGTACGACTCTTTTCGCATATTCGCAATCGTGATACACGCCATGGTCATCAGGCTTCCAAACATTAGGCCCTGAAACAACAATTTAGCCACATTGTCTACCCAATCTTTGTGCTCTTACTTACCTGAGCCCATGCTTCGAGCGTCAGCCCATGCGGATCGTTGGGCTTTTCGATCAGACCCATGTTTCTGGTCTCAGCTTTGGATATGCCAATAAGCAGAGTAGAGTAGTGATATAGAGCAATAGCGAGGATCAATCTTGAAGGTTCCTCGGTAGTAAACGGAAACGTTAGAGGACAAAGGAAAGAAACGAGGCTGGCGAGGCCCAGGACAAGCGCACGTCAAGAATAAGAACCTTGAGGTAGGATATCTACAAGTCCTTGCAAGAAGAGAATAGGGTATATTCGCCGAAGGATCGTGGGGACCAGCAAGCAATATGAACTAACCCATGTGGAGATCCACGCGTCGATCGTGTTAAAGGGATCCTCCCATACCATACCCCATCTGGAGAGCCAACGGCCGCCCTATGGAGCAAGGATGATGCTATTGGAGAGCGGTTCGGCACTGACTACTCGAGGCTGAGATTCTGTGGATCAAGTAAGCGATGGCGCTTTACAAAGCCATGAGATTGGACCGGCTGCAAACGAGTAATAGGCGCACGTACATTTTACGAGCCGACATCATGCGTGGTGCGGATTTTACTTTGCCACGAGGATGCTCATGGCTAAAGTTGAGTCAGGGTACATCCTTAACGAACGCCATGTCGCGTTTCTAGTGGCCTTCCATGCCAACGTTGTCGATAAACGAATTTCTCACCACGATGAGCTATGCCAACAATGGGCAGCGATGTGTTGTCCATGACTCCGGTCACTTGGCGACCTCTGGTTTTGGCTTGAAGGATTGTCTTACCCATGCATGTTACGACTCGAGGACTCTGATATCGGCAGATGAAATCCGATGGAGGGAGAACCGGCAACCAGGAACGCTCAAAGCAAGGTCTCAGAAGCCCAGATTCTTTCGGTGATTACCGGACAGCTCGTGACCAGAGAAATTTGATCAGCAGAAGCTTTGACACGACAGCCGAACATCGCGTGTTGGTTCTCTGTTTAGGGCGTCGACGAACGTGTGCTGACAGCACCTTCCGGACCCCTTTGCAAAGATCGGAACGTCTCGTCAGCTAGTTCGACTAGCCTCAGGGCACGCATCGAGCATCTTGTTAGATGCTTGCCCTTAGACATCCAGAAATCGTTCGGAATACTTCTTGGAACGTGCATAACAGATGATGAGACCGGAGTCTTGGCATGTTTGCACTTTCACTTCGATTCGAATAAACCCAAGGCGTGGTCGGCTGATAGATCAGTTGCTGTCAAGCCTTCAAAATTCGTGGCTTTGCGGTTCAAGTCTGACAGAAATTCTTTTCCAATCCACTCATCTCCATCACAATCAATCTATGACTGCAGCGTCTTACTAGCATATCATGTGAAAGTTGACTCGCGAACAAGAAGCTTTTGTCGTATCCGGTGATAATGGTGGGCTTGCTTGGCTTTTAGCCGCTGCCTCAGCCAAATCCTTCCTCATACCTCGCACCCTTTCGCTTCGTCTGTCAGATATCATTCCATCATCCCCTTTACAACAGTATATGTTAGGGACCGGCTCCGCATTAGCCCAGATGCTTTTGAATACGCTTACATCAAGTCGATTCTGCTAGACTGCCGACAGCCAACAGAGTAACAATCAAGGCTATGAGCATGGTATTCACACGCGATACATCCCGACCTCCCACCCGGGTCGAATCAGCTTGGCAGTGCCTTCATGGCAGTGTACATGTACTGTACTGTACTGCGGAACACCTTGGCTGACAATTTGCTGACCGAAATGACTAGTATGATATTGCCGGTTTGCCGCGTGCACGTAAGTCTTCTTCAGGGCCGTCTACAACTTTGCTTGCAACAAGTACTCGAAACATATTTCAGTCAAAAGTGCCTTTGATCCTCATCGAGAAGGATAAAGCTGTAATTTCCAGGCGTTGTTCAGCTTTAATAGGATAACAATCCAGCCTTCCTTCATAACGGTCGCCCGTTTATCGTAACATTTGCCGTTGCTAGAGTATTAGTGCGGACATGGCCCCTCTTCACTGACAACTTCGATTTTTTGTGTCGACCGCGAACATGTTCCGAGGTTCGGCATATGCCTTGACATGGATACTGTTGGCGGTCCTTGATCTTGTCAGATGTGATCATCAGATAACGCTGTCAAAGCGAGCGACAATCGATCTAGCGATCACAGCCAACTTCCCGGATCCGAGTATCATCAAAGTCAACGGCACATGGTATGCATTCGCTACCCACACTCGAGGAACGGATATCAAGATTCAAGTGGCTCGTTCTGTGAATTTCGAGGATTGGTCGATAGTGAGGAATGCAGATGGTTCGCAGTTCGATGTACTACCCGTACTTCCTGCTTGGGTTCGCATGGCAAATTATCTGACTTGGGCCCCAGACGTCCAACAACTGGTGAGTGTTTTCATGTCTACTGAGAAGTTCCAACATACTGACTGTCTCCAGGACGATGGTTCCTTCATCATGTATTACTCGGCTACTACTGCCGCCAGACCAGATGGATCGAAACATTGCGTTGGCGCTGCCACTTCGCCAACAATCTTGGGTCCATATACAGGTCTGGCTAATGCACTATTCTGTCCGCTTTCTAGAGGAGGCGCTATCGACGCCTCTGGTTTCAAGGACCGGGATGGCAAAAGATACGTCGTGTACAAAGTAGACGGAAATTCGATTGGTCATGGTGGAGCCTGTGGTAACACTGTCGCACCCATCGTAGGCACACCTTTGATGCTTCAACCGGTGGCTGCTGATGGCCACACGTTCACCGGGAACGCTGTCGCTCTCCTGGATAATGATGGTGCGGCGGATCAGGGAATTCTGGAGGCTCCGGTCTTGACCCGTTCTCGCGCCGGCGTCTACTTTCTCTTTNTCAGCAGCGGTTGCTTTGCTACTTCAGGATACACAGTCTCTTACGCAACGGCGACAAACCTCACAGGACCTTATACGCGTGCAAGCAGTCCGCTTTTCAGGACGGGAGACGGAAATGGACTCAAGGCTCCTGGTGGCATGTCGGTCTGGGGTGACAATAGACATATGGTCCTCCATGCGAACTACGGAGGCGGTCGTGCTATGTACACCACACTGATAGCGCTAAAAGGAACGGAAGTCATCACTATGTGAGAAGAACGTGGTAACGGCCAGAATCGAGGGCAATCCGGATACAAGATGGGTAGTCCATGAAAAGAGTACAGGCGACTGACTCACAGGTTCCAGTGAGATGGCCTTTTATATGTAAGACGAAGAGGTCATGATTACTGGCTTGGAAAGGCATCGCAGAAGTGTACTGCTTCATGTATGAAACTCGTCATCATCGTATCGACAACAGAACAAATTCAAATTGTGCAGACAGGCTGATGAGGAAGGTGGGAATTGAGCCCGCCAAAAGCTGATCTAGGCATGGAAGTAAAGAAGGAGATATGAGGTCTTTCAATGTTGGGTTGTTTCGCATAGACAATTGTGAATTTGCAGCCCTGCATTGATTTTGTGCATGCTTGGCATTCCCGCATTACATCAAGGTCGAAGACGTGTGGCTTGTTGACTGACTTGGTCCTGATGTCCGGGCCTTGACGCCAGCAGCCTTCTTGTCCAGTCACAGTGTCGACAAGCAATTATGGAACGCGTCCGGAAGGTATGGCAGCAAGAGCAGGATTATGAACCCATCGAAGGAGAGTCGGTCGACGAGGAACAAGAGAGACAGGAGCTGCGCGAGTCGACGTCGTTCTCATGGACAGAATACTCCATCTTCCTGCTGCTGGGTGTGGCCATGCTGTGGGCATGGAACATGCTGCTCGCGGCAGGCCCCTACTTCCAAAGCCGCTTCGCGTCGAGCGACCGCCTCTTGGACAATTTCCAGGCCTCCGAGTTGGCCGTGTCAAGCATCACAAACTTAGGCAGCATGCTCGTCCTCACCAACATGCAGGCCCGCGCTTCCTACCCTCGGCGTATCGTCATGTCCCTCTTGATCAATCTCGTCGCTTTTGCATTGCTCGCTCTCTCGACATGGTTTGCTCTCGGCGTTAGCCCAACTACCTACTTCGCCTTCCTCATCTTCATCGTCTTCGTCACCAGTCTGGCCGCTGGCTTGTGCCAGAACGGTGTCTTTGCCTTTGTCTCTGGCTTCGCCCAACCGCGCTACACCCAGGCTATCATGGCTGGCCAGGGTGTTGCTGGCGTGCTTCCTTGCATTGCTCAAATCGTCTCAGTACTCTCAGTCACAAAACCGCAGCCTGATGAACCTGTCGACGACGGACCGNGGGCTCCTCCACCAGTCCCTGGAACAGCCGCCTTTGCATACTTCCNNCTTACCGCCACCGTCATTTGTGCCTCTACTCTTGTCGCCTTCTTCTTTCTCGTTCGAAAACATAACGCCAAGAAAGCTGCTGCTCACCAAGATATGACCTCCAGTGTTGACAGCATAGAACAACCTAAGAGAAACACAGTGCCACTCGCCGTACTCTTCCATAAGTTGCGCTGGCTCGCAGCTGCTGTCTTCTTGACGTTTACTGTTACCATGATGTTCCCAGTCTATACCCAACGCATTCTGAGCGTCAACGCAACACACTCTACCTCTCGCATCTTCCAAGCTCCTTCATTTATCCCTCTGGCTTTCCTATTCTGGAATGCCGGTGATCTGCTGGGTCGCTTGCTGCCTGCTGTGCCACGTCTCTCTCTGATTCACCGACCAAAACTCATTCTCATACTGTCTATCGCCCGTGTGGGCTTCATCCCGCTGTATCATGTCTGCAATCTTCGTGGCCAAGGCGCTGTCATTGACAGCGATGTTTTCTACTTGGTCGTTGTTCAGTTGCTCTTTGGCATATCAAATGGCTATCTTGGCAGTATGTGCATGATGGGCGCTGCCGAGTGGGTTGACCCAGAAGAACGCGAGGCCTCAGGCGGATTCATGGGCCTGTGTCTGGTGGCTGGTCTAGCGTTCGGCAGTTTGATCAGTTTCTTTGCTGCAAAGGCGTAGGTAGATCATGAAAAGACAGCACATCGCTCATGCAAGCAATCGCCTGATGAGGTATGATATGGTGTCAACACATCGTCGTATGCACTGCATCCAATACAAAGACCCTCTCAACGTCAGCAGGTACAGACTTGATATCCTCGCACCTCCACCGACGGCTCTACTTTCCATCCGGTGAAGTGGCTTGGTCAACAAAGCCCTGGAGTTACCAGCGATCTCTGCGGCGCTTTTTCCGCTTGTCTCAGCTCTCATGATCGCTGTCTTTCCCATCCTCGATATCCTCGAAAACGAAAGTCCATCGAGAGCTGAAGTTCGCGATCATCGCGTCGAGTAGCACGTGGATGCGTACAACGAGAACACCAGTCTCTGGCTGCGGAGATCCACCCGGGGTCGACACAAACCTCGTCCAGTTGTGTCGATGTATCACCCACCACCTACAGCAGCTATTCTCCTCGATCGTATTAGCCTTCTGCACGCTGACTCGAGTGTCGGCTTTCCCGAAGAATTCGACGAACAGTATTTCAAGATATTTTGTTGGAAAGGAATGGATGCGTCGATGACTCCGACGAAATGACGGTCGTGCAACTATGTTCATGTTTGCATACATGTCGAAATAGAGACACAACTTCGCTTTGATCGAACTTTCAGGATTCCAAACCAGTACTCTATTTGATAATTGCTCAGCCAGGCATCTGTCTCCTACACACCAAATACCACTAGATGAACCACGAAAAGCAGATAATGCTGTCTAGAACGAGCTCAAGAGAGTCTTTTGTAGTACAAGACCATGAGACTCACCACCTGGCCAGGTCTACGTTGACTGCATGCCTGTAGTTACACGCCAGTAAGCCTGACAGTAGGAAGCAAGAAACAAGAGACAGGAGAACTACGACATCTTGTCAGCGACTCAAATATGTTATTGGTGTCCAGTCGACAGACAAAGACCTATGGGAGCGCGCCTGATGTGAACATGGCTTGCAGCTTGTTACATTGATGCCATGCTATATGATAGTCATGCAAGTCAATCTGACCTGCTGCAAGATACTGCAGGGATGCGCTTCGCTTGATCAGACCGCCCTCTATGACACCACACTTAGTGGCTTCTAATCGACAATCTATTTGGCGGCCATCTTCTTTACACCTCTCGCTAGGTCCTCGCACGTAGCTACGAAGCCCCAGCTCTTTGCCGCATTGAACTCGATGCACTGCTGTGAGAATTCTGGGCTCGTAGTACCACATGCGTCCCTGAGCATCACGCAGTCATAACCCTTGCTGAATGCATCTGTGAAGGTACCACTGACGCATTGATCGGTGTTGACTCCGGCAAAGAGCAAACTGCGGATTCCTTTCTCTTGCAAGAAGTCCTCACAGTCGGTGCGAGCACCCCACATACCGCTCATGCGATCCTTGTGGATCCAGACATCGGGTTTAGAGGGCAAATCAAGACCTTCTGCGTACAAAGTGTCGAGAGGAGGGTATAGAGCAGAGTTCCAAGCATCACGCATGAGCAAACGCCCTGCATCAACAGTTGTGCCATCTGCAAGCGTCAACTCTCCGCACCAGGATCCGAGACCCTTGTAGATGCGTTTATCCTTGCCATTCTCAAGTACGACAGTGTCCTGAGGCTTGGCCTTTGGGGTGCCGGCTTCTCCATTTTGGTCTCGGAAGACATCTCCTTCGGCGGTTTCGGCTTCCACTTCTTCATCTTCGTCATCCACGAGGNNACTTCGGAAACCGAAGGCGCGTTTGATTGCAGGGGGCATGGCGTCGATGTCTTGATCTGTCAACCCCCAATTCAGCCAGATGACTTGCATGCCCGCTTTCCTCGCTGCAGGGATGGCGTATTGCTCCAAGTTCTTGGCTGCATCATGACCAGCGCCTCTCTTCCTCCCGAATCCTTCTGACAAGAAGAAATTCTGCATGTCAATGATGACGAGGGCTGTCTTTTGCGGATCCAGAATGATAGGCGTAGTTGAGGTGGTCAGGTCGAGCCTTGGTGAGATTGCTTCGCTAGAGGGTGATTCAGGATGCGTGAGATCAAAACTGTTTTCCTTCGAAGAGTGCAGCCAGAAGTTGTCGGCATTGCCAATGATAGCTTTGCGTCCTTTACCCATGATGATGTACTCGAGTAGTATTCAGGGTGATTATATTGAAAGCTTGATTCAGTCGAGGTGGTTCGGTATTCTCTCTGGATGTCGGTCTATTAAAGAGAAGTAGTTTCACACACGCTGGCGTACTATTATACCAAATTACTTATCTGTCTTGTTATCTGTATTATGCAAAGAGTGATTGTCCTCGGAGGTGATGCTTCGCAGGCCGTGGGGTAACAAGCGGGGTCGGTTGTTTAGTAGCTTCCTATTTGGGACATGATCTTTAAAGGGTTCGCCTATCTTGATGCATATCTTCTTCAACCCCTTCTTGGTTGTGCAGTTGCTCAAAGATACCTTAGGCATCCCTATGTACCAGACGATGGCTATTGACGTGCAGTATGCAATCGGCCGTTCTGGCTTGCAGCATGAACGACGCCCATGTGAGATCAGCTGCGATGAACTCGGCTTCGAATAATGTCATAGGTCTATGCAAGGTCCTCCAAATACCAGTGGACAATGGAATAACACAGGTATAGAGATAGACAGCGGACCTTACTCCACCTAAGACGACTGATATGATGATTTTGCTGATTCCCATCGCACAAGAGAAGCGTAGTTCAATCTTTTCCTCCTGTGTTGAACATCAACAACGGCCGAAATCAAAGGTGAAGGCTCACTCGGACTTAAAGCCGCTGCTTGCAAGTAGTGTGCTTCCTAATGACCATCCTTACAACCAGTGAGAGGCTCTTTGCCAGTTACTCGAAGCTGGTACTACTACCTAGCAGGGCCTTTGGTTGAACGTCGTTCCCAGGTCCGCAGCAGTTTGGACTGGGTTTCTATCGCTACGAGTCAGAGAAAGGGTACAAACGAGCTAGGGGAAGCCAATAAGTTGTGTTTGAACAAGTCCACCAGTAGTCACAGCAGACAGCATGTGAATCACAGGGTTGGGACACATGTGACCGTAGCATTAGTAGAACGAGACGCCCGATATATGTAGCATTTTCGGCGTTACCTCCGACGATGTATTTGGCCCTAATCAAAGACGCAACCACGTCAACCCCGATGATCACATCGAGACCGTCACTTTGGGTTGTAGTTCGTTGCACTCAGACCAAACGGTACGTACTGTGCCAAACAGTTGGTCTGTGGTAGCAGGTAATGCACGCCTATCGACCAACAAGCGACCTCCCTGTGTATAGTATGTAACGTATATGGCTATAGAAATGCACAATAGCGATTAAGAAACAAGACAGCATCCACTGAGAGGCAACAAGTTGTCGGCTCTCTGTGGACACGCGTCTACTTCCTAAATAATTGTGCCTTTTCATAGTCTACAATTTGCTCTTAGCTACAGTCGGAGTACGGCGAAAGTTACAGAACGCTTTGAACATGCAGCTAAGAGACATGGTTTCAGTGTCATGTATGGCTTGTGTTCTTCGGAATGCAGACGAAGATCTTGTGGCTGCAGCGATCATTATCTGCAAAATGCTGAACCCTGCAGTCTCTGGGCCATTTTCATGAGTGACAGGCCTCGTTTCGAGAGCTATACAGCTGCAGTGATCCCTTCAGGCACTCGAAAGAGGCGCAATTGCCACGAGTCCCGACAACCGTGCTGCAAGAGACATATGGACATTGTAGATGAGAGTATAGACTAAGCGTGAGCAGCAGTCAAAAACGATAGATTGTGAAAACAACAAAGCGCATATCAAGCATGCATTCCTCTGCTCGGACGAATCAAATGCTAGAAAAATACGAAAGATCTGGTTGAGAAGCACCACAACGGGGTAATGCTTGTCTTGACAAACCAACGGAGCTCTGTTCCGGTACGGGTTAAGCCCGTAGGGGAAGCACCTTGCGTTGTAATTTGTAACAGGCATCCATGAAGCACGTCAAAATCGGTGTTCTGATCCAGATCGCTGGGCTCGACGGGGGCCTGCGGCTGGTCTCCAGTGATACCCGACCCACATCTATGATATTGCTGCTTCGATGAATGACTAGGAAATAGGAAAGGCTGGAATCGTCTGACCTGCCCAAGAAAGAGAGTCTGGACCAAGGACTGAATGTCTTTGATCAATCATGTTTGTCTTCTGAAGAGAAGAACAAGGGATTGCCATGAGTTTGGTACTGCCCGCTCAGCCGGGTCCCACTCTGCTGCCGGCAGTTCTTAGCCTTCAGCCTATGTGCCACGCTGTCGGGTTGCAAGTCGATATGCTGTGAGCCGATGATGATTGTTCAAGCGCCATCAGGAAACTAGGGAGGCGTTGTATGTGGATCTGGCCGCAGACATCCAGCATCGCACAACAGGAGTTGTTGGTCGTCTCTCATTCTGGCCTCTCTGGAATGGGTCAAGCAAGGCCTTTGCTCCTAGGAAGTTGTGGGGCGACACCACGCAACCTGGACCAGCCCAAGATGCGCGACGTCCTATTGGGCGAAATAAGGATCTGAAAAATTGACCTTGCACCGGCAGCGCGCATTACCATGAGTCGACAGGCCTAGAAAAACAAGGCGTTTGGCTGGCATTTGCTGACGATAATGACGCCGACGCCGACAACAAACAGGGTGCAGCATGATTAGCAGGAGCAGCAAGCAACGGCAGCCGTCCTTTTTCCTCCTGTCTTCCAGTGACCGCCCCGCCGTGTACGCCCTTAGTATCGATTGCAAGACTTGAAGCGTGCATTTGAAATTGGCGGTGTGTCCGAGATGTGTTTGGAGCGGGTGGGGACGGCCTGTCAAACACATCTCTTTCCGCTTCAACCTCGAGGAAAGCAACACAATCACGCATGCAGACTTGTGACAAGCAACGAGCCCCAAGAGTCAAGAGCCGTAGAAATGTGACACGTCAGGACTCGGCTTGGTGTACTCAACATGCCTTGCACCACTGTAGATGACCAGCAGCGAGATTAAAAAAGCTGCCTGCCACCCATTGCTCTGATAATTCTGATAACCTGTTGCGCTGTGAATTGTGTCCTCTGTCGCCACGCTCTCCGTCAAGCGTATCCGCAACTTTCCACACTATGTACCACTCTTCTAAGATGACTACGGCCGGCGGCCACCATTACCATAACCAACAGCAGTCGAGTCGAAGCGATCGTTGTAGAGAGATCATGTCGATAGACAATCTCTTGACACCACAGAGAAGCCAGCTATCAGTACAGACACACCACTTGCAACCTGCACCTTCCCAAATGCTAAGTCCCACGGCCTCTGAGAGCGCGTTCGAGAGGACGCCTCGGGAAAAGCGTGAGCCATACTCGGACCAGGCGCAATTCTATATCATGTACGTGCGAGTCGGCAAAGAAAAGGACTGGAACCAGATCGAACGCTCGTTTGAAGAAGTGTTTATTCAACATCGGGCGAAAGATGGATTGACAGCCGTTTATTACCGCATCAGGAGCAAATGGGGTCTTCCGCCAGTGAACAAATCTTCGCAAGAGATATCCGAAGAGGGAAAAGACATGATTCGGCACCGAGCGCGTGGTTTCGATCATAGTTTCCTCAAGAGAGTCGGGTACTTTGAGTGGTTGCAATCGCATCAGTCGTCAGCTGCTCCAAGATGAAGGAGGTTCTCCTCAGAGCTCTTCGTCATCTTGCTCATCGACAGCTCCGTGGGAAGAGCGCATCCAGGGGTATTTCTTCCAGGGGTTCTGCATTGCCTCGTCGCCGTCACTCCACCCTTCAGGATCAGACTCCCATTGTTCATCATCGGAACCTCCATGACGATAACCGTAAGCACCTCGGTCATACTCATCATCAGAAGCAACCTCATCTTCTGGATAATCTGCGGCATAATAACCTTCAGCTNNGGAGTTGGGAGCATGTGTCAGTTTAATGATTGCTAAACTTGGGCGGGTAAGATGTTTACCATTTTCGTCCTCGTCATCGGTCTCGAACTCTTTGTCGCTCTCGGCCTCATCTTCAAAGTACGTCTCCCACAGGGGCTGGTCTTCCTCGGAGATGACAATGTAGCCAACTTGGATGTTGGAGGGATCTTCAGATTCGAGGCTTGCGGGGACCACAGGGTCTTTTGTGCGGATATATGTATCATAGACATAATCATCGTCATCGCTCATCATGTCGACATCTTCTTCTGTCTTGTGGATAGTTTGCGCTGGAGCAGTGAATTGCTCGGGATGACGTTCACGGTATCTTTGAACAGGCTTCTTTGGAATTGATGTGACCTTTGGCTTTACGCGGGCTTCCTCACGAGCCTCCTCCTCTAGAGCAAATCGATGAAGGGCGTCGGCCAGACGATCCGGAGGAGGATTTGCTGGACTTTGGAAGAGAGCCTCGGCAGTGGGCTTCTTCAGCCTGGAGCTTGCGCCGGGCCTCTTGAGTGTGCTGGGCGTAGAGACGGGGGTGTCCAGGACTGACTGGGGAGCATCCTCCTGACCGACACGACGACGCTTGGGGGTGGCTTCGACGAAGGTGGGGATATCCTGGGTATCCAATTGGGCTTTGCGCTTCTTGACGGATTCAATGCGGCGGTGGAGAGGGCGTGTCGGGCGGGCAAGGCGAAACTCACGGCGGACCAGGGTGTCTTGGTGAAGCTGTTGGCGCTGCTGCTGCTGCTGCTGCTGCTGCTGTTGCTGGAAGGGGTCTATGGCGCTGGACGGGATGAAAGCTCCGGACACACCGCCGTTTGGCGTGTTGGATGGCAGCTGCGAGGGGTGTGCCTGCTGCAGACGGAACTGCCACACTTGCTGCTTCTTCAGCGTTCGTTCTTCGAGGAACAGGTCGGCCGTAGGCTCCTCGCCACGCTTGCGCTTGACGCGCACCAATGATGGAAGTTCTGCCATGTTGCTGTGGGATGCAGTGTCTCTATTCTCTTGCACTGCGATTGTTGCGATAGTTGCGAAAGTATTATTGTTGTTGTTGTTGTCCCGCCGATGTTCTTTTTCGCCAAGCGACGTCATCCAACCCTATCTATTTCATTTGTCCTGATGCAATCTCACTTCCTTCCACTTCCATCGTCTTAAGGAAACTTGCTCAGCACATTTCGATTGCAATGTCAGCAGATATGAGTCCATGTCTGGCATCAGACTGTTACGTGTCACAAAGAGCAGCTGTGTACCTCTTCGTGTGCACTCTACTGGACCTTCTATAAACCTTTCCTAAGTCCTAGTATACCTATGCAGCTTCAAATGCTAGTGCTGTTAAGCTCGCGAACAAGTCATCTCAGGGACCGCTATGTATCTGTAGCAAAATCCCTTACTCGAAGTGAATGGTGCTCTCACTAAGCACTATCAATCTGATGTGGACTGTTCTAGCATATAACTACTGTAGGTACTTTCCTAGCTACCGAGACTACACGAGTAATCTCGGTCATCTGCCCATTTCTTGATCCGTTTCTGGCGTAAGTCCACACGACAAACACACAGCAAACAGCATTGTTTGCAGTCAAGCCAGCAATCCTATCCCTCGGCTTCACTTCATTGTCATTACTGAGCTTTCTCTGAACCAACCAACACATCACTCTCAACACGAGTGAGGCTCTCAGCTCTTAACTTCCGGTTCGCTTTTCTACTTGACCTCCCTTCAACTTCCTTTTACCTATCAATCTTTCTCAATCCTTCCACACTTTTCCTAACTCTTTGCACAACAACATCTCAACAATGGAAGGAACCGAACAGCCCCCTACCTGGCCTCCTCGCCCCACTGTGGAAGATGAACCTGAGCTCGGCGAGCAAGTCAACCCTAACTCCGGAACTGGACGTGACATGTCAGATCTTCCCAACGACCCGGCTGCTCACAATACCACTCCTACTTCCAGCACTCCTGTCAACAATGATGCCGAAACAACTCCAGAAAACCCCGCGGAGCCTAGGACTCCTGTCAATGCCGCTCCCGCTGACCCTGCTGCCGACCGCGTGCAGATCATCCTGAAGGACCAGAGCGGCACTTCGATGGCCTTTGGAGTAAAGTCAAGCACTCGCATGGAGAAAGTGATGAACGCCTATGCCGACAGATCAGGCCGCCCTGTGGGAACCCTGCGCTTCTACTACGATGGAAACCGTGTCGTTCCCGAGGACACTGTTGCTACAGTAAGCCACTCCTTAGTATGGTCTTGTCAGTAAGATACTGATCATAGCTGCTAGCTTGAGATGGAGAACGAAGACATCATCGAGGTCATGACAGAACAGATTGGCGGCACCAGCGAGTCCGACGATGCTTCTACCCGGGTCAACAAATACGTTGCAAAACACCAAATGGAAGACGGATATGACCACGAGATCTCCTTTACTGTCAACGCCGTCGAGGTTGGAGACAAGCTAATCAAGGAGATGGAGTTCGTCGTTGTACCCGATGTCAAAATCAACGCCTTCATGGACGCCTGGGCCAAGCGTGCCGGTTGCGCCGTGGATGAAGTAGTCTTTCGCTTCAACGGAGACAAGGAAGGACACGGACTTCCCTTTGAATCCGAAGATGAGACTTTCGGGGACGTAAGTGAAGACTGAAACACCGTGTCTATCTGCCAATGTTGACATCCAATCAGAACGATTCTATCGNATGGGGATCAGATCTATGTCAGCGCATTTGCCGACGAGCCAACTAACCTCGTACGTCCCAGAGAAGATGTCAACGCCGAATCCAAGACCGCTAAGGACACAATCATCATCACCGTCAAGTATTTCGGCCAGGACGACATTCCACGCGAGATGCGCTGCAAGATGACCAAGACGATGTGTTTCGACAACTTCATCAGTCTGTATTCGAAGCGCTGGGACATTGATTCCTCTGCGCAGCATTTGACCTTCAACGGAAAAACCGTGTTCCCAAGCGACACTCCAGTCTCAGTAAGTCATATCCTTTTCCTTTTTACGTCGTTCAAGTGGCCATAGAGGTGCACAACACCTTAAGGATCTTGTATGACCAGATCTATCTTGGGATGCAGTGCGTCTTTGGAACCACGTGCATGATGGGGTCTAGCAGTCAGGAAGACTTGATAGTTTGGGAAGCTGTTTCTTACACTTTCTCAGATCGGCGCACAGGATGGTGCCATGCTAGACGTTGCAGAAGACTTCAACGTCTACGCCATGGACCTTACTCTCGTTTGAGCAAGAGCGTACCGCGTACTGCTCGAAACCGTCACAACGAAGTCGACCAAGCACAACAGTAACGATCAGACGAAGCCTAAAGAAAATGACTACGAACACACCAAGGAGAGAAGCAAGAAAGGATCTGTCTACCGACATCAAAGAGAGCAAGAGGAGACAGCAGACATGTAGACTAGCAGAGACAGATCCTGGAGAAATCTCACAAAATTTGCTCATGCTTGCTGAGACATCTGACCAATTCTCTGCCTCTATCCATTGGCTCCATTATTTCTTGATATTATCTGTTTCTGTTTGCCAATTTGGGTAAGAGCATTAGAAGTCAAAGCTTTGATGAAAGGGTGTGCAAACAGGACACTATCAGATGCAGGAACCCGACGGACGGCAACTACGTAGACCGCTCTTTCTGCTCTTGCTCGGACTGAGAGGCAAAATGTTTTCCAGTTGCTTGTGTTCATCTTTTCGCAGATCAGTAAGAGGAAACTCAGCCCAGAGAAGGAAGCCAGCATGTTCGCGTTGAAGCATACACAGCACAAGACAAGAAACGGGACAAGGCATCAAAAGTTTGTTTGTTATACAGAATGCTTTACGTGTCCGACGGTCATTATTCATTCCATCATCATCTCCACTATTTTGGGAGCAAACAAAGTAGGTGATTAAGCCTTTATGCGTTGCATAAAGTCATGAATACCGTCAATGAGTACTGGACCCCATGCTTCGAACGACCTGCTGATGAGATTGTCAAAGAAGGTGATGGCTTCTTCTTCACTGAGTTGCAGACAGAATCTCTCTTCAACCTTCTTGACGGCCTGGTCACCAGCGAGCTTGATGTCAGGAATGTTGGCATCCTGCATGAGCGCGAAGAGGTTGAGAATGAGGTTTGACGAGCGACGCAGCGTGGTAAAGGCAGTGAAGCAGTACTGCTTGAATTCACCGAACCTACTGTCAGGATTGCTCGGGTTTCGGTCAGGACTACCACCTAACCCGTCGATCATCTCGACACTAAGCCTCATGCTGGGCGCCAAAGGTTTAGGATCGCGACCTAGAATGTAGCCAAAGTCGGCGTGGAAGAAGTGGCCGTCTGGAGCAAGAAGCAGGTTATCCATGTGACGATCGCCCACACCCAGCAGGTACGTGATCACGCAGTAGCCAGCCAAAGACTTGACATAGGTGTCCATCACTTCTTTGCGGACACCCATGGGAGCTGCACCATCTGGGTTGTGCTCGCGAAGGTAGCCAAGGATAGAATTGTTGTATTTAGCATTTCCCAAAATTGTGGAGAGTGGATTGGACGAGACGAACTGAACTGCACCAGCAAGCGCGCCAGTCGCGAGAATGCGGTATGGTGACAGCTGGAGGTTGAGGTTCTCTTTCAATAATAGTTGGTCCATCAGAGTAATGATCTGGATGACAAGTTGATCTTGACGCAAGTTGTCGCCAACTTTGAAAATGAATGGATAAATATCTCCTTTGGTGGTTCTGAAATGGAGGAGTAGTGGGGACAGCGTCGATTTGAAGACATTCACATTGTCCGGTACAGCGCCCACGATCTCTACGTTGGGATCGAGGGGCAGAGGAAGAGGTGGATCGATCTTGACAAGATCATTCTTAGGGTCCATAAGAGCTTTCTTGAGCTTCTCAACCTTGCGTATGCGATCAACATTCTTGTTTCGAGCATCCTCGCAAAGTTGAGACAACACAGTGATGAATTCTCCCTGACGCAGCAGAGTTTTGCGACGCGCTTGACCTTCAGGTGTTTTCTCAAGTTCCTGCATGAAGTCGTACGATACACGGGCATATAGCTTCTTGAAAGTGGCTGCTTGTGCATCATTCGAGCTTTCGTCCAACTCGACCATAAGGTACCAATGTAAGTAGTTGCCGAGGAAGATATTGGCGGCGGAACGAGCAACGAGGAAGCTGGCTAGAGATGAGTCGTACTGATCGAAGTTTGCGTTTGATTTGACCTCAGGCTCGAACTTCAAAGCCTGGACCAGTTGTAGGAGATATAGGAGCAGTTCTTCGTCTCCTGCCTTTCGCAAGCGATCAACGGCGTAAGCACGAACTTCTTTGTTGTCGAATGACGGACCGAGTAGTTCGAGGGCGTCGTCGATGTCAATCTCTTCCCACTTAGGGAGTAGTTGAATGACTTGACGCACCTCGTTTGCATCGTTCCAGGAAGTCGACTTGATCAGCTTGGTAAGTGCGCGTTTGTCACGGGTCAGATAGTGCCTGAACTTGAAGACCTTGTCTCTTTCTTCAGCGCTGAGGTCAGTAGTAGGACCATATGACAGTATGTGGTTGAGCTGGTCTCGAGTCTTCGGATTAGGCTTGAGATGTCGATCAAGCATACCGATGCGTTGATTTCGCACCAGGCTGCGGTGCTTGATTTCAGCAGGGTTGTCATAAAAACCGACTTCAGGGTCGTAGATGCGTATCAGATGAGGCGCGTGAGCATCGCCGTACCCTGGATTTTTCGAGTCGATGCCAGGGCCAACGTGGATCTCGGGTGGAGGTTTCAGACGGACATCGGAGCCTGGAGCGGTACGTACGCGGGCACTCGAGACTGGAGGCGGAGGATATTCGTGGTCGGTGAACACAACAGGGTGGTCAAACCGGGGAAACTCGATGTAGAGATAGAAGATTGAAGAGTCGTCTTGTGCATGACCATTGGTACCGTTCTGAAGGGTTGGCTGGGCGTGTATCTTAGAGTCGTCACGAATGTTGGCTCGCTCCATTCGCTCAATCTGGCGAAAGACCATCTGATCTAACCATTTGTGCTCAGACAATTCACCCATCTCATGCTTCTTCAAGAGTCCTTGTAATCGTTCCAGTTCAGCAGCCCTTTGACTATGCTTGTCGTCGGCAAAGAGTTGGAGGTTCTCGTGGCTGCGGCGGCGACGCTTGGTAGACGGAGCCCATGGAGTAGTTGAATCGGAGAAAGCATCGGCCTGCTTGTTTCTCCACAGGCGGCACTTCTGCCTCCCCNNCTTCCTCAAAGTGCCGTCATCGTCAAAGAGCGAGATTGTGGTTCCGCCAAAGGGGATATGATGACCTCTTGCACCATGATTGCCAGCAGGTGACAAGTCCCAGACGGTGATTGCGAGCTGAGCATTGAGTGGGAGCAGGGCGTAATCGATGGGTAGATGGAGCCACTCATTCCAAGCACGAGCATTCTTGAAATTTTTGTATGGGGTCTGGGCGTGTACAGTCAAAGGCTTGCTGTCAGCAAAGACTTGGGCGGTGACATAGAGCTCGGAGGTCGGACTANNGGCAGGCTTCAGCTTGGGAATCGTCTTGGGGTGGTCAGAGATGGCGGACCTCAGATTAGAGCCCCGATGGCGCAATTCAGGCTCGCGGAGGAGGGTCGAGTATGGTAAGGCTTTCTCGTGGCCCTCGAGACGGCCTCTACAGGAGTGTTAGTGGTTGGGCTGCATTGTGTAGAGAGCGGCTGTAGAGCGATACCACACCTTGATGCTGACACTGGTCTTGACCTCTGAGGCACTTGCAAAGGTGAAGGTATCCATGACAGCCTCGCTCAAGGCCGACACAGAAAACTCGACTCAAGAAGGAAGGTAAGTGCAAGATCGAAAGTGCAGTATCACATGCATGTCGCCAGCGTCGCGGTACCAACGCGCTTTCCTTAACTCCGCCAGCCCCGGGCTGCGTCTGCCTACCACCTTGATTTCACTGCTCAATAACAACTTTCTCAAAGACCTTGCTTTTCGATCAATCAGTTCATACCGCCATGGCTGATTATTCAAATCACAACCGTGGTCAGGAGGACGACGAGGATGAAGAAGACATTGACGAGACGGTACTAAACTCAATTCTCGCGGCTGTAAACAGACAGCTACTGATGGTCATAGNNGGCTACAAAACCATCAAAGATGCTGTCCTCTTTGCCATTGACGTTAGCTCCACTATGCTCACCAAGCCTCCTCAGCTGGACTCGAAGAAGGCTGATCGCGATACTCCTACAATTGCTGCCCTGAAATGTGCCTATTCTCTCATGCAGCAACGCATCATCTCCAATCCTAACGACATGATGGGAATTCTTCTCTTTGGCACCGAAAAGTCTCGTTTCCAAGATGAAACTGCTTCCTCCAAGGGCCTCTCGTATCCACACTGCTATCTCCTGACAGACTTGGACGTTCCTGGAGCCAGAGATATCAAACGCCTACGTGATCTTGTCAACGATGAGGAGCAGGCCAATGAACTTCTCCAGCCTTCGACTGAGTCTGTGTCCATGGCCAATGTCTTGTTTTGCGCAAATCAGATCTTCACCACCAAAGCTCCCAACTTCTCGTCGAGACGCTTGTTCCTGGTCACTGACAACGATGCCCCTCACAACGACGACAAAGCCTTGAGGTCTGCCGCTGCTGTCAGAGCAAAGGACCTATACGATTTGGGCGTCGTCATCGAGCTGTTCCCCATCTCCAGTCCGGAACATGTCTTTGACCGCTCCGTCTTCTACAATGTATGCACTCTCTCTGATTGCTCTACCAAATCTTAGCTCACACGAGACAGGNACATCATCTACAGCGCCATCCCGTCAGACCCAGATGCTCCTGCACCTGTAACTAAAGCTTCCAGAGCTTCTGCCAGCGGTGACGGCCTCACCCTACTACAATCTCTCTTGTCAAACATAAACTCAAGATCCACCCCTCGACGTGCCTTGTTCTCAAACATGCCCTTTGAGATCGGCCCTGGTCTGAAGATCTCAATCAAAGGTTACATAATCATCAAACGCCAGGAGCCTGCCAGAAGCAGCTATGTTTACATGGGTGGAGAAAGACCTCAGCTCGCTGTCGGCTCTTCCACCCTCCAGGCAGAGGACACGGCAAGATCGGTCGAGAAAGTTGAGATCCGAAAGGCATACAAGTTTGGAGGCGAGACCGTGTCTTTCACACCGGAGGAGATCTCGGAGATCAAACACTTCGGCGATCCCATCCTTCGCATCATCGGCTTCAAGCCCCTGACTATGCTACCTATCTGGGCAAACCATCGCCCATCTACTTTCATATACCCATCAGAGGAAGACATTATCGGCAGCACAAGGGTCTTCTCTGCTCTACAGCAGAAGCTTCTCAAAGACCAGAAGATTGGCCTTGCTTGGTACATTCCTCGCCGTAACGCAACACCCACACTTGCCGCTGTCATCCCAGGAGCCGAGAGGCTAGATGAGGACGGGTTGCAGGTCATGCCGCCAGGTCTGTGGATTCACGTGCTTCCATTCGCAGACGACGTCCGCCAGATACCCGACACAACAGTGGTCCAGGCACCTGATGGACTGGTCGACAAGATGAGGAGTGTGATCCAGCAGCTGCAGTTACCAAAGGCCGTGTATGGTCCTAAGAAATACCCCAACCCATCTCTGCAATGGTTCTACCGGATATTGCAAGCTCTGGCTCTAGAAGAAGACTTGCCGGAAAAGCCTGAGGACAAAACATTGCCGCGTTACCGCCAGATTGACAAACGTGCAGGTCAGTATGTCATCGAGTGGGGTTCCGAGCTTGAAGAACAATACGAGGTTTGGAAANGAGCCAACGCCGGTCGCCACACTGCTACAGGTGCGACTAAGCGTGGCTCAGCAGCGGCCGGTGAGAGCAGTAAGAGATCCAAAACGACTGCGGCCTCCAAGTCGAACGATGGCATTAGCGACGAAGATATGCGCAAGGCCTTCGAAACGAACAAGATCAACAAATTCACCGTTGCGGATCTCAAAGCTTGGTGCAAAGAGAAGGGCATCAAGCTACCAACGGCCGCAAAGAAGGGCGATGTTGTCGATGAAGTGACAAGCCATTTCGAAAACAAGATGGCTCTATGAGAAGGGATCTCAAAGACAAGCCCGGAGGGATGAGTTGCTATTGAAACCTGCGGACCAGAAGAGGATTAATTATACCCTAGCGTTATGTACTTGATATTCCGACGGATAGAGGAATGAGAACACGGGAAGTGTTGGCTCAGTGTCTTGGTGTGCAGTCTTCATTTCAAATGGTACACCCAAAGTTATGCTACTGGCTTGCTGTCAGCTCTGGCCGATCCTGCTCTCGTGTCGCTCAACTCATTGCTTCTATTGTGCGATTATTGCTCACGACAAGAGGCCTTTCAGGGGTTTCGTTACATCTACCACTACGGCAACAACAAAGCTAAATTCTATCGAATGACTCTAGAGAGGTGGTCATGCGTTGTCCCACTCTCTCTGCAAAGACCTGCTCGTCCTGAACATTTAAAGCGCCCACTTGCCACGATATGACTATTGTAAGGTCGCCCTGGTATCTGGAGACGACATTGAAGTTCAGACAGCCAGAACCTACATTAGCTGGTTGAGAGAAGATCATGGATTCGATGTTCCAGCTTTTCTCTGATTCGAAGGATCCAGGATTGAAGGACATGATGTTGCTGAGTTCGTAAGAACACTCTCTGCGTTTGCCGACTTGGCCTCTTGTCCAGGGATACATGTTGCGAAGATAGGCTAGCAATCCGACTGGCTGGTTATTGAGGGTGCCAGCAGTTTGGGCTAGGTTTTGTGTTGTGGTGCGTGCGGCGTCCCAGAAAGCATCAGATATTAGGCTTGGTTCCCGCGATGTTTCATCATCCGATGTTCTCTTGAACAGTTCATAGTATGCTGTTGGACACAGCGCCATGTCATCATCAGAGATACCTTCGAGATGCGAACGTAGATCGACAGCAGTCTGAGAAACAAAGCAACCTGCCTTTTCAGCAGGCAACTCTTTGCTCAAGGCTTGCACTATGACTTGATGAAGCAGACCAGTAAACTTGACATCGTGTTTTCGACATTTCTGAAGAATCTTTTGAACGTGACTGTGGCCGATAGAGACGACCTCGAGAGAAGTCTGGTAACGCTCGGGATCAAAGAATGTCTTGTTGCCTGCCCATTGGTCGTCCGCTTCTGGCGTGGCTGATGCACGGATGCCGAGTGGGGTTGCAACGAAGGCTGGTAGGTATGCCCCTAACAGTGGTGATAGCAAGTAGCTCCAGGAGATCGAGAGTCGTCCCGCCATCTCGAGTGTAGGTAGCAAAGGCATGCTCGGACTGGCAAACTTGGGATCATCATCGTAGACACAGTCAACACTTTGAGCCTGCTTCAGTCCGGAAAGAAGAGTCTTGTGAAAAGCCAATCCAGACTTGCCATCGCCATGCGAGTGGTAGTAGCCGAACAGTATGAGGTACCTAGTCGTCTCCGATTGTTCTGCAGCTGACAATGGCAGTACAGTGATCTGCCATGGAGGAGTTTTGTCACAGCAGGTGAATACGTGATCGTTGGTTTGAGCCAAGGTAAGCTTGATCAAGCTCTTCTCGTCAAGAAGATCCGGTGTGTCCAATATGTTGATGTGGTTAATCAGATCCAGAATGGACGGTCTAGCGAACTCTGGAGCTTCTGTTTCCTGTCCATCGATACAGGCAGACAGAATTGGGTGCTTTGCAACACAATATTTTAAAGCTTTGATGAGAATACTTTGCAATGAGAAGCCAGTAGATGGTCTTTCAAGGGTATATATCCCTCCTACAACCAAAGTGCGGTAGTAGCCCAATGCTTGACGGACGATACATCGACGCTCATTTGGTCCTGGTCAAGTCAGATGATAGAGATCATGATTTTACAACGGATATCAGTACCAGCTTTCCTCAGGCGTTCCATCGTGAGACTCGCTGAATCTTGTCAATCTTATGAGTAGACTTATGTTTTGGTCAAATCAAAATGTAAACTGCTGCCTGAAAGGGAGGAAGGATGCAGCAGTCGGATGCGGAGCATCTATACCCGCTCCTAGGCCTTGGCACGTGTGATATATGTTGAACATGGCCACGTTCGCGAAAGATGGATAACCTGATACCAAACATTTATGGAACTGCGGTAATGTTCGTGTCTCTCTAGGTGATCTTGTTGACCAGGGATGCCGATAGTAGCCGTCTATTTCCGAGTCCCTCCGCTGATACCTGGCCGCCCGGGTAATCATCCTTCCTCATCAGACCCGCCCTTGCGGCATAGGGCAAGAGCGAGCGGGGTAATGGTTTTATAGAGTCCAGTCTACACAGCACTTCTTGATCTTTCTTTAAGCAGCGAAGTACAAAAAGATAATCAGATCAAAGAGATGTTGAAAGTTCCACCACCAGGAGTTTGGGCTCCGGCCATCACTTTCTTCGACCCAACAACGGACGATCTCGACCTTGATTCACAAAAGGCATACTACAACTACCTATCGAAATCTGGCCTTACGGGACTTGTTATCTTGGGTACCAACGCCGAAACATTCCTTCTCACACGAACCGAGCGTGCCTCGCTACTTAAATGTGCGCGTGAGGCTGTTGGTTCCGAATATCCCATCATGGCAGGCGTGGGTGGTCACTCGACAAAGCAGGTGCTGGAATACATAGAGGATGCGGCTGATGCAGGAGCTGACTATGTCCTCGTCCTGCCACCTGGATACTTTGGTCCTGCAACCACCGAGATTGTGGTTCGCAATTTTTACGCTCAAGTCGCAAAGGCTTCGACTCTGCCAATCGTGCTCTACAACTTTCCAGGAGTCTGCAATGGCGTGGACCTTTCGTCGTCTCTAATTACGGAGCTGGCGAACACGCATTCCAACATCGTTGGCGTGAAGCTGACCTGCGGTAGCGTCGGGAAGATCACAAGACTGGCCGCACAACTTCCTCCTTCTCGATTCAGCGTGTATGGTGGACAATCGGACTTTCTGGTTGGTGGACTGAGTGTTGGAAGCGCCGGATGTATTGCAGCCTTCGCAAACGTGTTTCCCAAGACAATAAGCCGCATCTACAAGCTCTGGACCGAGGGACAACATGAGGAGGCTTTGAAGCTGCACAGGGTGGCCAGTCTGGCGGAAGAACCTTGCAAGGCAGGCATTGCGAGTACTAAGTATGCAGCAAGCGTATTCTCGGCACCCAAGGCTGGCATACAAGACGCGGAAGCCAAATTGAGACCTCGCCAGCCGTATCCACCAGCACCAGAAGCAGTACAGAAGAAGATTCGCGAAACCATGTCCGAGGTGAGCAAGCTGGAAAATTAGGTCAAGCAAGAGCTTTGACTGTACTCGGAAAGAAACAGGGTATTTGATCCAAGAAAGCTCACTGCCTGAGTGACAACAGCTAGAATTGGATTAGAATATCGGGAAAACTCATTTCTCATTAGTGATGACCAGTAATCTGCCTTTAGCCACAGTGGTCTGCGAGCTATTTGATCTGTAGTGGCAGGTCGTGTTCCTTGTTCACCAGAAGCCCCTCGTAATCCTTCTGGAGGCCAGTATGTGATGCGGTCGATGGTGATACGTCTACTGCTCGTAGACAACGCTGCGTCTCGACCGGAATTGTGATGCTGAAAGCTGTTGCTTGGACCCGTCCTTGGGGCATAGTATATTGCGCGTGATACGCCGTAGCTGGGTACGACGCCAGAATCGTGGCGTTTAGTCGCTGCTTCCACATCCACGGCATCCGCAGTTGACACACTGAATGACTTGGTCCTCTTTGAGCTGCTTACGAGGCACGCGACAGATGCAGGTGCTGTTGAAGTTGGTTTCCTTGGTCTGAATGCATCGGAGACAACAGAGNCTAGAAAGAAGATCAGCGCAGAACTGTAAAGAGATTCAGGGAAGGCGACAAACCTTCTCGTAACCCTGCTTTTTCCACTTTGCGATCAGGTTCTTGTCGGCATAGTTGTTCTTCAGCAGCCACTCGTACAGCTGTTTGGAGATGGCTTCTTTCTCGTAGTAGAGGTCATAGATGTATTTTGAGCCTAGCGAGCAGAGTTAGTACTCGTAGTGCACAGGATGGGAGTTGGGCAAGCCTCTGTCTCGAGCAAAGGGCCAAGAAACTAGAGACAGACCTGGAAGGGGTATGGCTCACGTACGTTGATGGGTGATTTGGAAGACGGGCCAGACCATTTCGTGCTTCTTCTTTCCTTCGTGCGAGGCATTCTCGGCGTCCTTGAGCTTGTTGGAGAATTCGAGCAGAGTGTCTTCGATGTCTTCGAAGCCGTCGGGCGGAGGCTTGCGGTTTCTGGAGCTGCGAATCGGAGGCATTTTGATTTGTGAGTCGAGATAAGCACAGTCGAGGCGACAGAGGAATGAGTGATGACGCGACCGAGGGCGTGTGAAAAGGTCGCAATGTGAATAATGCGACAGGACGACCGAAAAGAGAAAGAAGATGGTCGGTGACGCGCCGGGGTGGTGCCAAGGCTTGCTGACCTCCGCTCCGGCAGCGTCTCGCGCGGGCTGGTATGCCTCGTTCAGCCTGTACAAGCTCTCGAATCCGCCATTGAACTCTTGTCCTCGCGCCTCATCACACACAATGATCAACCCTACCTACCTTGCCCAAAGGACGCGCTCGTGTACGCCACACATACCTGTCTTCGCCCTTGCGCCGTCACGCTGACCCCACCTCCTACAGNCCGTCAACTGGAACGATGCCCAGAAGAGAGTCCTCAAGTCCTACCGCGAGTGGGTTCGCGCCGTATGATGCCCCGAAAAGAGTGTCCCATCGTCCGACCACCTCTCTGATGTCCTTCAGGCTCCCGAGATCCAACAGATGTACTCGCTCAACATGCCCGTCTCGGCCATCCGCACAAAGATGAGACAGGAGTTCGAAAGACACCGTTACGTCCAGCAATTGAAGACTGTCGATGTCCTTCTTTTCAACTCTCACCAGGAATACCAGGTGCGCTGCCACCAATCGATGTGGACAAGCTCAAAGTTGACCCATTGTCTACTCNAGGAAACCCTCAACTTCTGGAAGCAACTCACCCACGTCCTCAAGTACTTCCGCGCCGAAGAGGACCCCAAGGCTGCATTGCCCAAGAACTTCATCCAAGGTTTCCTCGAGGTACGATCCGCTTTGCAGTCAAACCAGCTGTCAGATCCTTGTATTGACGCTGCTATCTCCAGGGACGCAACTAGAGAACAAAACAATCATGATGCGCCTTTTGACTTTCCCCAGCCTTTCCGTAATGATACCATTTCAAACCGCAACCCCGTTTTCTCCATATGCTCAAAAACGCCTGTGACATGCATGCTTCCCGACCTGATTATTATGCTGCTTTGCTAGCATTGAACGCATCTCTGGAAATGGTGAACTTGTCGACCACCACATCACAGAGATCCATCAAGTCATTGAGACCCTTTTCCAGAACATCGTAGACGTTAACTTCGTCTNNGTAAACTGGTCAGCATTTTGCACCTCGTCATGATTGAATCCTTCCCTTACCCCAAGTTTGGATACGCAGGTTCATCTTTGCTTCTGAAGGATGGGGAATTGAGTAACCGCAGAACTCGACGTCAGGGCTNGTATTTGTATAAGTAGGTGACTTGGAAATAGATCGAGTAGCTTCTCACTTCTTCATGATGATGTAACGCAAAGCGTTTCCAAGAGTGTGGTCTTCCTTGGTGAATTCAGATGAAGCAGCAGTGTCGGTGGATCCAGGAAGCTGTTTTCTGTCAGATTTGCTCGTAATTTCTCGTCCGTAGCATGTTGCAGTGATGTTTTGCAGAGATGATCCGCGTAGGAGAAAAGAATTTATATGAAAATTGAATAGATAAGTACTTACGACTCTGATGCGCTGAGGCTCAACGAGTTCAACCTCAGCAGCGTCTACATCAGCGCCGGCAACAGCATCAGCCATCTCGTGGTCTCCGTTGGTAGACATGATTTGTTTTGTGGTTTTTATGATGTGCAGAAATGTCGCGATATAGCATTGCAAGGCGGGAGAAGTTTGCCGCCAAGAAAGCGTTTATCTTATCAATCTTTCCATCTCCGTGCTGACCATCGGCTCTTGGAAATATCCATGTTCGTCATTCCGCAATCGCAGAGCAATCCAGTCACAATCAACAACGCATACAAATTCGACATGTCTGCCAACAACCAAGTCCGCAGTGCGGTTATCAACCGCGATACCAACGAGACCAAGATCCAATTGGCTCTTAACCTTGACGGCGGCTCACTGGAGGAGATTACTTCCGAGAACAATGGCGCAGACAAGTCACACGCTGCTCAAGCTTCAAAATCACAGACTATCGACATTGACACTGGCATTGGCTTCCTGGACCACATGATTCACGCCCTTGCGAAGCACTCTGGCTGGAGTTTGAAGCTCAGATGCCGTGGTGATCTCCACATTGACGACCACCACACTGCCGAGGACGTCTTCATTGCTATGGGCCAGGTGCGTTGAACCGACAAGCAAGGACAATACTGTACATGTACTTACAAAAGCCAGGCTTTCAAGTCTGCTCTCAAGTCGACCGCTGGTCTCGCTCGTTTCGGCTACGCATACGCCCCTCTCGACGAAGCCCTCGCCCGTGCAGTCGTCGACCTGTCCAACCGTCCCTTCTGCGTTAGCGACCTGAAGCTACGCCGTGAGAAGATTGGCGATCTCAGCACCGAGATGTTGCCCCACTGTCTGCAGAGTTTCTCTCAAGGTTCCGGTGTAACCATGCACGTCGACGTTATCAGAGGTGACAACGACCACCACAAGGCCGAGAGTGCCTTCAAGGCTCTTGCTGTTGCCATCAGAATGGCTAGCACACCCGTGGTCGGCCGTGAAGGCGAGATTCCTAGCACAAAAGGTGTTCTCTTCTAGACGTTTGCAACAAACAATAAAATCTTGTCTATACATCATCGTCACGAAGAGAAGCACTCCTACTTTATTACTGAACATACTGTGCATCTCTACAATACCTTTTCACGAAAACCGTGTCATCTGGATGCATCGTCACCCAGAGGAAAGCACTCTTAATGAAAACTATATGTTCTTGAAAACTAATGTGTGTTTTTACAGCCTCACGCTGGTACTCATAGAAGTAGCGGCCATCATGTCTGCCTTCTGTTCTACCGTCACATATTTCAACAACAAATACGGCATATCCAAGCACGCTTACAATGGCTAAAAACGCCATGAGCCTCATCGCGCGGTCGTCTGGCGCATTACGACCAACAGCATCTCGCCGCTCGCTGGGCCAACAGCCGCTTCCCCATCTAGAGAGCTGCCTTCAGCTCGCAACCGCCACGCCTTCTCTCTTCTGTCGACCCGCGTGATACACTGTAAATGGCATCACATCATTTGGAGATATGAGAATACACACACTGTCACGAATCCTACACAATTGGGAGGAGTTGAAATCCATGATGAAACTTCTCGTGGTTTTCCCTTTGTTGCAGTTATATACGAGTACAATATGAGAATGGGTAGAATGTCATGGCTCAATGCAATCATCTGCAGAGCTCCAACCCTTGTGTCCAAATCATTAACTTTTGAAATCAGAACGCAGCAAAAAATCCAATGCAATATCAAGCTTCTCGTCCTGCTCTGTCTTTTGGAGCTTCGTCATTTTTCCATTGTTTCTCCTTGCGATCGTTGTTCAGCAAGGCTCGAAGAGAGCGTCCTGAGCAGTGCATGTAGCGAACGACCAGTTGCCCTCAGGAACACAGGTAGTGTCGTCGTTGCTGACGGGAGTGCCGAGTCCGTGGCACATCTCGATGGAGTTGATGGGGGTGTCTGGATCAACCACAACTGTAAGGCCGTCTGCAGTGTTTTCGAAGGTGAAGTTGGGAGAATTAGCAGGCTCGCCCATGATGCTGTCTGCGCGTTCGGGTTGAACGCTAGCGCGCTTCTTGGTTGGTGTCAAGCAACGAACAGGACCATCCTCGTCATCATCCTCGATGATGAAACGCACACGCTTGTTCTTAGCTGCCTTTGCCTTCTTGACAACCTTGGCCTTCTTGACAACCTTTGCTGGCTTAAGCTCGAATTTATCAACAGGAGGGACTTCGAAACCACGGTGGCGGAATGCTGCGGCAACATCATTGACGTAGCTGGAGTACTGTTCTGCAAGATAACCTCTAGCCGCCTTGATGTTGGGTTCAGGAATCTTGTCGTCGAAGATCATGACGTTGGGTGTTGCGACGCGAGTGTGCTTGACGCCATAATCTTCCATGGCAGAGACAACATTGAAGATTGGGATCTGGCGAACATGGAATTTGATGATGTGATGAATGCTTGACATCTTCTCGGGATCGTCGGTGCCATATCCGGCAATGATGGCAGGACGCAGGTTGTTGTCAAGAATCCAGGACAGACCCTCGACCTTGAGCATGGGAGTCTTACGTGCGCGTAGAGAGCCGAGTGCGATGTCCATCACACTGCCTGTAAATGGTTAGTCAAATCCTGGCGTCAACATCAGACCTGACTTACCTGTCACATCATCGACGACCTTGCTTTGGGCACCCATGATGAAGATTGTTGATAGTGTAGAAGTAGTCGCATGGGATTGAAGATAGTGTATTGTGTTATACAGAAGAGGAAGAGTGGTGTGTAGAAGAAAGATGAAGAAGAAGAAGAAGTGGTGGAGTGGTGTGTAGAGGAAGAGGTTTGGTTTGGAAGAGGAGGAAGCTTTTATAGTCCTGGGATGGACTCTGAGTGATCAAATGGGGAAGGCATCAAGTGAAGAAGACAGTAGTGAGTGAAGCATTTGTGTGCTGGGTTCTGTCACTTCAAGGCAGGTGCAGTCAATCTCTTCTCCAGGAGACATTGATGTAATATGTATGAGATGTTGAGTTACACAGTTCTGTTTCGAAATTGGATGTTGAGGAGGAGAGCAGATGAGACGAAGGACTCTCAGTGGGCTTCATCGCTTGTTGTAAATTATCGTGCATTTGCACAGCTTGTTTTTCATGAGCATTTCCAGTGAGAGTAGATGAGACGAGGGGCTCTCAGCGGACTCCCTCGCTTCTTGAAAAGTATTGTGCATTTTTACAGCTTGTTTTGCCACGACCATGTCCAGTGAGAGCAGGTCAGTGGAAGCAGGTCAGACGAGGGGCTCTCAGTGGACCTCCTCGCTTTTTACAAAGTATTATGCATTTACACAGCTTGTTTTCCCGTAACCATGTCCAGTGAGAGCAGGTCAGACGAGGAGCTCTCAATGGACTTCTTCGCTCGTAAAAAGTATTGTGCATTTTCATAGCTTGTTCTTTCATGAGGATGTCCGGTGAGATGGTAAGACGGTAGACTCTCACTGGACTTGCTCTGTTCCCATAAAATATTGTGCATTTTCATAGCTTGTTTTCTCATGAGCGTGTCCAGTGAGAGGACGCTTGAACGATGGGCTCTCAATGGACAGCCACTTTTCGCTGTACATTGTGAATTTCGACAGCTTACTTATTCACGATCGTCTTCGGAGAGAGCTGATTAGCCGACCGGCTTTCAGTGGAAAAGCTCGTATGTGTACACTATTGTGCATTGTTACAGCTCGTCTTCTGTGTGCGTGTCTCCGGAGAAGGCTGACAAATTGACAGGCCTTCAGTGGAAGCTGCTCTGTTTCTGCAAAGTATCGTGCATTTTTACAGCTTGTCAATCATGATGCCAGAGCCGGTGAGATAATAGGCTCTCAGTGGATAATACTCCGTTTGTCAAAGTGATACGAATGGAGAGAAACCAGGTAAAAGAAACTCGATTGTGTATTTTGACGAGATGATTGCGGTAGAAGGACAAGTTCGTGAAATCGAGCTTCATCGACTACCGACTCGCTGAACGACTGGCTGCCTCTATGCAATGTTCCAAAACTGCGGCTTACTGGCACTGCCATACTTGGCCTGCCATGCGAAAAAGTACATGAGTGCAGCTAGCGGTTGACCAACAAGACAGAATGAGATCCAGAAGATGAGATTGCCCAGAAGTTTCCCATTGCCTCCTTTCATTCTAGCCAGTGGGTCCGTCAANAAGATTAAGGGTAACTGAAACATCATACCAGCAAAAGCAACCCCTGCNGGTTTTTGTCAGTGCCGCTGATCAATGTCGTCACTTCTAGCTTACTAACCAAGGATGTTGTGAGTGGGTACGCCGACCAGAAGCTCATGAAGCACACCGGAGAAGAGAAAAGTCATGATCTGAGCAACGAGCGGCGGCACGCCTCGTCCGACCATTGGCGAATATATATGTCGCTTCATGAACTGGAACACCGGTTTGTTCCAGCTGGACCAATATCCTCTCACACCACTGCTATTCCACCAATCCCCGTAGAACTCCNNCCTGTCGCCAAAGCGCATCACTTCTGCAAGCGCATTCAGGAACGATTGGAANAGGGCATAGAATCCAGCTAGCCAGCAGAAGAGTGAGATGGTTGAGAGTTTCATGAGGCGCTCGGCAATAGATGGTAGATCAAGCGAAGAGATAGTGCCTAATGAGTTTCTCAAAAGGGGGNNAGCTGCGTATTGGGCACTGGCGATCCAGATGACGATACTGAGCCCAACAACTTCGACACAACGCTTGAAGACGAAAGGCCATCGAATCTTCTCCGTTCTGGGATATACTGGCTGGTAGATCAAAGTTGGAGCCCACCAGAAGTAGGTCAGATTGCGGAGAGTGATGTTTTGTGGATAAGGACAAGAGCTGTAGAGCTTGGGGACTTCGCTTGCATAAGGATATAGCAGCGCGTGTCGTAAGTCGCGGTTGGTAAAAGCATACGAACACGTCTTGAGCCATACAATCACAGCGTGTAGCTCGCACAACGTGCCGATACCAGGATGATGGATATGATAGTACACGACGTAAGTTGCGAGAGCCAGATTGAGGGTAGCATTGACGCCATGTGCAAAGGCAATCAGGTGCCATGCTGTACGGAAGGCTCGTAGTTCCTGCCTTCGTTGATTTGAGTTGGCTGCTGCATCAACGCCCGTCTTTTTGGCTCTGGCGAGAGCGCCCTTGGCCTGCTGAGCAGCAACAAGCTCAATGATGTAGGCGACGAACAGATGGCAAGGGACCAAGAAGTACAGAATACTGCCGTACACGACGTCCTGCCGGCGATAGTCGTGACAATGGATGCAGATCAAGACACCGTACTGAAAAGCTAGTCAAACAGTAGGTCATGCATGCTTTAGAACCAGGCTACCTACCTTTTTGAAGTTCTCAATCATCAATCGCAGATTGGAAACGACTGAACACGTTAGTTACCGCCAGGACAAAAATTGGCTAGTCGAGCACTGACTGATCACCAGCGCACCCAGATTTCTGAATCCAGTAAAGCTGGTGGGCGCAGCTGAGTCCTGGCTCAGACATGAGGCTCTGGTAGCAGAATGGACAGCAAAGGTGTGTCTGTATTTCTTGGGTGGCTGTACACCGAGTTTCTCTGCTTTGTTGTTCTCGGCGGTGTCCTGTTGCATGACAGGTTTTGCGGGACGATCTGTTGGGATTTCATGACTGGTCGTAAGGGCTGTATCAATGAGGGACGTCATGTTTCCAGAGCTTGAAAGCTGTTTGCGCAAGTAGAGAGGAACTTGGATAGGTTTGCAAGACGAGGAATCACTGCAGCATCAAATAATCAGGTTGCTGAAGGCCAAGCAACAAAGAGGGGCTTCAGCGGCAAAGCATTCAACATGGCGGTTTGAAGGAACAATTGCAGCAAACAAATCGCATCTTCAACGCGTCGAGAAGGAGCTGTGCCATGCGGTTGACCCTGCCGAGTGCCCCCAGCGGACTAGCTAGCCCTATAACCTCCCGAAGTCTGTAACTCTCACCATACTCCGACTACACAAAATTTAGACTATAAAAATGCACAATGATTTAGAAAGTAGAGGCGTGTCCACAGAGAGTCGAAGACTTGTGCCTCTCAGTGGATACTATCGTGTTTCCTATCACTATTGTGCATTTCTATAGCTATACCGCGCCAAGCCCCTGGTGATGCAGGAACACCTTCAGGCGCTATTGTTGGCCAGCTTGTCATCCCGACTTTCCCGACCTCGCGTCAACTTCACGTCTCCTCCGTCATTGTAGTTACAGGAATGGCTTTGTGATGTGCATCGCTATTTGTTTAACTATCTATTGTCACCTGGAATTTTTGCAGCGTTGTCGTCACTATTCTTCGAGCGCATAACGACCACGCCAATTCGACAGTTGTGGTAGATCGTGTCCTCTCGAGCTCAAGCCTTGCGCAACAAACGCGTGTAGCTGAGCCGAGCCAGGCCTTCTTATACACAACAACACGCTTCCATCCCAATCGACAGCCATGGACCAGGGGAGATCAAGGCGCAGGCCATGAGGGCTTCGTCAAGAGAACCAGGCTCTCTCGGCGTATGTATACTCTGACCCTCTAAAACTCTTGTTGGAGATTGGAAATTGACTGACATCTATCTCAGGCCNCTGCTACTGACTACAGTGCGAACATGGCACAGTTCGTGCACAACCGTAGACCGCAGTACAAGGGAACTATGGGATTCGAGATGGAAAGACCCAGTGCTAGCTACGTGATAGACGTGAGTTTGTGCTCAGCGTCTGCTCAGATAGACGATGCAATGAAAAGCTGTGTGTTGACTCGAATCGTAGNNATGCTCCTACCGCCAGCCCGTAGAGGGAATGCAGTAGATTCAGTGCCGGCTAGACATTTGCATTCGTCCTTAAACAAGATGCGCCATCCCGTCAACGTGGTGAAATGGACGCCAGAGGGAAGACGTCTGCTCACTGGTTCGACGAGCGGTGAATTTACCCTGTGGAACGGAACAGCTTTCAACTTCGAAACAATCATGCAGGTGCGAGCATTTATGATGTCCTACGATCGACAGGCAAATTGCTAATCTCCACGTCNNCAGGCTCACGACAGTGCGGTACGAGCAGTGGCATACTCACACAGCAACGACTGGCTTATTTCTGCTGAACAAGCTGGCATTGTCAAATACTGGCAACCAAACTTCAACAACGTCAAGTCTTTACAAGCGCACAACGACCCCGTTCGAGATCTGGCATTTGCGCCTACCGATACCAAGTTTGTGACAGCAGCAGATGATGCTCACCTCAAGATCTTCGATTTTGCCGGAGGCGTGGAAGAGCTGGTTTTGGAAGGCCATCAATGGGACGCTAAATGCGTTGACNTGGCATCCTACCAAAGGCCTACTGGTCTCTGGCTCGAAAGACCATCAAATCAAGCTTTGGGATCCTCGAAACGGGCGATGTCTTACCACGCTTCATGGCCACAAGAACACTGTGAGCAAGACGCTTTTGAACCGACAAATGGCGTGCTATTGGCCTCTTGTGCGCGCGATTCTACTGCAAGGGTCTTCGACATACGAATGATGCGGGATGTCTTCTTACTACGCGGTCATGAAAAGGACATTAGCACTCTTGCCTGGCACCCAATTCACTCAAACTTCTTGACAACTGGAGGTGCCGACGGTGCAATGCATCACTATCTGTTAGATGAACAGAATCTGCCGGCTGGTTCAGCGCCCACATTATCACCATATGACGCACCGGAGAACTCAGACGCGCCTGCTCAAACTATCTATCCTGCTCATCGGGTCACGTACGCCCACGACTTTGCTATCTGGAGCCTTGACTGGCACCCTCTTGGTCACATCCTAGCTTCTGGTTCCAACGACAGAGCAACGAGATTCTGGTCCAGGCCAAGACCTGGCGACAACACGTACAAGGACGATCGATGGCATATTGGACAGACGGCAGCAGAAGCGCAAGGGACGTGGAAACGCACTACAGATCGGACAGCTAGAGACGAGGAGGAAGAACTTGAAGACGAGGCAGATGGTCTTGTTGATCAACAGATGCCTGCTCGTCAGAATATGCTGCCTGGTCTTGCCGGTCTCCCCGGCATTTCTGCGCCCAGGCCAGCATTCCCAGATGGAAGTAGCACTGGAGGGGCTCAGCCGCTGCCTATGCCTGGTATGAACGGCAACGGACTGACTTTCCCAGGTGCGCCACCAATGCTTGGGGGTCAAGGTCTGCCATTCTCCTTACCCCATGGCGGCGCACCACCACCCCTGCCTGGAAACATGGACATTGAGAAGCTGAAGCAAATGTTTGGTGGGCAACTCCCCCCTATGCCTCCACCGGGTGCTCAACAAGGATTTCCCCCACCCCCGCCGCCTGGATTCCCAGGTGGACAAGGCCTCCCACCACCCCCAATGCCTTTCCCAGGATTCGCTGGAGCGCCTCCTATACCTCCTCCAGGGTTCCCGGGATTCCCACCAGGTAACGCACCCCCAGATCTTCAAGGACAGAACAGGAGGAGGGCACCACTACCGAGTCAGAGCGAGAGCTTGCAGGAGGAGATTAGAAGAGGAAAATACCCCAGAGCAAGATGATATCCATTCAGCGCTAGCTGCAGAAATGTTACAAGAAACTCAAAATTTCGCTTAATCTTTCGAAGCACAAGACTAGACTTGTTGCACGCCCATTATTACGACTCAGGTCAAGCCTAGGCTTTACGATGAATTACAAGTGACCATGTGCCTATGCCGTTCAGAACGTGTGTGACAACTCCAGTAAGACCTACCACATCAATACTTACTGACGTCGTGAAACGTATCGGGAGTGAGACGGGCCGGCGTGAGAATGGTGCTTAGCAAGCAGGGAGGGCTCGGAGATGAAGTCTATCCGAGCGGCAGCCTGGGGAAGGAGAGCAACAGCTCCAGCGACCTTTATAAACTCTCTAGTATTCGAACATTTCTCGAGTCAACCCATCTATACACAAAATGTTTGCTATCAACATCCAACCCGAATACGGGTAAGATAAACACCTCGGCGGACCAATCGCATCGGTCCCGTCTGCACGATTGCGTGCTTGGAGGATGCTTACTGACTGACCATTGTAGCTACGTCGTCCTCACTGCCGTCGGCACCTGCTTCTTGGGTACCTGGCATGGCATGAGATGCTCTGCCTTCCGCAAGGCTGCCGGCCTGGGCTACCCTACCCCTTACGCCGACTCTGCACAGATGTCCGCCGCCTCGGCTGAGCAGAAGCAGAAGCTGTACCTGTTCAACTGCGCCCAGGTACGTTCGATGCGATTCAAGATCAAGAGCTGGACTGACTCTATCCCATTAANNCAGCGCGCCCACGGTAACTTCCTCGAGAACCACTATATGGCCCTTACCACCCTGCTCATCGGTGGCCTCCGCTACCCTCTGCTCAGCACTGCTTTCGGTCTCGTCTGGTCGCTCGGTAGAATCGTGTACGCTGTTGGATACACCGCACAGAACAAGGAGAACGGCAAGGGAAGACTGGCTGGCGCCTTCTTCTGGCTCGCTCAGCTCGGTCTGTTTGTCAACGCCGGCTTGACTGGATACAACCTGGCCTTCTAAAGAGGGTACATCACAAAACCCAAGAAACAAACAAAAAAAAGATAAAACAAAGTTGTATACATCTCCAGCGTCGCCTTATTGCGATCAGTTCCTTGTTTCACGTTCACATACAATAGCGGCTCTCGCGTGAATCGAGATTTTGCAGACGAAAGTACAAGGCAAGGTATCTCGATGGGCATTTAATCAGGCGAGACGCCAAGTCACGTAACAATGCGATGCTAAAACTGTATGAACAAAGCTTATAGGGAAAGATGTCTACTGAAGGATAACCATAGTGAAACACGTGGTACTACGAACAACTATGACATGGTCTCAACGCCCAATAATGCATTGCAGGCTGCAGGAAGGTCCGGCGAGAAAAATCAAACGCCTCGTCAAATGTCGTGATTTTCTGATTACAGAAATGGGAAGATAGAACGGGATAGAAAGATCGTATGGAGACGGCAATGCAGCCTTCCCTGGACGCTTTTGTTATTCACCTCCTTCTTCATTGCTCGTCTTCCCTGATAGAGAGAGTGAGATTGGCCCAATGCTTATTCCCTTTTGTTGACCCGAGCTATCGTCCTTGCTGCGGAGACTCCCTTTCCTTCGTAGGGGATGCCCTGTGCCATTTTGCGGTTGGCTACTGGTAGGTGAATCCAAGTTCGCGGCCGACATCTCACTGCGGACACTGCCTATGCTGCTGACCGAGCTGCGGCGTTTGGCCGGGACCGCACCTGCCAACTTTTCCAAATCATCTTCATCGTCCTCTTCCCTTCTTCGTTTTTCTGGCACAACTGACAGCGGCGAACCCAACGTGTCGGGCGTCGTCGACTCGACGTTGGCCTCTTTCTTNTCAGCAGGCGTACTTGGTGATGCTGCGAGCATCTCCATTGCATCTTCATCCTCATCTTCCGGATAAGACACCAATGGTCGCATCGGAGGACCGACTTCGGGGGCCTTGGCCACGATAGTCTCGGGCAAGGAAGCTGCAGCCTCATCTTCTGTGTCGTCATCTGAAGTGGCATTGAAATAAGCTTCTTCTTCCGCATCAGCGTCCTTGAGCCCTTGCCAACGTTGTCCACCAGCAACGAGACTCCGGTTCGAGNNCGTCTCGCCACCCTGAGTTGAGAAGCTACTCTCATCAGGGTTGAAGCCACTTTGAATCTGCTCGTACTTCATCACGAGAGCCCCAAATGTGTTGACATAGGTGATACCAAGCAGCTTTTCCCGGTAGCCTTCGACGAGCGGTATGACTAGTTGCTTGAGATTCTCGCGTTTAATGAACTCGAATAGCTCGAGACAGGCCGAATTGAGAAGGTTGTCTCGAGGCATTGTCTGATAGACGATATCGAGGATTGGGTCAAAGACTCCTTTGGTGATCATATCTTTATTGTGATGTTCATCATTAAGGGCAACACATGTTCGGAACCACTTGAGAGCCGCTGGAGTTCGTTAGCATCAAGGTCCTGACACGACCATCATGGAAGAGAACGTACTCAGCTTCAAATGTTTCTGAGGGCAAGTTAACAGCTGCGCAACACGGCAGTGTAGATTTTCAGCAAGAATGTAATATTTACTTCGGAAGTTATGTTGACGAATGAAGAAACATAGAATTTCGACCAAGTGGACGAAAAGAGAAGCTTCATGTACAGATATAGTGTGCACTNNATGGTGTGTTAGCAGTGAGTCGAACTAGTAGGGCCTAATGAACTCACGATTTTGGCTGTGCTCGAGGTCCTTCAGGGGTTGGAACAGCCGCTTGGCACCATCGTTATAGAAATTGTCCACGAAGCTCTCCATTTGAGCGCTAGAATTGGGATTTGCACCCCTCATCTTGGCCATAAAATCTCCATTAGTCCTGCCTAGCATATCCATGGAAGTCGAGCTGGCATGAGGGTCCAAGAGAACCTTGATCGCATCTGCCATCTGAGCCTTGACGCCCAGGTCGACCTCGACAAGTAACAGCTCGATTAGCGTATCTGTCAATGGTTTGGTCTTTTGATTGATGGAGCGGAAGATGTGTGAGCGCATCATAACCGGATCGTGATCGATCAGCGCGACGAGAATATCGGTACCAGCGACACGTACAGAGGCATGGCGGTGGCGCAAAGCATATGTGACGACATCGAGAAGACCACCGTGAATGAAATTCTGGAAAAGGTGAGCACGCGACTGTGCCTGGATACTTTTGGCGACGGAGCAGCATGTCTGGATGAAGTGGACGGCATCCTTCTTACGTTGGTCGTCCGAGTCAGGGGTTGTGAAGATGGAGAAGAGCTCCTGAATGAAATCCTTGCTAGACTGAATGTGGTTAACAATGTCGACCTGGTTGTAAAAGATGAGAGAGTTGAGGACGGTGAAGGTGGGATCGTCGAGGATGCGGGCTAGTACCACATCCTTGAGATATTGCAGGCGATATGTGGCATGGATTTTGTTCTTGACGACTGGATTATCAATAGCGACGACTTCCTTGAAACGAGATTCGTCGGCCAGGTAGTGTCGGTGGTTGGCCTTGTGACTGGGGAAGTCTGGATCGTACTCGAGCGCACCAACAACGCCCAGGATGGCATGATCCGAGACAGTCAGCTCTATGATGGATGTGTCGTTGAGTAGGATGAGCGTCTTCATGATGGTACACAGGCGATGTAGGGCTTGGATATCCTCGACGTGTTCGGCGAGCTCTACCAGGGGTAACAACTTGGAAAGGTATTGTGTCTCGGGAGCCATGATGAATTTGACCAGTGCATCACGACCGTGTGTTGTCTGGCTTGCTGCGCGCATTGTCTCTTGTACCTGGTGCAGATTGGCTAGTTCGGGCATAGGCAGCAACAAACCCTGGCCATCGACGAGCTCGTCCGAAAGACCGTCGTATTCGTTTGGGTGCATTGCGAGCATGCGCTGCTGGATATCTGTGATGAACTCCNNCTGGCACACCAAACGCGTCAGCTCTGTCTTGCTCGAGGTCCGAGAAGCGATTCCAACTCACCATATCTGAGCGCATCCGTCTGCCTCCTGGAAGCTCAAAGCCATGTCGATGCCGCTTGGTTCGGTCCATACTATAAGCGTGTCNTGCGCATCGCTTGCATCAGCTTGTGTCTGGCTGCTTGGTTCGGCTGTGTGCGTGTACCCACCCTGTTGTCTCTGATAACCATCGTCGCGCGAAATTCTCGTTTCGAGTAGCATGCGCTGGGCGTCGTCTTCGGACTGGACGAAGATGCGCGCTTCATCGTTCTGNAGTAGGCGTCAGCACATTGCGAGCCGGTGTAGGGTGAGCAAGACAGCGGCGCAACTTACGGCCAAGAGCTGACCGGCGCAAAAGCCAGTACCGCGGTCGTACCAGTCATTGTTCTTGAGCTCGTAGACCTTGACGCGCTTGCGATCATTGAGCGGAGGAGCAGCAAGTGCCATCATCAATCAGATGCTGCGCACTGCCTGACTCCCACAGCCCTGGGGGCGCGTCTGGTGATGTTTCAAGCTCGTCTGCTCCTTGTGCCGTGCCGTGTCCGAGAGACGCGACGCGTGTTGTGCTGTGTCGACGGGGCTGCTTTTCGGGGTATAGCGATGATGAGGCTGATGATGGGAATGATGGCAATGCGCGGTTAGCGGCAATGGCGTGCGCGTCGAGATTTCAAGGATTCCAGAGTCGGGCGCGCCAGTGGCTATGATCGAACAAGCGCGAACGCAGGGTCGATGTTGAGATGTGGGCGTGGACCTGACTGTCGTGTGCAGCAACAGCAGCAGCAGCATCCGAGATGCTTGTCGAGCCCAGGTTCCAGTTCCAGAGTCCGAAGCACGGGCTTCGCTTCCCCTACTCGTCTTGTCTCTGTATGTCAATGGCCAACTCGAAACTACCGCGCGATATAACAAGTCGTGTTTTCTGTTACTCAGCTCATGTTTCAAGTTACACCCTCAACTTGACCAGCTCACCATCCCATCCATGCGCTGTTGTCGCTGCTCTCTTCATCTCGTCCTCGGACTTGTTCCGAAACCCTCAGCACGTCATACTTTCATGTTTCTATTTCCACCTCTTCACGTGATGCTCTTCCTCCACTGCTCAATGCTCAGATGCCCTCGGAAAGCCGCTTTCAAATTTCGCTGTCTCCGCTGCTGATCTCACAGTAGAGTGAAGTGTATTCGTCCCCATGGGTCTTGGGCCGTCTGCAGAAGATTTACGATCCACGATCGTCGACATGCCGCTCTGTCCTGCAGATGCAGAGTTTGTTTCGAGTCATTTGTTGGAAATATATACTCCGTACATCTGCACAGACTAGCAAATCCAACTTTCTTGTTTGTTGATGTGAGATGCAACCCATGTTCGACATCGGCGTCATGCATGCACTCATGCTCGTCTTCACCTTAGGAACATAACTTTGTACATACCCCGCAGCCACTGCTATGTCAGCGATACTTGTCATTCCATATTACCGAACTCACTCCATGTCTCAGTTTGTGGCTGCGGTCTCGCTCAGCATAGAGCAACCATGTGCCATACTCCTACATTGTAACGATGACTACGATGGAACGACAACGTCGAGCCTTCTCCACGTTTGCAGTGCTGGACTTCGAGGGATTCCTGGTTTGTGTCTCATCCCCAAGGTCTCGGCCACCACGTCGTACTCGAAAACCGTTGCGTAGGGCCAGGCCAGATTCCCACATGGAAACGCCAACCGCGAGCCATACCATGTTTTAAGTACCTGCGACAGCCATGACCCCACGAGTATCGATTCGGCCAGAGTGCCACTGACTGCGCCCTGAAGAAAGAGCTGACTCTTACCGCACTGCCCGACAATACCAAGCCTTTGTCCTGTTGAATTTGAATTCTTACCAAACAACCTTCAGACAAATCCTGCTGCGTGGTGTAGTGCCAGCCGATAAACCACGGCAAGTCGATTCTTTGGGCGTGACTCTATACAATTTCGACCATCTTCCTGCTCGCCAAGCGTCTCTGCAAGGGCAGGAACAATACTTTTAGTAAGCCTTAGACAATCTGCATAATGACGAAGTATATGCAAGTTACCGAGTACGTCCTAAGGTACGGACTATTGATAGATGGCCTGCTCGCGAAACACTCTTCGACAGTGCTTTGGGAGAGGCACAGCAAGCGCTCTTCCTATCAGGGCTTTACGATCATTGCTGTTCCACTCCTCTTCGTTCACAGCCCTCAGCTTCAGCTCCAAGTCCAGCTTCAGCTGTTGCACACGTGGATACGACGATTTGCATGACCACTATCGTTCTTCTCGAATCTAGCATGCGCCAGTTTCACAAGCGCCACAGTATCTGTCAAACTCTGATCACGGCCGTTGTTCCTGGATCAAGCTACCGTCTGTGCACGGTTCCTCCTCTGCTTCCCTGATGAGAAAAGTCGACGGCACGTCTGGGAGTTCGACAGCCCAAGGCTCGGTTGCCTTGCGCTTTCAGCCGGTCGTGACGATAAGAATTACAGTTTCTCAGCCATTCTTCATCATGCCAAGGCTACTGCTTCAGTGATGCTCCACAGCCTGAGTTCAGCGAATTGCTACTGTGTCTCGGATACCACTTCCACTCAACTGCAAGATCGTCATGGGCCCGCCTCCTTTTACCGGAGAGATGGAACAAACGGTATACCGGTGACCGGCGCGTGGTCGTAAAATGCGACGATGCACTCGTGTCGTGTCAATCCTGTATCATGCAGAGCTGCATACTAGGAAAACCAGGGCGCGCTCCCGCTCATGTACATGCAATCATGCTGTCCCGATTGAGCAGATTCCCAGGCATGAGCCAACCTTAACAAGACCTGATAATACCTAGCCCAATTGCCCTAGCATATTGTATGGTCCGGTCTCTGCCACCCCTGGTCACAAAGCTAGTCACTCGAGGTCGGAGGCATGTTCTTGGCCGTTGCCTACGCAGTGGATCGTCAACCTTCCGCACGTTTTGACCTTGTCCGTCAAATACCTTATTTTTGGCGCCACGCTAGATTCAGAGCCGTGCGATCAAGGTCCCTGGCTGAGCCCGGGAATCTCTCTTTGTATCCGTTCTGTGAAGTAATCAAAAGGCCGTTGTCCCACTGGTCCTCGAGGCCTGCCCTTTGGTGAACATCTCCTCTTGTCCTACTCACAGATCTGCCCAACTTCGACACCGGACACGAGATAATCTACGATATAATCCATCCTTGGAGCAAAGAACTCTTCTATTGTGACCGGCCATCATGTCCATCATCTCAAAGCTCAAGGGTGCCAAAAAGGCCGCGGACGACCACAAAGCAAAAACAGAACAGGAACCAAAGCCTACCACTGCTACTGCTCCTTACAAACATGTTCCTACTCATGCCGCTACCGATGCCATGACCAGCTCACCTGGAGGTTGGAAAGCTGAAGAGATTGCATACCAGAACAAAGCTCGTCTCAGCAGAATTGGCAGCGACTATTCCACCCGCCCATCTACTTCTTACACTTCCACATCACGATCCAACAGCAGACCAGGATTCAACAGAGCCAACAGTGATTCTTCCTTGGACTTCACATCACCCTCCCCAAATTTCTCAATGCCTGTCAGATCAACAGGCTCGTCCTTGAGGTCGGCTGCACTTTCGCGCAACACTAGCTACCAAGGTCTCGAAAAAGTTATGGAGTCCAATGATCGTGATCAGGAGCCGGTATTCGCAGCCGCATTATTGGCCAACAGATCCAAAGCATCACGCTCTCCTCGTGGTTCCACCCGAAGCTCGCTAGGCAAGAGCCCCTTGTCTAGTGTTGGTGAGTTTCTCTTGGATCAGCTGTTGTATCTCAACTAATCTCATGTCCAGAATCATCGGCCGATTCTTCGCCTGCAGAGAGTGAGAACAATTCTCCTACTGGTTCAAGCAGTAAGGCTACCCTCATAATTTCATTCTCATTAACTCTGACTGACCTCCCTGTAGGTGGTCAAATCGAACTCAGATCACCGGCGGTCGCCTATGCATCCGCTCTCGAGATTCATCCTGGACATAGAGTCAATCAAATGCCCGTAGAGAAGTCACAGCCTGAGCGCAAGTACTTCGGACACAACAAGCCACCCATGTCTGAAACCAAGGAGGCTTCTGCGCCAGCACCTGTCGTGGTTAAGAAGGAAAGGTTCTCATTCTTGAAGCGAGGCAACAGTTCTGTTGCTGCTCATTGAGATTCCTACCAGGTCTTCGGTCGTGCCTTAGGCATCTTCCGAAATTGCAAGCCGTGGACTACTCATACGACGAGCAAACGACTCCTTGCGCCAAAGGGCAACGCTTTCCACGATTCTCCTATGTTTTCGGTTCTTTTCTTATTGGATGTTTGTTGAGCGAATTGGGTTTGATTCAGGAGTTGAAGTTGTTACGACCGTAGCGACAGTTGTATATGGGTCCGGGGTCACGCTTTGAAGTTTTTAGAATGCAGGGGTGCTGCAGGCACTCAGCGACAACACGAAGCGAAGATGATACATGCAATCACGACCTCACTATTGTTTCAATGGTTCCATTATTCTCCTATGAACCGAAGGTGTAACTTCGCATGCAGATACAAAGACTGCTCCAGCCTCAACGTACCTATATGCGCATTGGTTATACAGGTTTAGAGGACGCCGCTATTGAAGTATTCGTGTTTTAGGTTTCAGGAAGCGAGCGGAGGATTCATGAATCTCGCTATCATTAGACCAGCAACCACAGTGATCATCGATAAGGCTGTTGGGACTTTCGGAGAGATGAGGCAAAACACGTGCTGAATGCATGAACCCAAGATTGTGTCAATAAAGCAAAGAGTTTGGTTCACAGGCTCGGCTCGATCTTTTCTGCAGGGCCACGAACATCAGCTCGACTCTGCTCAGCCAATCGTGCCTCAGCCCAAACTATACCAACGGCTATACCTCGAAGCTTCGCTCAACAGGGGCGAGTGGCCTTGTCATTATTGTGAGCGCTTATACGTTGACCATTCACCACTTTGGTGAAAAGAAAGGCCGAAGGGAGGATTCGCACTTGCCGCATCCCGTGCCCCCTGAAGTCGATAACGCAAGATGGCCGAAGCGAGGTGTGGATTCGAAACCTGTTTGTCTGCACAACAATCGCTGTGACCATGACTAGCATAGTAGCAACCAGCCATGTGAGGCGGGTTGAGGACCAGCACTCCGGAGTGATAGCCGCCCAATGTTTTTGAGGCTCAAAGAAGACGGCACATGCGATGGCGCGTTGTTCCCGCGCTGAATCTGTTGATGAATTTTGCACAAGTTCTGGACCTGGCTTGGCGACAGAAGGATCAAGGTGGGCCAATCAGACAAGCCTATGGGCACTATCTCATTGATTGCCTTCTGTGAAGCAGAAAAAAAATTGACAGAGCTGTTTGACTCGAACATTTACTGTCTTTCACCTCGAACACGACTAGAAGTGAAGGTGATTAGACTGGTGTATCGATTTTTGGCGTCCGTACATTCCTCCTCCGCACCCGAATTGAGTCAGACGATTGCGCCGAGCTCTGTCAGCATGAGCCATCAAGTCGAGCAGCAACATGAAATCGACCAGGCCGGCGACATCATCGAGGCTGAAGTTCCGATTGAGCGAATTACCGTAAAGACCAAAGGAACCAATACAACTCCCGAGCCTTCGACACCCAGCTCGAGCATCCACGGCAGAGTCCATGGCACTCCCGAGATTATAGATGATGGAGGAGTCGTACACCAGTACGAAGAAAGAGAAGGTGCAAAGAAGCCGCGGTTCGCATACCTCAGGACAAGAGATTTTTGGATCGTGCTCTTGCTCACCCAAATCATTGCTCTGGCCCAGACTGGAACAAACACTCTCACATCATTGATTAATGCTCGAGGCACGAGTATTCCGGCTTTCCAGACCTTCTTCAACTATGTCCTGCTGAACGTAGTCTACACATCCTTCACCATATATAAGTACGGTTTTGCCAGATGGGGCAAGATGGTTGTCAAAGATGGTTGGCGATTCTTCATATTGGCCTTTTTGGACGTCGAGGGCAATTATTTCATCGTGCTTGCCTATAAGTACACGAATCTTCTGTCTGCTCAGCTTTTCAGTTTCTGGACTGTCGTCGTTGTTGTCGTCATCTCGCTGGTCGTTCTCAAGGTTCGCTATCATCTTGCGCAGTATGGAGGAATCGTACTTGCCTGCGGAGGCTTCGCACTATTGATTGCCAGTAAGTCAAACCAAAGCTTTAAACACCACGTCTGGTGCTGGTGCTTGCCTCTGTCTGCATGATGTGTCTGCAAAATTTGCTTCGAACGAAACTTTTGCACTTCAGATCTCAGCAGAAGGCCGTGGTGCTCACCATTTGATACCATCAGACAATATTAATTCCGTCCGAAATAGGTGNATTACATTACTAAAAGTAACAACTACTCTCCTGTCAATGCCCTCAAGGGAGATCTCTTCTGCCTCCTCGCTCAAACGCTTTACGGTTTCAGCAACACCTTTGAAGAGTTCTTGGTTTCGAAACGACCCATGTATGAAGTTATTGGCCAACTCGCATTCTGGGGCATGTTCATCAACGGCGTACAAGCTGCCATCTTCGATCGCCATTCTATCCAGGAGGCACACTGGGATGGACAAATCATCGGCTACATTGTCGGCTATACTCTGTTGCTGTTCATCTTCTATTCTCTGGCACCAATCGTCTTCCGCATGTCTTCCGCGGCTTTCTTCAACATCGGTCTGTTGACAGGCACCTTCTGGNGAATTGTCGTTGGTACCCAGGTCCTGGGTTACCACATCCACTATCTTTACCCTATCGCCTTCGTTCTCATCATTCTCGGCCATTTTGTTTATTACGGCACTGAGGGTGTGCTAGGCGAGGCCAAGAAGCCATGGTTGGGAGAGAATCAAGAGCTTGGTGAATCTGGTCTTGGAACAGCTCGTCGCCGTGCCGAGCATCCTAACGCCATCGTCTGATCGCTTGACGTTGCAGAGCCTTGAATCTTATGGTCGCTCTCATCCTCTTTGGACATATTATAGTTAATGCTTTGCTTATATCTTGATACCGCACCTATGACTTATGACTCTGCTTCCAACTTCTTTTACGTTTTTGTCTGTCATGACGGTTCCTCCCTCACTTTTCATGCTGCCAGAGTGCTCTTGCCCTGATCACTATCCAGAAGGTTTCTCTATCAAGGGCTTCTGACAAAACACAACATTGACATGAGTTTGACGACAGAAACTACTGGTCATCTTTTTGCTCGTGTAATATGCTAATCTTGGTATCTACTTTCCATGTCAATATACAATCTAGAGAAGCAAGGTCGTTCAATCAAGGTTCAGTCTCGAGGACATCCAAAAGAACTTCGAGTCTACCCAGGCATTCGGACATCGCCAGTTGAGCCATCTGAATCGCATGTCAACCTAGATTCTAATATCGTGATGGCGTTGATCGGACGACTCTTGTGAGACAGGGTCGTCTCTACAGTCAGCATCTGTCGACAGGGTCACCCTGAGCAAGGATCCTCATGGTCTTTCTGCATTGTGATAGACTCAATATCTTTCCAAGACATCCGAGCCAGTCGAGGTAAATGGTCTCAGGATTTTATTGGTTCTATCACAAGTCTCAGACGTGGAGAGCTTTGGGAGTGATGCTTATCGAATGATCAAACAAGATTAGGTCTCTGATTTTGACGTCTGATAGTTTTTGTTGTTAGTGTGTATCTCGCGCTTTGAGCTTGTAAAGTAGCAGGAGTGATATAGTGTGGTTAGGGCAAGAGCATATAAGAGAAGAGAACGAAGATACAGCTTGATCGTGAAAGGAGAGGGACAACTTGAGCTCAGAAGGCAAGGAAAGACTCGATTCTACAAGTGCCGGTCAGTATCGATGAAATTGGGCCGCTCTGTTACGCAAATACATTGCTTGATGTGCAAGGTCCTATTCAATCATCCATCGTGACATGAGCTTGGTCAACGGAAATATGATTAATTTGCTGGTTGAAGGGGTGCCTGACTTTAGTTGTTGTTTCCTTATTTTGCGGCTACAAGTTTCGTTCACGCCTTCTAATACCAAATCGCAAGTTCACACAAGAGAGGAGGAAATATGACTGTACTTAGGGTGTGTGGGGGACCTTGATCCTTTGGCTCCTAGGAGCATCAATTCTAAGTGAGATGTTCACTGCATGTGCTTCCATGGCTTTTTTGATCAGGAGTGCCAAAGTCGTTGACGCAAGCCAATCGTTTCTTGCGCCAGCCGCAACAGAGACTCGGCTCATACACATGACAGACTATAAAGCAAAGCGGTCGCTGTTCTAACGTCCAACGATTGCTATGGTCACACCAAGCTCAGCCTTCACGGGTGAAAGTCGCAGGGTGGGCCATCGCTGCTCGCTCGGCGTCTTGCCAGACCGGACATCAAAGACGCGAGGTTTCGACGGATCTTCTCAGCCAATGTATGTTGCTGCTGCACTAGCTTCTGCCCCTACCTCATGAATTGGTTGCAATAGTAGCACTTGCATCGGTTTTGAAGTTTGTATTTGTCTGCAGTACATTCTTTGCTGCACACGATCTAGTGTAGGAGGACTTTGCAAGTGATGAAGACCAAACCGGTCTCCCCCCTTTGCAGCAGCCCCGATGTTTTTTATGGCAATTCACGTACTCGTGGGAATGCTGCTTCTGGGCGTGTGTTCAGTCCCCACTCCCTGTGTTGGTCAATTCTTTCTTCATGCCTCGCCTCTGCATATTTTTGACGTTGTGTCTGTATTTGCCCGTACATCCTTTTCTCAAACTTCGTGTCGTCTACCAGTCCAGTGGGCCTTGAGCTGTTTGAAGCATGAGCAACTTTCGTGTTGCTTGTGAGACATGCATGAAGCGTCGTGGTCCTGGTTTGTAAACTTCTAGGTCGGACGTGTGTGGGATATCTTCGTATTTCTAATGACCTTGGCTGCAAATGTTGTTATCAAGATGTGTCGTGTTGTCTGTTGGAATGGCTTAGACTTTGAATGTGCCCTTGTGAGTTGAGGTTGGGTATCATCTCCTCTCTCATCACGTTGTGACCCGTCTTGGGGTGCCCATCGCGTCGGCTAAGCTACAGATCTTCCACTGCATGACTTCAAACGGATGAAAACAGTCAGAGGACTTTTGCCCAGACTTAGAAAGTCTTTCGAACATCCTTGGCAGGTACAGAAGCCGTTTGACGGTGCAAAGGTCGGGTGCTGAGGCCTGGAATTCATGCTTGCATGACGTTGCGGTCGGGCCGAGTTGGCGTTTATGGAAAGGTATCTTATCGATCGCCTAACTGCAGGTCAGTTGTTTTGCGTCGTGTCGCTGTTGATGTCACCAAGTGGTTGTGAAGTTTCAACCTAAGAGTCGACCACATCTCCCATCATACTCTATTCTTGGACAACAGACAGAGTTCCAAAAATTCCTGAAACTTCATAGCCATCATTGTGGGATATTGATGTTGCGAAGCAGCGTGGCTTTGCAGCTACAAATTTGAAGGTCCTCCAACTTCCACTTGCGCTCGGGACAAGATCTGGCACGACCAGAAACTGTTTGTGCACTGCTCAAATCGGCATTGCAGACGCTGATCGTTGCGATCGAAAGCGGTAATGCATCACGCGGAGACTTTCCGTCATGATCGCAGAGGTCCAAATGAAGGCACCCATTGTAGCGTGTGACTTGTATCAAAGGTTCAACAACCCTGCTTCAGTTTGCACGCGTGGACGAAGTCGCTCTCACAAGACATCCATATGAAAAGTGGACGGCGGGGCGTGAACTCCGGGCAGACCGGGATTACCTGGAGGAGGGAGCTGACGAGTACGGGAGTATTGTGGGCCCGTGGAGTAATCGCGGTAGCGTTTGTGCGGAGAGAAGGAATCTGCATTTGGCCATCGTTGCGGGAAAACAAAGGAACGAGCAAGTTATGAACAAAGAAGAGAGCTCACGGAGCGCAGGAAGAGACTCCCTGTGCTTCCGGCCGGCAGCCACGGCTAATGTCGTCGTGGGCTCGCGAGTCAAGCTACGCAGAGTCTGAAGCCGCTGCTCAAGGCCTCGAATGCAGAAGTATATTCATCATCTGATGACTCACAGGCAAGCAAGACTCGGCAATAAGCCCCTTGTGTAGTGCTGAACAGAGAGAAAACGTGTGTACGCTTCGATCGGTGATGCCATACAAGGCGTGACAGACGCGATGTGGTATCATACACTCAGGACAACGCTTCATCTCTCTGTGCTCTGAGCAGCGCGTAGTCAAGGTCCATGCATGTCGGTTAGTTACGGCCTCTTTTCTCGTGCGTAAACATGGAAGCCATTAGTTTACGGGAATCAGTAGCTTGCGGGCGAGCGAGTGGAGAGGTCGAAACCGCGCGCAGTCTGGACTGCGAATCAAGTCGACACGAGTTTTGCCGAGAGGCCAAGTGCGGACAAGGGTCTTCTGGAGAAAGCGCCAACCCTAACCATCACCCACTGCGTCGTGGCCGCTTCCAAAGATGTCATGCGTCCATTCGACCAAAATTGCGAATTGCTCCACTTCTCCAAGGCCACTGAGCGACTGATGAGCCAAGGGGGGTCACAAGTAGCCCGTTTTAACTTGCACCGTTGTGTGCGTGGACAAGAGTCTCCTCGAGTCTACTTTTGCATACTAAATCCACCTTGCTCTCCCTCTTGAAATCCTTCAGATTCAATTACACTTCGACAGATCTGCACACGCAGCCTTCGTCTTCTCCTTTGACACCGCCTGCTGTACCTGCAGCAAGTACTTGTATTGTCCCGGATCGACGACGCCTTCTATTGGCAGCCCTTATCGGCAAAGACCCTCGCTTTCTTTGATAAAGAAAGAAGCCTCACCGCTGCAGCAGTAGCCACCATTGACGGGTACGCATCTCTGTCTCTGTTATTTGTTTCTGCCCGCCCTAGGAATGAAATTTGCTTGTCGTCGAGCATCGAGCAGATGGACTGGGATCTGCTCGTCAGCCGTGTTTCCGATTCTCTGCAAAGCCGATTCAGGGAGCCCGTTCTGACACATTCAACGACAGTTCGATTTTGGGCGACGACTATCTTCAGCTTCTACATAGATAAGGACGCACGCTCCTCAGCAAGGCGCGCCCTATCTGTGTTCAGTGCTGTAAATACCGCTGTTTGCTTGGATACACCTTGCCTCGGCCACCCTCGGCTTAACTTGCATGTCAACCACATTCGTTTTACCATAAATCGCGCTCCTGTCCTCGTCTGATAAAGATGAGTCCTCCGCAACAAAATGCGCGCAATCAGACGTCCACCACTCGTCGAGCTGCAACTACACACACCCGCACGCTAAGACCTCCTCCCCCACCGGGTCCCCGAAAGAATAGCCACTCGGGTCATTCCAAANAGAGTCTTGCCTGCACAAAGAACCTTGTTACCTCTAGCAAGAACCACAACAAGAACGAAACAGCTATCGCGGCCGAGGACGAGGATATGGCCGGCCTTCCGCAGTTCTGGTGAGCACACATTGTCATCGCTTGTCCTAGCTCCACTAACCCATCTCNNAGTGCTACTTGCGAGAAGCAAATCCTCACACCTGCTTGCAACTCGATCTTGTATTGCTCAGAGAGCTGTCGCCGAAAGGACCACAACAAGCCTCTCAGTCATTCCATCTTGCCATCGGAACCTTCGCCGCAGCCAACCACCCCTCGCAGCTCGTACTTCTTCGATGACCATCAGCCCGAGATCCTTCCTATGCGATCACCAACTGTTGTTCGCCCTCCATCCTTGGCCTTCTCGGATGATAGTTTCGACCTGTCTACCAGCGAGGAGCAACCCAAATATCGTCGCAGTGAGAGTGATGGTTCCCGCTGGCTCTCGCAATTTCATCATAACTCTGGCGACCACAGCCCTCGTCGTGCGAGCTATGATCCGTATACGCCGTCACTGTCGCATACTCCAACCTCGCTTCTGAGTACTGTCGGATCGTATCTGTCTACTCGTCCACTTCCAGGCCGCAAGAATCCCTACAGTGCATCTTTCAGTTCTCTCTCGGTTGATCTCGTGACGCCGGTCGTCAATGCCGAGTCACTGACCGCAACAACCGATCTCAGTCACCAGAGCGCGTCTCTACGCAGTAGTGCAAGCACCAGCACGGCGTTCCGTGTCGTTGAGGGAGAGATGACTTATGGCAATAAGGATTACGACACTTCGCCTAGCAAGGGCAGCCTTCGACAACTTTTCTTCCACGAGGCTATGCAGGCTCCTCCTAAAAACGAGTAGCATGCGTTGATCCTCTTATTTCCTGTTTTGCATATTATCGGTTTTAATTTTACGAGGTTTATGACGGATACAAGGTTATGGAACAATCTCTCGCCACATTGACGTAAAAAATAGCATCAGCATAAGGATATCTCGAAAGTCAAAAGCTTTGGCTCAGGTCCTTGGGAGTTTGGAAGTGGGAAAAGTGTTTTACTTAGCAGCCTTACGAAAAGATAGTGTCAGCTTGAGTGATAACGTTTGTCATTTGACTATGTTCAGCAATCACAGACTGTAGATTGAAAGCTGTTATCAGCGAAAGCACAGCAAGTGATCAGTCTCTGTCTAAGGCCTTGTCTATATGTCAAAAGTGTCTAGCACTGAAGGCACACAGGTAGCGCTTCGAGAAGAGCTAGGATTTATGCAACAATGTACAAAACATGCAAATGCAAATTTGGTCCGTGCAGACGCGCCTCTGCCGAAGCATTCTCGATTGACTGAAAGCATATTTTATATTCTGTTCAACTCTGACCAATGCAAAATGCAATGCGGAGGGTAGTCATAACAGGCCTAGGAGCTGTTACTCCTCTTGCCGTTGGTGGGTCGAAACAGCATCACATCTCTGCCCAACGATATACTCATCGAATTTCCANNGGTGTTCGGCCGACTTGGAAGCGACTGATTGATGGACACTGTGGAATAGTAAACATCAAAGACAGAGATCTAAAGTTTGCCTCTCTACCATCGCAGGTTGCCGGTGTCATTCCTCCTGGTCTCAAAGTCGACGGCGGATGGCAATCCAAAGAATGGCTACAGCTGNGGCGTGAGCAACGCGCACTTCATTACTCGTCAATGATATATTGATTATGAATTCAGGATGATCGAAAGATGGCATTGTTTGCACAATATGCCATGGCTTCGGCACAAGAAGCATTGCAAGATGCGAACTGGATGCCTCAGTCCGAGGAAGATCTTCAAGCCACGGTACGTGAGCAGTATCCGTGTCACAACAAGAAGTAACACTAAGTTTGATCACAGGGCGTCTATATCGGCTCTGGTATAGGGAGTCTGGATGATGCCTACAATACTGCTGTAGAATTCGAANAAGGGAGTACGTCAAAAGTTGATTTCTTTCGTGAAAACAAGACCCTAATACCATCATAGGGCTACAAGAAAGTATCGCCATTGTTCGTACCCAGGCTCTTGATCAATCTGGCCGCAGGTCACATTTCAATGAGATACGGGTTCAAGGTGCGTCTCATCCTATTCCAATCATGCCTAATTGCCTAGACTAACGGTAGANAGGGCCCTAATCATGCAGCGACAACGGCCTGTACAACAGGAGTCCATGCAATTGGTGACGCTGCCCGTATGATCACCTTCGGAGATGCAGATGTTATGGTTGCTGGAGGCGCAGAGTCTTGCATCCATCCACTTGCCGTTGCTGGGTTTGCTCGCGCCAGAAGTTTGGCTACGGATTGGAACGACAACCCTCAAAAGGCTTCAAGACCATTCGACAGATCGAGAGCAGGTTTCGTGATCGGCGAAGGAGCTGGTGTTGTAGTGCTTGAGGTGGTATTGCATATATCGCATGTTATGATGCGATATGTTTTAATGACGAATCGATATGTTCTAATCATGCTCGTCATATAGGAATTGGAGCACGCAAAAGCACGTGGTGCCTCTATTTATGCTGAAGTCAGAGGCTATGGTCTCTCTTCTGATGCACATCATATGACCGCTCCTCGAGAAGACGGCCAAGGCCCATATCTCGCCATGAAACGCGCTCTAAAGCAAGCCGGCATCAAACCTGGTAGTGTCGACTATGTGAATGCTCATGCTACATCCACCGTACTTGGTGATGCTGCCGAGAACCGTGCAATCAAGACTTTACTGCTCGGCGAAGATGGATATACGAGTGCTGGTCAGGTCAATATCAGCAGCACCAAAGGTGCAGTGGGCCACTTGCTGGGAGCTGCTGGAGCTGTAGAGACCATATTTACTGTTCTCGCTTTACAGAATGTATGTACTGGCCCAACAATCTGACCGAACCGAACTGACCAAACACAGAACATTCTGCCACCGACATTGAATCTCGAACAGGCCGGAGATCCTGCAACGGATTTTGATTGCAACTATGTCCCAAATACAGCTCAAGGCTGTAATGTGCAAGTCGCTTTGTCCAATAGCTTCGGGTTCGGGGGAACAAACGCAAGCATCTGCCTAAGCAAATACCAAAAGTAGATATGACTGGATGAGTTTCTCTAGCTTGAGCCGAAGCTTCAAGTGTTTACTTCTATGAAAAAATGAACATGTCAACCTGACGACTTCTTATTGCTCGATGGAAACTGTCAAGCCTCAGTAAAGAGCGGCGCGCCCCAGATTCGCCAGCGGGCCGGCGCCCACCCATGCCCCACCTGGTTGATAAGTGACGGGAACTCAAGTCATATTTATATCATGATTTTCTCTTCTCTGTTTGCTCCTTTTCTCCCAAGAAAAATCAAGCCGAAGAGATTCCTGGTCGAAGGAGTAACGATGTCGTCTCAAGCCGAACCTTTGATGGTCGGCCCAGGAAATGAGGGCAGCCAGAACGCTATTTATCTTCGGCTTAAAAGCAAAGGCAAGCACTACCATGCAAAGATCCCAGTATTGAAGCGCTTGCCATTCCCTTCCATTGCAATCATTTCGTTGCTGGTTGTCGTAAATATCTTGGTATGGATTGCCGTTGGCATAGTCCNNTTGTGAGTCTGCTCGAGAATGATTATACGTATATGGCTCCTAATCTTTTTTTTTTCCATAGAGCTATCATACGTAAGAATGTGATACTGCAAGGAAGCAATATAATATTGATCATTGATCAGGTCTTTGGTCTCCACTGCCGTACTCTCGTATTCTCTTGGTTTGAGACATGCTCTTGATGCAGATCACATATCGGTATCTAACATCCGAATTCTCAAGTGCGAACCATCAATTGACACTGATAGGNCAATTGATCTTATGACTCGGCGCCTGATCGCAACTGGACAGCGCCCCGTCACAGTCGGCACATTCTTCTCATTAGGGCACTCGACGTACTCCAATCATATACCCATTCTTTCCAAACCAAGCATACTAATTGNNGTGAACAGCATCGTTGTGATAACCTCAATCGTAGTAGCTTCAACCGCTGCAGCTGTCTCTTCACGATTCGGGGCCTTCTCTCGAGTGGGTGGCATTATTGGAAGCAGCGTCTCAGCTACCTTCTTGATCGTGCTTGGAATCATGAACGTTTTCATTCTATACAAACTCATCAAACAACTTCGCGAGATCATCAACTCTCCTGCCGACTCACCTGAGCCTGAATTCCAGATTGAAGGCGGAGGTTGCCTTNTCCGCGTGCTTAAGAGGATGTTTAAGCTCATCGATCGGTATGCCATTACTCGAACGAGATATAAATTAGGTTGAAGCTGATTGATTATGCAGTNNCCATGGAAAATGTATCCACTAGGCGTTATGTTTGGTCTAGGATTCGACACTTCGTCAGAAATCGCATTACTGGGCATCAGTGCCATCTCAGCCAGCCAAGGAACCTCGTTCTGGCTCATTCTCTTGTTCCCTGTTTTGTTCACTGCAGGAATGTGTTTGTTAGACACTACGGATGGTGCTCTTATGATGGCTCTATACACATCAACACGTCTGGCAAAGGACACCATCGCGGTGCTATACTACCAGGCTGTTCTCACTGGTGTCACTGTGATGGTGGCCGTAGTCATCGGTGTTATTCAGTTCCTTGGTATGCTGCAAGGAGCGGCCAATCTCGAAGGTGGATTCTGGGACGGTGTTGAGGTTGCGAGTGACAACTACGACATTATTGGTAAGTTGTTCCTGTTTCAAGACTGCATATAAGCTAAATCAATCTTAGGTGGTGCTATATGTGGTAGCTTCGTTGTCTTTGGCGTTCTGAGTGCTATTCTCTATCGCCCATGGAGAAAACGTGTGGACGAGAAGCGAAATGCCCTTGTCAGACCATATGATGGAGAGCAGTTTGATCTGACAGAGTCGGCCAATACTGAAGGTACCCATGGCGAACCGGAACTCATCCAAGAGGAGGTGCCAGTACCATACGTTCGTTCAGACAGGAAAGGAGATCATGTCGTATGATCGAGTTTATCGGGCGGGCAAAGATCGTCTCCACTACGAGATCAGCAGTACTTCGATTGTACCTCGTGTATCAAAGCATGTAACGCATGTGGCTATCAGAATGCATAATACTCTGAAGAAAAAACAGTGTAGTGCCCACTGAGAGGCGGTTTCTTATCAGCTCTCTTTGGCCATGTCTTTGGGTTTAAATGAGATTGTGCATTCTTATAGCATGTGATTTATTCTCTGCTATAGTCGGAGTAATGGAAGTTGCATTCTTTAGCACACGGGGAGGCTCTAATGTCTGATACTGTAAGCCATTCACATTCAGTTTAGAACATCTGGCACTGCTTCAATGCCATCCTTGACATAGCGCTGTACAGTATCCGCCTGCTCCGCATAGAATTTGTGCATTGTCTCGTCATTCACGTAGCCCATGTGAGGTGAGAGAACAACAAGAGATCGACCATCTTGTCCCCAGGATGTGGTACGCCATGGGCTTTCCAGAGGAAGAGGTTCCACGTCAAAAACATCCAATGCTGCACCTCTGATGGCACCTCGATTGAGTGCATCGAGCAGGGCCTTTTCATCGATCAGAGGACCTCGAGAAGTATTGACCAAGATGGCATTCTTCTTCATCATGGCAATCTCGGCTGCGCCGATAGTTCCCNNCCTGCTACGATCCGAGAGCACATAGTGCATACTGATGACGTCTGCTGTCTTGAGCAACTCTTCCTTGGTTACGGCTCTGATGGAACCTTTTGGAAGACCTGCTTTCTCCGCTGCCTCGTCTGCTTTCTCTTGAGTCAGATTTGCACTCCAAGAGATGACTTTCATTCCCAAGCCAAGAACAGCTGTGCGAGCAGCATTTGTACCCAGCCTTCCAAGACCAACGGCTCCATAGACTTTGTTGGAAAGAGTAAAACCAAGTCCAGTCTGGAATGGGCCACCCGAGTGCAATGCGGCATCCTCGATTGGTATGCGTGAGGCAAGAGCAAGGATGAGTGCAAAACAATGCTGAGTAGTGGCATCGTACTCGGGTGATGGCGCGACGAGCGAGGGAAGCTCTGAATGGGTGATATCACGAGTACCTGGAGCAGTAGCGACAACGATGCCGAGTTCTCTCGCGGCAGCCATATCAATGGCACGATTACGCTTCGCTGTCGTGATCAAGAGTTTCAAATTGGGCAGTGCAGCAAGCAGGTCTCTTGGAAATGGAGTGCGTTCACGCATGGAGCTGATGATGGGATACTGGCCAAGACGAGCAGCCAGCGCTTTTATGTTTTCTGGGCTGTTCGGTGGTATAGTGTCAGGAAAGCTGTCGACATTGAGATGCTGAATATGCTTGAAATAGATGGGAGCTATGCCCGCGTAATCGTCCAAGATGGCAAGAGAGGTCATTGTGTGAGAGCTGAATCGGAGAATGCTGGAGGAAGGATGGCTTCAGAAGGTAGATTTGAGCGAGACAATCGGTTCTTACGCATACGATGATGTGCTGAGGGGCCACAGCTTGCCCCGGATGCTGGTAGCGGTATATACGAGATGCCGCATCATGTCAATGCTACAACTATGATAGAAAGACGTGCGACATGGGTGAGTCAAAGCAGACGACACTGAACATGTTAGTCTGGCAATGATACAGGATGCGAGACAAAATAGCTTCTTGACAACAGACAAACTTGGAAGGCACCAAGGCATGTGAAAGTGAGTGACGGCTTGGCATGCAAACGCATCGACGCGAACTCCACACAGCGAGTCGCGCGAGCTTCTATACCTTGTTACTCCGAGTAGCTTCCATTCTTACGACATCCTCGCCGGCGACCATGGGATCTCTGTTGCAGTTGTCGGACGTCGCCGACTTGATTCCACGCCGTGATGCTAACGACTTCCGGGAAAGAGTCAAACACCTGCTCGGCCGCTCATCGACTCACTTTCCAGGCGCCCAGCCAGTGAGCTTTTCGCGCCGTCATTTCAGAGACTTGCAAGACACGGATTACTATCTCTGCGAAAAGACTGATGGTATCCGCTGTCTCCTCTACTTCACTACCTTCACCGACGGCAACAATCACCTCGAAGCTCACATGCTCATCGATCGCAAAAACGACTACTACAACATCGACAACGAACACTTCCACTTTCCCTTACCCGACGGTCCCGACGCCAGCTATCACACAGAAACACTTCTCGATGGAGAACTTGTTTTGGACACGCTACCGAACGGGGAACAACAGAAGACGTATCTGGTTTTCGACTGCCTTGCTGTCGATGGCAAGTCTCTACAACAGCGCACTCTCGACAAGCGACTGGGATATTTCCATGAGTCCGTACTGAAGCCCTACAACAAACTCTTGAGTCGATACCCCGAGGAGAAAGAGCTGCAACCTTTTGTCATCACTGCAAAGAAGATGGAAAAGGCCTACGGTGTCATGATGATGATCAAGGACGTTTTGCCAAAGTTGCCACACGGTAGCGATGGTCTGATTTTCACTTGTCGCACCTCCCNNCCCTATACCAGCGGCACAGACCCGAAGATAATCAAATGGAAGCCACCCCATGAGAATACGATCGATTTCCGGTTACAGATGGGCAAGTTTCCCTCCATCACAGAGGACGGCCAGACTTTTACAGACTACGATGCTTGCCCACCCATGGATTTGTTAGTGTTCCACGGCGACAGGAGGAACGAAGTGTTCGCAAAGCTTCATGTGACTGAAAGTGAGTGGGAGAGCATGAAGGGCATGCAACAGATCCTGGATGGACGAATTATCGAGTGTCATAAGGACGAACAAGGTCGATGGCGTTACAAGAAAGAGCCGAATGGCGAGCCGCGCTTCAGAGATGACAAGACGGAAGCCAACCATATCACCACGGTCGAGAGCGTTTTGGAGAGCATCGAGGATGCGGTAAGCGAACAAGATCTATTGGACAATGCCAAAATGATCAATGCGCATTGGAAGAGACGCGAGGCCGAGGCGGCAAGACCGCAAGCAAATGGCGTGCCACGGTAGAAGAGCTCCTACAGGACATGATGATATGACGATTGGGGAAGAAACGATTGGTGATTTGGAAAGGCGATTCGTTCTATGGTTGCAGACGTTCAAAGATACCCATTTACGGCGCGGCGTCAGGTAGTGCCAAAGCAAAGAATATGATGTTAATACACGACATCGAGTCGAGAGCAATGAAGAGATTGGAGTGCAAGAATGTAGAGTAGACAGACTTTCATGTGCTTGAAGACGCCGCCGCGGATTTGTGGAGAAGTCAGTCCAAAGTCCAAGCACGGCGTAACTAACGACAATCATCATCGATCCACGACAAACCCAAGTTCAAGCTACCGATTGTTTTTCAAAATCCTGTGTCTGAAATTCACAAATATCCTGCCGGAACGGACCATTCTCAACAGCCAGATTCATCATCCAGACACAGTCTTGCCGCTCTCATTATCTGCCCAGCCCCGCCATCAACACCTGTTAACACATCCTCGGCCGAAACCATCACCTTGATCCAAGAAAGGCAATACCAGCTGCCCGACAATACGAAAGACGCGCCGTCGTTTTATCTGGCTCAAGGCCACGAGTTCACTCCACGATCAGACAGCGAGAAAGGAAGGCGGCGAACCAAAGTCAAAAGCTGGGTGATAGGTGGGGACGGTGGATCGAGAGGCAAGCAAGAGTTCTGTTCTAGTGGTGAGTGGAGGGGCAGAGAGTAGATGGATCCGCAAAGTGTGGCCTTTGTTCCGCACAGCGACTCCTGGCGCCTGTGCAACGACTTGCTGCGACTGCAGCAGGTCCAGCAAGACCACACCGACCGTCTTCTACGTCTTGAGCGCCGCCAGGACGACGACGCCAGGATGAAGTCGGTCTGGGGTGCCTCCTCTCCCTTTCCTAGCGTCCTGAGTGGTACTCCTCAGCAGACTCCCATCCACCACCTCAAGGACTTTGACGATGAACCTGTCAACCTGATTGGCAGCCTTCACCTGGACCCGGATGAAGAGCCTCGTCGCACTGGTGCAACTTCTCGTGCCAACAGCGTGCGCTTTGATGAATCTGCCAACCAAGGCCACTGGGCCCATGCCTCACGATCCTCGATTGATTTCCTTCCGCGCAGCACAAGCAGTTTGGCTGGACTCGGCATGACCGAAAGAACTTCATCTCACAAATCTGACGGCCGTGCCAGCTCAGTACATTCAGTCAGGTCCGCTGCCTCGGGTCGTGCCAGTAGCATCAACCTAGACACGGGCTATGCCTCTCCTGTTGACACACCAGCCATCGCTCCTGGCCTACTAATTCTGGGCCCTGTGCCGGCCATTGTACGTTGTTGGGTGAACAGAAACTTCAAGCATGACGCCTTGCTGTATGCTGCCGTGTCCACCGCTTCTTATAGGTCTCAAATTGACGAGCGTCTGGTCCAGCATCTAGGACTGGAGGACTGCATAGTGGAGAGCGCTTCTGGCGCGAGGTCACTTGCTCTGTCTGTCTACTTTGCCGAGGCCATTCCACATCCCATCTCAACAAGGTCAAGTAGTCCAGCGCCACAGGTTCCTTCAGTCACAGTCGACTTCAGCATAGTCGTCCCTACGCAATCAGATCTTGACTCCAAAGCCATCCAGATCGTTCTCGGCAGCGATGTGCTTCGATCACATAGTGCTGACATTTTATTTTCATCCAACAGCATGACTCTCCTTGACGACGACCAATGCAAATTATCCATTCCTTTGGTTCGCCCTGAGAATGAGAACACCTTCAACTCGTTGTTCATCTCCTCTTTGCAGCCCACGAAGCCCCGAGAGGTGATGCCTGAAGAACAGTCTCAACTTAATGGACTTGGTCAGACGGAACCAAACACGCCATCACATGAATTGATGTTTGACGATGAACCTCTACAACCAACCACCCACACTATTGAGAAACCAATCGAAAAACCAGTGGCTGAAGAAGACGTCAGCAATAACAGGCTACAACCATCTGCTTCCAAAAACTATTCGACTAGAGAACAAGGATATGAGCTCCACACAGGGCCCACCAGCTGCACCGCCGACTGCCTCTCCCTCTATATGGAGCAATTGGCGTCGCGAAACATCGAGCCAAAGCAACAATCCCGAAGCGGGAGGTACTGCATCCAAAATCAAGGACAGCGGCTATCAAAGACGAGATGCCGGCATAAAGGTTTTGAGGCCAACGAGAAGCAGTGGGCGTACATTCTCAAGTGGATCGGTAGCATCATCGCCCGCTGGAGAAGGAAGATCGCGTTACTTCGATGACGGGAAGAAGAAGCTCTCAGATACTGTTGCGGGCGATGAGAAGGCGACAAGAGTGACGGGAGACAATTCGGTCGAGCCTGTAACGAGCAAGACGAGGAGCAACCCAGCGGGTGGAGCTTCAGCTTTCTCGTGGCTACACTCAGGAAACAGAGCCTAGGGCAACGATCGCAGCATCAAGTGCGGTTCTATGTTCGCAATGCAGATCATCTCCTTTCGAAACCAAGCAGAGAGTATGTCAAAACAAAGCAAGTTTATTAATGGTTAATCAATGACTCATGAATGATTGTTGTGACTAAGAAGCTCGATGACAGTCTGTCTCGGTATTGAGGCCATGCAGCGACATAGCTGCGACAACCTCCGTAACTCCCACAGTACTTCGACTATAGCTAAGAGCAAAATACAGACTATAAAAAGACATGAGTGTTTTCGGAAGTCGAGGTATGTCCACAGAGAGTCGGCAAATTGATGCTTCTCCATAGGCACTGTCTTATTCCCTATTACTATAATGCAATTCTATAGCCATACGCGTTCACTTTAGCATACAGGGAGGAAGTGAAGCAATAAGTTGTCTGTTTGTTTCTGCAATCACATCTTGGACAAACGAAGAAGTGTAATCATCGTGACACTCCGGTGCAGATCACGTCTCGTTCAAGCCACACCCCAGGTACCGGAGGCAGATCAAAAATCTACGTCAGGAAGCAAAGCCCGCGTGGTCGCAGCACAATTTCCATCTCGTTAGCACCAGGACAATCATCGCGGGACGTCTTGTCGCTGTCTTTCCACGTCTCTTCCTTTGATTGAAACGAGCTGCCCTCTAGCGGCGGCTCACCCAGCGTCAAGACGGCGTCCTCAAAGAAGCAGAAAGTCGCCCACTCTGCCGCAGACGATCCGAGACACGCATACCATCACTCTGTGCATGACCCTGACCGCCAGCCTTCGTCGCCGCAATCTTCGTCCTCGCCTTCAAGCAACCAAGCAGGCCACACTCCTTCGTCGCCGCCGCCGCGCTATATTCCTCCCCACCTGCACGCCGATTCACGAGGCAGCTCCCCGAGCGACGCCTACGCTCAGCTGAACTTGGCCGAAGACATGTCCCACTCCAGCAACCAAGGGGACGCTGATGCCCCCATTCCGACCCAACGCCCTGCCTCGCCAGCCAAGAGATCTGCTGCTACTATGGAAGGCATTGAGTCTGCCCAAGACAACACCACAACGGACGCACCGTCAGATGCTCCTCCTTCATATGATGCCCACCAACAGGACGCCAGTCCAGCAGCCACACCGGGTATCGATGAGCAGGTTGCGCACATCCAGTCTCTACTCAACACACCACTAGAAGATGGTTCAAAAGGCTTCATTGTCGCTTCTAAATGGTTCAATCGCGTGGTGGCTAGAACAGAAAGCGCAAACAAGAAGGATTATGATGCCGACATGTTGCAAGGAGAGATTGGCAAGATCGACAACTCTTCTATCGTTGCTCTTGGTAAGTGCATTGCTGCCACCACGTCAGGTTATGGCTAAAGTTGGAGCAACAGGTGCTTTCGAAAATCCTCCCACTTTTCCAGCCAAGCCCGACCAGCATTTCATCCCCCTGCGCTCCGATGTAGAAAGAACCATCGACTACGAGATCTTCACCGAGGAAGCATGGCGTCAGGTCGTTGCATGGTATGGCATCATGGACGATCAAAAACCCATCATACGTTTTGCACACAACTCAGCACCCCAGGGGGCATCATCTGCTCACATTGTATACGAGGTCAACCCACCGGTCTTCACTATACGCAAAGTGCCCAGCACCCAGCAAACTGCTCAACTCGATGCTGCTGCCGTCAAAGTGGTGGCATCGCGTATTGAGCGCTTTCAAAGCTTCCTCGCTCGCGCAAAGCAAGCTGCTGGCATTCCTTTGCAACACAAGGTCAAGATATTCAGACAGTTAGATCCTACAAAAATTTCTGGAGACATGCCCGACATTGCTCAGCCAGGCATCCCGAGCCCCCCAACTTCGAGAAATCCTTCGCCATCACCCTCCACTTCCAAACTCATCATTGAGAACTCAGTCTTTGCCAAATGGACGGAGGGTACCAATTTCGAGTCCATCGATGGCCACGATCACACTGCAAACGACAAGTATAACGGAAAACTGAATCTGGAGACACTAGGCTTGATTTCCAATCAGGTTCTGATACTGGAGGAGCAGCAAAGGGCGCAGAGTTTGCTTCAGATGTGGCTAAGAAAGGCAACAAGAACAATTCCCAGCTGTCTCAAACAGAGAGTGCCAGTAAACGCACCAGCCCTGCTCCCACAGCTCCCGTCACGCGTGGACGTGTCCGTAAAGATGGCAGAACCCGTGGTACTATTGGTCTGATCAATCTTGGCAATACGTGCTACATGAACTCGGCCCTGCAATGCATAAGTAGAGTTGAGGAGCTGGCCGTCTACTTCCTCCATCAAAAGCACAAGCCTGAGATCAATGCTGACAATCCGCTTGGTTACAACGGCAGAATTGCAAATGCCTACGCCAACTTCTTGGCTGGGCTTTACAGCGATAACGCCACTTCTGCTTACCGACCCAATGGCTTCAAGGGTGCTCTTTCCATGGCACAGCCAATGTTCTCGGGCTATGGCCAGCAAGACTCGCAGGAGTTCTTGAGTTTCCTTGTCGATGCTCTCCACGAAGACCTCAATCGCATTCACAAGAAGCCGTACATCGAAAACCCAGATTCGGATGACAAGACCGTCCATGATCCGGAGGCTGTCAGGCAGCTTGGCGATACATACAGGGCGAACCACCATGCCCGTAACGACTCCATCGCTATGGATCTTTTCAATGGGTTTTACAAGAACACCATGGTCTGTCCTGACTGTGAAAAAGTCAGTGTGACCTTCGATCCTTATTCCCTTCTGACACTGCAACTGCCTATTGAGAACACTTGGCAAGCAAAGATCATGTTCATGCCCGTCACTGGGTACCCTTCGGCTTTTGAAATTGATGTTGAGAAGAACATTTCTATCAGAGCACTTAAGGACATCTTTGTTAGTAAGATTGGCCGTGGACTCACTCGCGAAAAACTCATCTTTGCCGAGATCTTCAGCCACCGCTTCTACAAGATCGGATATGACAGCCAAACTCTTTCGGAGCTCGATTTCTCAAACAATGATGTTCTTTGTATGTATGAGGTTCTCGAGGCCCCAACAAATGCCGCCTTTATGCCCAAGAAACAGTCAACATACCGCTCATTCTACCATGATTCTGCGAATGATCCTCTGCCTGGAATGGACTCGCCTCTTGCAGAAACTATGGCGGTACCTGTCTTCCATTCCAAGACAGACAAACGTTCGTCGAACCTCGTTCTCAATCCAACAATGGTCACTATCACAAGAGAGGAAGCCAGAGATTATGATGCAATCTTGAGAAAAGTGCTTACTTCGATTGCAACAATGACCACAACGCGTATCCTCGACAACGTTCCGAATAAGCAAGTCCATGATAGTACAACAGAGGATGCTCAGGCTGATACTGACGTCTCTATGCGCGACGGTAGTCAGACACCTTCAGCCCAACTGTCAGAGACATTGCAATCTGCGAACTCCACTTCCTACGACCCCAGAGATATGTTTGAGCTCAAGTATGTCCAAGCTACTGGCGACATGTTCATGACAGGAACCAATAGTATTGGTAACGGCCACGCTATGCAGACCCGTGTCCGAAAAGTCGAAAGGCGTAGAGGCAGCACCAGTTCGGTAGCTTCGAACACATCTGGCAAGAGCAAAGACTCCGGTTACGATGGTCAGGGTAGAAGCTCATCCGACAGTGATGAGGATGCCGACCAATGCTGGATTCATTCAAGGCCAACGGCCAGACTGGATTCTCTGGTGACGTGCAGAGTGACGAAGAGTCAGGCATGGGTGCCCTTGAACAGTTGTCAGCCAAAGACAACCGCAGACGTAAGTTCAATCAGAGACAGGCGAGAAAGACGTATTCACGCAAAGGCGTTCGCCGCAATGAGAAAACCCGAGCGCGTTCTAACCTACTTCGCTCGACAGCAGCAGACGAACCGACAGACGACAACGAGTTTTATGTCAAACTTGGTGAAGGAATCGTGGTAGAGTGGCAGACAGACGCCTTTGAGTCCATGTTCGGTGGTGGCAACGGTAACGGCCAGTTCACATTCAATGAAAAGGATGTTCCTTTGGTAGACGACACCGAACTCCAAGTGAGGAGAAACAAGCGCATGCAACGCAAAAGAACGGCATTACTCTCGAGGACTGCTTCACCGAGACCGGCAAGACTGAAGTGTTGTCGGAGGACAACGCATGGTACTGTGGTAGATGCAAAGAGCTTCGCCGCGCCAGCAAGACTTTGGAACTATGGACTGTGCCTGACATCCTCGTCGTCCACCTCAAGCGCTTTAGCGGCGAGCGCTTCAGGCGTGACAAGGTGGACGTTCTTGTTGATTTCCCGATCGAAGGACTCGACTTGACTCAGAGGGTTGGGTGTAAGGAAGAAGGAAAAGAGTACATTTATGACTTGTTTGCTGTCGACAACCACTATGGCGGTCTTGGTGGTGGGCACTATACGGCCTACGCCAAGAACTTCTATGATGGTAATTGGTACGACTATAATGGTAAGAATCAAACGTGAACAACATTATGTCCGCCTGATTGCTAACGCATTTGTCAGATTCTTCTGTCAGTCGACAGAACGCAGAGAGTGTCGTATCGACAGCTGCATACTTGCTCTTTTACCGTCGCCGCTCAACAAAGCCGCTGGGTCCTGCGTATCTGCAGGAGTTGGTTCTCAAGGCACGCAACCCCGACGAAGCCTCGGAAGCAGAGGATGAGTCGGGGAAGGCGAGCGTCTCGGCGACCACTCCTCAGCTACCTCTCGCCTGCTTGGGTCGTCGGACGCTGGAGCAGTCGGAGCAGGAGCCACGATCACCGGGACGCTTCATCAGGGAGCCAACGCAGGTGGCTCTGGCAGAGGAGCGAGCCAGGCAGTGAGGTCGATGAATGAAACAGATGATGACGAGGGTATCTCATTGAACGACGAGCTCTACGGCAACAACACCAACACGACTGCCGTTGCGCTTGCCAATCCAGAAGCCACTTGGTCGTTTGCAGGCTTGGGAGAAGATGATAACACTACATCTGTCAACACGCCTGCCGACTCGGACCGCCCAGACGTTGGCTCTGACATTGAGGATCGGTTCATGGATCTGGACGAGTCTCTCCCACCATTGATTGACGACGAGACAATGACTACGGAAGGCCAAGTGCAGTTCGATGGAGAATCCTCCGGTGCAAACCGAGACGGGTAGTATCCGTTTCCTGGGATTTGGGACTTCAGCAATGATTGGTATTGAAAATCAAGGTGACGTTTGCAGAAGTGTGTCATCAAGCAAATACTACTTGGAATCAGAGACGTACAACAACTAAAAGGCAAAACATAGAGTAGACAGAGAAGATGGTCAAATCATTGCACGCCTCAAATATAGTTGGTCAAATCGAACTATTACCAAATGCTAAATGTGAATGTCTTGCAAGAAAGTCGTGTGTTTTTGGCACGTCGGAACCAGAATCATGAGTCTTTCAGCCTGCCCCATTCTGGCTTGAGGTCAACCGCACCATGCTCATCTACAACCTTGCCTCGATCCCATTCTCGACCTTCGCCTTTCTTTGCCCATACTACATCCTCTTCCGATTTATCGCCACCTTTCTCCCATTTGCTGACCTCTTTCTCGGTAAAGCCAGCCGCACGGAGTCTGTCTGCACCTTGTTGTTTCCATCTCTGGCGGTCGCGTAGAGCTTCAAGAGCCTGGTCCCAGTCCAAACTGTCGTCTTCTTGTGGATCTGGTTGCACGTCGACAGACGGATCATAATTCGAGGAAAAATGGCTGTCAATGGCCGAAGTACTATTCTGAGTGCCACGACCTCGTGAACGGACCGGAGGATTCGACGGAGGNGCAGGACCGATGAGAGCATCTAGAGGATCCGAGTCTGAGGCGTCGGATTGTGAGGAACGTCTTCGCCTGTGGCGGCGACTCGAGTTATCAGACGACTTGGATGGCCTAGTCGATGCATGGCGGTTACGCGGTGAGGAGGAGCGGTGTCTCGAGTGATGATGGCGTCTGGTTGATTCACGGTGTCTTGAGTCTGGCGAGCGACGGTCTCTGTGATGACGGTGTGAGGAATGATTGTCTGGTGATGTATCGCGGCGGGTGGAACGCGAATGTGTGGTTCTTTCATGTGGAGAATGGCGACGATCAGAGCGGGTCGTTTGCTCAGCAGATGTGCGATCATCCTTGGGATCAAGGCGTCTCCTCTTAGGGTCATGCCTATCGCGGGCAGAGTAGAGCTGCTGAGCAGGACGGTTGGAGTGGCGCAANCTTTGCAGACGCAGTTTCGATTCGTCGGCCTCTTTCTTGAGCAAGGCCGAATTGTGGTTGTCTGTGTCGCGGAGAATGTTTCTCAAGAACCTGGTATTCGGTTTTGGGGCGTTGGCAGAGCGAGAGCTGGTAGCGAAGGCATCAGCGATGCGATAGTTGAGGTATTGGTGCTCATGGAGGGCACCTTTTGTTCATCAGCGAGGCGAGACTGGACGATGAAGACACAGCCTTGGCGTCTCGCTTGAGCATCTCGGTGACATAGTCGTCGGTAATGTCGTCGTTTCCAGACACAGGCATGATTTGGCGATGGTATTGATGCAATTAGAATGAGGAAAGATGGATGCACGTGAAAGGGAGGAACGAGCACTTCTGTGACGTCGATCTCCCGCCCTGCCGAACGTGTGGGGAAGCGGCCCTTTCCTGTCAACATGTAAACAATCGAATCGCAACCTTGGCTTCCAAGCAATTCAACTACCAGGATGACTCAATCAGAAGACTCGTCGTCGCTGACTATTCTCAGCCTTGCTGAACCGCTGCTCTCCGCTGATGACAGCACCGATCGCCTCAGCAAANAATCCCTGGACGCAGAGCTCGAGCACTACAAAGATCTCTTCTCAAAACTGCGTTTTTCCTATGTCGAACAAGTCACANAAGAGGGCTTCCTCAAGGCCATTGTCGCCGATCCACCTCAACTAGTCGATGCTGCTGAGAACGCCCGTCTGGAACAACATCTGGCTCAAGCAAAAGCCGCCCTCAAGGCCAAGAAGGAGTACACCAACCAGAAAGTCCACGAGCTGCAAGAATTGGGAAGTCGTCTGGCACAATGTAATTCCTCCCTCTCGCCTTCTGCTGCACCAACTCTAACAACTTTCTCAGCCCATGAGTTGATCCAGCTGCAAACAACTCAACTGGATGCCCTACCTACCGACATACAGAATCTCGAAACCACCATCGCAAACCTCAAAGCTGCTCAAGAAACTCCTTCGTCCTTGCCTATGCTCAACCTGCCTCTCCACTCGACAAACGAACTACTGTCAGACAAAGAATCAGAGCTCGCCCGACTCGATCGCGAAATTGCACAACTACAATCTACCCTGCCTGACAAGAAACGTCACGTCGCATCCCTGAAGGCCGACCTCGAGCCTATCGAATCTCGCAAGCGCTCTGCCATCGCAGACGCTCAGGAGGCTCAGAAAAAGCGAGGACAGCACGCTCTTGCTCAAGACCTTGATGAGAGAGGGAAATGGCTCAAATCTGTCGATTCTGGACTTCGCTTGATGCTCGAGATTTGACGTCCTGTTATGACCTTGTTTTTCCTTTCGTTGATTATGTACCTAGATACCCCAGAAACTTTGTTTTATCTTGCTTAAACCTCATCATTGTGACTAGAATCACCATCACCTTCTCATGTGCAGCAATGCCTATCGTGAAGCCGAAAACGAGAATATCTTTGTACTAATGGACCAGGAAACAACCATTCTACAAATCTTTGTCGCCGTTACTTCGTGCAAGACCTTCTTTTATAAGAAAATTACATCGAGCGAAGAGGCCAAAACACACAAAAAGAACCAAAACTAAGGTATATCGCAAACAAGACAAGAATCAATCAGAAATCGGCATAGACAATCCTCACAAAAAAAACAGAAAAACATCCAGGTCCGTATATCATCACGAACCATCCCCCTTTGCAATAAGCGAGCAACATGGTATCTTCTTTATCACTCAAACCCTTTCCTTGACGGCTGGGTGTGCAGCCGCGCTTGACGAAGAGGCAACAGGTGGAGCAGCTGAACCTGATGTGCTCGGTCGTTCATCATCGTCATCGTGACCAACCTCCAATCCGCGTCTCCAGTTGTCCAGACCAAACTCAGCTGGCGCAGTGCCACTTGTCGGAGTCTTCTCGAAATCGAGATCACTGATGCGGTATGACTTGTTGGTCGTCTCCCACTGCGTGCGCAAAGCGTCCAGCTCTGTGGCCAGATTGTCGAGCGCGAGGCTATCACGTCCGTCTGGCGCTTCGATCTCGCCACTCTCTGAAGCTGTAATACTCTGGGAGTAGATACTGTCACCTCCCATCGATTCGCCTCGAGAGTGGCCTCGAGAGTGCGCAGGTATGAAGTTGGCAGTGCTGGCACTCACATTGCTCAACGCTCTGTGGTGGCCGAAACCATTCGTGTTGCCGTTTGGCATTGACGATTGGCGCCGGTAGTTGTCGACAGAAGACTCTACCTGATCAAGTAGAAGTTGCACCTTGTTCTCAGCATCTCGAGCACGCTCCTCCAGTTGCGCATTCTCCCTTTGCAGACGCTCAAGGTCTGCTCGTGAGACTTCGTGAGTTGATTGAAGAGCGGCAAAGTTCGATTGCGTTGTTTCGTGAGAGCTACGCAGAGTGCTGAGATCGGTTTCTCTCTCACCAAGCTGATGGTGGAGACTCGAAATTTGAGCCTCTAGGTTAGTCTTCATCTTTTCAAGATCTTTTCGGAGGCCATCTCTTTCGTCATTGTGATTGGCGTTGGACTCATGGTCCAAGCTACGGGTGTCGTTCTCTTTGGCACGCATCGTTTCCAGTTCCTTGGCATAATCAGCAGCTTGATTCTTCACACGCTGCAGTTCCTGCTTCATCTTGCTGAGCATCTTCTCAGTACCACGAAGGTACTTTACAGCAGCCTGATGATCGGTGTGCAATGTCGTAAGCTTCTCCTCGTATTCCTTCCTTGTAAGACCCTCGCGATCCTGCATCTCTTCAAGGCTAGTCTTCATCTCTTCGTGCGCTCTGAGATTAGCCTCTAGTTGCTGCTCCAATTCCTTGACACGCTGGATATCGGGAGTGCCAAATCTGATCTGCGATGAAGGCGAGTCAAAGCCTCGAGACTTGCGCACATCAACAGGGTTGACACCACGCTCAGACAGGATGTCTTTGAGTGCACCGTGCTGCACAGCAATGGCATTTGTTTCAAGCTGCTGACTCTGCAACTGCTGCTGCAGGTCAGCTCGTTCTTCGGCTAAAGTTCTGGCTTCCTTGAGTGCTGCCTGAAGCTGCTTTCGAATCGTCAAGCCTTCGCGAGAGGCCTGCTCTTGATAGGACTCAAGTCCAGCAATACGCTCTTCCGCACGACGCAACTTCTCGGAGGCAAGGTCCGCTGCAGCTTGATTTTGCCTAGCCATGGTGTTGGCCGTTTCGACTTGGCCATGGAGGATGGTAACTCGCTCGTCAACAATGCTGCTAGTATCCGAACTACGGTTAAAAATCTTTCCAAGGCCGTCTAGGACAGCTTGACGATGAGTACGCGCTTCGGCTGCGTGTTTTTCGGCAAGACCTTCTGCATCTCTGAGGCGACGGCTAGTAGTTTCAAGCTCCATGGCACGCTCTTCATGTTGCGACCGAAGTTGAGAGAGTTGCTGTTCGAGCTCGTTTCGCCCTGTCTTCTCTTCTTCGAGGCGATCCTCGAGAAGATTGGATTTGTCGGTGGACGCTGCCAGTGCTTCACGTAAAGACCCAAGAACCACACCATGTTCCGCCGCTTCTGCTAGAGTATTCTCAAGTTTAGTGGTGAGTTCAGTCTTGTCAACAGCGAGAAGTTTGTGGGAGGCGAGCGCATCGGCATGATTGGCAGAGGCCTCTCTGGCAGTCTTCTGAGCTTCATGCAACTCGTCGCGTAGTGACTCAATCTCGGATGCAATGCGTTGTCTGTCCGTGTTGAGTTCGGTGACGCGTTGCTGGGCCGCTTCCGCAGTCTCCTCTGCCAACAGCCGAGCTTGCTTCTCGGCTTCCTTTTCGTGGATGAGGCTGTCGATCTTACGGGATAACTCGGTCTGAGCTGCCAGTGAAGATGCAAGTCGTCTGTTCATGTCACCAACGCGATCCGTGTCAGGAGTGCCATGTCGACTAGAGTCCAGTATAGGTGAAGCACCGCCTTGACCTGCAAGTTTTGCTTTAGCAAAGACGGCCTCGCTGATGGCGGTATCCCTCTGCTTTTCGATTTCAGCGATACGCGCGGCCGCAGCTTCTGCTTGACTGTCGATAGAGCCCTGCACCTTGGCCAACTCTGCGCGCATACGGAGCAAAGCTTCCACTAGAGGTCTGTCATCATCGCCGAATGCATCGGTAGAACGTTCGTCGAAGGCTGGAGTATTTGTGGTGCTACGTGAATAACCTGCCTTTCGTGCTAGTGCAAGCTCCGAAGCGAACCAGGCGTTCTTGGTCTTCTCATTTTCCAGCTCCTTGGTGAGATCGTCGGTATCTTGATTAGAACTAGTTGCTTGGTCCAGTGCGCTGTCGACAAGGGCTTCTCTCTGCACATCCTGACGAGCATTATCTGCTACGATTTCTCGTTGGGCAGGATGACGGGACATGTCGACAGGTGATCCACGGTCAAATCGTTCTTGTGACTCCAAGTCTCGAAGTGAAGGATGCTTACGATGCATTGGTTGAGTGGGCGTCTCNTTCTGAGATCTCACGAGCTGCTTGTGGCCCTGCGGTTCTTGAACTGGTCCTGGATGGAGGAGAGAAAGTTTGATCCACAGATTTGTCGATTGAGGAGATTGGTTGATGAGTTGGTTTGTACGTTTGTGGCGTTCTATCCTGCTCGTCATCCAAGCTCTTTGAGTTGTTGTTTGCGTTTGTACTAGCCATTGTGGGAGTAGCNNTGTTGTTGGCGACATTGTTCTTGCGCCAAAAGAGTCATTATGGAATGGCCCGGGAGCAGTGCGAGTGACAACAGTGGGTGACGCGCCAGCTTGGTTCGGGCTCAGCGCACGTTCTGGTCTGGTCGGTTGACGACTCGGTGGTGTTGTAGGCTTGTTTTGTTGTTGTTGCTGTTGAGGCACTGGACCGGGTCCTGAGGATCCAGCGGCACGAGGCAGTTTTGAACCTACAGTCATTTGATCAGGAGCTCGGTTGATTGGAACGGAACTATCTCTGCCAGGGCGTCGTGGACCATCAAAATCTGCTTGATCTCGAAGGGCGGCACGACTCTGCGGGATACCAGTCCGTTCACCACTTGGACGTCTGTGACCCTGAATTCGTTGGTCGGCAGGCATTTGTGACTGGGAGTCGTTAGGATACCTGATCTTACTAGTATCCAAGTAATAGGCAAGACTGAGTTCGTCAGCATCACGCGGAGCTGAGCTTGGCTCACCACCAGTAACAACAATGTGTTTCCCGAAAGCAGTCATACTATGTCCGGAACGTGGTGAGGGCGAAGGACCCATGTTCTGGAAAGTGTACCAACGCCGAGTTGTGATGCGGAAAGCCGCAAGGTCACCGAGATCGTTGCCCTCTTCAGTACGGCCTCCAAACACATACATGACGTCGCCAACCAACGCAGCTGCATGTCCCTCACGCGCTACTGGGATGTAGCCGATGCATTCAAGTTGCGACCAAGAATTGGTTCGGGGGTCATAGGACCAGACGTCGCTGAACCAGGTAACTCCATCCGTACCGCCAAANAGGTACAACTTCTCGTTCCACGTTACCACAGAGTGGTTGGTACGTGCTGGAGGAATCTGTCCGTGTGGAGGGCCTCCATCGATAGTGTTCTGGATCAGCGTCTCCCACCGATTGCTAGCCTGTTGGAGCGCATTGAGGTCAAACGTGACTAGATCGTTAAAGAAGAAGCCTTCGACTTGACCGCCGAAAATATAGATCTTGGAGCCGATGATGTTCAGGGAGTGGCCATAACGACCCGGAGGACGAGGGCCTGCTGGGGCGGCTCTTGACCATTGCTTAGTAGCTGTNCAACGATTAGCAAATGCTCAGGACTTGGACCAGGGAGCGGATAACGCACAAGTGTTCAGCAAGTAAAGGGTGTCGTCGAGCATGTCGGTCTCGTCCGTTTTTGTATCTCCTCCAAAGACGATGAAAGCATTTCCAACAAGCAAGGCAGCATGCCCGACTCTCGGACCAGGGCCCTCGGAAGTGGTTGCCACAGGGTAGCAGCTGAGGTTGTTGGGAGCAGCCTCAATCATCCAAAGGTCGCCCTTGACCGTCGAGCCGTGAATCAAACCGCCCATGATGTATATGGAGCCATCCTTGGAAGAGAGTGAATTGGCAGCGGCGCCATAGCGAGGAAAAGGATGGTTCGTAGGGACGGTGAAGTTTAGGTGTCGCTGGGACCAGGGATACGGCGAGGAATCATGCTGAGGACGCATACGTGAGTGCNNTAATGAGCCATGTCAGCAGGCAATCGAACACAGCGGACTGATGCAGCGGCTTACTTGTAAGTCGCTGTCGGCACGGTCGCGCAAAGCCTTTTGCTCGGGGCTGGGTGTGTTCGAGGGCTTTTCGGACGACCATTGAGGGCTATCTTGTAGCTTCTCACCCAGTGAATTGAGCGAGTTGACACTGGTGCCGGGCGTAGGGGTCTGCTGGGACTTCTCTCTCGGGCTACCATTGGAGCCGTCTCGCGCATGTCCAGAAGCCGAGGGGATATTCGAGGGAGGACCGGGGCCGTCCGAAGACTTGATGTTGCGCGTCGCAGCAGGTAGCGCAGAGCCCTGCTGTTTCTTGGACGACTTGAACAGAAACGACATGATTACAGGAGCGCTCTAGAAGCGCAAGGACGAGGTGAAGGAGACAGAGGATGAGACAGGCATTAGACGGCAAGGAATCTCCGGGGACACACGGCGAATGTCATGGGTAGGTTAGCGAACGGGCGACGACTATGCTGAAAGGAAGGAAAAAGGCAGGGAACGTTGTTGGAATGGCGATGAGCACGCGTGTAGATTGGGAGGCTGGCAATTGTCCTTGGGTCTTGGTTCAATTTGGGCCTCTCTCCACACGCCAGCCCGGAGCAACCATCAAATAATATTATTTACTGCAGGCTAATTCGGCCACCTGAAACACTCGAGTCCATTGTGTATATATCGCGTGCAAGCGTCCCTGCCAGGCAAAGAAAGAGTCTCTCCAAGCGCGTCTACTACAACGTGTCTCATCATCGACCGTCTCAACAGTTGGACGGTGTCGGAGAGGCTAAGGTAGCCACCTCGAAGCCTCGACCAAGAAACTCCCGCTGGCTGCTTCTCCGTTGAACAATACGTCTGCTGCTGTCACACGACTTGCATGTGTTACAATGCAACAAGCAAGAACCCGGATGCCAACATGCCAACACTTTGCTGCTTTCCTCGCCACATGTACAGACAGTACTTGTTCATGCATATAATCCTAATGCTTGGACAGGGAACAGCAATCAAAAGCCTGGCAGGCCTCGAGAAGGGAGGGACCCGAGCCAGTGCTACAATGGAAAGAGCCCGTGCACGAGGTAGTCAATGCTTGCACTTGCCTGATTCATGTATGGTCGATGTCTTATCAGATCCCGCCCCAGATCATAGAGGTCCTGAGTCGTGACTTCGTGCATAACGACCGACTGCCTGTCCACTGTCCAGTCTGCTGTCCGTTACTGTCGAGTTCGAGGTCGATTCCTCTCGCCAACCCTACGCGTCTGTTTTTCGCATCTATCGTCCTCCGGTTCTCATCTGTCCGCAGTGTCGGAGATGCGCTCGTGAACACTCTTACACGAACTTGATGTCAATGCAGTCTGCCCTCGCCGCGCAACATGAGGGTGGGCGTGCTGCAAGACGATGCTGCCGGTCAATACCGCGCAGCAAAGCATCCGCAACCCGTTCTCGATCCTCTGCCCTCCAACCTATATGAAGGCAGCATTCAACACGCCGCCCATCCCAACGCCAACCCTCCGCCGGATCCTCAGACCCAGGCTATTAATGGCAATACTGTTGCCCATCTGCCTCCTCCTCATCAGTTTCTCAACCACTCTGCGAATCCATCGACAGGCAGCTCGGGTGTCACTGACTCTCCGTCAGAAGATGGGCCGCTTGGTCCACGATCCGAGCGGCCTCTGATGCTGCGCGCAAAGAGTGACTATGGTCCAGGGAAACAAAGACAGTCTATTGCCTCGTCATTCGAGCACAGAGATGGAGAAGAAGCTTCAAAGTTTAAGATGCGCCACGGCTGGGAAGACCAGCTCATGTCACCAGAGCAAGCAAATCTATTGTCGCAGACGTTTTATATGTACTACACCGACAAACGGCACGAGACTGCTGGAAATCCGAAAGATGTCAAGGATGACTATCACGTCCAGGAATGGCGTATGAAGGACCGTCTCAAGACCATATCCGCTCTTCTGACCGTCTGTCTGAACATTGGTGTCGATCCGCCAGATGTCATCAAGACGAATCCATGCGCACGTATGGAGTGCTGGGTCGATCCCTTGGGTACCGACGGTCCGCAAGGTTCTGGTGGTGCTAATCCTCAAATCGGGAAGAATTTACAAACACAGTACGAGACGCTCAGTATGCGTACTCGCTACAAGCTCGTTATGGATCCCAGTATCGAGGAAATGAAGAAATACTGCACCACCCTACGTCGGAACGCAAAAGACGAAAGAATACTTTTCCACTACAACGGCCATGGTGTGCCAAAGCCTACCGCGGCTGGAGAGATCTGGGTTTTCAACCGCTCCTTTACACAGTACATTCCTATCTCATTGTACGACCTGCAGAGTTGGCTCGGCGCACCCGGTCTGTTCGTGTATGACTGTTCTGCTGCTGGTCTAATCATCAAGAACTTCCATCCTTGCATTAAGAAGCACGAAGCTGATCAAGTAGAGGCCAAGCGGCGCGATCCGGCAACACCATTGATGAACTGGAGTGATTGCATACATTTGGCTGCTTGTCGTGAAGACGAATCTTTGCCCACTAACCCTGACCTTCCCGCCGACTTGTTTACATCCTGTTTGACTACTCCGATCGAGATGGCTGTTCGTTTTTTCATCCTTCAAAACCCCTTGCCCGGAGGACCCACTCTTTCCGAAGGCCGCAATATTCCTGGAAAGATCTCTGAACGCAGAACTCCTCTTGGTGAACTTAACTGGATCTTCACTGCCATCACTGACACGATTGCCTGGAACTGCCTTCCTAAACCGCTGTTTAAAAAGCTGTTCCGACAAGATCTGATGGTCGCTGCGTTGTTCCGCAATTTCCTCTTGGCTCAAAGGATTATGCGAAAGTATCACTGCCATCCTCAGTGTTATCCAGAGATACCAGAAACCCACAATCATCCTCTATGGCAGAGCTGGGATTACGCTGTTGAGATGATCCTCGCCCAATTGCCTAGTTTGATTTATCAAGCAAAAGAGAACAAGGAGCTGGAGTACCAACACTCTGAATTCTTTGCGCATCAACTCAGCGCTTTTGAAGTATATCTCAGCCAAGGAGCGCTGGAGCAAAAGGTCCCAGAGCAACTTCCAATCGTCTTACAAGTACTTCTGAGTCAAGTTCATCGTCTACGCGCTCTGATTCTCCTGGGTAAATTCCTTGATCTGGGGCCATGGGCTGTCAATCTTGCTCTTAGCATTGGTATCTTCCCCTACGTCCTGAAGCTTCTCCAATCTCAGGCGATTGAACTCAAACCCGTCATGGTATTCATCTGGACCCGCATCCTAGCTATTGACCAGTCGTGTCAGTCGGACTTACTCAAGGACAACGGCTACGCCTATTTTATCAACATCATAAGCCCTCAGACCGGTATACCTGTTGGTAACATGGCAGAACATCGTGCCATGTGCGCGTTTATAATTGCCATGTTCTGCAAAGACTTCCGTCCAGGACAGAATGTATGTCTGAGCACTAACCCGGAGCTCATAGAGAGTCTTTTAAGTCATCTAGTAGACATGGAGAACCCTCTGCTCAGGCAACATTCTTGCTTGTGCATTAGTATGCTTTGGTACGACTTCCCCGAAGCCAAATGGCAAGGCATACGCTCTCAAGCACACATGCGTCTTTGCGATCTTGCTCTCGACCCGGTTCCCGAGGTCAGAACGGCAATGCTGCATGCTCTGACGAGTTTCTTGGGAATTCCCGATGTTACAGATCAAGTCGCTTACATCGAAGAAACCATTGCTTCAATCATTCTCGCTATGGCAAATGACAGCAGTGTCATGGTTCGCAAGGAGTTGCTTGTTTTCCATTCTACCTTTATTGCGAGGTACAAGAACAAATTTATTGTAGCAGCATATGAGCAATTTACGGAAGAACATGCAGCTCACTTGGCTCAAGATGCCAGCATTCATCGTCCTGGAACACCTTCGGAACTAAACGGATCATACGATAGCAAGCGCGATTTTACATTTGACTCTCACAATACTTCCTCGAGAGGTTCCGTTGAGTCGGCGGCTTCGAGAAACACAGTTTTCTCGGCGATGTGGAAGCAAATCCTGATCATATCTGCCGACCCTCATCCTGAGATTGCAAGGAACGCAGGCATAATTCTGGACAATGTTCTGGGCGCCTTGTTCGACTCACCACTCGCTGTGTACGTTCATCAGATGCTGGACGATATGGCAGCCCGACCTATTCCACATGCTCAGGTTCCCGCTACTTTGCCGGATGGACCGACAAGGCTCCAGCACTCAGACGTTCCCCGTGCTCCACCATCTCCTACACCATCTACAAGTTCTAAACACGATGGGTACTTCTCGGTGTCTGCAGGTCTAAGACGTACAGCTAGTATGGCCGCCTCGATCAAGAACCTTGCTTCGTTTGGTGTTAGCAAAGCATCTCAAGATCCTTCTCAAAGCCAGTCTTTGCGTGGACCAGGAGCCGGCAGACGTTCCCAAGTGCCCTCGGATTGGAACAGACCGCCAGACGCGGCCGATCCGCAACCGACTCGTGTTCGCGGTCACCAGATTGCGAAGTCACCATCGGTACCCAACTTCGAGCCCAGAAACTTTTCTCAACCTCCAACAATCCCTTTGACTTCAAACTTCTTCCAATGGTCAGCCTCATACTTCAGGGAGCCTCAGATGCGGCCATCCGAGGCTGACGAACCAGGATCTCTGGACTACAACGAACGACTGTGGCGACGCAATCGAAACGATAAAATCATCGCTTCGACACAGCCACTCAAGGAAGTTGCAGGCACTGGTCGCTGGGATGTTCCTGCTGGAGTGCTTGCAACGAACAGTCCTCCTATGAGAATGGTTTTCCACCAATTCGAAGACCACCTCGTCATCAGTGATGATCAAGATGGTATCAGTGTATGGGATTGGCACAGAGAGCGAAGGTTGGCACGATTCAGTGCAGGCAACCCTCATGGCAGCAAAATCAGTGACCTTCGCTTCATCAACGAAGATGATCAAGCGCTGCTCATGACTGGTAGCTCAGATGGAGTAATCAAAGTGTTCCGAAACTACGAGAATGAGAAAGAGGTCGAGTTGGTCGCTGCATTCCGTGCTCTCACAGATCTCGTACCGAGCACGCATAATGCAGGACTAGTGTTTGACTGGCAGCAAGGTCAAGGACGTATCTTGGTCGCAGGTGATCTTCGTGTCATCCGCGTTTGGCAGGCTGGGACAGAGCTGTGCACTGCAGACATCCCAGCAAGATCAGGATCTTGCGTTACCAGCTTGACTTCAGATCAAGTAGAAGGCAACGTCTTTGTGGCAGGCTTTGGCGATGGCGCAATTCGTGTCTATGATCAGCGCAACCGACCAGCAGAGAGCATGGTGCGGGTATGGAAAGAACATAAGGGATGGGTTGTGGGATGTCACTTACAGCGTGGCGGTATGCGAGAACTCATCTCAGCAGAACGTGGCGGTGCCGTCAGGCTCTGGGACATTCGTATGGATCGCAGCGTGGGTGTAGTCAAAGGCAAGGGTGAGGGTGGTATTGGCACGTGTCGAACATTGAGTGTACATGAGCATGCGCCCGTGTTTGCAACGTAAGTTGAACGATTTTTGGATTACAAAAACCAGTACTGACAGATCTACGCAGGGNGATCGTCACACAATGCTGTTCGTGTCTTCTCGACCAACAACGTGACGGCGACGGCAGCAAACTCGACACCGCTGTCAACTATCGAGCCTTTCAGCAACTTCCTGCATACAAATGTGCTTTCGTCGCATCGACCAACGCCGATTGCCTCGACTGCGTTCCATCCTCACAGGATGATGCTGGCGTGTTCTACGGTCAACGACGGCCATGTCAGTCTGTTCAAATGCGCATCGAGAGACGGCTCGATGCTGAGCGGTCAGAATGGCATCGTTAAGGAATGGGAGGCGTGAAGCATATGAGCCCGCTCAGCCTGTTCGTACCAGCGATTTCGCGTTATCTTGCTCAATGCTCGGAGTAATGGCTTCTTCTAGCTGATACAACGAGTAGACACTTTGCGCATAGCGAGAGAGGGATGAGGGATAGGCGTTCATTGGTTGCCGATGGTTGCTACAAGTGTACTAATGCTAGTGTAAAGCGAGCGCCACATTTTTATCGCATGGGAGAATGTAGATATACTGGAGGCAAATGTGACAATAATATTTCAAAGTCAAATCGATAATACTTCACCAAACAAGGTGATGCGAGGTCTGTGACGTGTCACCCATGTGCGTGTCTTGGGGAAAGCTTCAGTTCAAACGTATATGTCCATATTGTGGCAACACCAATGCATTGAAGATATCTCAAATAAATCACGTATACCAATTACCTTTTCAGAATGTATTGCGAAACTCGAAATCTGTAAACAGGACCCAGGGAGAGACTAGGAAAGGATTGCTGGGTTGATATCCTAGTTGACAGGGCAACCCTGTACTACGTGTTGAGCAATCGCTCACTTGCCCATCAGGACTGTCTCCTGATTGTGTCGTACGTGGACAGTGTGATCTGCTATAGATGGATATTTGATATCAGCGGCTTATGGTCTGTCTATGGAATAATATATAAACATATCCTAGAGAAAGAAATTACTCAGATGGCAAAGGCAGATAGTGTTTAGAAGAATGTCATAATTTTACAAGTATTTAAGAATGTTGTGCATTAAGATCTTCCTGCACGACAGGAACTTGATCAAGATTCTCACGCTGGATCATGTTGACCTTGCCCTCGACCAATTGCATCATCATGTAATTGCAGACGCATTGCATGCCCATCTCTTCGCCTCTGCGGACAATGTAGCCGTTGATGTAGCGGACCTCGGTCTTCCTGCCGGCGCGCACATCGGCAAGCATACTGCTGATGTTTTGACCCGTCTTATCTGCGATACTGACGATCAATGTCTCTAGACGCTCGGGCGAGAAGCGATCCTGGACGTTGGGCAAACCTCGCAACTCGGGTAGTGAGCGGATGACCAAGGAGATCTCGGCCAGTAACAAGCGCATGGTGCGGGTTATTGCAAAGTTGTACAGGATGGAGCCATTGGGAGCGTCCAGCATGACGGTCAGAGGGTTAATGACGGCGTTGATAGCCAATTTCTCGAGTTGCTGTTGCATGAACTCAAGAGGAGGGAAACCTACGGCAGCGAGGACAGGACTACCAGTCAGAGTGCGTAGCAAGTAGCGTGCTGTAGGTGCAAAGGGAACAGAAGCCGAGGGGTCGTCTTTGATGTCACCTCTCGGCTGGGCAGCCAGAACGATGGTGCCATGAGCAGCATGAATGGCAAAGAAAGGATCGTTGCGGTCAGGAGAGTTCAGACCATGGGTCACGACGCCCTGTATGAAGTTTGGACGAGTGATGGGGTCCGGAAAGATTTCTTTGTTGAGCTGATCTACGATGCCCATGCCATTCTGCAGCAAACATACGGTCGACTCTGGTCGCAGGCGATGCTTGACGGCATCGAGAGCACTGAGAGTGGCGGGGGCTTTTGATGTGACGATCAAGTTGTCAATGGGCTCTTGGTTGCTGGGGTCGAGTGGCTCGTGGTCTTCTTGATCGAGGCGATTGCCATGACTGCGTCTCGGTGGAATGGCGAGCTCGACGTCGAAGCCTGTACGAGGAACACGGTGGCCGTCGGACTCGAGAACAATGGACTGGTCGCTCTGATTCCACTGGTCTAGCAGGCGTGGGCGGTGGAACAGCAGAGTGACGGGTGGAGGATTGCTGTCGGCGCGCAGCGAGTGGGCAACCAGCTTGCCCACGTTGCCGACGCCGTAGACATGGATGCGTCGCGGGACGCCGCTCTCACGCGCATACTGTTCGCTAGCCGCTGTATACGTGCGGCGGCCGAGACAGCTGCTGGCGATGGACCGTCGGACGAGGAAGGTGCATGGCTGGAGTGGCATGATTGCGCTCAGAAGGGAAGCTGCGAGAGGTGAACCATGACGCAGCTCCTTCCTCCGCTGCTGTTCAATCTTCACACTTCCTGTCGCTCGACAATGTCATTACGCATCCAAACGCGGTGCTTCTCCGTGCTCAGTCGCCCAAAGCCAAACTATCCCGGCCATGTGCCTCTGACCTTTGTCGAGCGCTGCGGCCTGGCCGTCGGTTCTGCCGTCGGCTCCATGCTCGACCACCGCCGCCACGGTACGAGCTCTGAGCTGCTCCCGCCGAAATCCTTACTGACCTGTCTAGATCTGGTCGCTGCTCTAGGCGAGGCAACATGCAAACCCTACTTCATCACCCGCCTGCGACAGAGCATGCTATCGCATCCCACTGGCCGCCGTATCCTCCGTGACCGTCCCCGCATCTCCAGCAAGACCATCTCGCTCGAATATCTACGCACTCTGCCTGACAACTCGGTCGGTCGGGTCTATGCTCAATGGCTCGATCGTGAGGGTGTTACTCCCGACACCCGAGACCAGGTTCGCTACATTGACGATCCGGAAGAGGCCTATGTCATGCAGCGCTACCGCGAGTCGCACGACTTCTATCACGCTCTCACCGGTTTGCCCGTCTTCGCAGAGGGCGAAATCGCTCTCAAGGCCTTCGAGTTTGCAAACACTCTTCTACCAATGACCGCGCTTTCTATGGCTGCTGTCGTCAAGCTCAAGCCTGCCGCTCGCCGCCGCTTCTGGTCTACATATTTGCCTTGGGCCGTGTCCAACGGTCTGCGCGCCGAGGATGTCATCAATATTTACTGGGAAGAGGTCCTCGAGAAAGATTGCGATCAGTTGAGACAAGAGCTCGGTATCGAGAAGCCCCCAGACCTCCGTGAACAGAGAAAGATGATGAGAGACCAGAAAAAGGCCGAAAAGGCTGCTCGCGAAGCTCGTCAAACTGTCGGTCAAGGTGTCATGTCCAACTGATCGTCTCGTGTATACAGCTTCTCTTGTCTATATATCACCATACATGGGTATTCGTCCCGAAATACAAAAAACAATCAATATGCCCTTCTCCTTAAATCATGATATCGCCGGTTTTGTTTCCCACCTCGTCAATTGCTTAGAGCTGGTCCAAAAGCCCCTCGGCCTCGAGCAGCAACACAATCTGGTGAACAGCTGTGCGCACACTGATCTTGGTCAGGTCAACGGTCAGGTTGGCCTCACCCTCGGCCGGAGTCTCGTAAGGGTCGTCGACGCCAGTGAAGTTCTTAATTTCACCGCGGCGAGCGGCAGCGTAGATGCCTCTGCGGTCGGTCTTCTCACACTCCTCGAGTGGTGTGGCAACGTGAATGAGGTAGAACGATCCGTACTTCTCGACAAGCTCGCGGGCGTGCTTTCTGCTTGACTGGAAGGGGNNTGCGATGGGTGCGGCAATGACAGCGGCGCCAGCCTTGGTCAACTCACTGGCAACAAAGCCGATGCGGCCAACGTTGGTGTTGCGATCCTCCTTGTTGAAGCCGAGCTCTGAGCTGAGCTCCGAGCGGACGGTCTCTCCGAGAAGAAGCGAAACGGTGCGACCACCCTGCTGGTTGAAGGTAACGTTCAGAGCACGGGCAATAGCATCCTTGCCACTGTTGGCGTAACCAGTCAGGAAGACGGTGAAACCCTGCTTGTTGCGNGGAGGGTGCGACTCGCGGAGCACACGGACAACCTCAGGGTATGAGAACCACTCTGGGATGTCACCACCAGTGCGCAGACGGCGACGAAGCTCGGTACCAGAGATGTCGAGGGTTCTGACGTCCTTAGGGACCTGGTCTCTGGGACGGTACTCGTCCGAGTCGGGAAGGTAAGTCATCTGGAGGAAAGGAACGACCTCGATACCGAGCTCGTCTCTGTACTTCTCAACAAGATCCTGGGCATCGTAAGGTCCGTAGAAGTCCTGACCCTGGCTGTTCTTGCCAGGTCCGGCGTGGTCACGACCGACGATGAAGTGGGTAGCACCGTGGTTCTTACGGATAATGGCGTGCCACAAAGCCTCACGAGGACCAGCCATACGCATAGCCAGAGGAAGAAGGGCGAGGACAGCCATGCCGTTGGGGTAACGGGGAAGGAGGGCCTGGTAGACACGGACACGGGTGAAGTGGTCAATGTCACCAGGCTTGGTGAGACCAACGACGGGGTGGATGAGGACGTTGGCCTGACGAGAACGAGCAGCGCGGACAGTCAGCTCGCGGTGAGCGCGGTGCATGGGGTTTCTGGTCTGGAAAGCGACAACTCTGGACCAGCCAAGCTTGTCAAAGTGCAGACGAATCTCTGCAGGAGAGTCTGTTCATCTGATCAGTTTGCTGTCGTTGAAAAAATTAATTGTGTCCTGTTTCTTACATCTGAGAGCGACGTAGTCGTAGTGCATCAGACGGTCAATGGCATCGATCTTGCCACCAATGTAGAAGTCACCAGCAGTTCTGTACAGGTACTTGACGGCAGGGTGGGCCTCATCGTCAGCACCAAAGACCTCGACAGCCTCCTTCTTCTTGTCGGGACGGTAGATGTCGTCGACAGTAATGATGGCCAAGTTGCGGTCATCTCTGAAGTCACGGAGGGTGATACGGGCACCAGGCTTTGCCTTGACTTCGTCAATTGTCTCTTGGAAGACATCAAGACAGATGGGCATGGAGAAAAGGTTGCCGTCGACAAGACGGTTGTTGTCGACCACACTACACTCCAGTCAGCGTCTGTACTTTTGATCATTCTTTTGTCTTGTAGAGCCGTACCCGTTGTAATCCTTCTCGTTCATGAAACCNTGTGGTTGACCGGTCAGGAACGCCCTTTGATGTTAATTGCATTTCCAAGACTCACCCTCAAGAGGGGAGAAGCCTCCGTTCAGGATGAGCTCGAGATCACAGAGCTGACGCTCATTGAGGACAATGGCAGGCAGCTTCTCGGCCTCTGCAATGAGTTCCTGGCGACGAGGGGCATCGCGAGCAATGAGATCCTTGAGGATACCACCTAGGCTTCAGTCAGATACCACAAGCCACACGTCTGTGCATTGGCGCCTTCGTACCGTGGGGAGGGTTGGCCATGATTGCTTGTTGGCAGATACGACTGGAGAGTTACAATGAAGGAAAGAAGTCAAAAGAATGGGAAGGGACAGAAGAGGTAGGAGCCGGGGAAAAGTTGCGAGACCGGAGAGGCTACATGACGACTTTATATTTACACACGCACCCTACGGATACGCAAACAAGGCTTTTGGTTGAGTAGCAACGATCCGAATCTCAATGCTCGATTATCCCACAAAATTCGTCTCCACCCCTCCTCTAGCATGCCCCTCAGGAACCCGCTAACTGCCTTGGCGAACGTGCTTCCGGGATGTACGTCAGTGGGTGTTGTTTCTGCCCTCGTTGCAGTGTTTCAAACCCAGCAACAATATTTAATCAATTTCTTTGTTTCCGATGCAGCTTTCATTGTCATGCTATTAAACTCGGAACTTTTCTGAGACAGCTACCTAAAGTGCTTCCGCACAATTGTGTAGTTATGTGACTATGAAAGACGTGGGTCATCATGTATCCAACCTTCCAATGCTGAGGTTTTTCCCATCCAATGCCATGTAAAGAACAAACTCCACTATGCCCAGTAGTGATCCAACCAACGCCGATGCTAAATTCGCAAAGATGTAAAAAAGACAAACAATAAAAATGACAAGCGACTTAAACAACTTGCTCGAGGTTCAATCCCGACTTGATAGCCTGGCTGAGCTCGTCTTGACGCTTCTGCTCCTGCTCTTGCAAAAACATGGCGTAGCGACTCTTCTTGTTGTGGATGCCACACTCTGTCTTGGCACGGCCCTTCCAGCGGCCAGCTCTCTCGTCCTCGCCCTCCTTGACGGGCTGAGTCGAGTGCCAGTCACCAATCGAACGGTAGCCTTGGGACATCAAAGCATTGACAGGAACGTTGTTCTCCTTGATGTAATCGTTGACTTGTTGGAAAGACCAGTTTGCCAGAGGGTTGACCTTGATCATACCTGCATCATCAAGTTCGACGATGTCGAGATCTCCACGCTTGCCTCCTTGGCTGCGGCGACGACCAGTGATAACAGCAGCGACTCCCAATTCGGCATAGGAACGCTGAGCAGGCTCGACCTTGGCGACGTAGTCGTAAAGTTCCTCGTTGGTCTCCCATAACTTCTCGCCGTGCTTGCGGTTGAAGTCCTCAACGTTCCCACATCCCTCAGGCTTGTAGGTATGAATGGTGAGGCTGGGATATCTGTCCTTGACAGCTTGTACAAGCTCGTAGGTTTCCTTGAATGCATGTAGAGTGTCCAGGTAGATAAGATCAATGTTGGGCTTGATAGGGCTGTCAAGCTTTGACACCATGTCGTTGATTGCAAGTCCAGTAAGTCCAAAAGCAGTTGTCTGGAAGAGACGGGGCAGAGTCATGATGCACCATTTCAGAATATCTNNAGAATCCAAGTCAGAAAAGCAAGTCCTTGACCGTACAAGACACAAGTGCTTACCTTGAGGTTCGAGGTTCTGCAATTGCTGGTTGATAAACTTCAGGTGGGGACGAGAGAAGTAGACCTCAGGGAGGCTGGCACTCGAACTACCACTGGCATAGCCAGATTCCGCATCATGGTCGGAAGAGTATGAACGGGGCATTGTGGCGTGGATTGCTGTTTCTCTTTCTTTGTTCTGCTCTCGAGCAATAATATAGATGTAATTTTTGTACGAACGGCTGCAAGATCACGCCTGGTTTGAATTTGTATGACAGGTGGATTGTGAGAAGAGAGAAAAGAGAATGCCAGAATTGATATTACTTGCCAGAGCCGGTCACGGCACCTGAATTCATCGCTTTGAAATCACCATAGAAAAACTCACTGACGTGCTCATTCTCAGCGATGGTGTGCTCAGGGCTAATCGATTTCAGGTTAGCACTACAATGACAACATATCGGCCCAGGCTCCAGACTCAAGATCCGAGTGGAGAACGATAGAGAACGTGGATCGGAGATGTGGCTGGCGGCTCGGTCTACAAAGCAGTGTCTTGTGGGAATAAGCTGTGCGACTCGGCACCAAGGAACCCAGAAGACTGCCGCTTAGCCTGCTGGTAGCCAGCCCAATGTTCTTTGTTGAGACCGCTACGTTCTATAGGTTTTATCCCGGATGCGATTCTGAAGGTTGCGCCGAACGGTACAGGAGATCAGGAATCGCCATGTTGGCAATCCTCGTGTATTTGGCATCGGTTCACCATCCATGGTATAAATCTCGTCATCGCTTTAGCATCCGGATGGTTGAGAACTCCGGTCTCCAGTCTCCAGGATATGTTTGCGGCTCTACACCCCGCAAGAATATAACCTTGTTTTGCTTGATCATCTTGGTGCTTACTTCGAGAGGTGCATTGGAGAAATGCGTGAGAAGCTGCTGGATCTTGGACATGCCGAATGCGAATGGTGGCTGGAGGCTGGAAAAATCGTTCTCAACCGATCGAATTTTGCCCCTCGACCTCTGCTCATTCCGACTTCTCCGTTACGCTCGACTCAATTCCGCGGAGAGTGAGTGATATCAATTTCGACACGCAGCGATGATGTGATCGGAGGCTGCTGCTTAGAAGCACGCAAGAGATGATCGTAGATCGTGACAGCAAAACACCTTATGGCTGGTGTATCTTGCTTTTGAATTCGCAAGATGGCGCCATATGTTCGATGGAAGGCGACAATACGGAGGACTGCCAAGCGGAAACAGAGTTCGAGATCACGTGCCTTAGTCTGTTTTATGATCGCAACATCGCTGCTACAATAGCATTGATCACCATCACCCTCCCGAGTCAACGGCGAGTAATGTTCCCTCACGCTCTTGATACTGGTGTATGAGCCTCAAGCTGGGGTATTATACTATACAATTACGTCGGCATCAACCACAAAGTGTGATATCAGCGCACTACTTTATATAAAGACATGATGCATCCGGGCTCGTGAGGAACAAGAGGAACGTAAAAGATGAAATATTACACGAATTGGAGAAGTATGACAAGGAAAGTCTTTAACTTGGACAGCCATGATCTAGCCACCAATCACCGTGCCGTTAGCCAAGGTGACCGAGTGGTTCTGGAGATTTGCACTAATATCAGCACCAAGATCAATTCTCGAAGCATCAATCTGTTGTCCAGTGCTTGTGGTTCCAGAGGTGAAGTAGTTTTGAAGATTCTCCTGAGCAGCAATCGCATTGTTTAGTTGGCCAGACTGCTGAAAGACAAAGAGTACGGCGACTCGAGCAAAGTCAAGTGTTGTCGAGTCAGACAATGCAGATGGAGAGGGCATCGAGGATGGTGTCGTGGTGTCGAAGCTTGCTGAGGCGGACGAGGATGATGAGTCGCTCGGTGACCCGCTGGCAAAGACAATACCATTGCTGGTGACTGCAGCTCCAGCAACAGATGTAGAATCTGCACGTCTCACCAGGGTTTTAGTTGAAGAAGGCTTGATCTCAGAGACGCCTTCCGGGATAGATCGAGCAGAGAGACCATTAAATGTGACCAATGCATTCTCCGAAGTGCACGTAAGCTTGGATGAAGCAAACAATCCCAAGATGTTGGTAGCGTTCAGTGGAATGCTAAAGTTGGTTGCCGAGCCAGCAAAGAGACGTGGAATAGAATCTCCAAGTGTGACATTGTTCATTCTGTCAACGGTCGCGGTTGTGCAAGATGCACTTGATGCTTGGGTACATTCGGAACCTGCGAACCCATTGACGCATAAACAGCTGCAGCTACCGTCACTACCTAAGATATTGATGCCACCATTTCTGCAGTCTAGTGATCTTTGGCATGTGGCNAAGCGCAGAGGCTGAGGCACCACTCGAAGCACCCTTTGTTGAGGAATGACGATGAGAACTATAGGGATGATGACAGCGGCAGCAACAAGAACAACTATGAGCAGAAGTAGCGTGAAGAACAGCCACAACGGCATGCCGCAGCATCTCCTGCGCCGCTCAGGCTCCTCACCAAGATCACTTGCCGAAGGAAGAGCGCTGTGCTGCAAATTCGAAGACCATGGCATTGCTCTGGAGCTCCTTGACCCTCCTTTAGAACCTCTGGATCTGGTGGGAGTAGCGAGTCCTGGAGGAGGAAACGAAGCAAGAATGTCCGAAAGAGAACCAGATCTCCTGCTGTCGGAAGCATGTGCTTGTGGTGCATCATCATCGAAGAAGTTGAGACCCAGTCTACTCGCAGTCCGGCCGCGGTCGAGGTTTGACGCAACTTTTGTAGCTCTACGAATGAGATCTGGAAGACTGGTAAGACTGCCGCGGGCTTCTGCCTCTCGAACGGCATCTACGTCAAGCCTTGGTGGTCGCCTGGAGCCCACTCTCTCGGCGAGTGTCTGCTTTCCCAAATCGTGAGCAGCTCTCTTCTCGGACATCTCAAGGGCGGACATGGAAGAGTTCCTTTCGTTGGATCTCTCATATCCAGGTATCATTGTGTCTTTGCCGAGGATATCAGAACTGCTCGTTCGCGTAGACAACTGGGGGAAAGACTTTTCAGAGTGTTCCTCAGGTGACATGTCAACCATTGGATAGCTCATGTCCTGTGCCATACGTTCAACATCATCCAGATTTCCCCCATGGCGGGAATGATCCAGNGGTCGAGTCAGACTATCTGGTCGTAAATCGCCATTCTTTATCGTGGTCAATACTGGTGTTGATTTGCGACCAATGCTAGCCTGACGAACAGGATTGGGGCGCATCATCTGTTCAGGTTCGCTGCTATCAGAGTCTTCATACTGATCTTGGAATGGAGACTCTTCGTGTTGACGCATGTCATGCTGATCAGCAAGATGCATTGAGATGCCAATAGGGATTGCATTACTTGAAGCGAAAGAACTCTTCGAGTCATGCAATCCTCGTTGACTGTCTGTCTCTTCCAAGATAGGCGCGACGTAGTTCGTTTGCGGGTAGTATGATGCAGGGCCTTTGCGCGCCGAAGGGGGAGGGCCTAGTGGAGGGCGGCGATTGGGCTGATAAGATGGGCGGGCAACTTGTTGAGGGATTTGCGGAGCTTGGGGCATGGGAAAATCGGGAACTGAGTAGACGGAGGATCCAGAGGAGTCGCGATGAGTACCAGCAAAAGGACGAGGCATATCCGAATAAGTGGGGGAGACCTCGTCAACCCAGGTATTTATGGGCTCTTGGTGAATGTACTGTGCGACTGGAGGGCCTGAGTCTTGACGGTATTGGGGTATAGTGCGAGTGGCTGGGGGTTCTCTGTTGGCAGCTGGTCGTGGTCGACCCAACACGATGGGGACCTGATCTGGCCGAAGTGGCCTGCTGGGTTGTGGTCTTTGGGAAGGATGCAGAGAAGTGTTGGGCGCGCCAGCCCTCGCGTCACCACTGCTTCGTGAAGATTGTTGAGATGATGACTGTTGATAGTGTGGACGCTGTGGTTGATGTCTATCGCTAGAAGAAGATGTTCGACCATCTCGTTGGTAGAACATTTTCTCACAATGGCTGTTCTTGACGACAGCGATAGACTAGTAGACGTGGAGCTAATTTGGAGAAGAAGAGAAGACCGGCTCTTCGGAAGTGTTGTGCTGTCAGTACAGAAGTGTAGCCAGGTTGAGACAAACCAGAATGTGACGATGTGTTTAGAATGAGCGTGATCGGTCCAGATCGATTATGCTGTTTTGTGGAATCCAGGCATACGAGCAGATATATGAGAAGTGAAAATAGTGCAGTCTTTGGCAAGGGCACCACCGCGTGCGAAGCGTATGCGGTATTCGTACTGGGCCAAGGGCCTGTCGAGGGGCAGAGAACAAAGAGTGTATAAAAAATCGCGACCAGCGTCCGATTGACAAAGTAGCGATCTACGCGACCTTTGGACGAAGCGACACCAAGGAAGAAACAGAAGGGATCAGGAAGACCGCCAGACAAAACTGCATGCATGTCTGCTGCAGGAGACGCTTTAGCTTAGCGAGGCATGGGATAAGCGTTGGTACCGCGCCGTTGCTCGGGCCATCGTGAAACACTGCTGGTTGGCCTCTGATTCGTCGATTGCTCTTGACACTTTATTTGCCTGTCTTTGACGCGAGCTCAATTTAGCAGTTTTTCCAGTGCCGTATGCTTATGCGTGACCATTCAGATCGAGTCGCCTCAGCTTTCTTGGTGTTCTGTTTCTTTCGTATACAAGTCGGCAGCAAACGCGCTTGAAGATCCGCGTTGTGTTGTTTGTTTGTGGATGGGAGTTGTGTGATGCAAGCTGAAACCAAGATTCGAAACGAGCCTCACCCTTTTCTGGGGAAGTTCAATTTCCGCGCTTGGTGATCGACGTCCCTGCCTTGTACTATTGATGCAAAGTGATACTATATGACCACGCTCGATCCATCGTCAAATGGGCTCTGGCTATAACCAGCACTTGCAGGCTCAATGCAAATTTCGTGAAAGTGGTGCTTGTCCAGAGCATCGAGTCGCCTACTCCTCATACATGAGGGAGCCTCGATACATGGGTAAGCCGAAGATTCTTGCACACTGATACTTTCAAAGGCATGACAGCTCGAGCCACTTCGTGACCGCATGAGGACGGATGGGTTGTCGAGTCGTTGCGTTCTCGATTAGGCCAAATGTTTGTAGAAGCCACCCTTCATTGTTTCGTACTGGACCTTTTCTACAAAGTGTCTGGCCATCGATAAAATGGCCAATGCTCTAGCTCAATGTTCTAAGGACTATCCTAGATTCGGGATAGCAGCAGGTCAGACATCTGTGTTCAGACAAGCTTTTTGAGCACGTATTGACCGCCTTCCAACACCATCTCCTGGCGCAGAATCTCAGTCACCTCCTCGACGGTGTAGCCAAGAATGTAAGCAACGTCCAATAGACCGTCGGCGTTGATTTTGGTAGGAGCTTGAAGTTGGACCTTTGGCTTTGCATTGAAGGCAATTCCAAGACCAGCTTGGTGCATCATCAGCAGATCATTACTTCCGTCGCCCACAGCGATCACATTCTCCAGCGGGATGCCCTCCTTCTCGGCAATAGACAAGAGCAATGTACGTTTCTTCTCGGCGTGAATGATAGGCATGCCCTCCACCAGCTCGCCTGTCAAATGACCATCCGTCTCGACGAGGTGGTTGGCATAGCAGTAATCCAAGCCCAATTCTTGTCGTACCCATTCAGCCAGGGGTGTGAATCCACCACTCAACACAGCGGTCTTCCAGCCGAGTTTACGAAGCACGCGTATCAACTCACGAGCTCCCGGAGTGAATGAGATGATACCAGCACGGAGATGTTGCCAGATGGAGACAGGTACACCAGCAAGATGACCGACACGAGCGCGTAAAGATGCCTCGAAATCAGTGTACGGAGCCTCTCCGCGCATGGCTGCTTCGGTAATGGCAGAGACTTGAGCATAACGACCCACAGCGCGAGCCAGTTCATCGATAACTTCTTGCTGAATCAAGGTACTGTCCATATCGAACACAGCAAGGCCCGGAGTTCTGTGAGCCACGTACAAGGCTTGTGGTTGCAACACAATCTCAATGTTGTGGCGCTGGCACAGGCTGACGATGGATGCAGTCCGGGTTATCGCGGAGCATTCCAAAAGAGTAGGTGAGGGGTTCTTTTGAGGCAGCGGGATGGCAATCTCCAATACTCGGCAACCTTGACCGTCTTCAGGACCATCCAAGAAACGGCGAGGAGTCGAGAGTGAACGTCTGATCGAAAGCTCTTCTTGTAGCGTGTAGGTGACAAAGGCAGCAACATTCTTCCATTGCTCACCGTCCAATGAGCCCTGTCTCAGGAATACGAGTGCGACGACCTGGTTTTTACGCGCATCTGATCGTTCGCGCTTGACTCTGGGCTTGGACTGTTGTTCAGTAGTGGGCTCCTGAGGATCCGCAGCGAAAGAGAACGTCTCGTAATTCACCGACATGTTGTCGTAGATAGATTCTTCGATCGACGTTCCGGGAAAAAAGTGCAGCAACTGGAGCCCTAGAGAAATATAAATGTGCCAAGCTTGGCCGAAGCCGGAGTTTCTGCCACAACACTCACTTCGATTATTCTGATTTTCTTCTTACAGAAAGCATAGCACATATTGCGGCCACAATAGAGACTAACTCCTGCTCAGGTGAAGTATTTGCTTAGGTACTCAATGCTGGTCAGGAGGTCGCTCTAAGGAATCATCACTGGTTCACACCGTTCTATGCAACTTTTATGAATTCGAACAATCACAGTCACGAGATCTCTTGATCTAGCCCGAAGTGGGCCATGCGTATGCTGTTCTCGTGCTCGTAGTTAAGAGCGGACTACGTCTTCGGCGAACAATCGCAACATAAAATAGCAAGGTTAATTCTGATCGATTTTCGACTATTTAGACCATATACAACAACGCAATGGCAATGGAATGTACACATCCGTCGACAATGCTCAGATGATAGAGCCTTGATAATCAAAGTAAGAGAAGGATGATAATCAAATACCAGACGCTTAAGACCATGAGACATTTTATTCTGGCAGGCTCTTCGAACTTCAAAAAGGAATTATAGTAAGGGTTCGTGTAACGAGTAGTCCAAGGTATACTGATAGATCAGATACGCCGAGGGTTACACTTTGTCTTGACATCGTTGTATTCAGATGGCTTGTTCCAAACGCTCAGAACCAAAGGCTGATGGGTAGTTTTTCATAGACCTTGACAAAGTCAGATGCTGAAGATATGACTTAGATTCTCGTTGGCGAAGCGAGATTTGATTGAGGCGTGGCAAGCGTTGTCTAGCTAGCGCACCTGTGGCTGTGGTGAAGCAGAGAGATGATACTTGCGGGAGTCATCATAGCACTATCTGAGGAAGGCTCTCAACGACGGCAAGCATGACACAAGTGGATTCAGAGCTCGTGTACAGAGCCGAATGCAATAAGGACGTGATACAATCTGCCCATCAAGGTATGGTAGCCATCAAGGTGATAAATTCATCAAGGTGTTTTGATGGCATGCGATAAATGGCACAGATTGGGCCTTTATCCTATTCTCGAACGTCGATTCTGACAGATCACAATGGCTCAATGCTCTACCCTTCACGATGTGCTCATTATCGGAGCAGGACCATGTGGTTTAGCAGTTGCAGCACGATTATGTGAGACGACGCCTTCGGCAATCTTCTCCGATACGGAGCATCATCGTTACCACTGGATAANNAAAAAGCACGGAGATCGCGCTTCTATTAGGGACAGACGGACCGGCCAGACAAAAACGCCCAGGAAGCCAAAAGACTGCCGTAACTACTCCACTCTTGTATTGGATGGCACCGACAAGGATTGGATGTCACGATGGAACCATCTATTCAAAACGTTCGAGATCTCACACCTAAGAAGTCCTATGTTCTTCCATCCAGACCCCCAGGATCGTGACGGCTTGTTGTCTTTCACATATGAACATGGGAGGGACAAGGAGCTTGTTGAGATCCCGGAATGCGTGGGCAAAGAGATCAGCAAGCACAAGAAGAAGCAGAGACTGAAGTGTAAGGTTCATGNNGGTGAGTAGCAGTCGAATGCTGGACACGACACATCACTAATCGTGCCTTCCAGCGCCAGACCTTCAATCACAATTGACGAGCGTGACCGCAAAGACTACTTTACTCCCTCCTGTTCGCTCTTTCAAGACTATTGCGAGTGCGTGATCGATCGCTATGGGCTCAGGAGTAATCTCATCCAAAAAGAGCGCGTCGAGGATATCGATTTCAGTATCGTTCCAGGGGTGTCTGAAACACAGCAAATATTTACGATACGTTCCGACCAAGGCGTGCACCATGCTCGCAGTGTTGTGCTTGCCGTTGGACCTGGGAATGCACCATCCATCCCGGCTGGTCTTGGGGATGCAGGTCACGGATGTTGTCATGCCATGCAGATTCGTGAGTTTCCAGACCCTTCAGTGACAGCCAAGTTGCGACAGAAGAAAGACGTGAACATCGTGGTCGTGGGTGGTGGCCTAACTTCTGCTCAATTGACCGTGATGGCGAGCAAGCATGGAGCAAGCAAAGTATTTCATCTGGTCAGGGGTCGGCTGAGAGTCAAACCTTTCGATGTGGACTTGGACTGGATGGGGAAGTTCCGCAATTTCGAAGAAGCATCATTCTGGTCAGCAGACACTGATGAAGGTCAGAAGAGCATACAAATCAAAGCCATAGGGACTCTGCTGACATTTATCANNGAGCGGCTCGACAAAATCAAGGAAGCACGTGGAGGAGGTTCCATTACTCCTAGGTACCACAAACTGCTCAAGCGATATGTAGCGTCCGGCAAGGTTGTTCTGCATACAGAAACGACCATCACTTCATCAAGTTTCTCCGACGAATCATGGAAGCTTACAACAAGTCCACCTATCGACCTACCACGCATTGACTATATTTACTTCGCCACTGGCATTGCCAGTGACTTTAGAAGCCTGCCCTTCCTGCAGACCATCAATCGCAAGTTCCCAGTTGACTCGTATGGCGGGCTTCCTGCCTTGACGGATGATCTAATGTGGAAGGAGAACGTTCCACTTTTCGTCACCGGACGACTTGCAGCGTTGCGTCTTGGTCCAGGAGCAGGAAATCTTGCAGGTGCTCGCAGTGGCGCGGAGAGGATCGCTTGGGCCATCGAGGACATCTTGCCCAAGGAGGAAGGTCGAGAGGAAGAAGAAGATCATGATGATATGATTTACAACTTCAAAACAGGTACAGGGAGCCAGTTTTGTAGTTTGGATTGTGAAGCATGTATCTAGTCCTTTACCGGTTATTTTCACAATAGCACATCTTCGAAGTCATTCTAGAACGTATGTCATCTAGGACCCTGATGAATGCACAGGCAAGTGACAAGTATATTGACCAGGTATCTAGTCCTATATATACATATCTTCTCGTGAGAACACATGATACACTACGTGCCTGTAGTATTCTAAACAGTAGCAGGTACCGCCTGTCCATGGGGTCCAGGGTTACCACCCGCTCGACCTGCTGGTTCTGCCACCGATCCGTTCTTTCTCTCTTCCGCATCTTCATCATCATATGCAGATTCTGTAGCGGTTCAATAAGTACAAGATCTAATACGAAGTTAAAGGAGAACGAACCTGCCATGAATGGACTCCTGGCTCGGATGGCAGAGCCTTTGATAAGAAGAAAAACAGGAGCCAAACTCAAGATCAGGGCTACCAAACCGAGCAAAGTGGAAGCCCATTGGTAGCCAAGGTTAGAATACAATTGAGGAGATGCGAGAGGGAGAAATGCGCCGAACACGTTTCTTCCGAATGAGGCCGCCGATAATGCTGAGGCAGAGTATTTGCTGTAAGCATCCGTAAAGTAGTTCTGTGAGGTCAATCAGCAAGATTGTTACGAGGTCTTCTCCTAGACTTACCACAACAGCTTGGTAGATGGAATAGATACCAAATCCAACCATTGCGATTCCAATAGCCGGTGCGATCCACGGAACAAAAGTGTACGAGGTCCATCCATATACGAACAATCCTGCTGTAAAGATCAGGGATCCTGGTATGGAGAAGTAAAGTCTGGCCTCTGGTATAGGCTTTCCTGGAGACTCTTTGTTTCTCCCCGCCGATCTCAAGTAAAGCTGATCTTGAATAGGATTGACAATAGTAGCTATCGTAGCTCCTGCACTCAGAGACAACTGTATGAGCGAGGTCTGGAAGACACTAAACCCATAGTTTGTGCTGAAAGTCTGTGTAATTGATGATTGAAACAAGAACAGCAGACCCCACTTCACAGATGATTAGTACAAGAGATATGCAGCCTCCCCATATGCTAAAGACAGTCACAGTGTAGCTGCCAAAATGCACAATGTTTTCGCGAAAACTACAGTCTCCACTGAGAGAACCTTAATGTAGGTTATCTCAATGATCAGACTCATATTCGAGTCAAAACTGTGCATTCCGATAGCTTATAACAACCCTTATAGCTCGGGATGGGGAAGGGGTCAGTTGTAAATTGTGACTGTCTTTAGCACACGGAGAGGAAAGACGTTTCAAGACATGACTCACGGCGAAGGACACCCAGAGCTGGGAAGGAAGTTAGCATGTGTGCAATATGTACAAGCAAGTACGACACTCACGGTAAAAGAAGCGACAGTGTACTCTGTCAACAGCATCTTGGTAGGTCTTTTGAAAGATACCTTGAGCATCTCAAGTACGCTGTCTTTGTTGAGTTCGCTCTTAGCATAAGCATTGCGGCCTTCTTTGCGAAGCTTTTGGCCTTTCTAGCGAGAATCACATCGCCTCGAGTTTCCTTAAGTAGAAGCCAGAAAATGGGAAGACATCCAGCCTAGTTACGATATCAGTACAACCCCAAGAGGCAGTCGTTTTGTTTACGCACATTGAAGATAATTTGAATATAGTATATCCATCTCCAGTTGAGGTTGCGCTGGATAGCTCCACCGATGAATGGTCCAAGTGCAATGCCTAATACACAAACCTGGTCAGTAGGGGTCGTGGTTGAGATTCGTCGGGCAATCTTGCTAATGAGCACCAAGTAGTGTCAAGTCGTAATACATACCAACTACTGAAGTCCATCCGAAGATAGACATTGGAATTGATCTGGGGACGTTTGGTCAGCTAGCTATCAACACGACGTTGTTTGAGACATTACCTCTCTTTCTCTGTCCGATAAAGATCTGAGATAGAACCTCCTACAAGGTTGATACTGACTGACGATGCGCCGCCTCCTATGAATCGAGTGACGACCATTGTGGCAAAGTTCTGCGCAAAGGCCGAAGGAAAGAGGAAAATGATGAAGATGATGTAGGATGCGCTGCAATATCGATATCAGTATACCGCATAACAGATCACTGATGGCCTTCTCATACAAGTAACCAGGCATTCTACCTCTGGTGCGGCTGTTAGCTTGGGGTTCGTACAAGAGGGATACTTTTACCATACAGATTCTCAGTCAAAGGCACAAAGAGCAAAGGAAACAATGCAGCCCCCATATTCCAAGATACGGTTGCCTGAACTCAATTGATAAGTTAAAAGCACCGAAAGGGGGATCTAAACAATATACCCATGTAAGGTTCGGAAATGGTTCGTTCTGGACGTGCCATAAGGAGCTCATCTGATCATTAGCAGCGCTATAACTGCCAGCCGGCAAACCTGTCAAGATTGAACTGCAAATGCTTAGCGATTAAAAGTTAAATGAGTTGAGCCAATCCGTACATGAAACAGGTAGTAAGTGTCATGACCCATTTGCGCGATGTAGACCAATTGAATCTGATATAACGAATTCAGTCATGTGTGCTCGAGTGAATACTAATATGAAAGGCTTACGGGTTTGCTGGATCATCACGACCCTCCCAGTCAACGACTTCAATATCGCCATTCTCATTCGAAAGATGGTGTTTTTGTTTTTCGCCATCTGAGGCTTTCCCAGACTCTGAATGGAGACCAGAAAGTCTGTCTTGGCTAAAGTCCCTCTCTTCCTTGTCGCTTAGATACGCCATAGATGCTCTATTAGTAGACATGGTCAAGATTCAAAGTTAGGTGAAAGACTGAAAGCAACTTTGAAGCATGCAAAACAAAATTCTCGGGCCTTTGACATCGAAAAGATATGATGCAAAATAAAACATGGCTCGAATGGCAGTGTGACATCAGCCGTAACTCAATTCTGACTGCGTTCAGATTACAAAGATACTTCTTTGCGAGGAAGAAGGGCCGAGTCCATACCAAAAAACGGGTCCTGGCAGATGATGTCGGCCCCAGAAAACGTTTCGCCGTTGCGGTCATACTTATGAGATCACTCGATGTTCTTCCTCAAGATTATCGTGTACAAAGCCAGCGACTAGTTGAATAATGCTTCGAACGACTGTAACGTGGTTATAGAGTGTGACTATTGAGAACGCGGAGAGAGTCAAAGTAAACTTGAGCAGCCTCACGTACGGTTGCTAAGCTTTTCGGTTAAACTTGCCGGTCTGTCTTCTTGACTACCTATTTCTAGACAAAGATTCTGGGACAACGCTTGATGAAGCTGGAAAGACGATACCAGCTACTCGAAGACTGCCCATACGCGTGTTTCCTATGAGAAATCCTTGAAGATTTTTTCGCTCCATGATGCTGGCGGTTTGGCCGTGTCTTCTCAACAGCCTGATAAACAAGTCCTCTTGTTGGTGTCGGACAAGCTTGAGCGATGTCCAGACCGTGAGAGTTTGTAGAACTCTGCGACTTTGGCTTAACTTGGGCGAAAGTTGTTGCTGGTTTTGTGGAAAGTAGGTAAGTGGAGCTGCAGGATTGATCGCTTAGATATGCAGAGTCATGCATCACGCACATGATAACAACAGATCATAACTTCAGACTCTCACGTAGGCTGGGACGGTCAGTGTTGTGACTAGATTGCCAAGATACTGGGTACTCACTAGCATCAATCTTCGAGACCTGAGGCAAAGCCAAGCGGACCTTGTTACGATATAAAACAGGATTAGACTTTTGTAGGGGATTGCCCTCAAAGTAGACTTCCGAGAGCTCTTTCTTGTCGCCAAGCTCTTTNTCCAACTCGTCGAATCGGTCTAGCTTACAGCTTGTTGCCCAGAGGTTTTCAATATGGACCAGGGCTGAGACACCACGTAGCGAGGTGATAGGGTTGTTCTGAACATCTAGGATTCGGATGTTGGGCGCGTGAGAAAGAGGCTCTAGAGAGGTCAACAAGTTATCTGATATGTACAACTCCTCGAGTTGAGGCAGCTCCTTGAGCCCTTCCAAGGATGTGATTCTGTTTGCTTGAATGGAGAGCGTCTTTAGTTTTGTGAGCGTGGAAAGTCCCTTGAAGAGGTCAGTATCTATACTTAACACATCTTCAGCCTTATCGCACCTTGAGCTCGGTAATCTTGTTTTGACCAAGCCATAACGAGTCGAGATTGGTTAGAGTTTCCAAGCCAGAAATTTCCTTCATGCGTGTAAGTTTACGTTTGTTCGAGCGAGAGGACGGGCGATGGATACCCTTATTCTGTTGGCTCCCAACTCCAGGTAGGTGAGATTTGAAAGCCCGTCCAAACCCTCGATACGAGAAATCTTGTTCTGGACAAAGTAGAGGTGGTCTAGTTTCTTCAAGTGGTCGACACGCTTGATGTGTTTGATCTTGTTGTAACTCAGGTCCAAGCTGCGCAGCTCAGTGAAGGAGTCAAGGCCTTTGATGTGCGAGATGAGGTTGTCATATAGCTCGAGGTCTTGAAGGGTAGTGGCGAGGGATTCGGGAAGCTCGATAGAGGAGATGGAGTTCTGGCGCAGACACAGTTTNCTTGAAGGGACAGTCAGTCTTGGCTGAGCCTGAAGTTGAAAGACGTGTGGACTGACGATGACTTTGGCGAAACGCTCGAGACGGAGTGCAGGGATCGAAGACACTCGGCTGTGCTGGACGTCTATTTCCTACGGGCTCGTCAATACAGGAGCGCAGGTGCAAGAAGCGAAAGGAGCGACCTCGGTTTCAGGATCCTCATCTTCGAGCAAGTCTNNGGGAGTATCGTTAGTACCGAGCAAGGTTGTGGATGCGCACAGCCAAATACCTTCATCTGCTTCGATCTGATCAACTGGAGGGGCGTCTTCGTCTGAATATTCGGGATCCGACAGGGCCTCGGGGTTCGCCAGTACGGCCTTTTTGTTCTTGTCAAGGCGTAGTTTGCCGTCCCATCCTGACTTGCTGCTATGCAAGCCGTTGCTCTTAGCGCCCGCTTCTCCAGATCCGGGCGCGACCATCTGGTCGGCAATGGGTGCGTCAGTAGGCGTCGACATAGTTGTATGACAAAACTTCCTGCCAGATAGGATAGGGCGAGAGTTGACAAGTTCAAGGGTCGCAAAACGGGCGTCATTGTGTGGGGTCTTGAACCCACGAGCCTCAAACATGGCACGCGTCACGCCATCACATGCCATCCCACAATCACACCTGGCAGCGAGAATAAGATGTCTATTACATGTTGATCTAAAAGTATACAGGGAATGCCAGTTGAAGGATATAAACACCCATGCCTCATAACGCCGCGCTTTGTCAGTTCATGCCATCGTCATACACCTGACGCTTCACTTTCTATCAGCTCCTCAGCTCGCTGAAGATGTATGGGAACAGCACAACGCAAGCCTTGTACAGCACTCCGATACTCGCAACTGCTCGGAACGGCATCAGTAGAGCATTGCCCGACGTGATGTAAACCCAGATCGAGAGGAAAGCAACAGCAAAGAAGTGGTANAAGAGAACCATGGGCTGCCGGATGATGCCAGCTAGTAGTCCGACAGGTCCATCGATACACTGTCCTCCTCTCTGAAAGTAACGGAAACATCCTTGCTGTAGCGCTCTGAGTTGAGGGTCTNNGCTGTGTGTCAGAAATCTTGATCCTACTAACTGTTATCAAGAAGAAAACTCACCATTCGCAGCGAACAGGNNGGAATACAGCGCTTGCGCAAGAATGTTGATGACGCTTGTCAAATTCTTTCTCCTCCAATGAAACACATCCAGCTGAGCCAATACGGCTCTGGTATCCTCGAGTCGTGGTACTTGTTCAGGAGAGAGAAGTCTGGACAGCAGCAGAGCATCGTTGAAAGCCACGGTCATGCCACCTCCTGTCAAAGGGTGACGCATGTTCATCGCGTCTCCAAGCAGTATCACGCCTGCGTGTTTGTTCTTGGAGGCAGGCAAGAACGAGTTGGGCATAGAGCGCAGAGCACCACGGTCAAGAGCGGCTTCGAATGATGGCCGCACTTGTGCAGGCAACGAGGGCAGTACGACGTTGCGTAAATGGTTNTTGACACCGCCATTCTTGACAGATGCAGACGGAAGGTTCTCAGGAACATCCACGAGAGCACGCGTCTCACGTGTACCAATCTGGTAGAGCAGAACTGGAGGACTGTCACTGATCAGAACGTGACCGTGATTAGGCATTGGTAGGTCAGCATCGATCAACTCGAGCCCCCAGAACTTGGACTTGACCACGGGAGCCCGAGTGTTCATCTCTTTGCGAAACTTGCTAGCATAGCCGTCGGCGACAACAGTCAGATGGGCGAAGTAGTAGTCCTTGCGGTCTTTAGTAGAGCATTCGACTCCCAGAACTTGTCCGCTGTATCCACTTCGCACCAAGTCCGTGGCCGTGGTTTCCNNAATGACCGTGACGTTGGCGCACTTGAGAGCACGCTCTCGAAGTTTCTGGATGAAACGGCCGTGGTGGAATGAACGCCCTTCGGGTCTCGACTTTTTCTCTTTTGCGTCCGGATTGGTTGTAGTAGAAGCAGCATTCTCGGGATATGGGATGGCGACCTCATCGCCATGGTATATAACATCGTAGCCGAACACCTTAATAGCGTCAATGTCCTCGAGACAGTCGGCCAATCCAAGCTCTTCCAAGGCGGCGACTCCGCCAGGCTGCAGCAGTTCTCCTACAATGCGATCGGGCTGTTTGAGAGATTTCTCGAGCAAGACGACGCTCCGACCCTGATCGGAGAAGGCGACGGCGAGTGCGCATCCCAGAATGCCGGCACCAATGATGACCACATCTGCTTCATGGTGCACTCGGCGGCGCGACTCCAAGGCGTCGATTACGGTGGGAGAGGGTGGAGGCGAGTCAAGGATGAGCGGCATGATCTAGGGCGATAGGATCTAGAGAGAAGTCGAGGACAACAGCATAGCAGGGCAGATTCAGTGGTGCGACAAAGGCCAACAAAAGATTCAGAAAGGAGCAATTGTCATACGATTGAGTTGACTAGTTACTGGTAAATTTGACAGGGTCTGCAACCGCCTCATACGTATCGAAAGTCACCCCACCGCCTGGGCCATCAGGCCATTCCCACCACTCTACCAAAACAATTGTTGAATCGAACTGACCGACTTGCAATGTGCGTATTGCGCTGGTCAAAACGCTTAGAAATCACGCACACTTGTGCTTGCAGATGAGTGATTCGGTATGTGCTCAATCATTGGGGTGGCGGGTTGCCCCTGTTGGCAAATATCGGAGACAAGCGGGAGCCGAACGATAGGAACTGTCTCGTAGTGCAAACACCTGTTCAGCTTCTTTAAGTACTTTATTGACGGGAAACAATAGAGAAGGACATCTGCAAGACTCGGAAGCGAGCAAACAGATTAGGCAGGCTTCATGCTTTGTTGTCACTCATTCGTTCAAGATGGAGGAGACAACGAGCAAGCCACAGCTACCGGTATCCAGTCACCCAGGTGCCTCGCCTGTGCAACCGAGCTGTCAGGCGCGGCGTCACGCATGCATGTTTTTTCGCATTCGAAATCGCCTGCATACTCGAGACCCTAAATCAATGCATCCAGTCGAGTATTGGGCGGCCAAATAGGGAGGTGAGGGGATGCTTTGCTTCTAGTGATTTACAAGCCCTATGCCATCGTGTTGCCATCGGACTGATGACGTCGACATCCTCGCTGTCCATCTCCAGTGACTGGATCGTTGTCGATATCCTGCTCACAACCCATAACCAGTTCAATTTGAACAAAGCAAAAGGCAGCCATGGCGCCTAATCTCAACAACTGCAGAGTGCTCAAAGAAGAGCCGCTCGCTTCTTCTGATGCCAAATGGACCGCTTTGAGAAAGTTCGTATCCAGAACACGATTTGCTTGTACTTGATTGCTAAGCATTTCCAAGANNATCACATATAACAATGCGGAAAACGCCACCAAGATCTGGTAGGTAGACCATGGGAGTATTGTGTCAGGTCAGAACTCAAGCGAATCAGGGNAATCAGCCGTAAGACCGACTCGACCATCCAATAGTTCGATAGATGCAGTGGGCATCGTCGCCATCCTGGAGAAGCCCAATGGACCAGAGTTGCTTCTGCAAAAGCAATATCGTCCGCCTATCGACAAGGTTTGTATAGAAGTTCCCGCTGGCTTGGTAGACGAAGGCGAAGATGCAGAAACTTGTGCACTTAGAGAGCTCAAAGAAGAAACTGGCTATGTGGGAGAAGTGATCAAAGGCACTTTGGGAGTGACACCGGTGATGTTCAATGGTATTCAGACTCGAAAGATACGACGATGTTCCACGACTGACTATGTGTTTGCAGACCCGGGGTTCTGTAATACGAATCTGAATATGGTCCACGTACGTCTAGATATGTCGAACCCCGACAATCAAAACCCACGACCAGAACTCGAAGAGAATGAGTTTATCGAATGTTTCTCGATTCCGTTGAAAATACTCTACGAGGAATGCAGGAGGTTCGAGACAGAAGGATATGCTATAGATGCCAGGGTGCTCACACTGGCCGAGGGCATTGAAGTAGCTCGACAATTCAAGATCGTCTAGTCAAAGCTAAAAGAATCGTCGAAGGAAAAGATACATTTGATCAACACAGAGAAAGGCTGTTCATTTATCTAACTAGTTGTAATTTGAGCGCTACAGCCGACCATTTTCATGTGTCTCTGCAACTGATGAATGATGCTGGGGACCGAGTACAAGGCTCGCATCGAATGCGATCTCTTCTTCGACTCAAAGTCCAGGTCATCCTCCACAGCTGTCAAGCGCGGCGCGCGGAAGCAAGTGTTAGCTTCCTGTACCCGGGTTCATTGACGTGTTCCTAATATGTTACTGTGCCGCATTTCGCGTGTCATTGTTTGGTTCCTGAGTGAGCATCGAGCCAACAATATCCTTTTGAGGACGGTATCCACAGCTGTCAGAGTGGAAAATGAGGGTCTAGGCATAAGTTCAACGGCCTCGGGAAGGCCCGCCCGCTGTCGCCAACGTTTGACGGGCGAGCGACTTGCAAGCACGTTTCGCCGAGAAAAAACTTGATAAGAACAAGCTAGGATCACCCTTTATGCACTCTCTGCGCGAATCACGAAAAGCTGTGGTCGGGGATGCAGGAGTTCTCTGCGGTGTGATTGGGTGGCTTGGCTGTCATTCTTGCTATCACACTTACCGATCGTTTGGAGAGGGGGGATGACTCGACGATGCACAGCACAAGTATATCGGAGACATGGTACAACACGACCAGGATTGATGGTGACATTGTCCGAAAATTGACTTCTGCTGCTTGCGGTCTACTTGCGAGAGACAATGTCAACCAAGAATAGACAGGCATGCTCATTCGTATCTGGAGACAAATGCACCAAGTGTTTTGGTATAGTCAGCAACCAAGCACAGACCGGGGGCTGAACCACCTCGGCTCGACCAAAAGAGCTGCATACCTATTAATTTGTTCCGATACCTTGGGCAACCAATATGCATCCCCACTTCCAGTTCGACGCCAAGGCCATGAAAACCTGGTCCGCTGGCCTCGAGCTCATCAGCATGGGAAAGAGATTTGGGTGGGTTTGACACCCTTGTCCGGGTACGCATCCACGCACGGGCAGACAGGGCTCGTATCACAGCGTACCAGCAAAGTGGAAGGAGACGAGGCGAGACTAGCAGCCGAATGGTCAAATGAGATGCACCACTTTGGAGCGAAGATGTCGTCGAGCGGCGTGTCGCTTTTCATAAAATACCCTCGCCAGAAGACCCTACAGTACAGGCGCCGGGCGCTACCCGAATCCACACAACGGGTCAATGCACTAAACCAAAGCAGCATGTACGTGCAGATGCTCTCTCGCGTTAGTTGACTTGTGTGTTCCCACCGTCAGACATTAAAGATAATGGGTCTGGCACGATTCCATCCACCGCTCTCCCCTCTCCCCACCCTCTCTTCGGGATGCAAGGATTGCTTGCCTTTTGCATGTATTTTTCGCAACCCACGCATTCGCTGCCATCTCTGCTTCATCCTTGTAAGACAAACACTTCTGGCTCGGAACCGTAACCTGGTTTTGGGATCGTCTCGCAGCTGCTGTGCTCGATCGCCTCACGCCCACTCACCCTCGCCGATTGGGTGGTCGACTCATTTGTGACAGGAGCATGCACAGTATATCAAATTCGTTTCGTTGCACTTTTCCAAGGACTTGTCTGTATCACGCTCTTGCGGACATTTTCAAACCCGCCCTGCTACTTCTGCGTACTTCTTTCCCGTCAACAGCACTGTGAATATTCCAGTGGTATACTCCAAATGCAGTTGTAGGATATCTACCGGGCCGAGAACACTCCTAGATATTACGTATGTCCGGGTCGCGACCTCCTTCGCCTGTCCATCCTCGTATTGGCAACACCTCTTTCAGAGAGATGGCGGCGGAGGCTCAAAGGCCACATCACTTTTCTGTCCCACAATTTCTCGGACACCCTGAGCGACACAACTCGATCGGGTATCAGTTCCCGCCGATACCTGGACAAGAGCGGTCCAGCATATCTTTTCACCCACCGTTTACCACTTTACCGCCACCTTCATCGCGTTCAGGAGCTTCGACCAATCCACAGAACTATGTACAACGATCAGTCCCAATAGCAAAGTTGTTGTCCGATGCTCCTCAGGAACCACCACTTCGCCCCAGGCAGATATCGGCACCTGGCCCCTTCTCTTCCGGGCTGCCTTCGCCACATCCACCTGTAGTGTATCAGCCAAACGTAGCCAATCCACCACAACATTTGCCGCTGCCAAATGTGCGGACCTCGCCTGTCTTCCGTGTGCCACAGTACCCGCCGCAGGCTTCGAGTCCGCACCGTGTCTCACAGTTTCCGCAACACAACTCACCCGTTGCTTCGAACAGTCCATCTTCAGGCTCTCTTGACTCAGGAACCTCTCCCCGAGAGCGTCCGCCTGCCATCGTGGAGAAATTCAGTCGTCTGCCATCATTCTCTGCACCATCTCCGAATCTGAGGTATGAGCTCAACATGCGGCAACAGCCTGTGGCTGCCAGAGCATGTGGTTTTGGAGAACGCGACCGACGTGTCGTTGACCCTCCACCGATCCTTGAGCTCAAAGTTATCGATACCGAGACGGGAAAAGTGGATAGCGAAAACACTCCTTATGTATACACGACACTGCATTGTACTCTAATCAACTCCATGACATACAAAGACGAATCACAGATCGAACCGGCTCATCCAAACGCGCCAGCTACGCAACGCCTGATGGGAACCGCAGTGGCATCGCCATTTTCTGGTACGGATGAGACAGGAAAGAGAGGGACGTTCTTTGTCTTTCCTGATCTATCTTGCCGAAATCCAGGGAGATATCGCTTCCAGTTTCGCTTGCTGATAGTCGATCCACTGAATCTTTCTGTCGGAACAACCTCGCGGATACAGAGCTCGATCATCTCGGAGCCATTCGAGGTGTATACTGCGAAAGAATTTCCAGGAATGCGAGCCAGTAGTGCTTTGCTCAAAGCTCTAAGAAAACAGGGTTTGAACGTAGCTGTCAAGAAGGGTCGTGAGGCTACCAAGAAGGCGACCAGGAGACCTGGCCATGTTGACGAGGACGACAGCAGCGGTGAAGATGGAGAAAACGTTGCCGACGAGGACGATCAAGACAGCGACGACGCACGCTCGCAAGCGGCTACTGGCAGCAAAGATCGAAGAAAAAGGAAAAGAAGAGAGTGAATGAGACCACGAGCGATACGCCCCAATAGATGTATGATTTCCTTTTTAGTGCCTCATTTTCGGTTGTTTATACGGGCATCTTGGCCGGCATGTCTTGTTTAGCTCCTGTATCTTGCACTTCTCCCCTCGATTTTGAAGAATCTAGTGTTTTGGCAAAGAAGGTCATCGGTTGCATGTAGGCATTTTGAGTATTTATCTAATCTAAGATAGCATTTCGGTTGGTGGAACACATATTTTCTCTGTTTCTCAAAGTTGAACCAAATCCACGAGCCATCATCTTGGTAATTGCCTGACCATATACTTCGTACGAACAGGAGAATCATGCGCCCTCCAAGCCTTCATATAACTTGACTTTCCAGCTCTTGCTTGGATTGTTGTATCTGTATGTGAAGTCGCGGCCCAGCTTTGCGAGAACTTCAAGGTCGTCTGAGTCGAGCTCGATATGCTTACTTTCGAAGTTTTCTTCGATCCTCTCTGGGTGTGCGCTTTTGGGTATGACGCTCGTGCCTCGACTCATGCCCCAAGCCAATGATATGCCCGCAGTCGTGGAGTTGTGCTTGTCTGCCAGCTTTATCATCGCCTTGTTCTTGAGCAATGGGGGAGGCATGTGTTTTGCTTTTTCATGGTAGGTGGGATTGGTTCCTCCAAGTGGCGAGTAGGCCGTCACATGGATACCACGGACCTTGTGATAAGAAATCCAATCTTCTTGCGGTAGATAGGGGTGCAACTCCATCTGGTGACAATATGGAATATGAGTTGTACGGTTCAGCAAGGTGTCGAGTTGCGAAGGTGAAAAGTTGGAGATTCCGATGCGTCTAGTCTTTCCCGACTGCACCAGTTGCACCATGGCCTCCCATGTGTCGAGGAAATAGATCTCATTACCCTTGCTCGTCTCAGCGACTGGCCAGTGCATATGATACAGATCAAGGTAGTCCAGGTTGAGATCGGATAGTGTCTTATCGATGGCAGCTTCGACCATAGTTGGATCGTGGTGGTCGTTCCAAAGTTTGGAAGTGACCCAGATATCTTCGCGAGATAGTCCAGCTTTCTTCAGGCCCTCGGAAATGCCCTTGCCTACAGCTTTCNNTGTATATTGTTATGATTTGATCGAGCAAGACGGGAAAGGCACAATTACCTCGTTCCTATATGCGGCTGCACAATCTATGTGCCTGTAACCAGTGTGGATTGCGTGAGACACTGCATCAGTAGCATTGTCCTTTAAGTTCCATGTTCCAAATCCGATGGTAGGAATTTGGAANAGGGTCGATGGTCCGAGAGGCACTTGGTTCTCAGATGGTTGTTTGGCAGCAACTGCGGCGAAGCCTGCTGCGTATGGCAAGAGTGAAAGCAAATGCATTTCCGTCAATAATCTGCTGCAAGAGCGCAATGTCCGCGTAGGTTGAACAAGTCAAGATCCGAGTACATCGCTACACCCTTATATCTGTTTACCGATCCCTGCGATATCTGATGTCATGAACTGCTCATTAGGCATTTCCCCGCAGTTCGTGTGCCTTGTGAGGTCGCGGTGATTGTCAGTCTGCAGCAAGAGTCTGCAAGACGAGCATGCGGCATGATATGGGTTGGTCTGTGTACATACTTCGGTGTTTTCCCAGACGTCCAAGCTGGGTTTCCTAAGTAGATGTTGGCGGTATAAACACTCACATCTGGATCCTGGGTGCTGGACTTCGATACTCCACATAAATGGCCTAACCCCACCTTATTTGTTTGCTTGGTTTGCTTCAGTGATACAGGTCTTGCTGTATGTCCACGGGTAGGAGAGTTCGGATCGAGGCAACACAGTACGGATCATTGAGGGAAGTGAAAGTGGCTGTCATTTCAGAAAATTGTCAGGTCAATGGGGCCTCGAGAGTGAAGTAGGCACTTCGTATTGACAGGGCGGGCGCTTTGACCTCAGGGCCTTTTTCGAGTCATAGTGCTTCCCCAGGAAAATGGCAGCGAACGCGTTTTTCTGGCGTTTCGCGAAAAAATTCCACCTTCTTTCCCTTCCCGCTGGCATAAGCTAGTGAGGCGACCCTAAGGTGTATCATCTAAAGCAAACATGAAATACGTATTGGTATCTGGAGGTAAGAGCTAGGGCGCTAGTATCATGGCTCGATTCGGGACTAATGGCTTGTCCAGGTGTTATCAGCGGTGTCGGCAAGGGCATTATTGGTATGACCAGCGTTCACGAGAATGCACGCCAATACTGACATGATTGCGACGTCAAGNCCTCGTCGACCGGCCTGCTGCTGAAGACTATGGGATTGAAGATATGTCTGCCCTGTCTTGTTTGTCTGTTCTCGTGCTGACAAGACATACGTCTCTTCGATCAAGNNATTGACCCCTATCTCAATGTCGATGCCGGTACCATGAACCCCAAGGAGTATGTTCACTGTCCCCGTACTGCAATCGTGCAGTTCTGACACGTTCAAGGCNATGGCGAAGTCTTCGTTCTCGACGACGGTGGTGAAGTCGACCTCGATCTCGGCAACTACGAGCGCTACCTCAACATCACCCNNCTGACCCGCGAAAACAACATCACCACTGGCAAGATCTACCAGCACGTTATCGAGAAGGAGCGTAGAGGAGACTACTTGGGCCACACTGTCCAGGTGGTCCCTCACATTGTCGACGCCATCCAGGATTGGGTTGAGAGAGTGGCCAAGATCCCCGTCGACGACACAAATGAAGAGCCCGACGTCTGTATCATCGAGTTGGGTGGCACAGTTGGCGATATCGAGAGCATGCCGTTCGTCGAGGCAATGACTCAACTTCGCGCCCGCGCTGGAAGAGACAACTTCATGCAGATCCACGTCAGCTACGTGCCCATGGTCCACGGCGAGCAGAAGACAAAGCCCACTCAAATGGCCATCAAGGCCGTGCGCAGTGCAGGTTTGATTCCTGATCTGATTGCTTGCCGTTGCGAGCACCCTCTCGACGCTGGCGCCCATCAAAAGATTGCTCGCTTCTGCCAGGTCCCCCTCCCTCAGGTTCTCGTTGTTCGCGACATGCCCACCACATACCAAGTCCCCATTCTCCTTCAAGAACAAGGCCTCTTGCAGAGTTTGAAGGACATCCTTCGCATTGATGCTTTGACCATCTCTCCCCTTCTTGCAGCCAAGGGTGCCGAAATCTGGTCCACCTGGAACACCCTGGCAAATGGCCTGGCAACCGTCACCGATATTGTCGAGATTGCGCTGGTTGGAAAATACCTCGAGTGTCCCGACAGTTACTTGAGTGTTGTCAAGAGTGTGGAGCACGCCGCCATGAGATGCAAGAAGAAGCTGAAGATTGTCTGGGTTGATGCCGAGCACCTTGAGCCTGAGTCTGAGCGTGCCAACCCCGCTGCTTACCACAAGGCCTGGCACGATGTCTGCACCGCTTCCGGTATCCTGGTTCCTGGTGGTTTCGGTCAAAGAGGTACCGAAGGTATGATGAAGGCTGCCAAATGGGCCCGTGAGAACGGCACGCCCTACCTTGGAATCTGTCTCGGCATGCAGATTGCCGTCATCGAGTTCGCAAGAAACGTCTGCAACATCCCTGTTCCTGTCTCGACCAGTCAGGAGTTCGACGCTCGTGACGAGGACCGCATCATCGTCTCCATGCCCGAGCACCACCCTGGACAGCTCGGCGGAACCATGAGACTTGGTCTCAGACCTACCCTCTGGCAGCCTGACTCAGAGTGGAGTCGTCTTCGCGCCCTGTACGCCTCTACCACTTCCGCCGACGGCCAATCACAAATTTTGGAGCGTCACCGTCACAGATACGAAGTCAACCCCAACTACGTCTCCACCCTGGAGTCCAAGGGCCTGAACTTCATCGGCAAGGATGAGACCGGCGTTCGTCAAGAGATCATCGAGCTCAAGGATCACCCCTGGTTCGTTGGTGTCCAGTACCACCCCGAGTATCTGTCTCGTGTCCTCCACCCCAGCAAGCCTTATCTTGGATTCATTGCTGCCAGTGCAGGCATGCTGGACACAATCACTGCCGAGATTGTCAAGGAGAAGACGGCAAACACTTCGTTCTAGAGGGGGAAAATCACGAATATGAATGGTTAGATGCATCGAAAAGAAGACAAAATGGGTGGGGATCACATAATGCATTATCACGGCGTTGAGAGGCGTCCTTGAACGTCCGAGGATGGGATAGAAGACTCCTTGCAGTTAGATCACAGGCAATACCACATTCAAGTTGGATCTGTGATGGCGTTATTGACAATTACGAAGACCAATTCTTTTCTCACTACTTTCCCTTCCGATTCTGAAATGACTGGTTGATGCATATTCAACGTTGGAGCCGTGGAGGCGTGCCTAGTGTTTAAAATGACCTCTTTGTACCTGACCAGAGTGCTTCTACGTCTAGGTATTAGGGTTTCAAATGTTCGTTACGTGCTATATCCTACAGACTACCAACAGTATCAACCTTCCAAACGACTCTTGAGGTTGGCCACTTCTTTTGTCAGGCTCTCGATACGCTCCGCCTGTGCTGCCATGTCCTGAGCCTGTTGCATCAACAAACTCTTGATTTCAGACAAAGCGCCCTTGATACCCTCAGCGGCTCCCTTCGCTGCGCCTGCGGCTGAAGTTGGAGGCTCTGCGCTGGCAGGCGTTGGCTTGGAGGGCTCTGCGACTGGCGACTTGATATCTTTGGTCTTGGGCTCAACGACAGGCTCAGGAGCCCGAACAGATGTGGTGTTTGTAGGTGTCTGAACTTGAGGGGGTGTGCGGACGCCAGTCTTCTCCTCCTGCTTGGTAGCTACAGTTGAGTTGGGGCGCTGAACAGGCTTGGGTACCTCGTCGAACTCATCGTTGGCGTTGCCCTTCGATTGAGTTACCTCATCCTTATCAGCGAACCTGTCAGCCATAGCGGACATGCTAGCCTGGTTGTCCTGCATGGATCCCCTGCTGACGGGAGCAGGTGTTGGCTCGGGTTTCGCAGGCGAAGCAGGAACAGGAGTTGGAGCGGAAGAGGACGAGATTGAACCAGGAGCTGGAGTGCTCTTCACTTGATTGGCAGAAGGGGCTTTCTCAGCAGGAATCTCGACTGGAGTCTCGCCTTCGTACAGACTCTCAAGAGAAATCTTTGGTGGAAGGGCAGCTGCCTTGCCTGAGAACCAGTCCTCACTAGACATGGAAGGCTTGCTGCCAGTGGCGGGAGGATAGATGTCATTTTGGAAGACCTCTGCACGGCGAGGAACAATGAATGAGATGGGCTCGATCAGGTTCTCGTTGACCGTCTTGTAGGCACGCATAACCTCGTTCTGATGCAGGTTGACACCACGCTTGGGCACAAAGGCAACACCACGCTGAGGGTCGGCCGACTTGTACTCGGAGAGATACTCGAACTTGTCGTTCTCGTACTCGTAGTAGCGGATGTTTCCATCACCCTTGCCAGCAAGGTACAGCATCTGGGTGCCATCGTCCCAGAAGGGCATGCAGACACCGCTGATGGAGTCGAGAATGGAGAATCCACCAATGGGTTCTTTGGGGTTGCGCACATCCCACAGACCGAGTTGACGGTCGCTCATGCGCGAGAAGCCGGTTGTAGCAACACGATCATGGTCGCCCATCCAGACTGCTCTACTGTTCTTTGCGCCGGGGTGACCTTGAACTTCGTGTGCCGGTCTTTCTTGTCTTACATCCCAGAAACGGATCTTCTTATCGCGGCAAGTGGTCACAAGCATGCCACCATCGGCTGACCATGACAGGGACTGGACAATGTCGTTGTGCTTGAGAGTAAGGCGAGGGTCGTTGGAAGCGAGATCCCACAGCTTGATGGTGCAATCGCCCGAGGAACTTGCCAGAACGTTGGCGGCTGAGGGGTTGAACAAAACGTGGCCGACTTTGNNCTGGTATAGGTTAGTGTGACGCAGATGGGGAGATGTGCGCAGAGTGGCATACCGAGTGTGGCCAGTCAACTTGTGCACAGGGCTGACATCGGTGGGCTCGTCGGCGTCGGTGTGCAGAGTGAAGTCCTCGGGGACCTTCCAGACGAAGACCNNTGCGAACAAGAGTGCGTCAATTATGCATTCGCAAGGCAGCGGACTTGTCGAAGATACCTTTCCATCGTCGGAACCGGAAGCAATGACCGAGTCGTCAAAGGGGTTCNNCTGTCATGGGTGTCAGGAAGCTGTATAACTAGAGTTTGAGATTCGGGGAGCGCACCAGTCGGTGTCGAGGACGGCAGCCGTGTGGCCACGGAACAGGGGCATAACATCGGGCAGCTTTCCACGCTCATCGACAGGAATGACAGCAAAGGCGCCACCACCGCTGGCCTCCCAATTGACCGAAAGGTACTTGGGGTTGGCCTTGATCAGGTTCGTGTCCCAAGCATTCTTAGAGATGCGGAGGTTGTCGTAACATTGCTCCTGCTCAGGGAAGGGTCGTCAGAGAGGGACGCGGTGGACGGCGGGGGCTGCGATGAGGGATACCTTCTTGGTCGACTGCCCGAAGACGTGTCCTGGTCGGTGTTAGCCATGTCGTGTGCCTGGGACAGACGCGTCAAGGCGCTTACGGTACTTTGACGCTCTCACGAAGCGGCCAGACATGGTGGATTGGACAGGCGTCTTCACCAGGTACAAAACAATACAGAGCGAGGACGACGAGGCTTGCGACTGAGTCGGCGAGGGTACGGACTAAGTCGGTAGAAGTGATACGGTATGCGCACGGTACCCCCGGCCGAGGCGCTTGCGCTTCGCTCGCCTGACAACGCTCTAGCTCCACCCTCGTCATCTTGCCGACCAAGCCACATTCTATCCAACTGCTTGCAAGTGCTCCATGGCAATTCTAACCAGCCATTCTCACAGCACAACATGCTCTCTTCTACATGCAATCAGTTGCGAGCTCTCAGTCTGCTTCCCGTAAACAATTTAGATAGTCTTTCAACACTGCCCCTTTTCGAGACGTCTGATCATCTCTGCTGCCGCTCACCATTTATGTAGCATGATGCGTTTCACAGACGCGTACTGTATCGTCGTGCTCTCTTCAAAACGAGGGTATTGTCGCTGCTTGCAACTAAGATCTGTAGACGCAAATATATCGTGGTCTTTTGATTTTCAACAGAGACATCGTAGCATGTGCGTAGCTCGAGTAGAAGCTGTGCTACGAGCAACAGCAACGATAGATTGACCACGATAAGGAACTTCCGCGTGACTCGACGGCGCTAGCTGTTTCTGGCGTCAGAAAGCTGTCGTTCTCGCTGTATCAACCTGTCTCTCATCGAGAAAACCGTCTCCTTGCCTGCACGATAATCTCCCTCTCACCTTTGATTCTTCCATGGACGGGGATTTGCATACAATTTGACTATGATCTCGTGCATACAGCTGCCTTGTTAGATTGAATCTTGAGAGGATATGACAAGAATTTTCTGAGGTTCAACTCTGGTGGTGGTTCTATTCAGATAGGTGTCATCGGGACTCTAGTGCTTTGTGACGTTTGGAATGATCGTAAGAGTCGGTTTTTACATGTCTATACAGCTATGGATTGGGTATCACGGAGTTGAGATGAACTTGACACAAAACTTCCCGGTTCGTCGTCTTTGCCGACTAGATCAAGGCACTACCACGGAACATTCCATCGCGGACTTCCTTGACAATGTCTCTGCGGTCTCCCNNCTTGCCTACGAGAACTATACCTCGGCCACGTCTACCCATGCGACCAACACGGCCAAGACGATGGATGAAGTCGATACTCGTGTGGGGTACATCATACAGGATGACGTTGCGAACCATCAAGGTATCGATACCACGAGACCCGAGATCAGTCATGACGAGCACCTTTGTGTTGTTCAACTGCCTCTTGCCGGGCAGAGCGCGATGCGTCGATGGACCTTGGGCAGATTTCGAATCGACGGCCGTACCGGTGAACTCAGCAAGAACTTCTGCTTGTTTGCGTTCGTCAGAGTCACGGCTGAGAGCCATGGCGTCAACACCTTTGCTCTGGAGATATAGAGACAGCTCGGAACACTTTTCGCGCTCGTTGACAAAGACAATGACTCTCTTGATAGCATCTTCTCCTGCTTCGCGACCAAGATTCCACACAGTGTCTGCGCAAGCGAGATCTCTGTTGCCCTTGTAAGGGTCTTTTTCGACATCCACCACGCTCAACTGAACGCGACGAGGAATGGCGTGCAGGTTTGGAGTGGCAAGACGACGAATGTCCGGGAACCGCTTACGAAGGTATGCATCGAGACTGCGGGGAATGGTAGCGGAACAGAGCACTAATTGTTTCAGGCTTGGAGTGGCACGATCGAGGATGCTGCCAGTGATGGGTGCAAAAGAGCGATCAAGAAGCGAATCAGCCTCATCGATAACGAGATGTGTAACGCGTGAGAGCACGTTAGGATCGTTCTCACTGATGCTCGCAAGCAGATGTGGGGTAGAAATGAGGAGATCGACGCCTGAAGGTGAGAACAGGCGATTGCGAATAACGGTACCGGTGAAGTTGGCAGAGATAAGAGCTGCCCGGAACTTGGTTGTGTGGGATAGAGACTTGGCCAGGGCGCCGACTTGCTGCACTAGCTCTGCGGTCGGGACCAAGATGATGGCACGTGGTCGGCCGGTAGTGGGATGAGGCTCGTTGGAAAGAGGTGGTGATTCGAGCTCGAAAATGTTCTTGCGCGCAGCTGCTTCTTTCTCGACTTGAGCATCCTGTTCAGCCTGGGCAATTTCAGCACGCTTCAGCGCATCAACGACGGGTAATAGATATGCTAGAGTCTTGCCAGATCCAGTTTCTGCGGCCAAGAGGTACTGTTGCATCGACTGAGTGTCTTTGGANTCTTTGCCGTTGGTCCCGAGCAGAGCAGGAATAGCAAGACGTTGGATGGGAGTGGGAGAGGTATCTTCCAGGCCGTTCAATGCCTGAGTTGAGATGGACTGGTGAACGGCAGGTAAGAAACCGAACTCGTTGAAAGATTCAGTATCGGCTATGCTCTGCTTGACAGCAGAACGATGACTGTAGGAGACTTGGCTGAGAGCACGCTGCATCTTCAGGGCCTTGAACGAGTCCTTGTCTTTCTCATCCTTTGGCTTGTACTTTTCTGGAGCGTTTCGGGTGGCTCGCTTTTGTTCGGCCGATGATGGACGTTGACGAGGCGCATTGCGAAAGTCTGCATGTGTGACATTCATGCCACCGAAAGGGCTGTTCGTACGTCGCTTCGGGGGTTTGGCATTGGGGAGAGCGACTTTGGGTGACAGGTCCATTCGTGAAGGTCTCGGTTTTTGCATAGTAGCCATGTGGCGCGCGGAGCGCACAGCAAAGAGCGGGCGCGCCATCAAGGCAGCGGCCTCACAGAAGGGACACAGGCTGGGTCGCATGCTGGAAGAGAGCATGTGTATACCGGTGGCAGGGCTGCTGGTGACAGCGGCGACGACAGATGACGAACACGGCGGCGGCAGCGGTGCGACGAACTGAGCAGTGTGCAGACAAAAATAAATTCCGGCCAAGCAGTTTCAGAAGGATCCGATTAGGTTCAGCTACTAGTATGGGGTCTTTGTAGAGAACGTAGAGAAGGTGGTAACACTAAGTTGGATCCTTGTCAGTCTTGGATGGATGCTGACGGACGGATCCTGTCGCTTTGCAGATGGAATTCTTGAGACGGGGTCAAGATTTGGCCGAATCACTCCAAGAGTCTGTTAGTAAAGCAAGGTTTCTATGTGTCCTCCGAGAGCAAAGGGCAGGCCGAACAAAGACATTGTGTTGCAACTTACAAGGGTAACAGTGTGCGTGCCGCAGTGGAGTGCTGTGTTCTGTATCTAGTCCTGCACATGGCCAAGTTTCTGGCGCTTCGCCGTTGCTATGCCACTCGGACCCTCGGACCCGACGACAACAAAGAGACTCCACGCTTGTTTTGTATACCTACTTAGCTAACCGACCCCGAGCGTTCGTTCTGCGTTCATTCACCTTTGCTTTTCGTTCTGGGGCTCGAGTATTGCTCTATTTGCTGTTGCAACATCGGCGCTATATCTACATCTGTTGTCGGTCTTGTTCTTATAGCAGGCCATCGCCATCCCTGCACAGACAAGCGCGCATTCCTCGTCAACAATGGCCACCGAAGAGGTACCACAGTCTGGATCGCCCTCTCTGACATGCACTGACCTTCGCCTTAGGTGCAGCCGCTCAAGATAGTCAAGTCCAATTCGACTGCTTCGTCGATTGGCTCCCCGACCAAGATGGCACGCCCACTATCAGAAATCGGCTCCACCGAGAGGAGGAGAAATTCGCCCAGTTACAACCAGGCCACCAGAGTAAGCTGAACAGTCCGCAACTTCACCACCTTGCCCTCAGCTGATTCCCTTCGTCAGAAGATGGTCGCCAACAAAGACTCATCACCCTTCGATTCATCCCCACTGCAACAACAGCGCTCACCGCGCATGTTCTGGGAAGACCGCGCCTCGCCCTCGCGTTTTGGCTCCGAGAACAGCCCTGAGCGGCCAGAGCGCTCTGCTTCTCCTACCGGAACATCTTCACACCGTCGTTCATCTATCGAGAATCTCAAANAGGCTTCCCGTGTCAAGAATAGCACCATGTATGCTCGCGAAACAAAGCACAACTACGACCCCTCGAGCTCTCCCGTCATTGAGCGCCCTCTGAGCAACCGTGGCTGGGGCGGCAACTTCCAAAACAACGTCTTCACCCGCTTTGACAGTCTTCGCAAGGAAAACAACCCTCTCAAGTCTCCTACTGATGCGGATTCGAGCCCTTCCAAAATCCCTGCGCCTTCATCCGCCCACTCTGTTGTAAACACATCCGCTCCCACCTCCCNNCCTCGTCGGGAGACTCCTTCGCCAACCAAATCTTCTCTTACATCCAATGGCCGTTTCGCCAGCTCTTTCGAATCAGACCAAAGTCAATGGCCTGAGGAACAAGATGACGGAAGAGTCGCTACCCCTCGTGCGCAGCCACGTCATGCCAAAAGCGTTACCTTCGAGACAGCGCCTCCAGAGATCAACGAGTACGAGCAGCAAACACCAGAACCATCATCAATTGCTTCCGGCTCACGCGAGGGCAGCTACGACTCAGATGACTATGAAGATAACAGCTTCGAACATGCCTCTTCGGTCGAGGAAGATAGTTTCGACGCTTCACTCGAGGACACAGATAAGACACCGGTGGTCCTTCCTGAAGACTGGAGACACATGAGCCCTGATGTTGCTCGTAGCCATCTTGCCAACGATTACGATGATGTTTTTGATGATGATGATGATGATGCCGACGAGGCCCCAGAGAGACATGCCTCAAACTCGACCAACGAGCAACGACCTTCTTCTAGCCGCTCCGAGTCTGCCAACTCGGATGCCGAAGCAAGACCTCTACCTCCACTTCCTGGCGTCCCCTCTTTCAGAAGAGAACGTGTTGAGTCTGGCAGCCTTGCTGCTGCTGCAGAACGCGCGAGTAGCATCCAGCGTTCCCTGCCTTCTCCACCTCGTCCTGCTTCGGTCTCGAAGGATGAAATCCTCCGCATGAGGGAGGCCAACATGTCTATGGAAGACAGAATGAACCTCCTCAAACTGCAAACATCCCTGGCCGATGTACAGAAATCTCAAGATGCAGAAGATAACACTGGGGAGGACGCCAAGTCCACTCACGAAGATGCTGCCACCGCTTCAGAGCACTCAGATGTCGAAGATGATGATCTTGCTGGCTTTGATTTTGCACCAAGCATCTCGCGAGAGTCCATCCTGCGGAACGTCAAGTCACAGAAGTATGATCAATTTGATGCCGATCTGCAAGAGGAGTCCATGGTGTCGTTTGCCGATAGAGATTACCGCGAACTCGCCAATCTCGATCCTGACGTCCCAATCCNNCCCTCCCGCGAGACATCAACACAATTTGACGCTGAGGTTGGTGCTAACATCAAAGAAGAGGCTGACAATAGTTACCTGGACCTTAGTGCTGTCCCATCTTTCCACTCTGAACCTGACGAACTCAGAGCGGACGACTATGACAGACAGTCTGTCATTCATCATGCTGGGTATGATGAAGACTCGCAGGCCGAAGACGATGAGAGCCGCTACTCGTCTCCTATGTCAGTTCTAATCAACGAACAACCAGAAGAGCTTCAAGACATGCCTGCTCAAGATGACCAAGAAACACCGATGCAAGATGAAGCCTTTGCTACTCCGCTGGGCAACCCACAGTCTACTGAGGAATCGAGCAGTATGGGTCTTCCTCTGAGCTTCCTAGGCAACGATGATTTCGATTTCGGTCTTAAAGACTACATAACTCCTACCCCTCCTTCCTCATCTGGTACTCAGGAGCAGAGCAAANAGTCCATTCTCGAGCCGCCCGAGGTTCTGCAACCTAGTTTCACTACCGAGGCTCGATACGGACGAGAAGGCTCAACTGAATCAGATCACACTATCGGCCATGAATCCTTCGGTTCTGTCATTCATGGCTCCATGATAGACATGTCCCCTCCACCTGAGGAGGCACCCATCATCCCCGAGCGCAAAGCCACCATCAAGACACAGGGCAAACTCAAGGCTCGCCCCTCTGGTACTCCAGCCGACCTGGAAGCAATGAGAGCTCAACGTCGTCATGTGAGCCACGAAGTACCTCCGATCCCCGACCAATACCGCTCCGAGGCCTCGGCCCAAGCAGATGAGCAGGTCTCTTCTGATGAGGATGAAGACGGAGAAGAATCACACAGCTCTGGTTCTCTCTCTGAGACTGACATGACTGGTCAAGAAGCTCAGCAAGACGTAACGGATGGCGAACACGACGCTGAGAAGTCCCTTCAGAACGATACGAATCTCGACAAAGATGTTCAGCTCGGAGACGATGGAACATCAGGCATGCTCTCCGAGCAAGACGAACACCGTCGACAAAGCCGCGAGATGAAGCTCGACCTTGACTTCCCGCTCGGATCTTCAGACAATGACATGGGTCTCGGAATGGATGCTGAGTTTGACCGTGTGATTGAAGCTCAGAAGGTGAGAGTCGACAAACTTTGTTGTTTGCCCATTCATATGCTAACTACCATACAGAAGGGGTATCTTATGCGACAAAACACCAAAGTCATCGTCGCCAGCAACAGAAACTTCAGTGACGAAAGCCAGCGTCCGCTCTCTCCGAACGGCCAGGCCAATCCTTCGACCGCTAGCAAGAGCAAACGCACCTCGCGCAAATCAAGCGCCGGTGAGAAGTACTTGACGACTGAGCCATGGAACGGCAAGACTAGACGCAAGAGTTCCAGGAGATCTTCTGGGAGAAAGTCCAACATCGGTGGGCCGGCCCCTCCTCTGCCTGGTCATGAGAGCTCTCTGGGAAAGGTTGACGAATACCTTACTACCGATGAAACTAACGATGGTGAGGAGAGAGGAAGACTTNTTGTCAAGGTTGTTGGTGTGAAGGAACTCGATTTGCCGCTGCCACGCAGTAAGTACCTGGACCTCGAACATTCTCGAATCGAACTAACATCATCTCGCANNGATGATCGCCTCTTCTTCCAACTCACCCTGGACAATGGCTTGCATTGTGTGACTACTGCTGATCTTCAACTTGGCAAAGCTGCTGCGATTGGCCAGGAGTTCGAGCTTGTTGTTCTTCAGGACCTTGAGTTCCAGCTGACTCTGACTACCAAGCTACCAGCTCCTGCACCCAAGCCTCAGATGTCGATTCCTGTTCCCGTATCTCCCACCAAGCCTATCAAATCGTCAACATCAAGATTCTCTCGCCTCCTCACATCTCCCAAGAAGAGAGCGGAGCGTGAGAGGAAGGAGAGAGAAGAGGCTGCTGAGGTTGAACGTCGTCAGCAAGAAGAAATGCAACGCAAGCGTGCTTCTGTCAAGCCTACGTCCTGGGATATGCTACGCGAAGTTGTTGATGCCAAATCTGGTTCATTTGCCCGCGCCTACGTCTCTCTGAAGTCTCACGAATCTCAGTGTTTCGGACGACAGCTGACTGTCGACGTGCCCTGCTTCAACGAGTGGGCGATCGAGAAGGATGCCGACGTCGTCAGCAGTGTGCGCAGCAAGCGCAACAATGGCAACCCTGGCTTTGGTGGTAGAGACGGTACCATCAGACGTCCGCCTTACGCTATAGGCAAGCTCGAGCTGCAGCTCATGTACATTCCCAAGCCCAAGGGGGCTGGTGACGAGCACATGCCCAAGAGCATGAGTTCAGCTGTCAGAGAGATGAAGGCGGCTGAGCAAGTCAAAGAATCGTCGTGGGAAGGTTGTTTGAGTCAGCAAGGAGGCGATTGCCCGTACTGGCGCCGTCGCTTCTTCCGTCTCCAGGGTACCAAGCTCACAGCCTATCACGAGCATACTCGCCAGCCTAGAGCGACTATCAATCTCTCAAAGGCTACAAGGTTGATCGATGATCAGAAATCACTTGTCGCCGATCCGACATCAGGCCATCCCACGAAGGGAAGGCGCAAGTCTGCCTTTGCCGAAGAAGATGATGGCTACCAGTTTGTTGAGGAAGGATTCAGGATGAGATTTGCCAACGGCGAAACCATCGACTTCTATGCCGACAGCGCCTCAGACAAAGATGCCTGGATGAAGGCGCTTGGCTCATGCATAGGCAAGCCTTCCACCAGCAGCACAGCCAAATGGACCGATGTGGTGTTGACCAAGGAACGATCGGATGCCAAAGCAGTGAAGGCACAACAGAACTCGGAAGACCGCAGTCGATCAGGACCGGATGCTTATGATACCAAGATCAGTGCACCCAAGCTCAAGCGAACAATGTCACAACAGGACAGCATGAGAGATGATACGCCACCTACAAGCAGTCCACCCCCAGGACACCGTGACAGACACCAGGTCAAGAGCATGGTCTTCTAGAGAGGGCCAGACAGAACCGACCTCTTTCTCCTTACCTTTCTCACTCTTTCTTAATACCTTTTATGCTCCTGTCATCTCTTGCTCTTGTCGTCTACATCTCTTTCTGGCAAGAACAGCATTGGCATAGCCGCCGCCCTTTTTTTCTTCTTTTCGTTGTTTCTTTTTTTTTTTTTTTTTCTTGTTTCTTGGAGTATAGGGAAGGGCTTGGAGATTCGGAGTTTACGATTGTGACGATACACAATGCATGTGCTACTACTACAGACACTTTTCAATTGAATGCTTTACCTCTCTTCACCGTCATATGATGCAATTTGTCACCGTGTTATGTCTACTGGATGTACTGTAGCGAGCATACAATGAAACACTAGCTGTCGTGCCAGTGATCAGGCCAATCATCTTAGCATTCCACTAAAGCCATGAAGAACAATAGTGTCAGAATGCTAACAAGCTTTGAGGTGTGGACAAATCTCGAAGTGTCAAGGACGATGGACCAGGAAATAAGACCAGGGTGCCCCCATCGACGAGACCATCCGACTGAGTATCATTAGCAGATCTTTTACGCCTACTTGCATTGCACAACAGATGGTGGTCGTTGGGTTATAACGTATTTATCTTGGACAAGTAGTTTCTGAAAAGGTCGGACCCGCTCTAAAAGCCTTGCTTTTCAGGACCATCTATGAAGCTCACAACAACGATTTCATGTCAATCATTGGATCATCTTGTAATTGGCAGTTTGATAAAGGATGACACTCGAATAAAGTCTTTGTTCATACATAGATAGAAAATAGTAGATGCGTGACCCTGCTCAAAAGGATCAAGAAAGCCCCTTGGTCACGCGGGTATCTCAGAAGACATGGAAAATGGTATGACAAGAAACGCCATCGAAAGCCCCCCTGCAAAATGCTTTTCACTTTTGCTTGCAAGAAAAGACGCCATGCTGTAAAGTCCAAATAATGCGCGATTGATCGACAGACTCAGAAACTAAAGTTGTGTTAGCAATTGATCATGACTATAGGAAATGCAGATGAACTCACCGTATCTCATAACTGCCCGCTCGGGTCATGTACCGTACCCACTTGACACTGCTGTACTGACTCTTTTCGAAGACTTTGAGATATCTCACTAACAAGCCCGAACTTGTGAACATGAGCAGCGAAAAGTTCAGACTCAACGGCGGTCTACTCCAAGCCTTTTGGTTGGTCATAGAAGTCAGTTGAGCTTCAGCGCTTAGTACATATTCGGAGCCACCAGTGAAGCGAGCAATCTTCCAGACAATGTTGTTGTGTTCTGGCTCGTACTTGGCCTTTCCTTGGGACGTTCGTTCGGTGATGGAAGCAGTATTGAGAGGAGTTGGGATTCGAATGACAACGTTTGTGGCGAAGAGCTTCGAGCCATAGTTTGCCTTGATGGCGATGCTGTACTCGACCTTTGTCTTTCCAATCTCATTGACAATGGCATGCACCTTGAAGGGCAAGTTGATGTTCTCGGTAGCACGGTATCGCATTAGCTCAAAGCTACCATCGGGAGGAATAAAGGAGATTGTCCTGTCGGTGTCGAATTTGCCCAGACGCACGCACTGGTGGAATTGACAATCTTCGAGGGTGACACTGCCAGCGGCAGCCTTTGTGGCCTTTGTGCCGGCCATGTTTCCCGAAGGTGAGGCCAGAGCTTCCTCGCCGAGTGTGAGACGGTCGTTAAGGCCAAACTTGCATTCAGGAGTACCAGAGAGATAAGCGCGCATTTCGATCTGACCATTGACATCGGCACGTAGGACGGTTCCATTGGCGGACATGAGGAGGTTCACATCTTCGATAACGTCGACAAAGGCTTCGTTCTTGCGGTACTTGATGTTGTCTCGTCTCCAGGACATGGCACCGGTGGCTTGCATTGTGATCTTGGATGAGTCCTCCNNTGTTGAGGTGTAAGCAATTGAAGGTAGACATAGCGAGACGGGCGGACACACGACGAGGTTCCTCTCAGACTTGACACCTTCGGTGGTAATGTACATCTTGAGAGTGTCTGTGTCAGTGTTTTGGGGATAGCCAAAGTCGAGGATTTCNTGGCGGTTAGGTGAGCAGGATTCGGCAGTATGTTGGCAGGAGTAGGACGGACCATCGAGCAGTTCGTAGATCAAGACAAAGTTGTTCTTAACAGCCTCCTCGTCGAATTTGGCGAAATAGGAGCGGCCAAGCTGGATCAAGCGGTACAGGAACTCAAAGACCAGGGCAGCATTGGCATTGCCCTTTGTGACGGCGACGATGAAGATGTTCTCGTGCTTGACATGGCTGAATGTAGTGGAACCAAGGGTCAAGATGGGCGAGCGAACCAGAGGGTTGGAGATGACCTGGATGCGAAAGACATCGGCGAGACGGGGCCGGCAGTCGTTACGGAAGGCGCGAAAGATGAGGTTCTCGCCCTTCTGATTGAAAACGAGGATGCCCGAAATCATGTCGAGTTCCTGGTAGCTTGTCGCTCGAGTGCTTGCAACTACGAGTATACCCTGGAAGGTGCTACTAGTATAGCTGACCGAGGGGTCTGGCAGCGGAGGTCGGGGAAGGCGCTTGGCAAACGCGGCCGACTCCAAAGCAGCAGGCACGTCAGCTACACCTGCGACTGCCCACTTTGACCCATCCGATCCCACACTGTCGACTTGAGCGCTCAACTAACAGACGCCAACCTCAAACTCCCGAGTCGCTCCGTCTATCCGACCGTCTTGCAAACCACATCTTCAACTCAACCGCGAACCGCCGCCTCGACGACTGCACGCCTCCACTCACCATGAAGCCCGTCGTATCCGCCTTCAATGCCTGGACATGGTGCGCTCGCCTTAGACCAACTTTCCTCGGATCCATATTAATAAAGCGACNNAGTGTTGTCATCTCCGTCTTCGCCATCGTCATCCTTTCCGTCATTGGTGCTCTCTTCAAGACAAACAACCACTCCATGATGGGCTCTGAGGAAGACCCCACCGATGGCGCTGCAGTCGCCGCCTCAGTCTTTGGTGCCGTTGCTATCTATGGCGTATGTCATCGTCCTATCCTCTGCCTTGTCCTGTTCGTCGTGCTAATATGCATACAGGGTTTCCTTGTCTTTTGCGCTGGCCAAGCTTATCTGCACCAACGAGACAGATCAAGAGGCGCCATTGCCCTGTCGTAATCCCACTGATACCTCTGCTCCTCTCACTCGACAACAGAGCGACAAATAACTTCGATAATCTGACCTTCGTTTTTCGACATCACGACCATCATCACCACTTTTGCTTTCTCGGCGCGGCGTTAATCTTTCTTCCTTCGAGGATCGGCTTGTTATAGACATTTCCCATCGGGCGGCAACCGGGCGCATCACCCTTGTGTATACCTATCATCTATCTTTTGCAAAAATCTGCAGTTTCCATCTACTTCACTCTCGTCCTGTAACGCCACCATCCATCTTGATATCCGTTAAATGCATCCTAACTCCAGCAACCATCAAAAGCTAACATCAGAATCCATCGTCACTCTCCTCATCATCCTTGGGCTTCAGCCATTTGCTCATGTATGGTCCATCGAGCCAGTATCCAAGCTTGGCGTAGTAGCTGCGTACGCCTACACCTGAAATGATGCTGAGTTTCTCACTACCGTGCTCGTCACGCGCGATTCTCTCAGCCTCTTCCATCAACAGCGTACCGTAACCTTGGTGTTGGAACTTTCTGGGATCGCGTCCGTGAACTGGCACCGCCGAGCCGTACACATGTAGCTCACGGACCAAACTCGTCGGCTGTCCTGTAAGCTCTGGACGGAACGTGTGTGTTGAGCTGCACTTGCGTAGTCGCAATAGACCGATCAGGATATCTTGCTTAGGATCCTCGTAAGCCAGGAAGGTTTCCCACCCGCCATTTGCTGTGTAGTCTCGGCGGACCAATTCGACTTGTGAGGGTCGGATCTTGTTCTTGACCTCGTTGATACCAACCTCGCGAGTACGGACATCACGACATGTAGTGCCAAAGTCCTTCATACGAGATAGAGCCAGCTCGCGTAGGTTGCCATTCTCAACGCCTGATGTAACAAGAGGCATAGGAATATCACGCTGCACACGATAAATGCGGGTCCATGGCGGTACCAGGGCCAGAATGCGAGCAACCAGATCAATCAGCGCATTGGGTGTGTAGTTCTTGTAGCGGCCCGTTCTCCACAGCTCGTACAATCCAGTTCCTCGAATGACCAACGTAGGGTAGATTTTAAGACCATCGGTTCTGAAAGCAGGGTTCTCAAAGTACTCCCTGAACTGATCCAGATCTCTCTCCATGCCAACGTTGGGCAAGTCAGGCATCATGTGACTTACGACTTTGAAGCCTGCATCCTTTGCCAATTTAAATGTCTCTGCGACTGCTGCTACTGTGTGGCCTCTGTTGGTATCACGCGCAACGTCCTCGTACAAGGACTGGACACCAATCTCCAGACGGGTACACCCATAGCGCAGCATATCGCTCAGGTGTTGGTCCAAGCAGTAGTCAGGTCTCGTCTCAATGGTGATACCGACACATTTTGTGCTGCTCATCTCACCAGCCAAGACAGCCTCATCGACGTTGGTTGCTTGGAAACCACTGAGGGCATTGTGTAGTTGGGATATGAACTCTTCTCTGTAGCTGACGGGAAGCGACATGAAGGTACCGCCCATGATGATGTATTCAACCTTGTCAACGGAGTGACCCAGGGATTTGATCTGATCCACTCTTCCTCTTGCTTGTTCAAATGGGTCGTACCTCGCGCGGATGGCACGCATCGAAGTAGGCTCGTAGCCAGTGTAGGATTGGGTTGAGTACTCGAAATCGGAATCGGGGCCTCCAGGACAGTAGACACAGATGTTTCCAGTGTATGAAATATGCGGACATCTGTGAGGCTTGCACATGACGGCGACAACGGCGATACCAGAAGCACTTCGGATAGGCTTTGCGATCAGGCGAGGCAGGATGTATTTCTTGTAGTGTTCGGGGACGGCATTGATAATTGCGGTGAGGGGTGGGGTGTTGCTGAGGAAGTGCTTNTTGGCGATGTTGTTGCGTAGAGTGTTGAGATTCAGGTCCTTCTTGGGTTTCTTGCCATCGAGCTGGCTTTCATAATCTTCGACGAGCGCACTCGCCACGTCGGCGCAGGCGCGCATGTATCTCTCATTCTCGGGAGGTAACTTGACGCCCTTGGGCACTTTGTTGTGCTTGGTCTTTGGCTCAGTCGCCGTCATAGTCATGGTGGCCATGATGGAGTTCTGCAAGCCTGCAACGGCTAGGCTGGGATCAGGTCGAATGCCTCTGTGAAGAGATTGTATGTATTTGTCGAGAGGTCGGAATTGGCGGGTTGTTGCACAGTTGTTCGAGCAGAAGCAGAATTATGACGAGTCTCTGCGTTGCGTCGAGTTGGACGAGCACTGCAGTTGGTGGACGACAAAAGTTCAAAAGTTCCCCGCATGTGGCAGCAGCGAGTCGTGTATGCAGCAGGCGCTGGGCGCAGGCTCGAGGAGGTTTGAATCGGCTGAACCCGGCGCTTTGCTCGGTCTTCGCAAACCTGGTCGGGAAGCAGCTGGCTCAAGAAGTTATTGTTGTTTTGTCAAGCACCTCCTCCCTCAACCACCACCACCTCTCCCGCTCCCTCGACCATGCAGTCAATCAGACAGCCCTTGGGCCGTGTTGCCCAGCGCGTCTCCTCGCGCTCCTACGCCAGCTCCTCGTACCTGACCACAAACACCAACCTCCGTATCAACGACCAGACCAAGGTCATCTTCCAGGGCTTCACCGGCAAGCAGGGTACCTTCCACGCCCAGCAGGCCATTGAGTACGGCACCCAGGTCGTCGGTGGCACCAACCCCAAGAAGGCCGGAGAGACACACCTGGGCAAGCCCGTCTTCGCAACCGTCGCCGATGCTGTCAAGGAGACTGGCGCTACCGCTTCCGCCATCTTCGTCCCCCCTCCCGTCGCCGCCAAGGGTATCGAGGAGGCCATTGAGGCCGAGATTCCTCTCGTTGTCTGCATCACCGAGGGTATTCCCCAGCACGACATGGTCCGCATCACCGACATCCTCAAGACCCAGAGCAAGACCAGACTCGTCGGTCCCAACTGCCCTGGTATCATCGCTCCGGTATGATCCACAAAAGACCCAATTCTGGGCCACTACATCTCTGACCACTACACAGNNGGCCAATGCAAGATCGGTATCATGCCTGGCTTCATCCACAAGCGCGGTCGCATTGGTATTGTCTCCCGTTCCGGTACCCTCACCTACGAGGCCGTCAACCAGACTACCCAGACCGGTCTTGGCCAGTCGCTCGTCGTCGGTATCGGTGGTGACCCCTTCTCTGGTACCAACTTCATCGACTGCCTCAAGGTCTTCCTCGAGGATGCCGAGACCGACGGTATCATCATGATTGGTGAGATTGGTGGTTCCGCCGAGGAGGACGCCGCAGACTTCCTCAAGCAGTACAACACTGCCAACAAGCCTGTTGTCTCCTTCATTGCTGGTATCTCTGCTCCTCNNCCTGGCAGACGTATGGGTCACGCTGGTGAGTAGATCTGATATTCTTCCTTCAACTTTGCATTTCTGACAACCAAAACAGGTGCCATCGTCAGCGGTGGAAAGGGTGGTGCCGACTCCAAGATCTCGGCCCTCGAGGCTGCCGGTGTCATTGTCGAGCGCAGCCCTGCTTCGCTCGGTAAGACCATGCACGCAGAGTTCGTCAAGCGCGACATGATCTAAATCCGTGCTTCCACTCTGTAATACCCACTTGATATTTTAGTAGACCACCGGGACATGGTCTGGGATGTTGAGGGAAAGAGAGAGAACCCATTGTGTATAAGCGGCGCCACTCCAGTACCCCCCTCTTAGAAACCCTTTTTTTGTTCTAGTTTCTTATTTTCCCGATTTTCATTATCATGCGCGCATGGGTTCGGCAGGCTCTTTATCTGTTCGGGTAGTTCTTTCTGATCAAATCTACTTGCGACAGTTTGGGATTCGGTATTGACCTTGCAGTTCGAGTGCAATGTGCATCACAGCTTGAAATGTAATCTGTCTATGTCTACTCCAGAACAAAATCAATCATGACAATCGCTTTTCACAATGCGAGACCCGTGTTCCACCAGCGGTCTCCTTTGTGCCACCATACGACACCTCCCCACCAGCACCAGAACCCATCGCCTTTCCCACCAAGGCCTAGTCCTCGGAGCAGACTCACAGGAAGCGGTTCGAACAGCCAGATACCGCCACGAGCAAAGTCGTCGCATAACAGCGGCGCGGTATAGTAGAACCATACATGGACAAAGACGAAGTTGGCTGTACGTTGCAACCACCTAGGCGATCGCTGCACCACACCAAGCCAACGCAAGAATGAGGTCAGTGCTAGCTGTGCACTTATACCTCCAATCTGTGAGACGAAGAACAAGAAAGGACCGGAGAGCGGATACGTATGTCCTAGCTGCGTGTAGCTACCACAAGCATGCAGCATACCCGATAGTACGAATGCGATGGTCAGCGTCAAGAACTTTCCAGTGGCTGACTTGGGATTGAGCTTGAATAACTCCATCAGTTTTGACGAAGGGGCTTCAAAGGCGTAACGAAAGGATTGATGCCACCAACCGCCCCACCAGCCGGCGAGACCTTTATCGAGCACGTTGCTGAATGAACCGAAGCTATCGGGATACATCCAGGGCTCGCCTCGCACGCCGATGTAACGAGGGCCGATCATGCCGACAAAGAAAAGAGGACCCAGAGCGAAGATAGCCTGCAATGCTGTATAGACTGCGGTCAAGCTGAGCAACAACCGAGCGCTCCGCACCGTAACAGGAGAAGCCTGAAGAGATGCTGGTAGGTAGTTCGGTGTCGCTGCAACGTTTCCATCCCAGAAGTAAGCGTCGTGTGAAATCAAAGTTTTCAGTGTATCAAGAATCACAATGTCGCGACAGACGATCCAGAAGTTGGCTTTCAGGAGAGAGGACTTGTCGTGATAGCGGCGGACACCAGTACGACTGATCAGGGTTTTCTTTTCATCTTCTTCCGGTGGCGGTGCGCCAGAGTTTCCAGAAAGCTGTGCTTGTACCCAAAGTGGTGGCGAGGGCAACCCCGAGATTCGCCAGTTCCATCCCATACCTCTGAAGTTGGAGAAGATGTCTGCAACCCAGTCGAGACGCTCCACGAACGGCGCCGATGGATAACCCTGCCAGGCAAGTGTACCAGTTCTTTGGGATGGCGTTTGTGTCGTGCCTAATTTGCTTGTACGACTGTGCAAAGTTGAGCCGTTCTGAAAAGCACTTCCAGTCGCGTGGCCGTTCGACTCTGCAGTCTGTGGAGGTGCAGATGCGGAGATCAGGTCTAGTTGCGATTCTTTTCTCTCAATTCTCGAAAAGTCTGGCTGCGCATCTCTGAAGACCAGCATTACACTGCACCATAGTATTGACCAGGCAGAAATCAGACCAACACCAAATGCGGCGGCTGGGTTGCGTGCCCGGAAGCTCTTAATGTTCCAGATGGCAAAGATGGTGATGAAGCCCCATGTTGCAAAACGAGCCCTGCGAAGCCATGGGCGTGATCGATGATCCAGAAGAAGATAGAGAATGACTACTGTAGCACCCAGAGTTCCGAAAGGGTAGGTAAATGGATAGTAATCCCCAGATGCCAGTAGTCTGTCATATTGCCCATTGAGACGGTCTATTATGTCGTAGTGTGTGACCGGGACGAATACTTCTTTGAGATACATGCCTTGATTGAGATCAGGATATGAGTACCTGATGATATGTTCAAAGAAGAGTCCTAGTACTGGTCCATGAGTTTCCTGGCAGGTATAGATACTGGATGTGGCGTAGAATGAAGAGATGAGATAGATGGTTCAAGAAACACATCGTTCACGACATCACGTACCTACAGCATCGACGACTCATCCGGTCTAACCTGTTCCAGTATTTGGAAAACAAGATGGCGCGTGGCACTGTTTTTGGCACAGTCTCGATGACGTTCGAAGTGCAGATGGTCTGTGCTTGGGCGGGACAGAGCGTCTCGCTGGTGGCTGGACTGTGGTGGAGAACGTCTGCCAAAGAATTCGTGAGGTGCTTGCGTGCAGTTTGTATTCGGACGGCAAGCAGTTCTCAGATTGTGAATTGTCTTGTTTATTCTACTGTCTATACTGTCTAAGGAGAGCAGAAGCTCCTAACAACCGCAAGTATGGTCAACATTACGGAAAAGATCAAGGAGTATGTCCCAAGTGGAAGAAAAAACAATTCCTTACAAGCATATGAGACTAATTATTCTCAGGATTGAGGCCGAAATGGCCAGGACGCAGAGTATGTAGAATTATCTGACAGAAGACAAATCACATGGCTAATACGATTCGTAGAGAACAAAGCAACAGGTGGGATATAAACACTCACGTTGCATACAGAAACCTCGCACTAACATCGGTTAGAATATCATTTGGGTCTTCTCAAAGGGTTAGTATGAAGATATCACAAAAAGGAGACAACTGCTTACCATCGTCAAGAAAGCNTTGCTCGTCTGAGAGCGCAACTGCTAGAGCCTGGCCCGGGTGCAGGCGGTCCTGGCGGAGAAGGATTCGATGTCAGTAAAAGTGGTGATGCTCGTATCGCGCTCGTCGGTTTCCCTTCGTAAGTTATACCCAGCTTTAGCTGGAGCTTTGCTTGCTGATGTCTGCTTCTCAGAGTTGGTAAATCGACATTCATGGGAAAGATCACAAAGACCAAGTCCGAAGTCGCAGCATATGCTTTCACCACACTTACCGCCATTCCTGGTGTGCTCGAGTACGGAGGTGCCGAAGTTCAGATTCTCGATTTGCCAGGTATCATCGAAGGTGCTGCAGAAGGCAAAGGTCGTGGAAGACAAGTTATCAGTGCTGCCAAGGTACATTTGCGCTTCTGTGTTGTTCTTGATGCTCCTTGCTGACTTTCTGTAGNNACTAGCGACATGATTCTGATGGTCCTGGATGCAACGAAAAGAGCAGAGCAAAGAGCTCTACTAGAGGCTGAACTGGAGGCTGTCGGCATCAGATTGAACAAGGAGCCCNCCGTGAGTAACTGTGTTCACAATGTTTGGTGCGATATGCTGAATCAAGACAGGAATATCTACTTGAAGCCCAAGAAAGCCGGTGGCATGAAGATCACTTTTCAAACCCCTCCCAAGAACGGTCTCGATGAGAAGATGCTGTACAACATCCTCCGCGACTACAAAATCCTGAATTGCGAAGTGCTTGTTCGTGATGAGAACGGTATGTGTAGGAAAGTATCCAACTTCGAGAATGCAAGCTGATATTGGCCAGTGACTGTCGATGACTTTATCGATGTGATTATGAAGGACCACCGTACATATATCAGATGGTGAGTCTCCCCATGAATATGGAGCGTTGCGTTGCCACTAACACACGNNAGAAGCCTCTACGTATACAACAAGGTTGATGCCATCGGTCTCGACCACATGGACATGCTAGCAAGAGAGCCTAACACTGTCATCATGAGCTGCGAGCTCGACCTCGGCGTCAGAGACGTAGTAGATCGATGCTGGGAAGAACTTCGCTTGATTCGTGTCTACACTAAGAGGCAAGTCTTTTTCCTACCGTTCTACTCCTGCAGCAATAGCGATCTTCTTTCTATATAATCACAAGCTAACGGCCGCAACAGAAAGGGTATCGACCCAGACTTCAGCGAGGCACTTATCGTTCGTGGCAATTCGACAATCGAAGACGTTTGTGATGCCATTCATCGTAACCTGAAGGAGAGCTTCAAGTATGCATTGGTATGGGGTGCCTCTGCAAAACACATTCCTCAGAGAGTTGGTCTAGGTCACGTTGTCTCTGATGAGGATGTGGTATCAATTGTTGGTACAAAGTCTGGTCTTGCAGCAAAGTAGTGGAACTACCTAGAGACGAAAAGAATACTTGTCTATGTTCGACAGAGGAAAGTTATGAATAAGTTCAGAGCAGACAAGATATACACGTCCAGAGAACAACGGTGCAAAATAGGTTCATGTCTGGAAGCTCGCTGTCCTGATCATCATTAGGCGAAGTCATCGACCCAGAGGCTCTCCACGTCCGACTCGATCTCAACCAGCATCTCTGCAATCTCCCTGATGCTAGAACACGAGAAGCCATTACGAGCATTCCACTGCTCATTCAAGAGTCTCCAGCAACGGTACCAGCTCATTGTGCTTTCGTCGATTGTGACCGAGTAAGCTTGCCTGACCCGCTCCAAGACACAAGACTTGAATGTAGTGAGCAAAGAGAGTGAGCTCTCCGTGTACGGATAACTTATGTGCAGATCTTCAGCCCAGCGCACGTCTTGCATGACAGATGCAATAAATTGTGGGACGTTCGCATGCCACCTGGAGTCGAATGTGTAATGTAAGTCTTCTTTCCTAGCAGGAGGCGATAGAGTGCTCCGACGCACGATGCCAAACCTCTGACCACGTACATCAAAGTCGATGTCAAGGACAATGCTTGCATTGAGATGGACAAATGATAGCGAGCGTACGGAAGCGAGATCACATGGCTCGAGTTCATGAAGCCAGCTGTTTAAGTCAGATGGTGCTTTGTAGCTCATCCCAGGCTTCGTCTTGCTGACGAAGATGGCAAATCTGTTGCTACCATAGTACAAAGTCAAGGCTTCGCTTCTCAAGAGTGAACAAGTCCTGGCGATGGCAGGTTGCTGCTGAGGATGGAAGGTGGTAGCGGAACCGACGCAGACGTACCGGAGCACCATCTGACGTACTTCTGGCGGTAGACCTAGGAAGTCGAACTGCAAATCGCGATCTGCTTTTTCAAGCTCTCGAATCAAGGACATCCTTGAAAGCCTTTCGGCAGCCTTTAGCGATCTTTGTAGCATGCGCTGAGCAATTCGTGGAGATCTGTAGACGACTCTTTAGGCCGCAGGTCCTCGAGCAGGCATTGAGGTCCTTCCGGGTGTGTTCAAAGACAAAGCCTTGTTCACGGCAGTGGAAGCAGCAGATCTCGTCTTTGCAGCAAGCCTCGACGATCGTCTCAACAGAACCCTGGATTCAGTGTTGGGTGTATCGTTGCTGTAGTCGGACTGACCATGCTGAGCCACAGCTCCGTCAACATCAGGCTTCTGTACCATTGCGGCGCACTTGGAGGTGTATTTGGTGAGAGGTTGCTGAGCAGTTTTGCCAAGTTTCAGACGTCTGGACTTGGTGAAATTGATCAGATCATGATGTTCGAAGCCTTCGTAGATGAAGGGTTGTCTAGCAAGCTTCTCAAACATAGTTAAGAGAAGTTTCTTGTGGCGTGTCCCAGTCACGATGCCGAAGACTTTACACTGTCGTCGTAGAGGCCCAAGGCGAAGATCAGTCAGGAGTGGATCGATCTTCTGAAGAAGGGTATGATCTGCATCGAGTATGTGCAAGTCCAGTATGGTGGGTAGTGTCAAAATGTTGTCGAGTGGTACAGCGATTGTGATTCGCACGGAGCGGCGTGATCGGGATGGCGGCAAGGTAAATTATATAGCAAAGACAGGCTGAGCAAGATAGCGAACAAGCAACACCTACCTAGTGTGCGTACTTTCACACGGACACATCTTACGGAGTGTTGTAGCAGAAAAAGCTAGAACTGCAGAGATCAAACAAGCGGGATGTCTTGGTTGGTGTTGGTATGAAAAGGTGGTCAAGATTGTGGTGGTGACGAAGCTTCTCCACAGCAGTCGGTCAAGCTTCACATGGAAGCGAATGCGGGCAAGTGCTCTTTGATGCATCGTGCATGCTGCTGCTGTTTGTGTCTTGCGACATCATTTTTCTGTAACCGACGCATTCTAGTGAGAGGTTCGAAGCACTGTGACAAACATGGCTGAGCTCACATCGACCAAACTCAATCCCGACCAGCATCTGCTGCTGGTATGCGTCACCAGCCCGCCATCAATGTAGTCGACGATTGACACAGCCTACAGGNAACAACCGCTGCTACGAGTGCCCTTCGAACTGACACGGAAGAACTTTGCCCAAGCAAGACGACATCTCGAAAAGACATCGACCGAAACCCTTGCCGCCCTGAACGCTGCCGCTACCGCTGCTCCATCAGCCACCCCCGACCACACTCTCGCCTCGCTCGACGCCATGATAGCCAAGGCCCAGACCCTCAAGCGCAAGTTGGAAACTCTCCATGCCGAGGAAGAATTGCTGCATCGTCATCAGCGAGCCCGCATCAACCATCTACAAGACCTGCACGACATTCCCAACCTAGCCGACGTCAAGTACGATGACTGGAGCAAAGTCCGTCTAGATCGAATGCTGGTCGACTACCTGTTGCGCCAGGGTCATATACAAAGCGCCGGTCAGTTGGCCAAGGAAAAGAAGATCGAAGACCTGGTCGACGTCCAAGCCTTCATCGAGTCTAGTCGCATACAACACAGCCTGCAGTTAGGCCGTACCCAAGAATGCCTGGCCTGGTGTTCGGAAAACAAGCAGACGCTGAAGAAGATTAACAGCAACCTGGAGCTTGAACTACGCTTGCAACAATTTATTGAGCTCGTCCGAAGCGGAGACCCACAGAAGCTGATCGAGGCCACGCTGCACGCGAGGAAGCATCTGGGCACACACCAGAACGATTCGTACGGTCTACGCGCTGGAGGCCTGCTTGCAAACCCACCGAACACCATGACAGAGCCTTACAAGGTATTTGGGCTCCAAAATCTTCTTCCTATGCCATCGCTGACCTTCTTCCAGACCATGTACTCGGGAGCTCGCTGGCAACAACTAGCCGAACTCTTCGTCAAGACACACCACGAAATCTTCTCGCTACCGCCACGACCTCTTCTCCACACCGCTCTGTCCGCCGGCCTCAGCGCTCTGAAGACGCCAGCCTGCCACTCACATTACGCTTCCTCATCCTCGAATGCTTCCTCGTCAACCACGTCTGTCTGTCCCATCTGTTCTACCGAGCTGAACGAACTCGCCCGTACTGTTCCCTACGCCCACCACAGCAAGAGCTACGTCGAAGACGATCCAGTCATGCTGCCCAACGGCCGCATCTATGGCAGGGGCAGACTCATGACTCTGAACGAAAAGATAGGCACTGCCGAAGGCAAAGTCAGAGACCCCACCGATCTGTCTCAAGAGTTTGACGAAAGTGACATCAAGAAGGTCTACATATCATGATCTCCTTCTTCTAATCGGGCTTCTGCGATTGTGTGCATCGTGATATCACATTGGGCGTTTTTGGTATTTTTGTCTCGTTCTTGGATTAGCGAGGGGCTTTATAGATACCAGAGCTTGTGTAGCATACTTGGGAACACCATAGGCGTTTCCTTCTCACTTGATTACGAATGAAACGTATTTATGACTTCTGTTTACTCCACCTACTTCACCGTCCTATTCAAATCATGGAGCGCATGCCAGCGGCCTCCGGGCAGTCGGCACTTCCGCCCACCAATTCGTCCGAGCACAACTATTTTCACGATGCAAGGTATTATTTTTGGTAGGATATTTGAATTCCATTTCTCATCTCTGCTTTTTTGCCGAAACTGCTAAGAACTGCTTGATCTGTATGAAGGTGGAGAGCAATTGAAACAAAGGAAAACGTGCTATTCTTTTTTTTTTTGGGTCAAGACAAAGGCAGGCCGTCGAAATCCTCTCCAACTGTTTATTGGTTTCTCACGCATCCGCAAAGAATACCGTCCCTCCTGTTGCTTGTAATTTTTTCTTCTTTTATATCGTCTGGGCGCGGTTTGGTGTAAAAAACAAGGTGGGAATACTGATGCTGATGCTGCTCTTTTGGGGTATCGTGCTGGAAAAGACAGAAAAAGAAAACGCCGTGTTGCAATGCTGGCAATTGAAAGGCAAGGGAAAAAAGCCTTTGGTGAATAAGATGTTGATGACGAGACCGAAGTAAGGGAATGTGATGGTGCATTATGTCCACTCGCAGTTAGTCAAGCCCAGCTTGGATACTGACTGAGAGGAGGGTACTGTTTTTCTTTTTGCAAGTCGCAAAGCTGAGCATTGTATCATCTTGGTGGTCCTGGGTGATTTTGAAGGCGTGTATTGGTTGAGTCTGGTGTCAATTGTCTGATTTCAAGTGATCTGAACGCCTCAGTGGTAAAGGGTGGTTTGCTCGACGTCGTTGAAGATGTTGCTGCCATCCTCGAAACCGGACATGTCGGTGAAATTTCCCATGTGCTGGTCCATGTCAGGCTTGATGTCGTTGTTGTTGGTCTGCATCTGGAAATCGTCATTCGAGAAGAGCTGCTGCTGAGCAGTCATGTTGTTGGCAGGACCGCTATCGAAGCTGTAGTTGCTCAACTCAGGGTCGAGCTGGATAGGCTCTCTGGGCAGAAGAGTGCCGTCATGCATGATGCCCAAGCCGTGAGGTCCAGGACCATAATTGTGGACGTTACTGTAGTCGTAGCCGTTGTTGGTGTTGTGCTGCTGCATGAGGTAGCCTCCCTGTCCTTGCAGTCCGAATTGCTGCATGTCTTGTTCCTTTCCTCCAGGAACCATAGCCGATGCGCCATGTCCGTGAGCAAAGAACGAGTTGTGATTGGGCACCATATGATGGCCGTAGCCATTGCTGTGGTAGTTGTGGGCTGAGTAGCCGTTCTGCATCGGCACGTGGAAGTTGTTGGGCATGAACTGAGCAGAATTGTCGAGCATCGACTGACTGGGGATTGTCGACATAGTGGACTGTGAACCGAAGCTCTGGCTGGCTTGATGTCTACCCAATTGGAAGTTTTCGGCAGGGAGGTCTGCGAGCATATCTTCGAACGACTGGGCCGGCATGCCGGGGGCTTCTCTGCTGACTCTACCATAACTCTGAGCAGATTGCTCTGCATTGTTGATAGCGACTGGAATAGCCTCTGAGGCGGCTGGCTCCTCGAGCACAGGAGCAGTATTGATCTTAGCCTTCTTCTTGGGAGCTCCTGGCTTCTTCGATGGGGTTGCAGCTTGTTCGAGGGCTGCGGATGAATGCACCGACAATCCCGACATCTTCTTGTCGAGAGTCGCGGGTGTCTTCTTAGACTTGGTCACTCCTCTGGGCTTGGAGGGTGTGGCCTTGGTAGTGGGTTTTGCGGCTGTCTTTCTCTTGGATGCTGCAGGCGTACTCTGAGCCTTGCGAGTCGGCTTCTCGCTATAAGTAGCATCGCCATCTTGCTCTGCCTTGACAGCCTTCTTGGAGGATCTGCCCTTCTTCTCGGTCGAGGCAGCGGGAGCGCTCTCTTCCTTGTCGGCATCCTGTTTGACGGTTTGCTTGCCCTTCTTCTTGCTTGGAGCACTCGCAGTCTTTGGTGCCCGAGGTGCCTTAGGAGCAGGAGTCTCAGGCCATGGCGGCATGTTCATCGTGGATTCTGCAGCGTAGTCATAGTATGATAGGTCGGGTCGAATCATTACAGGGGTATACTCTGGCAGCATAGTGCCGGGCGTGCCATCAGACTGATCGTCGCGTCCGGGTCTGGTGTAGGTGAGGGTGTTCCACATCTTGATGTCCTTCTCGGAGACCTGTCCAAGATCATCGGTAGTATTCTTCCCGTCCTTGCTAATCTTTTTCTTGCTGGGAAGTGGTGGTGGCACAGGCAGGCCATAGTAGATTCGGGCCTTACGTGCCTTCGTGAGATGCTGTATCATTGCATCCCCCTTTTCTGCGCAATCAGCTTGGACGTGCCTGCACACCCTGCCGTATGGAACCTGGATGCCTCTCATTTCGAGTTCATAGATCAAGGCCATCAGTGCGAGTTGGTCTTTACCNGGCTGCAGACGCGTTAGTATGTCATAAGTTGTGTTAATGGTTGTAATCTTACTGTGCCAACGAATGAGAGAACGCGGATCACTGTATGGCTTGCGTTTGGTTTTTCTTCTTTTGGCCGTCTTCTCCATCTTCGGCCTCCTCGTCCACTCCCTTGTCTTCATCGTCTTCTTCGAACTCATCATCAGAGTCACGCTCTTCGTTCTTNNCAGAGGACCGACATCTACCTCCTCCTCTTCAAGAACGGTATTGTCATGCTCGAGCGAGTCTGCAGTATTCTCGACCTGGCCGGTAGTGGGGTCTTGGTCGTGCTGTGCGCCTTGGTGAGAGTAGTGACTGTCGAAGCTGGAAGAATTGGCGAGCTGGTGCTGATCGTGGCCGTGTTGCGAGTTTGGGGCCGAGAAATGGCCATCAAGACCAGAAGAATCGAAGAAGTGTTGTTGTTCCTCGTTGCCCAAATAGGAGAGACTGCCCTGGCCGCCATTGCCGCTGCCGTTGTTGTTGCTGAACACATTGAGACCCTGGTTGTCGTCATGGCTATGGTGGAAGCTGAAGGGGTCGAGCTCGAATCTGTTCTGAAAGACATCGTGCATGTTGTTTGAAGGTCCCTGTGTCGATTGAGGATCGATCTCGTGCTGATCCAGATATTCGTCCATGTCGATGTTCATGATGTATCTGTAAAAGGTCAGCTGCATCAGGCAACACGCTGGGCGAAAGATGTAGGAACATCTTGGAGGAGACTTAAGTCTTGACAGTACTGACCAATGATCAAAGATGGATATGTAGATCTTCTAGACCAGAAGTATGCTCAGCAATGTAATGCACGAGAAGGACTGTTCTCGAGGATGTCAGCAAGGATAGGAGTGAGGGCAGGCAGCTGAACAAAGTGTCGTCTTGTCGTGTCGCTCCAGGAGCACTCCGTCGAGCGACGAATTCGTTGAGTTGACTCGATCTCAACGGATTAAGTGAATAGTGAGGGAGTCTGAAAGGTGGAATTGGAAAGGGGTAGTGGAAGGGTACGCTGGAGCGGAAACGGCGAAGAAGAAGGCAGAGATAGAGGGAGAGAGAGAGAGTAGGGACAAAGCAGCCGACCAGAAGCCGGCGGCGCGGGTATCGACGAACGAGTCTCGACGAAGTGCTGCGAAGTGAGGTCAAGATGAACGAGCAGCGAAACAGTCCACGACAGCTCCCCGACGAAACCGCTCAACGAACAGAGTCGGGATTAGAGTGGAAGGCGCTGATTCGAGCAGAAGGTCGTTGATAAGGGCATGGAAGGACAAGACGATGGAAGCAACACCAGCAACAGCAGACGAAGCAGAAACCCAGTCCATTAAAGGGACACGTCGGAAGTCAAACGTCTGGCTGTGGGCTGAGATGGATTTTCAGGGTAGTGATGGAGAAGCAGAGTGCGAGTGCTTGAGGGAACGGTGGCTATTGGGCGGCAGAAGGAAGATCAGACTTACGGTACTGGTGGGAGCAATGAGAGCAAATGATGTTGAAGAAAGCTGATGTCGAGAAGACTCGACGTCAAGCGAGCAACGGTGGACTGCGCAGTTGAGCGTCAGCAGGTTGAACGTGCGTATGTGCGTCGAGAGTGGTAGCGAACACGATGTAGAGTGGGAAAAGGAACAACGTTGAGGCGGAGAGTTGTGCGTATGATGGAGGCTGGTAAACTTACGCGAGTAGACAAGTCAAAGGGTGTTGATATGAGATGTTGAGGTAAGATGGAGTAATGATAAGCTGCGAGACAGAGCGACAGTCGAGCGCGAGCTTGCGTCGACTGATCTCTGCAAGACACGATAAGTGTCGAAACGTCGAAGAAGCTGTCGAGTAAAGCGTCGGAGATAGCGTTCGACGTTATGAGTGAAGCAAAAGGTGGTTGTTAAGGAAACAAACAAACCAGTTACCAAGCAACCAAATGTCCGGGTCCGGGTCCGGGCCTGGTAGCGACGGCAGCGACGACGACAATGGCCGAAGCGACGTCGAGCGTCAATCGAGTGAGCACTGACCGCTCGCGAACTCCAACGACGATGCCGGTCTCGACGAACCTTGACGAACCAGAGCCATTGACGCCCAACAGCAGGCTCCCTGCAAGCTTCGATATCATGCTTTCCCTCAAGCCCATCGAGGTCCAGGTCGTTTTCTGAGATATCACGAAACAGCATACTAAACCCAAGTATCACCTAACCTCGAACGCAACATGCCAATTGCATTTTCGAAAAACATTCTGTGCGTAGTCGGGACGCTCGACTCCTAGACAGAGCTTACAGCATCCGTATGATTGCTATACCGAGAGAGTTCGTACGCACAGTGCCCTCCTTCTCCACAAAGCACTCGCTGTGTTTTGTTCTTGTCGTTATCCAATCAATTTGTTGGTCTGTTGCTTGCCAAAGACCTCTAGCCGATATACTAGGCTGTGCCATCCAACGGTTGCATTCCCGGGACAGAGTCAATCGAGGACATAAAGCATGCTATGCTCAAAGTGCCAAGGCAGGAGCCTGAGAAGCCGTCAGAGCAGTGTTGTTTTGCAGGTGAGCACACACTGAGGGCATCATATCAGGGAAGATCTCCAGTGATTATGGATTTCTGCAGTACGTCACTATTTTGAGATTGTCGATAGGCAGCACTTTTGGCGTACGATCAACACCTGTGCCATCAGTGACTTTGGTCTCGAGCTGAGGTGTAGTTGATACTCAAGCCGACCCTCAGGATGGACAATGTCCGGGCATGGGAAGTACTGACGCAAAGTCAAAATCATCAAATGACAACAGTACTCACGTCGAACACAGAATCCGAGAAGGAGGCTGTAAACCAGCAGCGTCGCATCAAACACTCTCGGCATATTGCTGTTGCTTGTCAGCTTCTTGAAAGACTGTTCATCAAATTGATACTTACATTGTTATGCATTAGAGGTAGGTGAACAGAGAGACTGTAGGCCGGTATCGTCGCATTCGACGTCTGAGGACGCATCGCTGTTGCTTATCAGCACTTCTTACTACCGCGAACAGAGGAACCAAAGAGATCTTTGTGAAAAGCGGAAAGGATGAAATAGAATCAGAGTGTGAATGAGTTCTGCCATTGCAAGGTTGTTATTTCTGCTCGACGATACCGCTTGGTGCCATGGAAGTACGTGTTACAACATGGGATATGGACTGGCGAAGTGACCGGGACCGCAAAATATCAGCACATTCGATGTGTGATAGTCTCAGTAGAATCCGTGGGTGAATCTAAGCTTCAGCATCACTGTCCTCGGCCTTGATCTTCAGTCCTTCCTGGTCAGGAGCAGCCTTCTGGACCCTCTTGGTCAGAGGAGTACCCTCGTCGTCGTCGTCCGAGTCATCAGCAGCCTTGCGCTTAGGAGCAGCCTTGCCTTTACCCTTGGTCTTGGGACCGGCAGAGGAACCAGCAGTACTGAGAGAAGTCAGTGAGCATGAAACATCGTGCCAGCATATATCCTGTAGCGTACCCGTTACCCTTGGCNNCTTTGCCTTCTTGGGTGCAGGAGTCTTGGGCGCAGGGCTGTCTGAACCCTCACTATCCGGTTCTATGGTTAGTATAGTTCAACCAAGTCCTGCGTGAGTGAGGGCATACCCATTGTCGTCTCTGGCGGCGATGCGGATACGAGAGATGTGCTTCTTCAAGGCGGAGACAGTGCAAGTAGCAGTGTCAGTGCTGAGCTCTACGGCAAGGGCCTCCCAATCGATGTTGGCTGAGGCGCTTGGATCCTTCAGGACTGCGAGCAAGATCTTACGATCGGCCTCAGCTGTGATGAAGTCAGTGATATTTGAATGAGAAGTTCAGAAGTTGTTGCCCCTTACCGTCCCAAGTAATACCAGGCATCTTCTTGAATTGAGTGGTGATGTTTGTGAGGATAGCGGGAGCTTGAAGAGTGGTTCGTGTTCTGTGGTAGTTGGTTCAATTGTTGAGCGTGAAGACACAAGGAAGATTCGGGTGTTGAACTGTTTTCGAAAGCAGAAACAGACGTGCGGGTTAGAAGATGAAGAGAGTAAAGAGAAGAAAGTCACGGAGCTGGCAGACGTGATTGGATCTACGGGTTGTGGCCGAGCGAAGCTGTCGCAGACTTTCACTTGGACGAACGAGAGTGTTACCTTGGCGAGACCTAGGAGCAACGGCCACGAGGTCAAACTGAACAAACGAAGTCGAAGGGACATAGAGCTAGTGCAAAGGCTAGTCGAAATCGACATTACAAGGCATCGTGCCCAGAAGGTACCTACATTGTATCCAAGAATTGGTTCTGGTTCATAGATGCTTTCCAGACCAAAGGACGTACAGGTTCCTGGATCTGGTCACCTCATATACTTGCTACAATGGTTCTCGAATAGGCCGAGAACTTGCCCTTCCAAGATGAATTACGAAAGGACAGGAGATATTGAGGTAGACTTCCATCTATCTGGTGTTGATGTTCTGAGCCAAGTCCATGTGGATGTCGAGCATTGAACTGAATCAAGATTGAGCAAGAAGATTCGTCTTTGATCGCGAGGGGGTAGCATAGTAAGCTCATTCTTTTCGAGTCAGCTTGCAGCTGTTCAGGAATATGCCGTGACTATGCTGAAACATCCAAATGGGTGCCGAAGTCATCTGGCAGAAGTATCTGTCGTGCTGAATGATTAAGCGTGTATCAACTCAAGTATTTGGAAGCCGATGCATGGATTGATTCAGGAGAAGAAAGAAGAAGTCCAAGTTCAAAGGATGAGGTGTCGTTGAAAGGGATGACGGTGGAAGCCGTGCACGGATGACGAGGCTTGGCAAGCCTGCATCCTACATCGTGCCTTCCACTGCCACCATCGCCCGTGAAAGCTCCTTCTAAAAACGACGACCTTTTACGAACGCTAACTGAAAGCGGTTATTATATTTCTCGCGGTCTCTGGACCTCTCGTAATTCCCTTGCCAACAGCTCGAATCAGCAAGACCCATGAAAGACTCTTGAACGTCACGACATGTGGGTATGAAGCAATGAAACATAGTAAAGATGCATCGAAAGAGTAAGTGTGGAAAGCAGTCTCATTTCTTGATTGAAAGCATTCTGGAGGGGGGCTGTTGAGAATGAAAGAGTAAAAGAAACAGGTAATCACAGCCCTCCTTTCTGGCTGAGTAAATGCAGTCTCTTTTGCTGCAAAGGTTCGTTACCCTCGTTATGATGTTGTCTGAGTCGCGAGTGTATTGCAAGCATGGAAACAGAATGTAGCTGAGTTTGGATGAGCTCAAGCAACAGCCTATTCTCAGGGTCAGTCATCATTGCCACACTTCTTTTCAATCTCGCGACGCACCTCTTCATCGCGATCTTCAATCTCAGGCTCAGCCTTGATCTTCTCCTCTTCGCCATCAACGGCATCCAAGGCATCGTAGTCGACGGCCTTCTCAGACTGATTTTCGTCTTCGTCTTCGGAGGTTTCTTCGTGCTTCATCTTGTGCTTCTTCGAGCCTCCTTCTCTGCCCGTTTGGCGTCCCTTTCCCTTTGCTCGCGACGAATCTTTCTGCGTGTTTCCTTGCTCTCCTTCTTCATCTCCAGCGCGATTCTTGGGACGAGCAGCAGAAACGCGGCCAGAGCTGCTGCGCAGTATTCCACGGACCCCATAGTCGTTGGCGAGTTTGTTGTAGCGCTTGCTTNNCTGGATGTCTTGTCAGTGTTGAGGAGTTGTCAGTGGAGCGTGGATCAAGACGTACGCGGCGTTGGTAGTGAGGCCGGTATCTGTGGCGACGCCGCTCCAGTCGATCTGGCCTGCGCCTTTGCTGTTCTTGATGCAGGAGAAGAGCAAGACAATTTGCTCGTCCTTGGTGACAGGAGGCATAGTCAGTTGTTGTGTGACTTGGAAGAGAGAAGAAAGAAAGGTTTGTTGTGATGTATGGGAGCGAGGGAAGAAAGGAAAGAAAGAGAGGGGATCGGATCAAAGGTTTTTGAGTGAGAGCTAGCCACGGAGAAGTGGGCGGAAGCCGCTGGATGTGTGAAAGTGAATCTCAAGGGGACGGTCATCGATTGAAGAATTCAGCTATTGATCGAGAGACTCACTCGCGGATACGTTCGTGCAGCACGATCTTGCGAGTTTGGCACAAGTACTGGTGAGCTGAATCTTCTTGAGCAAGGGACAGCTAAGATTGGTATGTAAAGCGGTATGTCGAAAAGCAATCCGGCGAAGATGGCGATATGGCTAGCATAAAGGGCACAACCATCTCTTGAAATCCACTTGTGAACACGAGACACCGTTGATGTTACTGTCGTGTGAAGTAGAGTTGCTTGTGCCTATCGGACTTGGAATGCTGAAAGCACAAGGATGGCTCGAGTAGACATGTGAGCTTGCATTGAAATCTCATTAGCTCTTGAGTGGAACGGTAAAGCAGACGATTGTGCAATTGCGATGAAAAATGTCAAATTGATATCCGCTGCATGAAGAATAACTTATTTGGCTTTGGGGCTGGCCTTAGCCTTCTTGCCTGCCTTGTTCAGACTCCTCCTTTCTTTCTTGCTTTGAACCTCCGTTGAAGTTCCCACAGCATGTCCACCAACCTCACTGACACCGTTCTTGACTGGCTTCTCGGCTACCTTGGGGCTCTTTGTGCCCGACGGTGACTTCACGGCCTTCTCTTCTATTTGGTCCTCGGCGTTTGGTTCCTCAGATGTGACTTCCNNCTTCTCCTTGGGCTTCTTGGTCGCCTTTGTAGCTTTGGGGTCAATACCCTTCTTCTTGAGCTGCTTGGCGCGGGCACGTTGGATGATAGCCTCATCCTCAGAGTCTGAGAAGCCACCAAATACATCGTTCTCAGCTTCCTCGCTGATGGGCGTTCTGTCGATAATCTCTTCGTCTTCGTCCTTCTTGATGTTTTGCTTGTTGTCTTCCTGGCCTTGTGCCTTGATAGCGTTTGCAGGTGTGGGGCCAACCTTCTTGAATTTGGCGACGTAGAAACCGTCGACGTTGTAGGCGTGGGGGTAGTATCTTCTGGTCTCCTTCAAGCTGGGGTGGAACTTCTTGCCCATGAAGCTGGTGAAGCCCTCCTTACCGAACACAAGGCCGGTGCTGACAAGTTTGACGTTGGGACGTCTGTTCAGGGCATACTGAACAACTTGCTCGTTCTCCTCGACTGTAACACTACATGTCGAGTACACAATGTAACCTCCAGTCTTTGAAGCGTGGTCTACTGAGTCGATAGCGGCGAGCAAAAGCTGCTTCTGAAGATGGGGCAGGCGCAGGAAGTCGGCTTCGGTCTTGTTGGTCTTGACACTTTGATCCTTAGCAATAACACCGGTACCAGAGCAAGGGGCATCAAGAAGGACTCTGTCAAAGCCACCCATGACCTTGGGAAACTCAAGAGCAGAGTAGTGGCATATAATGGTGTTCTTGACACCGAGACGGTGGATGTTACCGATCAGACCCTTGGCACGGACCTTACTGGCATCGTTTGCGAAGATGACACCAGTGTTGCGCATCAAAGCAGCAGCGTATGTTGTTTTACCACCGGGAGCGGCAGCCATATCCAAAACACGCTCGTTCTCTTGGGGTGCCAAAGCCATGACAGGCAAGAAGGAACTGGCGGCTTGGAGAATGTAGTGTCCAGCAAGATATTCAGGAGTGGCACCCAAGGGGACCTGAGATTCGAAAACCTGCAGACCAACCTTGCTCCACTTTCCAACAGGCTCGAGAGTAACACCACGGTTGATCAAAGAGTGAGCGAGGTCACGACGGTGAGTGCGGAGAGTGTTTGTTCTAATAACCAGAGGACGAGGGGTCTCGTTGGCGTCGAAGAAGGCGAGAGCCTCCTGAGGAGTGAAAAGTCTCCACAGCTTCTCGGCCAAGAAGCGCGAGTATCCGTAGTAAGCGCAAATGTCGTTCATGAGCGAGTTGATGTAGTCGGCACGCGAGCGCGAAGGGTCGGAGAGCTCCTTGAAACTGGTCAGGACACGAGTGGTCTCAGTGATACGGGTACGGAGCAGCTGGAGATCGGGAGCAAGAGTGGCTTTTCGTTGGGCGGCCTCGTCGTCGTCTTCGTCTTCGGGAATATCGGCGGCAGCAATGTTGGTCTGCATGGCATCGTCCTCGAGTTCGGCTTGTGCATCAGCGGCTTCCTGGGCGGCTTCTTCGTCGAGGCGACCTGAAAGACCAGCAATGTTGGCAGCATTCAAAATCTCTTCAGCGTCCGAAGCATCTTCGTCCTCTGACCACATGGCGCGCTGCACATCCGGATCATCTGAGTCCATGAAATCGTCGTCCTCAGCAGGTTCATCGTCCGACTCGAGGACACCCAAATCGTCAACGGCATCCGAATCGTCTTCGATGTCTTCATCGTCGGACTCAACCAACTGTTGAACCTTCTTCCCGGCTGTCTTTGGTGTCTTTCCGTTTGTTGCAAATTGGCCCTTGGTCGACTTCTTTCCTGCTGAATTCTTGGTCTTGTCGGTTCTGCGTTTCTTGTGTGTTGCCTCGGGCGGCGGAGGGGCGTCCTTTCTCTTTCTCGAGACCAGTGATTCGTTCAGGGGTTCGGGAACACCCTGTTTCTGCATACGACGACTAGGTGCCATGTTGTGTTGTGATGTCGAATGCGACTGAGAAAACAAAAATTAATCGCGAGAAGGACGCCGCTGCTCTTTCTCAAACTTTACGAGACTTTTTCTGGAACGACTTTGTGGGGAAGGCCACTCCCATTGGCCGCCTCGTGCCAACTCGGCCTTTACAAGGACCATATCTTATCCCCGTTCGCAATCAAAAGTACCATTTCTAAAACAATATTCCTTGTGTCCGGCATACTCATTTTGAACAAGAAACGTGAAGGGACTTGGTCGTGAAGTTTGATATTAACATGAGCTATCAGACCACAGCCCTTGGCTCAATCGCTGTCATCATCGCTACCATATCCGACTAATGGACCTGCGGGTTTGTCTGAAGCTTTGCTGGCTGTGGCTCCTGAGCCTGCTGTAAAGCCCTTCAATGCGCTCAGTGTTGACCCTCCAAGGATTCCAGAAGGCGCATCCTGTCTCTTCATATCCTCAATCCTGAGCGGTGCACCTTCATCGTCCTCGTCCTGTAGATCACCAGCTTCGAGCAGATATGGTTCTTGTGGAGCTCCAAGTCTGGCCTTCTCGGACGCATACCACACCTCGTCGCTGGCCTCATACCCGGCTAACCCAAAAGTGCCCTCGACCTTTCTCCTCTTTCTCGCCTCTTCCCAGCCTTCGCCACGACCTTCGATCTCGGCCACGTATTCTGCCGGTAGCGCACGGCGGATTGCGTCTGCCGCCTGCTCTTCGATCTTGCGGGCTTCTCGTTTTTGCGCTTGCGGGTTAGGATCGACAGTTGCCCATCGCACATTCAATGTCTCGTTGTTGTCCAGCGGTTGGTGTGCCATGGCCTCTTTNGCGAATTCCTACTCACATGTTAGCTTCTTTCTGCATGTTCGAATCTAGATCGCATAACTTACGGCATTGGCCAAGTGGACGTAGGTCACGAATGCTACGCCTCTTGCTGGCAACACACGTACGCGCTCAATCTGACCCCATTCTTGAAAGTGTCTGGCGACCACTTCTTCGATGTCGTCTGATGTGTGAACTCTGCCCACGTATAGAGTTCTATTGACGCGCATAAAACTTCCAACACCACCCATGTCGTCTCTGTAGTCACTGAATTTGTCTCGTCCAAAGCAGTCAACGTTCGAAGGGAAGATGTCGCCCAGGCCACCCTCTTTCTCTATGCGCGAATTTGGTAGACGGTGAAGGTACTCACAGTCTTGACCCTTGGGACAGAGACCGCGAGCGAAGAATAGACAGAAGTAGCTGCCAGGGATGCTGTCGGCTTTTGTGTATCCAGAGTCTGTCGCAACGTTGCACCTGCCCTTTGCCTGTTGCTTGGAAGAGTAGGCATCCTCGCGATCACCGCCAGACCATTTGTTGTACCAGATATTGAAAATTGTGCCGGTTTGAGCAGGTCTCTCTGACTGGAAGCCTTCTTGTTGGACTCTGGCGGGTCTCCTCTTCTTCTTGACCATGATCTTCTTGGTCTTCTTTTTCGGCTCCAGAGCACTGCTGTCTTGATTTGTGAGTACCAGTGCTGACGAGTCTGTGACTTCGAAGTTTGCGAGAGGATTTTGATCGGCCGCGGTGGCTTCCTGCACGGGNGGTGTATCGACGTCGGCCATGATTGTGTGGTATATATGGCAAGTCGCGTATGTATTCGGGAAATGATATGAGTGACTGCGAATCCGGAAATCGAGATGAATGGGCGTGGTTGTGGTCTGAAATGGGAGTGAAGGCAAGTTTGGCGCGGCGGAGAAGTCGCGGCGGCGCGACTGTGCATGGACCAATCGAAGCTAACTCTCCAGGTGCAGCGAGCCTAACTCCATCATCAAGCACCATCACACGCCTGCTATACCACTCATCACCTCTCTCTTCTCACGCACACCATCAACATGCCTGGATTCGATTTCTCGCTGCACAACCGCAACCTCGCCTTGCACGCACAAGGTGTGCCGCTGCCCAAAGCCACCAGCACCGGAACAACCATTGTCGGCTGTCTCTACGATGGCGGCGTCGTCATCGCCGCAGACACAAGAGCTACCTCAGGCCCTATCGTCGCCGACAAGGTCAGCATCTTCTGTCTTTCCTTTCTCACACCTTCAGTACTGACTCCGCGTTTGACAGNNAACTGTGAGAAGTTGCATTACATCGCCCCTCAGATCTGGTGCGCCGGCGCTGGTACCGCTGCCGACACCGAGTTCACCACCGCTCTCATCTCGTCCAACATCGAACTGCATGCCCTATCTACCGGACGCAAGCCTCGCGTCGCCACCGTTATGACCATGCTCAAGCAACATCTGTTCCGCTACCAAGGCCACATTGGCGCCTACCTGGTCGTAGCTGGTGTCGACCCCACAGGCAGCCACCTCTTCACCGTCCATGCCCACGGCAGTACCGACAAGCTTCCATACGTCACCATGGGTTCCGGTTCGCTGGCCGCCATGTCTGTCTTCGAAACTCAATGGAAGTCAGGCCTCAACAAGGACGATGCTATCAAGCTCTGCGCCGACGCCATCCAAGCTGGTATCTGGAACGATCTGGGTTCGGGTTCCAACGTCGACGTCTGTGTCATTACCGCCGAGAAGACGACATTGCTGAGAAACTACATTACCCCCAACAAGCGCGAGCAGAAGATGAGGAATTACAAGTTCCAGAGAGGAACCACTGCCGTCCTCAACGAGAAGATCATTACTCGCCAGGACATCAGCAAATACGTCACAGTGCACGAGCTCAGCGACAACGACGCTGGCCAGGCCGCAGAGAAGATGGAGGTCGACTCATAGACAACACCTTTCTGGCCACAGACTGGGGCAATGACTTTTGACATTTTCTGTATTCTAACGGGGACCAACGATCGGGGGCTTTTACTATTACAAAGCAAGCACAGGCATTTTTCGGGGAGTTTGCAAATTCAAAATCGGTCATAATCTTCTCTATTCATGCGTGTCTCGTAGTGTTCTGCCGCCCAGGAAAGTCTATCAAGTGAAAAGTAGGGATGACGGAAGAAACGTTTGTGTGGCGAGGGCCAGCCTGCCACGATGTGAGTGTCGATGAAGCGGCTTCAGATGCTGTCTAGCATCTCAACGTGTAGTGGAAGCAGATGCTGGAATGATGGTGGAATGTACGAGGCAGAAACCATTCTTGCCAATGATTTCTCCGTGCCATTAGGTGCAATCCCAATAGTAACCATAGCCTGCAGAGTAGTGTTGGTATGAGTGTTTTCAAAGATCGTGTATGTAGACGTCGCACTATCCTCGGCCAATTGGCGAGTCGGGTGAGACGTATGGGTTGCGAGATTGGACGTACCATCGTCGGTTTGGGAGGGTTTGATCTCAGTTGTCGAAGACGCAGACGAAGACGAAGACGAAGATGATGAATTGGCTGCAGCTGCTGCGTCTGTCGTGACATGAGCACCAACAGTGGGGACTGTCGAACCAGTTCCTGTACCGGAAACTGCTTCACAGTCGGGTTGATCGATGCTCGTGCGGTTGAAGTAAGCTTCCACCGAGCGAATCAAGAGAATGTTATCCTGAGCTGGAGGGCCAAAGGTCCAAGCATACCCATTCGACCATGAGTTCCACATCAGCCAACCTGCTTCGCTGGGCACGTTTCTGTTTATCGACATGACCAGCACGCCATCGATGTAGAAATTTGTACCAGTCGGAAGCCAGTCGTAACGGTACTCGTGGAACGCAGAAGCCATGGTGCTGGGTGCAGCCACAGCATATGTCGTCTCACCACTGCCTGGATGTGTTTGTTGATTGGTGAAGTGGACATGGTTGGGATCCCCTGTCCGGATCTCTATATCGGTTTCTTGTGTGTCGTTCATGTACATGAAGAAACCTGGTTTGTACAATTAGTATATCTGAGCTCACACAGGCCAGAGTTCTAGTGACACACCATGAACTGTCCCGTTTACAGGACTGGCTTGCGCAACAGTTCTTACACTGGCATATAGCACATCATCATACCTAGTGACCAACTGACAAGTCTCCAGAGGATCTGCAGTCTGGCCACCAGGCACAATCATCTGCATGGGTTGACCAGATCTGAGTACTATATTGCTAGGATTGAAGATATGCGAATATGGAGCGTATGGTCCAGAACCAACTTCATAGGTACTGGCGATCAACTCATCTGGAAGCGTGTCCATGGTAGTAAAATCGAATGCAAGATGATAACCGAAGGCACCGACGCCTTCGACTTGATAGCGACAGCCATCAGAGTTTCCAATTGCATTATTTGTTGAACGAGCAGTAAGACTGCTGTTAGGAGCAGAGGGGTTCGGGTAATCAGGAGTGGCTTCTGAAAGGGCAGCGGTGACAATGGTCACGAAGATAAGGTAGAGTAATTGCCTAGATGGCATGGTGCAAAGTCAGAATTGCCTGCTCAGCATGGTTGTAGCTGAAGTATACAAGGTAGAAGGGAATGAGTATAGAAGCAGTGTTTTGCGAGGCTCAAGACCTGGGTACAGATGGTCATATGTATTTGAGTCGGCAGTTGCAGAACGGGCGAGGCGTCACTCATCGGACAAGACTAGTAGACGTTATGAGCACACGGGTCAGAGGTTCAAACGGCATGAAAACTTTGTATAAGCAAGAGTTGGATATGGAGATGTTACTTCCAGAAGGGTGATGGAAAGAGTCAGGGGTTTAGAGTGGATCGTGGCGTTAAGGTTGTTGTGGTAGGGCTAGGAGGCTCGAGGAGTTATGACAAGGAGCGCTGCAGTGAACAACAGAGCGGGTAGCCACACAATTCTGGATTGATACAGGATGGTGCTGGAAGGCGATTGCTTTTGAGAGGGTCGTACTGGTTTTGATGTCGCTTCGCCAGTACGAACTCCAGGATCTGACGTGGAGCAGGCAGATGGACGAGCGGAGTATACACAGCTCAACAGAATGTACAGGAGGTGTACTTGAGGTAGAGTGTGACAGTGCACTACCTAACAGACAGAGAACAACACATGCGTACAACGCAATGGTGGAAGAGGAGCATGTCAGCGACACCAAGAGTGCAGGAGCAAGGAGAGAGATGGCCGAAGGTCCCCGCATCTGGGCCCGAAAGTTGAAAGCGATCGTCCCGACGTGCCTGCAGATGCGAGCCGGAGGGGCGGGTCCGAGCCAAAAAGGCAACCAAGAGCTGTGACGACTGAACAAGTAAGGGACACGCAACTGCCATGTAGCTCTGCGTGACGGTTGCAAGGCTCATGCATACCATAGCATGAAACTTGGTCTCGTCTGTCTCGGTCTTTCACTATTGGCACTGGCACTGGCACCATGATCAAATCATCGTCCAAGACGTCAGCTCCTCCATCGCCCGACGAGGCCTCGCAAACACCTGTCGCCGGTGCCTCGTCATCGGCTCTACCTCTACCTCCTTCCTTGACATTGCGCAGTCGCTCATCGACAAAGACAAGTCCTCCTGCCGCCGATGGAGCTTCTCCCGTCGAGCCATCACTTTCTCGCCGTCGCTCATCGCTCCTCTCCTTCTCGAGCTTGGACGACACGCGACACTCGGCTGGTGACTTCATCCGTCCATCCCTAGGCCTCGACCAAGATGACTCGACTGCTCCAGAGGATCTGTCACACTGGCACAGCTCACCTCTGGCTTTTGCTTTCCTCCCCGCTCTTGCCGGTCTCTTCTTTACCAATGGAAGTGCCTTCGTCACCGACATCATTCTACTTGGCCTAGCTGCTTTGTTCCTCAATTGGAGCGTCAGATTGCCTTGGTATGTTGGTTTGTGCCCCTTCTTATCCTATATACTGACTTTGCTAGGGNATTGGTACCGCTCAGCTCAGGCTCAATTCACTCTGGACCAATTGAGCAACCCTCCCTCTGTGTCACAGGACTTGGACGAAGACGACCAGCAACGTCAATCCCCGGAGAAGTCACCGACAAGTCAAGAGCAGGAAGATGCGGCTGCCAATCTCCGCCAACACGAGCTTCTGGCTCTGGTCTCTACCTTCTTGTTTCCTGCTTGTGCTGCCTACCTGCTACATGTTATTCGTGGTCAGCTCTCGCGCCCCTCGGAAGGTCTGGTGTCAGACTACAACCTGACTATTTTCCTTCTCGCTGCCGAGATACGCCCCATCAGGCAATTGATCCGTCTGTTCACCCATCGGACCATCCATCTGCAGCGTATTGTCCGTGGCAACAATGACCCCTCGGCTTTAGGCAAGAAGGACAAGGCCATCTCTGAGCTTGCATCCCGTCTTGTCATTCTAGAAGAGAAATTTGGCGATCAACTGTCATCTCCAGGCGTTTCCATCGTTCAGAAGGACGAAGTCACTGCACTGTCGAGCGACATTAGAAAGCGTTACGAACCTCGTCTGGATGCTCTGGAGCGCGCGGTTAGGAGATACGAGAAGCGAGCCACGACTCTGACTTTGCTTACTGAACAAAGGCTACAATCTTTGGAGAATCGTCTGCAAGACGCATTAAGCTTGGCCGCTGTCGCTGCCCAATCGTCTGGCAAACCTGGCATTGTCGCTGCCATTCTATCTACACTGGCCAAGACGCTAGCAGTCCCTTTGGAGTTTGCCTGGCTCATATTCGTATGGCCTCTGAAGATCACAGAGTCGGCGCTTAAGAAAGTCGGCGTCATGGTATTGGGCCCAGCAAATCCGCCTCGCCGTCGAAACGACTCCAAAGGTCCCAGGCCAAGGCCAGAAAAGAAGAAGGATGACTCGTATTTCACCCGACATTATTGATAGCCCGGGATAGCTCTCCCCTGTTCGAGCGCATTGCATTGGCATGAGTGCTTTATCCTATTCACGACCTTATGACCCTGTATCAGCAACCATGAGACCTCGAAATTTCTTTATACACGTGCCATGTTTTACTCTGAACTATACCGTTCGACCTTCTCCTTCCAAGCGATTTCCGGCGATGATGTTACTTAGAGAGTGCTCGTATCGTTTCCACTCATCTTCGCTGGTTTGGAGCCAAAGGCAACAAAAGTGTTATTTTGTATACATGACCTTCTCATTACCAAACTCGCATCGTCCCTATGGCTACACGTCTTCGAAATTGGGACCAAGTATCATCTTTGGGTATAACCATCAAGCTTGATTCAGACCATTGTCCAGTGTCGGCTATGGAATTCGTGTTGGTAGTATGACCCTGGCATAAATTATCCTCATGTCTCGTCAACAGAAAGTGACCAGAACAACGATGCTTAGTAATAGAGATAGCAAAGGATACAGTTCTCCAATTAGCAATGCAGTATCGTGCGGTCCTTTGAGATATCGATCGTCAATATGCCTTTGTCGAGCTGATATAGCCTTTCCATAGGCAGAAGTATGTAACGCGTGTAGCTATAAAAATGCACAAATCTATTCAGAACCAAGGATATGGCCAAAGAGAGGTAATGAGAGATCGCTTTGCAGTGGACACTATCCTGTTTTCTGATAGTATTTTGCATTTTATAGCGTGCAATCTACTCTCTGTTATGGTCGGAGTACAGTGTAAGTCACGTTCTTTAGCACTCGGGGACACGGACAGTGATAATATTAGTGTTTCTACAAGAACACGTCCCCAGTCCAGTTCGTAGTCATGCATTCCGATAGCTCGCTATACTACAATATGGTGAGATTGGAACGGTTACGATTCTCAACCTAGAAGGCATAGCAATGACCATGGATACATAATCGGTGGCAAACATTGAAAGCGTAAGATACCTTGGGAAATCGTCTAACATCCTCCACCACCACCGCCTCCACACCCGGCACCACCGCCACCTCCACCTCCGCATGCCGCTCCTCCTCCGCCAGAACAAGCGCCTGATGAACCACAGCCACCGTTACTAATACCAGCGCACCCTCCCAGACTTCCACATGATCCAACGCCCGAACAAGAACCTCCTGCAGCCGCCGCCGCACCGCAAGTACCTGCGCAGCAGTTGCCTGGCGCACCAATTCCCAGTGCCATACAACCAGGGTTGACAGGGTACATCATCGGTGTGTACGGCATGGCACCATAATACGGAGCATACATGGGTATAAAGACGGCATGACCATATGACTCCNNGGAGTAGTAGTAGTCATCTCTCTTGGGATGTGGCTTGCCTTTCTTATCGGCACGCTTGCAGGCCTTTTCGTATGCTTTCTCAAGCTCGCCGATACGTCTATTCACTCCTTCGTCGTAGCCTTGGTCGCCCATTGGTCGTACGGCGTTGTGAGTGGAGATGTGGACTGACCTTTTAGGGTCAGAGGGCACGGAGTGAAGTTTGTCTGCAGCGGTGCCGTTGGTACTGCGGAATAGGCGTGATGCTGTAGAAGCATGAGACTCACGCACCGCCTCACAGTACCAGCATGTGCATTCCGAATATGGCTCTCCATACAGCTTCTGATACATTTTGCTGGTCTCGGCAAACCCATCTGTGAGCTTGGTTTCTGCTACTTTGTCATCATGGTCGATGAAGGTCTTGCTCTTAACAACAGTGTATTGCAGATAGCGTGAAGGACTAAGCTGGTGGGTGTGCCATGCTAGGTCCACATCTAAGGTTGGCACGGCCATCTTGCTGTACCTGGAGATGATAATGATAAATCGTGAATATTTGTGGATTAGGCGAGGTATGGTATGGGAAAGCGCAGGCGAATGAAGCCAGTCAATGTCGTGCATCTTCTCGATGAAAGAGCCCTGGCGAATGACGGCACCAACAAGGTCGATGGCAAAGACTGACGAATTCTCCCAGTATCTCGACATCATCCGACGAAGGGCAATAGACTCTTTAGCGTTGAGGCGAGAGCTGTTTCTGTCATGCTTTGCTTCCTTGACCAGTTCTTCGATGGTGAGATAGTGCTCGACGACTTCGCGCACACTAGCCATCTGCATGTCGGAACCCCTTAGCTCGAGGATTCGTTGTCCCATTCCAATATTCATCAATTTGCTCGGGAATGTAGAGTAAGACCAGCCGTAGACGTCCACAACGCCGCCAACTTTCGATGGTAGACCAAATCTGCCCAAGATGTTCCCAGGCAAGAGAGCCCCTTTTTCGAGAAGCAGTCTCAGGTCTTTACGGAGCTTGCCTACACAAAGAGAATCGTGTGTGATCCGAGAGTTGCATTTTGANCACGTCAAGGTGAATCCTTTATCAGCAAATCCTTGACAGGCACTGACTCGGCTTTCAATTGCTTGAAGGTCAACAACTTTATTCTGACCTGCCCAGCGTGGAAGTTTTTCGGCTTCTGCAAACACATCTCCGAAAGTAGTCCACGGAGCAGTATTCTGAGCACCGCAGCTGTGACAGTCTATGCTTGTGTTGTGCGAACCATTCAAGTTGTCCCAGTCGAGTCCAGTTTGTTCTCGGAAGCTAGTCATTGCTTGTTTCGCTGTATTGAAGCAATAATCAGGATCTCTGATGTGGCTGGCCACTACCTGCAATGGAAATGGCGTGTGCCATAAACGCATCCGACCCTCACGTGCGCAGTCTTCCAGGTAAGCCCTCGGATTTAACATGTATGAATGCCACACCATCAAGATATCTGTCCAAGGTTTAGCATGTCTCTCCTTTAAGGGATGGTCATTCAGCTTACCAATGGGTGGTAGATTTGCAGCCTCGAAGGAGAATGGGTTGGCCTTCTCAGGTTTCACACGATCGGCCAAAACATCACCTTCATAAGTGACAGCTTGATGGAGGGTATAATAGTCGGTGTCGGGCTCCAGAGAATACCTCCACTTTGCAAAGCGATCTACTGCTCGAGAGACGTAGACTTGCCATCTCTTCTCCGCAAGGAGAGTCAACATCGTGGTGTTCTTGTCATTGTGGGCATCCTTTGGTGGTGTATTCTGATCGATTTCTCCAAGACAGTGGGAAGATATGTCGAAAAGACCATCGGTACTGGCGATCTTCTGCTTCAGGCGATAGAAGCATTCGAGCAGCTTGAGATGTGCTATCCCATCCTCAGGGCTTGGCAATTCTGGGTCCAATCGCGCAAAGCTGTTTGCTGCATCTGAGGCGTGCTGAACACTGTGTTGTGCTCGTTCAGCTTCTTCGTAAGTTGGAGGTGGCGGCGATGGACTATCGGTGGAACTGATCGTGGTTGCTTTTGCTTCTTCTTTTCCTTATCGGTCTCCTTGGCTCGGGAGAAGGCTCTTGAAAGTCGTCGCATAGTCGGTCGTCTGCAGGGTAGTGATACTGGTTGGCAAGTTACTCTAAAACGGGGTGATATCCTTTTATATGTGAAAGGTGGTATTAAGTACCACAAACCCCACCTTCAGTTCAGGCAGGCCGAAGGATTTTGTGGAAACCACATGACTCTACGTGAGTAACTGTTCGCCTCGTCAGGCGTCTTTTGCGTCAAATGAAGATAAAAAGGAAGCGGCTGTGTCTGAGAAGTCCTTCCAAGCGACTGGTGATGCGCAGCGATCTTACTTCTCTAAGTATCAAGCATCCTTCCACAGGATTTCTAGCGCGACTTGGTTGAGGCTTGGACTGCTCAAGCATACAGTTGACCATAACGTCACCCATTTTTCGAGGCTGAGTCTGGAATAGCTTGTGTTCTACAGCCTGCGACGAGCATCTAAGGCATTTCCATTCTCAATCTGCTGCGGCTATGGTGTATTGCGGCGGAGCACTCTTTGATCCTCATTGACGGAGCATTGGAGGAAGCGATGGTGGAGGAGGCGCAATCTAAAAGAACCGAGGTCAATGGCAACTCGGACCGAATTGATACAGGTAGAGCCGAGCCGCCTTATTGACTGACTGCCTTTGCTCTGACGCCTGTCTGCCTTGAAGTTCACCTTTCTGCTAATAGTCAAAACAGATCCAGAGATCATGAGTTAGGAGCGTGTTCAAAAGTTTAAGATCGATGGCCCTGACCTGTCAAGCATATCCAAACAGATAGGTACTAGACAATCTCGGAAGTTTGAGGGTCACCTCCGTAGGAATTTATCTCTTGCAACCGATTGAGCCGAGAAGTTGGTCTAACATGCACTCGCATATCATCTTCGACCATCGACTGAATCATAGACCAGGCGTGATCATATGGTATCTGCGTTGCGTAGATACCTAGCTAGTCGAGCACAGCTCTGAGAACATGTTTGTTTTGTCGAGGTCAACCTCAATCTTCTGAATCAAGTTGTCAAAATCTGTAACGCCTCTTCCTCTTATTGGAGCGTATGGCAATGTCATATTACACAGTTTTTGCTGGCACCAGAGAGATGATTGAAGCAGGCCCTCTGATAGCATCTCTTCCTGGTCCCTAGCTCATTCTCCAAGATGGTTGTGCATAGCCAGAGTCACGTAGGTTCCATACTGAGGGGGTGTTCTCGCACACAGACAGCCTTGCATATGGAAGCACATTTTCGCAGCTGACCTATGGATAGGTGTGGTGCAGATTGCAACCCTAGCCGATGTTACGCGAGTTCGTTTCCGAAGGTTGCTACCGAGCTTGCTCTGTTCTGACAGCTTTCTTACCGAACATTGCAAGGTTCAGTACATCTACGCATCGCTCCAGCTAGCACTCGATCAGCGTGGTAAATATATCTCTATCGGATGATTAGTAGATCAAAGCATTCTCTGAGTCTGTGGTTGATCAGTCAGTATCCTTGTAGCAGTGAATGAACTGTAAATGTGACTGCATATAACTCTTGATCATTTCGTTCTCCTATCAACAATAATGTGCGATCGCAGCCTCTAGTCGTGTGAGGTGCTGTATCAAGCAGTGCTCGGGACGGGTTGATTGTCGAGTACGTGCGACTCTCTCGTAAAAACCATGGGCTGTTGGGGACTCGCGAAGGTTGTTGGTATTGAAGACTGCTGCGTGGCGCCTTCAAGCTCAGTTGACGACTCAGAGGGCCTTGCCCATGAACTTTCTCTTTGTGAAACTCAACCACCACNNTGGTAAGACGAATTTAGTACTTGTATTTGCACATGGCATAGAAGATGATCCTACCTTGCTAGGTGCATCGCCGTCTGCGTATATCCTGTTCAACAATCTGGTAGCCAGCTCTTGTCTCATTTGGCTGATGTACTGTCTCAAGACCTCGGCTTCTTGTCTGTCTCGCGGAGGCTCGAAGGCCTGGTTGAGAGGGAATGTAGCATCGCCAGGAATGGCAAAGTTTGTATCGAGAGCGAGGTTCATGACGGCCTTCTCGGCTTCTCTCCTGGGCATCTGAGGCTTGATTTTCTGAATGACTTCGCTAACGAACAGGATGCCATATATCAGGACGCGGTCGGCGGGACCTTTGATCTCGAAGTTACGGAAGAAGGTGTTGGCACGGAACAAGGCCAGTGTCTCGTCCAGCGGGTCGTAGCTTTCATGTGAGGCATCGATGGTGAGTTCTGTTACATCGCCGGAAAGGGCGGGAAGCTGCATAGCCGGGCCGCGGGTTCTGGTACGGAGAGGCAGTAGGGAAAAGTTGCCAATGACTTGTTGGTTGGGCTCATCGAGGAAGACTGAGTGGTATGCCTGCCAAGCGAGCTGTCAGTAGGGATTGCACGGAGCTGTTGTCGACAGTTGTGATTCATACAGGCATGATGGAATGTGAGAGACAGCAGTGAAGCCGTCGGTTCGGGAGATTAATACGGTTGGGCGAGAGAATTGATCAAGATGGCTATGTGCAACGACTCGATTGCTTGATGGATGCGCGTCGCTCGCTGCCCGCGCCTACGTATGATGTTGTCGGTGGAGCTTGGCGCCCGCCGCAGCTGCCAAGACGTGGGACTCCCGACCGCCGAACGCGGGGTGCTGTTGCGTGAGGTCGAAAAAATATCCTCAAGAGTGACTCCTTCGCGACAGCGAGCTTCCGAGATCGCTATATTTTCTGCATATCGCGTGCCAACCTCCTGTCAATTTAGGCAAGGTCTTTTCGCGACTTTCTTCCTGTATTTGTGTCCGGTTGTCAAGAACGTTGACAGCCAATCCTGTCCAACATGTCCTTCTCAATCAGTATGGAGCATTGCTCTTTTCTGCCCCACGGTCAATGCTAATTTTCCACAGAGGTGCCGTGTTCTTCGGCCAACATTGGTATTGCTTACCAATTGTTTCTTATCTGTCTGCTCGTCAATTGACTTCTTGACCAGNGCCCCGGTTTTGATGTCATCGGTCTGGCCCTTTCTGTCTGGCTCGAGCTGCGTGTCACGGTAGACTCCTCCAAGAAGTCTTCCGAACACCAGTCCAACTGCAAAATCACCTACGAAGGTCTCGGCAAGGAGAACGTCGACCTTGTTGCTGACCGCAATCTGATCACTCAGACCGCTCTCTATGTTCTGCGATGCCACAACCAGCATGCTTTCCCTTCCGAGACTCATGTGCACATTATCAACCCCATTCCTTTGGGTCGTGGTCTTGGTTCTTCTGGAGCTGCTGTTGTCGCTGGTGTCATGCTCGGTAGTGAGGTCGGAGGACTCAACTTGACCAAGGACCGCATGCTCGACTTTTGCTTGATGATCGAAAGACATCCTGACAATGTTGCTGCTGCTCTGTTCGGTGGTTTCGTTGGCTCATACCTCAAGGACCTGGACCCAGAAGACATGAAGCGCAAGGAAATCCCTCTCAGTGAAGTCCTGCCCGCACCTGCTGGTGGTGTTGATACCGGACTTACCNCTCCTATCNCCCCAATCAACATTGGCAAGCACATCAAGTTCAACTGGGCTCCCGAGATCAAGTGCATTGCTATCATTCCCGATTTCGAGGTTTCCACCGCAAAGGCTCGCTCTGTTCTGCCCACTGAATACCCCAAGGCAGATGTCATCTCTAATCTGCAGAGAATTGCTCTTTTGACCACCGCTCTAGGTCAGAGCCCTCCCAACGCTGACATGATCTACGATGGTATGCAGGACAAGATTCATCAGCCTTACAGAAAGACTCTCATCCCTGGTTTGACCGAGATCCTGAAGTCTGTTACTCCCACATCTCAGCCCGGTCTTCTCGGTATCTGCTTGTCTGGTGCTGGTCCCACTATCCTGGCTCTGGCCACTCACAACTTCGAACAGATTGCCAACCACCTGCTCGGCGAGTTCAAGAAGGAGAAGATCAACTGTGAATGGAAGCTGTTGGAGCCCGCTTACGACGGCGCTGTTTGCACCAGAGACGTTGAGAAGCCTAAGGCTATGACCTATGCTGACGCTGGTGTCTCTATCGACGCTGGTAATGATCTGGTTGTCGCCATCAAGAAGGCTGTGAAGTCCACTCGCAGACCTGGTGCTGATGCTGAGATTGGTGGCTTTGGTGGTGCACTTGATCTACAAGCTGCCGGCTATGACGAGGCTCCTATCATGATTCAGGCCATTGATGGTATTGGCACCAAGCTGAAGGTTGCCTTCGCCATGGACAAGTTCGACACTGTTGGTATCGATCTTGTTGCTATGAACGTCAACGACTTGGTTGTGCAAGGTGCTGAGCCTTTGACCTTCCTGGATTACTATGCTTGCAGCAAGTTGGAAATCAAGGAGGCCGTCTCATTCATCGAGGGCGTCGCCGCTGGTTGCCGCGAATCAGGATGCGCTCTTGTCGGCGGAGAGACTGCAGAGATGCCTGGCATGTACCAAGGCAACGAATTTGACGCCGGTGGTTGTGCCACTGGTGCCCTCAAACGTGGTCGCACTATTCTGCCCGATATGGCATCTATGGTCGAAGGTGACGTCCTTCTGGGTCTTGCTAGTGACGGTGTGCACTCGAACGGTTTCTCTCTTGTCAGAAAGGTTGTTGAGCGCCAAGGGCTTTCATACCACGACAAGGCACCTTGGGCACCCAACACCACTGTCGGTGCTAGCTTGTTGACCCCCACTCGCATTTACGTCAAGCCTCTTTTGAAGGCTGTTGAGAAGGACCTGCTCAAGGGTATGGCACACATCACTGGTGGAGGTCTTTATGACAACATCCCAAGAATGTTGCCCAAGACTCTCGCTGCCGAGGTTGACGTCTCAGCATGGTCTGTTCCTCCAGTGCTCAAGTGGCTCAAGGAGGCCGGCAACGTCGAGTCCCGTGAGTTTGCCCGCACATGGAACACTGGCCTTGGTATGGTCATCGTTGTGAGCAAGGAGAACGCTGCCGAAGCCAAGAAGGTTTTGGAAGAGGCAGGCGAGAGAGTTTCTGTGATCGGAAAACTCTTCTCTAGAGGCGAGGACGAGGTTGTTCTCAAGAACCTGGAGGCCTGGAACTAAGAGGACACTATAGATGAGAACTGGAAGCACAAAGATGAATTTAGCATGCGGCTGGGGCAAGCCGCATATGCAACGATATAGGCGTTTTACAAAAATCAAAGGGGGCGAGGCAGGGATAGATATGGCAATTGTGAATTTACTACAGCGTTCAAATCATTGAGACTACAGATATGCGAGTGAGAAGGCCATGTTCGTACGGGCTCAACAATATATTTGTTGGTAAGTCCCTTCATCTTCGTCGTTTGAGAAATTGGTTGTAAAGCGGCAGCAAAACAGCGTTGCGCAAGAGCCGGACGTTCCTTCTGGCCAAACGCAGTGACGTCGAGTATGCGAAGATTGGCGATTGGAAAGAGCTCCTTGACCACTCCCCAATTTTCGTCTTTGTCCTCTACACGCTTTTCGCAACAACTGTATGACAGTCAACCATCATCACTTTGAGCGTCGGACCATCTCTGCGCCCCACCGCTTTGTGTGATTCCTATTGATGAAGCGATGCATCAGAATCAGGACCACCCTGCAACTTTCGATGATTTCTTAAGAGCCATTGACTCCACAATGAACCATGGAGAGATTATGCTTAGCTGACAGGATATTTGAGCACGCCAGTTACGCTCTAATCCCCACGCATACATCCAGGGGTAGCTGCCAATGGTCGGTCAAACAACTAACTCAATATGGCCGAAGCATGAATACCCGCTCCGCCCGGACCATAATACACTCATCTTGATCACAAACTCGCGCTCCAGAGTGGAGAGAACGCGACCTTATTCTCATATTCGGATGGTGATCAAGTATTATGATTCAGAGGCAAAAGTCTGGGCATCAAAGGCTGTCATCTTTGGAGGTAGATGTTTTTCTATTTGAGATACTGCGAGGCCACCGCATAAGTTAGAGCTGTGACATCTCTTTCCTACAGCAGGTGTTTTTTTTGCTTACTTCGTTGGTCGTCTTTTCCAATATGCACTCGTTCATTCCGCCACTGGTAGCCTTGCTATCTTTGGTGACGGCACAGAATCATCTGGCTGTTCTAGGTGCAGATGGAGTCTCTGTTGGCTATCACACGAACTCTTCGGATCTTGCAGCTGCACCGGTTGGCCCCAAGCAAACACAAGCTGGTGTGATGCAATCATCTCAAAGTCTGTCCATACAGTCGCAAATCAGCGAGTCCCACCCCGTCGTCCCTTATCCGACCGAAGCTGTTGCCTTGCCACCGGTTGTGGTGTCGCAGCCCACCGAACAGGCTGCGGGAAGCCCATCTGTCCACCCACCTCCAAGCCAATCCGCTGTTCAACCTCCGGCATATCTCGAGTCCTGGGCAGCTGTTCAGCCTTCGAACCCAATCGAGCCCGTTGCTACACCACCTAGCGCCTCCAGTATCAATGCTCTCAGTGAGAAGCCTACTGAATGGAATAATACCGCTGGACAACCAGGACCAGATGCAGCGCACCCGATGGGTTTCTGGATTCTCAATAGGAACGCTTTGAAACACCACATCAGTGCAGACTTTGCAGCAGAAGATTTCGGAAAATATGGCCTTCACGAATACCTCAAGTTCACCACGGCTACAGTTGGACCAGGTGAGAACTTGTGGATCCCTACACTACCTGGAATAAGCCCAAAGCTGTATGTGGGTGTCTCTCCGAACAACAACACGGCCGAGGTTGGCTCTTACCGTGATCACGACACAGTCATCGAGGCCACCTTCGATGGAGGCTATGGTCACCTCTACTACGATGTCGACATCGAGCATGGCTTCTCCTCACCAGTCTGGTGCTATGGACAGGGTGACGCATGGGAAGACGGCAAAGGTTGCGTCGCAGATCTGCTTTCTGTGTGTCCGGAGAAGGATCAACACCGCGACCCATCGACTGGTTTGTACGATCAGTGCCGAGCAGCAGCCGACAACATTGACTTGCGCCGGTACCACTGCCCTAAGACTTACGTGCTGTCGAAAGACGACTGGAACACCAAAGGCACGGCGAATAGGGATGGTAAGCGCAAAAACACCAACACCTTCGACACTGTATATCGTTGCTGACTTTTCTCAAAGNTGCTCATGTGTACCATCATCGACACAGAATCCACTAGCAGAATTCAAACTGCCCAGGTCGCCGAAGCCNAAAGAAAAGAGGCAGCCGGCATCGAGCCAACTGCTGTCTTGCCTAGACGTGCCCTGCCACGAGGCCACTCCAAGAACAAGCGATCCCCAGGACATGCTTAATCGGCCGACTACACAGTATCAAAGACTTTTACACAATTCACGGGGGAGTGTTTCATTTGTTGTTGTTCGGATGTAATGTCGGGATATCGAGTCACTCGTTTGACTATAGGAAGAACAGATGAGGTAATATGTTAGGTACTTTCACCTTTGTAATTTTTAATTTATAGTAGTAATGCAAAAGTTGATCTTGTTTCCTGAGATAATTGTCCTTTGACCTTCATTGACCTGGTTATCATCATCATAAGATTGCTTCATATCTATCTCTTGAAGCTGTCAAGTTCTACCAAGCAACAAAAGTGACGCACAGACAGCCTTCAAAGATATTTCTGACATTGACAACATTATTTGAAAGCTTCATAACTAGCTACTGTGCTCTCTCTACACAAAAACACATCCTGGCCACAAGAAGGCACATCATAATCCATTATTTCCTCCTGATCTCCTTGATTATGTCGGATTAAGAAACCTGCACGAATTGCCCGATACCAGGGACGCCATCCACAACAACATAAACCACATACGGACCAGGAGGCGCAACGTTCGAGTTGGGCGGCATTGTGACAGTGAGTGTCTGCTGAGTAGCTCCATCCTTCCAACCTGTAGTATCAAGGAAGAGCATACGGTGACTCATGTGCACCGAGTGCGTGACGAAGCCTCCGTGATACAGAGACACTTTGACGCTCTTCGCACCAGCAGGGACATTGAACTCAACATTGAAAGTCTGAGAGTTTGCTTGGAGTGACTTGGAAGACAGGGTTATGTCAGTCGGGCGTTTGTTCGCATTGTCTCCGACAAGGTATGGTGGTGTGTAGATCTCCACTCTGAACTCTGTAACGTAAGGGTCTTGTGTGGTGGGCTTGAGGATGGGCTGCTCCACAGGGTTTGAGCCTGCGACCATCAAGGTACCATCGAGGAGCAACAAAGCTACAGAGTGGTACAAGCGGGGGATAGTGGATGAGGCGCCAGTGGTGAAGCGCTGACCGAGCGGTTTGGTGGGGTCATAGATCAGGGCTTCGAAGGTTGGGTCGCGCGCGAGACCAAAGCCTTGAGCACCTTCGTTGCCACCATTGACGAAGACGACAGTACCGTCAGGGAGTAAAGTGCCTTCTACCATACCGCGGCCTTGGGGCATTGAGTCCATTTCCCATTTAGCGTTTGTGGAGAGAGGTTGTATACGGCCGCAACTGGGGTCGGTCGGCGAAGTTATGTCTTGGTATGCACCACCTCCACAGATGACGATGTCGGGGTTCCAGTCATTTGCAGAAGACAAAGGAAGGAGGACCGAGCCACCGGTATTTGGGTAAGTGCGATAGTCGCCAGGCAGGTCGGCGAAAGTTCTCAAAGTAGTGTTGGTATCGACATTGAAAAGTTCGGATGACTTAGAGACGAAAATAAAGAGCGATCCATCCTTGAGCTGGTGCATGAATGGATACATGTAGTAAGGTTGGTTCTTCACCAAGATTTCCATAGGTATGGAGACACCAGATGATTTGCCATTCTTGTCCAGAATCTCATATGTCGGGTTGTTGTTAGCAGGTACGGTAGGATCGAGTCCATTCAAAGATCCCGAGGCAACAAAGAGTCTTCCATCAGGAAGAGTCTGTACTGATGGGTACCATCGCTTGGTGCTCAGTTTGTTGCCTGGCTCACTCCAATCTTGTCCGTTCAAGGAAGCGTCAGAGGAAGAACGAGTCAGGTAGCGGATACCATCAAAGCCATCTCCCACGGTGGGGTCGATGAAGTCAAGAGGACCATTACCACCAAGCGAGATGAACTGTCCATTGGCGAGGAAAGAACCACCAGCACAGAAGGCATTAGTCTTGTAGGCCAAAGCGGTGTACTTGTTGGTAGCAGGGTCATACTCGGTCGAGTATGCATACTGGCCATTAGAGAGTTTGACTTGTGTGTAGTTCTCGACTTTGTCAAGGAAGACCACCTTACCGTTAGGAAGGAGCCCAGCATGCATGGCAGGGGCACCAGACTCGCCGACGATGTTGAAGGATCCAGGGTTAACATTGACTGGTGCGGGACTGGGTCCAGGGGCCGGGACGACGGCACCATTCAAGCAAGGTCCACTTTGACATCCATCGCCACAGTGAGCGGTGCTGTTTCCGCAGTATCCATACATACTAGCAACAGATGTCAGCTACTTGATAGAGATCATGCTCACGGACACTTACGAGCAGCAACTGCCTTGAGCCCAATCACCACAGATAGTGTTGCCATATGTAGCACCGCAGGTTCCGTCCTTGGTGACTGTACCTGTTGCGGCGCTGCCGACCGAGGAAGATGCTGCGGAGATGACTGGCTCGCCGGTCGTGCTTGATGGAGCAGCTGAATTTACATTGGAAGGAGCGACCGATGATGCGACTGCAGAAGTTATAGCTGCACTCGATGGCGCCGCACTTTTGCAGCCAGATATACATCCGTTTGCAGTCAAGCAGTGACTATCGGTGTTACCACAATATCCGTAAGAGCTNGATCACAGAATTAGCGTGGCTCAAGGGTTAGGGTTATACTATACGTACGAGCAACAACCTCCATAAGCGCCATTGGGATCACACAATGCATTGTTGAAGTTCGGCCCGCATCTCCCATCGTCACGAGGAGCAACACCAGATGCCGAAGGTGCTGCTCTGACGATTGTTGTACTCGGAACAGAAGAGACTGCAGCCGCTGAACTTGAAGAACAGCCAGAGGAGCAGCCACTTCCGCAATGAGCAGGGGTATCACCACACCATCCTNNATAGCTTGTCAATGGAAGCGCACAGACAACACCAACGCAAGAGGACGGACCATAGGAAGAACAGCAGGTTCCCTTGTATACTGTACTGTTAGGGTCGCACAGGAGGTTGCCATTATTAGGACCACATCTGCCGTCCTGTGAGTAGTTGGGGGTCTTGGTTTTATGTTTGAAAGCTCCCTCGAAGAAATCGAAGATATTTCTCTTGCCGTGGTCTTGGAAGGACATTGGCCATGTGTGTTTCACGGCAGTGCATCTATCTTCGTGAGCTTTGGACATCCAAAGAAGGGAGACTTGACTTACGTGTTGTTCTGCTGGCAGAATTGTCCCTTCAAGCATCCGCTGAATTGCAGGTCTTGACTGTTGCATGTTGGTTGAACTTTTGGGAAGTAGATGTTGGCAAGAGTTGCGCTGGCGCTAAGACCAAGGAGGAGGATTGATTGCTTCATAGTCGTCTTGTTGATTTGATCAGAGTATACACGTCCTGTCGTGCTTTATGAAGATATTAGCTGCCGAAAGGGTCGATAGTCGGCTGATGGGTATTGTCGAGTGACAATAAAGTATTTGAAAAAGGACAATGTACAAGTGTGAACCAATCGATGGCCAGAAAGAGTGACGGACAAGGCGGTTGAACCAGAGTCACGAAACGAGCGACTGGAGGACAGGCGGTCAGGAAGGAAGGACGAAAAGAGAAAGCGAAGTCACTGTTTATACCTCGAGGTGCTTGCTTTCGCAACCATGGAACCAGCCTACCTGAGACTCGACAAGGACGCCACACCTGCAGGGCAATACACGCGGATGCAACCTATAGTATTCCAAACTTAGCAAAGAAGGTAGACCCTCGAGCCGGCCGCTCGCAGAATGCTAGCTGTTTGAGCAATCGGTGGGAACGAAGGCCAATGCAGTACTGGGATCGATCTTCTTTTGGACAGCTTGGCTGCCGCTACCCGTGTCTTCCTACTCTGCAACACATTGAACGATCGCTCTTTCCTCTTCGGAGAATTTGACAGCGGTATGCTACGATGATGCCCACGAGACCGAGACTCGTGCGTCCTTCGTGGCTCCATTGTTCTATTGCCCTTGCGCCATCCCACATGGTCAACTGACACCTTGCAGTAGCAGATACGAGGGCATGCGGGCAACTCACTGTGGTTACGCGAATCGCCCTGCGTTTCAAGTCACCAGTTGGGGAGTTTCATAGGCGCTTAAAAAAGCTTGGTCAAAGCTTGTAGCCGTGCCATTGGTGTTTGAACTTCTAGGACATGCAGCTGCTGGGAAATGACCTTTCGAGCGGGTTGCTCGGGTTTATTGGCTACACGAGCTTCGGTCGGTCATTCTTTCCATATGGGCGAGGAAGGTCGCGTCGAGAGAAGTCGCGATGGATCTGATGAGGGGGAAGGTCAGGGTTGGTCTTTTGTCGCGGAAAAGCGGAGGACGTGACATCACTGACGTTTGGTCATCACTCATACCTCGAACAACCAGTGCTATACGAATGATAGCTACAAGTGACACTCTGATTCAATCAGTAGGAATGTTTCCAGATACACGCCAGACATCACTACAATCTTGAAGACATTGTTGTGTCCATTGGATTAGTCAACGCCGCACCTGGTCTCGAGATTACCCAGTACAATCAAAACCGACTGTAGAAAGAAACAAAATCGCAACAACTGGCAACTTGCGACCTTCGATCTTGCAATCTAAAGGCCTTCAATTGCGTGATCTGAAGACCTGACCACTATCTTCGCCATCCGAACAGCATCACCGAAATCATGGAGCACGAATACTTCTCGTCCAACCCCCGACCAAAAGTCCTCCAGAAACACTCGACTCTGGCCCGCGAATTTATCTCGCGCCATGCTTCTGAATCTCGCCGTGTCGTCCTCGTGACATCAGGAGGCACAACTGTACCGCTTGAAAACCAAATGGTGCGCTTTGTCGACAATTTCAGTGCCGGAACCCGTGGTGCCACATCTGCCGAATATTTCCTCGATCACGGATATGCTGTCATTTTTCTGCACCGTCAATTCTCGCTATTGCCGTACAGTAGACATTATTCGCATAATGTGAACTGCTTCTTGGATTTTATGGACGAGGGAGAAGATGGAAAAGTCGTGGTTGGTGAGGAGTACCAAAATGAGATGGTGGGAGTTCTGAAGAAGTACACGGATGCGAGAAAGAAGGGCAAATTGCTTTCTATTCCCTTCGTCACGGTTAACGACTATCTTTGGGAGTTGAGGGAGATTGCTATCTTGATGCAGCCGCTGGGCGGCAACGCGCTCTTCTATCTTGCAGCAGCCGTCAGTGACTTTTTCATTCCTAGCGACAGGATGGTTGAGCACAAGATTCAGTCATCAGAAGATTTCAACAAGGAAAACCAAGACGGAGCTGATGGAACAAAAACTCCTGCTGCACGCATCGAGGGTCAACGCTTGGTCATTGGCCTGGAGCCCGTTCCCAAGTTCCTCAAGACGCTGGTGGATGGCTGGGCACCCGAAGGCATGATTGTCAGCTTCAAACTCGAGACCGATCCCGCAATATTGGTCAAGAAGGCCGAGTACGCCTTGAACAAGTACTCGCATCACCTCGTCATTGGAAACCTGTTATCGACACGCAAATGGGAGGTTGTGTTTGTCTCTGCATCGGCGGGTCAACAGTGGATCCGCGTACCTAGAAGCAAACGCACACCCAGCATTTCGGGCAAAGTCGAGCATGTCGGGCTTGCTTCTGGCGGTGATGCCGAGAAAGACGCAGAAGCAGTGTCAGGCCAACCTGCTGTGGAGATCGAGTCCTTGATCATTCCCGAGGTTGCAAAGATGCACGCCGCGCACATGGTCAGAAGGAACTCGAAATAAAGAAAACATTTGCTGCGAATAGATTGACTTTTCAATGATACCCTGATGGCTTACATACTCCCCCATTCTATCTTTGATCAGAGAATGATACGCCATTGCGAAGTACGATGACGCATTCTGGCACCGAAGAGGCTGAGCGGAATGGCAAACAGAAGTATTCCAACAGCAATGGCAGCTTGCTCGCCAAAACACTCTGCGTACCCAACTTTGTACACCCAAGGCGTGATAGCGTACAAAAATCCGAAAGCCGCAACATTCTTCAATCCATTGATCAACAATAGCGCATCGGGAGCAATGGGCAGATACTGTATCATGTTCGAGTCAGCCGAGTTTACCTCGTCAAAGGAGGAAGGTTGAGGACTTACACAATCCGAGATGTAGGTCATGGTAATACAAGGGATCGTTGTCAACCCTGTCGCAACCATGCCATAGCCAAAGAAAAGACTGGTCCAATGAAGTGTATCTTGGACACCATACCCAAAAGCCAAACATCCAGCCGGCACCATGACTCCTGGAAAGATCAACAATGTCAATCTCGACTCTGGTTGAAAGACACCGCCGTTCTTTCTGGCGCGCCAGTCAGAATACCAATCGACCAGCGGTCCACCGACAAGTGCACCGCAAATATTTCCCAAAAAGCCAGGGATGTTAATGAGGCCGTTCACAGCAGGGGACCAGGAGTAGGGTGGTGCTTGAAGAACGAAAGAGTTGAGAATGTTGATACCTACTACCCAGGCAAGCGCAAACGCTGTAGCCAGAGTTGAGAAGATTACCTCCGGATACACAATCAATGGCCAAGGACGCAAGAACAACTCAAACAGAGAAAGATCTTTTGGCAATGGTGACCAGAGCTTTAGTTGCTGTGACCATGGCTTTTTGGGCACAGTGTCCATGGGAGTTGTGTCCGAGGTATCTGAAGGACGATGCACAGGCTGTTGGTCTGGGTTCGAGATTGTCTTTTCAAGAGTGTTTGCGTCGCTAGTTGTTCTAGAAGGCGCAAGTGGTTCTGCGAGTCCATGGCCAGCGCGGTCGAATCGAGTCTCTGGACATAGTAGTACTACGACGAGAAAGTTGATTCCGACGAGGATAGCTGCGATGATTTTGTGCCAACGCTATCAACGAGTCAGATAAGAGTACTGGATGGATAGTGTAAGAGTGCCACTTACCCAGCTCAGACCTTGGACCACAAAGCCACAGATCAAAGGCNNTAGTAACGAGACAGTCAGCATCGAGAGGATGGCGTATTGTTTCAGAACACTTACACCCAGTGTGTTGCCAGCCGAGATAGAGTTGACATACCAACTCATCTTACCAGCACGTTCATGCAAGAAGTACAGGTCATTCACCATTGACGCAGCGACAGCTTCAGATGCACTGCCCCCGAATGCGCCAATGATGTTTGACCATAGTAAACTCTCAAAGCTTTGTGCAGTTGCGCCCCAGATGTAGCAAATGCACAGGAGAAGCGTGCAAAAGACAAAGATAGGTCGTTTGCCAAAATAGTTTGCCAGAGGTACCCAGAGGAAGTTNCTATGGAAAGATCAGTATATAACTTTCAAGGTCAATTGTAGCATAACTTGACTTACAAAGACACCAAATACAAGGACAGGCCAGAGGAGCAGCTCGCTAGTCTGATGTTGCGACTTGCCAAACTCCAGACTCAAGATGTAGAAAGCCGGAGCCAGACCACCAATGGCGTAGTTAGACAGAAATGCAAAAGCGCATACGCTGCCAAAGGCGACATGTTTCCTCCATAGTGGCCATCGAAGGGGGNNGTCATTGGGGTCGGTGGGCGAAGGAGCAGGGTACAAGATAACAGCAGTGTCCTTGTCGTTATGCAGACGGACATTGCCTTCCGAGTCATCGAGCTCTTTCAAAGAGTGTAGATGCATGCTTGCGGTATCTTAGAAACCGTGAGAGATCCAGGAAGCTAACCAAGCCGGTATCGAAGGCGCAGAAGACGAAGTAGAAGTGGTCACAGGCTGGTCGTCCAAGGGCATCCGAAGCATGGTGGTTCTTTTTTATATATCTCAGGTAGCTTTTATCGTCGTGTTACTCAAGGAGGAATAAGGCGGGACAATGTTAGTGGATGCTGAGGGCGAAGATATATCCGAACCTAGAAGTAAGCGATGTGGAAACACAATGACCTGCAGTGACACCGTTGAGAAGCACCACTGTCGGAGGCTACATGATCCATGATGGTCTATCTATCGTTGGGCAGAACAAATATAGGTAATGCTTTGATGCTGACCCGGGTCGTGGAGAGCCGAAGTTGAAGTCCTCAGTGGCAGATCTGCGCTCCGTATTGACATCACACAAATTTTTGACGCGCTACGGGGGATACGCAGAGAAAAAAGCCAGAGATCGGCAGCTGTGGATTACCTAGAGACAGTCAAGATCGACAGGAGAATGTGCGCGATGCGACAAACACAAGTAACCTAGCGCTTGTAGTCACCACGATGTTTGTGCTCCGTGGGTGTACAGCAAGCACCATACAACATTGCTTGGACAATATTGATGGCGGCATCAAGCAGAAGGATGAGAATGAAGTCTTGCTTACATTTCTATATCTCACGTCGTCTCCTTCCTCCGGACACAGTCGATACAAGGCGCTTGTCCCACCCGAGGGTCATCCACGCATTTCCCTTCGCCCGCTCAATTTCGAGCTCATAGGGTACTCCAGATATATCTACCAAAAAAACGCCTCAAACAATCCGGCCGAAGATGTTTGCTTTCATCATGACAAGCGAAAAGAGAAATGGACATGTTCAATACTCATGATTTCTAATCCTTGACCTTCGCTTGTCTCTTCGCAGTCCCAATGTGAGTGTTATGCACCNNTAAGAGTCTAGTCAGTCATTGCGCTTGAATATGAATTGAGAGAGTATAACGAACCTTGGTTGCAAATTTCAAACTGGTCAAGGTCTCAGATAGATGGGCTTGCAATGGGCTGACCATAACAAACATCAATGTCTTGCTGTTTCCGCCCAGCGAATATTGCAAGAGGTAAGTCAANCTGCGCATGTGTTAGACTGAAATTCAGATGTGCGATACGTCCAAACTTACTTTGCTGTTGCGATATGGGATGTGCTTCGCATCCTTGCCTGATCCTAGAGCACTGATGACATCGCCCAAACAACTCAGACTCTTGTTGATGTTCTGTGTCTCCTTCAAGCGGTCGCCTGAGACCTGACTGTGGGCAAGACGCTCACTGCCCGCCAAGTCAACAAGGTTGAGGGTGCCCTCAGAACGTTCTCCTGTCGTCGAGTTCTCTCCGATAAGCCTGAGAATGAAGACTGAGTGACTTCGTGACGAGCGCGAATTGGCTTGGGTAGCGGCAACACGTCTGTTGCGATTGGCCTGGTCCAAGATAGCATTTACACGCGAAGGTGAGTCCAAGTCGACCGTTGTCACGTCTGTGATTGTGGTTCTGAGTTTGACCGGATCTTGACGGATTTCGTGCTTCTTGTTGTTCCAGTCCTCTGCCTTTCCAAGAAGGTCGTTCACGGTTTCGTTGTATACTTCAACAAAGCTGCCCTCCATGGAGTATGTCCAACCCTTATCTTCCAAACTCTTGGCTGTCTCGTAAATTTGGGTTACAGCGCTTGGAATCATGCCATCAGCTGAAGACATGGTGTAGGTTTTTCCTGATCCAGTTTGACCGTAACAGAAGATGCAGACATTGTATCCATCTAACGCACTTTGAACGAGCTGACTGATCTCATCGAAGATCTCACCATTCTGCGAGGATGGTCCGAACACTCGGTCAAATGCGAAGTTGTTGTTGGCCTTGGTAACAGTACCCATGGCGCTCTTTTGATCCGGGCCTTGCACAATCACCTCTTTGCTGTCTGTGTCGGCGTCGGGGAAAGTGAGCTCTGCTCTTTTGGTCTCCTCGTCCCCTAGCGTTGGACGAACACGGCAGAAAACTCGAATGTTGCCCTTGAGTTCTTGAACTTGGTTGTGCAGCTTCCTTCGCAAAGTTTCTTCCTGGCGAAGCTTCTCTTTTGCCTCAGCAGCCACAGCTTGAGCATCCAACATTTGTTGGTTGAGATCCTGGAAGGCTTGCGATTGTGCTTGGTTATCGGACTCGAGGAAATCAATCTTCGCCTTCATAGCGCGCATCGAGGTTTCGAGGGTGAGAGTGTTTGTCGAGGCTTCAGTCAACTTTTCCTTCAAGTTGACATTTAGTGCATTTGATGATTCCAGATTGGCCTTGACTTCGTTGAGCTCGGATCGCAAGTTTTGCATCTCGCGATCTTTTGCNGTGACATCGTTTTCTGCCGTCAGCTTTTGCATGCTGAATTGTGTTGTGAGCTCCTGGACTTCGCGGATCCTGCGGCTTCTTTCTTCCTCGAGCTCTGCTCTGAGTTCGCGTTCTTTCTCGGCCACCTCCTCCCTTCGTGTTTTGTTTGCTCGGTCGGCTTCTTCCTGGGCGTCCTTCCTGACTCGATCAAGCTCATCTCTTGCTTCACGCTGAAGACGTTCGAGCTCCTTGCGATGATCATCTTTGGCATCCTCGATATCATTTCGGTTCTTCCTTCGCAAGTCATCAATCTCAAAAGAGTGAGACCGCTTCATGTCATCAAGTTGTGTATTTGCCGAGGATAGTTTTACTTTGGTCTCGGCGAGTTCGGTGGTTAATGTTTGGTTGGCGGTCGAGAGTTGCAGACGAATCTGCTCCATTTCGGATACTGCGAACGCACGGATTAGCTAGCGACAGCGTGGAGAGCAGTTGTGAGACGTACTGCGAGCTTTGTATATGGATATGCCTTCTTCCATGCCAGACTTTTCTGTAGCGGCGGAATCGAGTTGCGACTTGAGTTGGGAGTAGAGGGTCTCCATGTCTTCGAGGCGACCTTTGGTGTCCCATGCTGGAGCAGGAGTGTTAGAATTGCGATTCAAATATACGATCTTGCCCGGAGAAGCATTGTGAACGGAACACTTGGTGTGGGGNGTCTTAGAGATATGCAAGTCTGCTTCCGGCGGACACGGAGTCTTGGGGACAGGCTTGAGCTTGGGTATCTGCGAAGGAGTCTTGGGACATAGAGGCTCATCTTGCTGTGTTGAAGAGAAAGAGGCAGATCGAGAGTCCGAGTTGTTGGAATTCAAACTCAAGCTGCGAAAGGCTGTGGAAAGGGATGTGTTGCGATATGCTGAAAAAGCAAACTTTTGGGGGAAGGATGTGGACGAGAAAGGATTTGGGGAGGCTTCAGCAGACGGGACACGCGACACGATAGAGGCATAAGATGCGGATTTGTCATGTGTCGCCGGCTGGTGGAGAACGAGGGCTGAAGATTCAACAATGGGAGGTAGCATACCCTTGCGCTTGTTTGGAAGAATGCTTGAGGAGGAAAGATCTTCCTCATCATCTTCATGTGTGACTGAGGTAGGGCGAGCAGCTAGAGCGCTGCGGGAGCCAGTTCGAGGAAGAGCAGAATTGGTTCGGTGAGTAGCGGCGGCGGAGGCAGGACGAATGGACGAGGTTGTGTGGTTGCCGGAGGTTTTGCGCAGATTGTTGGTTGTGTTGGAGCGCTTCATAACTCGGGATGTGGTATGGGTAGAACGAGCAGGAGGCTCACCGGCGCGTTCGGCTAACGTCTTTCTCTTAGGAGCGGGCTCAGGCACTGCGACAGATGAGTGGTCAATGAATGTCCTCGCAGGTACAGCAGGTCAGACATACAGGCTGAGCCTTTGTGCTTGAGCAGGTTGGCCGGAGGGGGAATTGCGCGAGCATTGTTGTCAGAGGCCGACATCTCCAGCAGTCCAGTGGTTGCTGGGATGCGACTGGGAGGTCGCAGCCCCGACGCGCGAATCGGCTGTGGTATAGAGATTAGACATGGTGTTGAAAGAGTAGGCGCAAAAGAACATACGGCATTTTCAGCGTTGGGGACCATGGTTGATGTCAAGCAATGGTTATATCAGACGACATGCCACATGCCACGGGGTTGTAGGAGTGTACCGTTTGGTGGTCGAGCGTCTATGCGTTCGTTGTCGGCGTCAAAATGGCAGTCGCAGGGCTCGAGCTGTTTCCCCGTCCCCGGCATAAACAAACACCTCTTGCCGCTTTCCTAAAGGGGATGCTGCGCGCACGGTCCCGTCGGAGGCTGATTATGGGATTCACTCTTCACATGTCAAAACAGCCATCCAGCATGACGTCTCGAGAGTCCAGCCCAACTTTTTTCCCATCCACCTTCAACCCTTGATCTTCCCGTCTTCTCCTGCCCTATCTGCCATATGAATAGCCATGGAGAAGTACAGTGCCTTTCGTGATCGAGGCAAGTCATGCCAACACCTCATCCAACTACACGTGCTGATCATGCGACAGNGCTCGGGCATTGCGCCCTTCTTTCCCATTCCCACTCAACCTGCCGGATATGCACTTCCTTTTCACCTCTTCCTCTTCGTCGTGCGCATCTTCTTCTTGATCCCCATCACTATCACCTACTTTNTGCTTCTCTCCTGGCTTCCCATTGGCTCCCTTGGCAAGAAGGCTGTACTTTGGTGCATGCTGGGTGTTCCTGGTATCTGGTGGATAGATCTGGGTGTCGATGGCGTGAAGAAGGGGTACGTTCAATTTGGTGTCCTCTTTTGTGGAATCCATATCCTAACACTTTGCAGTTCTCTTGGCCAAAACCAGCACAAGCTCCCTCAGCCCAGCTCTGTCATTGCTTCGTCTTACACGTCTCCGATTGATGCTCTCTACCTGGCTGCCATCTTTGATCCTGTCTTTACTCGCTCCTACCCTGGAGAGCGCAACGTTCAGCGCATCACTCTTTTCCAGGCTATGATACAAGCCTTGATGCCACCTGTTCTTTCACCACCCAAGGACGCCAAATTGGTGCCTATCTCTGACATCCTCCGCGAAACGCCCGACCGCTGTGTTGCTGTTTTTCCAGAGTGCACTGCCACTAACGGCCGTGGTATCCTGCCATTCTGTCCCAGCCTTCTCACCGTACCCGTCAAGACCAAAATCTTCCCTGTGAGTCTGCGCTACACTCCCGCAGACGTTACCACTCCTGTCCCTGGCTCTTACCTTTCTTTCCTCTGGAACCTGTGTTCCAAGCCTACTCACTGCATACGTGTTCGCATTGCTGAGGCCACTTTCAACGACCCAGCTGCCCCTGAGCCACCGCGCAAAAACTCCTTCCAGACCAATCTTCTCGATGATCTGCATTCGCGTACTACGCAGAATGATGGCATGACCAATCCGGAGAAGGAATCTCTGGACAAGATCGCCGAGTCACTCGCTCGTCTGGGACGTGTCAAGCGCTTGGGCTTGGGTCCTACAGATAAGATTGCTTTCATCAAGGTCTGGAGCAAGAGAAGATCATGAATTTTGATTCAGTCCATCGGTTTTTCAAGCGATTGGTGTTGGTGCGTATTCCATGATTGCATGACGAACATAAATCTCTGTTTCTGCCTATCGGTAGCTACAACAAGAATCAAGCAAAAGAAATTCCAGAATAAGCATTATCGTGTTCTGTGATGTGTTTCTCTTCATTTTCCTCGATGCAACATATTAACTGTCAGCAAATCCAGCAAAGGGTTATGATATATAGCAAAAGAAAAACAAAAAAAAAGCAAACAGCCATCAAATATCGTAGCAAGATTAGTATCGTGTCCACGGCCATGTCATCTTACGAGCACCTTCATTAATCATACTCGCAAGCAAAGTGTCTCTTGGTCTTCACACCCAAGGGAACTCAGGCGAAGGCAAACGCATATTGCGCTTATTGGGCGGCGATGAAGGCCACGTGAACTCTGGTGATGCCTGCGGCTTTCTGAGTTGTGCTGAAGGTTTCAGAGAGTCAAGGTCCTGGTCTGGATCTGAGGATTGTAGTGGACAGAGTTGTGCTGAAGGCTGCAATACGTCGAGGTCTTGGTTGCGGCCTGAAGACCGAGGGGGCGGTCCGGGTTGCGGCGAGGTGTGTGAAGAAGGATGTAGAGAGCGAGTTGTGGTGCCTGAAAGAGGATCGGATGAGGCAGGTTGGTCTTCAATACTCTGCGATGGTTGAGATGCAGGGCTTGCGGCCAGATGATCATTTGTGTCTATTTCATGCTCGGATAGGTGGCCAGGAGTTGAAGATGAATCCATTTTCTCATAATCGTCCTCCTCAGGCAGCTGAAAGAACTTCGACTGCACGACTGCAGAGTCGGATCGTTGACGAACCACTTGCGAAGCGCTTGGAGTTGGGACAGGGATATCGCTGGTATCTACATGGACAATGATATCCTCCTTGGACGTAGTGCTTGGCTTCCAATCGCGAATGGCATTTTCGTAGACAGCGTTGTAGCCCTCAGCGCAGATGCGGTTGGTAAACCAGGAATGCTCAAGCGCTCTCTTGGCTGTTGAACGCTTCTCCTCTTGCAACACGAGCAGAGACATGACGAATTCTCTCGCTCTCTTCGGTACTTCCTTCCAGTCCTGCTTGCCTTGGTCGATTTGAGATAGATCATATGCGGAGACGGAACGTGAATTGATCTGGCCAATGTCTTGGTCGCCATCCCGGTGGTTGAAAGCAAGACTGCCTGTCAGCATGAGTGCGCTGACGCAACCCACTGACCAAAGGTCGATTGCGCTGCTGTAGCCTTTGTTTTCTGCCATGGTCGGGTTAAGTCTGTGGATTTCANNCTGCTCAATGTCGTCAGCTAGGCTCTCCTACTAAGATCACACATTGGCTTACGGAGCCGTAAAGCCGTACGTGCCACAGGTCGAGAACATGCGGGAGATCCTGCCCGGCTGGCTGGTTGAGACACTATACCGACTGATCCGCTTTGCTATTCCGAAATCAGTCAGGACGACGCGAGTACTCTGATGCCAGGAAGACATTAGGATGTTCTCGGGTTTGATATCGCGATGTACGATGCCATTGTCGTGCAAGTATTCGACAGCTTTTAGTAGCTGGCGAGTAATGACTGCGCTCAGAGTGTTGCCCAGAACACCGCCCTTGTAGAAGATGTAGGAGAACAGGTCGCCGCCAGTCATGAGTTCTTGCATGATGTANGCTGTGTGAAGAGGTCAGCACAAAACCAACTCGCGGAGGTCACTAAACACAACTGACATGTGGTGAGTCGTGATAAACACCTTCCTCATGTCGATTATGTTCGGCTACCCAAAGTCAGTGCCAGCTCATGACCAAAACAAGAGACAGCCTACATGACTGAGATCCTTGAGAACTTCATACTCGACCTCAAGTCGATGTATCTTGCGTAGCAGCTTTACCGACTGCACTCGAGAAGCACGATTGGATGCGGCCTGAATTGAGGCTTCAGATGTATCTTGGTCGCGGTTCAGATCCACGCCAGCCAGAGAGACAGCTTTGCATGCCACTTGTTGTTTGGCGTTGCGGTCCCAAGCAACATACACTCTACCTTGGCCTCCAGCACTAATGAGGCGAGGTTTGATAGCAAAGTCTTGTTGAAAGCGNCTATTTCTGGAGTGAGTACTTCGGCGCTGGATTGTGTATAAACACCGACCTACCTTGACCTCACAGTCCATGATGGGTGACATGGTGAATTCGTCCTGAGGATTGAGCTCGTTGTACTGCACAAAGGTTGACTTTGAGAGATAAAGACAATCGCCGTCTTGAAGAAGTACAGGACCCATGGACTTATTCAGTTGATGATCAAGTCGAACATTTGAGCCGTCTTCGGCGGGATATTCACATGTAAGTACAGTCCCGTTGACGGATAGGTCTTCGGCATAGAGCATGGGAGCAACGTTCCAGGTTGCCGCGTCGTCGTCGAATTGTACGCAACGAAGGACCAAGTGATGATAGGATATGGTTGGATCATAACAATCGACNATGGCTAGAACTATGTTAAAGGACATGACCAAGCCAGAATCATCAGAGGATGGCATACTGTTGAAGTTGCTTGCATCCTAAAAAGATTTCTTGCTTGGGCCAGATACTAATTGCATCTAAATGGACGAGAGTGAGGATGGTTGAGCATCAGAAACATCACTCGTCGACATACCTTCCGCTATGAAACGTCTATGTTCGTTGACAAGCGTCAAGTGGCCTATGGGCAGCTGCTCGGCCATAGTGCTCTCACTCGATCATTTATGAACAAGGGCAGCAGCGAGAATGATCGAAGACCATGTCGGAGAGGAGTCCCGTTGGATAAACGTCGGTTGCAGCGTCGTCGGTGCCAAGACGGCAAACGCCGCCGCACGCACGGCCAGCCTGGAGCACTATCAATTTGAACTTCGCAGCTTGAGCTTCCCCTCTCTTTCCTCATCACCGCAACTCATCTCGACACTACTGTAAGTTGGCATTGCACTTTCAATTGCCTTTGGATAACGACTAACTCGCTCTTCCTTGCAGGCCAAGATGAGAGCCAAGTGGAGAAAGAAGAGAGTTCGCAGACTGAAGCGCAAGAGAAGAAAGACGAGAGCCAGATCGTGAGTTTGCATCTACAATGCGCGCACTCTTCCATTGACTAACCACCGCCTTTACAGCAAGTAAATGATTCGCCCCGACAACTCGATCATAACGGCTCCTTGATCTCATAAATTCACGACATCTTTTGGACGATCTTCGTCCAACGCTCACCACTGAAGTCGACAAACGCATCTCTATACTCGCGACTATCTCTGGAGGGCCACTGCTTTTTCTCTCACACACCTTGTCGGATTCGCTCGCATGTGTTCCCGCCATCTTTGCAGCCGACTATCTCTGGTTGGCTCGGAAGGCGCACTTGTTGGCAGCTTGAAGCTGAGGAGGGAGAAGAATTCTTAAGTGTTGATGTTTGCTGCGTTCTTTCTCAGGACGGAGGGGTCGGTCAATTCGTTTTTCACTCATCGAGATTATCATGGAGTGTTCATTGCCTGGCAATTGGAAGGCAACCTTTACTTCTCTAACACCGGTGTCTTGCCTCGTAAGCTGCACCTTTGGGATCTGAAGAGCCTTACCATTGCGGTTGGCTGTTCTGAAAATCAGAAAACTGCTATTCGCAAAAATCTTTGTTCCTTTTCCATCGTGCAATTGTGATCTTCTCAATGCGTAGACACAGCTTTTGGCTTGAATTTGTTATGTTTTCCTGATGGTCTTATGCTGTATATCAATTCACACTTCGAGCTCCAGTGTGCGTCGAACTTTTTTTCCTCGTCGCAACTTCCACGCGACCTTGATGGCCCACAGTGCTGTCATCACATCGGCCCGACTGGCAAAACGACATCCCTTGCTTGCAACTATCTTGCTATCTATTGTCGATCGGTCGACGTCACAGTCATGCTAGCCTGCAAGCGTGGTCTGGCAGACGTTTTGCTGGCTACTCAGAAGGAGAAGAACGTCACTTTTTGGCCATTGTATATGATCGGATTGGTGTATCGACTGCCTCATCAGATACGGAGGAGGATGAATAAGAATGCTATAGGGTGTTGTAGAAAAACAAAAGAAACATGCCAAAGAGGCGCAATGCAACCATCCCTCGATTTCCTCTGTTCAAAGACGCCTCTCTTGATTTAACCCAGCCTCGAACTTCCCTTACGCCGTGATATGATAAAGTAGAGTTGTTTTGTAGTCATAAAATCGTAAGCTTTTGATGGTAGCCATTTTCACGGCTTTAGTAGCGGATGTGAGGTGCGTCGCAAGCCTCATCAGGGATTAGAATACCATTCTTGACTCCACCCATCTTTTCGAGTTGATCCATCCAAGTTGCAGGTTTCTTGGTCTTGGATTTGATGTTCCACCATGCCTTCTTGTCGCTAGTCTCTTTTGGGGGTACTGGTGGAGGTGATCGAACTATAATGCCTTCCTGCTTGTGGCGGCGTTTGTGATCATGCTTGCTGCTCGAGGTAGCTGGTCTGTTTGTCGATCTGTTCTTCGTAGAGGTGCTGCTGATGCTACCGAGAGGGGTAGGAATGTTTGAGCTGTCGTAATTGCGGTGCTCAGAGAACCCGGTAGACGCAATGTAGAATGCCGGATTGCTTGGTGATCGCCCTCGTGTGCCTGTAGAGTCGCCTCCTTGATGTGAAGAGATAGTACGCACAGTTGACAACGTAGGTTCTGGAGTACGGTCCCGACGTGCGGACTTGCTGCGTGGAAGGGAACCGGGTGTAAGATTGTCACTAGTATAAGCGGCTGCAAGATTTGGCATCTTGGTAGCTGCAGCTTGACGAGGGGAGCGTGTAGGCATGTAGACCTCTGGCTTTTCTTTGACTGGCGAACCAAGACGGGCTGCGATGATTTCATCTTTTTCGCTCATCGCACTGTCGACCGATTTGGTGTTTCTACTGTGCTCAGAATGGGCAGGGCGATGAGTGGGTACGGGTGCTTGAGGTGCAGGTCGTGCCGGAGGAGCGAGTAGCTCTTCCTTCCACTGATCCAGACTGGGAAGCGGAGGTAGCTCGCGGTTCAAATTGATCTCAGACTTTTTCGAGTTTGGAAGTTCGGGGCTCTCGCCTCTCCCTCTCCTCGAATTTGATCTGCTTACGTCGGTCTGAGCGTGCTCCTTCTTCAGAGTACGTCCCCAGCTCCTCCAACCACCACGCATGTCTGAATCCTGGTTTCTTGAATCAGAGCGCCGCATTGAACCACGTGAAGCAGACCTGCTAGGTGCTCTGCTGTTCTCTCCATTGGGACCTCCAGAGCTGGATGGACGAATGTATTCTTTGATGTTGTCGCGAAGACTTCGGATGCTTCTAATGCTTCGTGACCTACTAGGAGCACGAGATAACGGCGGAAGTGCAGCTTGTTGTTGTTCTGCGTCTCCAGCATCTTGTTTTAGACGACGGCGTTCAAGTTCGGCACGCATCCACTCAATAGCGCCGGCAGCGTCGGTTTTCATGGCCAGCTCTTGCTCGACAGGTATGTGCGAGGACGCTCTCTTGGAGGTACGTGCAGGTGTGATAGCGGCCGAGGTAGGTGCTGTAGAGGTACTCCAATGATACTCTGTCGCATCCGTGATTGGAGTGGAACCATTGGTCTCGCCTGAGAGGGAGCGTTTGACGGCACGAGGACGTGTAGCGGCATCACTGCTGGGAGAAAGAACACTGTTGGGCACCGGTGTCTTCGCACGGCTGCCCATTGGCGTGTCATACTTAGATCTGCCGAGGATGGACTGGGCAGGATCAACGGTTGTGTCTGATTTTAAGAAGAGCTGATCGATGGCAGCGTCTGGACGGTATGCATATTTCAGAGGGTGTTTGTCGTCGGCCGAGTCGGTACGAGGTGGGAAAGGACGAGAGTCTTGCGACTTGCGCGTGGATGCAGATCTCTTAATGGCGTCGTAGTCAAGTGCTTGCTTGGGTTCTTGAAGCGCAGTAGAGTGAGCATCGGGTGCGACATATTGATGCGAGGGCTTAGTGTTGACCAGAACACCAGCGCAGGCTAGACGCAGATCGGATTCGACCTTTGACGACAGAGGAGCTCGACGCCCGGGATATGGCGAAGGCGGTGGGCTCTCTTTCGAGTTCGACGAGGGTACACGATCATCTGCTTTGTGCGGGCCAATCTGCAGGCGATTGTCAGCCAACGTGTGAAGAGGTTGTACGCGGACTTGCGAACTTACAAGATGCGCCAGGCCCAGAGCCAACTTCTTCCCCTTCATGGTTGCGAGGAATAGAGTGTGGGCGGGGAAGGGGAGTCGAGGTTGGGAGAGAGTGGTGAGATGTCGATGTTGGGTGGGATGGCAGTCGGTACTGGATGCATGTACTCTAGCATGTGCGAGGATGTGAGTCGTCTAACATCAGCCGCAGCCCGTGGTTAAAGAGAGATGTAGTGGCGTCTTTCGCGTCCGCAGAGTATTGGTTTGTAACAAACATGCTTTGTCCGTTTCAAGGCCTGCCTGTGATACTAGACCTCGATTGCAACCCGTCACATGGTCTTCCACACTTCAGAAATTGTCACTGCTTTGCGATGGCCATTCTGTCGCAGGGACGCGCCTTAGCCCGCGGATCATTGGCCCGGCCTATGCGAAATAGCGTGTTTCAAAATGTCCCGAGGCAAGCGTACAGCGCCTGTCCTGACACACGCAACCTGTGCTCTCACGCAATTCCGCGACAAGTTGACATGCTTCAAAGTCGGTGCGACGGTCAAGTTGCAACAGCATTATTGCACGCCTGTTTTCTCACTCTGAATCTCTAGCAGGTAGCTTTTATGTATGGCCGTTACAAACTTTCTTTTGCCGACGATAAGATTGCAACCGCCAGAGCTCGGTCTCCGAAACCAGCCTTGCCTCAAAACAGTGGCCGTTCCTCACCCCACCCGACCGCTCCGGCCCCTGCCTCTTTGGCGAAGCATCAATATATTTTTGTGAAAGTCCATTTCGCCAAACGACAAAGAGATTTGATCAATTCCCTCTTCCACGAATCATCTCTTGCTCGTCTGATCGGTTTCCTCGACTACAGACACGCTTTTGGGTTCCCGTCACGAAGGATTTGACTTTGCCATCCAGCCTCTCTGGACTCTAGCTTGGTCTTCGCGGCAAACAAGAGTCGTGTCCACCATCCATCGAGAATCCGCGGAAACTGTTGCTCGTCATGAGGTTGGGAGCCTTGATCATTTTGCTTGCAACTCTGAACACACCACGCAACACGCAACTGCTCGTTTAACAAGTGAGCAAGCCACTCATGTTCATCTCTGTGAATTGTTTTTGTTTGTTTCTTGTATGTTCTTCATTTCGATCATCATGCTCGACAGCACTGTCACGGTAGGTGTTTGGATGATCGAGACGATCGGTTATGGCTACCATAAAACCTTGGTAAGATCGACTAGCGATATTCTTGACCGAGAACGGCGTCTCTATGCGGCTACCTGTCAAGCTCTGCGAGAGGCTGCTTTGGTATACTACTCATGCCCATTGAACCCAGATCTCAATCCCTTAAGCATCCAGATTTCAATTCCCTAAGCAACCAGCCAACACCTTGAACCCAAATACAACTCCGAAAGTCCCCACTACCCACAAAGGCAAGACAAAAGGTACCAGACCTCTATAGACCGGAACCTGCAACACCAACCCCAAGCCCAAAGCCACAAGCATCTGCACCGCAACCCAAAAGCCAGCTGCCCCTTTACCTCCGTGTTCCCTACAGACGCCTTCTTTGTCATATCTGATCTCCAAGCCAATAAAGACAAGAAATGCAACAACCAGCAGAATCAAAATGCAAATTCCTGCAACATCAACCCAGAAATAAGGATGGAAGTGATTCAACGACAAACTCACAGACCCAAACCTCTGCGCAATACTACTGATTTTTCTTCTCTGCATGCCTTGTCCTTGCCTTCCATTACACCTTCCTCCCTCCACATCAGCAAAGTCGTTGACATAGGTTTGTACCCTACTCAATCGTCCTCCATCCTCCTCTTGCACTTCAACCCTAACATCGGCTCTTTCCTCATCCTCAGTTTCTCTTACCAACCCCAGCTCTGCAGCAGAAACAAGTCCTAGTTCTGCAGCTTCGTAGTCGCGGATCCGTTCGTGCCAGAGATCGATCTCGATGCAATCGATTCTGCTGAGCACGTGTCTGTTCATTTCTTCCTCATCGTCTAGGTTTGTCTCTGCAGCTCTTTGAGCTTCTTCTTGTGCTCTTGCGGCTTCAAGGATGGCGATTTGGCGTGGGTGTAGAGTCAAGATATGATGCAGAGATGCTGTAGCTGAAGATGTTGTAGACGAGGAGTATCGCAGCTGGGAACACACATGAGGATGTTGGGGTTGTGTAGTAGGAGGTGCAGGCGAAGGGTGACGCTCGTGAGGCAACAAGCAGCTCGTTTCGTCGTAGGTGGTGGAGCTTGTTGTAGAGGTGTTGCGCGAGGTGATGGCAGTGCTGGAACTGCTCTTTGTGAGTTTGGAAATGCTGATGCCGCTGGTGCTGTGCGAGTGGTGCAGCTGCATTGCTTTGAGCTGCTGATGTCTTCGCAGTGCTTCTTTAGGTTAATCGTCTTGATGTGATTCAACAGGTTCGTACGTATGCTGCTTGTTTGCGGTATGACTTGCTGCACTTCGGTCTTCTTCGATCTTGTGGATGTAGTATGTAGATTAGACAGCTACTCCCTTCTTCTCAGGAGACGTGTCTTCCCTTTAACTCATCATGCTGACCTCAAGCCCATGTGCGTATATCAACATACTCACATCCGTCTAAACTCTTACCCACATCCCACCAATTGTCGTACGAAAAACTAACGAAAACACTCTTGGCACAAGAAATGGTCAGATGATCTCAACCAGCTATATTAGCTGTTACGCGGGTAATAGTAGAAGCAGAATATCGGGGTTTCGCTTCGAATTTCGTATCTTCCGTCACCGTCAATTCCTAACCTCGATAACAGCACAAAGAAGCAAACGCATTGCTGATGCTCATGATCCATGATACTCCTCCTGCCGCCTCTCCCAAAAGTTCTTTTGTAACCACACCGGCAAAGGGATATAATGTAATGCCAGACCTTCCAACTCCAAAATGACGAAACAGGATAGAAGAAACATGACTTGCTCAGACACTGCCATTGGTCTGCTGGTCAGGAACATTGGCTGCAGGCAAGGGTGCAGGAGGTGGGTGAGCGTGATAAGTCTTCTGAATGGGTACCTCGAAATCCATCGAGTCCACGGCTGCAGGATGTCCCTCTGCAACTGGTGCTGCTACAGGCGGTGCTGGCGTGTTTCCGTCCTTAGTTGACAGGTTCTCGAGGTCTTGCCGAGCGACCGATACTCGAGATCCATCAGTGGCAGGCGGCGGGTTCTCCTCCATAGGGGCATCTTCTGTCTTGATTGACTCTTGAGGTCTCTTCAACTTGAGCTTGACCACAAGACTTCTCTTGACGTTCTGGTCGAGATCCATGTCATCCTCATCATCTCCATCAGCCATGTCGACATCGTCCTCGTCATTGTCATCATCATCGTCGTCGTCTCCATCCCATTCGTTTCCACTGGAAGGCGCGTCCTCCTCACTGTCTTCGTCCATAGAATTATATCCTCGTGACTTTCTCTTGCGATCTTCGTTCAACGGTGAGAGACGTGTGCTGTTTCTTGTCGCTCTTCCTCCAGAAGTGCGTGATGTCTCTGAAGCGGCATAGTCGGGTGTTTCGGCTTGACCACTGAGCAGCGATTCGCCGTAAATACCTGTTCTTGCAGGACGAACTTGACGGCCGCTGGCGGTGACGACCGGGCCTGAATCGGCAGGGGTAGAGTGTCCGGAATATCTGGCAGAGCGACGTGAGCCGGTGGCATCAGACTCATCCTCGTTATCGGAGTATGTGTAGCGAATGCGCTTGCCGCGAGTGCGACCTTCGTAAAGGGAGAAACCGAGTTCAGGTTTGCTGAATTGCGCCTTGCGCGCTTGGCGGTATTCGCGACGTCTACGTTTCNNTGCGAAATAGTCAGTTTTCTGTGTGCAGCAGGTAAGACTACGCAGACTTACCTCCTCAGATGCCTCAAATCGTGGCACAGCGGCCTTGATCTTGTCGGCCAAACGGCGGGCAGCTTGAGTGGTATCCTTGGTCTCGAGCTTCTCTGCCAGGGCATTGACTTCGTCAATGGTCTCAGCGACACTCCACCATTGAGGGTTTTGACTAAGCCGATTGGCTTCGCGGTATACACGGAAGCTGGTATCCTCCTGCCCCTCGATCAAATAGTACTTTCTCTTGTCACCGTCATACCCCCAATGCTGGACGGACAGCGGTTGGTTGATGTCGTCTTCGCGGCGCGAAATCTTGTATGAGTCTTTGATGGTTTGTGAGACAATTTCGGATGACGTGAGCGACCAGATTGCGAGGGTGCGGAGGAGGTTCAAACGTTCGGCAGGCGACATGTCGGGGAAGGTTCTACTGCCAGCGAGAGGATTGACACGGTTCCATGAAAGCGGCCATTGGTGTTTCTGCGTCGACAAAGCTTCTTCCATTGCGCGACCATGGTGGCCTCGTCTACTTGTGTGTTAATGATGTGTTGGGCGAACCCATGATGTGTCTGAAACTCACTCGACCAGCTTCTTGCGGTTCAGGACAAGTGCAAGCATGGCGCACATCAGATCCNNCTCAACTTGCGGCGATGGAGGAGATTCGGCGACACCTCTTTCGATGTCCTGAGGACCAAAGTGGGGTAGTTTCGGAGGGAATGCATGGCTGAAGCGAGATCGGAACATGACAAGGAACTGGTCAATTAATCGTTAGCATGCGCGCCAGGCCGCGTTTGCACGCGTTTGGGAAGAGCTTGACATACGGCGACATCAGGATTGTCGGCGAGGGACTCCTCGTGCGGCGGAGAAGGAGACCGCTTGGGTCGCGGCGGTGAGGGTGGAGTTGGAGGAGTAACAGGAGCCTTCTTCTTCCTGGGAGCGGCCTTCTTGCCCTTTGCCATCTTTGTGAAGATGGGTGCGAGAGGCTTTTCAGGTTTTTCAGGCTTTTCGTCGTCGGTCGGCGGTGCCGAAGAAAGGCTTGAAGAATCAGAGTCGTCCATGATGCAGTCGTGGTTGTTGCCTTCAATTCTGGTCAGAGGGCCGCAACAAAGTGAAGGCAGGAGAGCGCGTCTACTAGGCGGTCGCGTCTCTGGGGAAAGTTAATTGGGTTTCTTTAGCGTCGTCATGTGGTCCATGCGCTGGCTCAGATACCTGCATTCACCAACCTACCACTGTCTGATACTTGACGTTCTGGTTCAGTGTTCAGTGTCTTGTTTAGATACCAAAGATGTTGAGTCAAGACAAATTGACATGAGATATCTCCAGTTGGGTTAATGTCAATTTGGTAAATCAATGGGCACCGGAAGCTTTATTGGTAGTGGAGTACATGCCATTCTGATCTTGATGGAGCTATAATGAATGATACTCGTGTACAACAAGCAACACGACCTGAAAGTGCACAAACGAAGACAGCAGAGCCACCAAAAGCTAGTTGCTGCTGGATTGTATGAGAACTACACATGTAGATCCGCGTATAAAACTCGTTGGATGTTGCTGTGCCTACCACCCTGTCTAAGTGGCTTCAGTAGCAACAAGCACTTGAGCAAGAGAAATGTTGAGCTGTGACAGTATTGCGAGTGACTCCCGCAGTTCTGGAATGGAATTTCGATCGTGGATGACCAGAAAAGCTCAAGAGGCACCTCCGTACGGCAACAGCTGTGATTCGAACCGAAAGGCTCGAAACCTCGTACCAGCTCGACTAGAGTCCCCACTTCATCGACTTTTATACAAGTCATTCTCATCTCCTTCGTGAAGCTGCCGGAAAGGAGGTGGCGTTTTCACTATGTTGAGTCCTCGCAAAGCTGCCGAGAAACTGCTCGGACGAGACTGAGCGGTAGCGACCAGATAGTCTGCAGTCAAGACCACAGCCAAGCCTTGGACTACGAGGAAGGCTGATGTAGCAGGCGAGGGATTTGGCGTGTGTCGGAGTGGCATCTTGTGAGTTTTCTGATGTTAAAGAACCTGAGTATCCTCGAAGATGCATGTACCAAGGAACCAACAGATGATCTGAATGCACCAGAGAGGTGATGATGGAGGAAACAGGCGTCAAATGAGCAGCGTTCAGTCTTCAGTCAGGGTCCTTCGGATAGATGTGCCGATTGGTTGATTTGCACCTCCTGAACTTCGGAGGAAGTCGCAGCCGCCGCCAGTCGCAAGTCTACGCGCACGCGCAGCAGGCCAGCTACACAGCCCTCATTCTCGTTCTATTTTCATCTCGTCCTCGACATACACCAAGTGCTAAGAGAGTATTCATGCTCTCGCGATTACGTCCGCGTCGCCGTTGACCTCCTGTTCGTCACGTCTCGGCTGCCTTGTCTTCGCTCAGGAGGCCTTTACCGAATGGTCGCATCTGCCTTGCTTTTGCTCACCCCGTATTAACTCGCGAGCCACCCCTCAAACACCCTGTACTTGACGCGATTGCTAGCAACTGCGCGCGCATTGTCGACGCTTCTCTTCTGTAACCATGGCCGGGAGACCTCATGGTCAGGCGTCTCCGTCTGCCGATTCCGACCTCCTTCTCGACCTGGATGACCAGCCCGTCTACAATACTGGCAAGCCTCCGCCTACCGATGACGATCACCTGCTCCTCCACCACAACATAGACTCTTCCGATGCGCCTCGTGCCTCCACCAGTTATGATGATTTCGTGGGCTCCTCTTCGACAGCTGGTCTGCCGGGAGGTCCTGGCGCCCCGAGTAACAATGGCCTACACATTCCCATGCACGATACTATAGGGAGACAATACTCTCAAACCTCTGATCTGAACAACTATCAGCCCTACTCGGATCTTGACGACCTTCCGGATGATAGAGACTACTACGCGTCCGGCGGAGGTGTCGACGAGGACAATATGCCAGGCTTACATGAATCACGCTTCACCAGCCATGGGCGCAACAGAAACAGCATAATGGGTATTGGAGGCAGCATCGTAGATCGCGCCAAGAACATGTTCGGTGCGAACACCGGCGGCTATTCAGAAATGGACCTGCCATTGACCGAAGCTGGTGCTCGTTCGTCTCACATTGCATCAGGTGGTGTTGACGCTCTGCCATCTGCGCCTCCACTTGCCAAGCGTACTCCTGGGGCCAAGTTCAAGTTTGGTCTTGGTCGCTCAGGTCCAGATCCTAATGCTGCCGGTCCTCGCATAATCCATCTGAACAATCCTCCTGCGAATGCTGCGAACAAGTACGTGGACAACCATGTCTCGACTTCCAAGTACAACTTTGCGACTTTCTTACCAAAATTCTTGTTTGAGCAATTCTCCAAGTATGCCAACTTGTTCTTCTTGTTCACGGCTATCTTGCAACAAATTCCTGGTGTCTCGCCCACAAGTAGATATACCACTATTGTGCCACTGGGAATTGTCCTTCTGGTCTCGGCAGGCAAAGAAATGGTTGAGGATTCGCGCAGAAAATCTCAGGACAAACAACTCAACACTTCAAAAGCTCGCGTTCTACGAGGCTCAACTTTTCAGGATAGCAACTGGATCAACATAGCAGTCGGAGATGTTGTTCGTGTAGAGTCTGAAGAACCATTCCCGGCCGATCTTGTCCTGTTAGCCAGCTCTGAGCCTGAAGGTCTATGCTACATTGAGACCGCAAACCTTGATGGTGAGACAAACTTGAAGATCAAACAAGCTATTCCAGAGACTGCAAACCTCGTTAGTCCTGCTGATATCAGCAGACTCGGTGGTAAAATCCGCTCTGAGCCTCCCAACAGCAGTCTCTATACATACGAGGCGACCATGACAATGCAATCTGGTGGCGGTGAGAAGGAACTACCTTTGAATCCGGAACAACTTTTGCTTCGTGGCGCCACCTTGAGAANNAACACGCCCTGGGTGCATGGAATTGTTGTCTTCACTGGTCATGAGACAAAACTTATGCGCAATGCGACAGCCACTCCGATCAAGAAGACCGCTGTCGAACGCTTGGTAAACGTGCAAATCCTCATGCTTGGTGGTATTCTTGTCGCTCTGAGTATCATCAGTTCTGTTGGTGACCTTGTGACACGTGCCACGTCAGGTAAGAAGATGTGGTACTTGTCTTATACTCCCGTCAACGGCGGAAAGCAGTTTTTCAGTGACTTCTTCACCAACTGGGTCCTATACTCAAACCTGGTACCCATTTCGCTCTTCGTTACGATCGAGATCATCAAGTATTGGCAGGCCATTCTCATTAGCTCAGACCTGGACATCTACTATGACAAGACGGACACGCCTGCTAACTGCAGGACATCTTCTCTGGTCGAAGAACTAGGTCAAGTTGAATACATCTTTTCTGACAAGACTGGAACTCTCACGTGCAACATGATGGAGTTTAGACAGAGTTCAATTGCTGGAATCCAGTATGCCGACGAAGTTCCCGAAGACAGGAGAACAAACGGAGAGGATGGTGATATGGGCATATTCGACTTCACTCGCTTGGAACACAACAGACGAAATCATCCATCCGCTGAGATCATCAACCAGTTTTTGACCTTACTGTCCACTTGTCATACCGTCATTCCAGAAACGAGCTCAGAGAAAGGTGGCAAAATCAAGTACCAAGCAGCTTCACCCGATGAGGGCGCATTGGTAGAAGGCGCTGTCACGCTCGGCTACAAGTTCATTGCACGCAAACCACGCTCCGTCATGATCGAGGTATCTGGAGAACAACTCGAGTACGAACTCTTAGCCGTTTGTGAATTCAACTCGACCAGAAAACGCATGTCGACCATCTTCAGATGTCCTGATGGTAAAATCAGATGCTACTGCAAAGGTGCCGATACCGTCATTCTGGAGCGTCTTGGTGGCGACAACCCATATGTCGAAGCCACTCTGCAACATCTTGAGGAGTATGCCGCTGAAGGATTGAGAACTCTGTGTCTCGCTATGCGCGAAGTCCCAGAAGAAGAATTCAGACGATGGCAGCAAGTCTTTAATGAAGCCGCGACTACCGTTGGTGGTAATCGAGCTGAAGAGATGGACAAGGCGGCTGAGCTCATTGAGCATGATTTCACTCTGCTCGGCGCTACAGCCATTGAAGACAAGTTGCAAGACGGTGTACCAGACACCATTCACACCTTGCAAACGGCTGGCATCAAGATCTGGGTCTTGACTGGAGATAGGCAAGAGACTGCTATCAATATCGGTATGAGTTGCAAGCTGATCAGCGAGGACATGACTCTTCTTATCGTCAACGAAGAGAACGCAGCCGCTACCAGGGACAATTTGCAANAGAAACTGAGTGCTGTGCAAAGTCAATTCCAGTCCGGCATAACGGTTGAGACTCTGGCACTCGTTATCGATGGAAAGTCTCTCACCTATGCACTTGAGAAGGACATGGAGAAGCTCTTCTTGGACCTGGCTGTTGTTTGCAAGGCTGTGATTTGCTGGTATGTGTTATCGTTTGTTTACACTTAGATGTCCGCTGACCGTTAATNNAGTCGTGTCTCGCCACTTCAAAAAGCCCTCGTTGTCAAGCTTGTCAAGCGTCACAAGAAAGCCATTCTCTTGGCGATTGGTGATGGCGCCAATGATGTCTCCATGATTCAAGCTGCACACATCGGCATTGGTATCTCAGGTGTTGAGGGTCTACAAGCAGCGCGTTCGGCTGATGTCTCTATCGCACAATTCCGATACCTTCGCAAGCTACTGCTTGTCCACGGAGCCTGGTCATACCAAAGAATCTCCAAAATGATCTTGTACTTCTACTACAAGAACACGGCACTTTTCATGACTCAGTTTTGGTACTCTTTCCAAAACGGCTTTTCTGGAGAAGTCATCTTCGAATCCTGGACGATGAGTTTCTACAACGTTCTCTTCACAGTGATGCCACCCTTTGTTCTTGGTATTTTCGATCAGTACGTCTCGGCTCGTTTGCTCGACCGATACCCTCAACTCTACCAACTCAGTCAGAAGGGTGTGTTTTTCAGAATGCATTCCTTTTTCAGTTGGGTAGCAAACGGCTTCTACCACTCCCTTATCCTTTACTTTGTCTCCGAGCTCATCTTCCTGTGGGATCTGCCACAAAGCGATGGCAAGATTGCTGGACATTGGGTGTGGGGAACAACTCTATATACGGCTGGCCTCATCACGACTCTTGGTAAAGCAGCACTGATTACCAACCTCTGGACCAAATACACTGTGATTGCGATACCTGGCAGTCTTGCTGTCTGGTTCATCTTCTTACCCATTTATGCGACTGTTGCACCCAAGCTTGGATTCAGTATGGAATATGCTGGCGTAGTTCCAAGACTGTTTCCTAGTCCTGTCTTCTGGCTGACGATCATCGTTCTTCCAGTCCTTTGTCTTCTCAGAGATTTTGCCTGGAAGTATGCCAAGCGCATGTACTATCCCCAAGCCTACCATCATGTTCAGGAAATCCAGAAATACAACATCCAGGACTACCGGCCAAGGTATGTATCTCCTCCCTGCTGTTTATGCCGGATGCCACTAATCTCGAGACNNAGGATGGAGCAATTCCAAAAGGCGATTCGCAAGGTTCGCCAAGTACAGCGCATGCGCAAACAGCGTGGATACGCCTTTTCGCAGACCGATGAGTCACAAGCCAGAGTGTTGCAGGCTTACGATACAACGAGAGAAAGAGGAAGATATGGTGAGATGGCAAGTAGCAGGGACTAAAGGCATCCATCAGGTTCGTGTGTATATGCATTTGTATGGGATATGAAATTTCAAAAGGTGTCATTCTGACCCCACTCTCTTCCATATTGACGTACAGGCACTCCCCATTCATTACTGTGCAAGAAATAAGCTATGGAAATGCACAATCTTAGTCGAGAACAGTGCAGTGTCCACGGAGAGCCATCATGTCGCCGACTCTCTCGACGTTGCTGTCCACATCTAATCTACTGTGCATTTTTACAGCCATAAAATGTTGAGACGCATAGGAGGGAGAGCTGACTTGTCTATTTGCAGTGCTGAGACCTACTACCCCTGGCTCGACTGACTCCCAACTCGACTTCAAGCAGTTTCTAAGCCATCAAAATACACAGTTGTTTTCGAAATCAAGGTGTGTCCAGAGAGAGCTCATGCAGATAGGGGCTCTCAGTGGAAGCTCTTTGTTACTAAAAACTATTGTGCATTTTGATAGCTATCTTTGAGGGTCTCGCGCTGTGAGATGCAGCAACTCTTCAGGACTCTCAACTCGATGTAGGGCGATTTCTGAGCTGTAAAAATGCACAATGAGATCAGGGATAGAGTTGTGTCCACTGAGAGCCGCTGTCTGTGTATGCTCTCAATGGACATTACTGTTTCCCGAACATCATTGTGCATTTTGATAGCTACATCCTCAATGGCCTCGCGCTGTGAGATACGGCAGCTCTCAAGGACTCCTGACCCAATGTAGGGCAGTTTTCAAGCTATAAAAATGCAGAGTAATGTGCAGAAATCGAGGTGTGTCCAGAGAGAGCCTGAGAAACGATGGCTCTCAGCGGATACCTCTTGATTCCTGCACACTATTCTGCATTTTTATAGCTATACCATTTAACACCTCATCCAGTGAGATGCAGCAATCTCATGATTCGAGTCATTCTTCACTATCTCCCCAATTGTGTTCCAACTGATATTTTCGACCGAGTCGGCGCGGAGCGTAACTTCGGAGCGAGAAAATACGAGTGAAAGTCAATCACAAAGTCATCAGTTGCCATCTCTCCGTTGTGTTGATAGCAACTTCTTCGATCGAATTGGCGCGGAGCGCCGTTTACAGCGCAGTCGTTCTTGCCAGAACTCACTTTGACCAGCGCTCTGCCCTCTTTCACCCCGCCGACAACACCCAAATTCGATTCACTTGAGCTATCTCGACCGACTCACAGTGGAGCGTGATTGCTACACGTGGACCGTGCGCTCGTAGTATACCATATTTTACGAGCCTTCCTCTACCCTTGAACCTCCTCTTTATACTTTGGCCTAAGTTGGATACACCAAGTCATCCCGGTTCGTTCTTCGACTTTCATCAAGACATTCTGGTCCTGTACTGACAGTTTCATCAGGTCATCCGCTTCTTTCTTCCATCATGGATCCCCCTTATCGACCAAGGGTCTCTGAGCAGGCGCCAAATATGCCGCCTGTGCGAAGAATCCAGAAGCGTAATAACGTATCGACAGACGTCTTGCGCACAGATGAAGAGGAAAGAGAGTTCAAGAGAAACCGTACCTCTTCTCATTTCGGCGACTACTCAAGACATGCTCGAGTTCCGCAGGACCAATATCACCAACACGCAACGGAGCATAATGACAACCTTTTCGACGACAATCAGTACGCCGTCTACAGCCCTCTGTATGAGAGTCCACAACGTCCTGCACCGGTTGAGCTTCTAAGTCAAAATGCTCGACACACGACACAAGCTCGCCAGCAAAACATCGTATCCGGTCTAGGAAATTCCATCCTAGATCGTCAGCCTNTTCAGGAGGAGAGTGATTCGGGTGAAGATGGTGGTCACAGTGAAGATTTTGCTCAGGAAGAGAATGTCAAGTATGACACTTCACCACTGTTTGTCTACGACAACGAGAATACTCGCGCCTCGCATACCGGACACCAGTACGATCACCGGGCAACCAGCAACAATCATCTCGGTCATGCATCCCATATGCAGCAGGATGATCGAGAGCCTTATCTTCAACCCTCCTTCCGTACCCAAACCCAAGACTCAAGATTTGACCCGAGATACTCGTACAGCACCTTACCTCACCAGCAGCCTCCTTCTCGATCAGCACCAAGCCGTCATGTCAGTTTCGACTTGCCGGACGGTCCACAACAGCATGCGTCAAATCACGAGCCAGTACGAGATACTCATGCGACTCNNGACGAGAGCATGCAAACCACACAAACCGGCAGAGACCGGAGATACCGGAGATACCGACCGCAGATAGAGCAAAACATCAACGTCACAGACAGTCTCAACCGGGAGCACAAGACACCCGAGAAANCGACTCGGGCACATCCTCGTAACGAACCGACCCGGGCACAACACGGCGTTGGTGTTGCCTCTCCCAGACACTCCATCCCCCACAGCCTGTACAGACTCAAGAACGTGCGAACAATCACTCGCGACCACTGGGAGCGGAGCAGCCCTGCGCCTGCTACTCGTCCCAAACGGTCTACCATACCACCAGGTTTCGTGAAGCAAAAGAACATTCTGAGTACGGTCAGATCTAGGAAGAGCCACACCGACCAGCCACTTCTGCGAGTCTTTCCAGAAGATCTTGTCTATCCATCGCCAGTGGCAACATCCGGCCCCTCCAGTCAGAATGTTCCCGTTGCTCAAGCTGCAGGACAACAATATGCTTCTCCACCAGTCGTGGCTCAGGCGCCTTTACGGCGACATGTTCCGCCACCAGTTCCTTCGCCTGTCTCTACAGAATCAAGTTCCTTGCCCAGCAAAATCTCCAAAGAGCAATTGATGAACTTCAAGCCCAATGCTACAGATATTCGAGTCTGGGAGTACATGCATAGGGAAGAGAACCCGATGGACTGGGCGAAAGTCAAGGAGATTCTCGACCTCACTGGTCCACCTTATGTTCTCGAGACTCTAAAGATCAGACAACGATTGTACGAAGCAAAGTGTGCTCTGAAACAACCCGAGAGAGACACAGTACCGAAAGAACCACAAGCACCCGAGCAACACATGACTCGTCTTGGAGATCAATACTACGAGCAACCCGCACCTTCAAACGCCACCCGTCCCATTCTTTCAACTCCAGCTGTACAGGCTCCTCCAGTCGTACAAGCTCCTCCAGTCAGACTTCCAGATGCCAAACGACTTGCCGACCAACTGGAGACAGAACGACTGGCCTGGGCAACCAAGGAAGCAGAGTNNTGCAACAACGCATCAAAACGATCGAAGAAGAATCCGCCGCCAAAACTGCCGAGCTGGAAAGAACAGGAAAAGCAGCTCAAACTCAAGATTGAAGTTCAGGAAAAGTATCAAAAGCTGAAAGAAGAGGCTCAGACTCAAAAAGAGAGTTTGAGGGACGAGAAGGCCTTGCGTGCCAAGGCTGAACGAGATCTGAAGGCTGCTCAGTCTGACGCTCACAGACGCTCTCTGGCTCAGGCCGCCAATGCAAGGAAGACAGGCAAGGCCACAGACACCGGCTTTACATTTTCCAATGACGGCGAAGACGAAACCGGAGGTGAGGAAGGCCAGAAGAAGACGCCATCCAAACGCAGCAAATCTCGAAAGTCGAGTGAGACTACCGAAATCCGAGGAGATGGTCATCCACGTACAGCAGGAAAATCACTGCCGCCGGCTGCTATCCAAGCACTTTACAAGCATCTTAACAGTTGCAAAGACGAAGAGGAAGTGGATGAGGAGCTACCAGAGTCTATCCAAGAAGCAGACCTTACCTACTTCGTCTATACAGTGTGCCGCAAACAATGGCTCACATCGGAAGAAGAACCAGGCGATGACAGTGCCATCGTATGCGGAGACTACACATACCTCAATGCCGCCAATGCCGCCGTCACGAACGAGATTTTGCGTCCTCACGGCACTGCTTCAGCCATCAAGATCGATCCCAAGCGGGAAAGGAGTCTGCACCAAGGGATGGGCGAACATGATATGGCTTGGGCCCAACTCGATGTTCCCGAAGGTCACGTCAAAGTCTGGCTGCAGAGGCAACTGCACACTGAATTCGTGGGTGAGCTGCCTCTTTTCGAAGACAAGGGTATACTCTCGAAGACCGTGTTCGCTGTCAGACAAGAAACCTCGACTGCTGCATCAACTTCAACTACTGAGACCGCCAACGCTCCCATTACTAGCACCTTTGAAGAAGACGCCGAAATCTACACCACATTCGACCTCGCAAACTTCAAAGCCAACGAGAGAATATTCAAACTGCTGTGGCCCGAGGAGAACCAATCGATGCGCATAGATGACATCAAGGCCAGAGAAGAAGCAAGAAGACAGAGAAAGCAGACATTGGAGGATCTGGAAGATCATGGTCAATTATTCATGGAGGAGGTTAAGAGGGAAAATGGTACTTCAGTCAAGGTCTGGGTCGTGCAGAAGACAGTCGTTGGACCCAGAAATTAAGGAAAGTGCATAGTAATAATACAGCTTGAGAATTGAACAACGTAAGGAGTTGATAATCTCACCTTTCAATACAATCTCACAGTGGCATGCGGTGATCTCGTCAGATAGAAAAATGCACAATCGCTAATCAAACAGAAGTGTTTCCATTGAAACACCCGAACATGATGATGTTTCTCTGGCTGAAACTTGTTTCGCCGAAGTATTATGTATTCATACAGCTACATCGTAACAGTCGTTGACACTTGGAGAGGATGCAAGTATGAACCCCTCACATCTCCCCTACCCCTATAAAGGGCAGTTAGGCTCGTTCAAAATGCGGCATCTCTCTTTCTAGACTCATCTCCTTATCTTTACGCTGCGCCGTCATTCGCCGTCAGGGATTACTCCAAGGTTATGGTCCTTTCGTGTGTTGCAGCCTCCTAGCAAACATCATCCCGAAATATGTGTACGCTGCGCCGTTACTCGCGATCACAGAAAGAAAAGGGGCTAGGACAGGTCTTGGTCTTCCATTTGTTGATACTTCTTTCTCTTAGGACATCTCTGCGCGAATAGTCGTGTCTGCGCTGTTATTCGCGGTTTGTAATACTATCCAAGGTCTTTGTTCATTGTAAATATGAGTTTGGCTCATTGGGCAATGCTGTGTAACTTCTCGCGCTGCGCCGTCATTCGCGGTTAGGGATTACTCTAAGGTTACAGTCCTTTTGTGTGTTAAGGCCTCTCCTAGCAAAAACCTATATAAAAGTTGGTCACGCTACGCTATTACTCGCGGTTAGAAGAAAAAGGGGGTAGGACAGGTCTTAGTCTCTTTTCATTCATGCCTCTTTCTTTCTAGACATCTGTGTGATATTTGAGTCTACGCTATTACTCGCGGTTTATACTTCCTTCTAGGGTCTTTGTTCATTATACATATAAGTTTATCCATTAGGTGATGCTAGACAACTTTTTACGCTGCGCCGTCATTCGCAATTAGAAAAATATAAGGTCTCAATCCCTTATGTATAGAAGTTCTTCTGTTATGAATAAGTCCATATGAAATGACTACTCTACGCCGTCATCCGCGGTTTGTGAAATCCTAGGCTACTCTATATATCGTTTATGTAGACTCATCTCATAATACATTGCTATGTAACTTCTCACGCTGCGCTGTTATTCGCAGTTTCTTTTCATTTAGGGGTCCAATCTTTCGTGCGTACAAGTTTCTCTCCTTAGACATCTCGACGAAACTTCTTACGTCGCGCCGCCACTCGCGGTTTCGATATACATTCAGGGTCTTTGTCTATACAAGTTCACTCCATTGGGTGGTGCTATATAGTTTCTCACGCTGCGCCGTAACTCGCGGTTCCAAAAAGTCCGAGGTCTTGATCCCTTGTGTATTGGAACCCCTCTCTCACAAGCAAGCCCACAGAACTTCATCTCGCTGCGAAGCTACTCGCGGCCGGCCTATGTAGTCGACCAATTCAAGGTCTTAATCTCGTGCATGGAAGCACATCTCTCATGTAACGGCCGTTCCATGTGCAAAAGTGTGTAACGCATGCAGTTATAAAAATGCACAGTACTATTGACAAATAGGACAGTTTCCACTGAGAGGCGACAACTACGTATCTCCCTTTGGCCGTGCCCCTAAATTCAAAGACGATTGTAACTTTTTACAGTATGGAGATGCTCGTTGCTGTAGTCAGAGTAAGATGAAGTCAGCACACAAAGAAGTCAGTAAAAAGCCACAAGTCTCCCAAATCCTCAAATACAGCTTACGGACGTTTTTGTCTTAGGACGTAGGTTCTTCTTTCTCTGTTTCCAGAAGCCATGGTTATGGTTTTGATTCAGATGATCGGGTGGTTCGCCCGTTGGATGGTTTGTCTAATAGTTCTTAAACCCGTTTTCGTTGGTATAACGGTCGGGGAGGTGTGTTCTACTGCTACAAGCTTGGCTATCCACCATCCCATTGCCTGATCATCTGAGACCTTGTTTTGATTGTTTGCTGTGGCTGTTTGCTTTTGCTCTTTGTACAGGTAGCGTTGGACAGATAGAATAGTTACTGTTTGAGTAGTCGCAGCATCGAAAACTGTATTCTAGAATTTGGTTCCGGAGCCCAGCGACTTGAGTCAGGAACCTTTTGAGCGTTCGACTCTATTGCGCTATCTCTTCTTTTGCTTGAGGGTTGTGGTGTTCAGAGCGGATGTGAAGGCTCCATATCCTTGGTAGAGAATCCACAAAGGAATCCAAACCCAAAGGGTGTTGAAGAAGAAAAGGTATACCCATCTGTATGTTGTGTCAGCCGCCTTGTTTCCTGCCATTGATATGCTTTCTTCGGCTACGAGAATGCGGAGAATTCTCAAGGGAGCAGAAGTATATAGCAAGAGCTCGTGACCAAAGACTGCCTTGTTTTCGTTCACAGGCAGCCACTTCCACGGGGTGGAAACTTTGGTGGCCGCGGAAGCATGAAAGTTGCGCGATCTGGGGAAAACAAGAGACTCGATGCCATGGTGTTTAGGCATGATGAGGGGTAGCAGATGGGTCGCAAGCAATAGGAGATTATCGAAAGCAAATTCGAACAAACTTACTTGTACATCCAGTTCGAAGTGACTAGGTTAGGCGAGCCGCTGAGCCATTCAGGCACGAAGGTCATGAATCCTNNGAGAAAGCAGAATGATCAGTACGAAAGTCAAACGATCAAGTCTCCGGCAGCGACCCTGACCAAAAACCACGAGAACGTAAAAGCAGCGAGGATGAGAACACGATACTTACCACCATAGAGCTCTCCAGTAGCAAGTACACACATCCAGAACCAAGCACTTCCCCATCTCTCCTTGACCAGCTGCAAACAAATCCAACAAGCCAAAGGCCCGCCCACAAACACGGTCAACAGCTCCAAACTCACAACCGTAAGGTCAGTTCCCGCCCATCTTCTATCAGCTTTAGCATACTCGCGCCAAAGCGCACTGTGCCAATGCTCTCCGTACGCAGCACCGTAGTTTCTACCCACGCGACCCAAGAAGTGGACGTTGGCAGGAAGCAGAGGCTCGGTGAGCAGAGTGGGACCGAAGGAGAAGAAGCAGTTGTAGAGGAACGTGCCTTCAAGGATGAAATGAATTAGTGCGTCAAAGGCGTGCCAGATGAAGAGGAAGCGAGTTTTGGTGCTCGCGGTGCTAGGAAGCGTATAGAGGGATGTCAGATAGGCGGCAGCCAGAATGGCTAAAGTGGACAAGAGCGACAGTATGGTCGTCTGATCGATGACCAGTCCTGTTGGGGCTGAAGATGAAGACATGGTAATGGTGGTTTGTGATGTCTCTTGCTTGATTGCAATGTCGAGAAGGAGGAAGCCAATGTCATGGCGTGCACAAGCCAGATCATTGCTCGTGCACTCGTCCGTACATAAAACTCCAACAAGTTAGGTAGTCACAAAGAGGGAGAAAGTACGTGGTAGAGTACTAGAAGTTTTGATTTCTGCTGTTGCCTTCAGTCCGTGATTCATCCTCCTAAGCATTTATTCGTGACAATCGCTTGAAGGAAACACGTCCTCCGCCCATCCAGAATCCAGCGTGAGAACATGATGCATCCATGCCATGCACGTCCTGTCGTTATAAGACCCCCAAAATCCCATGCCTGCCATCAAAAAGGAACCATCCTTGTTGCCATAATTTCGAATTAACTCGCAACCAGAGTTGAGAGTCAATGCAAATAATGCTCTGTACATACATGCACAGCAACCTGCCTCCCAGTGTCCATCAATGAGTGAGAAAGGAAAAGGTAAGCAAATACAAAGAGAAAGGAAATAGAAGAAAAGGAAAATGTAAAATAGCAAGGGTAGAAAAGGAAAACGAGAACGACTTTTCAAAAAGGTATCGCGCTCGAAAACAGGCCCAAGTTTGACGACGATCAAAACACGCATGTTTGTCGATCATTGTTTCAAGAGCCATCTATACACCATGAGCCATCTCATGGAGAATCCGGAACGCCTTGCGAGATGAAATGATCAATGCCGAATCGCTTTGATAGACCAAGGAAAAGTGAAGAAGAAAGGAAAAAAAAGAAGACGAAGAGCCAGATTAGACAAGGGGGTCGCCCAAGTTCATATAAGGTTGATCGTCATTGCATCGAAACATCGAAGGAGACAGGCGCTGGCTCCAGTCGTGCTGTAAAAATGCGTATCATAGATCAATTGTAGCATTCAGCCACGGATGGCGGTCGGTGTGTGCGACTCCGAAAGGTATCCGTCCCTTGCGTAGGGGTAGCTGTAAGCTCGTGCAACGTAATTGTTGCTGTTGCTAATTGATGCAGGTGAGCCCGAGCGAGAGATCAACTTGCTGATATCACTGCAGCTAGTTAATCCGTCGTTGGCACCATCGAGGAAGGGCGACAGGCTTTGAGGTGGCGTAGGAGTCACAGAACCAGATCGAGGGCTGTACTCGTCCGGCGACGCACCGTCACCAGAGCCGTCGGTGCTGCTGGGCTTCGATCCGGAACTCGTTTGAGGCGAGGGTGAGGATTTGCCCGAAGATCCAGGGGTGAACTGATTTGATAATTAGCACCATGGGGATTAGGCCTTGGTGGAAGTCTTGTTGGAACCTACGTAGCAGAACTTGTTCACGAGGTCTTTATATTGCTGGGATCCGATGGCGGGTCTGTCGGTGGTGATAGAGTCTGGGCGCTCAGGAACCACTTGTTTGACCTCACTGGCAGTCCTGGGTGAGAAGTAGTGGGCCTGAGATTGAGACGAAGATTGGGGGTGAGGAAGTAGACCACTTTGCTTTCCGAGCTTATCCTGGGCGTTCGACAAGGCGGCACTCAGCGATGCTCCGAAGTCGTACCTCCCACCGAGACCATTTGCAGGTGCAGAGCCAGCACGAGCGAGATCCACTCTCTTGGAGCGGGGCTTCAGCTTGACTTGAGGCTGGGCAGCGTGGTCGCCAGTGAGCTTTTCCGGAGAACCGAAGTGGTAAGTCGAGCTCTTGGAAAGCAGGTCCTCATCACCAAAAAGACTACGTTCCTGACGCATTGAAGTCGCAGGAGGCGAGTGTCTGCTACGGGGAATGGTGTTGCGTGAAGGTCTTGAAGAAGGGAGAGACGACAGAGAGCTGGTCGACGCCGACTTGGCTAGCTTCTTGACGAAGTCGATCTGGTAGTTCATGCCGTTGTTGCTGTCCCAGTGTTCCTGGCCTCCAGAGTTGTAACGAATGCACAAAAGCAGTGTCTTGTTCTCCAGGTTCGCTTGATCAGAAAGGCGGATGTTGAAGGTGAAGCGGTCGTAGCCGTCATGAGGGTTCTGCTTGCGGACATCATTGTCATACTCGGCCATGACCTCGGAAGTCGTCTTCCAGTAGTCGAGGGTGAAGCGAGCAGCGACGTGCTTTTGGAACGAGATGTTTGCCACGGCGACAGTGCCGATGAGTGTCTTGGTATCGGTCGAAAGGTAGACCTTGTCGACACGGACAGGCTGGTGCTTACGCTCATGCGTGTCCTCGGGGAAGTTTGCTAGCCTAAGGATCCACTCAACCTTGTTCGAGTTGTCCTTGCCTTCGAAGGGGTACTCGGTGTCTTCATCGTACGTGTCAACAGGTGAAGAGCCGGCGCTGATAGCAGACGGCTTCTCCACCTGCAGGAAGTGTCTGGTTTGGTTACCATTGTCATTGAAATGGACCGACTTGGAGTAGGTAGGGGTGCCAGGCATGCTTGAGTATCTGCGTCTCGAAGATGGTCTGAGGGCAGGCTTGACCAGTTCACCAGACTTCTTTCTTACAAGCGGAGGCTTGACTCGCAATTCGTCATCGTCGTCTTCACTTTCTTCTGACGGAGACTCGGTAACGACACGATCAGGGATGATGATGGCTGTTTCGGTAGATGACCTGGAGTGAGTGATCTTGCGTGCTGTGGCGCTCAGTGCTGTAGGTGAGTGAATCGTGGTAGTGGGCTCTGAGAAAGAGACAGCGTTTCTTGCAGGTGATCCTTCCCGCTTAAGTTCGATGGACCGCACGGCCTGCTCCAGTTCACCCCAGTGGTGAGTAAAACTGTTGCGTCCCCTTGGTGCTTCAGAAGCGTCTTCACCGTCTGAGTTTTCGGATGAGTCGGGNGGTGACAAGATGGCACCTGTCGGAATCAACAGATTGTTCACAGGAGAAGGTGACTGGCGGATGCTACCATTGTTAGAGATGACACCCTCGATAAGACGGCCATTGCTCGACTCGTCGTCGTCAACGGGCGACTGCGGCAGACCAGCTGGCTCTTGTTGGGTGATTGAGGGTCCTCGTCGTTGCTTGTTCAGGTAGGTTGTCGATGACACTGAACGAGGAAGTGCAGGTCTCGGCGAGGCCGGGGATCGTGTTCCTGTGCTCTCTGCGCTGAATGATGATGAGCGGCTCATAGCCGGACTCGCCGTCTTAGACGAGGCGGGTGATTGGTGAGAGGGCGGTGTATAAGGCATTCCTGTGGTGTGTCGAGATGCCAGAGGGAGAGAGGAAAGTGGACTTCAAAGGCCGGCAAGCATCAGAAGGGCTGCGCAACACTGCGGTTGCTAGTCAGATTCGGCACGTGGGGGAAATAGGCTCTGACAGTTGGCCGGATACTTACGGATAGATAGTCGATGAGGCTGGTGAGAGGGGAAGAGTAGGTAAGTGTGTAGGGTTGGTGATGGTATTGCGATATCAGCTAGTGAAAGCCGCACCGTCGACAGAAAATATTAGATGGTATTTCCTGATGATTGAGGAAAGGCACAGCGATTCCTCGTTGCAACCGAAAGCGGGAGTTGCGGCTTCTTGGTATGTTCCAACCTAGAGTGCGTCGTCACTTCCCAAACCGGGTGGGCTGGAATGATGATGCTGATGCTATGACGATTGATAAAAGGAAAAGCCCGAGACGCAACAACGCAGCAAAGTCGAGCAAACAACAGATGGTCAAGCACAACCCGGGAGGAAGAAAAATCGAGGTGCGGGAACAGGCAGTGATAAAAGCAAAGAACCCAGGCTCCAGGTCGATTGGGGAAGTGTGGGCAGTTAACTGGTGGTGCGGTTGGTTGAGCGTCGTTGAAGGGTTGAAGCGGGTGCGGGCGCGAATCACGGATGCGGCAGGATTCAAGTGTGGCTTCAACCCCATGCACGACCAGGAACAGGGAGCCGGGACAAGGTTTGACAAGCGAGGATTGGCTCTGGCAGCGTTCCGCCCGCAGCGCGTTGGGGATCGTAGTGAGCAGCGACTTGCAGCAGCTTGCTGTTCTGGGCTGGCCGGCGACGGGCACAACGGCAACAGCAGACACCACTCCTAATCGAGGGGGCAGCCCGGGCCCTCGACAATACAACAGAAACAAAGGACCGCCCTCTGGCGCCGCTGGTTCAGGCACAGACAAAGTACTCGACCACATGTTACGCGCAGGCTTGGTGCTACTGAGGTATCTTGTCTCTGTACCATGCCACTCTACGAGATATGCCCAGCGGTTGCGCAGCCAGAACTAATGCACTCGACAAATCTTGGAGTCAGGAGAGACGTGTGCCGTATCCGATCACTTGGCTGCCTCTTTTTTTCTGCTGTTCTCCACCTTTTTGTGCGCAATGCAAGAGACATCTGAATTCAGCATCAAAATCCAAACCACAAGCCGATGATGTTGACGATTTGTCGATCTCAGCGAGCATCAGGTCGGCGCGGTCGTGGCCGTTTCCGAACGCTCATCACGTCTCCTGTGGTATGGCTACGGGAAGTCTAGCCGTAAGAGATCAAGTGTCTGTGGCTAGTGACAGGCTGGGTCCGTGCCGCAGAGCATGCCTGTGTCGTTGTCATGCTGTCTCCGTTGTGATGCTGACTCCCACCACGCCTGGTCTTGCTACTCGTACATACCTATCTGCTGACAGTAACACCACCTCTGGATAGCAACTCATTTCTCGGTTGCGTTGTGCAGAACTGATGCTGCCGTTCATTCGCGATAGCAACGATCTTCCCTATTCCTGGCACGCAATCGCAGTTTCTCTGGAGAACCAGTCGTTGTGCTGTTGTTCCGGGGCCCGACAAACTTTCTCCAGGCCATCCCCAAACGTCCGCATTCCTCTTTGATATCTTTTGACTCTTGACTTGAGCGCAAGCGGCTAAGCTCGGGCCGGCCAATCAGTCAAGACTGTTTACTGGCGCGTGTCTGACCCAGCCAGCAAAACACCGGTCCTTCTTCTCCTTCATGCCCACACATCTCCGCTGTGCCCAGAGATTGGACATTTCACCTCCGCAGCAAGCATCCCACTAATCCCTGATTTCTGTGGTAGTGACAGGCAATTTAAGCGAAGATATATT